GCGCTTCTGGCCTTCATGAGTGGTACACCTGGGTTTGGGTTACAGCTGTCGTGGGGAGGCTGCTCTCAAGGCCAACGCTAGCTTCCAAGGAGCCGGGTCTGCCTCTTTAATGCGGTTCGCCAGGATGCCGCTTGGGCTGCGTCGTATCTTGTCAATCCTCAAGGATTCTGCATGTGTAATAATATTCATGTATAGCCAGTATCGGTAGAAGACACCGTCGGTTGGCCCATGGGTTCATAACTTTGTTGCCATTGATGCTGCACGCCAACCAACTAGCGTGGAGTGTCGCAGCCGTCTGTGGAGCTCTTGTCTCCTTTGGCACCGTATGCATCTTGGTGGGGGAAGGGGCTGGTGCCCCTTCCCCCATACCCCCATCCCCCCTTACATGCATGCGTACAAGGTGCTACCTTGCAAACGCATCCGATGCAAAAAGGGATAGACGTTTGCTCTTGAAATTCGTTGCCTCCTTGCACCATTCCCCCATTCCCCTTGCTGCAAGTGCCCTGTTGTTGCAATTACTTGGGAATTGTTGTACGCTTAGCTTTCCTTGTCTGCATCTTATGGCTTTTTGCCGTGGTCCCCCCCCCGAGGTGTTATCAGGAATTGGAATCCAGTATTCGGCTGCTAAACGCGCGCCAGTGAGGGAAAGAAAACCACCCGTTGCCTACGTGGTGTATCCGGAATTCGTTGGTGCGGTGTAGTAGCTATCCCACGCCCCAGCGGCTACAAACGCAATTGCTGCTCTTTGGACGGTTCGCCTCGGTTGCAAAAATGGACACTGCCCGCCCCCCCGCCCTTACACTGGACATAAGCATATTGAGCAGCGCCGGCTGTGCGACGTCTGCTTGCACTTTGGCAAATGGGTCCCGACCATGGTCGCCAACACTGCACCCCCCAAGCCAACAGTGTCTTCAAGAGAGTATGTCTAAAGACAAGGATATGAGAGCTGCTGTACTGCAGGTGATTCTGTGACCCATGAATATAGTCGTCACGAGTTTCAGTGCATAGTATACTCCACTTGTACGCTGCAATGCGTCTATCTCACAACATATTCACACAGATATAACAGTCGGCAGACGTGTGGGCAAGAAAGTTATGCACAGTTCAAAAGCGAAGCAAGTTTGTTGTTCGTTTGTGTCTGGGAAAAGCATTGCGGAACACGCGACCATGAAGGCACTTTTATATAAAGTGCCATTATTATGAAAGGTGCCATCTCCAAAACAGAACAGTAATCAGTATACAATGACCTTCGAAGCAAAGCTTTCCTGGTGCATGCCAATCGTAATGGCAATGTGCCATGCGCAGTTGTTGCACATACACATGGCCCGGAAAGTATAGGTGTTCACGATTCATGGATGGGCACCCGTTGCTGCTGCCTATCGAAAAGCGAACAGATAGCGTTGATTGCACACGCACAATGATGCTGTTCTTGACGCACATGGGCCGGAAAGCGGTAATTGCAACGTGCTCTACCGTGGGAGACCCCGACGCACATGGGCCGGAAAGCGGTAATTGCAACGTGCTCTACCGTGGGAGACCCCGCCATGTGTATGTGTGCACGATTGATGGATGGGCACCCGTTGCTGCTGCCTATCGAAAAGCGAACAGCGTTGATTGCACAGGCACAATGTGGCTGTTCTGAACGCACATGGACCGGAAAGCGGTAATTGCAACGCGCTCTACCGTGGGAGACTTCGCTATGTGTTCCTAGGGCTTTTGCAAAGGGTTTACGAACCTGTACAACACCTAAGCTTCCACATTCTGCACAACCCCCACTTGTAACGTTGTGCGCATTGTCCAAAGGGGCACACACAGACGTTAATGAAAATGCGACGATGATGAGAGAAGCCGACCAAGGAACGACGTCAAAACTTGGTGGTTAGAAGTACCCAACATAGGTTTGCAGGCTCCGTGATGACAAAACTTTGCAGGTTATGGCTGTGTGCTGCTCGTGCGCCAGCCGAAAGAACGACAACATGCAGGCCACATCACACAACAACCAGCACCCAGACACCATCCTCAACTAACGTGCGGGTAACCACCCCTACGTCTGGGGGGAAGAAGGAAAGACCCCCCGAATACACCCAGGATTAGTCGAGGGGGGGGGGGGGTTCGCTATAAGTCCCACGTCATTACGGCTCCGTGGTTTCTCTGGATTGTCGCAAATTATTGTTGGCATGGCGTCCGGGCTCAAGCTCAGGTCTTCTGCATGAAAGGCACTGTTACAACTGGATATATATTTCGCAGCCACTTGTAGACCGAATGTTGTCAGTGTTGTGTGGTCGGGAAAGAGACTGCACTTGTTGAGCGCATGTCGGTGACGTTGTTGCTAAAGCTTAGGTCTTCCGCAGCCGCCGTAGCTATGCCTCATGTTAACTTCATGTTGTTGCGTTTGCCAAATGCTACCTGTTGTCATGGGAGGAGCTGGGATGACCACCGCTGGTCCTAGGTCCGAAGCGACCTAGGCGTACGGCAGCCGTCTTGCGTTTACCCTTTCCACCGCATTTCAGTATAATGTAACTAGTCCTTATTGTATGCCAGGTGAATGGGCGCTCAAGTCAACCTTGCCCACCTTCAAAGTGTGCTTCCAAGTCTGTCCACGTACTTTTCCCAGCAAAAGACGCTTATTACTTGTAAGATTCTTATGTTTTTACCCTAAATCATTAACAGTGCAGCCATTTGAGGCCAACACTTAGCAGTAAAGAGGAATGTTGATATTGAGCCGAGTCGTCATATCAATCAGAGGCTAATGAATAGTCACCTAGATACCGGAAAGAGTAATTAACGCAATAAGTCCATGGCGAGCGAAGATGGAGGTATCATGTCCTCTGGCTACGGTTCCGACTACAACGTTGACGATGGTGAAGTGTTTGAAGATGCCGTTGAAGCGTTCAACGATGACCTCGTATTCAGCGAGGAAGTGTTTTCCGAAGACGCCGAAGATGCCGGCGAGAGGGATATGGTGGAGTTGGGCAGGCTGCTGCTGATGGGGACGCATACCCCTTCGTTGACATAGGCGTATTTCTGAGTACAGCTTTGCCATACAGCTTGCCCCTTCCCTTACTTCCGATGCCGGCAAGTTTAACTGCATTCCCCCTGGGTAGTCTCTCCTCTTTCCTTGAAGGAATGGTTTATGCTGGTTGGCACTTTCCTTCCCTTAAGCTGTGTATATGCTAACCCCAAACCCCATTTTTCCATGCGTTTAGTTCAGCGGGTACCCTGGCTATTTCCATTTACGCGCTTGTGTATTGTAGGAGGTTGATGGCTTTGGGAACTGTCCTTGTTAGGTAGCATGAAGGGGGGGATAAACGGGTGTGACGAAATTCGATGGTCAGATTTTGGCCCTATGCCATTTGGAGGGCCTCCACCCCTACCCTGAAGCCCCCGCCAAGCCACCACCTGGGAAACCGACCATCGCCAATTGCGCTGAAACTTTGGGAACTGTTCTTGTTAGGTAGCATGAAGGTGGGGTTAAACAGGCGTGACGAAATTCGATGGTCGGATTTCAGCCCTATGCCATAAGGAGGGCCTCCACCCTATCCCAAAGCTTTATTTCATTGATACGGGCTCCCATGCTGCAGGGTGCAGGCTCCCATGCTGCAGGGTGCCGGTGCTGCAGGTGGCAGTGCGGGTGGCGGTTCTTCTTCTGGGGCAGCGGCAGGACGTCTCACCACTGCCGGTGCTGCAGGTGGCAGTGCGGGTGGCGGTTTTCCATCTGGGGCAGCGGCAGGACGTCCCACCGCTGCTGGGGGTGATGAAGAAACGTTGTCATGGAGAAGGCGTGGCCGTCGTTCAGGGTTCCCAGTCCGAGAGGGTTACACATGCAAGAGTCTTGTTGGCAGATGTGCACTGGATGCAGCGCGTCGTTTGGTCAGGAGAAAGCAGTCAGATGGTCGCACCGTCAGCAACCCATGCTTAGTAACGGCTTTCGTCTTTAACACGGCCTGCTGCTGTCACACCTTCAAAGCGGACAAGTTCTGCATGCATGTCCTGGCAGTCCGTGCTTCTACTACCAGTGCCTTGGAAACCGCCAGTGCCAGTGCTAGTGCTGTGGTCCAGGCTGTGGGTACAAGTGAGACCAAGGCACGGGTGGAGTCAGCACTAAGCACGTGTCCTCCAGAGGGCACTATTGGAAACACCCTCATGCGTGCAAGCCTTTCTCGATGGGCTCCGAGCATGGAAATCCTAGGAAAGGTTGTTGCCACAGCTACATCACAGGCGCCCAGCTTGAGGACATACCAGGAGAGCAGGGACCGGTACAGAGGGGTAGCAGCACTGGCACCACAGCAAAGTGTTGTTGCCCCGTGTATGTTGCGGCTGGCTGACTCGGTAACACATGGTGCTGGACAGCTACCGGCCTCCCTTCAACGTTCCCTAACGGCGCACTATCATCTTAGCAAGCTTATCCGAGGAGGGAAGGTTTCAGGGCATAGACATTCTCCTTTTGGACATTGAATGGGGAAGCCATTGAGCTTCGCTGGATGGGAGGGCTGACGACGCGGTCGCGAGCGCGCAACAATAGTGGTTTGTCCCGAAAGGACACCAATAACTTTTAATAATTATTGGGCAGCTATTAAAGCTTTCTAAAGCACAGAAAGGTGCAGAAAGCGGGAATTCCTTATGGCGGGTGCCGTACGCCTAGGTCGCTTCGGACCCAGGACCAGCGGCACCCATGCGAGGAGCTGCTGTTTGCTAGCTGCAATGCAGTACAATTAGCCTTTTTGCGACTTTAGCCAGGATCCGCATTTGCCCTGCCTGCATTTATACAACCCAAACTGCCCAGCGGCTGCATGTGCTCAATGGTGCTACTTTGCGTACCCTTTTCAGTTGTCTCCTCTACGACAAAGGAAGCTGCGCGAAGGTGTCAGCTCGCTTGAGCGACTGAGGCTGCGAACGATGGTGCAACAGCCCCGTAGGGCCAGGACATGGCCTGCACATGCATATGCACATGCTTGTAGCCACGGGGCCTGCCGACAACGGTAGTTCCAGGGCCTGATGATGGAGACGATTAGCGTGCAGCCAGGGGTGTAGCCTTTTTAGCCAGCGGAAGCTGTGACCCATGCAAGTGCCCCTCCGTTTCTGTGACTCTCGACCCTATAATGGTAATTCACCCCTGACGGGAGCGGACGAGTGGGGACAGTCTCTGCACCCAAGGGGCGTGGTCACCTTGCCGGCGCAGCAGCTGAACCACAGAGCCAGGGGTCCACTGCAGCATCCTCGCAGCAGCCAAAAAAACGCTAAGACCGTCCCACCCGACGCCTTTCTTGCTTCGCTCCTCCCATATCCGTCCAGATGCATACCCAACCGGAATTGATAACCCTGCTTGGGTTAACGTTCCGTGCATCCGCATTTAGTTCTCCTATCACGTTTCTACAAAAGTGTGAATGCGTGCCTAGGAAAGCCACATTCGAGGAGGAGGCCACCTTGAGGCCGCAGGCTGGAGCGACCTCTGTAGACGGGTTAGGGCTGATTGCCCATCAAGTCCATTGCTTCCTTAGTCTTTGAGACCTGCAATTGACGCAAACACAGTAACACAACGAGTGAAGCACAGATCCATGCAGAGAATACTCACTAACGGCACCCTTGCAGATGCAGGAGGCCAAGCATGTTGTTGTGTATGTCAAGCTGGCAAACAGCACGCTACAGGCAAAGTCTCGTAACTACCAACGAGCAATACAAACAAAAACGCCCGGCTTTACCAAGGCTGATAGAGGCATTGCAGATCGCACCTTCATCTTTCCAGTGGCTTTGTCGAGTTCAAGGCGCAAACCCAACTTCTGCAATTCAGGCGTCTCTACAGCTGTTTGCAACTCCAGTCCAGCAATTCGCTTCTGAACCTGTAAACAGTATACGGTGTGCAAAAGCAAAAACGGTCATGGCGATAACTCAGTATATTACAGACACCGGCACACAGGATGCAAAGCATAGTAAGCCGGCATACCTTCGCCAATGTTGCAGACCTCTGCCCAAAGGGTCACGATAGGAGGGCACACCATGCAACTACATGCAACGAAACCCCCAGGTTGCACCAACTTAGCACACCTACCCGCACCACCCGCGCTACCCGCACGTACCTCTTCGCTCCCCTCACACATGTTCCGCAGGCCCCACAGCGCCCACTCACGCGCCAGCGGGCTCCGGTCGTCCAGGTTCGTCTGCGCCAGCAGCAGCTCCACGCCGCCCCGCACCACCAGCTCCGAAACCACCCTCGGCCGCCGGAACGCCCCATTCGCCAGCACCGAAACCACATCTCCACGGTAGCCCTCGTAGGGCGCGTCTCGGGGAAAGCCCGCCGCTAGGGCGCCAAGGTGCGTTGGGAGCTCCACCACGGGGCGCTCTTGACCGCCTGCTGGCGAAGGCGCCGCGGGGCTGCCGCTGCTGCTGGCTGCTGCTGTGCTGCTGGGAGCTGAGCTCTGCTGGCGGGGCCGGGCAGCTGACGCGGGCTGCAGGGCGGCCAGCATGCCGAGCAGCTGGGGCGCCAACCCGCCGCCGTTGCCACCGCCAGCGCCACCGCTGTCAGCTTTGCAGAGCAGCCACTCGGCCACATCAGTGCCGCCTGCAAGCGCGCGGCCGCCGTCCTCCCGTTGGACGGCTGCCTTGAGGACCTGTTGGGAGTTGGAATGCGGGCGTCGGTAACGCCTTCGGCGGCGAAGAGGGGATGGGTAGGAGGGCACAAAGCCCTATCAGAGAGAGCACATGGAGGTGGGGTGTGTCTAGGATTGGGCTTGAAGCACCTTGGATGCATGCAAGGTTGTTGGGAGGACGCGGAATGCGGATGAGGGCGTCCAGGAGTGCTCCCTTGGTTCATCGGTTCCGCAAGCTACGTGGATCCTGGCACTTCCGGACACTTCTTGACCGTCACTGTCAGCAGGCGGTGACTAAGCGGGTGCGCTCGGCTAGCGGGATGTGCGCCCGGCTACGTCCATGCATGCTGGCTGACTCCTTCCCACTCCGACCGCCCGCACACTGCGCACGCGGAAGATTCGCCCAACCACACACCCAACCGGCCCACCCGCCTGTTGGGTGACAGGTCCTACCAACTTCCCTTTGCATCCACCCTAACGCCCGCACCTCTAACGCCGCCTCCAGCACTGCCGCATCCGGTGCCACCCCAGCACTCGCTGCAACCGCGTCTCCACCCCCCCTTGCCCCAGTTGCAGACGCACTCCCAGCGCTGATGGATGTCCCTGCGGATGTCCCACACTCTCCAGCCATGCGCCGCACTCCCTCCATGCCGCATTCCCCGCCCTGAAAGGACCCTGCTCGTGCCGCTGCCGCTGCCCCCGCTGCTGCTGCCGGCGATGCTGGCAAGGCTGAAAATGATGTTGATGGGGATGACGCTGAAGACGACAGCGCACACCGGCGAGCCGCAGCTTCCACCACACCCGCAACGCATAAAAGCGCCCTTCCCAGCGGACGACCCACGGCCGGCAACAGCCTAACTGCGGCGGCGGCAGTTGTGCTTGCGGTGGTTTCGTTCTCCGCTGCTCCTTCTGCTGCACCCGTACCTGCTCCTGACCCCGTGCAGGCGGCTTGATCGGCCACCAGCAACCTGCCGCACACCCCTCGCTCGCCCCGCTGCCGCTCCTGCGCCCCCGTCCCCGCTGCTTCGACCTCCTCACACTCCTCCGCCGCGGTCCTCCCCTGCTGCTCCTCCTTCTGCTGCACCTCCTCCTCCTGCTGTTGCCCCTGCTCCTCCGTGCCCACATCCACCTCCACACTGCCTCTCAGCTCGTACAGCTCCTGCGCTAACACGTACAGCAGCACCGGCCAGAGGCCGCCACAGCCCTCCTGCTGCCGCCGCCGCCGCGCCTGATCACCGCGACTGACGCATGCATCTGCTGTGGCTGTGGCTGCGGTGGTGGCAGTAGCGGTAGCGGGCTCAAGCCCCATGCCCGCCTCCCCAGCACGCTCCCCCGGCGCGGGTGCAAGTAGGACTAGCAAGGGCCGCAGCAGCCCCTGCCTCAGCGCCACACAGCCGCACAGCAGCGCCGTCCACTCGTGTCCTCTGCTGCCCGCACTGCCGCCGCGGCTGCTGAAGCTGCTGTGGCCGCTGCTGCTGCTCGCGCTCGGGCCCACTGGGTGCGGTGCGGCGGCGTTATCATCCTCCGCTTGGAGGCGCCCCAGAAGCGCCCTCCAGATGCCTCTGGCAGCAACAGCGGCATCCACGCCGGCAGCAGCGGCGCCGGTGGCAGCAGATAAAGCACTAGCCGCCGCAGCAGCAGAGCCGCCAGTGGCAGTAACGCCGCACAGCGCCTGACTGCAGTGGACGTCCTGACGGCAGCAGGCGTACAGGGCTAGGGTCGCGGGTTCGTGGACTTGGGCTGGGAGAGGAAAGGAAAGGAAGTCGAGGAAGGGGAGGAAGGCGAGGGGAGGGAAGGAGGCTGGAGTTGGGAGTTGGCGTGACAGCTGAGGAGGAAGGAGTGTGGATGAGGAATGGGAAGCTGGATGGAGGGTGCGTCTTTAAGCAGCTTAATCCTGGATGTAGGGACGCAGGAAGCCGGGACAAAGCCCTCCTAGGCCGTACAGCCCGTTGGTGCAGGCAAGCCTCCCATGCGAGCCCTGCTGGTGCGTTTACAATCCTGCCTGACCACTGCCTACCTTCCTAGAAACCACCAAGGTCGTGGCCTTCATTCTTACCTCTGGGGTGCCCCACAAGACGAGAGAAGGTGACCGGGTAGCAGTGTTCCCACACGGCATTGGCACCCGCTTGCCCAGAGTTTGCGAGGTTGGCAAGGAGTTGCGAGCAAGCAATAGTGATTTGCAGGCCAAGTTCGCTATCGTTTTTAGCCGCTACCAGAGCAATGGCTTGCGACACAGCTGCCACGGCGTCGCCCTGGATAATGGCCGCCACATCGCCCAAGGGCACAGAGTTCCGCAGCAGCCGTATAAGAAGCACCAGTGATTCGTCAAATCTGTCATGAGGAGACAGAACCAGTGAGCCCTTTAAGTTGTGTCCAACAGCGTTATTTACAATCGCATACCTAGCGCCGTCAACCGTCCTTTTGAACAGAGACACACCGCCTCCAATGTTACTCTCCAAGAAAGTCCTTCTTCCAGCATCCGTTTTTATTGCTTCTAGCCAACCAGGGACGTCGTCGAGCTCCATCGATGGCTAGTGATGATGACTAGTTTGTAAATTAACTCCCTGGTATCGGTAGTAGGATCATTACTTTGAATTGTGGTCCAGCAAGCTTGTGGGAAAACGCGCTGTTCGGGCTCTCTAGTGCCAACTAACAGTCTTACGTAAGTCACGTTGGAATCCATCTCATACGCGACAAGCTTAATCAGCGGAACAAGGCGCATATTATACGGATGCACGATGGGTCTTTCGCCGGCTGAGGATCACAGCTTTCTACGGCCTTCGCTCCCTGCGCCAACCCTTGGTTCTTCATCGTGCATGTGCCCCCTTTCCGCAAACTGTGCAAGTACTTACCTGGTAAGTGCAGGGTAATTCCTTGTAGGCGAATGCCCTGCGCATGTCAACAGGGCGGTGTCATCCGTACTCAGCAGCCCGTACAGCTACTTTGGGTAAACCCCAAGCAGCGCCTCTAGCCCAAAGCCGTGTGCACCCCATGACTATTGCAACACTTAAATGGGTACACTCTACCGCACAAGACACGTCTTACACGACAGGTATGCCACCGCAGCTTAGACACCAGCTGCTGTCCCTCACTGCCCCAGGTACCCCCGCACTCACGTCGAGCCTCCTGGTCATCTGGGAGCCGTATGAGTAAAGACACAGCTCCCCAGCCCTCCCTTCTTTCTCCAACTGAACCCCCAGCATGCTACAGGACACCCCCTACCAACCGCCAACGAGTTGTTGCTGTTGACACAGTCCCAGCCCGCCCATGTGCTTTCTTGCATTCACGCCCATCGGCCTGATAGGCTTATCTAGGTAAACGTTATTTGTCGCGAATAGAGGAAAGGTTATGGACATAGCTTTACTTGAGGAAGGTCGGCATGCGTATGACCTTTGTTATGGATGGATGGAATGGATGGCTAGCATGCGTTCAAGGAAAGCCATTCACATACAGTACGTGGCATGTGGCCTGCGTAGAATGCGTCTTTGGACATATAGGTGACGATGGAGGAGTCTGCATATTTAGTAGCAGCCAGAGCGTGGAGAAGAGCAATTGAGGTGCTCATCGCACCAGGATGAGGCCGCGACCAAGCGCCTCAGCCTGGGCGATCGTCAGTAAAGACAATGAACATGTTGAACTTATAGACAAGTATGGTTAGGATGTTTCCTGCGGTTCTGCAGCGCAGGATAAGGCTTTAGCCAGTGCAGCATAGGTTTGCTAGCCAGTAACTGGTTTTGGATCCAGTATAACATGCACTATTAGGCTTAGTCAGTAGTCAGTGCGTGCAGTGTGGAGAAGATGACGTCTCGCCGTACACCCTGGTGTCGTACACTCCAGGGAACTTCTCCCAAAACTCCAGGGAAGGTGTTGTCGTACGCTCCAGGGAGCCGTACTTCCCCAGAGTATATAAACCTAGTTTTCTCCCTTTTGTAACAGTCTATGACGATGAAAAGTCTAGGCTCCTCTTCCCAAAGGGCAAAAGCTCACACCGGAAGCAGCTAGCAAGTCTCTGGCAATAGCCACAGCAAAACATAGCAAGTCCCTGGCCCAGCCACGGCACCCGCTTCCCAAAGGGCAGCAGCTCACACCGGAAGTGGTTAATAGCAAGTCCCTGGCCAAGCCACGGCACTAAAAAGTCAGCATCCAAAACAGTACCAAACCAGCCAGTAGGGTCGAAGCATTCTCAAAGGCGAACGTATCCAGCGACAAAGAGCGTCATAATAGAGCTCTTAGTGCGTAAAGGCGGTTAGGTTAAGGAAAAGACCAAGCCATCACAAGACGACATCATCATCGTCGCGGACAAGGCCCTCTATCCCGTTTCCTGCGTTGCAGACCGAGTACTAATATCCCAGGACCCAAAAGACAAGGCCATAAACGCTGTTCCTTGTATAACAGTCTGTAGCCAAGGCCATCCCAGAGGCATCATCATCATCATCAAGGTCGTCGCGGACAAGATCCCTATCCCCTTTCCTGCTAGTGCAGATTCAAGTACCAGTACCTTATCCAACCAGCACCAGCAAGCCCAGCTGAAGCGGCTAGGGCGCTTCAGCTGAGGGTCCCGAGCTCATCATCGCCATCGCGTCGCCGAGTTAGACCACCGACGCCGCGCACTTTGGTTCTGAATTCACTTTAAGCATCAGTGTTTATATAATAGTAGAAAGAAGCTATAATTAACTGCAAAGCTCGAGAAGACTTCTTCAGCATCCAGAATCGGCAATCGCGAGGACCAGCGTTGGTCGTCAGAAAAGGTTATCCAAGTACAGCCACACCTCTTCTATAGTTAACATAGGAGCAATTAAGTAGGCGAAGACCTTCAGTCACCCACGTGCTCTAGAAGTACTGCAGGCGCGTCGGTTCAGTTCCAACGGCAACGGAGTGAAGTGCACGTGCAGCCCTAATCCGCATAGCTGCCGTCACGTCAATCGTCGTCAGTTCAAGGCCTCTTTTATCCCCGTTCCCATAAGCTACTCGCTTCCGCATATCGCTATCCGCGCCCTCAAGGCATCAAGCATCTCGATCATCCCCAAGCCCAACGTCAAGGAGCTTCCGCGCCAAGTCATCTCGTCTCGCAAGGGCATCTCCAAGGTCCCCACGGCGTTTACACAAGGGTCGGATCCGCGGGAGAGCGCGTGCGTGCAGTCCTCATACGGCGCCGCGTGGCACTAAGTACACCAGCAGGTCCTGCGGCAACGCTTCTAGCCGGCATAACCCTAGGCTCCACCCCTTTGGTGCAGTCGCGAAAAATTTTGGGTGTAGGGTTTTGCCGCCGCGGGCGCTTCTATGCCACAGAGCCTTTGCAACGCGGCGCAAAGTAGTAGAATGCGAAGGTTACAAGGGGGACCGGAGTTCCTGAAAGCCTGGAAGCCGTACAAGAGACACCATACCCAATCGCAAAGTAGGACGTCTCATGTAGTACGTATCTTGTACGGCAGTCCTACATATGATCACCCCCTCATCACTCCATCAATCCACTTAGTTGAAGCACAGAGTGATTGTCCATTTGCCCAACCATCGGGCGCGATGTTTTCTAGAGCTAAGGAAAGGAAAACAAGTAACATAAGGAGGGGAAGCCAACATATCGAAAGGATAAAACAGTTAATAGATGAAAGAACGCTTAACGTTCATTCGTTGGTGTTTTGAACGTCCCCGAATGCAACGCCAAACATGTGCGGTTGAACATGGCAGTGAAAACCGTACTCTGTCGGCACTTGTGTACGACGGCAGTCTCGATGCCCTCCTAATCGCGCGGCAGTTCATGCGAGCTGTTGCTCATGTTCAATGGAAGGCAGAGCAGCTTACTGCTTCTAGGCATCCCTCCTCCCACCACGCAACCCCGTATAACAGTATGTACCAAGGTTAACATCACCAAATACCGAGGACGACAGCTAACCCATCGTTGCGAAAAACACCATGCCGCAAATACACATGCTAAAACCTCAGTCCACCCAGCTTTCAAAGCCTTTGCGCCCACTTCCTCTCCCACCGCACGACTAGCATGCTGCACGTATGTAAGCAGTGCATCCACTTACCGTCCGTAAGCGCATACATCGATACATGCCATTGCAACGTCCCGAGTGCAACGCAGGCACGCCACGCATGCAGCTCCGTCCGCTCCAAGACTCATGCGAACACATCCACCGCACCATCTTGCGCCCGCTTGCTTGCCGCGAACACAAGCCCTCTCCATACCCTTCCCACGCATACCGTACCTAAGCCCCTTGCCCACGCATCCACGTCCTTGCTTGCAACTTGCCGCCCAAACCCACGCCTAAAAACACAAACATGCAGGATAAAGACTCGTCCATCCCCTAGGCCAACCCAGCTTCCGTGGCGAGGCCACTAAGTATACCATGGGACATCCGCACACCCCACGTAAACCACCATCTTACGTGGCATACTGGTTACCGGACGCAACGAGCCGAAGGTCCACGCTGTCCATGCGCCTGCGGCCGTTGGGCTGGTGGTTGGGCAACGTAATCACGTGCTGCACCTGTGCCAGCGTGGGCAGGTAGCCACCCGGCTGCTGCTGGTGCTGCTGCTGGTGCTGATGGATGTTGCCGTTGAGGCGTGCCGCCGCCCGCTCCACGCAGGCGTTGTGCCACATGACAATCCGCGGGTCAGTGGGCTCCAGGTAGTTCATGTAGGACCCGGCCATGCGCCGCTGCAAAGCGAGGGAGGAGGTGAGGAGGTAAGGAGGCAGGAAGGGAGGGTAAATTAATTGAACCGCGCGATGACAAGCTGGATTGACAACTGACCGTCAGTCCATGGCCATGCGGGAGAGGTCAAAGACGAGTGAGACAGGCACAACAGGGCGAAAAGGAGACGTGTGGGGAAAGCATCGGGCGCACTGGGACGAGGTGCGGACGCCATTTGGGCATGATGCGGCCCAAGCGTGAGGGCAGAACAGGGAGAGAAAGCAATGAGCGGATGACCGTTAGGCTTGGCAGCGTGAGACGGACCTATCACGAGTGTTCAGGGCTCCTCGGCTTCCGAACAAACATGAAATGTCGGGCTCAGCTGAGTCCGCGCATGCAGGTTGTTCATACGAATCATACCGACTGCAAAGGACCTCTTCGCTCGGGCTGGCAGAGCCGTTGCTATGCATATAACGCGTCTGCCGTAACCTAAACCCCAGCTACCGTGTTACGGCCCATAGGCCTCCCCTCCTTCACTTCTTCAACCCTTATGACCCACGCAACCCTGGAGCCAAACGCAACCGCCCCTCACCCCAAGACGCCCAAGCCCAAACCCTGCCCCATTTTCCCATCAGCATTGGCCCAAATGAAGCCCATGACTTACCCTTTCATGCCCCACACGGGCAAAGTAGAGCACGCCCCAGAGTACCACCGCCGCGGCAACCAAGCCCAGGATAACGCCAACAATCATCCCGGTCTTAACACGCGAGCTGCTGCTACTGCTGCCAGCACTGCTATCTGAGCCACTGCTGCTTCCACTTGGCGTACCAGAGCTATTCGACGAGGCCATGTTGGGCTGGGGGGACGTTATAGCCTGGCCAGTGACCCGTGGGTCGGTTACCACCACCGTCGAGGGGTCCACCGTGAGTGCAGTGGCTACACGCTCAGCGACGGCTTGCGTGTCGTTGACCAGCTTTTGAGCCGCCACGGCATCCGCCCACGTACTCCCGTCGAGGGCTAGCAGCAGCTGGCTGGAAAGCGAGAGCTGCTGCGCCGAGGGTAACGGAATGAGGACCAGCGGGGCAGCCGCTGGCGCCGCGACGGTGGTTGACAGGATTGCGGATACAAGAGTGGTGAGGTCATCGCTGGGGTTGACCTGGATGCGTGCCGAGAAAGCCGCGTCGGTACATGCCGTTAGCGTATTGGAGGAGGACGCTGGCGGCGGCGGTGCTGCTGGTGACGGTGACGGTGAAGGCGGCGGCGGAGGCGAGGAGGGGTCTGCCGTACCAGCCGACTGCTGCAGCTGACGCCGGACACCGCTAGCGGCAATCCCAGCATCCGCGCTCTGATGCAGTTGCCGCTGGCGCGGCTGCCGCACGTGTTGCAAATGCTCATGCAACATCCGACGGAATTGTGATGAGGTTGCAGAGCACTCAATGGCAACGTTTTGCAACAGCGCACGGGACGCCGTCGCAACCGCCTGCGTCAACTGCCCCGTCAGTACGACAGAGCTGTTGTCACATACGGGACAGTTGGCGGCGCCGCCAACAGCATACACCGTGTACGACACGGAAATAATCTCAGCGAGCACTGACACGCCGACGGTGACGTTGCTGCTAGCTGGCGCCGAGGCTTTGAGAGCCGCCACTAGCGCCGCAACCTGCTGCTGTGTGGGGATTGTGGGTACGTCGATTGTCCGCAGAATTCCGGCCTCAGAGTCAGGACCCGGCGGCGGCGGACGCGGCGATGGCGGCGGTGGTGGCGACGGCGGGCTTCTGGGCGGAGGCGGCGATGGCCGTGGCGGCGGCGGCGGCCGCGGCGGCGGTGGTGGTTTCCGAGGTGAGGGGCTGGGAGGTGGTGGATTGGGGTGCGGCGGGCTCGGCGGAGGGCCTGGCTTCTTTGGCGGTGGGAGGGATGGAGGAGTCGGGCTGGAGGGAGGATGTGGTGGAGGGAAAGGCGGCGACGATGGAGACGGAGGCGGATGCAAGGGCGACGGAGGCGCTGGCGACGGGGGTGTTGGGGGTGACGGGGGCGGCTGTGGAGGATGCGGCACAGGCGGCGAGGGCGCCAGAGGTGGCGGGTGTGGCGGCGGTGGCGGCGCAGGCAGGGGTGGCGGCGCAGGCAGCGGTGGATCGGGCAGGGGTGGCGGCGACGGTGATGACGGCGGCAATGGTAATGGAGGTGGTGAGGGATGAGGCGGCGGCGAAGGGCGAGGTGGCGGCGAAGGCCGCGGCGGTGGTGATGGCGATGGAGGTGGTGATGGTGATGGAGGCGACGGCGGCGGTGATGGACGGGGCGGCGACGGCGGTGGCGATGGCCGAGGCGGCGGAGGTGGCAATGGCGGCGGTGACGGCGGCAACGGCGGCGGCGATGGTGAAGGCGGTGAGGGTGGTGGACGCGGCGGCATGGGAGTTGACGGCGGCGGCGACGGCCGAGGCGGCGACGGCGGTGGCGATGGGGGCAGCGGTGGGCGAGGTGGCGACGGCGGAGGCGGTGGGGGCGGCGACGGGCGAGGCGGCGATGGTGGCACTGGCGGCGGCGACGGGCGAGGCGGCATGGGAGGCGGTTGGGGAGGGCTGGGAGGCCGCGGCGGCGATGGCATAGGGGGCAGTGGAGGGGGTCGTACGGGGCTGGGAGGCGGCGGCCAGGGTTGAGAAGGAGGCGGCGGGTTTGGCGCAGGAGATGGCGGTGGTGGCGAAGGTGAGCTTTGGGGTTGGGGTACAGGCGGGGGCGGAGGCGGGGCCGCCGAGGGCGGAGGCGGCGGGTTGTTCTTGGCAACAAGCGGTGGCGATGGTGCCGGCAGAGGTGGAGGGCGCGTTGATGGCGGTGGAGGTGATTTCAGTGAAGGTGGCGGCGGAGGCAACGGTGAGGGCGGCGGCATGTCAGCTTCGATTGGTGGCGGCGTGCCGTTGCTATCCGGCGGAGGAGCATCCACGGGTGACGGCGGCGGCGGGCGCTTTACTGGCGGCGGCGACTTGGCTGGAGGCGGCGACGGCGGCGGCTTGGGCCTTGGCGGCGGCGATGCTACGGGCGAAGGGGGCGGTTGGGGCTTCGGAGGCGGCAACGGTGAAGGACGTGGCGGCGACGGTGGCGCCGACAGTAGCGATGGCGGCGGCGGGGATAAACGCGGCGGCGGTGCAGGCGACGGCAGCGGCGGCGGCGGCGACGACGGCAGCGGCGACGGCGGCGGCGCACCGGATGCCGGCGGCGTGGTGCATGTGATGGTGCCGCAGGTGCTATTGGTGATGTACGTCTTGCCCTGGAGTTCACAGCCTGCATGGGCGAGCGAGTTGAGTGAGCGCGGCAGGAAGGAAACGAGCAGAGTTGGCATGGCAGCAGAAAAAAATAGACGACGGGCGAAGAAAGGGCAACAGGCACCGACAACAGGTTTGGTGAACACTGAGAAGCAGATGAGCGGATAGGACCAACAGTAGGGATGATGTGCGATGCGATTTCACATGCCTCAGCACAGTAGGTTGGAAGAAGGGCTGCAGGGCGACCCCGAGCCCCACCATGACAGGACAGCCTCACACCCTCAAACCAGCAACACCAGCTAGCTCACAACAGCCGTTCCTCTCTTCTGGACTTCACTGCAGGCTACAACCCCTGAGCGTACCGCTACACGTGTACTGTGTTCTACCCCGCTCCCGCCCAGCGCCCACTCACTCGACACATTTACGTAGCTGAAGCGATAGAGGGTGCTGCAGGGGTTGGGGCAGTACATGTACAGCACGCAGTTCTGAAGCGAGGGGGTGCACAGGGCGAGTGCCGGATCCACCGTGTACGCCGTACAGCTGAGCGGAGTCGTCGACGGCGGCGGCGGTAGAGCCTGTCCGGCCGCCTGGGGTAGTGCCGCTGCCGCCGCCAGCAACAGCAGCGGCAGCAGCAACAATCTTTGTAGCGCTCCATCACCAGCAGAAGGGGCAACCCAGGATGGCCCCAGGAGCTGCTGCAGCAACCGAGACCTTGCGCTCGCCCTCTTCTGCTGCTGCGGCTGTCGCTGGGCCGGCGGCGGAGGCTGCTGTTTTCGCCGGTGCGGCAGAGGCTCGGCCCCTGAATCCCCGTACCCGTGTCCTTGTTGCGGGCACTGCTGCGGCGGGCATTGCTGCTCTGACTGCTGCGGCGGCGGCGAGGGGGGCCCTAAAGGACCCCTCCCCCCGCAGCTGGGAGCCTCCTGGGCGCTCTGCGCGCCGCATGCATTCAGGCCGTGCAGCCGGGGCAGGGTCTGCGGCTTGTGCTGCTGGCAGCACGGCTGCTGCTGCGGTGAGTGTGAATGTGGCAGCTCCCGGGCGCCTTGCAGCTGCTGTGCCCCGGGGCAGTAGCTGCGCTCCAGTCCCCACCCGACTGGGCAGCCGCTGGTGTCGCGGCAGCTACAGCTGCTGCCACAAGGAGTCGCGCTCGTGCAGCAGCTGCGGCTGCTGCTACTCCCTGTGCGGTTACGACGCCAGCAACCCGCAGCCGGGATGGAAGTCGCTGCTGCGGGTGTGTCGCCCGGAGCTCTCCGCTGCACCCCGGAGTTTGCCATGCCATGCATGCCTGGGCAGCCATGACTGCGCCAGTGAGGAGGGCGGTCTGCGTCGCATCCCGCCTCGCGTTCTGCGTCGCATCCCGCCTCGCGTTCTGCTCGGATTGGCTGTTGCTGCAGCAGCAGCTGCTGCTGCGGCTCGCGCAACTGGAGTGAGGACGGTGGACATTGGGGCAAGGCTGAGATCTGCCTGCTCACAGCCGCCGGGCCGCAATCCGGGGGCATGCGGGCTCCAGGGCGCAGGTGTGTAGCCGGGTGAAGCTGCGCCGATGCGCTGGCTGCACTGCGTTGGAACAGGCCGTCTGCAGTGGCGGTCGGACACACGTGATGGCAGCAGGTGCTCGTTGCTGCGGTGGGGGCTGCTGGTTGCAACGAGGCAGCTGGCAGTGATGCATCAGGAGGGTGCTGCTGCGGTTGGGGCTGCTGCTGCTGGCGGCGTAATCGTACCCAGTGCCGCTGCCAGTGTTGACACCAACGGAGGTGTGGTTCGTCGGAGTCCCTGAGCCCATCATGCCACCAATGGCCGGTGTAGTTGGCCCTTGCTACCGAGGCTTCGGAGAAACCATCGCCGCATGACTCCGTGAGTGTGCACATCGTGTTGAAGGATGGCTCAGTGCTACTCAAGGCTGCGTCAGTTGTTGGACATGGCTCGTTGCAATTTGGCATGCTGTTATGGCTGCCGACGCAACAAAGCTGCGACAGTTTGCATGATGTGACGTAATCGGCTTGCAGCGGCACTTGCAGGGTGCTCAGCATTGCCGGCACGTCGCTGTCGCCAGAGGTGGTTGGAGGCAGGACGTTGGAGATGCCAAAAGTGCCCGCTACCACATTGCTTAACTGATTTAAAGAAGCCAGTTCTTCACAAAGAGCAGTATTTAGCATCTAAAGCAACAGTCCCAGTGAGGATCCGGAAGGAGACGACGGATGCTATCGCACAATGCTGCCTGCGAGGTCAGCGAAAGGAGGCGCAAATCGGGCGTCGAAGACCTGGATATGGCTGTTTTACAGCAGTTGCGACTTTCGTAATGTGGGTCAAGCGACATATACTCAGCGTCTCTGTGACTACGAACCAACAATGCTCACTCGACCGCTTGTCTTCAAAAGGTAGATTGACGTGCATGGTAGCCTGACCAGTACAGGCAAATCATCCTCTCCTCCATGGTCACGGAACAATCGTGTAGGGTTGTCCCTAACGACAGCGGTTAAGGATTTCGTTGTGTGCCGTGTACGCCTGACAGCACTGTGCAGTAAGCAGTTATATAAATTGCAACATTAATGACCCGTATGATATGGGCGTCAAGTAAGCCGATGGGTGTCAGTAGCGCATTGAGCGTAGCCGGTGGGGACTATATGGAAAGCAGTATAGATTTGGTGTTACAATGTTTCCATGCATCTTGCTTCTCAAGGCTGCCTGGAGTCCTTGAACCGTCCCTCTTTGCTTCTCTCGTCCCATGCCGTACAGAGAGGATGCAGCTGCGGCCCTCGGTCCTTGGTTTCCTCTCTGCCAAATGCGTCTGCCAGCCTTTAATCTCAAACAAGAAATCCTGTTAATGGTGTGTCATTCAACCTGATCGGCTCGGATTATCAATTGGAAGGTCGCGTTCAACATGCCGTAAAAGCATTGTAAAGCTGGTATAGGGGTCATCTCTTCCTTGATTACGCAGTCACAAGACTTTATTGTTGATCTTGAACTAGCTAGCTTACCGCCGCCAACCATCCGCGCCTTTGCTTGAAGGCCAAATACTTTAAGCGATAGAACATGGGACGTAGACGCTGGAATAAGAAGCACCCGGAGAAGGCCGCCGAACAACGGCAGCAGCAGCTGCGTCAGGATGCCGGCGACCCGCCCGTGAGGTTGCTCGCCCTGCAGCCCAACAGCACAACTGTTGCGGTGGCCATTGGCACTCGGTTGGCTGTGGTTGACTACAAGTAAGCCATGCGCCTAATTTAACATCTGCGTCGATAACCCACCTCCTTGAGTTTTGGTTGCACGAGGAACTCAGCCTTGCGGCTACCGGTCGACGTGGTCGTCCCATGCAGCTAATATTACACGCACGTGGCTTAGGACAGTTACGACCTAACTGACTCTGTGCCTGCACTTTTCCTTCCTCATGCCAGTTTCCCCTTGTATCTTCCTGCGTAACCGTCTTGACTCATCATACCCGCCTTCCTTCTCTGCTCCACCAAACCACTTCACCGTTCATCCCCGTCCAGGACCGGTTGCGAATACACGCTCTCAGCACCGCCCCAAGCCGGACAACCCCAATGTCAGCCGCATGCCGGGTGCTTGCGAGTCCTGCTGTTCAGCCCAGACGGCCGGTGCTTGCTGACGGGCGGAGATGACAAGTCAGCTCGCCTTTGGCTTGCGGAAGCTGAAACGGCGCGCACTTCGGAAGCGGAAGCGCCGGCTGCCGGTGCTGACGTCAGCGCCGGCTCCGCAACTGCCAACTGGTGCTGCGCGAACGCCTGGCTCACGCCTAAAAAGATGAGCGCCGGGGGCTTTACTCGGGATGGCTCTTACGCCATGTTTGCGGATAAGTTTGGAGACGTGCTCATAGGACGAGTTGCGCTGCCGGCGCCAGGCACGGAGCAGCAGCCGGAGCCCCAGCAGCTGCAGCTGCAGACCCCTGGGTCACTGTTGGGTCACTTTTGCACCATTGTAACCGGTGTGGCTGCGTCGCCTTGCGGCCGCTACTTGGCTACCAGCGATAAGGACTTCAAGGTAGGCGGCTGGCACAGGGGAAGTGGGCAGGTCACCCACTTTCAAGGTGCAAAGCCAAGGCTGCCAAGCCCAAGAAGTGGAGATGAGTTAGGTTTAGGGGGATTAGGGGCATAGCGTATGGCTGCGTGGGGCCTAGGATGTAGGGTTAAGGCTTTGCATGGGCTCTAGGATGTGATCCTTCTCTCCATCCTCTCACCCCGCACCCTGCATGCCTGTGTTTTGCCCCCTCCCCTCCCCTCTCTCATCCTCGCCTCCCCCGCAGGTCCGCGTCAGTGTGCTGCCCTCGGAGCCGCTCCAGGGCTCGTACGAGATCCAGTGCTACTGCCTCGGACACCAGGACTTTGTATCCTGCGTCGCCTTCGCAGCACCTGCCGTACGCTCGGCCGATGGACAGCAGCAGCAGCAGCCACAAGGGGGCGCTGTGCTGTTGTCTGGTAGTGGTGACGGTACGGTACGAATGTGGGATCATGTGACTGGCCGGCAGCTCGCTTCCTACGTGGCGTCAGCGCCGGCGGCGGCGGCAGGTGGCGGAGCTGAGGGCGGGGGCTCTGGCGGCGCGGAGGAAGAGCCCAGCGGAGCGGGCGAGGAGGGCGAGGAGGAGGGCGACGGCGAGGAGGAGGGTGCGGAGGAAGGCGAGTCCTCAGCCGTACTGCCGGCGTGGTTTGTTTCCTTTCTATTGTCCTTTGTGCTTGGCGTCTAGCCTGCCACGTGACCTTCCCTCCCTCACTCCCTCACTCCCTCCTTGCGTTCCTGCAGGACCCGCCGGCGCGGGTCAGGGGGATGCGGACGGTGTGGAGCCGCAGCGGCGCAGCAAAGCGCCCCCCTGCGCCTCCGTGCTCAGCCTGGCGGTCTCTGCGGACGGGTGCGTGTGCGGGACGGAGGGGGGGGAATACTGGTGCTCAAGGCGACGCGGTGTTCGGCTGGCAAGTGGGGTGTTTTCCTAAATTTGTTGGGGAATAGTGGTAATGGCAACAGGCTGCGTTCTTCGCCCAGGCGCATGAAGGCGTGTTTGGGCGGATGGTTACTGGAATGTTCCATTTTTTTATTTAAGCTAGAATGCATGGGGTTTCTCAAAGACGTGTCAAGACGACGCAAACCCCCAACTCTCAGTGTCGTTTTGCCATGGCCCATGGGTCACGCCCCTGTCGTACCATGTGTCATCCCGCCCTCTTCAGGAGCACTGTGGCAGTGGTGGTGGAAGGCGAGGATGAGGTGCAGCTGCTGTCCCTGGACTGGGAGAAGCGCGCGCTCACGCTGCAGCAGCGGCTGCGGTGGCCGGACGTGCGGTACCCCTGTCAGGTGGCCTTTGGACCCACGGGTCACCTGTGGGTCGTGGGCGGCGTGCCCCTGCCGACGGCACGGGTGAGGCGTGCGGGTTGGGATGGGGGTTGGGAGGAGCGTGGGGAGGCGGCATGTGTGCTCTTGTTGTTGGGGGGCGTTGTGACGGCGGGGTTGGGAGGAAGCGGGTGGAGAGGGGGAGGAGGTGTGGGGTCCGGTTTCAGTGGTGGTTTGGGAGGGATTTATGTCCTATGGGGCCACCTGAGTGTGCGGAACGTCTTTCTCTAGTTCACTTTTTGGTGTACCACTTTATATCTCCTGTGCTACGCGGAGTGACCAGTGCTGTCTAACATAAGTACACAGCATGTCAAACTATACCCTCACGTAACTTCTCCTTACTAATCTCCTTCCTCGTACATCCCATGCAGTCCGTCCACGTGGGCGTGGCGCAGCGCGGACCCACGGGTCACTTCACGCCCTGCACGGATGAGGTTCTATCCACACGTGTGCGCAGCCTGCTGGAGGCTCGTGTGGAGGAGGAGGAGGCCAAGATGGCTGAGGGTAAGGCCGTGGCAGCACTTAAGCATTGTCGTTTCGTTGCTCCTTCCCAATGATGCCCTTCTCATGCCTATGTGTTGTATACTGTTTGCTATGCCGCCCGTTTGCGCCTTTCCATCCTTTGTATGTAACCTTTCGCCATCTAATGGCGTTGCTGCCCCTTCGTCTAGCCCCCTCAACGGACTCACTATCGGGTTACGCTACCTTCTAGCACCAGGGTCGCAGTCACTTTCAAGTACCATGACATGTGATATCCTACTTTAACCGCGCTCTCCTTTGCCCGTCCGGTGCTGCCTTTCCCCCTCCAGGCGGCGAGCTCTTCCTCTACTCTAAGCACCTGCGGAAGCCCGTGTACGACGAGTCCGAGGCGCTGACACGCAAGCGCATGCGCAACGACCACAAGGAGACGCAGCGGCTGGCGGCCCTGCGGTTGCGGCAGGACGAAAAGGCCAAGCAGCAGCAGGGGCAGGGGCAGCAGGGGGAGGCGGCTGGTGCTGCGGGGGATGAGGGCAAGGCTGGCGGTGCGGAGGGGGCTGCGGACGGGATGGTGGTAGAGGCGCAGGCAGCTGTGTAAGTGCGGTTGGTGTGGGGGCTTCTGGCGTGGTTGGGGTGGCAGGAAGCCAGCCGTTGCAGCAGGCTCGAAATGGGTGCAGCCAGCAACGGAGTGGCCTGTCTTGTAGCTGTTAGATGGCTAGCTGGTCAAGGACAGTGAGGCATTGAGAGGAGGGAGGGTTCGGGTAGGTGTACGGCGGCAAGGTGGTGTAGGGGGAGGTAGCGAGGTAGGTGTTGGGTGTCGAGAGCCGGTGTCGTACCGGTGATCAGCTACCAGATGTTTGGACAGGTATGGCTCTAAACGTGGCAATCGTGTTAGGCTGGGGTGAGGGGGGTCACGCCAAGGTGCCTGTATATAGGACAGGATGATGATGCCCTGATGCTGCCCTCCTCTTCATGCTGCCTGGAGGCGGGTTACAGAGCGGCGCTGTCTGGTTTGCTGTGAGGCTCTTGGCAGCATTTGGATACGTGTGTCTTGGTGGGAGGTGAAACACGTCACCGGCATGCTGATCAGCACCTTCCCAGGCTTCCCAGCTTCCAATATGTGGTGCGCTGCGGGGGGCCAGCACGCGGCGGGCCAGCACGCGGGGGCCCAGCACGCGACGGGCGGCTGTGTCTGGGCTCTAGCAGCCGGACAGCCCCTGGCCTGGAAAGATGGGCAGCGCGGCTGGTGACCCGGTGGCTGGCTGTAACGTTTTGCTCCTCGCCTGGTCAGCTTGTGCGTTTGGATAACCGCAGCTGTATTGGCGGGAGCACCTTGCGTTGGACGGTTAGGAAACACCATTATGCCAATTCATGCAGCACCCTTACACTGTGATTACAGTTGTTGCATTTGACCGCCGTCCCAAGTCCTCTTCCTCTACCACCCAAGCACCACAGGACCCAACACGACGCAGAGTCGGCGGCGAGTGAGCTGTGGCTACGAAGTTACATTAATACCGGTATACCTGCTTCCGGGGTCGGCGCGCATGGTTTCGCTGTACCTGTGTCTAACGCCATGATGCGCCTTGTTGGTAATACCCTCAGTCCACTGTTGATATCATTATGTGCGTCACTTTACGCATGTACTCCTCCCCATAGTAAAGTGCGAGTGCACGTCCCCGCCGCTCGTGCATAGCATCGCGTCATATGCCACATGCCATGGCTCCTGCCGTTCCTTCAAAATCTGGCCAACACCCCCTCTGCCTTCCCCACTGCCAGCATTAAAGCAACGGCGCTAGGCTCGAATCCTGCCTCTCTTGCGCAACAAACCTCCACCCGCCTCATGCCATGCGCCACCCCATTCACACACTACCCTAGCGCAGCCAACCACCCCCAACGAATCCGGTGGTCCGTTCTACAAACAGCTGCTGCGCCCGAGTGACGTGCACCGCTGCTGGTACGGCAGCTCATCTGTGTACATCCCCCTTTACCTGCTTTAGCTTTATGAGTTTACTACACACCACGTACTGAGCTCCTCCGTCTCGAAGTACGAACCCACCCCGCAAAGCTGGGACCTGGCTACGTCAGGCAACGTAGGAAACGACGCCGCGCCTGCCGCCCTGACGTCCCCCCACTCCCATGAGCCCGGTGGCAGCATGGCAGGAGCGCCAGGCAGAGTCGCGCATGACAACGCGCGGCTGAAGAGGAGCCCCCCTCTCTTTCCTTTTCAGTGGTCTGTGAAGGGCACTCGCGAGCTCTTCCATGCAATGAGCTTGGGCAGGTTGGTGGCTACCACGTTCATCCAGGCGCCCATGCGCAGGGCGCCGCGGGCCACCCCCAGGTTGACCCGCGCCGTGTCCAGCATGTGGCGGTCGTTGAGGGTGCGGGCGGTCTCAAAGAACTTCTCAAAGTACGACACGGCCAGATCCAGATCTCCCTGTGGTGCAGCGGGCAGGCGGGCAAAACAAGTCCAACGTGAAACATCAGCCAAACATGCATACCCACACACACCAGTTTTCTTAACACACCTTCTGGTAACGTCCGACAATCACAGTATGTTCCTACTCGCGGCCATTTTACTTAACACACCTTCTGGTAACTGCACTACACATTCCATCACTCGCCCTGTTCATGCCGCATCCTCCTCCTCATCACCCACCCCACCCCAACCCTTGCCATGATAGAGTAAGACCTCCTACACCCCGTCCCACCATGTCTTGTGGTTTCCTTCGCAATCATTCGCTCTCTCTCACCCAACCCCATCTCCCCCCACCCCTCTCGGCCCCCCCACCTGCTCATACAGCATGATGCCCAGGCTGCAGCTCGCCAGCGCAGTGCCGTGCTGGTCGCCGCCCCGCGCCAGCTGCAGGTACTCCTCCAAGCAGCGCACAGCCGCCTCCTTGTCGCCCAGGTCCTTCAGGCAGGCGGAGAAGGCGGCGTAGGCGGTGCCCACCGCGGACTTGTCGGGCATGTGGCCGCCCAGCGCGATGAACTGGCGCAGGTAGTGGATGGCCTCGGGGTGCTTCTTCTGCTCGTGGTACAGCATGCCTGGCAGGAGAGGTGGAGGTGGAGAGGTGGATTAGTTGGGATACGGTACATGCTCCGCAGTAGGGAGATGTGGAGGGGAAGCGAGAGGGAGACAGAGGTGGAGGTGGGAGTGGGGGGTGCGTGAGGGGGGCAGACGGGCGGAACGACAGAGAACGCTTGGGGAGGAGACGGAGGAGGAGGAAGAGGAGCACAAGAGGCAGGAAGGCGGGAATGGCTGTGTTAACATTTCCCGCCTCCTGGATGCTGCCTGCAGCAAAAGGACACCGCCACATCCCCTGTCCCAACCGCCCTGTCGCCTCCTGCCTCTCTTACCCAACCGCCGCTTCCATCCGCATCCCACCACCGCTACCATCCTCAACCTACGCCCACCCTACTCCCTCCCGCACCCCCCCCTTACCTATCCGGTAATTCGCCTTCGCCGCCGTCGCATTATCCCCGCTGCGCTCCGCCGCGGACAGGCACTTGTTGTACGACCCTATCGCCGCCTCCACCTCCGCCGCCGCCTCCTGCGCCTCCGCCTGCCGCAGGTACACGGTGGTGAGGTTCTGGTAGGCGGTGTCCTTCTCCAGCGCCAGCTGGTGCTCGCTGGCCAGGCTGAGGCGGCGCTCGTAGCATTCTATGGCGGCCTGCGTTTCGTGGAGCTCCTCGTACACCACACCCAGGGCTAGGTTGGCCTCCAGCTCGCCAGCGAGCCACTGAGGGGTGGGTTGGGAGGAGGGAATGAGAAGGGATGGGAGGAGGGAGGGACGGGGATAGGGGGATAGGTGAGGCGGGGGAGTAGGAAGGAAGGCTGCTGAGCGGGAGCAGGCGGTCGGATTGTTGGGTTGGGCTTTAGGTTGCCAGCTAGCGACTGTGAGATGTGGATGGGATGGCATGGGATGGGAAGGGGTGGAAGGAGAAGATCATGGGGCGGGATCATGCAAGCAGGCAAGCGTGGTCCGCTGCTGGTGAACCGGCCCTGCTGGGATAGCGTGCAGCTGCTGTCGCTGTGGTGCTGCGTGTTGGTGAAATTGATGTATGACAAACATATAGCAGTTGGGAGTATCTTATCAGAGGCGTAGCGGACTTAACCCGTAACCCGTCAACCACACGCACTACAAGGGTGAAATCGTAAGGTGTGTCTCTCTGCTCCGCTCTGTACCTGTGTGTCTTGTGACAACCGCAGGCACCGCCGGAAGAAGAACTCCGCTTTTCGTAATCGCCCTATCTGAGCAAAGAACTTTGCGAGGTTCTTATATGCTGCGTACACGGACTGCGTGTCTCCAGACCGCAGCGCGTTGTCCGCCTTTAGCAGCTCCACGCGCAACAACCCAAGTGCCTCCTGCGGCACGTCGTCCTGCCCCGACGTCGACTCAAGCGATGCATCGCTTGGCGGAGGCGCTGCTGGCCTGCCATGCGTCAAACTGAAGAAGTCGACGAACGCTTGCGGCCGGCCCTCCACGAGAAGCTGCACACAAAGCGACTTCTTATCGGCAAGCTGCGACTCGCGAAACGCCTGAGCCTCTGCTGCCTCCGCCTCCGCAATTAAGGTATGTAGCTTTTCCTTAAATGTTCGTTTGCCATCGCGGGAACCGCCTGTTTCCCTCGAGTTTAAGCCCCGCGCGTCCAGTGTTGCGGGGTTCTGTACAAGCGTCGTCATTTTAGGTAAGTGTGTATACAAATTTGGTCGAACCAAGGTTTCATGAAAGGCTAGCTGACTGCCATGAGTCTTAACTGGAAGAAGGAAAGGCTACATCGAGAACTCGAAGGCGGGAATCAACTGCTTTAGTTCAGTTTAAGTCAAGTAGCATCATGAAAAACTGTGCAAACAAATACGATATGCTTTTCCTGCGTTGCTTGTGGAGTTGCCTGCTTGACACCGGTTTGTACGGCCCATACCCATACTCCAAGCTGCACTATCCAGTGTCCAGATGTTATACTGACCACATAGACAATTACCTGTAACTTGGCCCTTGGTAGTTCGCTTCATATCCGCTCCATCCTTGCTGGAACTTTTTCGACAGTAACTTATTCATGCCATCTTAAGAAACGCAAACATTGAATAATTTATATTGTCGCATAGTTTCAAATGAGTCGTTGGAGGCACGGCGATCCCCGCGGCCAGTGGAGCAGCATGTGAACGTACCGCTTAGCAAGCTAAGAAGGCACAATGGATGTTCTCGCCATAACAACAGCGGGATATGGAGGGAGGTTGTGCTTTTTGGATGAAACCAGCCTCTGCTATGCAAGTGGGCATGGCGTCGTCATTCACGACAAGGATACCGGTTTGCAGGTGGGCAAGGCAACATACGCGTTAGGGCCCTTGAGGCATGTCGAGAACATGCATCCTCCTTAAGGACCATGGGGGATAGACTGGTGGTGCCTTCTGGGGTTTCGATGTTGCATCGTACCGCAGGCTGGCTGAACAGCACGTGTGATCACGTCCACATCTGCACCCACGCAAGCGGGCCCAGTGTAATCCTTTACTGCTTCACGGCCACTCACGCCCTCTGCCTGGCGTTAGCCCAATGGCAGGTTACCGGCGGTACCTGGCTTACATTCTCCCTCTCTCATCTCCCCTTCTCCCTTGTCCTCTCTCTTCACCCATCTCCTGCCTCCCGCCCCGCAGAAGCACATCTGGACGCTCCCCGAGGGTCATGGCCACCCGCCCCCCAACATGGCCCCCGCCACCTTCGCCACCTGCCCCGGCGGCCACCTGCTGGCCTACGTGCAGCAGGGCGGGCAGCAGCAGCAGATCCAGGTGGTGCAGCAGGAGACGCTGCAGCCCGCCTCAACCATCAAGGTACGGCATACGAGGGGGCAAGGGAAGCGTGGCGGGAGTGAACAGCCTGCGTGGCCTGGCCTCACTGCTCTACCCCACACCACACTACCATCCCGTCGGGTCCCGAACTCCATATGCAATCCCACAGGACCCCGGCGCGCGGCATGTGGAATTCGCGCAGCTCGCTTTCGACGCCGAGGGCACCCGCCTGCTCAGCATCGGCGGTCCGCCCGACAACCAGCTGGACGTGTGGGACGTGGACACCAAGGAGCCGCTGGTGCGGATGCAGCTGCCGGATGCGCTGACGGGGCTCGAACCCGCGTTCTTCCCGCTGAACAGCGAGGTGCTTGCGGTGGCGGGACCGGATGCGGCGCGGGTGGTGTGGGACGAGCCGCTGGTGGGCACGCATGTGGTGCGGCAGAGCGAGGTGGACCTGTCGGTGCTGGTGGATGGGGAGCGGCTGACGTGCATGTGAGTGGGCTGGGGAGGGGTGGGGTGTGCGGGAGGCGAGGCGAGGAGGGCTGGGGCGCGGCAAGGGAATGGCGTGCGTGGGGAGAGGGGTAACGGTATGGGTGACCTGCGCAGTGGGGAATGTCTGAAACAGAATGGGAGAGTGGAACGTCCCACGCGCCCACCCTCCCCTCCCCCCTCCCTCAACTTGCCCCAGTGCCTGGACCCCCAATGGCACGCTGCTCCTGGGAACCAACGCGGGCCGACTCCTGGGGGCCAAGCGCGCGGCGCCACCTGCCGTACCCGCCGGCGGCTGGGGCGAGCAGCTCAGCGGCGGTCACCTGGCGGAGCTGCTGTACGGCGACCCGGTGCCGCCGCCACCGCCGCCGACGGCACCGCTGACGGCGCTTCCGTCGCCTGTGTCCATGCTGGCGAGCAGTGGCGTGGCGGCGGCACGGACGGGCGTGGTAGCGGTGGTGCCGACCGCGACGCATGTGCTGCTGGTGCTGGCGGGAGGTGAGGGTGTTGGAATGGCGTGGGGGGCAGCGTGGGTTCGGGTTAGTGTGGAAGGCGCGCAGGCCTGCGGTGTACCTGGTGCAATTAGAACTCATGATGTGGAGGCAAGCACCTCCGCCCCGCCTCTGCACTCGCCCTTCCTGCCTCCTTCGTGCGTGCCAGCTTCCGCTTCCATGCTACCCACCCGTCTTCGTGGCCTGCCCATCTCACCTCCTGGTCCCCACTTCCCCACCCACCGTGCAGACGCGGAGACATCCGCGCAGCTGGTTTGGCTCTGCCCGCAAACCCTCACCCTCGTTGGCAGCTCCGCGCTGCCCCTGCGCAGCCTCGTTCGAGCCGTCGCATCTCCCTCGTACACCCAACTCGCCATCGCCGACGCTGACGGCGCCATCTTCCTCTGCTCCACCGCCTGCCCTGCCAGTGCCGACGGCACTCGCACCACCGAAAGCGGCAACTCGCTTCCCAATGTTCACAGCAGCCAAAGCGGCGCGGTGGCCGGCGGCGTGTCGGCGTCGCCGTCGTCTACGACGACGGACATCTGGGCGATTCCCACCTCGCCGCGGCATGGCAACAGTCGCGCCGGCAGCCCCACGGGGGACGGGCTCGGCGGCAGCTGCTCTGCGAGCCAGTCGGGGGCGGCCGCGCATCTGCAGGTGCGTGCGAAGGACCGTGTTTCCAGTGGTTCCGGTGTTTACCTCTTTACCGGTACCTCCCCACCGCTCCACCGATGGGTTCCACGGCGCTCCCACCTGCGCCCCCGCAATCCCGGCTCCCGGCATGCTTGATGTTGTTTACCCGGCATGCTTCACGCTACTCACCCGGCACGCCCCCGCCCTGCAGATGGTGGAGGTGGCTCGCTTCCACCGGGGACGCATCGTGTCGTGCCTGTGGCTGTCCCACACGCGACTGGTAACAGCTGGCGCGGATGGCTCGGTGCGCATGTGGAGGTGAGGACTGGGGAGGAGGGCGGGCGCGGGGGAGAGGGAGCGTGGGACCTAAAGGGGTAGCCAGAAGCTGCAAGCCCCGCAACTCCGTGCACCACGCATGCCGTTGGGTGCAAGGCCTGGTGGACGGGAGGGAGGGCGGTGCAGTACAGGGTGCAGCTGTAGACGCCATGACGGGGCAACAGGGAGTAGTTAACATAGTAGATATACGGTTGCCGCAGCATGGGAGGTCGCTGAAGGCGTCGGCTCAAGGTGTGGGTCAAGTGCTTTGTTCCACGCCTCATTTTACTTCCTTCAACCACCACCTTCCTCCTCCTCCTCCCCCTCCTCCTCCGCAGCTACCTCCCCACCGACACCTCCGCTGGAGACCCGCCCGACCCCGGCGCCACCCCTTCAACCACAACCGCAGCCCCCAGCTCCTCCGCAGCCCCCTCGCCCTCCCCCGCGCTCCTGCTGGACGCCATGTGGCACGTGGAGCAGCCCGTGACGTGCATGATCGGCCTGAACCCCCCCTCCGGAGCGGCCCCTGAAAGCGCCAGCGCCAGCGCCTCCGAAACCAGCGTCCCCGACGTGGTGATGGGGCTTCCCGTGGCAGGGCACCATACACACACGCACTACCGTGGTGGTGCCGCAGGAGGGGGAGGAGGGCCGGGTAATGTCGTACCGTTGCCGCCGGCGTTTCTGATTGGTACGGCAGGAGGTGTTGTACAGTTGTTTAATACGGATCGCGTGCCGGCTGTGGCGGCGGAGGTGGCGGATGTGGGTCCGGTGGTGAAGTCGCTGTCACCGACGTGGGAGGTTCGGCTGTTTGATGGGCCGGCTACGGCAGCCGCGTTCTCACCGGTAAGCGGTGCAAGGGCGTCCAGGGAGGGGTTGGGAAGTGGGGGGTTGGGATGCGGAGTGGAAACGGGCGGGATGGAGGGGGGGGGCGGGTGTGGGGATGGAAGGCGGCTGCATGGTTGCGACATGTGGGGAACAAGGTTCTGGATTACAAATTGGTTCCGTGTACCGGTATATGAGGTTCTGGCCAGTTGGGCTGAGGGTTTTCGCGTGAGAAATTGATTGCCACCGTCGTCACGATATACCGACGACGTACCATGGCGCAACACAGTTGGCGGAGCGTTGTCACATGTTCTTTTCCTCCTTCCCTTACCCGCCCCCCCTCCCTCCTGCCCCCGTTGCTTTGCCCTAACACGTGGTCTCCTATGGTTTGGTATGGTCTTTGAACCCTCCCTCCTGCCCCCCAGGACGGCCACTACTGTGCCGTGTCCTGCACTGCCGAGTCCAAGGTCGCCTTCCTGCGCATCATGGTGCTGGGTCACGAGATCTCCATGCGCGTGCTGGGCTTCTACCCCATGCGGGAGCCCAGGCACCTCGCCTGGGCGCCGCCGGAGCCCGGAGGTGAGGGGGGGCAGCGCTCTGAGTGGGTCGCGCCCGTGAGCGGGCGAATGATGCGGACTGATTGGGTGGCGCTTCGGAAACGTTGTCGCCCGGTTGTTCGTGCGAAAAGTACGGAATGGTCATGTGGATGCGCACCGTAGGCTTCTATAGCCCCCGCGCGAAGACCGGGTGGTATGTAATTAGGGTTCCTGGGTGTCCGACCCTAGCTGCAGCCCGAAACGAGCCCGGGATGGAAGAGCCCCGAACGAGCCCCGGGCGCCCCCCTGACGGCCCCCACCCTGTTCCCACCCGCCTGCAGGCAGCGGCATCCACCCCATGCTGGTCGTAAGCTCCATCCTGGGGGAGGTGGTCGTGCTGGGTATTCCTGATGCCAGCGCCATCGAAGACGCCTCCCAGGAAGGCCTGCTGACCCGTGGGTCGCTCGTGAAGGCGACGTTCCGCGCGCAGTCGCACATCACCAGCCTGGCGGTGTATCCCTCGGCGGGATCGGAGGCGCGCACCGGCGGAGGGCACTTTTGGGTGTTTGCTGCGTGCTCGGATAAGAGCATTCGGAGGTACCGGATGTGCACGGGTGAGTGACTGCGGAGTAGCCGGTGGAAGGGGTTTCACGTGCTTTACAGGATACCCAGGGTGCAGCAACAGGGGGGCTGAGTCCTGCTGACTGTACCAGCGCAACGCTATGAACACAGGTTACAGAGCAAGCAACCCTCTGCCCCTTTAACTCCCGATTCCATAAACCCTTCGCCCCTTATGCTCACCCACGCAGACCAGCAAAAGGCTGCAGCAGCCGTCGCCGCCCGCGCCTCCGCTGTCGCCGCCGCTGCCGCCGCCACCGGCGACGGCGCCGCTGCCACCTCCCCCACCACCTCCGTCGGCAGCTCGCCCTACCGCGGCGGCAGCAGCGGCTCCCCAAACCTCACCCGTGGCAAGTCTTTTGGCATGGGACGAGCCATGTCCATGGCCTCGACTCAAAACTTCCAAATGCCGGAATGCGAGAAGCAGATGGAGTTGCAGCTCGCGGCAACCGCCATGTCCATCAGCCTGGTGCCTGGTGCGACGGCGGCGGCGGCAGCCGCCGCCGTCGCCGGCGGCAGCGGTGGCGGAGGCTCCATCGCCTCCGCCACCACCTCCACCTCCACCATCGGCGGCGGCTACCACGGCCCGCCGCTGCGCATGGCGGTGGCTGCGGGGGACGGCAGCGTGGCGGTGTACAAGCTGCCGGAGATAAGCCTGCAGGGGCGCTGGCTGCTGCATGAGATGGCGTCCGGCGGCGCGTCGGCGGTGTGCCTGCTTGGTGACCGGCTGCTGTCTGCGGGCGGTGAGGGAACCATACAGGTGGGGGTGTGGGGGGTGCGAGGGGCGGAGCCGGGTTGTTTGCAGGGATGAGGGCGAGGTGCGGTGGTGGTGGTACTGCTGCATGTCGCCAGCGGAGCGGTTGGGGAGGTCAGCGTGATTTACCCTGTTACCTAGCAGGGTGGGGAGCGAGCAACCGAGCACCCCATGTCGCAGTTTTCTTCCATACCCCGGGTGCCGGCGGGCGGCTAGCCTCCTTGTCGCTCACCTCCTCCATCTCTCCATCCTCCCCCCTTACCTCCTTACCTCCTTATCACCTGCTCCGGCTGTCGCCGCCGCCGCTCGGCCGCAGGTCGTGGAGCTCTCCAACGCCGCCGGTCGCGCCCGCCACGCCACCCACCGTGCCAGCCACGTGGGCGGCAGCCAGGCCTCCGCCAGCGTCCTCTCCGCCTTCAGCGGCGGCACCGCCGTCGTCAGCAACCCCTCCGGCCCCTCACCCACACCCGGCGCGCGTCCGGTGCTTGTGGGCGGCATGGCGGCGCAGCGCAGTGCCTTCTTCACGGCAACCGGGCCACCGAGGCCGCGTGGCCTGGAGCGAGCGACCCTTGGGTCGCTCCTGCCGGTGTACAGCCGGGCGCTGCTGCCGGGGGTGCGGACAGGCGCGGAGGGGGCACCAACGTGGCAGCAGGCCAGGTATGATGATGATGATGATGATGAACAACAAGTGCGCGTCATTCCACTACGGTTTCCAAATGCGCATTCCTGGCGCGCTGTCGCACCCTCCGCCACATCACCCTTCCCTCCCCTACCTCCTTCCCCAATCGTGTCGCCCCGTACTGTGGTTTCCAAAGCGGTTTTGGTCTATCTCCCCACCCCCTTTCCTTCCTGCTCCCCACTCCCCCTCCTCCCCCCCCTCGCAGGACCCAAGCCATCCAGCAGATGCACCGCGAGCAGCTCGCCACCTTCCGCGCGCGGGCGCAGGCGCAGTGCCGCGAGTGGGCGCAGCGCATCGAGCAGCTCAAGGAACTGAACGAGGCCGCGGGTGAGGGCGCTGGGGCGGGGGCGGGGTGCGCGGGTGAGGGAGCGGGGGCGGGTGGGGGCTGCGTAGCTAAGCGGTGAGGACGGGCATGGGGCTGCAGGTGGTGTGGGGTGATTGTGTGGTCGCGGAGGTAGGTGGGTGGCGAGGTGGAACCAACAACTCTCAACCCCTCACTTCCGCCGCCCCCCCTCCCATGTGACCCTGCCTTGCCTCCTGCCTGCTGCCCCCCCTGTGCTCCGCAGAGGGTATGGAGCGGCTGACGCCCGAGGAGTTTGTGATCGACGTGGGGTTGCGGCGGGACATGCTGGCGGCGGGGGAGGCGCGCTACCGGGCAGTGAAGGCGAGGGTGGCGAGGGAGATGCTGATGCTGCAGGTGCGAGCAGGGGGCGGGGGGGGAGGGGTACAGGGAACCAGGAAAAAGGAGACCGTTTGGGGCTGGGCTGGCCTGGTTACTGCAACTGTATGTCCCCTTCCGATCCAACCCTGTAACCCGTGTCTTCCCTCTTGGCCTCTTTGCCTTCGTTCCGAAACCAATAACATCGCATCACAGTCCTGCGCTCCTCGCCCTCACGCCCAGCCCTGTACGTATGTGCCCTGCACCCCCACCCCCTCCCCCTCCCCCACCCCCACCCCCTCCCCCCTGCAGTACAAGCGTCAGAAGCTGCGGGAGGAGTGTCAGGGGGGCATGGAGGAGGTGGCTCGCCCCCTCATGGCGCTCCCCGAGTACACCTTCGTCACCCCGGCTGACACAGCGGAGGCGCGGAAAGCCCGAGGGGATGGAGGTGCTGCTGCAGCTGCTGCCGCCGCTGCTGGTGGTGGTGGTGGCGGAACTGGCGGTGCTGCCGGCGGTGCTGCCGGCGGTGCTGCCGGCGGTGCTGCCGGCGGCGGCGGTGGTGGAGGTGCCGAGATTGGAGGAGTGGTGGCGGCGCGGACTTCCACTCGCTCCCCCACGGACTCGTGTGTGTGGAGCTACGGGCTGCGGAAGATGTCTCCGGCGCAGCAGCTGCGGTTGCGGCAGGTGAGCGGGGGGGTGGTGCGGTGTGTGGGCTGGTGGGGAGCTCCCTTTCGGTGCATGGGTAGCGCGCGGGTTCGCGGGTTCCCTCCTGTGTCGCCCCAACACCCTCCACCACTCACCTCACATCGCCTCTTCCCCTGCCCCCTCCTCCATGGTTCGGGCTCTGGATGGGTCCTTCACTACCCTTCTTCTCCTAGGCCCAATGCCATGGGGAGGTTTCCTCACTACCCCCATTAGCCCACCCCACCCCACCCCACCCCTCCCCAGTAGCTCAGTAGTTCATTCCTCTTTACTTCCCTCCCCCGTATACCAGACTTTCGTTTCCCTCCCTCTAGCCCCATTGCTTTGCCCTGACCTGTGTCTTTTGGTAATCCGTCCCCCCCTCCCTCCCTCCCCCGCCAGGTCACCTTCCTCCGCAAGGTGGAGCAGGCGGAGTGCGCGCAGCGGTACGGCATGGACCGCGGCGCGGTGGTGCCGCTGCGGCGCTACCGGGGCGACATGCAGCGGCGCTTCCACCTGGCCACGGAGGGGGAGGAGGCCGCAGCAGCGGGGGGGAATGCGGGAGGGCAGGGAGGAGGGCAGGGAGGGCAGGGAGGAGGAGGACAAGGAGGGCAGGGAGGGCAGGGAGGAGGAGGAGGAGGGCAGCTGGGGCGTGGGGTTAGTTTCCAGCAGCAGCCTGGGCAGGGAGGGGGGCAGCAGGGAGGGGGGCAGCAGGGTCAGAGCTATGATGACGAGTTGGAGCTGGAGGATGAGCCGCAGGGGGGAGCGGGGGGGCTGAGCAGGTCGGCTACACGGAAGGTGAGGACAAGGAGGAGGAGGAGGAGGGCGGGGGGAAAGGCAGGGCGGAATGGGTGTTTGGGAGGGGGCTGAGAAGGTACGGTAGTGGATGGGTGGAGGGCGGTGATGAGGGGCATGTAGGGCATGTAGTTCCCTGCGCACGACGCCTTTCCACCACACCCCGGTCAGGGCGAGTGCTTCCCGCGACTCAGTTAACCTAACCCCCCACCCCATTAACTGCCCTAACGTGTGGCTTCCTGTGGACTGTCCTGACTGACATGCCGCTATACCGCAGTTCCGAGAGGACGGTTACGAGGGGTCGGAGCTGGGGTACGGCGAGACGGGGCTGCTGTACGCGGACGTGCAGCTGTACACGCACTGCCGGCGGGCCGCGCAGGTGGTGCTAATCCAGGTGGGCCGCGGGGGGGGGGCGGGAGAAGGGGGGAGAAAAGGGGGGGAGAAGAGGACACAATAGGGGGATACACGCTGATGGTGCTATAGGGGGTGCGGCTGTCGCTTTGGGCGTGTGCCTCAACTTCCTTCGGCTGGCTGCCCGTCCACCCTCCACCCTCCACCCTCCACCCTCCCAACCATGCAGACCACACATTCCCTTTCCTCCTCCCGCTTCCCTTTCCTCCTCCCGCTTCCCTTTCCTCCTCCCATCCCCTCCCCTCTCCAGGAGGAGCTCCGCGCCCTCCGCCGCCTCTTCAACGCGCGCTGGCGTGCGGCCCGCACCGCCAAGCAGAAGGGTCTGGACCGTATCGACGAGCGGCTGGGGCGCATCGTGGAGATACAGCGCGAGCTGACCAAGCTGGCGCTGGAGGAGGGCGCGTGGGAGCCGCCGGCCGCCTGCGCCGCGCACACCCCGGGCGAGCTGTACTTCTGGACGGAGGCCGAGGAGATGGTGGCGCTGGCGGATGTGCGGTATGATGAGGTGAAAGGTGAGGGAGGGGGCGGGGAGGGGAGGGGAGGGGAGGGCGCGGAGGAGGAGGAGGAGGTTATATAGGCATGGGGTGGGCATGGAGGAGCACATGGGGTGGGGTTGTGGATGGTGGCCCGCACCCCCCCCCCATGGTCTTTGACCCATCAGGCCATCACCATATTTTTACCCCCCTGCCACCCCCAGTCCCCAAGTACGTGTCCCCCGAGGAGCTGGCTCGCCGCGCCGCTGCCGCCGCGGAGGAGGAGGCGGCCCGCCGGCGCGCGGAGGCGGACGACTCGCGCAACCGGGCGCTGCGGGAGATGATGAACAGCTCACCCGCAGGTGGGGGGCAGCGGGGGGGCGAGGGGGCGGGGCAGGAGGGGGAGCAGGAGGGGGAACAGGGAGGGAGGGCCAAGAGGAGGAAACGAAGTAACCGAAGGAGGGGAGCTGGGTAGGCGCACCTCCTGCCAGCCCTCGGCCTCGCGTTCTCCCCGTGCTCTACTGCGCCGCCCGCCCGCCTGGCCCCTTCTGCTAGGTCTCGGTCGATGTTCCCTCACGGCTAATTGTTTACCTTTGCCCCCCGCCTCCCCCCCTCCCCCGCCTTCCCCCCGCCTCCTGCAGTGACGCGACAGATGGGCAAGCGCGGCAAGAACCGGCTGGTGCGGGAGGCGTGGATGGAGCTGCCCCCGGGGCAGATGAGCAAGGAGCAGCGGCAGAAGCTGGCGGAGTGGGAGCGAAAAGTGGCGGTGAGGAGGGGGGGAGGGGAACGGGCATTGGGATTCGTGCGTTCGCTTCTGTTACCCGCTCTCACCCCACCCCTCTCAGCAGCAGCCCGCTACACCCGCTGCTGTTCCCTAACTTGCGGTGGTATCTCTCTATGACCCCCCTTTCTGCCCCCCCTCTCTGCCCTCCCCCCTTCAGGAGCACGCCGAGGAGCTGGAGAAACACCGGCGGCTGCTGGAGGCGGAGCGGCGGGCGCTGGAGGTGGAGATCGTAGACACGGCGGCGGGCATGAACGCAGACCTGGCCAAGCTGAGCCATGCGAAGGTAAGCGGCGGACGCGGGAGGCAGCAAGGAGGGGAGGCCGCAGCAGCAGGAGGGGTATAGGACAGTAGGAGATGTGGTGGGATAAGTAATGGGCTGACATGCACTTTACTCGCGAATTGTCGCGTGACGCAAGGCGGCCGACCCATGGGTCCCTCTCCATCCCTCCCCACCTCCCCATCCTTCCCACACCCCCATCCTGCATGTACGGTACGGCATGCAGGTCCGCATGGACATGGAGATCGTGCACCTGGAGCGCCGCGCAGTGGACCTGGCCGCCACCGAGGCCGCCCTCGCCACCACAGATGCCGTACGCGGTGCGCTGGTGGGGCAGCTGTCGGCGCTGACCAGCCGGCGGGCCCGGCGGGCGCCGCTGCTGGCTGCGCTGGAGCACCGGGTGGCGGTGGCGCAGCGGGCCTTTGAGGACGTGGCGTTCTCGGAGAAGCAGGTCGGGTTGGGGGAGTGGGAGACATGATGGTGAGGGGGTGAAGCCCACGTGGTGCGCAAACGCGGTGGTAATGCACGTGTATGATGGCTGCCGCCAAGGAGAGGCTGTGGTGCGAAGTGGGGGTGGGGGGGAGTCACCGGCAGGGGCCTTTCCCATGCTCCTTGTGTCACGCACGCGTGTTCCCGGCTGCTGCTGCTGCTGCTGCTGCTGCTGCTGCTGCTGCTGCTGCTGCTGCTGCTGGAGGAGGCGGTCACCCGCTCCTACTGGGCTCCTGCTGGGCTCCTGCTGGGGCGTTGGGGTGGGGGGCAAAGAGGAACATCGAACTGACCGTGTGATAAGGCATCATGGGTGGGGGGCGGTGGTGGCGGTGGTGGTGGCTGGTTCCGCTGTTGCCCTCACCCCTGTCGCTGCTTGACCTAACTGCCCAACCCCAAAACCCCCCCCCATCCCCAGGCTGATAGTCAGTGTTTCCCGCGGCTCTCTTTGTTAGCCCTACCCCAACCCCCATTCCCAATCTTTATGGGTCGGGCCATGAGATTGGCATTCCAGTGCTTCGCTTCTTCTCCTTCTTCTTCTTCTTGACCCTGACCCCCACCCCCAGGTTGACAAGGCGTTCCGGCGGGAGTTCAGCAGTCGCCCCGAGCTCTGGGACGACGCACAAAAGGTCTACCGCGCCAGGACGCACCTGCTGCAGGTGCGTGTGCATGTGGGGAGGGGGGCCGCTCCGGGGTGGCGGGCTGTGTGGGGTCGGTTGTGCAGCAGGCGGGCACGCACGCACGCATGGGCGTTTTCAGCGCACCCTGCGGTAGCGGCAAGAAGGTCCTCTTGACTGACTCCGTTGGTCGTGCGAAGCGAGAGTCGCCTGTGTCACCCAGCACTTGACTACCTTGACTATCTTGTGACAGTCTCCATGCACGTCATGCCGACATCATTCGGTTACTGCCCGCCTTGCCGTCATGCCTCGCTGTTGTTGTTGCGCGCCCTCAACCGCCATCCCTTCCCTCCTCCGCCTCCTCCTTTAGGCCTCCCCATCAACGGCCTCAGCAGGCATTACAGATGCCTCAGCGCCCGGCAACCGGCCTGGCAGCAGCCTAGGGGGCGGCGGTGGTGGCGGTGGTGGTGGCGGTGGCGGTGGTGGTACCCCGCTGCTGCCGCGCAAGACGGCTCTGGAGCTGCTGAACAAGACGCCCGAGGGGGCGGCACTGGCGGTGGCCCTGGAAGCCCCGGGGCCCGCTGAGGCGCTGCTGGCCCGCTCGCAGTCCGTTGCGGCGTCCTCACCCGTCAGTGAGTGCGGGGGGGGGTTGGTGGGGTTGGTGGATCGTATCGCAGCCCGCGGGGTGGTTGGTTGGCCGGTTGGCTGGTTGTATGGTGCGGTGGGTGGGGGAGTTAGCGGTAGCGGTAGCCGGCGGTAACATGGAGCAAGCAAAACATACCCACATTGCCGTCACAGCCCCTCTCCCTGTCAACCAACCCCACGAGACGCAGGCACACAGCCACTTAACACAAACCTACACGTCCTCATGCACCCCATGCACGCCGGCTCAACAACGCACATTGCTCGTTCCCCCGCACATCCCTTCTTCCTCGCCCGCACCCGCCGCCTCCTGCACTCCGTCGCCCCCTTCCCCCTCACCTACCCCCCGCCCCCTCCCCCAGGCCGCCAACACAGCGTCGCCCTGGCCCTCAGCCGCCGCTCCACCGCCCTCGAGTCGCTGGGCAGCACCGGCGGCGCCCCCGGCCCCGACCTGCTGCTGGTCACCCCGCGGGCGGTGGTGCGGGACATGGCGCACCTGGCGAGACCCAAGCCGCGGCCCGGGTCGCCGCTGCATGAGTTCGCGCGGAGGCACCTGGCCAGCAGGCCGGCGTCGGTGAGGCGGGTGGGGGGCCAAAATGGAACAAGCCATAGGAAACCACGAATTAGGGCTGATAATTGGGGGGTGAGGCGGCAGGGTGCCACAAGACAAAGGGGGGGTAGCGGGTGGGGGGGCAGAGTGATGAGGGAGGAGAGGCCTGAGACTTCTCCAAGCCCAATGCTGAATGTACGGTGCCTTTTTCCCGTGTGCTGACCCGCGGGTCACCCGCAGCCGCTGGAGGACGGTCCCCGCAGCATGGCCGCCTACCGCTCCGTCTCCGCGCCACCCCTGCGTCCACCCACCTCCACCGGGGGCGGGGAGCTGCCAGCTGCCGGGGAGGCAGCAGACGACGCAGCCACGGTAGCTACCACTGCCGCCGCCACTGCCGCCACCATCGCCGCCGCCGCTACCACTACTACTACCACTCACGATGGCAGCGGCGGTGCCGGCGGGGAGGAGGGTACCGCTGCTGGTGATGGTGAGGGCGGAGACAGTGCAGGAGCAGCAGCAGCAGCAGGCGGGGGAGGAGGTGGTGGAGGTGTGCTAGCGTCGCGGCGGGGTGTGCCGCAGCGCTCCCCCGGTCTGCGGCTGCGGGCGCTGGCGGAGCGGTCGGGGCGGCCGCTGGACCCGCTGCTGCAGATGGTGGCGGATGGTGAGACGGGGTGTGGGGTGTGTGTGTGCATTTGTGATGTCTCCCGTCCGCTGTTGTCCTCCAGACCTCCCGCCGTCTCACCTCCTCCGTCACTCCTCTCTCGCGACCTACACCTGTAGCCGCTCCCTCTCCACGTGCTGTCCCCAGCACGCTGAACCACGCTGGCCGAACCTTGCCTCCTGCCGCCCCACTCACCTCACCCCTCTCACCCCTCCCCCCCTCCTCCCGTCCCTTCCCAGGCCTGCCCGCCTCGGCCCTGTCCTCCGAGCTGGGGCTGCTGGGCCTGCAGCTGCCCGGCAACCCGCACGGCAACCAGGACCCCTTCAAGGTGGGAGAGGGAGCGCATACTACCGGTACCACACACGTACACACACCACCTGCCACTAGGCTGCGAGTGTGTGTGTTAAGAAAACTGGCCGCGAGAGTGTGTTAAAATAACTGGCGTGTGTAACTGGTGCGTGTATGTGTGTCTGTACCGGTGCTAGGTACATCAACGTGTGGTGTGTCTGTGTGTCCATGTCCGCGATCCGTATGTGGGTATGTGCCTTCCCCCATGCCTTTGCCCTGATGTGTGGATTCATGCATGGTTTGGGGTCGCTCTTTGACCCCCTCCCCCCCTACCCAGGTCGAGGCCCCCATCCGTGTGTTCAACCCCGAAGCCACGGGCGCAGCGGAGGCGTTGGTGGAGTCGCTGGCGGGTGCGGGTGGGGGAGGAGGAGGAGGTGGACACGGCAGCCCCACTCGGGAGCGCAGCTCGGCATCGGTGAGGGACGGGAAAGGAGGGAGGAAAGGAGGGAGGAATAGAGGGAGGAAAGGAGGGAGGAAAGGAGGAGGAATACCAAACCTAGGGAGGTGGTGGGAGGCGGGGAGGAAGGGGCGAAGAGGAACGTGGGAGGGAAGCGACTGTCCGTAAGCGTCTGCGTTGTGACGGAGCGCTATGTGTCGGTGTTTGGAGCCAGTGGATTCCGCATCCTCCGTTGCTGCTGCTGCTGCTGCATACGGTACTGTATGATTGAGTGAGCCTCAGAAACAACCGTTCAGTGCACCTAACCCCACCCTCATCCCTCCCTTCCTGCACCCCTTTCCTGACCTCCTCCTCCTCCACCTCCTCCTCCCTCCCGATCCTTCTCCCCCATCCTCCCCCCTCCAGGGCGGCCGCAGCACCAACACAGGCAGCGTGTCCCCCACCCGCGGCGAGGAGGCCCCCCCGGAGGTGAGGCAACCGCCCTGCCGGGCTACCCCTCCACCTGACACCCGCCCTGATACCGTGTACCGCGACCGTAATCACGTCCCTGCACCGCAACCTGAGCTACCTGCCGCACGTCCCTGCACCCCAGCCCAGACCCCACCCACGTTGCGCCCCCCCCCTGCGCTCCAGGATACAGCATATGGCATGCCGGGCTCCTCTCCCCCGGATACCGCAGCCTCCTTCCCTATCGCCATATGCCCCCATTTGTTGTTTGGTTTTTCTCCGACCACCTCTTCCACCCTGCCCACCCTGCCCCTTCCGCCCCCCTGCCCCTCCGCCAGGGCGAGGAGGAGGACCCGCTTGACTCCCGGGAGCGGCCCGAGGGCATAGAGGACGCGCTGTGGATCCGACTGCTGGAGTTCAGGCAGACGCGGGCTGAGCTGGAGAGGGTGAGGAGGCAGGGGAGTGGGAGCGGTGAACGTGTAGGAGGACAAAGGGAGGAGAAAAGAGCGGGAGGGGTGGAGCCAGGAGAGGAGCTAAACAGAGAGGGAGGAGGAGGATGTGTGGAAAGGGCTACGGTATACGGTAGTTTGGAGCGGGGATCTAGACGGTGTGGGCTGGTGTAGCCTCTTCTCTGCAGACAGGTGCCTGCCTGTGCCTTCGTTTGCCTGACTCGTGGTCTGACCCATGGGTCATACTGGTATGATCACCTCCTCCGCCTCCTTCGCCGCCTCCTCAGGAAGCCGAGGAGACCTGGCGACGTGTGTCGCTGCTGACCGCCCAGCTGGACTGGATGGAGCTGGAGGAGTCGGAGATGGAGGCTCAGGTGGGTTGGGGGGAGGAGGCCGCTAGAGGGGGCAGCAGCGCACCCTTTGGGGGACCAATGAACGAACGAACCACTCGACGGCCGACCGCCTTCCTTGTCTTGCCCTCACCTGTGGGCTGTTGTTTCCCTGACCCCAGCACCACCTCCCCTACCCCGCCCCCCCCCCCCCCCCCTTGCTCCCTCAGGTGGAGGAGGCGGGTGCTCGTGCGGCGGCTCTGCGGGAGGGTGCGGCGCATATGGGTCTGGACGTCAGCCTCACCTACCGCCTCAAGAACGGCCAGGTGGGGGCAGCGGGCGGGGGGGAGGTGAAGGTGGGGGTAAAGAGGAAACATCTAACTGACCGTGAAGGTGTGTAGTTGGGGAGAACCGGAGGTAGGTTTGAAGGGTAGGCAAGCGGCGTGAAAGAGGGGCAGATTGGGGGGGGGAGGTAGCGGTGCACTCACAGTGCCCGGGTAACACCGGAGTCCTGGCACCCCCGGGTACACCCTTGTAAAGCTCGGCAAGCAGCCCCCGGACACGGCGGCTCCCCGCCCCTCCCTGATGTAACCCCCCCATGGTGGGCTGGGCGGGTCGGGCTGGCTCACATGTTGCAACCCATGTTGACGCCTTATCCCTCAGTCAGTTAGTTGTTTCCTCTTTACCCCTCCCATGGTGGAACCTGCATGTCATACGGTACATTGATTTCTTCCTCCTTACGCTGCCTGCCGCCTGTCTCCCTCGCTCCCTGCCTCCCTCCTGCAGGTGGAGCTGACGGAGAAGCTGGGCGACGTGATGGGGGTGGGCGACATGCTGGCGGACGGGGTCATCCTGCACCGCAACCGCATAGAGGCGCTGAACGAGGAGGTGCTGTCGCGGGGGGAAGGAAAGGTACGGCACGGAGGCGTCTCGGTGTGTACGGCACAGGGGTTGCCCTGTACGGCGCGATGTGATGTGGTGTATACGGCACCAGGTACATGCGCGGGGACGTACCGGCACGTGTGCAAGCGCACCGTGCCACGTCCCGCGCGTGTTCAACTGCTCGTGCGACTACCATGTCCACTCCCTTGTATGACCCCCCCTCCCTCCTTTCGTTCCCCCCTCCCCCCTCCCCCCTATCCTCTCCTCCTCCTCTCCTTCCCCTCCCCCTCCAGATCGAGTTGCTGGACACGCTGCGCTACACTCGCCGCAAGATCCACCTGACGCAGTGGGAGGCGGAGGCGGCGGAGCTGTCGGGGCGGCACGCGGCGCAGCGGCTCACGGAGCTGCAGCTGCTGCACGTGACCAAGGACCTGCAGGTGGGGGAGGAGGGGAAATTACATAAAAAGTGCAAACAACTGGAGTCCCAATCCCCTAACCCGACTCATGCAGTGAGTGCATTCGCAGACACTGGTGGGGGAGGGAGGCGGGAAGGAATGAGAAGTGAGGCACAATCCGAACTCAAACTCATGGAGGGAACGGAACAACCGAAACCACTCCAGTGGGGGAAAGGGAAAAAATTAAATAAGTGAAACAACGAGGCCCAATCCCATATCCCGACTCATGCAGTGAGCGCATTCGGAGACACTATCCTAAAGACACGCATCTCAAATTTCTTACCGAAGCGTTGCTTACCGTAAACCGAGACGACTTGAGGAAGAAGCCGCCTTGCGTGGTAACACTTGAGATGGAGGGAAAGAGGGGTTGGGAGGGGATGCGGAGGGGGTGGAGATGGGGGGGTGGTGATGTTGCCTCGCGGCCTCGTTCCGACTCACGACCAGTTTTCTCAACGCCCCTCACTCTCCCCTTCCTCCTCGCCTCCCCCCTTCCCCCTCCTCCCTCCTCCCCTCCCCCCAGGCGGTGCTGCGCGACCCTACCATCGTGGACCGCCTCAACGACGAGGCGCGCCTGGCGGTGCTCTGGCAGTCCGCAGCCAACCTGCACGCGCACCGACTGGAGCAGCGCAAGCGGGCGGCGGCGGCGCTGTTCAGAAGGGTGTCGCGCAGCGGAGCGGAGCAGGTGGGGAAAGGGGGCGGGGGGGGCAAAAGGGGCCGCAGTCGTCGCTGTGTGTAGGCTCTAGCTAGGCCCTAGCTAGCTGCGCCGTTGCTCTCCTGTTGCTGCCACCAGCGCCACAGCAACGTCCCTCCCAGGGGTTGATGTCCACGCTGCTAACGCAACACAACACTACCGGTACGCCCCCCTCTTTCCGCTCCGCAACCACCGATACCGGTAACCGTCCCATGATATTCTCACGTCCGCAACCCATCCACATCCCAACCTACTCCAATCCAACCGCCCACTCCCACCCCACCCCACCCCGGCGCCACCCCTCAGGGCGAGCTTACCGTGGCCGAGGCCGCCGCCGAGTCCGCCTTCCAGGACTCCACCCGCATGCACGCCATGATGAGCGCGGCCAAGGCGGAGGAGGACGCCACGCAGCGCCGACACATGCGCAACATAGTCACCAACGCGCAGCTGAGGGCCATCGCGGCGCAGCAGGGCGCGGAGCTGGAGCGGCTGGCGGACGCCCTGCGAGCCGCACACGGCAGGACCTTCCCCACACTGGTGCAGCAGGGGCAGTGGACGCCGCCGGATTACCGGCCGCCGCCTTCGGCGGCGGCTGCTGCTGCTGCCGCCGCCGGAGGTGGAGTGGCGGTGACGGCAGGCGGCAGGACATCGCCGCCGGGCAGCCGTGGCGGGATGTTCAGTCGGCGGTCGAGTCGAGCAGGAGGAGGGGAATCCAGGCCGCCGTCGGCGATGATGGCGCCGCAGCTGCCAGGGGTGCTGCAGCGGACAGGTGGCGGGGGCGGAGGAGGGCCCGGGTCGCCGCCGGCGACGCCGCCGCTGCTGCCGCGCACCGGCAGCGGCCTTACGCGCAGCGGCGGCGCGGGCGCGACGCTGACGCGCGCCTACGCAGCCACCTCTACCAGCCTCGCCAGCGCTGACGGCGCCGCCGCCGCGGCCGCGGCCGCCGTCGCTGGCGGGGCAATCGTGCTTCCGCCCAGTGTGGTTGCGGCACTTGGCGGCGCCGTCGCTGCCGCCACGGCGGCCGCCGCCGCTAGCGCTGGCGGTGGCTCTCCTGGCTCTCCTGGAGCGCTGGGCGGTGGCGCCGCCGCTGCGGGCCTGGGAGTGGCGCCGGTGCCGCCGCCGGTGGGGCCGCTGAGGCCCACGTCTGCGTTCCGTCCGAGCAGCTCAGCCTCTCGCAGGCGGTGATGCGTGACGCGGGATGTGATTGGTTGGACAGATTGGATGGAGAGGATGCGTGGAAGAGGGCCTTCCTAGATATGAAAAGCAGCGGCAGCAGTGACTGCTGCTGCTGCACCTGTGCCAGCCAGGCGACCAAGACCGATGGTCATGAGACTCACGACTGAGGTCCCTTCCGAGTGCAGTATGAACAGACGCCCGCTAAGCACCTGCGACAAGGGCGCCTGGAAGAGTGTGTCTGGGGCACATTGCTTTCCCTCCTGATTGCGGGGATCAGCGTGATAAGGAGGCCGGCTAGGCTGTGTGGGCGGCGTCTTGTGCGGTGTCCTAGTATGGCGTGCTGAACTGGTGGTATGAGGTGGCGGGATGGAGCAGAGCATACCGTAGTAGAGGGCATCTCCTTTGCAACTTTTGGCACGTCTTCTACTTTAGGCAAGGTGTGTGCTCATATTGGTATAATTGCACTGCGACCAGTCTTAACAGGTAGCGTTCGTATGCGACGACTGCGGGCCTCTTTTGCATCTGTGCATGTAGGGGTGTGCGGTGGACACATGGGACGGAAAAGCTGGCGTGCACATCGCATGTATGGCTTAGCGAGCCAGGATCAATCCTGCCTTGGAAGAATCTGTTGAGGCTTTCGAGCTAACGGACAATTGCGTGCGAAATGATTGTTGGCATGAACACCGACATGTGGTAGCTAAGGTCTGAACATACTCATGAGCAAAGACAGCCCATACGCCCGAAATTCCAGCACCAGTATGGTTGTACCCACAACACGCAACACTGTCTTCAGGACGCACAGCAGCTTCCAGAGCCCATCTAGCCACATGAGATGGCACACGGTTGCTCCTAGGCCTGGACGTCGCACGACGGGGCGCTGCGAATGACCGCTGTCGCCTGTTAGTGCTGTGCTTGTATGTGTGTACCACGTTTACTGTTCCGGCTTTAAGGGCTAGCTGTACTATGCATGTCCATTGCCGTACATGGCTGCACCCTGGGGCGCATTTTGGGGGCTTAGCCCTTCCGGTGATAAGTATTACAGCGATCAGCTTTGCGTGAGCATTAACAATGATGCCTCGGAGTCCAATGTTGGGCGACTTCAATGGAATTAGCTCATGGGTCATGACGATTAGCCTGACTGGCAGAGCGATTAAGCGAGGCTTGAATATTTCCCTAAACCTAGCATACGCTAGGCATCAACTAAGCGACTCCACCCTTACCATGCTTTGAAGTTGCGTTCTGGGCTTCGGGCTTCCTTCCTTCCTCCCTCAAGCAGAAAGCGCATACTGCAACGCCCTTAGATACAAAGTAGTACTGCGTTGCTCCTTAGGCCTCAACATTACTATTAAGTCAGATTGTGCCCAACTGCCGCCCGTACAGAGGTGTAAGCAAACAAACAAGCGGCCAAAGCCCCAGTAACTATACAATTTTGTTGGAGTTAGGTGTCCTCAGCCATTGCTTACATTATTGCATAGGACCCTTTCTGACTTCTGCTGGGCTGGGGTCGCCCGCCCAAGCCCTTTGCTGGTGCTTCTCCATAGCACCATACGCGTTGACCTTCGTTACAGAGCGCAACCTGCCCGCCTGGCTGTGCACGCTGCTTCGCCCATTTTCAGTACCAGCATGCCTCCTCCCATCGCTGTCCTCAACAGCATTCATTACGCCCGGGTTCAGCCCTTTCGGAACAGCGCTGGACACCGCAATGCCTTTTGCTTCACCTACAGCGCTTTGCCGCTGGCGTCTCTTGGCCCATCCTGTCCTTTTCGCCAAGCAAAAGCAGCAGACACGAGCACCTTCAGTAATCGCCTGATTGCCACCTCAGCTACTGGCCCGCAGCATGGGAATTCGCATAGCAATCCAGGGACCACGGCGACACCAGGCGGAAACACAAATAGCTGCTTGCGAAGCAGCTACGACAATGACAGCCAGGACGCCGACGGCAGCAGGAACGACAACAATACCCGCAGCAGCAGCTACCCTCCTCCCGGCACCCTGGACAATTCCTCGGTCACGTCGATGGACTGGAACGACTGGCTCAACAGCGCCTCCTCAACATCATCCATGTCAACATCCTCGATGGACAACCCAGAGGACATGCCACCCGTGCCGGCCTTTGCGACCTCGGCATCTCTCTCCGCTGCCGTGTCCAGCCGGAGTCGCGACCAAGACGGCGATAGCAACAGCGGATACAGCAGCAGCGAAAGCCAGAGTGACAGCGACAGTGCTGCTGACATGACGAGCCGTGGGAACGATGGCAATGGTGATGGTAGCGCCGACGATTACGGGGAAACTGGTGGCCGTACTGCTACCAGTACTGGTACGACAGTACCTGATGCTGCTAACGCCCAGAATCAAAATGCAAGCGCCAGCATTAACGGCCGCAACAGCACCAATTCAAATAGCGCCAACAGCGGCGCTGCCACCACCACAACTGCAACGCTAACCATCCGCATCGCCTTTCACGCTGTGGCCGCATCCTTTGACCGGCGGCAGTTGGAGACGCGGCTCAAGTCGTTGTACGGCAGTGCGGCTGTACGGAAGTACCCCGACGTAATCCACTGCCAGCTCAGCAGGGGCCGGGAGGGGCAGCCGGGTGAGTGAGAGGAGTGGGTTGGGAGGCTTTGTGTAGCGCTTGGGGGTGCTTGAGAGACACCAGAGGGCGTGGGGGATTCATGGGAGGGCAGGGATTCATGCAGTCCTTGCACTCTGCATGCGGTCGGCAGTGTCATCTAACCCTCTTTCACCGCACTTCTACACCTCTACACCCCAAACCCCACCCTCTTCCTCCTCCATCCTCTCCTAACCCTACCACTCCGGCCTCCCCAAAAGGCGCCGACGCCTTCTTCTTCGACTACGGTGTGGTGGCCTGCTGGGGGCTGCAGCCCGAGCTGGAGCGGCGGCTCGTACAGGAGCTTGCCGTACAGTGTGCCGTACAACCGCTGCCGCCACGAGACCGGGAGACGGACGTCTTCAGATGCGCCTTCACCTCCAACCCCTCAGGGCTCATGGGGGGTGCGGGTGGTGCTGGTGCTGGTGCTGGTGCAGGCGGCGGCAGCGGCGGTGAATCCAGAGGCGATACCATGGCCCCTGCTGTCACAGGCGCGCTTAGCAATCATGGTGGTGGCGATGGCGATAGCAGCAGGAGTGGCGATGCCGGCGGCAGTGCGGGGGTAGGGCAGCCTCCCGCGGCAACACCACCGCCGCCAGCAGCGCCACCTGCTGCTGCTGCTGCGGCCTCCATTCCCCCTCCCGTTGCTGTTGTTGACTTGGACACCCCGGGCGGCGGCAGCAGCAGCGGCAGCAGTACCGTGAGTGGCCGCAGGTTGACGAGGCGAGCGGAGCGCAGCGGCAGTGCCGCCGTCGCCGCCACGGTCGCCTCCGTTAGCCCAGCAGCAGCAGCAGGGGCAACAACACCGCTGCTCTCCAAACCCGTACCCACTCCGCTGCCGCTGGCGCCGCCTCAGTCTCAGCCGCCGCCGCCGCCCCAGCAGCAGCTTCAGCAGCCGACGGAGGCTCAGGCCAGGCAGCCGCGGCCCCCTCCACCGCCCCCACCTGCGCCCGCGGGTCCCCACTCCCTGGTGTCCTTCCCGCCCCAGGTGCGCACCGGGGGGTGCACCGCATGGGCGTGTTCAGAAAGCACTGAGCACGCGAGGAGGAACGTGTTGTGTGTGTGTTATTAAAACGGGACGGTTGGAGGATGGTGTCCCCACTAGAACGCCACGGGAGACGATAAAGTGTGGATGTACGAACACAGCACGGGGATGCGGGGGAGGCGTCAGTACGCGTGCGGCTATGCAGCTCAAGTGCTCTTAGCGCACTCTGTGTTTTGCACTGGCAGTGTCCTTGCCCGCATGCAGCCTCCTGCAACACCCTCAGCACCTGCCCCTGCCATCCCTCCCCCGCCTCCTATGGTTTGCTATGGTCTTTGACCCCCAGATCACGGACGACACGGTGCTGCTGCACGTGCGGTGCTGCGGGGACATTGCCACGCTGCTGGCCGTCAGCTACGCGCTGGCGCAGTCCACCAAGCTGTCCGCCTTTGAAAAGGTGCGGGGGTGGGGGCGGGGGTGAGGAGGCGGGGTGGGCTGGAAACCAGGGACAACAGTAAGGACAACAGTAAGGGCCACCCGCGCCCCACACATAGGTCCACACGTACCGGTAAACAGGTCCAACACGCCCATGCAAGAAACCTGGGTAGGTACCCCACTTCCCGCACTCCCCTTCTTTGACAGCGCCCCCCCCCCGGGCCCTCCTCCACCCCTCCTCACCCCCCAGGCGGTGGCGGCCATGGTTGACGAGACTCGCGGGCTGCCCGAGGCGCTGGCGGAGCAGGGGGAGGTGGCCCTGTCGGAGCGGCAGATCGGGAAGCTGATCGGCAAGGTGGGAGGGGGGGAAAGCCGAAACCCGCCCCTGCCCGCGATCGACCCACGGGACACCTGGCACGCATGTCCGCGAGGGCGTGCGAACCACACACGCAACCACCACCTCACACCCCCGGACTCGCCCCCGGACTCACCCCTGCTGCAGGTGTTTGTGCTCAAGCGCTCGGTCAACCTGATGGGCAGTGTGGCGGGGACACCGGAGTGAGTGTTTGGGGGGGGGAAGGGGGAGGGGATGGGGAGGGGGCTGTGAGGGTTTCCCCTGCTGCTGCCGGGCCTTCTCCGCCGTACCGTATCACGCATGTGTTCTACCACAGCTGCTGTTTCACGACCGTAGCCCGCCTACCTCCTGATTTCCTCATTCCACTTCCACCCTTCCTGCTCCTCTCCCAACTCCCCCGCCCCCACCCGCTGCCCTGCCGCCTCGCTGCAGGTTCTTCTGGTACGCTCCAGACCAGTTGCAGGTGGGCAGGGGTGACCCATGGGTCAGTGTGGCGGGTGTGGAGGTGTGCTACTGCCCTGCAACAATACCACCCCTAAATACGGCGGCGATTAAATCGACGTCGTATCACCTTACACAGCGTTCGCTCGTTGCCACTTTGTCACGGTTTCCTCCTCGCTTCCGCCCTTCCGCCCTCCCCTCCCCTGCCCCCCTGCCCCACTCTGCTCCCCTCCCCTGCCCCCCCCCTCCGCTCCCCTGCTCAACCCTCTTCTGCCCCCCCCAGGCGCTCTACAGCCGCATCACGGAGTACGTGGAGTTGGCGGAGCGGGTGGAGCAGCTGAACGGCCGGTTCGCGGTGCTGCAGGTGCGGGGGAAATATAGATAAGTGCATCAACGGAGTCCCAATCCCGAATCCCGACTGGTGGAGAGGGGAAGAGGAAACGACTAACGTGGGTGGGGAAGGGGTGGGCACCTGCTGTGATGCCAGCTATACCCCTACGGTACTCGTTGGCGCCTGTCGCCGCCCTGTTCCCGGGTCCGCCTCCGTATCCCCCTGCTTAGTCTCCTAATGGAAGGAGCACAGAAGACGATACGAACACTGCCCCACACTCCTCCTCCTCCTCCCCCCTTTCCCCCCGCTGCTTCCAGGAGATGTTGGAGCTGCTCCGCTCGCAGGCCGAGGCGCGTCACGGCACGCGGCTGGAGCTGGTGGTGATCTGGCTGATCGTGGTGGAGGTGGTGCTGGGGGTGTTTGAGCTGCTGGAGCTGTTTGGGGTGGTGGGGCCGAGGCATGGGGGAGGACTGTAGGGGGGGGAAGACCATACCAAACCATTGGAAACCACAGGTTAGGGCAAAGCAGCGGGGATAGGAGGCGGCAGAGTGCCACAAGACAAAGTAGGGGGGGATAAAGAGGAGGAAACGAAACGAGCTGTATGATAAGGCTAGGCTGGGCCTAGGGCACGGTTAGGGATGTGGTGGGGGAGGGTGGTGTGGTAAGGGTGTGTGTGTTGCTACTAAGCATATGTATAAAGATGTGGGAAAGCATGCGAGTAAACCTTAGTGCAGGCATTGCCGGTATTTAGGCTGGCGAGTGCGGTGAGCGCCTAGCATTACGATACACAGGGCTGTGGCAGCAGTTTTGCAGAAAAGCCGTTGCCACCTTCTGGACCGAAAGCGTGGCTACACGGGGAGTGCTGTACTTCCGTACACGAGCGGGTCCAGAGCGCAGTTGTGGGGCAGGACAGGCGCAGGCATGGTTTGCTTCTTGTATTGCAATTTAAGAGCGAGAGGAAAGAGAGAGCGGGAGAAAGAGATAGTGGAGCGGTCGAGTGTCAGTATCCGTTGTGAAGGGTTGAGTGTTACGGGTACGCGAGAGATGCTTTATGAGTGATCATTGATGGTACAGGTATGGTCAGGTCCTATTCGTGCAAACATGTATGGGGCTTACATTTTTGAAGGAATCCGTAGGAGTGTACAAGATGAAGCTCATGCACATGCGAGGGAGTTCGTTGGCTCCCCGTGTTGCCCCTCCTCCCTCCCTCAACTCCCATGAAAAGGCCCCTTCATCTGGGTAGGGGTCCAGCTAGTCCGTCCCCTTCCCTTCCCTTCCGGCGCATGTTTGTGCCACACGCACACCCACAGGCCACAGCCAAGGATACCGTACAAGCCGCGGTCCCCTGCCGCTGCAGCAGCCGCACGCGCTGCCGTCCATGTGGGCTGACCCCCCAGCAGCAGCTGTCGTACTGGCAGCCAGTTCGGGCTTCCTGACCGGCTTCCCTTCACCGCAGCACCCTCCCCTCCTGCGCTCCCCCTAACCTAACCACCGCGCACCTAGGATCGAACCTCCAGGCGTTTCGTGCATGCGCCCCGCCGGCCCCTCCACGTTGCCCGTCGTGTGGGCGAATCTCTTGCTCCAATGCCTACAGCCCCCAGCCCGCAACCGCACTAACGTCCCACCACGCTTCCGCCTCCCACCGTCGTGCACACCCCCTTCCCTCAGGAGGCACCGCAGCGCATGCTCACTCTGTTTCCGTAGCCGGACGTTATACGCCCCACTCCTCCGTGCAGGTGAACCCAGCTCGTCATTCAGCTCGTCAGTTTCTTCCTCGTTTCCTCCCCGCCAATCCAAACGGCCATGCGTCCCAGTTGCAGGTGCGGCGTTACCCTCCAAACACGCCATCCACGCGGCCATCAGCATGCAGGTGCGCTTCCCATGACGCACTGCCACCCCAGGTACGGTACACAACAACAGCCCAGTGCGAGTACTCTCATGGATAAGCATGACCTTCTACCGTCACACCGCTTTCCCACCCACCTGCCGCCAGTTGCACACATCCAGGTGCAAAAGCACATCCCCAGCCCTGCCGACCCCCCCAGCCCCCCCGACACCAGCCCCGGCCCCCGGCCCTTCGCTGCTGCTGCTGCGGGTTTCCATGCCGCCGCGGCCGACGTTGCGCCACTTGCTAACCCAGGTACCGCCACCGCTGCTACTGCCACCCCCACAATCGCCCCTGCCGCTGCCGCTGCCGCCACTGCTACTGCTACTGCCACTGCCGTACACTTCACCCTCCTCCAGCAGCAGCTGCAGCGGCAACCCCGCTAGGTAGGGCGCCAGGTCCACACTGACGAGCCTCGCATGCAGCCTGCGTGGTGGGGGCCGGGGTGGGTGTGCGGGCAAAGACATTGCGTGGCCCCAACTGAGTTCGACTGGGCTAAACAAGCCCCCCACCTGCAGTCCCCGTAGCCCAGTGTCTGGTCCCACGTGTGGAAGGTCCACACGTGTTGCGTGTCAAACACATGCGCCCGCCGGTGCTCGGGGCGGCGGAAGTAGGCGCGGCGCTGGGAGGCGGTCCAGGGTCGGCCTGGGAGGGGCGAGGTGGGGTGAGGTGAGGAGGCGGGTGGTGGTGGTGAAGGCGCACAGACGCCTGGTGGGGGTAGAGAGAAGATTGCGGAAATGATATACCGAAGATACGTCTGGCGCCTATGAGAGGGCGGTACGGAAGGGCGTGCCGCGCTTCCGTTAGACACGGTAGACAAGATGCCACATCGTGGTTCCCAGCCCCCTCGACCGCCTAGACTGCGCGACCCCAGCGGCATTCCCACGTTGAAGCGGAAACTTGAGCGGAAATTTCATTGAAACGCATTATCCCGCCTCCCCAATGTCCTCAACCCACCTGCCACGGAGTCCGCCAGAGGAGGTCCCATCAGTCGCGTGTTCTCAGTGGCCGCTAGCGGGTGCGGCTGCTCGCCAGGCCGCGACACATTGACCACATTGGCGCTCGCCACCAGCGGCGCCCTGACCCGTGGGTCACTGCCGGTCAGCACCAGCTCCACGCCACCGCCGCCGCCGCTGGTGCGCGCCATGAGCTTGGATACCCAGCTCAGTACGGCACTCAGAGCGAATCCGGATCCCAACTGAAGCGGTTGGCGGTAGTGACAGCCGATGAGGAGTCGGTTGGTCGAGATGGCGCGCTTGAAACGACCCTGTTGGGGGGTGGGCACGGGGGTATCATTACGACATTGGTATATGGGCTCGCTCGCGGCATAAGGACGAAGGATTTATAAGGCTTGACACGAAATACTCATTTAGGCGCATTGCAGCGATACAGACCATCCCGGTGTAGCGCATAATGTTGCACATGAGGCCTAGGACCAGTAGTGCACACAAGCGTTGCAACACGTGCCCCTTTGTGCCGGGGTTTCCCCTCGGCGCAAACATGCATGCACTCGTAGGCACTGCTCCGCTCCACCCGCCTCCCAACCTTCCTGCAGCACAAACACAAAGCGCCGCTTCCTGCCCTCGAACAGCCCCGGCGGGCTGCTGGGCAGTCCCGGCAGGAACAGGTAGGCGGCCCCCGAGAAGAGCGAGGACTCCACCCAGATGGGCCGGTGCAGGTCGTTGAGCGGCAGGGGGGCCGGCAGCGGCGGGGGGGTGGACGGCAGGGTTGGGGACGGAGAGGCGGAGGAAGGAGGTGCAGAAGAGGATGGAGAGGAGGAAGTTGGAGGTGAGGGCTGTGAGGGTGGCAGCAGGTATGGGCCGTACGTCGCTCCCTACATGATCGTGGGAACACGGTCGGTGAGGAAGTAAGGGCTCACAAGGGTGTTCTGGACTAGGGCCCGTGGGAAAGACAGGTAGGGTCCAGACCACCTGGAGTGCGCTGGATGAGTGGAAAGGAAACAGGGATGCAAGCAGGAGGGTTTTGTAGCAGATCTACAACACATTGCACATTGCCGGTATGCACGGCGCACGACAGAGGGCTAGGGGGCTAGGGAACACGCAGGTGCTTGTAACCCTCTGTGCACAGGGGCGCCCTAGCCCTCTGCTCAGCGTGCTCAGAGCCATGAGTTCTATCCAACCTCAAGTTGTTGTCGCTTCCCTCTCCAATCTAAATTGCTTCCGCTTCCACCAAAGTTCCAATAAATCCGCTTGAGCGCATTGAGCGTTCAGGGTACCGAATGTGACCCACCTGATGTTGGGGGTAGCTTCTGCCGGGGAAGATTGCGACCGGAAAGTGCGGACTGCGGCGCAGAACATCCAGGACCGCAGGACACTTGTACGGATTGCTACAGTTAACACCGCTTTCCTTGCTAGCTGTGCGGCTGCTGTCTGCAACCCCACAGCCTCCGTTTGCATGCGGTTCTGGTGCATGACAGTAGCAGCAGCAACCGCTGCTGCCTGCAATGCTACTGCTACTGGTGCAGCCGCCGCTGCCATTGTCGCTGAAGTCTTTGCTGCTTCCTCCACTGCTGCTACTGCTGCTCCCACCCGGAAATATCGGTAAAGGCGCAGCAGTGGAAGATGCCGAGTCAGTGTTACCACTGGCATCGCTGCTACTGCCACTGCTAACGTTGCTATCACTCTTACTGATAAGGCTCCGACCATCGCTGAGACCTCTGCTGCTAACAAAATGTGCCAACGTCCCCGTTTCGGTTTCAATGTTCGTGAGTTTTGCCAGTCGACGGGCCGTCAGGTGTACCTGTATAGGTCAGCAGGCAGTGCATGGGAGAGGCCAGTCATGAGTTCGCGGGTGCTTGCTTTCCAAGCGTCGCTTTACTGGAAAGGTCTAGGCATGGCTGTGATATTAGACAGTGTACGAGCTGCGAAAGGAGAAGGAAAGGGTGAGCTTCGCATAGGGTGCCGAGTATGCAGAGGTCTGATCATTCGGTTGCTCATCGAGAGGCTGCGGCAGCTCCTCTGTCGCATGGCTGGGAAGCATTCAGCAGCATGCAGCGGCCTTTTGTCTACTGGTTTCTGTACCTGGCCGTCTGCTGCAAGCGAATTGTCGACATCGTGTTGCCATTCATGGCTAGGATGCGCCTCCGGTCCCAGCATGCGGGCAGCAGTCAGCAACTGCCGGCGTGTAGGATTAACGCTGAAGGATGAACAAATATTGATGTAAGGTGAGTATGTAAGTTAAAGGCGCTGTTGCTCCTAAAGGTCTTTCCCTCGCATACAATACCGATGCAACGGGTGACATACGAACCACGGGTCAGTATGGAGTTCACATTATACGTTGAACGCGAGCGATGGAGGGTAAAGCTTGGTCGCGGAAAAGTACACGTCAACACATGTTGCGCCATAATGCTGAAAGGCGCGTATGGTTCGGCTGGGCCCAGACGTCTGGTTGCGGTCGTTGACAGCTTGACCAGACCTCGTTGCATCCTAACAACTCGCACGCTCTACCATTTCAACACATCAAGGTAAGGACTATTCTTCCCTACTCTCAAGCCAGTAAATCATGCCGTGGGTACAGCCGTCCGAACACGAAGAACCGATGCACAATTCTATAATATTCCAGGCCAAACCCTACACATATGTTTACATGCTTGTTAGGATAACTTGTAAGGCCGTTCATACTCTCGGTAGTCTTACTGTGCCTGTCTGATACCTGCGTTTCTTACTTGCTTATGCACTGAAAAGAAGCATTAGTTGCCCTAAAAGCCTTTACTATATAACATAATGGGTAAAAAGCAACAAGCTAAGCCGGCGGCGCTTGGCAAGCTACGCGGTGCGTAATTGCGAGCGGTGCATTTTGCTTCCAACACGAGGATTGACTCGTGCAATGTTGTTTTGATGATTTTTGTCCAATTGTGTGGCTTTTGGCCGCCGCCGTCGCCTATCATCAACGGCCAGTTGCCGACAAGCCTGCTTCATCAACGCAACCGTCTGCAGGTTCTAAAGATGCGCGCGCACAAGCATTAGCAGCTGCGGAAGACAGCGACAACGATAACCCGGCCGGTATACTGCAAGATAATGATGGTAAGATGATGTCTATGGCGTTCGCGGCGGTGTGTACACAGTTAGGCTATGCTATTCTTGCAAGGTTAGGATAACAGCTCGCTTTGTGGCTCACGCGGGCGCAGCCATATCTCTGCCTTAGCAAGGGGCAAGCGCGAGGGGTGTTGTTCTCCTCGCAGGCGTCTCATTAGACAAGGATGCCTTGAGCCACCTGCCTCCACTCCACCTGCCTTCCCGCTTTCGACCTCCTTTCCGAATGCTGTTATGCAGACTTTGTGGGTCCCAGCGCCAGCGGTAGCGGCAGTGAGGAGGATGGCGATTTCGGCAGCGACAGCGGCAGCGAGGAGGAGCAGGAAGCTGCAATGGGTGGGGATGCGGGAGACAGTGAGGAGGAAGGAGACGAGGACGACGATGGTGGAGAGGAGAAGGACAGCGAGGATGACCTCTTGCCAGATGAGTTCGGTGATGACGAGGAGGAGGAAGGGCAGCGGAAGAAGCAGAAGCAGCGGAAACTTCGGCAGCAGGACGGGCAGAGCAGCGATGAGGGTGATGATGGCAGCGGTAGTAGCGACGGTGGTGCCAGTGGCAGCGACGGCGAAGATGGGGAGGGGGACCTGATGGCCGACGACGAAGCAGGTGACGATAGCGAAGAGGGCGAGGAGGCGCGGCGTCGCTCGGGCGCCCAGGCCGGCACCACCACCGCTGCTGCTGCGGGCGGGGGTTTCACGCAGGGCGCCAAGGGGGCCTCGTTCGCCAAGGCGTTCAGCAAGCTGCTCGAGAGCAAGGCGAAGGCCAAGGCGGGGGAGGAGGCGCCCATCCTGGCGGTGAGCGGGGACCGGCTTCCCGGGGTTTGTGCTGGGATGAGTTAATTAAGCCGGGGTGAACTGGCATGGAAGGGTGTTGGGACCCAGCTCCCGCATGCTTCTGCGCTCTCCTACCCCACCCTCCCTGCGGCCACCTTCCCCTGCCCCGCACGGTATTCTTCCTCTACATTCCTTCCCCCCGCGCGCACCGCTACGTTCGCACCATACCCACCAACACCCCCTCGCTCCCTGCCGCTCCTCGCCACATGTTCACCCGCACCCGCAGGCCTCCAAGTCCCTAGCCAAACGGCATGCGGAGGAGGAGGCGGATGCGGCTGCGCGGCGCGAGGCGAAGCGCGCGCGTCAGGAGCGGCGGCGGCGGGGCCACGCGGCGGTGCCGCGGCGGGGTGAGGACCCGGAGCACGACCAGCTGGAGAAGCAGCTGGGGCGGCTGGCGACAAGGTGGGGAGGGCGGCATGAGCTGGCTGGGGAACTTGAAGTCCGTAGCGGGAAGGGCGACAGCTGGGGAAGTAGGGGGGCACATGGGTGTGATTGGGGCTTATGGATGAGGGTGATGGATGGCTGACTGGGCGGTGCGGGAGGGGATGATAGGGGGACGTGGTTGGGCAGAGTCCGCAGGTGGGGCGGGGCTTCTGGGAGGGTCCCTTGGGGACAGCCGAGTTGGTGACGCGAGGGTATGAAGGGGTTACAAGCGTTGCATGTTGCAGGCAGCAGGCCCCTCATGGTGGTGCTGAGCAGCTACCGATACTACGTGTGTGAACCCCTCAATGCTGACCGCCCAATGCCTCTTTGTTTGCGCGCCTCGTTGGCCTCTATCCGGCATCCAAAAGCACTCCAACCGCCCGATTCCTACAGGGGTGTCGTACTGCTGTTCAACGCAATCGCCAAGGCCCAGAAGCAGCAAACAGGAGGCGCAGCCGCCGCCGCTTCCAAGCCAGCAAAGCTCAGCAAGGCCTCCTTCCTTGCGCAACTCAAGGCAGGTAGCAGCGGCGGCGCCGCTACTGGCGCCGCCGGCAGCGTGCTTGCAGCCGCCGCTTCGGACGCTGCCGCCGCGGCTGCTGCGGGTGCTGCTGGGGGGGCGGCGGCTCCCGGCTGGAAGGTGCTGCAGGCGGGGTTCAGTGGGTTGCCGGGCGGCGGCAGCAAGATGAAGGACTGGGACCGCAAGCCGGGTGGCAGCGATGATGAGGACGTGGCGGGTGCGGGGGGTGCTGCGGCGGGGTCAGAGAGCGATGACGATGGGGAGGGATGGTGATGAGCGGCTTTGGGGCGGAGGGTGGAGTTGCTGCTGCTGGGGTTGGCACGCTGGGGTGTAACTTAGGAGGAGTCAGAGGAGGAACGCGGGGAGAAAGAAGAAGAAGAAAAACGTGTTCTGATGAATGCGAGCGGAAGAGGGGGAAGGGAGCCGTTAGGGCTTGACTGCGGTCAAGTTGGAGGATTGCGAAGTGGCAGGGGGTTTACAGCTGTCATCGGTCGGGCTTCATGTCTGTCGGCGCGAACCTCTACCGGCTGAACCTCTACCGGCGATGTAGTGTGCATGCCACAACCTTTGCCAAACGTTGCCAGCGTAGCACGTTGGGAGGGAGGGCCGGATAGGAGGCCCCCTGCCGGGTTGGGAACGACCAAGGGTACTTCTCCATGTGTCTTGCAAAGCTGCTGCTTCATGTGTGTATGAAGAGAGAGACAGCGGTACACCGCTGGCCCCAGTGCAAGACAGCGCATGACTGCAGAAGCATGCGGGCTGTCCTGCCCCGGTGCGCCCCCTTGCTTAGTGGACCACCTGGCACGCCAGAGCGCGCTGGGTGGGTTTCGTCGGTGACCCTCATTCGACGAAAATCATCTTGGCAAGCATCGTGCTTCAATCACTGTCTCACTAATCAAAAGCTGCAGCAGCGGCAGTCGCAACGGTGCTCTTGTGCGTGCGGGATGTGCGGCAAATGTGTGCGATGGAGGCGTGCAGTAGCGCGCGGGGAGCCAAGGGGACGTGTCAGCATTAGGCAACTAAGCCAAGGGGAAGTGTCAGCATTAGGCAACTACGCCTTCTACAGCAGCAACGCTTGGGTGTTCAATTGGGCGATTCGGCTTCTCTTGCAGGTAATGAGCAGATCGCGGGGCAGACGGGGCCGCAGCAGCAACGGAGCAGTTGCAACGTATGTTGGGGTCGGACCTATACGATAACTCAGTGGCTTTGTGCACATAGAGGCGCAGATCTTTCATTTAACGGGTGACCGAAGCAGTTAGAGCACAGGCTAAGGGTGCACACAAAACGAAGACGGTCTGGGTGAGTAGATGACCGACATAAGGCAACGCGAGCGGAGTCCCATGCTGTGTGAATCGCCTCTACACGGCAACGATTAGATACAAGAGCTTCTAGTAACAATAGGGTGTAGAATGTATGCAAAGAGCTCGTCCCCGCATGCTTTTCGTACAACTTGCCTATCTGGTAGGTCAGGGTGAAATGGGCGTGAACTCAATAGCCTGCCACGAATTGCAATGCTAGAATCACTTTGTGCTTGATTACCTTATGGCCATGTAGTTTATAAGCGACCTAAAAAATAGTACCGGTAAACACACAAGGGCAACTCCTGAAACGCTGTGGAATGCACGGTTATACTGACCGACCTGTTGCCATACTGTGAACTGTTCTACTACCACTGCAATGGCAACCTACGATAACATTCTCGACTACTACATGTGCCCGTTGAGAACCTTTCCTCTTTCTGTGCAAGTATACATGTACGCGCGCTTCTAGGAAGCATGTTACGAACTTATGCTGTGGCCGTAACATGGCTGGCGTCTTTTCATAGTTGGGGGTTGCTGCTAAGGGGCTAACGCGGTGGAAGTTACTATGCACACTGCGGAAAGCATCCAAGCATGCCCAGCGTACTTCTCGCACCAGCAAAAACGACTCCCTTGCATGACTATATTTCATACGATGTAATTTTATTGTCTGCTCTATGCCCTCGTTCGTAAGCTCTTCTTGCGAGTGAGGTCTCCACCAACATAAGGCCCTTACGAGCAAATTCGCCCGCCACTGCGTTACAACTATGCCCCCATCCCGACGCAATCTATGGTATCGTTGCGGTTGAAGCTACTCCAATATCCAGTGCTGCGACATTGCACTGGTACTACAAACCGGAATGTCAACAACTCAGCCGTCTTCTCTGCCCACCACATTGAGTTGTCTCAACTAGGCAAGCGGACAGTCTAGGGTCTTTTCCTTGCAAGTCCTTACGTGTAAACGCTTCATTAGTAGTTCAGAGCTGCTCACCATAGTCGTCGGTCGTCAAGGGCTCATAAGAATGGGGAGGACAGCGGCATTCGCCGCTGCCCTTCTCCTCCCCCTCCTGGCATCGACGGTGTCAGCACAAGTAGCAAAAAACGCAGACCTCTGGTGCGCTTTGTCAGGCTACTCCAGCTCTCCGGCGTGCTCGCCGTCGCCGACGCGCTGTGCGGTGAGTTCGTCTAGTAACCTCCGGCAGAAGTCTCTCAAAGACAGCGCCAGGAAGGCACCAGTCATATCATGTACCTATCTGGGTACTCATTTGTCGTTTTAGATGGCAGTATACGCTTAGTTGTTGGGCTCAGCGGAAAATCGGCAAAGTAGGAGTCCTAAGGCCTGCCGAACCCACCCAACTTGATGCGTTTTACCGTATTCACTGTTAACATTGTAAACTGGGTTAGTGTTGGCTAAGAGCAGCGCTGTGAACCAGCTATCTTGGGCTCATCTGTCCATCACAGCTGGCAAGGTCGCTCTGCAGCGCACTTGCTCCTTTCTATCGCACCATGCTAATATAGATGTCTTCATTTTTGCCCGCAGACCGTAGACCAGTATTACGGGAGAAACGACGCTCGTTATGACATCTGCATGATCCCCGGCCCTAACCTACAGTGGCCGTATGGAAAGGTAGGATTTCAAGGGGGTTGTCCAGTGCAGTTTTGACGATACGCTGAAGTGCCGGACACCTTGTTTCTTTCTCTCTTAGCATCCCGGAATGGGCTGGCTGAAAGCACATACCTTTGGGGGTCTGGGGCCGCGCCATCATATATGTGTGGGGTTTCTTGCCACGTGTGCGGGCGGGGCGTTGGGGTTGCCTTGCGGGTGGCCAGGCTTGGGAACCGCGAAGAGGCTGGGGTAACTTGCTGCGGAGCCTCTTGTATACCGGTACTAGGAGTCGCTCGCTTACCGTAATCACCGTGTCAGCTCATGCGTTCTGTGGGAGGGTATACATTTTCATCCTACCAGATAATTGGAAGTTATGGTTGTAAGCCGTAGCCAAGCTATTCATCATACTGTTCGTGGAGCATGCTTGCATACGTATGGGTTGGTACGATGCCTTTAGCTCGGTTTGCAAGCCTCCATACATCTCTGCTGAGTCCTGTAGAGCTCCTCCGGTGACGCACCTGGCCCGTGGGAATAGATATGTGCGATGCGAGTGGGCTCTTTGCATGCTTGCTAACAGTATTGGGAATACACGGAAAGGCTGTGCCTTTCCAACTGCCGGGCCCGATGCCCCATGCTTCCGGGCTGAATATGGGTAACATGAGTAGCGTCACCCTAGTAACCGCAACCTGCTCCCTTCCGGATCTCACAGTCAACTTTATCATATGCATGGACCTTCCCCGCTTCAATATACATATTATTCTCGCCTCCATTTTTTAACCTCAACAACCTCAAAATCCTTACCTCTCACGTCCACCACCTTCTCTTCCCTCCTTACCTTCTCCCTCCCTTTCGTCCCGCTCGTCGCCGCACGCAGACGTACTACAACAACATTTGCAACGGCGCTGCTGGCGTGCTGCAAGTCCCCTTGAAGAACCGCTACGCCGTTTCTTGGGACTCCTCGCCGGTCCTGGCCGACGCCTACATATACCGTGTGTACAGCAGCACGCCCGACACGCAGCAGCTGCTGTACATCACCATCGCGATTCGCGGCTCCGACAACGGAGGCTCCGACTCGCAGCTCTTCTACCAGGAGCCGTATCCCCTGACGCCCGATCCGGATGATGAGGACTTGGTACTGGATATGAGTTCCTCGATCTACCTGTGGACGGACGCGAAGAACGTGACGTACAAGCAGTACGTGAACCCCATGCTCTTCACGGGCATCTACAGCTGCTTCACGTACGTGTTTAACCTGCGGAAGATCTGCGATCCAGCCAAGTCGTACAAGAACCCAGCCAAGCGCAACATGAACGAGGTCTGCACGTGCCGCCCCGGCGTCACCAACTGCGACCCGGTTGACATTGCCGGCGCTTCGGATTTGTTCCTGGTGATTAACGTCAACGGCGTGCCGTACTCCTCATCTCAGATCCAGATGCCAACTGCGACTTGCGCTACACCCGCCTCCACGACCTCCCCAACTGTGCTGTCGAACAGCAACGGCCCGGGCATCATTACCCAGTACTCAGTCAACTCGGATGCTTGCAACAACCGGCCACCTGCGCCGCCAAGCCCGCCGGTGTCGCCTTCTCCGCCACTGCCTCCGTCCCCACCACCTTCTCCTCCGCCGCCTCCCCGCCCGCCTCCGGATACCTCCATCAACGCGCAAATCTCGCTGACGACGTTCAGCCCCACTCGTTTCTTCAGCTCCGGCTACGACTGCGACATGGGCCGCAACCTGACTGCGTACTACTACCGCGGACGTACCTCGGTGCAGAAGGTGCAGTGCTCCATTGTCGCAGTTTCCCAGACCGCGTCTGACACCGACTTCTACATGATTCAGTGGACCTACTACTTCAGCAGCGTAACCAACCTGCGCTACTTCTTCGAGTCGGTTGACAACGGCGACTTTTGGAAGGATCTCTTCAACGCCCTGACTCCCGGCTGTGGCGCCGTGGGTAACTACACGGATTCCGTCTACAACAAGAACAACCTGCTGCCTCCTGTGCCCCTGGCTAAGCAGAACCTCACGAACCCTCAGCCTTTCTGCGCGTTTGGCGGCGCAGTTTCCAAGGATGACTGCTGGTAAGCTGTGTGCGGCCGGCATGTGTGTTAAAATAACTGGCCGCGAGGCGAAACGTGTGTGCGTGTAGAATGTATCCAGGAGGGGGACTTGTCGTGAAGGATGCCTGAGGCTTTCTAGTGGATTGCTGCCTTTCCTTGGTTCTACGGTTGTTGTCACTCTGTGGGTGTTTGCTTGCGGTCCTTCACTGGCCTCTGTGAAACGACTTTGCCTGGCCGCCCCACGTTCCTCTCCCAGGTTCACGCTCCCGGCGTACACCTGCCCCAAGCCGCCTTCGCCTCCGCCCAAGCCCCCTTCACCCCCGAAGCCGCCGAACCCCAACTGGCCTCCCTCGCCGCCAGCGCCGCCGTCTCCGCCGCTGCCTCCGTGCTTCGTTACCGTCAACGCCTTCTGGTAAGCTGTTAGCGGCATGACTGCTTCAGTAAAGAACAGCTGATGTCTTCGCGGCCTGGCTCTTGGTTTGCTTGTTGCAGCTGCACATGCCTCTTGCTCTGTTTGCCACTCTCCTAGCGCCTGCCGCTCACCCCACCCGCCCTGAACCCTCCTCTTTCCCTTGCTGCCGCCCCTCTCAGGCCCAACATGAACAGCACCACGGCCGAGGGCGCCTGCCTGGACTTCATCCTCACCATGAAGTACCTCTACTCGTACAACACCACCACCTGGTACTGCGATGTCGTGTCGTACAAGTCCTCGTTCATCAGCGTCTACACCACCTTTGTGAACGGCACCGAGGCGGTGTCCTTCTGGAACAACTTCAACAACCCCTACTTTGCAGTGGTGGCGCTGGCACGTATCAACGTAAGTACGCTGCTGTGTTTGCTACTACTGCTGCTGCTGCTGCTAAATATGGGAAATAAGCCTGCAGTAGGAATCCTTGCGTCCTTCTCTCCCTACTTGCCCGGACGCAATTAGAGAGAGGCATTGCAGTATACGAGGTGTCAATTCCGCGTCGCACAAGCCGCCATGATCCAGAACGCCTTGCCAACGCCCTACTAACAACACCCCCTTCTACTCCTGCTGCTACTCCTTCTTCTGCTCTTTTCTTCACACGCAGGCCGACTGCCGTACCAGCATGGTCGCCGTCTCGGGAGAGTCTTGCAACGCCGCTGACGTCTACTGGGATGTCCGCAACACCAACTACCCAACCAAGTCCCAAGTGTGCGGCCCCGCTCCGCCACGCCCGCCGCCCAAGCCCGTCCCAGTGCCCGAGCCCCCCGGCGGCCCCACGGGTGCTCCCGCGCCTCCGCCGCGCTTCCCAGGCCTGAAGGCGCCGCCACGGCCGCCGCCGCCGCCGAGCCCGCCGCCGCCGCCGTACAGCGACCCCATGGTGCTCACCATCTCCTCGAATGTGCCGTACAGCGAGGGCGCCTGCGACCTGGCTGTGACTACGCTGGTGACCAAGCTGGTTTACTTCGACAGGTGAGGACGCAGCGATTTGAACGCGCCCATGAAGCTGTTGTGGCTTGCTTGCTTGCTGACAGAGGGGACCTTGGTGTGTGGGGGGGTGAAGAAGGAAGTGCCCATGCTAGGCGGAAATGACGAGCGGGAGACGCATGGATCCGCCGGGGAAGATATACTTACACCACTTGCCCATTTGATTGGGGAGCATGGGGCGCAAAGGAGAGCGTCTCCGCTTCTACTCGAGACTTCTAGTGCCTGACCGCTGCTTTCCTTTTGCGTCATTTGCCCCTCAGGCCCTACCAAGGCCCGGTGTGCAAGCTGGGTGCCACCCTGGCTTACTACATGGTGATCACGATTGGCTTCTCCGACCCGCGCCACTCGGTGGCTTTCGGCATGACGCTGGACGACGAGTTTGACCTGTTCGTGGTTCAGGCCAACCTGCCATGCGGCTCCAGCGCACAGATCCAGGCTAACGGAAACCTGTACGAGGAGAAGTGCACGAACGTGCCCGTCATGTGCTGCAAGGCCCCGCCATCGCCGCCGTCACCTCCGTCGCCGCCGCCGCCGCCGCTGCGCAAGCCGTCCCCTCCGCCGCCGTCGCCCTTCCCGCCTGAGATGCCGTCCACGCCGTTCCAGCCACGCGCAAAGAAGACTCCGCCGTCGCCGCCACCACCACCGCCGCCGTCGCCGCCGCCAAGGGCTAAGAAGAGCCCTCCGCCGCCGCCGCCGACGCCGCCGCCACCACCGCCGCCACAGAAGTCCCCGCCGCCAAAGAAGTCTCCGCCGCCGCCAGTCAAGTCCCCGCCTCCTCCGGTGAAGTCTCCGCCGCCGCCGAAGTCGCCGCCGCCGCCGCCGCCCACCACCACCAGCCTCAACCAGTACCGCATCTTCCAGGTAACCACTCCGGCCGTGGTCGGTAACCAGACGGTTACCTCCAACTACCTCTCAACCCTGTGTAACAACATGAAGATCGGCCTGGCAGCCATCTTTGGCAGTTACGGTTGGGATAACGGCGTGCAGTACGTGGTGCAAAGCAGCGCCTGCCCCACCAAGAGCTTCGCCAATGGAACCCGGCAGTTCAACACGACTGTGCTGCTCACGGGTAGCGCTTCCTCCACGCTCGTGACCAACCTGAACACCCCGTCGTACTTCAAGACGTTTGTGACGGCCACCAACACGCTGTGCGGCTCCAAGGTGTCAGTTATCAAGCTCTCAACGCAAGAGTTGTTCTTCACCAAGACCCCGGACAACTCCGCGACCGCACTGGACCCCAACAACTCATTTGCTTCCTGCGTGAAGTCCTTGCTCATCCTGAGCTAAGGAGTGGGTTGGGGGTTAAGAGTAGGGCTGTAGCTATTGTGACAAGCCGCGATTCGGAAACGGCCGCGGCAGCTCACAGCAGCAGCAGCACTCGACGCGTGGTGTTGGATGGTGGTAAGGTGTTACGGATCAGCAAAGCGTCCCATTTGATGTGGGCGCGTGGTGGTGGTTTGGCTGTGACATGGGGGCTTAGATGGGGGTTGCGTTGCATGATAAATGACTCTCTTCTTGCTTCAGAAGGTTGCAAGGTAGCAGGGGACAGTAAAAACGCACGGCTGCGCCGAGGATGATCTTATGCCGTGCTCCTTTACTTGCACCAGTGCATGGTCTCTGTGGTCATTACCTTGGGCTTGTGTGCGAGGTGCGTAAGCAGGGCCTTGGAAGATCCTGTTAGTGCGGTCGACGCTTCCTTTGAAGCGTGGCTGTGTCTTGTACAACTTTATTCATCTTCTCGGCTGTGATTACGTTTGCTGCGATGCGCGCATTTGGCAGAAGAAGACATGCAGCGGGGACAACGGCTTTGTGTATGTATGTGTGTGTGTTTTACGTAAGCGGTGTGCGGGTGCGTGCCAGGTGTAAACACGAGGGAGGTCTTTTGACGTGCATTTGTGTTGTTGCTGACCATTGCGTTGGTTGCCAACACGCTGCACGATCCATGCACGACGCGACAGCAAAAGACATGACCACATACTTACTTATGCGCGCGTGTGCCGCCCTCCAAAGGGTTTAGACTGGTGTGCTCTGCGGCGTGGTTGCTAGCATGTACACCCGCAACGATTTGCCTACGCCGCTCGCAACATTGCAAGGGTTGCCTTTTGTGGGGTGCACGGCAGGACTGTTGTGATCGCTGGTATTGGGCAGCTGCTATCCTCCTTCCCTCTCGCCTCAGGTCGTCATGCCCCTCTCAAAGCGCGCGCAGCTGTGAATGTGCACAAGTCCCTCCATAAGTCCTAACCAGCGAGGGTGGTTGCTTGAGGCTTGACCGTGACTTTGCGGGCCTGCACCACTGCATGCTGAGGGCCTTTGTTTTGTATTGATTGACATCGTGACGGGTGTGATGACCGTTTGCGTGACCTTACAAACTTGACATAAAGTCAATGGTGGGCTAGGGTTTGGGTTCATGGGGTGGCACTCGTTTAAGGTGGGCTGAACGGTATATCTGTTTTCCGGAAGGCTGTTGTTGCTACTGCTGAACAAGCAGCAGCGGGGCGGGATCGGTTTACATAACGGGCTGGGCTGCGGCGACTAGGCGACTGTGTGTGCCCTGCGTTGATGGCCTTGCCCTGAGAGGCTGTCACTGATGTTAACGACGAAGGGATGTGTGTGTCCTATTGAACAACTTCTGAGCGGGTTTTTGGACCGTGTTGATACGGAGACATATACGAAAGCACTTGGGACGACGAATCGTGTGTTAAGTTGGGTACGTGTGCGTGCGTGCGTGCGTGTGTGTGTTGGAAGTCTGGAAGTAATCTTTATTTTGTGTTTTGTGCACCTATTGGGAACCGGTTTACGTGCGCAAGGGGGTGCTTGGCATTGGCTTTAACCCGGGGTGTGGTCTGCCTGCCGGCAACGCCGACAGCTGACATGCACTGTAGTAAACACCCACACGACGCGCGTGTGTGTCGTCAGCTATTGCATCTTGACGTGCACGGGTGGGCACCGCCACCTCCCTAGGAGCGCAGCACAGAGTGTCCCAATGTCTCGGAGATCAAAACGCGATTTATTTAACAAATCTCTTCCCGTGTAATCTTTATTGCTCGACTCGCCTTAGCCTAGCTACCTGTGTAGCTGTCGCGCCACACCCGCAGCATGCGCAAGTAAAGCCGCACGGGTGTGTTACAGCAGTCTTGCAGTTGACTTCACGGCTGTGGGGTGTGTTGCAGACTGCCTTACATCCAACCCAGTATGGACCGTGTTTGGAAGTGTGTGTATGTGGCCATGTCCACACGCCCCTCCGCCAACCCTGCTCCCCGAGCGGAGAGCACACCGTAGCGTCCTGGTTTAGTTTCCACGGGTTGCCCCCAAACTTGCAAGGCCGCCCACCGCTAAATTTACTGGAGTGGCATGTTAAAAGAATCAATTTACTGGAAAGCTTTGACTTTTAAAGTCCACCAGGTGCTACCCAAATGCAGGTGGCCCACGCACGTGCTTGCCGTCCCTTTTTGAACATGTGGATTGCACACAGGGAGGTGAAGCTACTTAGTGTCAGTAACACGGCGTCAAGTTACAGAGCAACCGCTTTGTCATGATATCATGCTAAGCTTGTTGACACAAGCGAGTTTCACCACGTGCCGATGCGACAGCTTAACACACTCCTCCGTAGGAGTAGATGTGGTCGTGTCTTGTACGACACCACGTGGGATAGGAGGCGTTTTGCAATACCTTTATATGCATAGTGACTTACACACATTTTTTATGGCTCTATAAGTTATGATCTAGGAGTTCTGTCCACGCCCCTTCATTGTTTGGTTTCGCCCCAAGCTCATACCCCCCAAACAAAACAGGCCTGTGACCTAGGCCACGTAGTATATCACACATACATTTGAAAGTTAGACAAGGAGAGTTATTGTGAATGCGGAAGGCTGTACCCAGTTCAAAACTGACATGACCGTCGGTGGGCGGCCCTCGCCAGAGGAATAGCACCTCTCATGGTACCCGGACAGTACATAAATGCGCCAAATGGTGCCAGCGCAGCCCATGGAGCGCGTGGGGAAAGCGGGCGCAGGATGCTTGTCCGGGACCACCACCGGCTCATCTTTGAATGCACAGAGAAGCTCCTTTCAAATCCGAAGCATACACATGCGATGCGTGAACGAGCCCAGAGCTATCGAATGCTTGGTAAGTTCATATGTCAATGGGTAATCGGCTCAGCAGGGCCACGGTATTGCTTTGATGCGGAGTTGGGATGCAGTACATTCAAGGGGGTGCAAGGTTCAATGCGTTAGGTTGCGCTCGTTGCGTAATATAGCAACGGTGGGGTGTCTACTAAACCGGTCGCAACTCCCGTGTCGCTTCGGCCTGCAGGAGATGACGATGCAGCGCTAGCAGATTATGAGACCTTGCTGGCACTGGAACCAAATAACGTGGATGCGCTCTTCTATCGTGGAACTATCTTGGAGAAGAGAAGAGACGTCGAGGATGCTATTCGCTGCTACACAGCTGTCCTGGAGCTGGAGCCCCAGCACCACAAGGCTCTCTACAACCGCGCCGTCTGCTACAGCGCAAAAGGGAGCTTTCAACAGGCTATCGGTACGTTTGGGTACCACACGCCGGGTGCCGATCCCTGGGATTCAAACCCTGGGATTCAAACTCTTTGGGTTTAGTGTCCTGGTCTAGGACGTGTTCATTCCACATTCATTGGCAAGGGCTCATGGCTAGGCTGTGTCCCTTCCCTTGCCTTCCCATTTCATCCCCGCCCTCCCAAATCCTCCGCAGAAGACTTCAATGCAGCACTTCAACTGGACCAAGAGGCATCCAAGGGGGACAGGCGACTACAGCAGCAGCAAATGCCAAACCCTTTCCCCTCAACTATGACCACACCTCTTGCAGCTATCCTTGGGGACCACCCTCCTCCGGAACACGCCTCGTCCCAGCCGCAGCCGCCATCGCGGCAACAGCAACAACAGCCGCAACATCATGTTTCGGCCGACGGCATGGGCTTCCCTCACACGACCTCCTTTCCGGACTTGTCGGCCTCAGGCTGGGATCGCCGCAACTCCACAGCCTCGCCCTGGAGCACCACCCCGTTTTCCACTACCCCCGGTTCCCTAGACGAGGACGCAGGAACGACAGCAGACCCAAGCGCCATCGCCTCTGTCGGCGCTGCTGCGCTCGACGAAGTGTGCGGTGATGCGTCTGGCAGCCTCACGCCTGGCTCCTTCTTCAATCCGGTGCACCGGAAGGCCAGCTGTGGCAGCTTTGGCAAGCGTGAGCGCGGGAACGAGGGCGCAGCAGCGGCCAACAACGCCGGTCCACAGCAGCCCAGCGTAGCTGTGGGGAACGACGAGACCCAGCCCATGCAGGCGCAGGGCTTGCAAGCCGTTCCTCCAATGGACTCTCCTGTGGCTTCAGTAGGGGCAGCAGGATCAGCAGCGGCAGCACCGCAGGGCGCTTCCCTTGAAGCCGCTAGCGCTCTGGTGCGGGAGCATGCACCAAGAGTGAGCCACAATCCGGAGCCACGCAGGGAGCCCCTAGAGCAGGATGGCAACCATGCCGACCAGCGCCGCCAGCAGCTTCACCAGCAGCATCGCCGTCGCCTTGGGCCCGGTAGCAGTGGCATCTGCGAGAGAGCAGGGAGCAGAGGTGGCTCGAATGGTTCCCTGCATGACTCGCTGGGCTCCTGGCTTGAGCAGCAGCCCAGCGGAGGCATGGTGAGGGCGTCGCCTGAGCTGTCGGGGTGTGTGGCTTCGCCGCAGGGGCAGCTGTCGTCAGGGGAAGTCACACAAGAGGACTCGGTAGGTGGCGGCGGGGCGGCTAGCGAGGCAAGCGGCTGCGGATCCGCGGTGGGGGGTCAGCTTCCTGCGCAGGGGCAATCGTCGCAGAGTCGGCTGCAGCAGGGACATCGGCAGCCGCAGTTACCTGGGCGGCACCAGCAGCAGCTGCAAGGTAATGTGGAGAAGCCCGATGCGGCTGGTCAAGTGCATGGCCAGGATCTCCAGGGGCCAGGAGGAACGCGCCAAGAGCAACGGGAACAGCGAGAACTCTCCCAGATGCCTGTGGCCATGCAAGCCCACACCTTTCTGCAGCAATCAAAGGATACGTACCACCATGACCAGCTTCGTCACCACCAAACTGCCAGCGCTGCTGCTGCTGCTGCTGCCGGTGCAACTGCCAGCAGTGTCTTCGGCCGCTTGCAGGGACTCCATCACCCTCAGCAGCAGAGGTCACAGGCCCCGCTACGGCAGCACCCGCAGGAGCAGCAGCCACAGCCACCACTCTTGCAGCCGCACAGCCATGTTGGCGATGGCGGCAGTGCGGGTTTCCTTTCTGCAGGCAAGGGTCACGAGCTGCGTTCGCCCAGCCCCTTTGAACGCATCCTGCACTCGGACTGCTCTTCAGGCGGCACGGGGTCCCGTAACACCCCGGTTACGCACTCGCGCGAGACGTACGCTCTATCCCAGTCTCAGCACTATCACCATCAGCAGCATGAAGCGCTCGCAGGGGAGCCGCGTGCGCATCGCCAGGGGCAGTATCTCATGGCAGGGCAGCATGGGCGTGTTGCTGGTCCCAACGAGCCTGCCGCCTCCTCGCAACAGCAGTCTCATGAGGCGCGACAGTACCCGCAAGGCAACATGGGCGTTGACTCCTCCGACAGCTGCGGGGATGTTTCCTCGGACTCGCATGCCGCCAGCAGCAGCAGCAGTGCCTTCCCTGTGAAGCAAAGGCAACAGGAGCAGCAGCTTTCAGGAAACCAGCACCCGCAACAGCAGCAATCCACGGTCGCACAAGTGCGTCGGCAACTGCATGGAGGTGATGTTTCTTCCGAGCGGCGGAACGGTGGTGGTGCTGCTGCTAACGGCACGGTGATGGAAGCCGCTGCGGTTGGAACGGCGTTTGACCCATGGGTCGTTGACGGCATGTCGGCGGCGCTCGAGATGTCCCGTCCCTCAACCTCTTCTAGTGGCACTTCTGACGCAACAGACCCGGGCAATAGGTGAGGACGTCTTTGGGCTGCTAAGGTTTACAGATGATAAGACTGCAACGCATGCCTGGACAAAGACGAGCATCAAAGCACAAAGTGCCAGCTTGCATGAGGACTAGTAGCACAACGACCACGTGAAGTAATGAGCATACCAATTGTGAATCGACTTTCCGCTTTCTCCTTGCCCTCGGATTCCAGGAACAAGGTCTTGGAGCAGTACAATGCCCGCGCTTTCGCCCTCCGACAGCAAGGGAAGCTGCTGGAGGCCCTTCGGGAGTACACCCGGGCTCTGGAGGTGGACCCCTGCCACTTCAAAACGCTGTTCAACCGCGGCTTTACGTACGACAGGGTAGGCACACCGCAGAGCCTGAGGATACGAAAACTGCAGTCCATGCGGTTCCAAGGCTGTGGCACGGCCACGCATGGAGATGTGCTCCGTCCGGCTGCCGGCATGTCGCTGCTGCTGCCGGTCATGCCACTGTCCCACTGATGGCGCTGCTGCCGCTGCTGGCTGTCGATGGCTATCCTTTTTCGTCGCAGCATGCACAGTATCGTGATGTGGTTTGTAGGGCTTCCTTGTTAGTTGGCTGCCTGGTTTCCTGCACTCCTGACATGTCCAATCCCCAATCCGAACCCAACATGCAGCTGGGAGACCTCGCAGCAGCTGTGGAGGACTACACGCAGGCCCTGGTAGCGGACCCTCACAGCTCCTACGCCTACTACAACCGGGGCATCACACGGGACCGGCTGCAGGTGCGTACCGGCAGCAGCCTGGGGTGCGGGCGGTGGCATCAGTGAAGGTTTGCTGCTTGCTAGGCAAGGTCATTTCTGGCTGACGGCATGCCTAACGGAGTGCCTCGTCAGGCTTTCACCTACCTGTTAGTAGAGATGAGCGGCGTCGGATGTAGCACATTGCTTGAGGCCTTGCCGCCAGGATGGCAGGGCATGGGCCTATCTGATGGCATGACCCGACCACATGTTGAGGGGTCGAGAAGCAACACCAGCCAAGTCGTCGTTGTTTTACCTCCCTCTCCGCCCTCCCCTATCTGCTACCGCCGCAGGACTTTGCCGGGGCGGTGGAGGATTTCACAGTGGCCATCAGGCTGGAGCCAACCAACGCCGACTTTTACCACAACCGAGGCTTTGCCCTTCGCAAGCAGGTGGGGGTGGTGAAACGAACCAGTCGTGATACACATGTAAGTAAGGCAAAACAGTTCGTCGACGGAGCAGCGGGCAGCTGTGACTGGGCAGCTGCGGGGCGACCCTACTGCGCTCAAACCCAGCCAACCCTGTAAACCATCCTCATCGCCTCACACACGAGCAGCTTCATAAGTCATAGCCTTTCCTGCGACCCACTGCCTCTGCACTCCACCCTCCCCACCGCAGGGTTTATTCGAGGCCGCTATCCAGGACTACACGGCCGCTATCCAGCTGAATCCCTCGCACTGCCGCGCCTACTACAACCGGGCTTTCTGTCACGACCGCCTGAACCACGTGCAGCAGGTGTGGAGCGGGAGGGAGGCGGGAGCGTGGTTGGGTTCTTCCCTTGCATGACTGCCATGCCATCCTGCCGCGTATACCATGTTACGCCCCCTAGCTGCGTTTCAATAAGGTTCTTTCCACGTCCGCGGCACCACCCACAGGCGATTGACGACTACACCCGAGCACTGGAGATGGAGCCAAATAACGCCACGGCGCTGCACAACCGGGGCAGCCTGCACGAGCGGAACGGCAGGTGCGCGGAGGGTTGCGATTTTTGCTCCTGCTATACAGTTGTGGTGGGTCAGGCTCTATAACGATTACCTGCGAAGCTTCCTGCTCCACGCACATTGCCTCACTCCTCCGACCTCCTCCCAACCCAGCAGGTCCGACCTAGCCATTCAGGATTTCAACCGCGCCATTGCCGCGGACCCCGGTTGCGCCCAGTCGTACAATGCACGCGGCGTCCTGCTCCAGAGCTGCGGGCGACTGGAGGAGGCCCTGCAGGACTTGGACGCCGCCATTGCCCTCATGCAGCCGCCCAGTGCCACCGTGTTTCGCAACCGGGCGCAGGCCAGGAGAGAGCTGGGGGACCATGAAGGGGCGGTGCAGGTAAGGGGTGGGTGGGAGGACGCGAGACCAACATGCAACAAACTGAAGCATGTAGGCAATGGAAAAGGGAAGAGGGGGCTGAGGGGAATGGACGAGAGTGGGAAGCTGCCGTCCTGCTAAATGAACCCCCATGACGGGCAGCGGGGCTGCCTGTTTGCACTGGCAGCGTGTCTTTGCGCTAGCCCACCGGCCTTGTTATCCTAACACTCACCCTTACCCGCTTTGTAAACCTCCCTGCCACTGTCGCTGCAGGACCTCACTCGCGCCATCACTCTGGACCCCAGCGACCTGCTGAGCTACAGTCGCCGCGCGCACTGCTACCGTCGCATGGGGCAGTTCGAGAGCGCCATCCGGGACTATACCAGGGTGAGTTGACGGTTGGTGTATGTGGTAACACCAGTTACTTCAGTAACTGGTAGTGTTGTAGCTATGAACGAGGGGTAAGCCGTAAGGCATGGCATACATGAGTTTGGTGCACGGTGCGGGCGGCGTTGGGAGCAACGTCCTTTGTATAGCACCATTACACTCACATACCTTTTTGACGAATCATCCTGCCGCAGGCCATCACGTTATCGCCGCGGAACGCCAAGCTGCACACCATCCGCGCCTACTGCTATGCCATGATGGGATGGTTTGGCGAGGCGGTTGCAGATTACGATGTCGTACTTGCACTTGAGCCCGGCAACTCCCACGCCATGTACAACCGTTCCATCGCGCTTGAGAAGCTGGGAGGCGCCCTCGACCGAGCTGCGGCGTCTGCGGCGGCATCAGGGACCATGCTATCAGGTGTAGGCGGTGGCGGCGGTGCTGCTTCTGCGGATCAGCAACGGCGGCGGCGGTTATCTGAACGCATCGCGCCGTCAAGTGCCAACAGTCGCAGTCAGGGAGGACCGCCCAGCCTTGCTTTGCAGCTGCAGCAGCAACTCCAATTGCAGGAGCAGCAGCAGCAATCGCATCAGAACCGGCAGCAGCACCAGCAGGCTTGGGCATATAATGAGGGAAGGCTGCTGGCACAGTCGCTGCCAGCGACGGCTGGGGCGTGCCATTCAGAGCCCTCCATGCATCGCTTTGGCGGCGTAAAGCCATCCACGGTGGCTGCTGTGGCTGCCGCGCTTGCGGGCAACGGCACCCCTCCCAGCTGGTTCCCTGGAGCAGCAGCAACCGCAGCGGTAGCGACAACGGGACCTCACACGAGCAACCGTTCGCAGGTTCCGTCGTACAGCCCGCATTCTAGCGCCACAACGGGGGGTAGCAGTGGAGCTGATGGTAGTGCAACCGGTGGTGGTGGCAGTAGCTGTGGATCTGCAGCCGCTCCCGTAGCCAGCCGCCAATGCCATTCCATGCACCAGCAGCAACACTACCAGCATCACCAGCAGCAACACTACTACCAGCAGCAGCAACAACACTACCAGCAGCAGCAACACCAGCAGCAGGGGATGCGACCTCAATCGCAGTCACAGCAGTGGCATGCGCTGCCAAACGGTTCTGGGAATGGCGGTCGCAGTCGCACTCCGCACAGAGCAGTGGCTGTGCCCTAGGGAGGCAGTGGCGGCCGCATCGGGGCTGCTTTGAGGCCGTACGGGTGTCTGGATCCATGGTTTAAGGAGGCGGTCATGAACGGAGAGTCATGCCGGCAGACAGGCAGATTCGTCTTGGTGAGGTGGGGTGAAGTGGTGGGGACGTGGGCTGCCAAGGACACATTGAGCTGGGCGCTTCGTCATTCTCCTCTTGGGAGCACCTGCTGTCTTAAACACCGTCTTGATTCATTTTGAGGGCACCCATTATTGATTTTCGGGTCCTTGAGCTTAGAACTGCTGAGAGGTCGACTCGCTTGAGGAGGTGTCGCTTGAAAGGTGAGGCCCCATGTCGACGGTTGGCCGGAGGCCTTTGTGCTGAAATGGCTGGGTGACACGCAAGAATGGTGGCTTCCTTACAAATCCTTGACTCTGCATATGCCCGGGCCGGTGATACGTATGGCCGGTTGTGCGCGTGGCTCTTGGGCCCTTAGCAACACGCATTTGCCTCATCGGAGTCGTGAACCGGTACTTTTGAAGAGGTAAGCAACAAGAGCGGCTTCAGCTTGCTTCTTGTGCTCTGCCTTGCTTACAGTGAAGCAGCCCTGAGGCGCCCTGTTTGTTAGCTGATGCGCGTCTCAATCTACCTTACCATGAGCGCATGCAGAGTGGGAGGTGGCAATTGAGCTGAGCCACTATGGCGTCTCAATCGAGCCCTGTAGGTAATGGTTGATTGCGTTGCCGGTATGCGCATTCCTATGGCTGGGCTGTTGCTGTGTTGGTTTGTGCTGTGTATTAATCCATCACTGCTTGTGGGTGGTGCGGCTGGAGGGCTCTTGGGCAGCAGGGAAGGCTTGCAGAGAGTGCGCTCAGGATAGTGTGTGGCCCGGTGTCGCATTCCTGGTATTTGTGCGTTCGACTTTCAATGTATTTGTTGCGAGCATGTACGATTTCCGGGTTTCGGATGGGCGGGGTGGCATGCTGATGCAGGTGGGTACGGAGGTGTTACTGTCGTGCACCTCAGTTTTGTGCGGTATAACCGCCCAGGGAAGGCGGTTAAGGGCGAGGAGGACGGGGGCCATACTCTCTTCGACGTTTGCCAGTTTTGATTTACTCTCTTGCTGATTCTGCTTTATAATTTGGTAGGTGGAAGATGCTGGCGGGATGTAGCGCCTGTTGTTACAAGTACCAGAGGTGCGTAAAACCAACTAGATGTGTGCGTGCGAGGAGCACGATGGTAGGTTGAGGTGGCTAAGGATGCAATTGACTATGGTTGGTATAAGTGTTGACTGATTACTTGGGATGGACAGAGGTAGTTGTCGACGACGCGGTTATTACCTGTTGGATCATGTTTCGCACTCGTTTTGGTTCTGGACAATAGGCTCTAGGCGTGAGTAGCCAAACCTTCGCAGCCGTAGGCACATGACCGTTGTAGGAAGGTAGAGTACCAGCACCCTAGTCTAGCTGTCAAACTAGGTCGGCAGTTCAGGCGCAAGTAAAAGATTGTATGAGGTGCATGTATATCTTCGGTGATTTCTTGGATTTGTTGTTGATGCCATTGATTGTTTAGCATTCATGATCACAGGTGCACACGTGTCTTTTCCTCCTGTATTTTAATCACGGAAAGTACCCGAGTGCTGTACACCAGCATGCATGGGAACCTCAAACCCAACTCCCTGCCACCAAATCTAGCGGGCGCCAATCAAACATTCTCTGCAGCTCCCTAGGGGTAGAACCTAGGGACACGGACCAGCAGGCATCGTTAGGTCGGTGCTTCCACCAAGACACATGAAGACATGGGGCCGAGGCCCCTGTGCACTTAGGGGCCAGGCGTTCAGGTCGCCGCATGGGCAGCTCCTGAAGCAGCTGCATCAAGCAGGGGCTGCAGGGCCGCCTAGTCGGGGAGGTGGTAGCGGCTGCTGCAACACGGTGTGCTCCAGGCTGTACAGGGTGGTCTGCCAGGGGTTGTCGCGGCGGGCGTAGAGGGGGCGCAGCACGCACTCGATCCAGCTGCCGCCGGGGCGCCCCTGGTCCGCCAGGCGCCGGAGCTGCAGGCGGTTGTTAAGCGGATGGGGGGGGGGGTACACGGCATAGCAGGCTTGCCTTAGTCATGCATTATTGGTGGTGTTTATTCATTGGAGCTAGGGAGGGAAAAGGCGTTGTACTCATGACGTGCGCCCAGGGATGACTGCGCGCCAGTCTGCTTGGGAAAAGTCCTACACTTGAGGTCGGCCGTGCAGGTCCATTCGCAGCAGCCTCCTCAGACCACACGCGCCCTAAAGCCGAGCACTTTGTCTTATCCCAGCTACCAGTTCCCTCTCCTCCTCTTCCTCAACACCCACCACTGCGAGCAGCCGCTGCTCCTCGCACTCCTCCACCTGCGACTGCGGCTCCGGTGGCGGCTGGCTCTGCCGCGCCGCCTTGGCCGCCCGAGCGCGAGTCACCACCCCACCTCCACTGCTGCTGGAGCAGCCGCCTTGCGATAAGCCACAGAAGAAGGCTGCGGAAAGGCCTGCCAGCTCTACGCGTAGGGAGGCTGCAGGAGGCATGAAAGGGTGGGGCTTGCGGGCTGGGTCTTGCCCCAGGCAAGAAGGGTGACGAAGAGGGGTTATAAGAAGTAGGCATGCACGGGAGTCCAGGGTGTGGTAGGGAATGGGTGCACCGTGATTGGTACCATGCTGGAGGTCTGCCACCGCAAACGGATCTCGCTCTGCTTACCCGTCGCGTCTTGGAGCACTAGCCCAAAAGCAGGCGGCTGGTTGTTGCGGCTGCCTCCGGCCTGAGGACAGGCGGGAGCTTCGGCACGCCCCGGGCTGGTGGCATCTGCGCCGGCAGCAGGCGGCGAGGACGGCTGTGGTGACATGAACGCGACCACGCGCGCCATGACTCGGGCGGGGGTGCAGTCGCAGGTATCCTGCTGCATCAACACCTGCGCGGATCAGAACAGAACATGAAGATGTGGAAGGACCGGCTGGAGCGGTTGCCAACTTGGGTGAGAGTAAAGGTGGTCGGGTGATTCATGGGACGGTAGCATGCAGACATCCTGTTAGGGAACCATTGTAACGGTCATTCATTCATCCAGATGATAGGCGCTGGCAGTTGGGGTGTGCCTGGGTGGTGAATGGCGGTCGCCGAGGGGCCACCGGTCGCTCACCTGACGCAGTGTGCGCAGAGGCAGCTCCTGCCATTCGTAGCAAGGGCCTGCAAGGGGTTCGGGGGCAAGAGGGGGCATCGGCGGGACTGGGTAGGCAAGCGGCTCAAGTGCCCTGGAGCTGATGCTGTACGTGAGGATTTGCAGTGCAACAAAGGCTGACAGGGGTACAGCAACGCCATAACAACAGGCACGCAAGACACAGTCCCAAGCGGCACCACCACAACTACCCAGGCAACCAGAAGACGCCTCTTTGCTATACTTTGTGGTGAGGGCGCGATTAGCCAGCCGGTGCGTCCGCGCGCGTAAGTCTAGACTACGAATGTACAGCACACGGCTCCCCACAAGCATGCATTCAAGCATGATGCACCTACGTGCCAGCAGCTGCGCTTCATCTGTGGGCGCAAAGGTGTTGAGGCATGGCGGTCCACGTGGCCCCCCTGTCATCCGCGCCTCGTAGGCCTTTCTGTCTTTCGTGCTGTCCTTCTCCGCACGAGCAACAATGTGGCTCTTGTCGCAGAATGACAGCTGAAGCTGGCCCTACAGCGCACAGCAAGGTGTGCGTGCATGCTTCCATTGAAGCACGCATGCTTAGGGTGAGGCGGACTGCATGAGCGCAGGAGTGCGTATGCATGCACTAAATCGATACCGCCACATAATGGGCAGTGCAACGACTAGCAATCCGCCTGCGCTGCTAAGCAAGCGATCTTGGAGCGGGGCTGAATGACCCGCTGGTCGGTTTGTAGCGCAACCTGGCAAAGACTGGCTTGCAAAAACAGGATCCCGCCCACTAAGCACTCACCCGTACGAACCGTGGTGTCACGTTCTTTAGCTTTATCCAGTCGCCGGGCCGCGGCAGTGGCAACAACCGTCCACCTCCGCCTCCGGGCGCCGCAGAGGGCCCTCCGGCCGCGGCTGCAACTGCTGTTGCCGCCGTCGCCGCCGCATTGGCGGGCGCCATTGTAAACAGCGACGTTGGCAGCACAACGGGCACTCCGGTACCAGCCTGCATCCCATCGGCGGCGATGTTGGAATCGGGACGGGAAGCAGACAAGGGTAAGTGGGAAAGCAGTGCACGTGTGGCAGAGAGGAGAAAATGGAGGGCGCAGCGTGCTATGGGAGAGTGGTATTTCCCTCACGTTGCGTGCCACAAAGTACCCAACTGTACAACCGGCCAATTCCGCTACCTTCAATGTTGAAGATCCCACCCCGCAAGATGTTTTGGAAGTTTAGCTATATAACCTATAGAAGGGTTCCATCACCGTCTCACACGTAGCGGCCCCTCCCATGCTCGTTTGCTCAGCCCCAGTCCACCCGCCCCCGTGCGCTCACACCCCACCCCCACCAACACCTCGCTCACTTCCGGCATCTCCTTGCGCTCCAGCACAGCCGACAGAACCAGCCAGCCGCTTCCCCCTCCTCTGGCTTCTCTTGCTCCGTCTCCCTCCCCTTCCCCTCCGCCCTCCCGGACCTCTCGCCGCACCAGGTTGCACAGCGGCATGTGCAGCGTGCGCAGGTGCGGCGGGGTGACAGACGGCCACCGTTGCCGCTTTCGCCCCTGCTGCTGCTGCTGCTGCGGCTCCGCCGGGTGGGGTTGCTGCTGCGGCCCCTGCTGCTGCTGCTGATGCACCTCAGGGTGCTGGTGGGGTTGCTGCTGCAGCTGCTGCTCCGGCGGCAGGTACCCGGGCGGAGCGGAGGTGTAATGCAGCGGCAGGGGCTGCGCGTCCGTGCCGTCCCACACGTGCACGATGAAGTAGTGGGGGAGGCAGGTGAAGTCTACCGCGAGGACCTGCAGGCGCGCGTGCAGTCAGCAGCGGAGCAGTGGGCATGGCAGGCCCAGGAGGCATGCGCACGGGGGGTAGCGGCAATTCCATTGAGGTGGGCGTGTGCAAGCGTTAGCAATCTTAGCATAGGGACGGTAAAGGAGAGGGTGCGGCCAGGGTGGTCGTGCAAGCGGCCCACGTAGACACGGCCCAGCCGGGCCCCATGCACATGTGCGTGCGCGCTGTTACGTGCTACCGCTGCTTGACCATTACTCCGCCCACCCACCCTGCATATGAGGTCCACCGGGGGCAGGTGGCCGCATGCGGGTGCGCCGCTCGCAGGGTCCGAGGGAGGAGCCACGTCCTGTATCTTGACCAGCCGAGCCCCTTGTTGGACTGCGAGGTAGTGGCCAACCTGTGCGTTCACATGGACCCTGGGCCAGGCAGGGCGACAGAACCATTCCCGCCCCGCCGCTACACTTGAAGCTGGCCGTTGTATCCCGCATCCTTTCGCCCACCAAACAAGTAGTATGCAGCATGGGCAATGGATGGTTGTGGTGGACATGAGCCACAGGTCTTGCGACCATCAGCCTACATCAGCCTATGTCAGGCAAGCCACTGTTGGCACGCTGACCACTCGTCACGCACCCTGTACGGCAGGTGACGCCACTGGCACCACCGCTGCTGCTTGCGGCGGGGGCGGCGGGGGCTCCCGCTGCTGCTGTATCCACCGCCTCAGCTGCTGGACGCGCTCGGGGTCGGGCTGGAGAAGGAGGGTAAAGAGGAAACAACAAACTAGCCGGCTGATAATGCGTGACCATGGTTTAATGGATAGGCGAGGAGGTGAGGGTGAGGGGTCAAGTGAAGCGGAGAGAAACGTGGGTGTGCAACCACAGGTGGACGGGCTTCAGGGCGGGGTGATCCCTCCGTTGAGGGCACGGAAGGAATGGAACGAACGCATGTAGGCTCTCTTGCCCCGGGTGCTGAACCACCCGCCCACCACACCGGTAGGAACTTGCTGGCGATAGTGGATTTCATAAGGGGAGCCATAGCGGCATTGTTCCGGCTGCCATAGGCGCCCCTGCTCCCACCACAACCACCAGCAGCTGCGCCTTCTCCACCCCTATCTTCCGAAGCGGCATAAACGGCAAAGCCAGAGCTACTCCTCAACAGCAGCTGCAGGCTGCCCTTGAACTGTTGTGTCTGCGCGGAGGGTGATGCGGCGTCGAAAGTTTTCGGAAGTAAGGGCCAGGATGGGAGCAAGACTGCCAACCGCGTCGTTATTCTGCTTGCACGAGCGCAACCACGATACGTATGAAGTCTGTGCATGAGCGACATATGTTTGCTGGTTTGGGCCATCGGTGGCTGGGCTTCGCCGTACCTTGGCGTGATGGACATGGATAATGAGGGGCAACTCAGCCTCTCTAATTTTGTCAAGGTCTTCGCATTTTCCAAATACCACGGCATAAAGGCTCTCCCCATGCGACAAGGTATCATCCTTGAGGACGAGGTGCATGTAATGGTCTGCGATGTCCAGCAAGGGCATGCTGGGCGTGAGGCGCGTATTAGAGGGCTACCTGGAGGCACACCTGACAACGTACCGTTCCCATTCGACCGAATTACGGCATACGAATTTACGATGCAGGCATATACACTGACGCCTTGGTCGCTCCTGACGCTCTGTGCTTCTTTCAGGGTGCACAGCCGCACCTGTGCCATTTTAAGCCAAAGCCTTTATTTTTATTTGCAGGATCGGCTTCCTGTGCTATGAACTCATTGTTGTTCTGATCTCGCTAATAGCTGGGTCTGTCAAGGCCAGCAGTTTAAAAGGACAGCTAGATCGCGAGTGCTAAAATAACAACTAGCAACTCAGTTGACACTATGCCCCAAGTTAACCTGAGAAGCGGCAAAAGCCCAAGGCAAAGCATGGCTCGCAAGGCACGATGGTAAATCGGGATAAGGCCCTGGATTGCTAAGCCGAAATCCTCTACAACTGCAATGAAAATTAACGTGCCTCTGGCTGTATTGCTTACACAGCCTTTATATGAGCACTGTGGCACGCGGAGAGCGCACGAAGCTAGCAGTTGCTTGCAGGCTTCACAAGCATAAGACCACACGTGTAGCAAATTTTATATATCACACCCTAAGACCGTTAAGAAAACATCACAATAGCCCTCAGCCCGAAGGACAGCAATGGGTTTGCTATGGCTTATTGCACTGCTTGCATGTGCCGCTTCTGCGATTGCAGTTGACAAGCCAGGAATGGAAGAAGAACAATGCGCAAGGAGCTGCCATACAATTAACTGCGGTAGGAATTAATTACGTTTACGAATCATCGGTCGTTGGTGTGGACCTTCGGTTGCGCTGCAACCTCGCAGACAACATGGGCATCCGTTATGGACGATTTTGCGGCGTTGGGCATGGTGGTTGCCCTGGAGTAAAGCCGTGCGACCCTGTCGACCGGTGCTGCCAGAAACACGATAACTGCGTAGAGAAGCATAGGTAAGGGTGTGACAACCCGCGCACACCTAGGATCCGCCCTACTTCCTCCGAACAATGTACACATTGTGGAGCTGGGCTTTCCACCCGGATACTTCCTTGCAACACCTGGATGAGTCAACTTGCTGCCTCTTAACAATTCAATATTCCGCCCTCCTGGACCCCACCAACCGGCAAACCCCTACCTGCCGCAGCGTGTTTGCAGCCCAATGCCACACCGCCTTCCTGAAGTGCCTGGACAGGCACGCGGGCAAGGACCAAGAGGGTAAGGGATGCAAGAACTAGGACTGCAGGTGGAACACTTGCATGGGGAATCTGGATGTACGTGATGTTGTCGACCTTTCCACCTGGATAGCGAACTTGACCTTGCTTTCGCCCCATCCCCTCGTCGCTCCCCCCGTGCCCCCTGCCCGGGTCCCTATGGCGCCTCCTGCCTGCCTGGTGTCACCCCACCTCTCCCCTGCTCCTGCTCCTGCTCCCGCTCCTGGGTCTCCAGGCTTCGCTCCCAATACGGTAAGCCCGCCAAGCCGCCGCCAGCACACAGGCCATGCCTGCATGCCAGCCTTTCAGACCACCGGCGCCACCGGCGCTGGCATGCCGCCCATGCACAGCCTTCCCGGTTGCCTGTCTCACGTGTGCATGCTCCTTGCAGCCCCCATACACAACATGCATGCACACGCAACCTGGGCCCCTTGTGCCCGCCTCTCTTGCTCAACCACACCCGTGTCTCTTTTCCATTCCCCATGTACCCGTCGCAACACATACGGCTCCTCCCGTGTTACACGCCGGTTGGTTTCCTCTGAGTCCCCTCCGTTTCCCCTCACTCCTGCCTCCGTTTCCCCCTCTGCTGCCTTCCTCCCTCCCGCCTCCCGCCCCCCCGCAGTGTCCCTACAGCCTGGTGATACCCACCATGAAGGCCGGCATCCAGATGGCCATGATGTTCACGGGGGCGATGCAGCAGCAGGCGGGCGGCGGCGGGAGGGGGCCGCTGAGGAGCGGGAGAGCGGGTGGCGAGATGTGACATGGGCCAACTACTGAATAGCAGGCTAGGGTGCCTGCGGTTGTGGTGCTTCCGCGGGAAGGAGCAGGGCAGAGGCTAGGAGCGGGACGGGGCACAACGTAGGGAGAAACGCATGCATGGGTAACGCATGCCTTATGCAGATGTCGTTGTGCCATGATGAAGAACCTATCTTGATTGTATTCTTGCATGCAGTGAGGGACGGAGGTCTGTGTACACTGGTTGTTGGGTGTCCATGGAACCCCCGTGAGTCGTGACACATGAAACTGTTCATCCGAACATCCCTCCACGAGGGAAGCGGGCGAGGAGCGAGCGAGGCGAGGGAAGCTGGGAAACCTAAGGGTGATTTGGGGAACTTGTGAGCCGCTCGCCGAGAATTGCTTTGCGATCAAGCTTCCAGGGTTTAGCGCCCTCCGACCGGGGCAATTCGTGTCAGGGCCTGGGAAACCTCTGGAGGAACTTTGAACTGTGACCTGAGAGGATTATACTTTGTGTATTTTGTTACGTGTGCTCGTATGCGTTGAATGCGGTGCACGGGTGCCGTGTTCGCACAAAATCCGTATAGGTCTGCTGTTTGTGGTAGCTTGGGTAGGCATGGGCGTAGAATAGGCACGTGGCGCGCTGGAAAGTGTGGTCTTGGAGATGGCAACGGGCTGCAGGGTTATGCCTGCTTGCTTTAAGAGCAGAACGAAGGGTATCGCTGTGAAGACACGTATGGCCTCCCAACCCGTGCCCTTTGTCCGGCGCTCCGGCCCCAACCCTTCGTGCATTGTGGCATTACGTCGTTGCGGTTTCAAAGATACGTTGATTTCTCCCTTCCTGGACATGGCCTCAACGTGGAGCGCAATTCATGTAACGGTACAAGGAGGTGTTACTGTACAGGTATGACAGATCCCGGCACGGCGTGGACCACACTATCGCCTGTTCCTTGGCAAGCTGTGGCAAGTATACTAAATGTTCGCTGTGAATATACACTCAAGTTGCATATCTTCAAGTATTTGATTACTACACTACGACGGACTTCACTGAATAACCCTCAGTAATGGCGCTTGCAGACGCAGCGGCGACAGCCAGCAAAATCGCATCCCCGATCTGGCGGAGCAAACTACAAGCATCTCTAGTTAGTAATAAGAACCTTGTGTACAGTCGATATGTGCAGCTAGCGACAGTCAAGGCGGATGGTCGACCTGCCAACCGAACGGTCGTCTTCCGTGGCTTCCTAGGAGACAGCGATGACGCGCTGACGTTTGTAACTGACAGCCGCTCAAGGAAGGTGCGCAGTTAATTGTTTCCCGGCATCTGCGCCAAAGCTTCTTTGTGGCGGGGTGGCCATGGTCGTCATCCATTCGTAGCAAAGAGCCGCAATCTCTGCACCTGTCACAACTTCCAAGCAATGAACCTCCGCTGAACTGAAAAACCTTCCACGCAGGCTCTGGTTGTTTCAACTGGCAAACCCTAACCTTTCCAACCCAAATTCCCGACCAATACGGCAGATCCAGGAGGTCGCCTGCAATCCTGCAGCAGAGGTTGCCTGGTACTTCCCGGAAACCCGCGAGCAGTACCGCATAGCCGGCAACCTAACCATCGTGGACGCAGCCGCAGGAGACAGCGCCCTGCAGGCGGTGAGCACCAGGAGGGAGCATGAGCACGATGCTGGCGGTAGTGGGGGAGCCAGCATCCTAACGCACATCATGAACGGCCCAGCGCCCCCTGCTGCCCTCTTCCTACGCCCCACGTAAAGCTAACGCGGCTCGGTCTACCTGATCCCACCTACCGCCCCAATGCCTGCTTGCACCACCCCCACCACCCCCTGCACTTATCAGTATCCTTACCCCCGCACCCCCCAGGCTCGCATCCGGGCATGGTCCGCGCTGTCAGACGCAGGCCGGCAGCAGTTCGGGTGGCCGCAGCCGGGGCTGCCCCGGGCGCAGCAGGACCCCACGGCTTGGAGTGGCGCAGCCCCGGGGCCGCAGGTGGGGTGCGGAGGAGCGCTCGTGGGGTGATGACAGCCGGTAGCGGTGGGCGTGTGCTGCTTCCTAACTCGGCCCGGGCTGGTGTTGCAGGATCCTCCGCTGGACACGTTCTGTCTGATGGTGCTGCGGCCCGAGGAGGTGAGGCACCACGGGTGCACGGGTGCAGCTCCGGGGCAGAGCAGAGGATAGGGCAGGCCAGGGCGCGTTGCCTCCTGCCCCATCCCTGCTTCTTTTCCTCCTGCCTCCCTTGCACCCGACCACCCCTCCCCATCCATGCGGATGCGCTGGTACTTGCGCAGAACCCCAACTCCCTAGTTGCCCCCTTCATTTCGCGGTTTCCGGAAACGGAAACCCGACCCCGCAGGTGGAGCAGGTGCTGCTGCTTTCCAACGAGCGCTACCGGTACGTACGACAGGAGCTGCAAGAGAGCGGTTCCACCGTGTCTTGGAGCGAGGAGAGCATCAATCCTTGAGCTGCTGGAGTGCCCGTTGTTTCGTGAGTCGTGTAGTAGGTGTAGCTCGTGCAGGCTTTTGCGTCAGTAGTAGTGTGGCGTTGGTAAACAAAGGGGCTACGAGGTGCGGCATGGAGGGCGTGCAGCATGCAGCATGCATGGGGCGGTAACGCAGGGTAGTAAATTAGTAATGCTGATGGGCTGTTACGAGCAGAAGCAGGCTGCTGGGCACGTGGGCGAGGGAGCGTGCTCGTTGAAGACATGCATGCAGGGATGCATGGAGTATAGCCTTCTGCTGGAACAATAATGCAGTCAACAAGAGGGTGTACCGTACGTGCTTGCCTGGCTTTCATCAGGAGTTGTCCTTAAAACTAGTGCTAGATAGAAAGCGCAGTTATATTACCCTGATGGTGAGAGATGGTACACTCTGTTGTAAGGACTGCTGCTGCCTCGGCTTTCCTGGGCCCGATGCATGCAGCATGGGCCCCGCACCGCCGACTTGTGCGCTGCAATCCTGCACACAGTCCTCAACATTCCTTTGTACCAACAGGACCCAACAGGAGCTGTTCATGCTGAAAAGACTCGTTCGAAGTCCCACAGGAACCGCTAAACCGGGGCTAAACGTCTGTACCGGGGTGCACGACAGAGTCCCGCAGCCCGCAGGTTGAGGTCTGCCAGCTCGGAGGTGGGGGCCGGGGTTGCCTGGCAGGAGGGAGGAGGAGGGCAGGGAGGCAGGAGAGGAAGGGAGAAGAGCGGTTGGAACCCGCATATCGAAAACCTTGTTATATGGTATTCTTTTCGTGGGCTGTCTCCGTCGACCCTACCGGATACGGCATCGGCCACCCAGCAAACCGCAACCCCTCCCCTGACGCCAGCTACACGTCCGCCTCACACACCCTGGCTTTCCCATACTCCTATACCGGCACCTCTCCACAGCGCAAGCAACAGGTGGGCCACCCAGCCGTAAGCCGCCAAGAGGGCTGCTTCAGAGGAGAGGCCTTGAGAGCGGCGGGACCCTGTGCCGACTCGCAGGGTCATAAGTCTGAATTATCTGAATACAGCAGCCCCCTGGGGCCTGAGCGCCCTTGCGCCTCCCCTTCCTACTCACTACTCCCGTCCCTAGGTCCGGTCGCCTTAGGTCTACACGCCCCGCCCCCGCCCCCACCTGGAGCTACGGTAGAGGCAGCCGGAATCCTCCCTTGTGCGGTGCTGGCGGGCGGCCGCAACACCGCAACACGCAGGCGGGCCAGCAGGCCCGCTGGCCTGCTGTGTGTCGCTTTGCTGCTGCTGCTGCTGCTGCGCCCCTCTCGCTGTCGTCGCTCTTTTGCTGCTGCTACGCCCGTGCTTTTGCTGCGTTCCAATAGCAGCAACCGTGACTACACCGTAGCTACCGGCACCGTGACCCGCACGCTGCTGCCGCTGCTGCATCCCTCGCTGCCGAGGGTGCCGACCCGCGGGTCTCCTCCTCCCTCAGCTCGCCCTCCTCCTGCCGCGCACGCCGCCTCAGCACCAGCTCATGCGGGAAATGCGGCGCAGCCTCATCCCAGGGTCCGCTGATCTTGGCCTTGAACTTGTGCGCGCGCACCAGCGCAGCCGGCACCACAAAGGTAATCGCCGCCACCGCTGCCAGGAACGCCACCGCCGCCGCCGGCGACGCCAGCAGCAGCAGCCCCGCCGCCGCTGCGACCATGGCTGCGGTGAGGGCGAGGTGCGCCGCGGTGGACCGCCGCCGCACGTGCCGCCGCGCGTAGGGCGACAGCAGGAACAGCTCCAGGGAAAGCAGCACGCAGCCGAACTGGGCGGGGGCCCCGGGGTTACACATGTATGCACATGCATGGGAAGACGGGAGCATATGGGGGAGCAGGCGTGGGAAGGGCGTCAGGCACCAATACCCCACCACCACCACCACCACCACCGACACTCCATCTCAGCCACAGTAAGCCAGCCACACATCAGCTGTGCATGCAGCACAGCCGCGTGTAACAAGGTTCTTTTTGCAGGAACCGCCCTGCACGCCCGCCCCCCACCTGCTCAGCCCTCCCACCCGGCCCCCTCTCACCACCTCCGTCTCCGACCGCATCCTGCCCGCCAGCAGCACCGCCGCCAGCACCCCCGAGCCCAGCGACAGAGCGCCCGTCAGCCGGCCCGTGACACTGTTCACGAAGCTGGCAGAGGAGAGGAGGGGGAAAAAAAGACATTCCAAAGTGTGGTATGATAATGAGACAAGTTGCTGACAACCTCTGGTGGAATCAACCGTGAGTCGAGCCGAAATGGTGGTTAAAGCAATGCGAGCTAAACTTACCGAACTTACCAATTATGGAGCAACCTTACCATAGTCTTGGGCATGTGTGGAGGCTGCTGAAGGTGAGCTGGAGACCCACCGCGCCGTTGGGCAAAGGCAAACAACAGGAACAGCACAACACGAGCACGCATGAAAAACAACACAGACTGACACACGATAAAAACACGTACCTGCGTGCACAGGATATGTGCACCATGAGACATGTCCATGGCAAGCCGCCAGGACCATGGAGTAAGTTAGGTCGAGGCGAGTTGATAGCGATGTCCAGCGGAGAGCCAGATATGCGGAATGAGGCAAGGAAAGCGAAAGGGGAAGTTAAGTATAAGTTAAAGAGGACGATGGTGAAGATGCGAACAAAGAAGTACTAAGGTAAGCCTAAGAACGAGACGACACGACTAGGACGGCGCGGTGGGGTGTATGGGGATGGAATAATGGCGGAAGGTACAAATAGGGACGGAATTGGTGAAAAGTACGGCATATCGGGAACAAGGCATGATGTGCAGTGATAAAGGGGCACAACGTGATAAAGAAAAAAAAGGGGGAGGAGGGGGGTAAAAAAATATATATATAGGAGGGGGGGGGTGCGGGGTGTGTTAAAACAACTGGGGTGTGTGTGCGGTGGGGTTTTCTCAATTACACAGCACACACGTGCGCCCAATCTCCATACGACTCGGATGAAGTCCTTCCCCCTTCCCTCCCCTCCCCCGCCCCCTCCCCCACCCGTAGTCGCACAGCCCCAGGTGCAGCAGCAGCCCGCCCCCCGCCAGCGCCACCACCGAGTCGGTGCTCACGGTGCCGGCCAGCGAGCGCAGCAGCGGGGACAGCCCGAACACACCTGGGGGCAGGGCAGTGGGGGCGGTACTCGGGAGGGGGTTCCGCAAGCACCCCAGCTGCCGCCGCTTCCATACCGCGGTGTACTACCGGTGGCAGCAGCTCCGTAACATGCTTACAGCTGCAGCAGCTGCAGCAACTACGGGACCCCATGCGGTAACCGCCCCCGCCCCCACCCCCTGCTTACCTCCCACCAGCAGGAAGCACTGTCGTACTCCTCGAGCCTGCAGCAGCAGCAGCAACACAGCAGCAGCAGCAGCAGGTGTCGCACACAGCCCCATGATGAAGGCCCCACACGCTGAGGAGACGTGCTCCGCAGTACGGAACGAGAACAGCGGGACGGCATACAGGGCAGCCGCAGCAGCCGCAGCAGCGGTGATGCAAAACGCAAGGTACAGGCATCGCACATGACCACGTGGGACGAGCAACTCCAGGTAGAAGCGCCCGGCGCGTCGCAGGTGTCCCTGCGGCCCCTGGCCAGCCCCATCCCCTGCGAACCACGCGAACCCCAGCCGCCCCCGCTCCCCGCCACCCCCGCTTGACTAACTCGGGTGGGGCGGGATGGGCCGGGTACCATGTAGCAGCCCAGGCTGAATCCCCGTCCGTTATTCCTCTTTACCCGGCCCCCGCTCTCACCACCGAGCCCCCCAGCAGCTGCCCGCCTAGGAGTGCGCACGTGGTGTAACCTGCGGGCAGGGGGCCGGGGAAGGCAAGGTGGGGGGGGGGGCAGGGGGGCCGGGGGAGGCAGGGGCAGGAGGGCGGGGGGGTGGCCGCGGTGGCATGCAGACCTCAGGGGCAGCAGACCTGGCATCAGACAGCGGAGCAGCGATGCCCGCCTGCCACCGTATTAGGTCCTCCGTCATTCAGTTAGCGACAACACGGCGTGCTAACCCGATTAGGGACCCAGGCCCAGACCTGCCAGCAATCGCCGCAACCCCTGCCCTTACTTACCCTCCCCTTTCTTACCTCTTCCTCCATACCTGCCTCCCTCTCCCTCTCCCCACCCTCCCTATCCCTCTCCCTCTCCCACCCTTCCTCCTGCCGCACCTGCCGCCAGCAGCCCCCCGCACGCCGCCAGCAGCTGCCCCGCCCGCAGCACCCCGCTGTGCAGGAGCAGCGGCACCACCGCCGCCACCAGCGCGCAGGCCAGCTGCTGCGTCACGGCGGCAGACGCCAGCGCCACCGGCCAGTAGCTGCGGGGCGGCACGGCGGCGTTCACAACCTGCAGGAAGAGGGGCAGGGGAGGGGCGGGGAGGAGGGCGGGGGAGGGAGGAGAAGGGGCGTCAACACAGAGGGTAGGGGTTTGGACTGTATGGAACCTCAGCGGCCTTGGGGAAAGGGTCAGTAGCCCCAGAAATCGGATGTCCACAGGATTGTGACAAGTGTCGGACGGCATAGCGGATTGAGGCGCGGGTGGTGGTAGTTTGGGGTACTGGCTGGGGTATGTTGGAACGCTAAGCAGCGTCAAGTAGTGCTGAAAAGTAGGTGGTTGCATAATGTAGCCTGAAACCTACCAATTGTTGCAAGAAAGTATGATCCGTGTAGTTATCCGGAAAAGGCTGTCGCTTCCAGAGCACCTTAGACCACTTTGCCGACATGTTGCGCGACAGCCCTTTCCCTGCGCCAAAGAGTTCTCGAGTTCCAGTAGTGGCTTGTTCGTAAGGCATGTAGGCATGACATGAGGTTGTTGCCAAGCGCTAGCGCAAGCGAATACCGGGACCCGCAGTGGACACAACCTAAGCTGCAACTGCCCGGTATCAGTACATGAGCGGAAGGCGTAATTTACTGCTTCTAGCGTACACCCCTTTAATTTCCTGCTCTTGATGGTAGGCTGTACCTGTACTTTCGCCAAAGGGCCTTACGATCACATCCGTCTTCCCACATACACTTGACGGTTACTTCTTTCATCTACACAGGGACAGGTTGCTGTACTGAATGCGCTATTTTATTGCAAGAATAGAACACTTTGACATGTTCATACCAACCTCCTATTGTCATACTAAATGAAGAGTGGTTTTACCGAGTGCGCTTTGTTTTGTGCAACATTACATAGGATTTCTGATGAGGCCAAGAGTTGAATTATTGAGGTGGCAACTATGAGGGCCAACCTTACAGTAGGCTATGGCTATGCGCTAGGGTTAAATCGCTGAACAGAGTTATTTTAGAAGGACCTTCCACCAAGTACCTCTGGTTTCCAGCGGGATGGGTTGCAAAGGTTGCGCGCCACAGCCTGACCTCTTATTCTATTCTCGGCGTCGCGGCACCAACAGTACACACCTACAGTAATACGCTATCGGCTATGATGCATGAGCTAATTACAGGAACAGTTTGAGAGTATTGTCAGCGCAAATGGTCAGCGACCGCTGCAAGTCATTCAGTGTTTACATGAAGTTATGGATAATTCTAGTCACCACGCTACTAATCACGGCGACTATCATTCGCTCGCCATTTACAGAAGCGCAGCGAACAGGGTTGGCGCATCAAACCACCGGTTACATGCTGCCACGCTGTCTATTGGGTTATTTGGCTGGCGACCCCCGAACGTCAGCACGCATGGACGGAGGTATCAATTGCGGTCAACGGCTGCTGCGGCCGTTACGTCGTGGGCTTGCGCAAACTGCCGTCGACGTGGCGGATGCCGAGGCGCTATTAGCAGCTCTGCGGGATTCCGGCATTGGCATTATTCGCCTGGTTAGCTCTTTTACCAGGCTAGACACCTCTGGCTGGCTAGCGCTATCGCCACCGCTGAAGTTATCCCGACCGGTGCTTTTGCTAGGCGGCGGTCGCTATGCAGCGTCAGGAGCCCTTGCTGCAGCAGAAGGGGCGTATTACGCTCTGGATTGCGCGCAGCTTGCACAGAAAGTCCAGTTGGTGGGCTCCAGCAGCAACTCATCCTCCTCCACTACACTCGCCCAGCTTGAGTTCCGTGGGTTATGGCTCCAGAACCACCTGCCCCCAACCGGATATGGGCTGACACTGCTAAGCGATTCCGCCGGAGCCGTCCTGTCGTACACGGATTGCGTGCTGGAACGCGAGGCCGGCTTGCCAATTCAGGATACGGCTGCGGAGGTGGAGTCGTTGGCGCTAGCGGCGGGTCAACCGCCGCCTAACGTGACTGTAGCCGAGTCCTGGTGCCAACCTTCACCCCTCCAATCCCAGTCTGATTCCTTTGACTGCTTCAACGACCCCGTGCTGCACTACTCCCAACTCGCAGTACAAGTGCAGGTCCCTGCGGCAACCACCGCCTCAGTGCGCTCTTCAACACCTCCACCATCCATTGCGCCACCCTTGCCGCCTCCAACACCCTCACCACCACCTTCCACCCTTGTACCCACCGCACTCCTCGTACTGCTGTCCAACTGCACGTACGGCGTACGAAACCAAGTCTCCTCAGCCTGTGTAGCCGCGTACGGCGCGGACTACTGCATTTATCAGCTGCAGGCGCAGCTGCAGCAGGCTGCTGCTGCTGCTGCTGCTGCGGGCAGCGGGCAGGGGCTAAGTGCAGCTGCCAGCGCGGGCGTCTCGGTGGTCGCCACGCTGTGCGGCTGCCTGGCGTTACTGCTGCTGGTGCGGTTCGTGGGGCGGGTGCGGGGGGGCCACCGCACGCTGACGCTGGCTGTCCGGCCGCCGGGAGCCACACCGCTGACGACCCTGCTGGTGACAGGTGCGCATGAAGGTCGGGAATGGGGGACTCGAGGGGAAACGCGGTAGTCCAGAGCACCGCCCCTGTGCTACTGCTCCTGCTGCTGCTGCCGCCGCTGCTGCTGCATCGCAGCACGCGGGCGGGGCCGTTACTCGCGCACCAGGATGGGGCTGACCTGACATGCATGAGTCGATTGGCGCGGGCGGTGTGTCTCCCGTTTACCCGTCCCTGTTGCCGCTTGCCGCTTGCCGCTGCCCTGCGCTGCAGACATCCAGAACAGCACCAACCTGTGGGAGCAGCTGCCCACCGCGGTGATGAACGAGACGCTGCGGCTGCACCACCGCTGCCTGCGTGGGCTGCTGCCCAAGTGCAATGGTGGGTCACCTGCAGTGTTGCGGGGGGGGGGGGAGGGGGAGGGGGCTCGCCGCCTGTTCGCGGGCTTATGCTGATAGGAAGCGGAAGTTACACTGGAGGACAGTAGCTGAGACCATCATCAGACGTAATAGGCCTCACTGCTAGTTTAGCTACGCGTACGGCCAAGCCGGTGCGTTCATCATTAGCGGTACTGAAGGCAAGATTCGCATCCGGTTCCACTGCCAGGCTACGAGTCCGCAACTGAAGGGGACTCATTCATTCTCGCGTTCCACACGCCAATGGATGCTGCGCGCTTCGCCCTGCTGGCCCAGGTGCGTTGGGAGGCACATGAATGACACACTGCAGGGGAATGCATAGCGCCTGGCAAACCAGCTGAGCGATCATCGTGATCCGCTTGTGTGATCTACGGTGCTTTTCGCCCGCTCTACGCTGTGAATGGACGCAAAGCGCATGCGCCTGTGTCGTTGGGACTAGTGTTGACTGGGCAGCGCACGTTGGGAACATTCACATATTCATGCATCGTGCATTGTAATAGCCGCCATGCATTGTAGTCGTCGCCATGTTGCATCTTGCATGTGTCAAACATTGACTGCTGTGCGACCCAGTCTAGCACTACTTCCGCATGTCCTTCCTCCCAACCGCTATACCAACAGCAAGCCCTGTTGGAGCTGCCCTGGCCTGCTGAGCTGCTGGAACATGAGGATGGACGTGAGGTGCGACCATGGGTGGGGGCAGCACCGGCTACATAGCTCCTCCTGCATCTCTTCTAACGTATTCCAAGGAGGCGGGGGGGGGTCGCACTGCACATTGCATGCTGTCGCACCCGTCATTGCAGCCATGAAGGCTAGCCGGGGAGGTTTCCGGCCGGCGGCAGCCCCTCCCACACTAGCCGCAACCCCCGCCAACTCGCCGCACGCAAATGTCCGCCAAGAGCACGCCATGCACGTCCCCTCTGTGTGATGCAGGTGTGGGCCGAACCCGCCAAACCCAAGCTGCCGGCTCGTCAGCCGCCGCTCGGTGCTCCTCGAGGTCCTGGGGGCGGCACGAGCATGCACGTCAGCATGCCTGGAGGTCCCATGGCGGCAGCAGCACCCCACTACCCTGCCACCGCTGACGGGGATTCAGAGGAGGAGGACGCCGCCACCTTTGTGTGCGACTCGCCCCTGGTGGGCAGCTTCGGCAACCATGGCTGGCTGTCAGTTGCGCTACAAGGGCTGCAGGGCAAGCCGCCCGGCGCCCGTCGCGGCGGCGTTGGCGGCGTTGGCGGTGGCGGCCACCACTGGCGCGGCGCCAGCTCCTCTCGCAAATCGCTCAACCTCAGTCGCTCCTCCACCTGCGACCGAGTGGCCTCCGGGACGGGGGTTGCCAGTGCCGGGGGCAGTGGGGAGCTGCGGGCGGCGTCCCCGCTGCCGGCGGCAATGCGAGCTCCCACGGCACCGCTGGCGTTTGGAATAGGTAAGGACTAAGGAGAAGAGCCCTTCTACTTGTTGTTGTTGTTGTCGTTGTCGGCCTATGTCGGCTTGATGCTACGGTAGTGCGCGATTATACTGCCAAGAGCTCTGCAACGATTTTGCCCCTGTGCCCAGCTGTGCCTAACTATAAGCCTAACTTGAAGCCTAGTGTGAAGCATAGCTTGAAGCCCAGATTGGATCACCAGCTGTCAGCGGTTCTAACATGAGAACACTGCCCATGGGCCTAGCCCCACACGTAACGGGGCATTGGCCTACTGGCGCCCGACGCCAGTCAAACAATACCCAGAGAGACGGAGAGCCCTGCCTGCCTCCCGCAGTCAAGCTGCTGCCGGTAACCCTCACCTCATCTTCGTAACCCTCACGGCTTCCGCAGGCACCAGGGCCGCGGCACGCTTGCCTGAGGCCGCAAGGAAGGGCTCGCACGAGTACGGCTCACCGTTTTGCTCCTTATCCGTGTCTCCCAGCGTTCCGCGCTTCCTGAGCGACGCCCCGCTGTCAGAGCTGCCGGAGGGCGAGCTGCCGTCGCCCACCTTCCGACCCGATGGTGACACCGGGCCGGGCCTCCTGTCAACGGCTGCCAACTCGCCGGGCACACGTGCTAGGGCGCCGGCGCCGGGCTGTCCGAAACTGCAGCTGGGAGCGTTGGCCCCGCGCAGCGGCACGCCAGCTGGGGACGTAGAGTCGGCTGGGCTGGAGCTATCCCTCCTAGCGCCGCCTCGCAGGGCCGCCGCGCCACGCGCCTCCTCCTCCTGGGATGCGCTGTGTGAGGCAGCAGCTGGCAGCGCTTATTACCCGCCACGCGGCTCAGGGACAGGCGGCCAGCAGGCGTCAGTGGATCGCGCGTCTCGAGCCACTGTCGGAAGCGATGTGACCAGCGGTCTGTTCGCCAGTTTCACGGTGCGCTTCCTGTCGCGCAGCAACAGCGCCCGGGGCGCCACCTCGATGGGCAGCAGCGCGTGTGGTGGTGGCGGGGCCGCTGGCGGCGGCGGCGGAGTGCGCGAGGCTTCGCAGGGCAGTTTCCTCGGCTGGGGCCTGGGGGGCCAGCTGCGGAGCTACTCACGGACGGCAGCGGGGCAGGCCAGGAACCCCAACGAGCCGCTCATGTGGATGAGAAACCCGATTGCAACCGTCGCCGTGAGCGGTCTGTCAGGTCCTTGCGCGGAATCCGGTGGAGACAACGGGGGTGGTGGTGGCAGGGGCGCACAGGACCCAGCAGCCCTTGCCTGTCCGCCGGCGGTGCTTGCAGTCGCTGGCACCCCGGTTGGTGCCCTCGGCAGCGTGCCGGAAAGAAGCGCCTGCGCCCCCGGCGGCCCGTCCATGCTGAGCGGTCCAACAGAGTCCACGGCAGGTGGTGCAGAGCCGCCTCAGCCTGGCAAGCATGCGCCGCACACCGTTTCGGGCTCAGCTCATGCGGCCGAGGCGGCGCGAGCTAAGGCTTTCCGAGGCCTAGCCGGTGGCTCTAGCAGTGACATGCAGCAGGCGTCGGCACAGGAGTCGGCGGCGGAGGGTTTGAAGGCCGCTCGACGTTCCCCCCAGAGCGGGATTACAACAAATGACTGTGACGACTTGCTGCTGATACCGCTTCCGAGCTCCGAGCAAGTTCCCGCATTACCGCCCTCGCCCTTCACCCGTCATTACAACAGCGGTATGCCGTCGCCGCCCTCCGTTGTCCCCACGGTACCCTCCCGATTGGGCCCCGGGGTGCCTTCCCCCACCCTCGCTGCGATGACAACCGTGTCCGACCTCCCGCCGTCGGCTTTTGCCATTTCCATGGCTTACAGCAGTGCCCCGGGTATCATCTGCGCGGAGGGCGACGCCGCTGCGCGCACCACCCAGTGCGGACCCCAGCAGCAGCAGCAGCAGCAGCAGCATGGCAGCGGGGAGGATCTCACGGGCAGCCCCACCGCTGCAGAGCTGCTAGCGCTGCTGGCGGGGGCAGGCAGCGGAGGGGACGGCGCGCAGGGCAGCACCGCAGGTGACGGCCCTTCTGATCTCTTCGGCCTTCCCCCCATCAGCGCACCTGCCACCCTGCCGGCGCGCGGCATGGACCGTGACCCTCGGCTGCGGAGGAGCTCCTCGCGCGATCTGGGCGCCATCTTCATCAGCGGTGTACGGCAGGGTGACAAGAGGGCTGCGTCCGCGAAACACGCTGCGAGAGATGCATGTCAGCCACGTGGTGCGGCTGCGGCTGCGGCTGCGGCTGCGGCTGCTGACGGAGGAGATGGTGGCGGTGTGCTCAGCGGCCTGCAGCAGCGCGAGTCCAGTCGCACACGAGCGCACACCTACCACGGATACCAGCTGCAGCTGGCCTCCGCGCCGGCTCCGCTTGCGGGCGGCAGGCGGCGCTCGACGCACGCGGGCTCGCAGCACCCGCAGCCGCCGTTGCCGCATGCTGCGGGGCAGTCGATGCGTGCGGTCCGGCCGGCCACCATGAGCCTGGTGCACTCGCGCACTCAGGCGCTGGAGTTGATCCCGCTGCCGGCCAAGCTGCCCGAGGTGCGGCTACTCGAGGGCCTTTGTGTGAGGGGGGCCGGTTGAGGGGGTGGCTTCTGGACTGCCTTGGGTCGTCTGCGCGTGTGTGTTAAGAAATCTGGCCGCGAGTAGGAACGTACTGTGATTGTCGGAAGATGAAGTCCCCACAGAACCGCCACAGGAGCCGAGGAATATGGTAGCGTACGTAGCGCGTGTGTGTATGTTAAGAAAACTGGTGTGTGTGTGTGTGTGTATGTGTGTGCCGTTTTGGGTGTTGCTCTGGCTGTGGTGCTCCGGGAAGGTGTGTGGGTGCTTGTGCCTCCTACCTCCGCCACCGCTGCTTGCAGCTGCTTCCAGAGCTCTGCACCCAGCGATGTCTTACACACCTGCCCCTCCCTGTTTGCGGGTGCCCGCCTCGCAGGTGCGCCAGACGTGGCGTCAGCTGTGCGCCGCCAACTGGCCGCTGCTGCCGCAGCTCCCGCGCGCCTGCAGCACTTCCTACGACGCCCCGCGACCTGCTGCGGCTGCTGCTGCTGCCGGCGGCGGAGGGCTGGGGCCGCTGCAGCCGCACCCAGAGGCTGAGGGCGACGAGGAGGAGCCGGCCGCGCCGCCCAGCCGCCCCCAGCTGCTGCCCGCCGGCTCCAGTAAGGCGCTCAATAAGGGGGCGACACTGCTGTTCAGAGGGTAGGTGGGGGGGCAATGGGGGGCCTGGGGGGTGCTGCCGGGCTGATGTGAGAGCTGACTGGGGGAGGCTGGTCCGCCGCCCTGCGTGTTGTCCGGCTGGTGGGTTGGTCCCCCGTGCGTGTGGTGTGTCGTGCGGGGCTCGGATGTTGCAGCATGCCGACCCAACACGGTGCTGCCGCAGTGCTGCCGTTCCGAGCACTTGGCGGCATCGCTGCTTCTGCTGCACCCAGCCTCCACCTTAACCCTATCCGCGTGTTCCTTTCCCTGCACCAAGGGTTCCCTTGCCCCGCTCCCCTCCGCCCCTGTCCCCGTACCCGTCCCCGTCCCCCGGTCCAGGTGCCGCGTGCGCATGGGTCTGCACACCGGCATCCCGCTCACCACCGACGTCACCTTCAACCGCACCACGGGTCACATGGCGTACAGCGGCTTGCCCCTCAAGGTGCGTGTGTTAAGAGAACTGGCCGCGAGTAGGAACATACTGAACTGTCGTAAGATGATGCCCCCACCAAAACGCCAGGGGAGCCGCCATGTGTGCGTGCGTGCGTGCTGCCTGGCTGGCTCCCTGCTGATGAGTTCGTACCGCTAGCAGCAGCGCTAGCGTGACCATAGCGTGGGCATGTCCTGTCTCACATCCTGCTCTGCATGGGAGCCCTTTACGCACGCTTTCCTCATCAGTTTCCGTAAGCACGCCCCCTCGCCACCCTCCGCCCCGCCCACACCCTCTCCCACCCTCCCCCCAGACCGCCAAGGCGGTGGGCGACTGTGCTGCGGGCGGCAGTGTGCTGCTGTCCAACACCACCTTCAGCCTGGTGGCTCCGCACCTGGCGGAGCTGCCCGGACATGCGCAGGCGCTGTACTGCGGGGATGCGCAGGTGGGTGGTTGGGTGGGGAAAGAGGACGACCGGTGTATCCCTCACCCAAATCGCCCTGACGTTGTGCTGGCTGGTTGCCCTGGCACGCCCCGCACCCCACCCTGCTGCCCTGACCTCGCTCCTGCCGCGCCGCAGATCGAGCTGAGCATCCGCTCTCTGTATATGTTGGTGGGGCGGGAGCAGCAGCCGCGGCTGGGCTACCTGCCGCCGCTGCGCAACCTGCGCCTGCTGCAGGTGGGTGGGGGGGCGGGTGGGGGCGTCTACCGCGCCCTAGGGCGGGCGGACTGCATCGCCACCCCGCTAGGCATGCATTTGCCTGCCTGCATGCATGCGCGCGTGCCCGTTTGTGCCTGCTTCTGAAACAGCAGCAGCAACGCGCTGCTTCCCCGGCCCAACCCGCAGCGACTATACAGCATGTACATCAGCTTTGCCTTGCCTCCCCCCCTTGTCTTGCCCTCACTTGTGGTGTGGCTGCCGTCCGACCCCCGCAGCACGGCAACCTGGAGGCGCCCACGGGCACGGTGGCCATCTGCTTCATGACAGTGGCGGGGGCCACCAAGGCGGTGGCGGAGCTGGGGCAGCCGGCGGTCAGCGCACTGCAGCAGTTCAAGGTGGGCGCGAAGGGGCGGAGGGGCGGGAGGACAAGGAGGGCGAGGAGCTACCGGTAGAGATTGGCAGGGTAGACGGGATGAGACCGAATCTGCAGCGAGTGGTAGGGGTAGTGGGCACTCTTCACACACGCGTCCCAACTGTCTTGGCATGTGCTGAGTAGCAGCTTGCTGCGGGATGTGTCTTGTTGAGTATGCTGTTCTTGCCAAAATGACCCATGGGTCACGTGCAGACCATTGTAACCCACGAGTGCTACGGCTGCGGCGGTTTTGTGGTGGAGGCCACGGATGGGCTGTGTTTGGCGGCGTTCATGGAGCCGGCCGCAGGGGCCATATGGGCCCTGCGCTGTAAGGAGGTGCGTCGCCTCCCGGAGGGGCCGGGGTCGTGGGAGAGACTAAAGAACACGTAGAGGAGGGTTTTGTAGTGACAATTGAAATCCTTTTTGATAGAAGGCGAAGAACGCCGTGATGCCTAACGTTGCACCCTGACATTGCAAGCAAAGGGAGCTCCCTTCACGTTGCTGGAGCTCCATTCCGCAACCACCCCCCTTGTCGTACCCCCTCTACACGCCCCCCGTCCCCCATCCCACGCTCCTTCTGCCGCCTATCTGCCGTACTGCACCCACCACCCGACCAGGCCATCACGGCTCACAGCTGGTCGCGCGAGGTCCTCTCCTCGCCGCACTTCCAAGAGGTCAAGGAGTACACCAAAATATACCGGGGCCGCGGCCTGCCGTCGCGGCGCGTGGCGCATGTCCTGTACCGCGGGCCGCGCATCCGCACCGGGATAGCGGTGGGTCCCGTTACCGCAGAGGTGTCCTCCTCCACTGCGCGGCTGGCTTACCGCGGCAAGGTCATGAACCGCTCCGCACGGGTGGCATCCAAGGCGGCGGACAACCAGGTGAGGTGGGGTACACGCGCGGTGTGAGGGTGCTGGGCCCGTACAGGGGCCCGGCGGCTGGCGGGGGCCTGGAGGTAGCGGTATAGCGGCAGAGCTAGTGCATGTTACAGCTCACAGCGCTGTGACACCCCCCGGCTGCAGTAGCTCCTGCTTTTGCACACATGAGGGAGAGCACATGTAAGCTGCTTGGGACTGCGGGTGTTTCGCCTGGCCTGTGCTCTCCTCCTCCACCTCCACCTGCTCCGCCTTCTTCTCCTGCTCGTAGGTGCTGCTGTCCTACGCCGCATGGCAGCGGGTGGTGGCCACAGTGGGGCTGCATGCGCTGGCAGAGGACATGCACCCCGGCAGGAACGAATCCACAGGCGGCAGGCAGCCCACCGCCGGCAATGGCGGCGGCATCTCCCCAGCAGCAGCACCCACCCCTCATCCCACCCACGCCGGCTTCACAGCGAGCGGTGGCACCAGCCCCACCCTCTGTGCCAGCCCCATGCCCCATGCGGGCGGTGCCCCGCTGCAACAGGTCCCCAGCGCGACCTCCGTGTCGGGTATTGTCCCGGCGGCTGCGGCGGCGGCGGCGCCCAGCAGCGGTTCCGGAGCGCCCCGCAACCTGTTGTTGATGGCGGCTGCGGCTCTGCTGCACGACGAAGGCGACCCGGAGGAAGCAGAGGCGCTGTTGGCAGCGGCCGCGGAGGCGGTGGCGGCGCTTCCCTCGCTGCCGGCAGGGTTTGCGCTGGCAGGGAGCAGTGCGGGTGTGTTCACGCTCAAGGGGGTGCCGGAGCCGCAGGAGCTGTTCGAGGTGAGGATGGAGGCGGCGCCGCCGGCAGCGGCCGCTTCTAGGCCAGGTGGTGCGGCTGCCGGCGGGTCGGACGCGGGGAGGCTGGCGGCGGCGGCCGTGGACTCCGCACCCCGGCCCGACATTCCTTCCCCCTCACCCAGCGTCTCCACCACCCACACAATGTCGGCCACGTTCACTCGTGTGCCCTCGCATGCGGCCCAGCAGCAGCAGCAGCCCCTGCAGCGTCCGGACGGCAGTGTGAGCGCCTCCTCCTACGCCGCCGCCGCCGCCGCTAGCAGCAGCCAGCCTGGAGGAGCCATACCGTCAGCGGCGTCTGGCGGCGCAGGGAGCCGACTGCAGCGGAGCTCTCAGGAGTTCAGCCCGGCAGCAGCAGCAGCTCGCGGGACAGAGCGAGGGACGCTCAGACAGCTCCAACAGACTGCGCCACATGCCGTCCGCCAGGCGACGGCGCGTGCGGGCGAGGCTGCGCCCGCGGGGCTTGCCGACCCCCACCTGCACACGGCTGACAGCGTTGGTGCGATGCATGAGGCGGGCGGCGAGGATTCAGTGCCCCATGGGTCGTCCGTGCTTGGGAAGCTCGACTCCACTGAGCTGGCGCAGCTGCGAGCGGCGGCCGAGGAGGCCAGTGTGGCGGGGTGGAGTGCAGCGGCGGTTGACCCAGCCCTCGCAGCTTGTGGCAGTGTCGGCGGCAGCATGGTTGGCTGTGCAGAGACAGGGCTAGGGGATCAGGCGCCCAAGCCACCGGGCGATACCTCGGGTGCTGCCGCTGCCGTACCGCCCAAGAAGCCGCTGGCGGGGGATGCGCTGCTTGAGGCGATGGTGGCGGCGATGATGCAAGCGGAGGAGGAGGGCGAGCAGGCTGGCGGGCCTGCAGATGCAGGCGCGGAGGAGCCAGGCAGTGCCGCACATGGCTGATTGCCGACAGGAGGGGATGGCTTTGTACGGCCGGCCGCTGCTGAGGCGCCAGGATTGGAGGGATTGCAGTGTGGTCGCTGGGGCGTGCAGGAGCAGGGCCTCTCGGGGTTGTCGTAGAGGTGGGTGGTCGTGAAGGACGGCTTGTCGACGTGCGCGCGCTGTTGAGATGAAACGCGAGTAACATGTGTGCTGGGAGGGGCTTATGAGCACAATGGTGGCTCAAGACCTAAGCCGGCGTTTGAAAGAGTGAAGAAGAGAGTTCAAATGTCAATGCAGTGAAGGCGACAATGATGGTTTTGCTCCACGTGACTGAGGCACAGGTATTTGCACCTTACCGGTATCTTACGTTGGTCGGACTCGATAGCTTTCACGTGCATGATACACATGCAAACGGAATGGTTAACAGGGTTATGGTTCGAAGTGTGGTGGCGGAGAAGGGTTCCAACCTCGCTCACCGCTGCCCCTGAAAGCAGGATGAGTAGGTCAGGGGCAGATACAGGCGCAACTAAGACTGCAAGACAATGGAGATTGATGAGGAATGAGTACGGGTATGCTGCGTACAAATGACGTGAGTGCATTTCCTTTTATGCATTTTTGCACAAAGTTGCCGGGTATGTTGATACAACTGCCGCGACAGAGAGAAAGTGATGTGCTTTTATCGGTTTATGCCTGAGCCATTTTCATGGGTAGCGTGCCAGTTGCATGTGGCCCCGTGTCCGTTGCACCGTGTTTTATCCGCATCAGCGGAAATTTTGATGCGGAGTTGACCAGCCAGGGTTCAGTGTTGCTTAGCAGCAGGCGGCTTGGATATAGTCCAAGATTTATGTGGTGGTACATATAGGGCCTTTTGTTCAATTGCATGCCGGAGCGACAGAAGTATATGTTTACCCGGTCAATATACCGGCTTATGGGGAGGGGCGAGGGCCCGTGTTGTCCGCACGATGGCACTGACACCGACCCGCTGAGAGAGAACGAAAATGTTTAATATAATCACTTCCATTGTCAGCACATAGTGTGCAGCGCGGGCGTTGTTGTAGGGGTGTGTGGGGAGGCGCACTACTAAGATAATCCTGTATTGCAGTGGCCGCATTTGGTAGCTACCCCAACATCGAGGATTTCATGTAACCCCGTCATCCCCATGCACGTTTAATTGAGATACGAAGCGGGCGGGCAGGCCGCCCTTGCAGAGCCGCTGCCTGTTTGTGCACGGCGTTGCTGCTGCGTAGCTGCATGAGGCAGACCCTAGGCATGGGTTAGGGGACTTCCCGGTCGCTTGCTCCAACCCTCACTGAGCAGGGAGCTGGTAGCGCTATGCTGCAACTTGGGCCATGCTCGTCGTTTGTACAGCGGCTAGACGGTTGAGGGCTCACAGCCAGCCGGCGAATGGGGCTTGGCTGAGACCGGAGTATGCCGTGAGCCCTCTGCATAATACTCCTTATTTAACAATTGCATGGCCTGAAAGCTTGAAGGATGCCATGCCCTCGCGCGTCTCGGTTAACCGTACCGCAATTGACTCCCATCCACCCAACAACCGCACCGTCTCATGTTTACAGAGCTTATATTAGAAAGTGCACTAAGGTTTGGTAAAGGCAGGATAAAACGAAGGCGAAACCAAGGTGCGCTTGCATGCAGGTCACAGCTTCAGACGCAGTTCGTCGTGAACGTGCCCGTGTACACAAACATCGTAACCTTTTAGGTTACTTCGAAACAAAAAGGCCGTCTGTGTCTGTTTGCAATAAAATGCCGTACTCCGTGAATGGCAATGGGGTGGCTCTGCTGTCGTGCTGTACGCATTTGTCCAGTTGTTAGTATTGCTTGTCTAGAGCTAAGTTGAACGGTGTGTTTACTCTAAGGAACTGGGATTTTGCGTAAGAGCGCTTCTCGGCGGTGGCCGTGCCCTGAGCGCTGGCTTCCTCCGTGTAAAGGCGTAATGGCGCGAAAGTTTCTTCCCTTAATCCCCTTTAATATACGCTGCTTAACGTGAAAGAATTTTCTCACTGATTTCCCTAAGCTCCGGCATTTCCATGGTCTGAGTCAAATCGGCCAACGCGGTACTTGACAAAACATGTTCAGCTGTCTGCGTATACCCTGCTGTGATCGAGCAGCTCCGGGGGTGCTTTATGCCGACGGGGCTTCAAAGGAGTCTAGGCAAACACCTTCGCCGACGAATGCAAATGGTGCATCATCGGGGTCAGCCAGCGCGGCCGTGGCTGTCGCCAGCGGGATGTTCGCTAGCCGCTCTACCCCAAAGTCTACCTCGGCGCTTGCTGCGGACAAACATGGTTTGGTTGCGGAACCAGCTTGCCAAAGGGCTGGCTCCGTGGCTTCGCCCTTTAGCACATCCCAGCGGCTAGAGGATGCAGCACCAGGCACGCCTGGCTCCGCCCGGGCAACCACAGCAGCATCTCCATGCACTGCTGGAGGTAAGGGCTTTCACAAGGACTCAGCAGGAACCAGTAACGCCGCCCCAGCAAACCCCAGCAGCAGCGTCAGTCTCCCCAGCCAGAGGCACTGCCGTCCCGGTCACTCTGGCGGGACTCCGACACTCTCTTCGGGCCATGTCACCGGCGGCACGCACCACACCCTCAGCAGCAGCACTTCCATGGGCGGCGGCACGGCCACCCTCAGCCTAGCCGGACTGCCAACGAGCTGCGCAGGAGGGCAGGGGCTTGTATCCAGCCTCCTACGCAGCGAGGCCGGCACGGAGGTGACCGCGCGCCTGCCAGGCGACCTCTCCACCGCCGTGCCGCCCCCGCTGCTACTGGCCTCGGATGCCTCCACCAGCCGCCTGCTGGAGTGCCTCACGGCCGACAGCGTGGACAATGGCGGCAGCTCGGTCGCAGGCAGGCTGCCGGCGGGGGCATCTGTGGACCACGGCGCCTTGCCGACAATAGGCGCTGCTGGCGGTGGGAGGGCCGTACCGCAGAGGTCGCCTGCTGCGGCCGGGCAGGGCTTCTCGATATTTGGCGCGCTGCAGGTGTGGCAGGTTGCCTGGACGGTCAGCTGGTTGTCATGCATTTCCGTCCGGTCAGGGCGTGCTGCGTGCCGCAGCCCGCCGAACTGCCAGCTAGGGATCTGGCAGCGGCTCTCACATGGGGGCAACCGATGAGAGGCATCCCGCGCATCGCGTCATGCCTGGCTCCCGCGCCTGCATCCCCTTCGCTTCACACCTGTGTCCGTGTCCGTAATCGGCATGCGTGACCCGATCCACGCCCCTGGCGAGCACCCCACTTTGCCGCATGTCTCCCATGTGACACCCTGCCCGCACCCGACCTGACCACGTGGCGCCCCTCCCCCGCATGCAGGCCTTTGTTGAGCAGTCCAACGCAGTCTTCCCCGCTGCCGGCAGTGTGGCCCGCGGCTGCAGTGCCGGCAGTGCGGGCATGCACCCGCAGCGGCACGCCTCCACCGCCACCAGCCACGAACACTTCCGTGGCTTCAACCCGGCGCTCTCAACGGGAACCAGCCACGACGCGCCCACCGCCTCTCTGTACCGGGTGGGTTGGGTGTTGCAATGTGTGCAGGCGTCGCACAGGGGAGCAGTCGCAACTGCTTGATGATGGTCGCAACCGCTACACCTGCGCGTACTGCGTACGGCAGTGGCATGTGCGTTTCTCTTACCGTACTGCTGTCTTTGCTTGCTCTTCCCTGTTTGCACAGAGGCATGCGGGCCCCAGCAGCCGTGGTGGCGGCGGTGCGGGCGCTCCGGCCGACACCACCACCGGCAGCCCCAGCGCGCAAGCCGTTCTGGGCTCCAACACCCTCCTCAACACCACCGCGGGAAGCGATGCGCTGCAGGCTGCGGGCCTGATCATCGGCGGAATGCAGTTGGAGTCCACACACAGCAGTGCGCACTACAGGTTGGCGCAGATGGGCGCTGCGAAGGCGCCGGCGGCGGCGGCCGAGCGGGTGACGTTGGCAGACGAGGATGATGGTGTCAGTCTGGGTCAGCAGCTGCCGGGTCTGCACTCCTTGGACGGCGCGACGTCCTTCCTCAGCGGACCCAGCAACCTGCACTCCTTTGACGAATTGTACGGCAGGCATCACCATCCCGGCGGAGGACAGTCGGGCTTTTTTGCATGCAACGCCAGCAATGACGCGGACGGCAAGAGCCGCCACGACAACGTGCTTCCCTCCGCGGGCTGGTACGGCGCCGCCGGGGCAGCGGGCGAGCAGGCGGGCGGCGGGCAGCGCGGCTGGCGCATGCAGCGGACGGCGGAGCGACGGGAGTTCCTGTCCGCGGCGCGCTGCATCAGTTCCGTGCTGGGGGACGTGCAGATCGTGTCAGTGCTCGGGGCAGGGGCGCATGGGAGGGTGTACAAGGTAGGTGGCGAGGGCGAAGCGGGGACAGTGGCAGGCTTGGCGGCGGGCTTGGTGGGCTGCGCTTGGGAGGTCGCAGCTAGGAGCATAGCGGGCATTGTGTGCAATTCGGCACATCCGGATAGCAGGAATGGTGCCTCGCACTTCGTGTTTGCGTTCATGGATAGCGCCTCGTGACGCGCTGTTGCTCTGCAAATGCTGTTGAGCATGCAGCCATGCCCTCAGCTGGTCGCTGTGCGTGCCTGTTGCCCGGGTACACAGGGCCTGCTGCGGGACCGGCTTGTGGCGGTCAAGGTGATCATTCACGAGGCGGATACGGCGCCCTTCGTAGCGGGCAGCATCGGAAGCGGCATCGCGCGCCCGGCTCCCTCCAACTCCCAACTGGGCCGTGTCTCGGGCGGCGGAGGCGGAGGCGGACCCTCCGGCTCGCTGCCCGGCTCCTCCAGCCTCCCATCCGGTGCTGCCGGGCTTCCAGCCGCATGCTGCGCCGAGTCCACTCCCTTCGCAGCCTCCACTCGTCAATCCGCCTCAGACTCTGCCGGGACGGCGGGTGCGGACGCAGCAGCAGGCGGCGGCGTCGGCGGCGTCTGCCCGCCGCCCCACAGCAGCTGCGGCAAGCTGAGCCGCAGCGACAGCAGCTCCCGACCCGCCATGCACTCGCTGCACTTCCAGCGCGCCGGCTCCTCTAACCTGCATGCGCTGCCCATGAGTGCGGGGGCGCTGCATGCTGCGGGCGGGTCGGCGCTGCCGCTACTGTCCCTGCCGGGGCTGGCTCCGGTGGTGATGCCGCACAAGCACATGTTGGAGGGGCTCATCTCGGCCAGCGCGCACCACCCCAACATCGTGGAGACCTACCGCATTGTCACGCAGCTCACCAGCGCACCCGCCATGCCGGCGTTCGTGGTCACCCGCGGCTCGCAGACGCCGCTGTGGGACACCGCCAACCTGCCGGCAGCAGCGCTGCTGGGCATTTCCAAAGCCGACCGCAGCTCTGGAGGCGGGGCGGGGCCGCCGGTGCTTGCAGCATTCGGCGGCGCGGGTAGCGTGCACGCCGGCAGTGGTGGAGGTGTGGGGGTGGGCGGTCCGTCCTTTGGCAGCAGCGGGACACCGGGTCGGCCGCAGCGCCTGCAGCGCGCCAGTAGCCTAGGCCCGCACAGGGATCAGGGCGCCAGGCCGCCGCCGCTGGCGTCGCCGCTGGGGCTAGCAGGCCGGAGCACCGCCGCCGAGGCCAGGCAGCGGTCTCGCGGCAGGAGCACCGGCGGCGAGGGCAGCGAGGGGCCGCCCGACCTCGGCGCTAGTCCGGGCAGCGAGGGCGCAGAAGGGCGGCAGGCGGCGGAGGCAGCGAGCCCCGCCCGCAGCCCTTGCGGCGACGCTGCTGCGGCTGGTGCCAGGCCGGCGGATGCGGGTGTGCGGCTGCTTGGTGCTGCCGCGGCTGCTGGCGGCCCTTCCGAGGGGCATCCCTTCAGCGCAGTGTGGCAGCAGCACGCCGGGGCGAGTGGCGCCTGGGTCAACGCCTCCAGCGCCACGTCTGGTGTGAGGATGAGTCATGCAGGGCCCTGCACGCGGGGACCCCATGCGCATGCGGCGTACTTGCCGGGTGGTCCGGAGGCCGGGGTGGCGGGGCTGGTCGGCCGGCCGGGGCCGCAGCTTGGGATGCTGGCGGAGGAGGATGCGGAGGGGCAGCTCTCGTCAGGTGGGCGGGCGGGAGGCCGTGGCAAGGGGGCTAGCGAGCGCGTGCATGTGCGGTGGACTGTTGGCGGGTACACCCAGCCGCATGTAGGGGTCGTAGGCGGTAGGGGTGAAGGTGTCCTACGTCTGCATTGAAGTCGTCATGCACCGAAACCAACTATGGCCTGCCTGTCGCGCTTGAGTCGAGTTCTCAACCCTGCCCATCAATCCTGCCCATCTATCTTGCCCATCAATCCTGCCCGCCCGCCCCCAGGGTGTCACATCCTGGCGGCCTCCGACAGCACACCCTGCATGGTGGACAAGCAGCTCGGCAGCAGCAACGCGGCCACCCACAACAACATGGGCCCCCGGAACGACAGCACGGCGGACAGCGTGTTAACTGGGTTCCTGGGGAGCAACGCTGGCAGCGCCACCGCCGGCAGCATGGCTGGCGGCGGGTTGGCCCTTCCGTTGCGCGATAACTCGACTGTTTCGGTTTCGGGGCTGGTTCGCGGAATGGGCTCATCTGGAAGGGGCTCGGCGGATCGGTCGGCGCGTGGGAGTTTGGTCGCCACCGCTGCGGAAGAGGCAGCCATGCCGGGAGCACCTGTTCTCCTCGCACCGGCCACCGGCAGCGGCCACCGGAACAGCAACAGCTTGTCATTGCGAGCTGCCGAGGGGCAGGAGCCCCATGCCCCCACTGCCGGCCGCGCTAGCAGCCCTCAGCCTCTCGCAGGAGTACTAGCGCCCGGACGCCGACTAGCGGAGGCCGACGCTACGCACAACGACACAGCCTTCAACGCTGTAGGCTGCGCGGCGGAGGTCATCACCACCTTCTCAGGAGGCAACAGCAGCGGCGGCGCCACCGCCGGCTGCTCCCCCTCACCCAAGGGTCTCCGCAAGGCTGCGGCAGCGCCTGCGGCGGGGCTGGTGGCCCAGGCGGCGCGGAGCAGCCTGGGCGGCGCCTCCGCCAGCGCGGGCGAGCAGGACAGCGCGGAGCTGATCCTGGACCTGCTGGGCGCGCAGGCGGCGGCGCAGCGCAGCCACAGCTTCCTGCAGCGGCAGCGCCTGGCGCAGCAGCAGCAGCAGCAGGGCGCCATGCAGCGGGCGGGGCAACTACCGGCAGCATCGCGCGGTGCGGTGGGTCGTGGGGGTAGCGAGGAGCTCGATGCGGCGCCGCAGACGTCGCCCGGTGGGCCCTCAGCCGCTGCATCACCGCTAGCTGTCGGGCTGGCGGAGGCAAGCGCCACTCGCGACGCTGCAGCAGCAGGCGGTGAGGGCCACAATGCAGGCAGCGCCCTCTCCTCCATCCCGCTCGCCAGCTTGGAAGCGCCATTGGGGGACACGTCGCCGCCCTTTGACTACATGCTACCGGACGAGTACGGCGCCACGTCAGTCAACGCCTACAACTTCGGCCTCTCTACCGCGCTCTTCTCCTCCTATCGCACCAGCCACGAGCCCGCAGAGTACGGCAGCTTCTCCGGCGCTCAGCCCGGCGGGCCCTTCGCAGCAGCGCGGGCCTCGCCCCTGCAGCCGCCGCCGCCGCCGCCGCCGCCTCTTAGCGGCAGCAGCCCGCACAGCGGCGACACCGCCGGGGGCCCGCCCTCCTCCAGTGGCGGGGGAACTGGCGCTAAGCGGCGAGCCGAGCCCTCCAGCTCCGCCCCGCATCGCACGCTCACGCAGTCCAGCTCCCAGCACGCGGACTCCTCCACCTCCAGCTTGTCCATCCCGGGGGTGGAGGCCAGCCTGGCGCTGCCGCCGCCGCTGCTATCCAGCCCCCCGCTGCTGGACTCCCTCTCCGCCATCCCAGCGCTCGTCCTCTCCTCCCCCGGCGGTAACGCCAACGGCAGCATGTCGGTCTGGCTGCCAACCATAGACGAACTGACCGCGGGTGTGAGCGGCGCCCCGCCCTCGCTTGGCGCCGCTGCTCCCAGCACCACCGCTCGCAGCAGCGCGGGCAGCACCGCCCGGCCGTCCCTGGTGCGCACCATCTCGGCGGGGTCGGGCGACCAGCAGCAGCACAGCGGCGGCGGCGCATGTACGGCAGGCGGCGGCGGCGGCGGGGGCCATGCATCCGGCTCCGTAGCCAGCCTGCCCAGCGCCAAGCAGGCTTCCCTGCATGGCAGCAACTACGGCGGGCAGCTGATGCCGGCGGAGGTGGCGTACGACAAGCTGTCCTGGAGCAACCACACCGCCACCAGCGCCAGCACCAACGCAATGCTCAACTCGGGCTTCACGGTGCTGCTGGCCTCCATCACGACGGGCGGGGGGTCAAACCAGGGAGCGGGAGGGGGGGCAGCAGGGGCAGCAGGCGGAGGCGGAGGCGGGCCGGGCGGCAACCTGGGCATTCTGGGGATGCGGCGGCTGGAGAGCGGACTGCTGCTGGGGCAGGCGGGGCTCATTGTAAAGGTAGGGGGCAACTTGGGAGGCCAGCAGCAGCCTGAAGCAACACCGGGGGTGCGGCGCCTTGGCGGGTGGCGTGTTGGGGGACGGCGTTGTGCGGTGAGACGCAGTGGCAGGGCCGCCGCAGCTATACACAGTGGTTACGTTGCTTGTCCCAGATCCGCATGTGGGCGAATGCGCCCAAGGCACCTGCCTGGCCCAGTGCCGGTCTCCCTCCCTCCCCTACCACGGGCGGTACCCATAATACCCCCTCCTCCGCCCCTCCGCTCCACTCACCCATGTACCCCTCCCCGCTCCTCCTCCTCCTCCCCCTCCCATTCCCTAATGCGGAATATGTATCCCTATTGATTCCCTTTCCTCCCGCCCATATGGGATTGGGACTCGTTGCTGCACATATCATTAATCCCCCCCCCCCTCGCAGCGTGCCGCTAGCACCGCCTCCAGCACCGCCACCAACACAGCCACCGGCACCGACATGGGCGGCCCGCCCGGCCCCGCCAGCAGCATCACCCGCGCCGGCTTCGACTCGCATCCGGGGCGCAACAGCAGCGCGACGCACCTGCCCGCGGCGGGGGAGCACCTGGACATGCGGGCGCTGCTGGCGGGGCCGCTGTCGCGATCCTTCACGGACGCGCGCTCCTCACGCACCGGACTAGCCATGCAGCGCCGTGCAGCAGCCAATGCGGCGGCCAGCCTGTTGGGTGGTGGCGGCGGCGGGGTGGGGGGGCTGCATGGCGCGGGAACCTCCTCCAGCGGCATGGGGACGGGGGGAGGCGGTGGTGGCGGCAGGGAGCGGTGGCAAGTGTTTATCGTGCAGGAGCTGTGCACGCGCGGCAACCTGCGGGACGGCATCGCCTCGGGCGTGTTCCACTCCACCAACGTGGCTGCGGGGACGCAGGTGCGAGTGGGGATGGGGATGGCTCTTGTTACCGGACCCGAGGGGGGGGCCGGGGGGGGGGTAAAGGGCATTATACGGTAAGCGCCCGGCTCTGTGGCTGCGCGTGGTGAAGAGGACCACCTAAATTGCAAGCATGCTTGCAGCTGCCGCTTGAGCCCGCCCCGCCCTTGGTCTTCTTAACTTCTCGTCCCCTCCCCCTTTTCTTTGCACCCAACCCCGCTCCCACCCCCGCCTCCTCCTCCTGCCGCCCTCCAGGTGATTGCCATGCGGCAGCTGCTGGATACGGCCGCCGAGATCGCCTCCGCGCTGGCCTACCTGCACAGCCGCGCCATCGTGCACGGGGACCTCAAGACCGCCAACGTGCTGCTGCAGGTGGGGGAAGGATGGCGAGAGGAGGGGAGGGGAGGAGAGGGCCTGGAGTCATCTGCGTCGCCCCCTGTCACCACCGCAACCGCCGCCGCCGTAGCAGCAAGGACCATTGGAGCGGAGCTGCCCAGCCGCCAAGCGTTAGCCCCATGAGACATAGCCTTGCACAGTTGTTGTAAATACTGTTTTTGTTTTATCGAAACCCACTTGTCGTGTTGCTGTCGAAGTGTCGATGCGTCGTGCACCCTACCGCGCGTCACGCCCGCCTCCACACCCGCTCCCACCCACTCCCACCCGCAGCGCCAGGACACCGACCCGCGCGGCTTCATCGCCAAGCTGGCTGACTTCGGGTTGGCTCGGCAGCTGGGTGCGAGCGGCTCCGCGGAGGAGGGGCTGCTGGTGTCGCGCATCGGCACTGTGACCCACATGGCGCCCGAGACCATCCGGGACAACATGGTGGGGCCAAAGACCGGGGGAGGGGGAGGGGGAGAGGCCGGGGGGGAAATTGCCGGTGTACCTGACTAGCTGCCATGCATGACTTAGAGCAGCTGCAGTTCCAGCCTACGGTAGCCTGCAGGGGGGGTGCGTGACCGTTGAAACCCTGGGGGGGCCACCGTGGCTGCGGCCACCTTTTGACCGTGCGTCTTCAGTTCGTCAGGCGGCTCCAGCACCCCCTCCCTTCTTTGTGCCGCCCCACCGCCTGTGTGTCCTCTGGCTTTTGTTGCCTTCTGTGCCCACTTCCACAGCCCCACCCTGTGTTTGCCCTTGCCTTCCCCCCACGCGCGCTGCAGGTGCTGCTAAGCAGCGATGTGTACTCGTTCGGAGTAATCATGTGGGAGCTGTACTGCGCGCAACAGCCCTTCGCGAACTACACCGCGTTCCAGGTAGGGAACAGTCGGCTGTGGGTTGGGCAGGGAGGTTGTTGGGGCTGCGTCTATCAGCGCGCTCCTCGGGTGTATGTCTTTGGAGGGAAGGGGGTGCAGTAGTCGCTTGGCGCTGTAGCCTGGTTCAGCGATTCTACCCTCACTGCCTTGCTGTTCGGGTACGGGTACTGCAGCCCGGCTCGTGTGCCTAACGTACCCAACCAGCCCTGCTCTTTAGGGTTTCGTGCAAGTGGCTCACACTGCATGCGGTGCACTTGTTGACGAAAATCCTGTAGTTCTGGTACGGCAGCTCTTTTTCTGTCCTTTTGCCTTGTCGGCACAGCGTCTGTAGAGCAGTAATGCAGAGGCGCGTCCTGCGCCTTCTTCCCCAGTGTCCCCTGCCTGCCCGCCCACCTGCCTGCCTGCCCGCCTGCGCCCACAGCTGCTGTCGGCGGTGGTGCAGTACGACGAGCGGCCGCAGTTCCCCTCGCACTGCCCTGCCGCCTACGCCGCTCTGGCAGTGCGCTGCATGGCCAAGTCGCCCGGTGATCGGCCCACCTTCCCCGAGGTGGGTATGGGGGGGGGGTAGGGAGGGACTCAGGAGGAGTCATGCTTCTTGACGCTCTCCTCCGCCCCCTTCTATCGGTAGCTTGCATCCAACCACACCAGGAGCTTTCACCAACAGTCGCCACACATTAGGCACAGCATGGCATTTCCTTCTTTTTCCCCTTCCCTGTTTTGTGACACCCTGCCGCCTCCTATTGCCATTGCTTTGTCCTAACTTGTGGTGTTGGTTTTTCTCCCATCCTCCCTTCCCCGCCCGCCGCTGCTGCTGCTGCTGCTGCTGCTGCCGCACAGGTCCACAGGGAGCTGCTGGCGCTGCGCGACGGGCTGTTCGGCGGCAGCGGGCAGGGCACCATCACGGTGCCGCTGGCGCAGGCGCGCAGCGAGGCGACCCGCGTGCTGCAGAGCCACCTGCAGATCGTGTCAGGTGGGGGCGGGGCAGGGGGCGCCGGCTGCGAGGTACCGAGGTAACGCACGGTGCTTGGCTTGGCTTGGCTTGGCTTGGCTTGGGCGCCAGGGCCGCGTGAGCAGCCTGCTGCGGGCATACGGGCATGTACGGCACATGCCCTTCATCCAGGCCTCGTACATATTAGCTTCTGCTGGCAGGGGTGGCAGTCCCCCCTCTCTCTGACGCAAACCACACACGACGTGAACCCCCCTGCCCTGCCCTGCGCTGCCCTGCCGTACCCAGGTTCCGTGACGGGGGCTGGAATGATGTCGGGGCCGCTGCGGGAACACACGCACGACAGCACCGCCACCTCGTCCATCGAGTCCTGGGACGTCTACAGCCGCTCCGCGCGCCGCCGGGAGTGACACGCCCCTGCCTGGCTGCCTGCCTGCCTGATAGCCCCGTGTGTTGAAGAATCAAAGTGATGGCCACCCCCAAATGCCCATGTGTGCGATGGCGGCGAGTCCAGGGGTGGGTGGTGGCGCCCCAGGAGAGCCGTGCTGCAGCTGGGCGGAATGGCGGCAACAGCCAGGTGCTGAGCGTGCGTTAGAGCTGTTGCTAGCGGGGGAGGCTCTGGTTGGGAGGAGGAATGGGGGGTGGGGGTTTTTCATGGAGGGAAGGAAATGGTCTGAACGGACGAGCGGGATGCAAGGGATGATGAGATATCCTCGATTATGGCCGTACTTGGTACCATCAATGTCGTATCGCAGGTTGGGTGGGTGATAAAGTACCGGGGGGTCCGTTAATTTTGGTGTGTCCTTATGCCGTGTCTGGGAGGCTGTGTCTAGTCCCCTCCCGCCCCGGGTGCCTCCCATGCGCCCAGCTGCAGGTGTGACATGCGGGTTATTTGTATTGGAGGCGGAGTGAGGGCTGCGCGGGGGTCAGAGAGAAAACAAAAACCAAATGAAACCACAAGTTAGGGCAAGGTATTGGGGAAAGAAGACGGCGGGGTGCACGGGGGAGGGTCGCATACAGCGAGCGGCGAGAGAGTTGGGGGTGCAGCTCTTGTGTCGCATCCATGGCTGCTGATATCGCTTTGCGACATCATACTTCTGAGGCGCCGTACTGCAAGTCGGGATGAGCTGTGAAACCCTGCGTATGAACTTCAAACCTGTGAGACGCGTGAGTAGTCATCAGCAGCTATTCGAGTCGACGATGTTTCTGGCGCCATGCCCTGATGGCGCGGTGGCACTTGTGAATTTCTCCTCTTATGTTGTCGCCAAAGGCGAAGAACATAACGCCCGTTGAGGGTTGAGTCGCTGACTGGCGTGTTATGTCTTTCCGATGTGCCTGATCACTCCAACTACTAGTGCTGCTGTAGGGGGTCCGTTGAATTGTTGGCGGCTGCATATCTAAGGGGCGCAAACGTGGTAGGTTGCATGATTGATTTATTGTGCTAAAGTTACTGATGCGGGACTAGCTCAGGTTTAGCGTCTGGACTGTTATGTTGGCGAGGAAGCAGCGGCTCGCGCGGCAACACTCTCTCACCCGCCAACTGGCAGGTGGCTCCCGTCGGCGTGCGGGTTGCAGTTTTACCCTCATGTTCACCGCATATTATGATGCAATACTTGAGAAGGGCTTCATATGCGCCCAAGCGCTGCTTTCATTGGCCCTCCTCATCCAGCTTTTCCACGCACTTGATGACGACCGTTAACTTGCGGCCTCTCTGGTAGAGGGCCTTCGTTAATGAAAGAACATGTTTTGCCGTTGAAATTAACAGGACGTGCCTCCATAATCATGGGAAGCCTTCGCGGCTTCGGCGAATCGCTGGAACCTGGAAGCGCTCGAAAATGTACGACCAACCAACCTGCGTGCTAAGAGATTGCGCTCAAGCACGATGTCCGCAGTCATAGCCATTTCCGCTGAAGTGTTGTAAACGGAGCCGTTCTGCCTTTCGCTCGTAACGTCTATAAGAAGCCGTTTAAGTCATGCTAGAGTATGCAAGTCCAACTAGCCAGAGGCCCCTTCCTGATTGCGGTTTCATCAAGGAGCGGTCCCTGTCCGTGGAGAGCACAGTTACGGAAGAGGTGAGAGCGTATAGGTGCGCGGTCTGCAGAGCGCCTTTGGGTTGACGAGCATGTGACACCCATTCGGGTCTTGTCGCCCTCAGGTTTACATCGTTTCAGATACAGCTGCTGCTGAAGCAGCGGCCTTGCTTTACTACCTAAGGGCTGGCAAGCGTCGGCGAAAGGCGACCGATGCGATTGGCCGCCAAGAAGCGGACGAGTTATCTCAACTAGATGGGCACTCTTCATCGTCGTCTGGCTCAGGTAAATATCACATGTCATCCGACGGCTATTCCGCGGATTGGCCCCTGAGCCCTCGCCCTGATTCTGTTGTTACGCAGCCTGTTCTGGGAGAACGCTCCCAGAGAGGACTACAGCTATTTCTACTAGGCCACCTGTGCCATCTGGGACTCGCACGTATGTCTGGCGAGGGCCAAAGCGAAACCTGGTAAGGTGATATTTTGGGCACGTATCTGCTCAACGCAAGATATTTTGTGTACCTTTTGCTTGGCGCCCGTAAATGCACATTGCTTGCATTATTTAGTTGGATAGGTAAACAGCGGAGCCTTTTCATAAAGCAGTAAAGCCTGTTCGAGCACCCATCCATTTACCGGTACCTCCCTACGCCTCAACTTCCGGTGCGCGCGTTCTACCTCACATGTTCGTTCCGAACCTTCATGTAAAGGCCCTTATGTTAACGCATTTGCTTACATACCAGCCCTTTGCTGGCTAATGCCGCCTAGGGTTACTCCCCAACACAGCCGCTCCTCGCTTCCTGACCTCGCTCCCCGCAGCGCGCGCCCAGCCCCGCCACCGCCACCGCCTGCACCGCCCTCCAGCCCCCCAGCAGCGACCCGGACGAGGAGGACCAGCCAGCAGCCGCCGGGGGGCCCCCGGGGCAGGTACCGGGCGGCGCACCAACGCCGGGCCCCGAGTCAACCGCGCTAACAACACCCTTCGCAGCCGGTGTTCCCTGGAGCACTGCTGGTGGCAGCGCAGGCGGCTGTGCTGCTGCTGCTGCTGCTTCGGAGCGCACTGACCGCGACAAGGAGTGGGCCGCGCTCACCACGTGGCTGCGCATGAACCTGCACCACCCGCGCACCACCAAGCGGGAGGTGCTGTTTCTGGGGCACCAGCAGGAGGGCAGGTGCGGGCGGCTGCTACTGCTACTGCATGCGGCCTGTGATGTAGCCCGTGATGCGACATGCCTAGGGCTGCTGTGTGTGTGTGTGTGTCTGAGTGACATGAGCGCATGACTGGCCCTGACTGGGCTGGATGCTTGCACGCAGGGGCTGGCACTTCTTCCTGAATCCGGCACTCGGCTGGGACGACGTGAGTCCGGAAACCAAGATGCGGCTGCGCACACTGCCGCAGGAGACGGTGAGCGGGGAGGAGGTGGCAGCGGTGGCGGTGGTGGGGCTGCGGGCGGGGAAGAGGGTGTTCCGTGTCGTGTCATGCCTAGTTGTGTTGTGCCTGCCAGCTACACTCGCGGCGGGCCGTGGTACGGTACTCTGCCGGCTGCTGCTTGATTGCTTGGTCGCCCCAACATTAGTGGCCGCAGTCATGGTGTGTTTGGGGGCGGTGGGGCGCGGGGCAGCAGCACACTAGTAGCAGAGTACATGCTTTCAACCCCGCTCGGGCCGCATCAGCAATTCAGCATGCAAAACCCTGTGTGGGATTGGTAGAAGCTCACGCGTTACCCCTCGCACGCCTGCCCTCCCCCCCCCTGCCGTCCCCCTCTGCGGCCCTCAGGAGCTCGCCTTCGCTCGCAAGTACCCGGGCAAGCCGGAGCGCGACTGGGTCAAAAAGACTCAGAAGTACCGGCCACCCGGCTGCTCGGTCACGTACGCAGTGCCGCTGGCGGAGATGGTGGGAGGGCTGTAGGGGGCAGGAAGGAGGGGGCGTGCGTTAGCCTGGGACCATGGGAACCATGGGTGGCTGCAGCACCCTGCTGCACCCTGCGCACATGTCGCCCAGCAACCGCTTTGGGACACCGGCCGCCCATCCCCGCAGCATAGGGGGCTGCTACCGGTACCGTACCCACTCGGGGCCGCCCGCAACCTCCCAACCTACCAGTCGACATCTTCCCTAGAACTTCCTGCAACGGGGGCGCTCTGCTCCCTTCCTACCTCCCCGTCCTCTCTTCCCCTTCCACTACTTCTTTTCCTCTCCCTCCCCTCCCCTCCGCAGGTCTACTCCCTCACTGCCATCTACTACCGCTTTGAGGGACGACCCGGCACCCGCACCGCCGCCCCGAGGGGGGCAGCAGCGGCGGCAGCAGCAGCAGCCGACAGCCCCGGCGGCGCTACCACTGAGTCCTCAGAGCAAGCGGACTAGCAGAGCAGCGTTGTCTCCTGACGTCGTTTGCATTGTGAGATGTGTTGGCGTCAGGGTGTTCTGGGAAGTTGCTAGAGTCCGAGCGGAATGGGGTCAACGTTTTGAAGGCTGCGGATAGGGGGTTGTTGTTTGCGGGGGGGAATAAACGCTAAGTGCAGCTAGGGAGGGAAGGGGAGGGGAGGGGGCCTCAGACGTCCGTTATCAATCTACATAGCGTCATCATGGGTTCGCTCAGGTGCTCGGAGTGGCGAGAGGGCGTGAGGTGAGGGAGAGGGATTACCCTGGAAGAGAAAGCACTGCAATCGTCATACGATGTGAGGGAAGAGAGAGGCGACTGTGCGCCTGGCAGGCGACATAAAAGGAGAGTTGGCGCGGCAATACTAATGCGCGATGTCAGTATTTCAAATGTAGTACGCAAATTGTAAAGAGGTGTGGAGGTGTGTATTTCAATTCATGGCCAGAGGGATGCCTTGTGAGCTGGTGAGATGTAGCTGGTGAGCTGTTTTGTACAGAGTTGGCGCGTGTGAAGTCAAGCTACATAGGTGGGTTGGATGTGTGTTTCGTACAAGCCCGTGGACATGATTTACACGGTGAAGCTAGCAATACGGCCCGGGTGTCTCGTTTTGGAGTTGAGAGGGTTTATGACGTTTTTAATGGCGCCTCGAAACGACCTATAATGATGTCCCGCCCAGTGCGTTTGCAGCGTTCTTGGCGGGGCATCGGCCGGCAACCCCACTCTTGGGGTGCCTCCGGCACGGCTTTCAAAAATGCGTCCCCAAGGGACACATCCAGCGAGGGCACAGATGTGTCCCTTTGGGGGGAGCGCGTGCGAAGGCATTTACAAGGCGAGGACCTTGCTTGCCGCCTGACTCGGTGCATATCTACAGTGCATGCGCGTTATGGTTGCGCAATCCGTGCCGCACGTGTTTGGTTTCATCAGCCTTGCAACCCCCTGTGTTCGTAGTGTTGTGAGTGTGCTGTGCTGGAGTGTGCTCTCGCTCACGCAATGCAGCCCGGTTGTATGCATCCGTAAACGGCTTGTTGGGGGGCTTTCATTGATGTTGTTGTGCAACCCTGTTCCTGATTTTGGTAGTATTTAATACTCGTTACTCTGTGAGCCCTGTTTACATGCAGTTGTAGGGCTGCATGCCTGCTCTGTTTGGCGTTGCTGGTGATGGAAGATGTTTGTTGTTGAGAATATGACTTCTGTACAGCGCCAGTACGGCGGCGGTTATCTCTAATTGTATGGGAGTTGGTCGTTGGTCGTTTGGAGTCCGGTCTCTAGCGTGCTTAGCGAGCAAAGCACGGTGTCTAGTACTGTTCGTTTTCACTGGTTCTTACGTGAAGTGCGCGGTGCGCCAGGATGCGCCCCGGCTGAGATAGGGACTCCGTGCTGAGTAGGCACTGGTACAGGCACCACTGCGTCGCACGTGCGTTTGCTGGTTTGGCTGAGGTGGCGGGACTACATATTACCATGGTAGCTCTGCCTAGTGCACGTGGCAACGTGCGACACCTGTTTCGTTCTGCATATCACTGAAAGCAGAGTGTTTGGACGCTGACTGGTAGACATGTAACTTCGTCCAGTTTCTTTGTCCTTGGTGAAAAGACAAACAAGACTAATTTCACCCGGTTCAGCGCGGTTGTGTAGGGTTAAAACCTGTCGTACCGAGGTACGTGGCATGCGACACATGAAAACCAACCCATCAGCCACCGCCCCACGTGTCCTCAAGCAAAAAAGACGCAAAAGTGGGAGATGAAGGCTTTCTTTCCCACTTCGAAAGTTGAAGCTGCAGATAACACAACCAACCGCAACCCCACCTCCCAACCTCACACACGGTCAGTTAGTTGTTTCCGCTTTACCACCTCCCAACCGCCAGCCTGCTGGCCACGTCGAACGACTCCTCCACGCCAAGCTACCGAGTAAAACCGCACCATTCTTCTTCAGCGACAAAATTTGAATGCCCCATGGATCAGGGATTCGAATCTCTGTGTCACTACACCAAACAGCTGACAAACGGAGGCGCGTATCGCCAAGGGTTAGCTTGGGTGTCAAGTGGAATGGTATTGCCCCTCTTGACGCACCGCAAGCCCCTCTTGCTGGTACAGCACACAGCCACTTCAAGATAAGACCATGCATCTGCGAACACGGCTCAAAAACCATGAATTTTTGAGCAAAAGCACCCGAAAAACTGTATAAAACGATTTAGAAAATTGTTTGCTGCACGTGAGCACAACCTACGCACTATGCAGCGTGCATCAGACCAAAAACATACACGCCCCAGGAGGGCTCCATAAATAGGGATCACAGTCGTCAGTGCAGTCGTCAGTGCAAAGGTAGGTCCGGTGTCATGAGCTAACAAGTCACTAACAGCTGCTGCGCCTACTAAGCCATGAGACCCCTAATGTACTGTGTGTCACACGCAACATGCGGCCCGCCTGCTAGCTCTGCTGCGCACCCTCCTAACTGCCGACCAGACAGCTCCGGCAATGTCACCCTCATCCGCGCCACTCGTTTTAGCGCTCTCAAGTCACCCCCTCCAGCCTCCTTCCATACGCCCTCCAGCTCAATCAATGCCACTGCTCAAAACTTCCAGTCGCCTTCTCTGTTCGAGAACAACAAAAGACCGCTGTCTACCACCTTGGCAGCCCAGCCTAGGCACAGCTGGACCCACACAGCACGCATTGCAGGTCACTCCCACAGCCCCAAACCAACCCCAACCAATCCGACCTCCACCGGCCACCCAACACTCCGCTGACCACCGCGGCTAGGGCCCGGAACCGCCAGCGCCCTGATCACACCGATCCCTCCTCCGCAGCTCGCATTCCTCCCTCCCAAAGCTCGCTCCTGAAATGGAAGCCCCAATACGGGTGCTACCGCTGAAGCCTCTGCTTCCTCTGGTGACCCATACCTACGACGCAGTCGCAGGAGTGGGTGTCACCGGGATAAAGTTCCCGCCAAACACCACCCGCTGCGGTTCAAAGTTCGGCCGCCGCCCCGCCGCCCCCTGCTGCTGCTGCTGCCTGGGGAGGTGCTGCTGCTGCTGCTCCCACCTCAGCGCCTGCTGACACTGGCTGCCCAGCGGCGGCTGGCTGCGGCCCGACAGCGGCGCCTGGCAGGACCACGGCGCCTGCGACACCACCAGCCCCGGGCCGCCCTCCTCCTCCCGCTGCTGCTGCTGCATGCGCGCCGCCTCCTCCTTCTGCGCCCCACCGCCCAGCTCCGCAACCCCACCCTCCGCACCCCCCGGCAACCCCAGCAGCTGCTCCACCCCGCCCGCCGCGCCCCCCAGGCGCTCGTCCACCGACTTGCGCGGCTTCCACTTGGACAGCATGCTGGCCGCGTGGCGCCAGGGCGGCAGCACCGCGCCCAGCTGCCGGAACGCAGCGCTCATCTCGGTGCAAAGGAAGTTGACGAGCAGCGCGAGGTGCTCCTCGGGACCCACAAAGACCTGCGGGATGGCGGCTAGGATGGAGGCGTAGCGCGCGGTGGTCTTGGCGATGATGAACTGCTCCTTGAACTGCGCGTCCACGATGTAGCGCCGGCAGGGGGCAGAGGGGGCGGCGGCGGCGGCTGGCGGGTAGGGCCAGGGAGGAGAGGAGAGGGAAGATGCGGTTTCAGGATCTCTTCAGGAGCGGGAAAGAGTAGGCTTGGGAGCTCGTCGAGAGGGAAGAATGTAATGATGGAAGAACAGGTGGATTTGAGCAAAGTATTCTGCAGCAGGTACTTACCGGCAGGAGCTTCGCAGGTAATGAAGGTGTGGCGCAGGTTTCGGAGGCAGTCCGCCCCGTCCCCGCCGCCCAGCGCCGTCCGAAGGCAGCAACGGTGCCCCATGGAGGACAGGATCGATACCAGCCGCACACTGTCCTGCCCGTCCTTTGCGAGCGGGCAGGCGACTCGCACATCGTTGATCAGCTGTGGTGACATGACGTTGCATAGTTAGCACCGGTACAGGTGTAGCGCACATTTTTGACACACGTATTTGACTATCAATTATGGTAAGGGCACCAGACTCCTTTTGTAGGTCCGCGACGCTGCGGTACCGCGGCTGTCAACTTGCAATGTGCATGCTGGCTGTGGGTACAGCGCATGCACTCACCCGAGTTTCGTAAGCGGTTGTTGGCTGGACAAATCTTTGGATTTCCGTGACCACTTCGTCCTCCTCCCATTCGTCCTCTTGCCAATGCCCGCCGATACCGTTGTCCTCGAGCTGGAAGCATATTGCAGGGGTGCAATAAAGACTACGGTACCAGTATCTGGAACAGTGAAAAGCCGACTAAATGTTTTTCGCTAAACTACCACGCTCGAACACCGCGGGGTGGAAGCGAAGACGTGCGAAACGGCCATAAAACTTTCCAAGACCGTATCAAACGCGGAAATATGTAACACCAAAGGGAAAGGTAGGCAGGCCACCGAGGCTGCAAATAGTCGCATTGAGCTTCCCGCACTTCAGCCACGCAGTTCCAAAGCGTGATAACGCACCTCGATATCGAACACAAGGGAAGGTACTTTGAACATTCCTCTGAGTCCACCACGGTGGGAAAGCTCTGACACGGATGGCACCGACGACGATATGGTTGGAGCAGCCATACTAGCACTGTTGTCGCTACAGATGCCTCTAGTGGTCAAGGCCGCAGCCATTCAAGCTAAAAGTGGGCCTTGAAACTTAATTGGACCTGAGCTGCGCCGCTTCAGGTGCTCACGTGCCTCGAGTTTCTGGTAGCCAGCAGTGTAGGTTGGCGTATTAAGACGGATAATTAGATAAACCCATGAATACCGTTTCTCTTCCTTAGCAGCGTCAACGCCTTTCCGCATGTGATTGTACGGCCCGTGCAGCGTAGGTTCCTGGTCAGCCGAAGACAGGTTATACGAACACAGCACTCCTATTAACGTAACGGCCTTTCCTCTCCGCAATCTCCTGAAGAACGCAGTCACCTCGCTGTTTGGCGGACGGTTCAAGGCCCGTCGTAAAACACGTGGAGTATGTTAAACTGCAATTCTCAGACCATTGCAGGCATCCTATGTTATCCATACTATTCCATGCTGCATGCTATAAGTTATGAGGGCTAGGAGTCATAACGGTGCACGCTTTGTCACAGCTGGTTCGTGGCAAGTTTAGTCGCTACATGCAAAATGGCTCCCATGCATGACTATGCCAGCGAACACCATCCCCTCGGTGAATAATCAGTTCGCAACTGGGCCGTAGCTGTTTGATGCGAGTCACTCTCGCATGGGGTATGCCTACTTTGGCGTAACGCCGACTATCTGTGAACGTGGTTAGCCGCTCTCGTGCAAGACTCATAGGGTCAGCCGCATGTTTCTTACAGTTGAGCACTCTATGCACATTGCAGTAGCATCTGAGTGCTTCACCGCTTAGATACATTCACAACACGCTTGGGACTAAAGCCCAACTCAACAGACTCACGGCACGTATTTCAATGAACATACAAACTCTTCGTCTTAACGCTTCACACATGGTATCATATTTTATACTTGAGCACAACCCATTGCTCACAGGGGGTCTCCAAGGCCCCCTCCTAATAGCGGATAGAGGCCACCAGCGGCTCCCGAGAGTCAACATAACACACAGCTCCCGGCCTTACATCACGGTGGACCCTTCCCGACCCTGGGGGCGGCCACACCTCACCGGCAGCCCAGCACCTCTCCCTGCCGGCATTGCAGGGGAGCGAGAGCCCCAAAGCGGCCTCTCACGCAAACGATCCCGCGTCTTCCCGAGTCATCACAACTAAACCGTCAGCGAGCAGCATTCGACCCCTACTATCCAACCAGCCTGCCATTCGGGTCCCTGCCATTCGGGTCCCTGCCATTCGGGTCCCTCGCGCATTGACCCGGCAGTCTCATAGCCTCGAACACCAAACATACCGGTAACTCGGATAGCTGACCGAGAGCAGTCGTAGATAGCAGCAGCAGCACAAACAAAAGCCAGCGCCGGTAAACCCAAAAACGTCTTACTACTACTTAAAGAATGAACCCATAAATGCTGATCACAGCACATCAGCACGTGATGAGAAGCCGCCCTGGACCAAGGGAAACGCAGAGCACAGCACAGGCATCAGGCAAGCACGCCCGAGTGCCCCGGCCTCACCCCGCTCCTCATGACATGCAAGGCGCCCCTACACGACTGATAAAAAACGCCACATAAACTGACTTCAAAACTTCAGGTCATGACGGCTGCACGCCGCTGTCCATCAACCTCCATGAAGACATATACCGGTTGTAACGGTCATTCATATACCGGTATGACCTGCCATACACAAGCAAGGCCTCACTGCCATACACTTTTGACATATACAGGGATGAGATCTGCCAGCTCACTTCCCTCTCAATGTCGCTCATCATAAAGATTCAACCCACAAGGGCGAATCCAAACGTATACTCCATGTCTCTCGGTTCTACCTTCGCACCATCGCGGCCTCATGCGACCGTGTAGCGACCTGCCTCTCATTGCGTCACACTCCACCGCACGCCGGCCCTGAGCCCGCCCGCCCACCCTTGCCCTCCAAGGTGGAAGGCAACGGCTGCTGCAGTACCCACAAGCCGGCGGCATTTGCAGCTCGCAAACTCGCAACTCTCGTTATAAATACGGCCTCCTTCCCTCCCTCTCTCAGCACACCCCGCGACGGAGCTCACTACATGGGTTGTCAGGGGCCGGTCAGCAGCGCAAAGACTCCTCAGCTGAGCTCTCACAGTGTCGTACATCGTCACACCTCACGCGGGTGTTTGCTTTTGTTTCCGCTCAACTATACACACCAAGACTGCAGCCATACCGGTGTACAAGTCAGGTTTGCCACCACCACCACCACCACGACCTCCATCACATCAACCACCACCCAGCCGTCAGGGGCAAAAGCAGGTCACCTTGCCTGCCTCCAACACACCCAACGCAACCACCGCAACCACCACAACCACCGGCTGCAGTAAAACTAGGTACGACAACACGCGTCAACATACGTGCCATCATTGCCACCAGCCTGGATGCCGCGGCGGGGAGTAGTCAGCTCGGCACCAGACCGGCGCAACCTAGACCAACCTATTATAGCACATAATCCGTTCGCGGAAAGAAGTACTAAAACAGCCTATAACAGAAACACGTCATTATGCGCGGCAATACCCTACGATGTAACCCCCCTTGCAGCGGAAAGCTCATACGCCTGTTGGGGTCGAAGCTGCTGTGGGCTTCGCACCAACCCATGTGCATACCATGCTGTAGCCACACTCCACACGCCATTTGCCCGATCCTAAGGAGCACCCCTCGACACACCTCATCATCATACCCTCACTGTAGAGAAAACAATGTGCGCATGCCTCCCTCCACTCCCGGTCTGCACCCTTAACCACGAGACACGTCCCTCCCTCCGCATGCAGGCTAGGGAACGGCGTCATACAAGCCAACAACGCCCCTGCACGTGCATGGGGTAAATGCAACCCCATGCGTTATTCGCCGTAGTATGTTCCCTCCCACCCTCGATCCCACCTCCCAACCCTCACACTGTACCCTCCCACACCGAAACAAGATCAGAGCTCCCATGTTCCATGTACAAGCCCGCCAATCTTGAGCAGCAGCCCCGGTGTCAGACGCAGCAGGCGGCGCAGCGGCCGTCTGAGGGCCTACCAGGTGCTGCCTCGTGTCGACTTGAGGTGGGTGAAGTGGACTTCGCGGAGTCCAGGCGAGGCGAGGCGAGGCAGCAGCCCGGCAGCCCGGCCTGGCAGTGCCTCTGCTGCCTCGGTTCCGTAAGCACCTCCTCCTCCTCTGCCTCCCTTCCTTCACTCGTCGTCGCTGTCCATCATGTCAGCACCCAGAAAGGGGTAGCCGTCGTCGCAGCCCTCGCCGCCCGCCCCGCAGCCGCCGGCACGCTGGGCCGCCAGGAACTCGGCGAGCTCCTCCTGGGGTGATGAGGGGGGTGAGGGAGGTGAGGGAGTGAGGAGGGGTGAGGAGGCAGCAGATGCAACAGCCCAAAGCGCGGCCGCCCAGACTGCACAAGTAACCACCCAGCAGTCATCAAACGACACCTCCCGCCGCTGGCACACACGCACGGTGTTCAGGGCCGTCAAGGCAGCCACCCAAAGGCACTTCAAGGCCCCCGGGTTCATTCCTCTCTCCCGCTTCTTATCCTCAATTGCGATCTGTGGCACTTCTCACTCCCCCACTTCTTACCTTCTTTACGAATCGGCCCTTGATGCGCGGCCGCTTGTCAGCGTTGATCTTGCGCAGCTGGTAGCGGATCTTCTTGGTAAACATGCGCCGCGCCTTCTTCTGGCGGTAGCGCTCAAGGCACTCGGCGCGCGTGCGAATGTGTACGGCGGATCCAGAGACAGATCCGGAGGGCAGGGAGGAGGGGGAGGCAGGCGGAGCAGGAGCGGCGGCGGCGGCAGTGGTGGTGACGGCGGCGGCGGAGGCGGGCGCGCCCGTTGCGGCTTGTGAGCGTGTCTGATGCGCCTTGAGCAGCGTTGAGGGTTGGCGGGCGGGAAGCGAGTGGGAGGGAGGAAGGGGCGGTCCGAGGTGTGCGGGCGCCTCCGCCGGCGTCTCCTCTTTTATGTCGTATGCAGCCTCGGAGGCGGGTGTGCTGCTTGGGAAGGGCGGCTCGGGCTCAGAGTCGGAAGAGGGCTCTGTGGGGGAAGCAGAGGGAGGGGAGGCAGAAGCAGGATTTAGAACGCGTGCTGGGCACCGGAATAGGAGCACAGAAGGCTACACACCTCGAGAGGCGTGCACCCATCCGAGCATGCCCTGAGCTGCCCACACCAGTCAGGCAGTCGCAGCAACACCCGCAACACCTCTAATACAACGCCAATCCAAGCCAAGTCAGGCACACACACACATGCTCCAGTTATTTTAACACATGCTCCTACCTTGCTTGATTGACTGCAGGCCGCATGCCAGGCCCTCCGCCCTTCCGCACACCGGCACGAAGAAGGAGGGGGGCAGCGCAGAAGCAGCGGAGCCGGTAGCCAGGCGCGTCAGGGCGCCGCCGGCATTGGTCTCCGCGGAGGTGCAGCAGGGCTCAGCGGGTAGCAGGCTTGCAGCGCTGCCTAGCACGGGCACCACACCCGCCTCGCCGCTGTGAGAGGGGGAGGCGAGGGCGGCCACGTCGTCCGGGGTTACCTCCCAGTCGGCGGGGAACTGCAGGGCCATGATGTCTTCCGGCGTGTCGAAGGGGCTGCAGGCGGCCGCCTGGCCCAGCAGAGAGTAGTCGTCGTCAAGCACGGCGGCGGCGTCAGCGGGGGAGAGTTGGAGCTGCAGGCAGTCCTCGGAAGGCGCGGGCAGGGAGGCGGAGGAGCAGATGGGGACGACTTGGGGTGAGCTCTCGCAGGTGAGGGGGGCCGGGTTGCAGCAGCCGGGCAGGAAGCCGCCCAGGCTCATCTCGGCGGGGGTGAAGAGGGAGGTGAAGATGTTGGTGTCGATGCGGGAGGCGGCACTTGAGGCGGCGAGGGGTTTAAAGCTTGACTCCCAGTTGCTCAGGTCGAGAGTGAAGGATGTGGGATCGTCAAGATGCGCGTCGTCGGAGGCGAAAGCACTGCCGCCCATCTTCTCCCAAGCACTGCAAGATCGTTTAGAACGCATCGGTATATGAATGTCAGATGATTGCCGCGGATTTCTTAATGTGCAAGGGTACAGGATGACCTTTCGCTATCCCACATGGCAGGGTTCCGCAATGCTAAAAACGCTCATTTATTCAGCAACCACTAGGTCAAGGATACAAGCAACTGGCTAAGATTAGGTGACGGGTGACTTCGTCAGCGTATCGTATAATTCGGGGCGCACCTAAGCACCCCCATTGGGTCGAGAACGAGTCGCGCCATGATGGGCTTGCGACTTGAATATGTCGAGAGGTATAACCTGCAATTGGCAACATGGCATCAGGGTTCAGTGTTAAAGTCCACTCGGAATCCCATGAGGCAGCCGTAACGGAGAATAGAAGAAAACATCCAATTGCTGTGCTTCTAACATAGCTACAGTTCCAAGGAAGCATAATTCAAGGGAGCCATGCACTTTCTGCGCAACTGGGAAGCGCTTAGCTTCGGACTCCTCTGCAATTCTGGACGCGACGTCCTGGCCTATCCGCCGAAAGCACCAATTCCATCCCCAATTGACTTACCAGGGCACCTAGTAGGAAATGAGGCCCTTAAACAGCAGGTCGTCGGTATCAGCAGTCACACCGGATTGCACGAATGCGGCCGCCCAACTATAACTCAATGCTTTGCAAGGTAGGATATCACCTTAGTGTAAACTGTTGTTGAAGGTTTCAGTTCTTTCTTCGTTGTTCTGAGGCGCTCGGGTCACGACCACCGCATCGGATTCTGTGCTGATACACAAGGCCCATCTGGTTATAAGATAACGACACTGAGCATCGCCGTATGGCACATAACTGCCCAATTACGGCTCAAAGCAATGCAGAAAATTGTTTTATATACTGTGAATCTTACTGCACATTTACAAAGCCGAGAGCATGGCTACGCGACCAGCTCCAGGTGGCCGAGTTGGTAACCTTTCCGTTAACCAATTGTCATGTTCAACACCGGTAACGTGTTACGCTTTTTATTCTGTATATCGCCTCAGCCAAATAGGGTACTTGATCTACACGGTTATCGAAGTATGCTTGCTTGCATCCTCACGTCAAATCACACGATTCCGTCATCTCATTCCCCACTCGAACCGCCAAGCATTCAATTATACTGATTGTTTATGCTACTGGTGATGCTGTTAGTAAAGATCACGCCCGGAGAGGTGTTTTGGGCGCATGCAACCGTAGAAACGCTGACGAAACATCAATGTAGGGAACGCCAATAGCTTATAAACCATTATCCTGCGACGCTAGTGGCGACGCTAGTTTAGGCTTTAAAACAAATCTCGGCGGAGGTTGCTAGCTCGCAGCCGGCTCTAGTGCAATTGCAATCGTTATATACTGCGTGCGGTTGCAAGCCGCACGCACTCCTCAGGGCTTCTTTCCATAACCGGTGTCCCCTGCGTGCACATACGCAGCGGTTCCTCTTCGCGGCCCCTTCCCTGAACATACTCGGCAGTTACGCGGCTTACAAACATACCCGGCATGTGCGCTCACTTCTCACTGTCATCACCCCTCACTCCGCCTCCTCAACCCTCAGCAATATCCAGCCGTTTATACCTGCTAAGCCGCCAGATGGCCCCCTCCCCGGGATGATGCTCACCACACAAGCAGTGCCCAGGTGAAAGGAGGTGCACCCCCGAATACACTTTCATAACCCTTCATGCACACCCCTTCGTGCCCTCACTTGTGGTTCGGTACTTCTTTAATCCTTTCGTGCATCTCGGCGTATTTAAAAACACACACACACTGATTACACCCCAAGCCGCTAACAGCCCACCGCGCTCTCACGCCATTGCACGCCTTTCGGAGCAACCCCCTCCTCCTCACGCGGACCCAGATAGCACTATCTCCCTTGCAACACGCCACGCGTACCATTCCCCACATTTCCCTCCCTCCCCAAGCCTCCTCTTCCACGCCGCTCCCACCCTCCGCCTCCCCTACCTCCCCTACCTCCCCGCCTCCCCCTTCCCCCCTGCCTCTCCCCCTCCCTCGCCACCTCCATCAGCCTGCTCCTTCGCTCCCTCCTCAGCTCCGCCTTCTGCCCCAGCTGCTCCTCCCGCGCCGCAAGCTCCTCCAGCACCGCCGCCGCCCCGCCGCCGCCCCCCTGCAGCCGCAGCATCCTGCCGTACGCCTCCCTCAGGCTGCGCAACTGCTGCGGGTGTCGCAGCAGCCAGGCGGGCCGGCAGCTGAGTGCGCGGTCCACTGCGGCGAGCAGGGGCTCACTGCGCAGCTGGTCTGGGGCGCCGTGGGAGGACATGATCTGGGGGAGAGGGGGGAGGAAGGGAGGGGGAAAGAGGGGTGTAAGGAGGAGCAGGAGGGGCCCTAAGTCGCGGATGTGGCGGCTGGCGGCACTGCTAGATCCATCTGCTACCCCGGAGAAGGGGGCCCGGTGCCTCAGCCAGGCCCCCAGGCCAGGCCAGGCCAGGGGGCCCGCATGCCGCCCAGCCCGCCCTGCGCCTGCGCCCGAGACAGCAGCAACAGCAGCCGCCAGTCGATCACACGTCTCCCCTGCCTCCTCCCCTTCCCTGTTGCCCCCCCACGCCCCCACCTGCATCATCTGCAGTAGCGCCGCGGGCGGCAGCTCCCGCACGTGGCGAGCCAGGAAGGCCGCAGCGTCGCGGAAGGCGGCCGCATGCGCTGCCAGCGGGGCAGCACCACCAGTACCTGCACCACCCGCACCCGCACCAGCGACCGATGCATGGCGCGGCATGCAGGGACCCCCCGGTGCGCCCCCGCCCGCCCCGCCCCTCCCAGCCGCCCCCGCCAGCGGAGCCCCCCCGCCGGCCGCGCTCCCCTCCTCATGCAGCGCCCAAAGCAACGCCGCCAGCGCTCGAGGGTTAACCAGCAGCGCCGGCGGCGGCTGCGGCTGCTGCAGCGGCGGACCTGCGCGGCCCGCTGCCTGCCCCATGCCCGCAGCACCCGCAGCCCGCATGTCGTACTGCAGCTGCTGCTGCTGCATGGCGCTTCGGTGCAGTCGCGGCCCCAAGCCCCCCAGCAGCACTGCCAGCTCGGGAGCGCCGGGGGGCAGCCGCCGCAGCCGCAGCAGCGCCCAGGCCACCCGGCAGCAGGCGGTCCTGGCCGGGAGGAAGGAAGGGAGGGGCGGGAGGGAGGGGCGGGAGGAAGGAAGGGAGGGGCGGGAGGGAGGGGCGGGAGGAAGGAAGGGAGGGGCGGGAGGGAGGGGCGGGAGGAAGGAAGGGAGGGGCGGGAGGGAGGGGCGGGAGGAAGGAAGGGAGGGGCGGGAGGGAGGGGCGGGAGGAAGGAAGGGAGGGGCGGGAGGGAGGGGCGGGAGGAAGGAAGGGAGGGGCGGGAGGGGGGTCAGAGATGCACCAACAGGTTAGGGCATAGCAATGATGTGGGAGGGGTGAACTGCCGGTCCCTGAACGCCCGAGACCCTCAGCGTTTCGCAGTGGCGGGCCTAGCCCTTTCACACGCCCGAGCCCCGCAGCAGCAGCAGCAGCACTGCCACCCCACCCCACCCCCGCCCGCCCGGGGCGGCACGTTACCCGCCGCCCGGGGGTGCACCCCAGCAGCCCTTCCCTCCTGCCACCTCCACCTTCCCCCCCTCCAAACCCACCACTCGCACTCCTCCCCGGCCGCCAGCCAGCGCCGCAGCCGCACCAGCAGCGCCTCAGTGACCCGCGGGTCGTTGTAGCGCGGGTGCCCCAGCCCCCAGGCCAGCGCCCCCACCGCACTGGGCGGCAGCCGCGGCAGCAGCGGCCCCAGCACCCCGCACGCCAGTGCCAGGAAGCGAGGCAGCCGGGCGCCCTGTTTGGCGCTGGACCATACCAGCCGCACCAAACTGGCAGCGGATAGGGGCGGAGGAGGAGGAGCAGAAGGGGGCACAGGGGGGCCAGCCCCTGCATGCCGCCCTGGACCCTCCACCACCACTTCCCTGCCCGCCCCCCGTCCTCCTCCACCCCCGCCCAGCCCCCCGCCCCTCCTCAGCCGCTCCGAAGCCAGGCACACCAGGTTCGTCCAAAAGGTCCTCAGCTTGGGCCAGGGCAGGAAGGGCGCGCGCCGGGCCCCACCCCCCCGCCGCCCCCTCTCCTCCCCTGGCGCGTCATGGCTGACCAGCCGCCCCAGCGCCTGCGCCATCCCCGCCACTGCCGCGTCGCTCACCCACCCCGGCCGAAGCACCACGAAGGGCCGCCAGGCATTCAGGAACACTGTCACCACTGCATGCGGCCGCCAGCGCAGCCGCGACAGCAGCCGCAGCAGCAGGTCGAGGTCCCCCGCCGCCGCCCCCGCACGCAGCCACCGCAACGCCAGCCCGTTCAGCACGCAGCGGACCGTGCCGGGACGCGGCGGCAGACCGGCTTCGGCACAGCAGGCCAGTGCGTGCAGCAGATCCAGGAGATCTGCCGTACCATAGTGTTGTACAGATGGGCTGTCGTACAGTCGCAGTTGGTGGTTCAGCTGCAGTTCCAGACTGGTGGGGGGCGGGTGGCTGCTGCTGGTGGGGCTGCTGCTGCTGCTGCTGCTGGCGGTAGCGGTGGTGGTGCTTGCAGAGGGGACTGCTGCCCTGTCGCTGTCTTCATCAGTGCCCAGTCCGTACAGCAGCCGCATGCGGAAGGGCAGCGGGTGCTGACTCCGCCGCCGCCGCCGCCGTCGCACCACCACCGCCCGACGCGTCTTGCCGCCTCTGCCGCTGCTGCTCCTTCCACCACTGCTGCCATCCCTCCCCGCTGCTGCTGCCCCCGCTGCTGCTGCTGCCATGCGTCTCATCCCCAGCTGGCGGCGGTACCAGCCGCGGCAGGGCCTCATCCCCGCCCCCCTCAGCCCCCGCACACTCAGCAGCGCCTCCGCCTGCTGCTGGCCGCACCCGCCCAGCAGCCGCAGCACACCAGCCTCCAGCGGGAGCAGCAGGGCCGGCGGGGGAAGGGAAAGAGGGGGAGGAGAGGAGGGAAGGAGAGAGGGAGGGCGGCTACTGCTGCTGCTGTTGCGGCTGCTCGCAGGCTGCTTTGATAGAGGCGACAGCAGCCTGTCAGAGGGCCGCTGCTGCTGCTGCTGTGGCTGCTGCCGCAGAGGCGGAGACGGTGGAGGTGTTGGCTGCGGCTGAGACTGCGACTGGAGGTGCGGATGGGTCGCCCCCCCGGCGGGTGACCACAGTGGGGGCCGCGCTGAGGACGTGTGGTGGGGGTGGTTGTGCTGCTGCTGCTGGTGTGTTGGTGTGCAGCAGGCGGCTGCCAGGGGCAGGGCGGCTGAGAGGTGCTGCAGGCACAGGGCGGGGTGGGCGGCCAGGCTGGAGAGCAGGGTGTGGACCTGGGGGGAGGGAGGGGAGGGGAGGGGAGGTGCCGTGTGAGCCATGGAGCAGAGCAGTGCAGGAGGGCGGGATAGTGGCAGGAGAAGGGGAGGCAGCAGCGCGGGCAGCACCCCTCCCGACATCCCAGCATACCCAGCACATCCAGCCACCCGAGCACAGGGTAGGGCACCGCCGCTGTAGCCTCCCCCGCGCCACGGACAGGACTCCCCCCCAGCTACTCACTCCTCACCTGCTCCTCCTCCGCCTGTCCCCCAGCAGCAGCAGCCACCCCCCGCAGAGCCGCCATCAAATCATCCAGGCTGAGGGGGGCTGGCTGCTGCTGGGGCTCCTGCTGCTGCTGCTGCTGCTGCTGTGGTGGTTGCTGCCCGCTGGGGGCGCTGAGCCCCCGGGCCAGCTGGCGCAGCGCGGCGGCCGCCAGGGGGGCGACATCCGCCCGCGGGGGGACCCCTCCGCCGCCGCTACTGCTGCCACCGCCAGCCTGCCACATCGGCCGCCGGTGCTGCAGATGCTGCTGGTGCTGCAGGTGCTGGTGCGGGTGTGCGCCATTGGCAGCCAGCCACTCAGCGTAGCTATAGGCGGGGTTGGGAAAAAGGGAGGCAGGGGTAGAGTTTTCGGGTGTGGGCCTGTGGGAAAGCAGGGTGCCGGAGCGGCAGCAACCACCCAAGGAAGTCCCCCTAGCACCACCACCATCATCCCGCCACTACTTCTACCCATCCCTCCGCCTCCCCAGCCCCCAACCCCCGCACCTGCCGCACGCCCACAGCACCGACACCGCCTGCCGCCCGCCCAGCAGCACCAGCCCGCCACCCGCCGCCCCGCAGCTGAACCAGCCGGGGGACGGAGCAGAACCAGGCGCAGCAGCAGACGTCCCCTCCTCCTCCTCCTGGCTGCCGCCCTCCTCCCCCTCCCTCTCCCCCGCCCCCGCCTCCCCCGCCCCCGCCTCCTCCGCCCTGAACAGTACCCGCAGCACTGCCGGCACCGCCCCCGGCGCCCCCCGCACAGCGGCCCACAGCGCCCACATGGCCCACTGCCGCGCAGGCAGGCGGGGGGGCGACTCGCCCGCCTCACACCGCACCGCCCCGCGTAGGCCGCACAGCAGCCGCCGCCACAGCCAGCCCATCACAAGGCGGAAGGGAACCGCAGGAGGCGGAGGCGGCGGGGCTGATGGGTGCTGGCCCGCGGTGCGGCCTGCGGAGAAGCCCCTCCCGCCCTGCTTACTGTGCCAGGGTGGGTGCGCACCTGGGGACGATGTCGGCTGCTGCTGCAGCTGTTGCCGGCCCGCTTGCTGCGCTGGCGTGCGTCGCAACCGCGCAACCGCAGCACTACGTGCCAAGAGTGCAGTCACATGCGTCTCCTCCTCCTCCCCGCCCTCCTCCTCCACCCCCTCCAGCAGCTCCCCCGGTTCCAGCAGGTCCCCCCCCTCCGCCAGGTGACCGTACGACCACACAGCAGCCAGCGCCGCGGCTACACGCCACCGCTCTGCCTCCGCCACATCCGCCTCCGCCCCAGCCGCCACCTCCGTCACCGCCCCAGCCCCCGCCCCCCCCGCCACCTCCGCCTCCGCCAGCACTACTGCGATGCGCCGAGCGATGCGCCCCACCAGCAGCCTCCCGCCCGCCGCCACCTGCTCCGGATCCAGGAGCTGCGGGGTCCAGCCCGCCCGCCCGCTCATGTCCACTGGGGCGCCCTCCCCGGGCCCTCCGGCCCCTCGCAGCGTGCTCTGCTCGCCAGGCTGGCCTCCCCCCTGCCCTTGCTGTCCTTGCCCCTGTCCGTGTCCCTGCCCCTGCTCCCGCACCTGCCCCTGCCGCCTCCGCTGCTCCCGGAGAAGCTGCAGGGCGGGCAGGCAGCCGTGCACAAAGGTACCCGAGGCGCGCCAAGATGAGGAGGAGGAGGAGGCGGAGGAGGCGGTGCAGGGGTCCAGGGCGGAGGGACCCGGCGGCAGGACGCCGCCGTACACCAGCTTTACGACAGTACGACACGCCAGCGTCAGCTCAGCAGGCCCCATGTCGTACATGTGCTCGTCCAGTACGGCAGACAGCGCCTGCAGGGAGCGGGTGTTGCGGAGGCGGGTGGCCAGGGGGTGGCTGCTGCTGCTGCTGCTCCACTCGCTGCTGCGTCCGGCGGCGATGTCGTCCCCTGCTGGCAGCTGCAGCGGGCGCCTGAGGGAGGTCCCCACCGCCCCTGCGGCGGCATGAGGGGCAGCCAGCGGTGCAGCAGGAGGAGCGGCAGGAGCGATCTCCGGCACCACTGCCACCGCCACCGCCGCCCCGCTCCCCGGCTCCGCCCGCCAGCCCCTACTCGGCCCCGCCGGGTGAGGCCCCGAAGCAGCTGGTGGGGCCGCGGCGCTGCCGGGCCGCCAGGGCAGGGAGGCGCCCGGGCTGCGGGTGGTTGCTGCTGCTGCCGCCACTGCCGCCCCCTCGCTGCCTCGCTCCTGCAGCAGCTGCCTAGCCGGGGTGCTGGCACCGGCGGGGCGCTGATGACCCGTGGGTCGTTGCTGAGGGTGGTGGCGGGGGTGGTGAGGGTGGGGGTGGTGGTGCGGAGGGCGGTGGCGGTGGTGTCGTGAGGCCGCTGCCAGCCGGCGCAGCAGCTCCGCGGGGTTGGCGGCGCGCAGCACCTGGCGGGGCCGGGTGGTGGGGGGGAGAGGAGGGGGGCGCGGGGGGTCGTGAGGGCGGGTGAGTGGGGTCAGAAGCGCACCGCGGGGAAACGGTGTGCCTCTACCCGAGGTTCCTACGGCTTCAACAACTCCTATTTGCTTATGTGTCGCTGCCAGCCCCCATGAACAGTCGCATGTGGAACCTCATACCAAGTCACGTCGACCCCCACCCCCCCAGCCAATGCGCCCGCAGCTGCCACAGCCCGGAGCGGGGGTGCCAGCTCCCAGCCCCTCCCCACCTCGCCCCACCACCCACCTGCAGGAGAAAGGAGCCGCCGCCCTCCCCGCCCTCGGAGCCCCCGGTAGCAGCCGCCAGACCGCCCCCAAGCGCCTGGAGGGAGCCCCAGCGCACCTCCCCGACCCGCGGGTCACCACGCATCGTCTGCCGGACACTGGTGGCTCCCGCCCGACTAACCACCACCGTGGGGCTAAAGGCGGGTGGAGGCTTCGAGCCCCGGGCCGCTGACCCATGGGTCCGGCGAAGCGGAGGTGCTCCTGCTTCGCTGCCGCTAAACTGTTGCCGTGGCGCGGGGTTCTTCGTATCTTGCAACGACCTGTGTACGGCAGGGCTGTCGGCGGGGCTGCTAGGGTGCTGCTGCTGCTGCTGCGTTGGCTGCTGCGTTGGCTGCTGCGTTGGCTGCCGCTGCTGCCGCCCGGGGTCCTCGGGAAACGGTGGCAGTGTGCGCAGCAGCCCGGGTAGCCGCGGCAGAGGAGGTCCGGCTGAAGTCCGTTGCTGCTGCTGCCGGGTCTGCGGGACCCATGGGTCGCTCTGACGGAGCGGGTCCACATGCTCGGCCCCGTGCTGCTGCCGCTGTCGCCGCCGCCGCTGCTGCTGCTCGGGTCTGCGGAAGCGCACCGTGCCGGACCTGTGTACCGTGCAACAATGGGTGTTGGGGGAACTGCTAGGCACTACGCACGAGACAAAAAGCACGGCACAAGCCCCAGCAAGCCGTCCTCTCGTCAGCCCGCGCTAACTCCTTACATGCAACGGCTACAGAGGGTACGGCAAGTACGGCACTGGGGACAGGGAACGGATACGCCCTTCCCTCCAAGCACACAGCCCTACACCCACGCCAACCAGCAGCGCACACAGCCCGGCATCAGGTCGCCATGTACCCGACCCCCCACCTCTCCCCCTCACTCGCCTGCGGACCAGTGTGGTGGGTTTGAAGCACTCCAGGAGCCGCGACAAGGGCGGCGCGGCGGGGCGGGACAGCGCAGGCAGGCCGCTGCCGCTGCCGGCAGGGCTGCCGCCGCCGCCGCCGCTGACCTTGCCGCCGCCGGCTGCAACTTCACCCCCACTCGCGCTAACCCACGGAGAGTACGTACCGCGGGGCGCCGGCGGAGCTCCACCCCGGGCGGTGGTGGTGGTGGTGGTAACACCGCCTGCACCGGGCAGGAAGGCGCCGCTGCTGCCGCTGCTGCAGCCCGGTGCGGCGGCGGGGGGCCCAGCATCGGCCCCCGCACCTGCGGCCGCGGACGTCCCCCGCGACACCACCTCCCCACCGTGCAGCGGCAGTGCCCGGCCCAGCCGGCTGGCTGGCAGCCCGGGAGCGCCCTGCTGCTGCTGCTGTGGCGGCGGCTGGCCAAGCGCCAGCTGTTCAAGCGGCGGCTGCGGCTGTCCAGGCGGCAGCACCTGGCCGCGGCCACCCCCCTCTCCGCAAATCCCATCGCCAGCCACGTCGCCCCCGCTGGCGTGTGAGCAGCGGGCGGCAGGGGCGGAGGTAGCCCCCGCCGGCACCGCCTGAGGGCCCCTCTCCGGGGCTGTGACAGGACGCGCTACCCAACCTCCCTCCTCCGCGCCGCCCTCACAATCCTCCCCGTCCCCGTCCCCGTCTCCATCAGCGCACTCCCTCCTACTGCTCCTCAAGCTGCTGCTGCTGCTGGAGGGGGCCGGCCTCCTCCCCGGCGGCGGCTGCGGGGGCTGCTGCGGGGCCAACCGGAGCAGCGACGGCAGCGGCGGCACCGGCGCCCGCACCCAGCGCCCGCTGCCGTCCCGCCCCTCCAACACCATGCTCGCCGCCCCGCCGCCACCGCCAGCACCGCCACCCGCCCCCGCGGAGACCACGACGTACGACACCACGAACTGTACGGGCATGCGGGGGGAGGTGGGCAGCGCCAGGGGGGACTCCAGCTGCACCAGCCGGGAGCCGCTGGAGGGGAGGGGGAGGGGGCTGGTGTAGCCGGTGGTGGGGGCGTCGATGGGGCGGAGGCGGCGGACGAGGCGGGTGCTTCCGCTGGGCGCGGATGAGGGAGGTTGTGCGGGAGCTGGTGGATGGCTGTGACATCGTGGGGTGGGGGCCACATGCCGAGACGCTGTAGCAGCATGGGTTGGACGACAGCCGTCGCCAAGGGTCGTGGACAGCACTTGAGAAGGGCTAGCAAACGTTAATGGTGCTGGTGCTGCGCATGTTGACAGAGAGCGGCGCTGCGCAGGCGCCAATGTCGAGTCGACTGGAAGGCCAGGCAGCAAGACCGCCATAAGAGCTGGCGAATGTTGTTTCAGCTGCATTCATCTTGTTAATGCTAGCAATGCGCAGCGGCGTTGAGATGTGGAGCAGCCCTAATTTGCAACGCCGACACTTGCCGACGCCAATAACTCGGTGTTTTAATGTGTCATAACCTTGTCCCGGTATGCTTATAAATATATGCCGCTATGGCTGTATTGAGACCTTAACGGCTTAACCAGGATGACTTTGGTACGATTTGTCAGGTTGTCGTTTGGTCGACGTGCCGCAATTGGCAATTGGCTAAAGGATACTGCTATGTATTGTTTTACACTGAGGACAACACCCTTGCTAGAAGCGGCATACAAGACATCCGTTCCTACGCAAACTTTATTGACTTCTTCGGTTGGCCCAATTCTTGGATAGGTGCTTTCGGTCTAATCGCTTATATAATTCTTAGGTTGACTGTTTAGTGTACCTGTGCTTTAGGAAAAGCGTGTTGACGGGTCGTGTGTATTTGTAAGAAGCCACTCGCAGTTGGACCTATACAAGGGAAATGGGGCAGGAACATTTACCATCCGTAGATCTAGACTTCGTCAAGCACGCTGAAGACGAGTACCATAGCATCTACCAGACTGGCAAAACCGACGAAGTCGATGCTGCCCGCTTCAGGTGCTGCGACCTAGCTTCCCCTTTGGTCCAGCAGCCAGCATGTTAAACATCCGCCATGAATCCCAGCTGATAGTCCCTGCTGTACTGCTCTGCAGACTAGTATGGGCCCTCGTCCACAGCGCCAACCGCGGCCATCAATCTCGCGGCCTCGACTTATGTCGCGCCAAGCTGCAGGGCCAGCAGCAGCAGGACAAGGAGTACCGCTACTTTGCGGCAGGTGCGCCTCGGGGCTGGTGCTGGTGCTGGTGCTGGTGCTTAGGGCTGCTGTGCAACATTCACCCCATGCCCAGGGGGGCGGTACCCAGTGCCCCCGGGGGGTCACGCACTCCTACAACTCGCGCGCCGCTTCCCTCCCTCCCTCCCTCCCTCCCGCTACACTTTGGAATTTCTTTTTTTTCCCTCCCGCTGCTGTCCGCACCATGTACTCCGCCCCCCCCCTCGCCCCTCCCCCACCCCCGCAGTGGCTGCCTACAACCTGGGTCGCTACATCGAGGCGCGGCGGGAGCTGGCAACACTGCTCAAGGTGCGGGGTCACCCCACTGCTCGCCACGCCTCGCCTCGCCGCCTGTGACCTCCCCCCCTCCCCTTACATCCCCCTTATCTCCCCTTACCTCCTCACCCCTCCCCCCCTGCACTTCCTCTGGAGCATCGGTATCGGTAAGGACTGCTAACCCTCCCATGTTTTGTGGCTCCCTGCCAACAATACCCATTGTTTTGCCCTAACTTTGTGGTTTGGTTTATTCTACCCCCCCTGCACCGCCTCTCGCACACACCACCTGGCAGCAGTGCAGCGGTGCAGCGGCAGTCCCTTCTCCTCCGCTCCATTGCCGCGTCACCATTGCCGAACTCCGTGGCCGGTGTTCCTCTCACCCCGCTGCGTCCCGTGCTTTCCCTCCCTTGTGTCCCACACTACTCCTCCACACCAGCCACACCCCAGCCGCCTACCAGCTACCCAGCTACCCAACCGTCCCCTGCCCTCCTCCGCACTCCCCAACCTTCCTGCGCAGCACACAACCTTCCTCTCTTCCTCCGGTCCCACTACCGCCATCCAAACTTCCAGCCCGGGAATATCCATTGTCTATAAGACTAGAACCCCTCTCCCTTCACCCCCACAACCATTACCCCTCCCCTCCCTCACCCCTTCCTCTCCCTGCCCCCCCCCCCCCCCCCAGGAGCCCCCGGGTTTCCGGCAGGCCGAGTTCCTGCGCGGCCTGGTGGAGGACGCCATCGTGCGGGAGGGGCTGGTGGGGGTGGGCATCGGGGCGGCGGTGGTGGGGGCGGCGCTGGCGCTGGTGCTGGGGGCGGGCAGGAGGTAGCAGGGGCTGGAGAGGGGTAAACGAATACCCGATGTGTTGATAGGGGGGGAATATAGATAAATGCAACAACAGAGCCCCAATCCCAAATCCCGACTCATGCAGTGAGCGCATTCGGAGACCCTATCCTAGAAACACGCAGGTGTGTTGAGAGGGGGAAGGTACGAAGGAGGAGGCTAACCGGGGAACTAGGGGGCTGGGGGTGGGGCAGCGGGAGGGGAGCTGCCGGGGTTGAGGGAGGGGTTGGTTGTATCCTGCATGATAGTGCGCCTACTAAGGGCGCTGGCATGGTGGGCTGTGTGGAGGGCAGCGGTGGCTTGCTGTCTTGTCGCTTGGCTTCTACCGCGTGAAGGGCTGCTGAGGTGGCCCCTTGCATGATGGATCAGCGCGGTTGCCGGGGCAGCAGCGGTTGGAGCGTGAGGCGTGTGGTGGTGGTGGGGTAGAGGCGGAGAGGCGGCATCCGGTGGTGCGGTAGCTGTGGGTGAGGGGCGGTGCGGTACGGAGGTAGGCGGCTGCGGATGGGTGTGTCCATACTGCATAGTAAGGGAGAGAGATATGGAGCCGTGCAGGTGTGTGCGTGCATTCAGTGAGAGCAGCAGCAGCATGAAAGCGCGACAGGTATCGAAGCCAAAGCTGTATGTGTGGGAAAAGGAAGAATTCCCAATGCGTTGAATGAGAATGCAAATCAGACGACAAGCTATGTGTGTGGGTGGGAGGGAGTGCAGCGGTGGGGGGGGGCAGTGAGGAATTTCGCATCAGGGGGAAGGGGGAAAGCTGTGCATGCGGCAGCTGGGAGCAGCGCTGGAGGAGGAAGGTGGCGGAGGTCTGCCCCGGCCTGCATGCACATGCGGGATATGGCCGGTGTGTGCCCGTGGTAGAGGGGAGGCGTGCAGGTGGGGCATATGGACGCACTGGTAGCAGCCAACAGTGTGAACACCTCCCTCCCTTTCCTTCTGGTGTGCAGCTGCATGCGCTGCCGGGGGCGCCCCGCACCAGGACCTCCGATGTCTCAATGCTTAGAACGCTGTTACCCCACTCGCGCATGAACGAGCATCGGCCCTCAACTGCGCATGTACGAGCTGTTAGGTCCCCCTCCCCCACCCCACGCGGCGCCTAACAACAACCTAGCCCCGCCACAGCACGCCCCGCACGACACCCCTCAGCGCACACCTCTCCAGCAGTGCACTCTGCACATCAACGCAACGCAACGCCAACGCCCAATGTGTGTCGTGAGTTGTACCAGGTGTAAGTTGTGTAACACACGATAAACACACGAAATAAGGCACCGAGGAAAGGACCGCAAAGGTCCCGGGCTCATAACATGAACCCAACCGCCAGCCCATACGATGTCATTCCGAACCTACGGCCTTCTCCCGCCATCACATTCCAACCCGCCACGCATGCACACCGCCTCAGCACCGCCAACGCATCAGCACGCCCCTCAGCCCCTGCGCCCCCTGAGCACTCGGTACACACACACACACACACGAGGGGTAGCGCACCCCTCACCCCCTTTCCCTCCATCCCCGTCCCCGCCCCGCTTCTCCCTCCTCCCTTCCTCCGCACCCTCGCATCCCCCTTTCCCCTCCCCTCCCCTCTCCCCTATAGCCCCTCAGCACCAGCCCCCTCCCGCAACCCCACCACCCTCCCCTCCCGCCCCCACACCCGCATCCCCCACCCCTCCGCCCACTGCCTGCCCCCCCGCCCCCGCCGCCGCCGCTGCCGCCACCGCCGCCGCCCCGTACGGCACCAGCTGGCGGTAGTAGGGCTCCTTCAGGTCGAAGCTGCCGGCGGAGGTCTGCGGCGGCTGCCCGGGCTGCAGCGGCGGCGCGGTGAGGGTGAGGGATATGTCGTACGACTGCCGTGCATGCGCCTGCAGCCTGAGGCGTCCGGAGAGGCGGGTGTGCGGGGCGGGGATGTGGAGCGGCTGCTGCAGCACACAGCGCAGCTGGAACCTGCATGGGGGGTGGGGAGGGGAGGCGGGGGTGGGGGGAGGTGGGGTGGGGTGGGGTTAGAGGAGATGGATAATCCGCACTGGGCTGTGGTAGGGGTGGGGGAGGAGAGGGAGGTGAAGGGGCTGGTGTTTTGGGAGACAAGGACATGAGAATGCGGACAGGGAACAGAGAGAGAGTGAGCGGGGCGGTTGCGGTTCCTGGGACATCCGCTGGCTCCTGTGTCCCTCGTGTGTTCCCTGCCCCTCTCCTTCTGCCCCCCTCCTGCCATCTAGCTCGCCCCCCGCCCCGCCCCGCCACACCAGTGTGTTGTGGGCATGCCGGGGGCGGTGGTGAGCCACATGGGCTGCTGCGAGCCGGCGAAGAACACATCTGGGGGGAGGGAGGGAGGGGGGGAGGGGAGGAGGGGGGACCCGCAGAAGGCGTTAGGAGGCTCCTAGGAGGAACGGATTTCTGTCGCCCCGGCCCCCTATGCAGTGTCCCGTCAGGCCCCCCCCCACCACCCTCCGCCCGCCTCTCCTCCGTCCTCTCCACCTGCCCCACCCCTCCTGCCCCAACCCCCACGGGACCCACCGAACCAGCATGCGATGCCGTGTATGGTGACCGGCGCCACCGGGCCCGTGACCAGCTGAGTGCAGGGGGGAAGGGAGGGGGGAGGGAGGGAGAGGGGGTGTGGGAAGTTAGCTGGTTAGCTGGGTAACGGGAGCGGTTGGAGGATCCCCCTCCCCCGGATCAGTTTACCTCTCCCCCCTCCCCTCCCCTCCCCGTCCCTCCCCCCCCCACCTGCAGCGGCATGTCGATATCCAGCAGCTCCCCCTCCCGCATGCTGCCAAAGTCCAGCACCCGAGTGGTGCAGCTGCTGGCGATGAGGGCCGGGTCGAACGCGTCAACAACCACCTGAGGGGGGCGGAAGGGAGGGGGCGAGGGGGGCGGGAGGTCGTGTGAAGCACCAGCAACAACAGGCAGCAGCACCAGCAGCCCCGAAGCATGTGTACGACGCAAGCCAGCAAAACCCCAATGCAGCAAACCTCCTCAGTGCCCTAACCTGTGGTTTCCTATGTTTCGGTATGGTCTTTGGCCCACCTCGGTGTCGGCAGGGGCCATTAGCCCTTTGTTTCGTGACACAAACTGCTTTCCACTATCCCCATTGCTATGCCCTAACCAAATGTGGTTTTGGTACACCTCTGACCTCCTACCTGTCCAAAGTATCCGTGTGTGGCGGGCGCATGCAGGCAGGTGAGGTCCACTCCGAAGAAGCCGCTCTGCAGCCAGAAGGCCGACTTGGCGCCCACCTCCGCGTGAAGCACCGCGTCGGAGAAGGCGGCTGCAGGGGGTGGGTGGGGGGGTGTCGGATGTCAGATTAGCGGAGGGCGGGCAATGTAGCTCGTACGCATGCTCCCCCTCCCCCACCACACCCCCTCCCGCGTTCTTCCTCGTTTCCCTCCCCTCTCCCCCCCCCGCCCCTTCCCTCCCCCGCCCCTTCCCTCCCCCGCCCCTTGTGTACCTAGGTACGTGTTTTATCATGTGTCGGTCTGTGTTGTTTTTTATGAGTGCTCGTGTTGTGCTGTTCCTGCTGTTTGCGTCTGCCCCACGGCGCGGTGGGTCTCCAGCTCACCTTCAGCAGCCTCCATACATGCCCAAGCCTATGGTAAGGTTTCTCCATAATTGGTAAGTTCGGTAAGTTTAGCTCGCTTTGCTTTCACCACCATTTCGGCTCGACTCACGGTTCATTCCACCAGGGATTGTCAGCAACTTATATCATTATCACACCACACTTTGGAATTTCTTTTTTTCCCCCGCCCCCCCTCGCCCCTTCCCTCCCCCGCCCGCTCCTCCCCCCCCGCCCCCACCCGCATGTATCCTGCCCAGCTGCGGAAACATCTTGCCGCCCGGCTTCAGGAAGGCGTCCCGCGCAAACAGGTAGCTCTCCAGCATGCGCTCATTCACCAGCAGCGTGCCCATGGGCTCCGACACCAGCACGTCCACACGCTCTGGTGGGAAGGGGGGAAGGAGAGGAAGGAGGGGAGGGGGGAGCTGACGAGCTGCTGTTTGACAAGGCTTCGACACTCGCCTACTTAGCCCAGCCGCCCTCCCTTCGGACAACACAGCAAACCGGCCGTCGGAGCCGCCCCTTCGCCCACCCCTTTTCCCTTCCTCCCCCCCCTCCTCCCTCCCTGCCCCCCCGCCCACCCGGCAGGCTGATCTCCTCCACCTTGCCCCGCACCACCCGAATCCTGCTCCCCAGCTCCGGGTTGGCCGCCGCCAGCTGCTCCGCGAAGGCCGCCATGCCGCTCGCCTCCACCGCATACACCCGCGCCGCGCCCGCCTGCGCCGCGAAGAGCGAGAGGATACCGCTGCCCGCCCCCACGTCCAGCACCACCCGCCCGCGGAAGTCCTCTGGGTTGCCCAGGATAGCCTGGTAGTAGGCGCCGGTGCGGGCGTAGTCCTGGGAGGGGGGTCAAAATAGACCATAGGAGGGGGAAGGAGGGGGGCGGGGGGAGGGGGGGATTAGCTAAACTGAGCCGCGGAAAGACTGACCCTGACCGGGGAGAAGAGGGAGAGGGAGAGGGTGGGTGGGAAGCAAGGAGGGCATTGACGAGGGCTATAGCTGTAGCCCTTTCCTTCCTGCTGCGGTTCTGGCGGGCATCGGTCAGCAGGGTCCCACTGCCTTGGCCACCGCGCCCCCTCCGAGACCAGCCAGCCCCGGGTAGGCGCGCCCGACCGCCCCCGCTAGGCCGCCGGGAGCTGCGCCCCTCACCTCACCTCACCTCACCTCACCTCACTGGAGGGGAGAAGGCCAGCACCCACCACCCCGCGCCTGCCGCCACCCAGATAGTGGGGTCCCCCCCCCTCTGTCAGGCAGGGCTTGCCGGGCAGGGCAGGCAGGCCGGGCTTCCCATCCAGCACTTGGGAATTCTTCTTTTTTCCTCCCTGTCAGGAGACGGCAAGACCCTCCCCCTCCCCTCCCCTGCGCCCACCTGCAGCATGTTCTGCTGGTGCTGCAGCATGCCATAGTAGTGGAAGTACATGTCGGAGGAGGCGCGGCAGATCTTGCGGTCGAAGGCGTTGGGCGCGGCAGGGTCCCCGCCTTCGCCTCCGGGGGGTCCGATGACGGCAGCGGCAGCAGCAGCAGTGGCGGCAGCAGCGGCAGCGGCCCCCCTGCCCGCTTCCTTGTCCTGGGACTGGCTGGCGGGGGCTGCTGCTGCGGATGTGGGGGCTGCTGCTGCTGTTACCCCGTTGCCTTGGTGGTAGGGGCTGCGAGGGGGGCCGTCCGGCGGCCCGGGACCCGCGCCCTGTCCGCTGCTTCCTCTGCCACCTGCATCCTGTGCTGCCGCCCCCTCGGCCGCTGCTGCTGCTGCTCCACCTGCTGCTCCACCCGCCGCGCCGCTGCCGGGCCCGGGAGAGGGCGGCGGCAGCAGCGGGGAGGCAGGACCCGGACCCGGACCCGCTGCTGCTGCTGCTGCCGTACCACCCGCTGGGAGCGCCTCTGCCGCGGCAGCAGCTCTCCCTCGGGCTGCAGCTCCCCCCTCCTCCTCATCCTGCGCGCCCCCTCCTGCTGCTGCCCCCGCCCCCGCCACCGCCGCCTCCAGTTCCGCTTGCATCTGCTCCGCTGCTGTCCGCGAGGCGGCCTGCAGGGCGTACAGCGGCCCGCCCGCCGCGCCCGGCAGCGGACTCACGAAGAACAGCGCCGAGCTGGCTCGCCATACCTGGGCAGGGAGAGGAGGGGAGGGGAAGGGAAGAGAGGGAAGGGGTGCAGGGGGAAGGGTGGCATGGAGCTGAAAGAAGGGGAAGAGGCGACGGGTGCGGGGCTGGGGGGGTCGAGAGGATGCGATAATGGTGAGAAGCAAGGCGGAATTTGAAGGAAGGGCGGGACGAATTCTTACCGTTCGTGCTGTTAGCACACTCTGCATTAGCGTGCTGCCGGTTGTTTGATTTTGAAGGCAGATGACAGGCGCGGCGTCCCCAGCTCGGACAATAGTTAGCTTGGCGGTGTAAGCGCTTTCTGCGCATTGAAAAGCAGGTGGGTGCTGAGTGTTGTGGAATTGCTCCGCGTCGCTAGTTAAACGTTTTCCTTACCCCACGCTATCGCGCCGCGCTCCGGATGGACAGAAGCCACCCGGAGATCGGAAAAGCTCATCTGTACTGGTACCTTTCAAGTCTGTTATAATGTAAAGTAGAAACGTGAATTTGACTATACAAGGTCTGGTGCTTGTTTTAAGATTATTCCTTGGACTGCGGCTTTCATCAGGCAGCCACAAGCCTGCCTGGCGCCTGCCTGGCTGCCTGTAAGAAGAGAAAAGCATCCCGTAGGTGGAACCAGCAACCTTGCCGTTGCGATCGGTACGGTGTGGACACCAAGGCTTCGGAGCGCGCGGAGCCGGATCCGACGGGTCACGTCCCGAGCCCAAGCCGCTTCAATGTGACCTTGTAGCGTTCATGAGTTAGTAGCTCTGTTGCTCTACCGAAGGAAACGCAAAAAAACTCACCTTTAACGGTTGGACGTTGCTTATTTCAAAGTTATGCCTCGCACAATGGCCCGAGTGGCCTTACCTTTCCTTATCGCTACCACATGCTCCTTGCTTTTTATAGTTTTAGCTTCGAGGACAGACAGCCTGCTAGCTGCGATTAAGCAGGTATGGCCGGGCGAGCCTTTAGGTTGTCGCCAACTGTTGCAGGTCGTGCCCCTTGAAGTCCCCGGCAATCCTAACGCGCAAACAAATAATCAAATAGCTCAGTATTAGATGGACATGTCTGCGGTGTGCAACCTGTATGTGGACAGCTTCACCTTGCCTTGCGACGGTTGCATCTCCGGTCGACGCAAGACACTGTACCGCTGCGCGATACAAAAAATGCAAATTTCCCCACTGCATCTGTACATACAGAAAAACTACACAGCGTTACTGGAGGAGCTTAGCGCTGAGGACCTCGACGTCAACAATCCGACGTCATCGCACCGGCTGCCAATGCTGGAGGCCGTCCGCTCCGACAACGAATTCGCCGTAAAGGCTCTCCTAGATCTGGGCGCCCTGGCTAACTCGCATGAGCCTATGTCCGGCCAAACCCCGCTACACGTTGCATTCAGTTTAAATTTTGTCACCATTGCTCTCACCCTGCTGGAGCATGGCGCTGATCCCCATGCGGTAGGTGCTGCACCCAGTGAGCCTCTCAGTGAGGGCGTCATCGAATTCAAATGCCCCGGCTAGCACAGGGTTCCTGGAGCCTCTCACTGAGCCACGGTATGGGTGGGGCAATGTCCTTCCTTGTGTCCCTTCATGTCGCACACTTACCGGGACTCCCTGTTGGAGAGCCTTTCTGTGAGACTACCCGTGCTACTGCTGTCTAGATGCCTGCTCCAAGGCCCCACCCCCCTACCAGCATTCCCTGGAAGCCCTGAGAGGCATCCAGAGGCATTCCCAATGGCTGACCACTAACATTCACATTATCATTGTCCATGACAAATCCCATATTACTAACATTCTCTTTGCCAATAACATCATGTCTTATCGTTGCCGTGCTATCCTAATCCACCCATCCTCATGTCCTATCATGTCGTGCATCATGCCCCCCCCCCCTGCCCGCATCATGCCCTCATCATGCCCCCTCGTGTCCCCTCCTGTCCCCTCGTGTCCAGACCAACCAGGCCGGTGATCCCGCCCGCCAGCTCGCCTCCAGCCCCGAAACCGCTGAGCTGCTGTCACGGCACGAAGCGGAGGGGGCGATGGCCTTCGAGTCGGCCCCGGGCAGCTGGCTGCGGGCGGTCGATGAGGAGGGTGTGGCAGGGGCACGGGGGGAGGCAAGGGGGTGTTACGGCACCCAGCAAATAACTTATATCTTGTGTAACATGACCGTGGCAAGGCGCTTACGCGGACTACAGATTCTAAGCTTTGTCTCAGTTGCCTCGATGCGGCGTCGGCAGCATTCAGTTAAACCTCTGCAACTCATGACCCTCAAACCCCCACGTCCCCGTACGTTGGGATTAGGATGCTTCACTTCTTCTCCATTCACTTTACCCCCCACGTCCCTCACCCCACTTCCCCCACTCTCTCCCTCAGGTGACCCCTACTTCTGGAGCCCCTCCACCGGCGAGACGCGCTGGTCCGCCCCGCCCTCCTGCTCCTGGCACCGCATCACCGTGCAGGGCAAGCCCATCAGGTGAGACCCATGGGTCGGCAGCGCCGGCAGCAGTAGCTAACCCCACCACCACCACCACCATGGCTGAACCCCTACCTCACTGCCGCCGCCTCCCCGCCGCTGCCCTGCCGGCCGCTCTTAAACCCCCCACACCCCCAGCCCTCCTTCCTCAACCCTGCACACCTACCCGCCAGCCTCCCCATTACCTCCCTGTTTGGCATCACACCAACCACCCTCGCCCCCCTCCCTCTCCTCTCAGATTCATCAACCAGGTAACGGGCCAGCAGGTCACCTCGCTGCCCCCCGCCCTGGCCTGGGCGCTCGTGGCGGCCGAGGAGGAGGGCAGCTCCCCGCACTGGTTCAACTGGGCTGCGGGGCTGAGCTCGCTGAGCCCCCCCGCGGAGCTGCCTGCGGACATGCTTGAGGAGCTGCAGGCGGCGGGTAGCGCAGGCGGCATGTGGCTGCATTCCGCCAGCGGGGAGCTCAGCTACAGCGATCCGGCGTACAGCACCGCGTGGAGGGAGCTGAGGGATGAGGGTGAGAGGGGGGAGGGGAGATTACGCATGAGAATGGGAGGGGGGTGGGGGAGGGGAGGGCGACATGGGGGGCCACAAGGGCGACATGATGGGGCGCAAGGGGAGGGGGGAAAATTTATAAATAAGGGGAGGGGGGAGGCAGTACTACAGCCTGCATTCCCCAGGCATGTCGCATGTGAATACACGGCGTACGTGTGCTTGGTAGCGAGCACCCTGCTGCCTGATTACCCTGAAGCGCGAATCCGCTCATCCACTCACCACGCTTCCTCCCCTCTTCCTCCTTCATCCCTCTCCCCACCCCCACCCCCATCACGCCTCCCCCCTCCCCCGCCTCCCAGCCACCGGTGAGCCCTACTACTTCAACGTGGAGAGCGGCGAGGCGGTGTGGGAGACGCCGGAGGAACTGGCCTGGGAGCGGGTGGACGGGGGAGAGGAGGGGCAGCAGGAGGAGGGGCAGCAGGAGGAGGGGCGGCGGCGGTCGAGCGGGTACTACTACAACCGGCTGAGCGGGGAGGCGAGGTGGGAGGCGCCCGCCACCGGGCCGCTGTCATACGTGGCAGTGGGGGGGCCGCGGGGGAGGGGGAGGGGGGAGCACTCGGAGCTGTGAAGGGGGGGAGGGGAGAGAGCTGTAGGGGGAGGGCGAGGGGGTGCATGTGTGGTGTGTGAGAAGCACAGGCAGGAGGAACGCATGAGGCAAATGGGAGTCGGGGGCTGAGAGATGAGCGAGAGGGCCGGGAAAAAAGGGGGTTGATGGGATGAGGATGAAGAGCGCGAGGGGACAATGGAGGAGAGGAGATGAAGGAGGGGAGAGGACAGGGAAGCGAGGGGAGAGGGCAGTGCAGGAGGTTAGTTGTGTGACCATGCATGGCTGTTGGCATTTTGTGATTAGGCGGAGGAGTTGTCATCCTTTGCTTCCTCATTCAGTCTTGGTGACAAGGGGCGCGTTATCTCGTGCACAATTCATACGGGGAGGAGACTTCTCCTTGCTTGTGTGCTGGCACTGGCTTGGACTGTCGCGCGATCCAATATCGGCCACCCATATTGGGCACTTGATCCGTCATTCCCTACGCACTATCCTACCCCGAATCCCTCATGTGGCCCCCCTTCATCGGCTGCTGCCCGCACCTCCAGCATGTCAACACACACCCTGCAGCTGTTGCATGGTTGCTCCGGAGACCTGGACCCCACACACCCCCCAGCCCCCAGCAATCAACCAAATACACCCCAGCCCCGTGCACAGGACTGCGCACGCTACCATACCCGGGGCGTCAGGAGGGCGGCCTGCTGCTCAGCGGGTAGGGTGTAAAGCTGTAAACTGACTAAGATTGAGGGGTGCCCCTCATCCGCGAAACGCCGGGGTTTACTGCAGCTTGCTAGCGTGCGGATGGTGAGGGGTAGATGCGCGCCAACTGGCATGGGCTGTTCCCAAGGGCTATAGTATCCCACTGCAGACGGAGGCACGGCCGCACACAGCCTCACCCGTCCCCCGCAGCCCCCCGCAGCTGGACGTTCGCAGCAGAGGGGTCGGGGGAGGAGGGTTACCCATCGGTCAGGTCAGCTACGAACACTTCGCAGCGTACGCTATGTATAGTAAACATGCCGGTACCCGTAAGAGGTAGGGCTGCATTGTATATCGCATTGTTCTATATAGCACATAGTCGCGGTGTGTGTTGCATCATCCGCGCGTTTGCAAGCATCCACTTGAAAGATATGACGAGGCACTGCTGTCCACGTGTACGCAACGATGCACGCGCCGCGCGCCTCTTGCCACATGCACAGCCATGAATGCATGCCGCGATTGCCGCCCACCGCACGCGCCCCCTCACATCCCTCATTCACCCCCCTCGCTGTGACACGCCCTCGCACCACCCTCCCACAATTTGCTCTCCTTCCCCTTTGACCCTCTCGCTGTATACCACACACCGTCTCTCACACACTCTCACACGGCGCCTCCTGCCACCGGCAGCATCACCTGCCCCCCCGCAGCTGCTGCCCCCGGCCTCCCCCGCCCCCCCTGCCGCCCCCCCTGCTGCTGCTGCGCCCCCCGGCCGCTGTTGCGCCACACGCGGCGCACCACCAGCAGCAGCCCCAGCGGCAGGAACACCACATTGTAGGCCTGACGGGGTTGCGAGGGGGTAGGGGCGAATGAGAAGGGGTGTGAGAGGGTGGGGGGTCCAGCCCCTTGAAGTGATAACCATGATGGACGCTATATCGGTGCTCCCCTCCTCCTCCCTCCTCCCTTTTCCCCTTCCCTCCCCTTATTACCGTGAGCACCAGCCAGTTGATCCACATCTTGTCGGTGAGCGTCCCGAAGAAGATGGAGCGGAAGCCCCGCACACCGTAGAAGAAGGGGAGGGCCTTAGGGGAGAGGGCGGGAAGGGGCGGGAGGAGAGGATACACTGGAAACCGGAGGGAGGCAGGCAGGCAGGGAGGCAGGCAGGCAGGCAGGCAGGCAGGCAGGCAGGCAGGCAGGCAGGCAGGCAGGCAGGCAGGCAGGCAGGCAGGCAGACAGTGGAGTGCGCTGGAGCGAGAGACATATAGCTGGAGGGACGAGCAGTTATCCCTGCCTCTTCCCTCCTGTCCCCACCTCTCCCCTCACAGCCTCCCCTCGCGGAGGGACGAGCAGGTATTCCCCCCTCTCCCCCCACAACCCCCCCCCCTCCCCTCACCTGCCCCACATAGAACACCCGGTTCTGCAGCTCCTGGCTCATGATGGCGGAGGCGGAGGTGAGCTGCGCGATGAGCAACGCGGCGGAGGCGGAGGAGAAGCGGTCGGGGCCCAGCGCGTGCAGCAGCACCGCGTTGACCGAGAGGAAGGACCAGCTCATGTACCTGGCAGGGGGGTGGGGGTGGGGAGGGGAGGGGAAGAGAGCAGGGAGAAGGAGGGGGGGAAGGGAGGTCAAGGGTGCGTTAGGCGGGGCCGCTGATGTCGTCTGTGGTGGCCTGTAACTGTGCTGCTGCTGCACCCGCACATTGCTCCTTCTCCTCATCCTACCCTATGCATAGCCCTCCCTGCACTCCCCCGCCTCACACTCTCCCCTCTAGCCACGCAGCATTCCTCCCCCGCTCCTCGTTTGCCCTAACTTGCAGTTTCCTACGGTTTGGTACTGTCTTTGACCACCCTCCTCCCGCCCCTGCCGCCCGTCCCAGGTCCCACCCACCACCCGAATGCAATGGCCTGCCCCGCGCTCCAGTGCCACTGCGCCCCGCTGCCGCCCGCCCCCAGGCACCACAGCACAACACACAGCAGCACCATCTGGCGGGCGGGAAGGTGGGAGGTAGGAGGTGGGAGCCGGGGAGGTGGGGAGGTAGGAGGTGGGAAGGTGGGAAGCGGGAGGCGGGTAGGTGGGAGGCGGGTAGGTGGGAAGCGGGTAGGTGGGAGGCGGGTAGGTGGGAGGCGGGAAGCGGGTAGGTGGGAGGCAGGGAGGTGGGAGGCGGGAGCCGTGGAATGAGGTAAGGAGGTTGCATAGGCGGAAGGACTGGTACTGGTATATGCAGGAATGGAGTCTGCCCATGCGAGGGCCTGTAGCAATCCACCCATCCATCAAGATGTGCATACACGGACACTGAGGCCTGTCGTACCCGCCTCCCCAATGCTTCACTTCTTCTTCTCCCCCCTCCCTCCCCCCCCTTCACTTTTCATTCCCCCCCATTCACCTCCAGGAACATGAAGCCCGCCGCCACCAGCCCCTTCACCAGCAGCGCCCAGGCCAGGTGGCGCAGCCGCACCTGCCGGCCCCCACCGACCCGCGGGTCAATGGCCAGCGCCATCTCAGTAGGCAGCTTGAACTGGTAGCTGGCGGCGACCTGGGGAGAGGAGGGGGAGGGGAGGGGGAAGGCGGATGTGGAGACATGGTTGGGAGGGTAACCGCTGGGACAAGGGATGACAGGAGGCGCTACATCACAGCCGCTCCTCCTCTTGCTCCCTCTTCCTGGCTAGCTAGCAACTAGCACTTCTGTACCTCTTAACCCATCCCTATCAAACCACCACCCCACCACGAACGAGCTGCCCAGCCAGAGCAGCACACAGAAGATGTAGGAGGCGAAGTGCTGCCCGAAGTTGCGGACCGGGGCCAGGTCCACGGGGGCGATGGAGATGCCTGGAGGGAGAAGGGGAGGGCGAGGAGGGAGGCGAGGAGAAGTACCGTAACTGACTAGCCGTATGATAAGGCCAAGTGTGGGAGGGGTGAGTGAGAGGCAAGGTGCCTTCCGGCGGGTGCAGCAGCGGCCTGCTCCCCTGCCGCCTCCGCAGCCACCCAGCCGTCACATCAGCAGGCATGGCTATCCTTCTTTGCCCTCATGGACCGTGCTCCACTCCTCGTTTCCTTGCCCCCCCCCTACCCGTGGCTAGGAACAGCGGCTCCAGGCGGCCCCCCGCTGCTGCCGGGCTGGCCGCCAGCTGGCGCGTGAGGGCGGCGCTGAGGGCGGGGCCCAGGGAGGAGAGCACGAGGGAGGAGAGGTAGGAGTGGGTGGAGTAGTCGCGGCCGCGGGCGTAGTAGTAGGTGGCGGTGGGGGGCTGGCGGGAAGGGAGGGAGAGGGGGGGGGAGAGGTTACCGGTAAACAAACTGAGCAAAGGAGATGAAGAGGACAGGAACAGGTGTGTTAAAATAACTGGCCGCGAGGCGAAACGTACTGTGATTGCCGAAAGATGGAGGTGTGTATGGTTGAGGGGGTGAGCGAAGGAACCCTGTGAAGCCCTGGAGGCTGGAACCCCCCCTGTCTAGGGCCAGGAGGACACCGGCATGCCGCCACTACCTCTCCCCCCACACAACATCAGCCCTTCATCAGACTCGTCGCTGCCAAAAGCCGTTCCGTTCCCAACCCTCCGACCCCCCCGACCATCCAACCCCACCCCATCCCCCACACCACCTGCTTCCTCCCGCCCGCGCCCCCCGCCCCCGCCCCCGCCACCCCCGAGTCCCGCCACCACGCCAGGTACGCGGCGGTGAAGTTGGCGGGGAAGTAGAGCAGGGCCCAGGTCTCCCCCTGCAGCACGGAGGAAGCGAGGGACTGGGGGAAGGGGGAGCGGAGGGTTCGGGAAGGAGGGGGGGAGAGGGTCAGGCAGGGTTGCCGAGGGTGACGGCGGGTTGCAGCATCCCAGGCGCATGGTCTTGCTTCCCCACCAGCCGCCCGCAGCTGCCCCACAAGGACCCATCGGCATTCGGCATGCAGCCCACCTCCCACTGCGTCCCCACTGCACCCCCCGCCCCCGCCCCCACACCCACCGCCACGCACTCCGCCTCCCGCGGCCCGCATCCCGCCCCCGCCCCGCCCGCCTCCCCGCAGCTGGCTGGCTCCCAGTGCAGCAGGCGGGGTCCCAGGGGCGAGGAGCGGTTCCACACCGACCCGGCTAGCAGCTGGGAGGCTAGTGGGGCAGGCAGCTGGGGAGGAGAGGGGAGGGGACGGGGAAGGGGTTATGAGAGGGGTAAAAGGTCAGCAGGGCGAGTAGGGGAACCGGCGTGGGGTCGGGTCATGTTGGGAGCAGCAGCGGGGGGTTACGCTGCTGGGATGGGAACCCTCCGCGGCCCTGACGGAGCCCCCGACCACAGCCACCCCACACGCTCCGTGCGGCGGCAAATGGAGGAGGTGGACAGGTGGTGCTGACGCCACCTAGCCTGCACACATCCTCTTGGTCCAGAAAGGCCTTCCCATGCAGCAGCCCTAGCGCCCGCTCCCTCCTCCCCTCTTTTCCTCCTTCCTCAGTCTCGGCCGCTCCGCCTTCTCCTCCCTCACACTCAGCAGCGGCTTCCTCACCGCCCCCCGCACCCCCACATGCGCCCCTCCCTCCCCCTCTCACCAGCGCCGGCAGCAGCGGTGCGAAGGAGGCGTTGAGCGAGGCGGGTGGCGGGGTGACGTCGCAGTCCAGCACCGCCACATGCAGGTTGGACAGCCGGGTCTGGGGTGGTGGGGGCAGGGGAGAGCGGTAGGGAAGGGGAGAGGCGCGGGTCAGAAGAGAGAGGAGCCGCGGGAGGGGGCAGCAGGAAGGGAGGAAGAAGCAGGTGCAGAGGGAGAGGGAAAGGGAGAGGGGGCAGGCGCCCAATTTTGACTGACTGCGTCAAGCTTGCATGGCAGCAGCCTGGCAGCCCCAGGCGCATGGCAGCAGCCTGGCAGCCCCAGGCGCTGGGCTGCACTGCCCCCAGACCTGACCCCCACAGCCTGACACCCACCGAGGGGTTCCAGAAGGCCCCCACGTAGAGCCAGCAGAAGGACCAGATCACCAGGATGGCGCCCAGAGCGGTAACAACGAACTCAACCGACATGTACGGCCGAAAGTACGGCGCCTCAGGAGGCTCTAAGCCCGTGATTGCTGCGTTGACGTCTTCGGCCTGCCCGGTTTGGACTTCTAGAGGAGTTGCTTCGTTCCCTGGCTGCTGTTTGGGTGGGTCGTCATTTCCTTGCTGCCCCTCTGCCATGGTCGTCGTCTGCAAAGGGAAGACTTGGTTTCCGGTAGCTCTGCACACAAGGTTGGAATGGGCTGATGTAGCAGCCAGTGTGTCTGCAAGACAGGGAGAGCAATCGGCCTGGGATTAACAGGCGGATGGATGGATGTCGTTGATAGAACACTGCAACTCCCGTACCTTTTACAACCTTCAAAAATGCAGTTAAGTAAAATGCCAGTAGGCTTGGTTGTAGCAAAGGGTTAGCTGGTTGCAAGCAGAATGCAAGCTGTAAGGTGTTAACAGCACGCCTGCCGCTAAGAATTAGAGGTGAAGTTCATTCCTTCATGCATAGTATTACAATGTACACAGCAGCGAGTCTCGATGCAACCCAGCACAGCCGAATGGGGTAGCAGTGGAGTACAAAGGGTCAAAATATGGGGTCACGAGGGCGGTGGTGTAGTGAAGCAAAGGTGCAAAAGTTCAAAATGCAATGACCCAATGCAGCTGAACTCTGTGACGTAGAGATGGCTTGCAGTTAACTGTAAACGGAATGTAGCCAGATCCGAAACCTCACATTGCCGTATGCTCTCATGGCATGTTCGCCCTGTTGACTCGAGCGACCGAGCGACATTGTCGCTTTTGACGCCTATAAAGAGAACGTATATACAAATGATAGGTGGCCTACGGCTAGCGTTGGGGACCGATGGTCGTCTGACGACGAACGGCGTGAGCCCAGGCGAGTGGCAATCGCTTGATAAGCTAGATACACAAGGGCGACGGGCTTTGTCTAATAAGAAAATTCGTTGGTATGGGGGTAGCACGTCAAGGATTGGCCCGAGAAAACCTTGGATTTCAGCCAATTACGCGTAGATGGAAAGCACTGCGTGGACGGCTTCGGGCCAATGCGATGCGCGCACGACGTTGTTCAGCACAACGTACAGAGACCATAAAACAAACCTATCCGGCATGGGCTCCTTGGCCTTGCGCCAGCCGCTGCGCAATCTCCCGCAGCACTACACCTCTCACACAACACGCCCTCACCCTCCTCCTCGTCTTTCCCCCGGCGCTCCTCCTCCTCACACGCACACTTCACCTGAACCTTAGCTTGTTCTGCCGCCCCTCTCCTCGCCCTTGCCCCCACCCCAGCCCAGCCGCCTCCTCCACCCGCCCTCGCCCGGGCACCCGCCGCAGCCCCTCTCGGCACACCACGGCGGCGGCCCCCTTCAGGGGAGAGAGCAGGGGGAGGTGGGGGAGCATGCGGCAGCCACAGGCGGGGGCTGCATCGCAGCTCCGCCCCGAGCAGCAGCAGCGGCGGAGGCAGCACCGGCAGTGGCAGTGGCAGCAGCAGCAATCCTACGACAGCGGACGATGCGGTGGCTGCCACCTCCCCCACCCCCTCCTCTTCCGGTCCTCAGGATCTGAGCCTGGAGCCCTTCAAGGTGGGGACGGGGATCTGTGGGGATGGTGCCTGCTAGGGGTGCCTGCTGGGGTGCCTGCTGTGGGGGCTGCGAGGGGTGGGTGTGGCAGACAGCGCATGCGGGCTCCATGCCCCCCAGGCGGCACCTGCCCCCAGCGCCCCTCACCGCGTCCCCCTGCGGCCTATCCAGCGAGCCGCCCCGCAACCCCCGCTTGCTGCCTCCGGCTGCTGCCCCCTGCTGCACTCATTCTCCCCCCCCCCCCCCCCCCCCCCCCCAACTTGTGGATTCTCTATGGTTCGGGATGATCTTTGACCCCCTCTCTCCCCCACCCCCTGCTCCAGGCGCTGGTGGCGGGGCGGCGCTTCAAATGCACCCTGTGTGGCAAGTGCTGCACCGGGGAGGGCGAGGTGAGAGGCGGGCGGTGTTCGGGGGGCGACAGGAGGGGACGTACCTGGCATTACCTTGCGGCTACAGGGAGGGAAGAGGGTTGGAGGGGGCACATCAGCCAGCTGGCGGGGGCACATCAGCCAGCTGGAGGGGGCACATCAGCCAGCTGGCGGGGGCACATCAGCCAGCTGGAGGGGGCACATCAGCCAGCTGGAGGGGGCACATCAGCCAGCTGGCGGGGGCACATCAGCCAGCTGGAGGGGGCACATCAGCCAGCTGGAGGGGGCACATCAGCCAGCTGGAGGGGGCACATCAGCCAGCTGGCGGGGGCACATCAGCCAGCTGGCGGGGGCACATCAGCCAGCTGGAGGGGGCACATCAGCCAGCTGGCGGGGGCACATCAGCCAGCTGGAGGGGGCACATCAGCCAGCTGGAGGGGGCACATCAGCCAGCTGGCGGGGGCACATCAGCCAGCTGGAGGGGGCACATCAGCCAGCTGGAGGGGGCACATCAGCCAGCTGGAGGGGGCACATCAGCCAGCTGGAGGGGGCACATCAGCCAGCTGGAGGGGGCACATCAGCCAGCTGGAGGGGGCACATCAGCCAGCTGGAGGGGGCACATCAGCCAGCTGGAGGGGGCACATCAGCCAGCCCTCTTCTACTTGCCCCCGCCCTCCCGCCTGCATGTGCCGGGCCCTGGAACTGGCATTTCAGTGCTTCACTTCACATCTTTTCCTTTGGCCCGCCCCTCGTCCTCGTATGGTCTTTGCCCCCCCCCCTCGTCCTCCCTCACCACCACCTTACTGATTGCTGCTACTAGCGGTAGCCATATAGCACTTAGGCTAAATATTATACGCTAGCCCGAATATCCAGCCTAATGCGGAATACGTATCCCTTTTAATCCCCACCTGCCCCCTCCGCCCCCAGATCTGGGTCTCCCCCTCCGAGGCCGCCCGCATCGCCGCCCACCTGCACCAGCCGCTGCCCCGCTTCCTGGCGCAGCACACCAAGCAGTACAGCCGCTACCGGGGCTGGCGCATGCTGAGGACGCAGCCGGGGACAACGGTAGGGGGGGGTAGGGGGGGAAGCGCGGCAGGCTGGGAGGTGAACCGGGTGGGCGCTGGCGGGCTGGCGGGTTGGGAGCAGAGGCGCCCGAGGCGTCGCCTGCCCCATATCGCAGCCATGTACACCTTCCGCCCTCCAGCCTCCCTTCCCTTCACCCTTCCCTCCCTTTCTCCCTCTCCCCCCTTCCAGTCCTGTACCTTCCTCGGCGCTGACAACCGCTGCTCCATCCACTCCGTGCGCCCCAGCCAGTGCTCCACCTACCCTTGGTGGCCCGAGCTGACACAGCAGCGGGAGTGGGACTGGGAGAAGGTGGGGGCGGGGCGGGGCGGGGCGGGGGAGAGAAACTGACAAGCTGCATGGCGAGGGGGCTGCACCAGGGGTGTGTGTGTGTGCAAAGATGGTACTCGGCCCAGGGGTGCGGCCCACTCCCCCCTCCATTGTCCATAGAGTCTCCGAATGCGCGCAGTGCATGAGTTGGGATTGGGGATTGGAACTCCGTTGCTGCACATATTATTTACCCCCCCCCCTCGCCAGGCTTATATGCTTACCCAACTATCCAGCTTCATGCGGAATCTTCATCCCTATTAACCCCCCCCCCCTCAGGCCAATGTGTGCGAGGGGTTCGACCACCCCGAGGCGGGGCCGCTGGACGAGCAGGAGGCGGCGGAGCAGCTGAGGGAGGCAAACATGATGACGCAGGTGGGGAAAAGAAGCAATTCCACGCAGGTGGGGGGGGGCAGAGGAGGTAGAAACAACTGGCAACTGTCCTGCCCTGCCTGGGGCGTCCCTCCCCACCCTTGCCAACGTTAAGACAGGGCAATGGGCCCCTGCTGTGACCCCCTGCCCGTGGCTCACTTGACCGTACCTAACCCCGCCTGCCGTACCCCCACATGCGTCCCCCCACATGTCGTACCCCACCTGCCCCGCCCCGCAGGTGCGGCTGCTGGCGTCCACCATCCGGCTGACGCCCAAGGTGGGGTTGCGGCTGCTGGAGGAAGGGGGGGACACTGCATGACATGTGTTTGCCTGCTGCTGCTGCTGCTGCTACTGAAGGGAAGAGAGGAGGTTGCACACCCGCCTGGCCTACGGCCGCTGTGTCCCCCTGTCCCACCATCCTCCACCCTCTGCCATATCGGAAACCATGGGCCTCACCCAACTCAAGAGGGCTACGCCCAACACACATGCACGCACACGCGCCCCACTGCCCACTGCCCCATGCAGGAGGCGGACTGGGCTGACCAGGTGCTGGTATGGGAGGAGGAGGGGCAGCAGGGGCAGCATCAGCAACAGCAACAGGAGGAGGGAGTGCAGCAGCGGGAACATCGGCAGGAGGGAGTGCAAGCAGCTGGCAGTCAGACAGCGAATCCCGATGAAGGCTGTGACAGACGGGGAGGTGCGGGGAGTGGAGGCGATGGTGGGGCAGCAGGTGGTGCCAAGAAGAGCGTGAACAAGAGGAAGCACCGGTAGAAGGGCGGTCCTTCGCTGGGGGCTGTAATGGTCGCGCTGCCGCACGGCGTGTACGTAGGTTAGTCCATGGGAGCAATAACAGGGGTTTGTTAAGCCGTGGGATTACAGCAATCCTTGTGAAGAATTTTATCCCTTTGACCAAGCGTGTGCAACCGAAAAAGTATTCCTGAAGTATCGGTGCTGCACCGACGAATCTATGTATACCTTTTGCTGATAATCTTGCATAGAAAGATAGGTGTTTGCTGGTTTAGGCGTACCCTAGAAACCGTCGGTTGCAAAGGGTTGACACGATAGGGTTGATATACTACTAGGGTAACAAAAAGAGGTAGGACTTGCCTATCAGAAATGCAATTGTACTAATGACTAGTTGCATCATCCTTGGGAGCCCAATGGCCGGACATGGCTGGATTATGGCCGGCATGGACGAGCACGAGTAGACAGACGAGACATCGATTGGACGTCTACCTTGTCCTAAAATGTCACTTCTGACAATGGACATGACATTCCTTGATGACGACTAACATATATTCCTGACGTTCTTTCTCAAACGTTACGAAATGACGTATACAACTCGCATTGAGCAGAGCGGCGACGCCAAACATCGTGTCCACGGCCACGACTAGGAAGCATATAGCATCGGCTTTGGAGGAGTAGCTGAAATTTGGAACGGACTCTTCTCGGAGGCGTGCCAAGCTTACAGGTTTGTTCGAAAACTGCACCGTTGGGAGCCTTATAGTGTTAAGTGTAATGCTATGGGCCAAGAGCATTGTCACACGCTTCATGGGGTGTTGGGACCAGGTTTACCGAGCCAGCTACACCTGCGAAATACTGAGGCATTCTAACCCTGCAGGCGCTGGGGACGACGACGCCTGCAGATATGGGCGTTAAGGGTGGTCTCTTTATAAGCTGCTTTCGAGGGAGTGGTACAGCTGCAAGGAGAGGCTCAAAGTGAGTAGGGAACCGTTGGAATGACGCGACCCCTCCGTTGCCCCCTGTATACTATGCCAGGGATTCGTAGGTTTCCTTCGTAATCCTGAACCTAACATGGCTAATTGCGATTGTTTAAATACGTCGATTGGCTAAACTCTATCGGCTTCTAGCTTGTAGTTCGGGATTCCTATCCCCTTGACAGTTCTGGGTTATCATACAAGCAGTTCTTCTCTTAAAACCCGGCCTGAACGCAATGAAATGCAATATCCTGACAACAGGGGACGGAATTCTCTTCCTTCGGGCACTTGGGAGGATTGCCCGGCGTTCGACCTGGACCCCGCATCCATCACCCTTAGCGCGGCCCAAGCCCAGAAGAACCAGCAAACCGCGGCCGGCGCAGCATACCTCATCACCGAACCTACTCCGGAAGAACACCAGGAACAGCAAAAACAGCCGCAACAACAGCAACATGAACAGCAACAGCTGCAACCGCAACACCAACAACAGCATGAACAGCAACACAAGCAGAAACTCTACAGGCCACAAGGCCCCTTGGCAGAGGCCGGCGTGACCTCTCCTCACGGCCGTCCTGAGCCCCACGCCGCCCTCCCCACCGCCTCCTCCGTCTCCACCCCACGCGCCCTCGTCCCCACCACTTCCGCCTCCGGTGGGCCGCTCCAGGACAGCGCAGCGGACATGTACGACGAGCCGGTGTCCCCCGCCACCGCCCTGCTGTCCCCACTGGCCCCGGGGTCACTGCCCCAGCCTCACCAGCAGGGCGAGCAGCGGCAGAACATGCAGCACCGAGTGGCCCTCCGGCTCCTGGAGCGGCGCGGAGGACCCGCGGGAGCAGCGGGAGCAGGAGCAGGAGGCGGGGTTAACGATCCTCCTCCGCTGCCGCCCCTCCCCCCCGCAACCCCCATGGGTGCAACCCTAATAGGCAACCCCACGGCTGCCCCTCAGCTCCCCCCCTCCTCCGCCGGCTTAGAAACGTACACCCCCGGTCTGCCGCCGCCGGTCCACATCCCCGACCCCAGCAGCGCCGGCCCCAGCGGCCCCGCCTCGCCCGTCTCCTCCGCCTCCTCCCGCCCGCGCCCGCCGCTGCCGTACCCCCGCATGAACGGGACCCTGCTCAACGGCATCTCGGTGGGGGCGCTGCCCTCGCCCTCCGCCTCCTCCACGGCGGGAGGCAGCGCCAGCGGCGCCGGCGGCGTGGCGGGGGCCTACCGCCGGCGCAGCACTGAGCACCCGCACACGGCGCCTGGCGCACTGGTGGCCGGGGTGGAGGCGGCGGTGGAGGTGGACGAACGGCGCTGCATGGAGGAGGAGGAGGCGGAGGAGATGCGGCTGGCGGAGGCGGCGGAGGCGCTGGGACAGGCGGTGGCGGTTGGAGGCGTAGCAGCAGGAGGAGGAGGAGGCGCGTCGTCGGGGCCGTCGTCGGCGTCGCGGGCGCGGACGGGGCTGTCCGGTACGTCTGGGAAGCAGGCATGGGCCTGGCGCGACGGCAGCAGCCCCACGGGGTCGGGGAGGAGGCTGACGGAGGCGGCTGCGACGTTGCGCGGCTCCGATAACGGCGGCGGCATGCCGGGGCGGACAGCCAACGGCGGTGTTGTGCCGCCTCCCGCCAGTGTGGTCCGCGTGCAGCCGGCTGCGGGAGGAGCGGGGGCCGCAGCCGTTGCAGCAGCTGCTGCTGCTGCTGCGGCCGCCGCCGCCTCCTCCCCTGCCACCGCAGCATCGGCAGCAGCAGCACCGGGGCGCCGCCTGAGCACCGTCAGTGCGGCCCCGGTGGGCGGCTGGACCACGGGCGCGGGTCGTGTGGAGCTCAGCCAGGCGGATAAGGAGTGGCTGCTGGGGCAGCCGGGCGGCATCGCGGGCCTGGCGCCCGTCATGGCTCTGGGCGAGGGCGGCGAGGGGCGGGTGGAGCTGGTGCGGGTGGAGCTGCCGGGGGGGCGCAGCTGCCACCTGGCGCGCAAGAGCACGCGGACGAGGCTGCCGGCGGAGGCGCAGCAGGCGGCGGTTGGCGGGGCGGCGGGGGTGCTGGGGTTGAGGCAGCACAGCATCAGCTACCGGTGAGGGGGGGAGGGAGGGCGAGGTATGGTAAAGAGGAGGGCAGGGGGTGTGAAGGGGCTCTCCTCGTGTAAGCTGTTGCTGCTGCCGCCCTCATCCCCTGCCTCTCCCTCATGTCTTCTGCCCCGTCCGCCCCTCCCCTCCCTCCCCTCCCCTGCCCGCCAGCTTCCCCTTCGAGTGTTTCGACCGGGAGGTTCGCGCCATGAAGGCGGTGAAGGACTGCGGCTTCGTCATCCGCTTCCATGTAGGGATGACAGCGGTGGGGGGCCCTGGAGTGGCAGGGAGGGACAGGGGCTGCCTTACCCGTCATATGACGGCGCATGACGGCTGGAATGCATGCCCCTTTGCTGTTCCGGTGATGGCGCACAACCAAACCTGTAGCACCTCCACACGACCACCTAACCAGCCCCCCTCCCACCTCTCCTGCCCCTCCCCTCCCCCCAGGCTGCGGCCTACAACCATGACGTGGGCCAGGGCTTCATTCTGATGGAGGCGGCCCCGTACGGCACCCTGGAGGACCTGCATGCGGTGAGGAGGGGGAGGGGGGAAGAATGATGGGCGCGCTGGGTAGCGTAGTCCAGCTCAGCTATGGGGCCGTGAACACTAAGCCCCATGACCGAATGCAGTCGCCGGCCCCTCCTCCTGCTCCCGTGTCCCTTCTCACCCCCTCCTCCTGCTCCCCCACCCCTGCCAACCTCCTCCCCCTCCCCCCCCCTTCAGGCGCTGTGTCGCAGCCAGCTCCAGAGCTCCAACCGGCAGGGTCGCACCCCGCTGCTGCGCCGGGCCTTTGCGCGCCTCTCCACCACCTACAAGTCCTCCGCGCCGCCCTCCCTCGCACTCGCCGCAGTGGCTGGCAGCAACAACAACTCCGCTGCTGCTGCTGCCGCCTCCGCCGCCGCCTCCGCCCACTCTGCCAGTGTCGCCACCACTCGCCGCCACACCGCTTCCGCGCTGCTCAACAACCCCTCAGCCGCCTCCTACGACCGCCCCTCCTGCCCTCCGCGACCTCCCGGGGGTGCCGGCATCGGCTCCCACGGGCGCCCCGGCTCCGCCGCCGCTGTCACCGCGCTGGACCCCGCTGATGCGGATGCGGGCGGCTGGGCGGACCGAGTTAGCTGCTGCTCCTCCACCTCGGTGGTGGGCACGGTGGATCCCTCGCCGGCGACTTCAGCCGCGGGAGGGGTGGTGGGGGCGACTGCGGGCGGGTCGCACTCTGTGGGCGCGAGTCCCTCGGTGACTGCCAGTGGGGGGCTGGGAGGCGCTGCTGCTGCAGCAGGGGGTGGTGGTGGTGCAGCGGCAGCAGCAGCAGGGGGCGGCGGTGTGGGCGCGCTGGGCAGCTCCATCATGAGCACCCGGGCGCTGAAGTACTACGGGGCGTGCATGCTTCAGGTGAGGGGGGATAAAAAAATATATATAATGAGGGGGGAGGGGGGAGGGGGGGGTGGAGGGTGAGGAAAGTAAGTGATGGGCTGGAGGTGAGGGAGGTGAGGGGGCCTGGCTGGGTGCACCAGCCCTGTGTAGCGGCGCCCCCCGCATGTGCTACTTGTAGCAAGGAAGGAACACCCACACGGCCCCCATGTTCCCGAGCGACTGCCCCCCCCCCCCATGCGCCGCACAACAACACACCTTTACCACCACCACCACCCCCAGGCTCTGGTGTCCCTGCACGAGGCGGGCTTCATCTACCGCGACCTCAAGCTCTCCAACCTGCTGCTGTGCGAGGGCGGCAGGCTGCGGCTGGCGGACTTTGGAGCCGCGGACGCCGCCCTGCCCGACCGCCCCGGCTGCTTTGGCGGCGCGGCGGGCACCCGGGCCTACCTGGCGCCCGAGGTGCTGCCCTGGCTGGAGGCGGAGCAGCAGCCCCAGCAGCAGGGGCAGGGGCAGCAGGGAGGGGGGGGAGGAGGGGGAGGAGGTCCTGAGCCGTACGGTGTGTCTGTGGACTCGTGGACGTGGGGGCTGGTGATGCTGGAGCTGGCTACCGGCTGGTCGCTCAAGGTGGGGGGTGGGGAGCGGAAACAACTAGCTGACAGTGTGATAACCCTGATAAGGCGTCATCATGGTTTGCAACATGGGGGACAGGGGAGGGGTGGTGGTGAGGGGTTAGGTAAACTGAGCCGCGAGATGACGGACCATGACCGGGGTGGTGGTGAGGGAGGGCGCGTTGTGAGGATTGGGGTTAGGAAGAGGCGGGATTCCGTGCGTTGTGTGCTAGCTGGCTCGTTCCTCGCCTAGCATCGAGTGTCCCCCTTCCCTTCCCACCTCTGCCCGCACCCCACAGGAGCTGACCCACCGGGTCATCCGCCGCGTCTGTCAGCCCAAGAGCCCGCAACCCCCCGACCTGCCCCCCGACTGCGGCCTGCCACCCGCACTAAGGCAGCTGCTGCTGGACCACGTCCTCATCGCCGACCCGCGGGTCCGTTGGCCCGCCGCACGCATCCGCGAGCACCCCTTCTTCGAGGGCATGGAGTGGTCAGGGCTGGCGGAGGTGGAGGGGCCGCATGCACACCTCTTCACGCGGGGGCGGGAGGCGGCAGTGGATGCGGACCCAGGAGCGGTGGCGGAGGTGATGCGGGAGGCGGAGGCGGTGGCGGAGGCGAGTGCGGCGTCGCGAGGGGTCAGCCGAGTGAATTCCCTGAGCCGGGAGACGCCGGAGGGCGGCGGGGTGGGGCCGGGGTTGGGGTTGGCGCCGTTGGTGGTGCCTGCGCCAGGCGCCGGTTGCAATGGCGTGGTGAGTCCGAATGGCACGGGTGCGGGCGGGCGGTTGAGTCCCAATGCGTCCCTCGTGTCGGTGTCCTCCATGCGACGTAACGGCAACGGCTCGGGTCGGCCCAGCCTCCACTTGACGGCGCCACTCAGCGGCGGCGTATCGCCCACTGGAGCGGGTTCATCGGGGGGCGGCGGCGGCGGCAGCGCGTCCTCCTCCTCGGTACTGCAGCAGCCGCAGCACCGGCTGAGTAATCCGGGTGTGCGGGCGAGTAGCAGCGGCGGGCTGTTCATTGCGCCGGTGGTGGTGGCGCCGGGAGTGGTGGGGGGAGGGGGAGATCGGAGCCATGGTGGGGGGGTGGGGTCGGGGGCCTCGAGGCGGCACACGGGAATGGGGTTGACGACTCCGAGTCGGTTGGCGCTGGTGCCTTGATGAGGGAGAGGGAGGAAAGGGAGGCGGCAGGAGGGGGGATACGGTGCGCAGGGGGAAAAGGGAGCAATGGATAGGTTGTGAGGGGAGGGGGAGGAGGAGGTGCATCATGGGCTGGGTGGTAAACGGGGAAGCAACTAACAAACCGTGTGATAAGGCGTCATATCATGGTTTGCAACGTGCGAGCCAGTCCGGCCTGCTCAGCCCGAATAAGCCAAGCCAGTTGGGGGCGGGTGCTGGGTGGGGGCGTGCGGAGTTGAGATGTGGCCGGGGTTTTGCGGGGCATGTTGCTGTTTGTAGGCACCGGTGCGTCGCTGTTGGTATTGGGGTTGCGTTCACTGTTGGCGGCCCTTTGGTGTTGGTGTTGTGGTTGAGGGCCGTTGGTGTCGTCGGAGGCGTGCGTGTTGAGAAAGCTGGTCGCGAGTTGGATCGTACTGCGAGGTGCGCGTGTGTGCGGTTTACTGGAAGCATGTAGTCCGGGTTGCGGGCGGGTCCGGGAAGACGTCATGGCCCCCCGGTGAGGGTCTCGAGGTGGTGGTTGAACACAGAACACAGACGGTGTTGCTTTTACGTCAATGATGGCGGCTCGGAGGTTTATGGTTTTATCGGACAGCCAACGACGGCATGACAACACTCCGCTACATCCAGGCGAGCCTTACCGTGCTAGGCAGGGCTGGCAGGAGTGTGGTACGATTCGCTCTTCATCCTTTTTGTCCCATGTTGTCACGAGCTGTCAACCGCTGTTTGATGCTCTGGGATTCATCATCTTTCGGACCCACGGGACTGGTGCCTGCATTGCGCTGTCAGTATATTTATAAGGTCGCAAGTAAGGTCAAAAGGGATAGCGTGGGTTGCTTTTAGGCATCCCCTTCCTTTCTATCCCACGAACGAGCGAAGTTGCTGAAGATGTGACTACCTGTTCCTGCAATGCCCTTGCTGGTGACATACCCCTCCCACGTTACCATGCGTTGCGTTGCGCGCTTTGGCAGCTGGTGGTGCCGGCTGCCACCCGCACTTGTAGGTGCTTGTTGACCCGTACGTATTGCGGAAGTAGTGTCCATGCGATTGACAGAGCGCGAGCGTGGGTGTCTGTGTGTGCTAATGGGGAGAGATGTGTGGCTTGCCGAGAGCCTGACAACAACGTGAGTCTCCTACAGCAGCATGAGGAGATGTGGTCACGCTGAAGAACAAGAAGGAAGAGACGTGCGGAGGGGCCTGCCGGTGGCTGGCCGGGAAATGCACACTAAACACATTGGCGGTTGCTGTTCACGCACGTCGTGATCTTCGGCCCTCCGCCATTCCAAGCAATCTAATGTTCTTTTGACGTGTATACGGTGAGGTTGGAAGGTAGGGTGATGGCGTGGTGGCTGGCTTGTGGATTGCATAGCAGTTGGTAACCGTTAATCGCAGCAGCAATAGTGGTATGTCCTAAGCATATCTTTTCTAGCCTTTCATTGCCATTTCGGTAGAACTTGTTGGTGTAAACCAGAGGCACGGCGGTGCATAGTTTGGTAGGCTGTGTGTCTTGGTTGGCTTTTTCTACTGGTCAACTTGATCTGACCAGACAGCATTTTCGTCCAAAACCGTCCGCGTTTAAACCATTCTCTAGACTGCAATTAGCATTAGCATTCCTAGTGACATAGATGAACATAGGTGAGCATCAAGTGGTGAACCCGGCTTGGCTTGAAGCTCGGACCGGGACCCCGCACGTGGCATTGGATTGTACCTTTGTACGACTTATGAGCATGTAATGCTGTACTGTACGACATGCTCGGCCCCCGCGCGTTGCACTGAGCTGAGCCCTCAGTCAGCGGTCTTCCTCTTGCAAGTGCAGCAGCGCTCGTTCTGAGTGTGCATGCAATACCTTGGCAACAAAGCCCCAGTTTGTTGCCAACGTTCACACACTGGGAACAAAGTGTAGTGTAGTTTTTTTGCCAGTTTTCTTAATACACTGGGAGCAAATCGGAGATCCCTGTTACACCAGCATCCAGCAGCCTTCTCGCCCGCCTGCCCGACCCATGGGCCAAACCAACGCCGGCACTAACGCCCCCCATTCCTGGCCTGGTGAATTTTGAGGCCAACCCTCAACACGTCTCCCCAATCTTGCACCCAAATTCAACGCCTTTCCCAATTACAGACCCGATGGCCCGTCAAGGCTTAAGAGCGAGGCTACCAAATGGGTTCAGGACAGCGACCTTCTTAGATGGGTCGCGCAAAGAGAGCAGCCTGCTGTTGCACACCGCTCAGAATACGATACGCACATCGCGGCCAGTTTTCTTAACACATCGTATGCCTCAAGAGAAAAGCCTGAGGAAAGTGCAACCTCCAGTAAGCTCCAATAATACAAAAGGCTACGAAGGCGTTAGCTAATGAGGACCCAGGACACAGGAAAAATGGTCCAGCAGCAGCAGCAGCACCATACAGCAGGGGCAAACAGCAGCGGACAGCAAACGGCTGCAGCATCATTCCATCCCGCGACGACGCAACCTGGCACAAGGCCCGCCCTCTATACCAAGCCCCCTGCCATACCCTTCCCTAGTTTCCTCTTTACCCCCCATAAATCGAGACGTCAAAGCCCCTGCAAAGCGCGCACTGCCCCAACTCCTCGCCCCTCCTCCACCTGCACTCCCATCAAGCTAGCCACCCCTACAAGACGCCCCCCCTAACCCTCCTCCCAAGCCCCCCAGCCCGCCCTCCCTCCCACTTCATCCTTTAGACCTCCTGCACAGCCCATGCGACATCCGCGGCCAGTTATCCTAACACACACACAATTTTCTGGACACACGAAGCGGTTGTGTACCATCGGCACAGCCGCCCTTGCTGTACACCAGCCGCACACTTCAAAACACGTCAAACAACGAACACGCTGGGAACACCCCAGCAGCAAGGCCACCAGCAAACGCGCTCCGCAACGGCCTCAACGTCCTCAAGACCAGGTAGCTCGGCTGTGGCGCTGCTCGCACGCACGTCGTACCCCTCACAAGCGAAAGCCAACAACTATAACGGCAACAGAGCCATCAGTAATAAGCGTCGTACTCGTCTTCGTAGCCACCGTACGCGCCGTGATACCCTCCGGCGTCTTCCGTAGTTCCGTAAGCTCCTCCGTACGCACCGCCGTACGTGTCGTGCGCCTCCCCCGCCTCGTACCCCGCCTCCTCCGCCGCCCCTGCCGGCACCGCCCCCTCCACCACCTCCTCCGCCTCCTCCTCCTCAGCCGCCACCCGCGGCGCCCTGCTCGCCAATCCCGGTACCTCATACGCAGCTGGCGCCACCCCCGCTGCTGCTGCCGCCGTCGCCGCCCCGTCCACCCGAGTTGCTGGGACTCCAGCTGCCGCAGCTGCCGCTGCTCCCCCCGCTGCTGCAGCTGCCGGTTCCGCTAGCCCCTCCTGCCCTGCCACCACAATGTGCTGGTGCTGCGCCTGCAACGGCGCCGGCAGCGCTGCCCCCGTGCCTCCCTGCGCCGCCGCCTGCTCCGCCTGCGTTGCGGCGATGCGCGCGCGCACCTGCTCCAACAGCTGCGCCTTGCTCACCCCGCGGGCACCCGCCGCCTGGCCCTGACCCGCCAGGGCCGCGTTCACCTGGCAGCAGGGGAGGCGGCAGCAAGGGAGGAGCGCATGCGACGAGGTGAGTGGAAGCGGGAGGGAGGTACGAGGAGTGAGCCAATCGAAGAGCCCAGTGATGAGTCGATGCCGGGGATACGGTTGCAGTTAACGACAGGAAGCACGTGCGGTGGAGTCTGGATTGATACACCCTCACCCTCATACTCACCCTCATCCTCCCTCCTCTTCATCCCTCCCCCTCCCCCCTCCCCCCCACCCCTCACCTTCCCCGGGTTCTCCCGCAGCTCCTTCGTAAACTTCCGCTTCACATGCGCGCGCTGCATGTGCGGGAACAGCAGGCAGATCAGAGAAAAGTCCGTCCCGAACGCCGCAAGCGCGCGGTAGAACAGCGCGGTGTCGGCCTCGCTCCACCTCGCCGGCCCCAGCCGCTTCATGTAGGTGAAGGAGGTGACGTGCCGCGTGTCCTCCTCCACGCGCGCATAGCCCTCCAAGTCGTCCCGCTGCTGCGCGTTCACGGTGAGGCTGGCCGCGTCCACCACCAGCTGCCCGTCCACAATACGAACCTGGGGGGCAGCAGCGCCGCTGCCGCCGCCGCCGGCAGAGGGGCGGGGCGGGGGTGCGGAGGGGCCGGGGAGGGCGGCGGCAGCGGCCGCTGCTGTTCCAGCGGCAGCAGCGGCAGCCGCGCCCTCCGCTGCCGCTTTGATGGCAGCTGCCTTGGCTGCGGCCTTCTCCTCCGCGATCTTGGCCTTCTCCCAGGCCTGAGTGTGTGCAGGACGGGGGCGGGGCAGGGCAGGATGGGAGGGAGGCACAGCAGGAGGAGGAAGAGGCGGCTAGTCCCACCCTTTTCCCCATCCCAGCTACTCCTTACTACAGCTATGTAAGTGCCGCATTTGCCCTACTCACGTACCCTACAGGAGTTACCTTTGACCTAGACTTGCGTCGTCAGTACCGGTTACAACCAGGTAGTTAGGGGTGTGTATGCCACACACCTTTCCCCCACCCATCCCAGCCCCATCCCCCCACGGCCCCCCCACCTGAGTGCGCGCAATGATGCGGCGGAGCGACCAGGTCTCCGGGTCGATGGGCTCCGAGGGGTCAACCGTGGGGAGTGGCTGGGCGGAGGGAGGGGGGAGCGGGAGCGAGAGTGAGGGGGGTCGGGACGCCATGATGGGCCTCAGTGCTGGGCAGTGCAGCTTTCTGGCATGCAGCGTGTGTCCCCCGGTAGGAGATACAAAGTGGGAACCGACGAGGGGGAGCATCCACCCCCTGATTGGAAAGCACCATGCTGGCCGTCATGCAGCGGGGGGGAGGATACGGCCGACATAGGCGGTGAGGCTCCATGCGAGAGACAGGGCCTTGCCGCCGGTTACACGGGTATTTGGTTTCTCCCCCACACCAACACCCGCACTCAGTTGCTGCACTTCTTATTACACGCCCCCCCGCACCTCTATGGCCAGGCCCGCCTCCGCCAGCGCCTTGCTCTCCATCTCCCGCCGGTACCGCGTCTCCCGAGCCCGGGCGGCCGCCGACAACGATGCTGCAGACATGGGTCGCCCGCCGCCCCGCCGCCTCGCGGGGCCACCACCGTCCTCAGCGCCCCCGTCCACATCCGCCGCCCGCCGCCGCCGCCGCTGGGGCAGGCTGCTGCCGCCGCTGGGCCCCGCGCCCGCGTCCCCCCCAACCACCTGATCCCCTGCCTCCGCTGCTCCAGCTGCGCGGCGCCTCCTGGCCCCACCTCCTGCTCCTGCGGCGCCCCTGCCGCGGCGGCCGCGGGTGCGTTTGGCGCCCCGAGTGAGGGCCTGCGCGTCCGGGTGCAGGATGAGCGCGCGGTTCAGGTTCTCCTCGCCCTCCTCCTCCTCCTCCTCCTCCTCCTCCTCCTCCTCGCTGACCTCAGAGGCCTCCTGCAGCCGCGCCTGCAGAGGGAGGGCGGGGAGGGAGATTAGTGATAGACCAAGTCAAAGGGGAGGGGCGCATGATCAGCACCGGGTAGCCATCTATGTGCGGCTACGTGCGGGCACCCGTGTGCACTACCAGTCAGTCAGCCAGCCAGCGTACACATCTTCAGCCAGCCACCCAGCCTGCCCCGTGGCGCCCCCCGGACGAGGGGCCTCCCAAGCACAAGCCGGCCACTCCCTGCACCTCCCCTACCCCATCGGTATCCCTGCACCCCCATGCCCCACCGGGCTGCCACCCCCCTCCCGACATCCCTCCCCCCAACCCCGCATCCCCTCCCTCCTCACCACCCGCTCCTGCTCGATGCGCCCCCGCAGTGTCGCCAGCAGCCGCACCCAGCCCAGCGCGCCCCGCTTGGTGGTCTGGCTGGCGGCGGACTGCGTGAGGCGGAAGATCAGCCGCACGCTGTCCTGCGCGGCAGCCATGCGACTCGCCAGCAGCGCCATCTGCTGCTGCTGCTGCGGCGGCGGGGGAGCGGCAGCCGGCAGGGCGGCAGACGGCCCCGCCACTGCCTGCGCCGCCTCCGGCTCCTCGTCTTCCTCTTCCTCCTCCTCCTCATCATCATCGTCGTCACCATCATCAGTATCGTCACGCTGCTGCTGTCTTCGTCGCCGCTGCTGCTGCCGCTGCTGTCGTGCACTGCGTTGCGGTTGCGGCCGCCCTCGGGGTTTGGGAGCTGCCTTGCGGGAGCGCTTGCGAGCGGGTGACACGTCAGTCTCCTCCGCCCCTTCCTCCGCTTCCGCCCCCTCCGCTTCCTCCTTTTCCTCCGGCTGCTTTTGCTGCGCCCCTGTTCGCGCCCGAGCGCGTTTGCGCCCCTGCGACGCGTCCGTCTCCTCCGCCTCCAACTGCTGGGTCGCCCCCGACAAAGAAGGCGCCGGCTGCTCCCCGCCTGAGTCACCAAACGGACTACCCGCCTTTGCCGCCGCCGAAGCAGCAGCCGCTGCCCGCGTCATGCGCCCCACCCGACCACCCCGCCCAGCGGCCTCCCCCTCCCTTGCTGGGGGCACCGCTGCACCGCCCCTCTGCCCAGCCACTGCCGCTGCCGGTACAGCAGCAGCAGTAGCAGCCATACGGCGCCCTGATGCCCTGGCAGCTGGCGCCGCCGCCGCTGCCGCCGCCGGCGTGGCAACGGCAGCCGTGGCCCGTGAGGTCCTGCGGCGCTTGGCGGGTACTGGCTCCTCCTCTTGTTTTTCTTCCTCCTCCCCTTCAACACTCGCCTGGTGGTCACGCAAGTTCCCACTCCCCCCCGCCGACACGGCGTTTACTGCCCGGCGGCTTGGCCGCTGCCGTGCCGGAGGAGGAGGCGCCTCCCCTGGCGCCGCTGTGGCGGTGTCCGCAGCAGGAGCGGCCGCTGCTGCTGCTGCTGCCGGGGCGGTGGCGGGCTGCGGGCCCGGAGCTGCCTCCGCGGCCCTCCGAAGCCGGGGATCCCGCAAGGAGCGGCCGACCAGGGGTCGAGTGGGGGCAGCAGCAGCAGCGGAGGCACCCGCCGCATCAGCCGCAGCGCTTCCGCCGGGTGCCGACACATCCCCCTGTCGCTGCTGCGGCTGCTGAGCGGCTGCAGTGGACGGCCCGGGCTGCTCCGCTGAGTCCGCCTCCGGCTGTGATGCGCTCGCCTTAGCCAGCGTGGCCGCAGCGGCGGGAGCCGCCGCCGCCGCCGCCGCCGCTGCCGGCTGGGACGCCGGCGGCGGTGCGGCTGCTGCTGCTGGCGGTGCCGCCGCCGCCGTCGTCGCCGCCGCGGGTCTCCGTCGCGCTGCCACTGTGGGCGCCGCCCTGCGCTGCTGCTTGGGCAGCGCATCCAGATCCGCATCCAGTCCCCCCAGCAGACCCACCACCACCTGTTGCGGCTGCTGCGAGGGTGGCGGTGGTGGCGACAGCGAGGAGGAAGAGGGGCCAGCAGCAGCCGGTGCCGTTGCTTCCCCCTGCCGCCGCCGCGTGTTGGTCTCGACAGCCGCCGTCGACTCACTCCTCAGCTGCGAGGCTGCCCCAGCGCTGCTGCCCGCGCCTGCCCCACCCTGGCCTCGCTCACTGAGCTGCTGCTGCTGCGGTTGCTGTGGTTGCGGTTGCGAGGCGGGGCCCGGTACTGCCGCCGCCGCAGCCCAGTCCAGGGGTTGCGACTGGGTGGCGGGCAGCACCGGCTGCGAGCCGTCCATGAAGGGCGGGTGCGGTGCGGGCGGCTGCTGGGAGGCGCTGAAGCCCGCAGACGGCTGCGATAGGCCGGCAGCCACCTCGCTGGCGGGCAGCGGCGCCGCCTCCGCTGCGGAGCCCTTTCCGCTGCCCGGGCCCCGCAGCGCGGGGGGCGGTCGCGGCTGTGACTGTGGCGGCTGTGAAGGCGCCGGCACGTCCGCAGCGGAGGGGCGTGGTTTCCGTCCGGCAGCGGAGGGTGCGAACTTGGTTTGCCGCGGCTGGGAGGACATGGCCAGCAGGTCATCTAGGCTGCTGCCCAGCAGGCTGCCGGCGGCGGGGCCTGCTGCTGCGGCTGCTGCTGGGGCAGGAGCTGGGGCAGCAGCCGGACCTGCAGGCGCGGGCGGCTGCGGTGGAGCGCTGGGACGCGGGGGTGCAGAGGAGGAGGGAGGAGCAGCCGCTGCAGCCGGCGCCGCTGCCCTGGAGGGTGCTGCTGGTGGGGCGCCGTTGCCGTGAGGCGTCGGGTGGGAGGGTGCGGGCCGCTGGGGAGGGGGAGCGGGAGCGGAGGAGGGTTGCGGAGCCGCTGCTGCTGCCGCTGTCGGGGCTGCTGCTGCTGCGGGTGACGGTGCGCCGGGTTGTTGCAGCGATGGCCGAGGACGCTGTACGGGTTTTAACGCAGGTTTAAAGGCACGGCCTTGCTGCGCTCGCTGCTTATCTAGCTCGTCTAAGTCCAGATTCATCCTCGTAACAAGCCCTGCCGCCGCGGGGCGGCGTCAGGGCTCTGGCTGAGCCCTTCAAGCGGGCCTGCAACACATATCACAATGGAAGAGCTGAGCGGGTATCGCTGAACAGCTTTACCGACTAAGCGACCGCAGTCTCTTCCCCTCGTTTAGCCTATTGCACTTTCTGTTCAGCTGGCTGCTGTATCGCACCCTCACAAAAAGCAAGCCGCATCCAGCTCTCTCCTTACCTGTTGTTATGAAAGAACAAGGTGCTCCATCAATCAACTATGGTCGAGCAGCGTGCAACAGGCCGCTGCCCAAGGCTGAATTTCGTCACTAGGAAAGTTCGCACACAAGGCTTGACAATAACGTGCCCTTAAGTAGCTAACGCTAGAATCTGCTCGGGAGTATAGCTTAACGGGATAAGCACAGGCGCCTAAAGAAAGCTGGCTAGGTCTTCTGTTGCAACGCCACCACGCCTGTAGACAACATCACTATAAGGTACCAGGTGCTATGGGCTTAACCGCGTGCTAATGCTTTTCTTAAACCATCGCACGTAACGCCGCCAAGGGTGCAATGCATTACCTGTGCACGGCACAGTGTTTGACTCTGCGGCCCTTCTCTCCAAGGGCTTAGCCAGGAATTTGCGTTGTATGGTATATGATATATGTAAATTTTCTTTAAGCGTCCGATTTTCGTTACTCTTTCCCAAAAATAACCTGGCGCTGGCACGTTTCACTACTAAGCTCCATTCATCATCACGGCAACTACTCGTAACACCTATGGAAACGTTTTAACTCTTAGGCTTCCATCTGCAGCATTGCCCCTGGCTCCGGAATGCTTTTGATATGCTGAACGACGAGCACGCCTCGCTGAAACAACAAGGCCTTGCGTATACAACAACTACTGATCAAAACATTAGCAACAAGGACCTCGGTGGCGGAGCACAAGCGCTCCAGCCCCGGCTTGGACTGCCCCAGGCCGGGGAGGAGCGAGCAGCCGACTCTGAGGTCACACAGGCTACTGCTAGCAACAAAGCCCGGCCTTCCAGTGCAAAGTGGCCACCAGAGCAGCAAGGGGTGCAGCAGCAGAGCCAGCAGTCGCAGCGACCAAGGTGCGAAACCTAATGCATACGTGCCACGACTTAGCGAGCGACGTGGTTGAGGTTTACCTATTATGGCTTGTAGCAAAGGTGTACTTTAAGCATTAGTATGGCCCCTGGCATTGTTGAATTGCTATTATAGTTGCAAGCGTGCTAGCTACGCATACCTTACGGTTTACATCAAAGCCTCTGTGTGAAACTCCGTTTATGGTAACTCACACCAGTACGGGCTTCGCACGTTATGTTTCCTGTGTTTCTTTTCGCGCGTGAAGTTATGAGAGTTCCGTGCCAAAGCTCAATCACAACCCTTGCGTTGCATGGACCGCTGCTTGACCTTTAACCCTTGCAGCAGCAGTGGCCGGGGCCAAAAGCGACCTAGGGGCGACATGTCCGACCCGGCGAACACAGCGAGCCCAACCGCCGCTCCAGCGCCGCAGGAGCTGCAGAACAAGTTCGCAGCCGTCAGCGAGCGCTCGGCGCACCTTGAAATGGCGCTGAAGGAGAAGGAGAACGAGCTGGCGCGCTTAAAGCAGATGCTTGCGGCGCGGGGAGGTGAGAGAGGGCCGTGTTATGCCAATTCTACACTCCTTAGGTTGGGCGCCACCCCCCTCACCTGCAGTCCCGTGACTCCCACCAACCCCAACCTCCCAACCGTCTGCCCCCTCCTGCTGCTGCAGACCAGCTTCCGGGCCCCAGCACCCAGGCGGGCTCCGCCTCTGTGATCACTGAGCAGGAGCTCAAGCAGGCGTACTGCTCCTCCGTGCAGGCGCTGAAGGACTACCTGCTCATGTCCAATCTCACCAACTACGACATCACGGGTAGGCGCTGGCAGCTGCTGCTGGGTACCACCCCACCCCCTTGCCTCGCCCCTGTTTCCCTCCCCCTCCCCCTTCATTCCCCCCTTCCCACCACCTCCTGCCGCCCTGCGCAGGCAAGAACCTGCCCGAGAACGTAACCGCGCAGATCAAGGCGCTGGTGCACACCATCAGCAAGGTGTGCCTGCAGATCCTGAAGCCCGAGACGCCCTTTGTGCTCGAAACCATCAGCAAGGACTACTCCAGCACCACCACCACCGACTGGGAGCTGGACAAGAACCACTGGATCAACGTCATCGCGCAGCTGCAGCTCTCCAACCTCCAAGTCCTCTCCATCCTGCACGCGCGCGAGCTGCACGTCAACAAGATGCAGGTGCTGCTGCAGGAGCGGGCCACCATTGCGCGGCAGGCGGCGGAGCTGACAGCTGCCGCCTGCAGCACCAACCCCGCCGGCATGCTGCTGGACGAGGTGTCCAACATGCAGGTGCTCATTCAGCACGGCTACCTCTACTTTGCTCGCAATGCGCTGCTGCTGCAACGGGTGGTGGACATGTTCAAGGTGGGTCTGCGGGTGGGGGGGGAGGGGTCAGGAGGTCGATCAGGGTGAAGAGGAGGAAAGTGACGAGCGGTGTGATATATATAAGGCTTCACCATGCGGTGGGGAAGGGGAAGGTGGGTGGTGTCGCGCGCATTCCCAGTCACCTGTCCTTACCTCCTCCCCCCGCTCTCTCCCTCCGCCCCCCATCCCCTAACCCCGCCCGCCCCCGCAGGAGTCGCTGCTCCGCGAGCAGAAGACGGTGATGGAGCTGTTCCTCAAGGTGCTGTACCAGGTGCTCAGCCCCGTGCAGGCGGCGCTGTTCGTGGTGGAGGCCTTCCCCTACCACTGCGACGTGCTGGCGCTGGCGAACGTGCTGGCGCTGGTGTTTGGCAAGGACGGCAGCAACGTGGGCGGGGTGGGAGGCATGGCGGGCATGGGCGCGCAGCCCAACGGGTGAGCTGGCGGGGGATTATAGATAAGTGCATCAACGGAGTCCCAATCCCGACGGCTGGCGGCTGGCTGGGGAGTGTAGCAGACCTACCGCTAGTGCATGGAGGACCCAACCTGCTCTGTGGGTTTCTCCTGGAATAAGGAACAATAGCGTTCTAGGTTTTGTTAGCCCGTCAAGAACACGCCTGCAAGGTGTTTATGCAACACCCGACGTGGCAGATGCGGGTAGCTCTTGATCCTGCGAGCGCTGTATCTCTCTTCGCCCGGGTGTTGAAGTACCGGTACCTGCTGCTCCCTCCGCTGTCGCCGCAGGATGAACGGCGCCGACCCGCTAGACATCATGATGGGCATGGGAGCCGGCGGGGGCCCAGGAGCAGGAGGAGGAGGAGGTGGAGGTGGTGGCGGCAACACGCTCACGCCGCAGGACGCCATGCTGCTGCACCAGCACTTTGCAAACGGCGCGTCAGGCGGCGGCGCAGCCGACAAGCTCAGCCTCATGCAGCAGCAGCAGCCGGGGCAGCAGGACATGGGCGGTGGCGGACTGGGGCCAGGGATGCCGGGGGGCCTTGGAGGCGGCATGGTGGGCGGCGGAGGGCTGGGAGGTCCGGGGTTAGGCGGCGGCATGGGGGTGGGGATGAACGTGGGCGGCGGCGGAGGCGGGCCGCAGCAGCAGCGCCTGAACCCCTTTGGCGCCATGGCTGAGATGCAGTCGATGATGGGTGGCGGCGCGGGGGGAGGCATGGAGGGCCCGGGGGGCATGCGCGGGGTGGACGGCGGCGGACCCGGCGGCGGGATGAGTGCGGCGGCGGTGAAGCAGGAGCTGCAGAGCCTGCATGCGGCCGCGATGGCACGGCAGGCGGCGGGCCAAATGATGGGCGGCGGGGGCATGCCTGGGGACATGGGCGGGGCCAAGGGAGGGGGCGGCGGCGGCATGGGCGTGTACGGCAACCCGCACAACATGGCTTCCAACATGGGAGGCATGGCGCAGGGGGTGGGGCTGATGGACAATGGCGTGGGGCCGTCTGGGGTGCCATCCAACGCGGGTGGCGGCCTGTCTCCGGACCTGCTCACCGGCCCTGGGGGGAGTCTGGCGGGCGTGAAGGGGCTGCCGCTGGGTGGGGGGGGACACAGTGGGCAGATGGGCGGGGGGCCCGGCATGGGCCCCGGTGGCGGGCTAGGCGGCGGGAACGGCATGGGCAACCCGGGCGGCCTGGGGGGCGGCGGGGGGCCGTTGGGCGGCAACGGTATGGGCGGCGGGGGCCTCTCCGGCGGCCCCAACCTGTTTGGCAAGGCGGTTGGGCCGCAGGGCGGTCCGCCCGCCCTCAATCTGAACATGCCGGGGGCGGGCGGAGGTGGGCTGGGCATGGGCGGGGGAGGCGGGTTGGGGCCCCTAGGGGCCCACGGCGACGCGATGGGTTCGCTGGGGCCCCAGGGCGGGGGCAGCTTGCCCCTGAGCAGCATCAGTCGGTACGGCAATGGGCCGCAGCGTGGCGGGGGGTTGATGGACGGCGGGGGGCGGGCACCGGGAGGGGGGGTGGGTTTCAGCCGGTGAGGGCTGAGAGTGGGTGAAACGGTTGCACACGGTGGGGCTTAGTGGGGTGCGTTCGGACGAATATGCATGTTGGGTGGTTTTCACTACACACGTTTGCATGGGACGACATGGGTTGGGCCTTCTTGACACGTCAAGAAACACGTCGCGTGCGCTGGGAACACACTTGGTAATGTCACCTGCTCGTCGTACTGGGTTGGGGGATACTGTGTTGTTGTGTGGGCTAGCTGTCGGCAGTGGTGCCAATCTTGTTACAATGGACAGTAGTAATGGTACATGCATGACAGGATATAACGCACGCAGCGCGTGTGGTGACAGCGCCTCACACTTTATCCCCACGAATGGTCGGTTGGGCTCGTTGCGAGCGGCGTCCTCGCTGCTTTTGGGTATTCCGCTGCTTGCGTGATTGCCTCTCTCTTGAATACTACTACGCATCCATCTTCTGGTCTTCAGCTAGAGACCCTGATTGGTTGGACACCCTTTTCGTGGGAGTACGGGCAGGAGAACCAGGAGGGGAGGACGTGCTGCTGCCTCCCGGCATACGATACGCAGCAGGAGTTTTAGCCTTACGTAGCTGGGATCCTGCTTACAACGTGTTTTGTTGCGTTCCGAGGTGTGCATGTTTCCATGTACCGTGCGTACTGCTTCTGGTGCGCCTTTCTGGGCAATCATGTTCGACATGGGACCCTGGACGTCTTGTAAGGAGGATTACACCTCTTGCCACGTGTCCTAAGAGGATTTCTTAATTAGTATGACCAACTAGTATGCAATCGTGGGGCGCAACGTAGGTGTTTCAAAATAGCCTGCTTGCTTGGCTAGTAACTGCTGCACTGTCAGGGCAGTTGTCAGGGTAAGTCGAGGCAGTTGTCGGAAAGCTGTTACCGATGGAGGTCGCCAGGTTGAGCTGCTTGCCCTTGTTGGATTTCAACGTTGCAAGCCAGCTGCATCATTCCGTCGGAGTAAGTGTGTCATGGACTGGCATGCACAGAATACTTTATTTCGCTTGTGCGGGTTGTTATGCCCAGCCTTTCGGTTACCGTTTCGGTTGCCGTTATAATGATGACCCGTGGGACTTCCCAGCGGTCTGTGAGTCGTCAGCGCTATGTAACCTAGCTGCTTCCCACCATCCAGCTGAATGCCCCCATACACCACGACAGCCAAAGTACGACACTCAGCGGAGTGCTCCGCGCAGTACGTTGGGCCGGCGCTATACCTCGCATCACTGCAGCTCCCGGCGAGGTTGCTGAACGCAGCGCTGACCCGGGGGCTGCTGGCGAAGCAGGGGGACGGTGTGGAGGAGGTGCGGGGGTAAAGAGGCAACAACTAACTGACCACTGGAGGAGGTGCGGGGGCGGTGGCTCAGGTTGGGCGTGGAGAGGGAGGGAGGAGGGGAAGAAACTGACTAGCCGTATGGAGGGCGTGTGGGGCACATGGGGGCGACCTGGGTGCCGTACTTCGGGGGGGAGCTGGGACCCCGGGTTACGAAGGTCGCCCTCGGGTGCCCTTCCGCGGCACGATCGAGCCAGTTGAGCAGCAGCGGTCATCGAGCAGCCATCAACTCGTCATACTGGGCACGCTTAAGTTGGTCGCATGGCGACTGTGGGGATGCCTGCCGGCTAGTTCCCTGGCGACGCATCCACAATCTCTTGTTGGATTTCGGAACTCATATGTGTCCCTCAGCCACCTCCATACCTGACAGGCAGCTGTGGTAAAGCGGCAAAAGCTGGAGGCTTCAGCGTTTCTGCGGGTCACAGGCCAACTTGCAGCCAGCGCGGGAGGGGGCGGTCGCGCAGGGCAGCGAGGATTACACGGGAGAGGCGGTGTTGGTATGCTGCCGCTGGTGGGCGTGCTCAGAGAGAGGGCGGGAGGCGGGCTTATGTGCATATGCAGAGGCCGGGGGGGGGGCGGATTCTAGGACTTCGCGCACGTGCTTAGCGTGGTGGTGCACGGCAGCGAGGGTTGCCATCACATGAGAGGTGAGAGGTTTCAGTGTATTTCGCCGGTATTGGCTTTGGCTAAAAGGAGTTTTTAACCATGCAGAAGGCGCCTTCGTCAGCGCGTTCGGGGTATAACTCCATTCGCTTTTGCTTTTGCGATACGGGACCGGTACGTCTAGATTCTGCAGCCGGAAAGAGGGATCTGCGCCGATCCGGTCATTGCTATTGCCATTGAGCTTGACATCCCATCCATGAAATGCATTTGTTGGCGATCGCAAAAGGGGCTTTGCGTGCATACTGCCGCGCGCCTATACTTGTGGCTCCGGGGTCGTGACAGCCTGGACAATAAATGTTTCTGTCTCAAAGGCCAACTCTGGCGTGTATGCAACGAAATACGGATATTGTGTAGCCGGCGCGCGTTTGCCGCCTTCAGGGCCGTTGACTCATCGAAAGCTCCATAGCCCTCGCCACCTGTTGTGTACCAAAGCAGTAATGGTTGCTTGCATGTATACTAAACTTATGTAAAGCGCTTTGCAACAGTGCCAGCGGTTGCATGAACAGTGTCCTAGCGAAATCCGTGCTGGACGTTTGCAAGATTGCTCAAAAGCATACCAAATTTGTTCCGCTATATAAAGATTTTATACAGATCATATAGAAAGGCATAGCATAACAGTTGCACATACACTTCACTTCCTCGCAACCTTTCTGCTCGTTTCGGAGACCCTGCGCCATGCGCAGCAGTTTGGCCCGTAGGGGCCTCTGTGCACTGCAGCAGCAGTGGTCCAGTCATGTATCCGCAACTCAAGAACGTCTTGTTGCAATTGCAGCGCCAGCCCTTGAAGCTGGCATCCGCGCCGTTTCGACGGCAAGCAGCAGCTCAGCGCCAACTCCGCGCCAGCAGTCAAACTGCACAGCTGGTACTAGCGCTAACAGCTGGGAGCAACTGCTCCGGGAAGGAATAGAGGTCAACCCCTGCCGCAGTCCGCACCATCCCGCGGCGGTACAAGGGATTGTAGAGCCCGCTGGGAAGGAGCTCTCTGTCCAAGTAAGCGCCATCGCTAATTACTCCCTTTCACTGCTTAACAGCAGCCACCAAGCGCCTTTTGCCCATCCACGTATACGCAGGCGGCGTACAACCCGGATTCGCAGTGTTTTGGCTGCGGCCAGGCGCACCCGGAGGGCCTTAAACTCCAGTCTCGCCGCATGTCCGGTGACGGTCTGGGCCGGCTGGAGGCCAGTCTGCGCTTCGACCCCAAGTACTGCGCCTTCCCGGGCATCGTGAACGGCGGCGTGCTGTCCACCGTCATGGACTGCCACGGTGTGTGGGGGGTGGGGGGGCTGCTGGGAGGGGTGCTGCCGGGGCAAAGAGGAGGGGGGCAGGGACGGGAGGCGTGGCGGGAGAGGTCCCTACGGATGAGGGGAGGGGTGGCAAGCGCTGCACCGCAATGTCCCGCGCGTGGGCAGTACGGTAGACAGCAGGACGTGCGTGTCTAAACACCGCCGCCGCTCCAGCTGTCGGGTTCGTATGTGATCTGAGATCCTCATCGCCAGCTCCTCATCAGCACCCCCCTCCGCCCGCCTGCCCGCCTCTATACTGCCCCCCCCCCGCCCCCATCAGGGCTTGTCAGCTTGTTTACCACTATCACAGCACACATTGGAATTTCTTATTTACCCCCCTCCGCGTCCCACTCAGGCAACTGGGCGGCTGCGATCGCGCTGATGGACAAGGGCTGCCTGCCCCGCCCGCCGCTGACCCTCACCTCCACCATGCAGGTGGGTGGGTGGGGGGGTGGTACAAGAAAACCGGCCGCCAGTCTGAACGTACCGTAATTACCGGAAAATGATGTTCTTCCAGGAAACTCCAGGATCGTGTGTGTGTTAAGAAAACTGGCCGCGAGTAGGAACATACTGTGTGTTAAGAAAACTGGCCGCGAGTAGGAACATACTGTGATTGTCGGAAGATGAAGTCCCCACAGAACCGCCGCAGGAGCCGAGGAACATTGTAGCGTATGTAGATATAGAAGTCCAGTACTGGTGCTGAGAATAAGTAGGACGTAAGAAGCACTCTCGTAAAACGACCGGACCTAAGGCCCCCACACATACTGTGTGTGTGTGTGGTATAAGAACACTGACCACCAGTTTGTGCGGGGGAAAGGGGCGCGCTTTGCGCTGGCGCGGTTGGTCGGTCTTTCGCGGGGTCAAACATTCCTGCAGGATTGTGTCCAGCAGATCTGCTTGGTCTCGGACGCGGGGGCGGAGTGCAGGGTGCGGAGGAGGGGCAGGAGGTGCAGTCGGCACTTGCTGACGGTGTTACGTCTGCCTGCGTTCATGCCTTCATGCGTGATGCCGTGCGCCAGCAGCCTCCGTTGGGGCTGTCACAGGCCCCCCCCTGCGGTTTCCTGTGCGCCTCCAATCCATGAGAGCACCTCGCTACTGGGCCCGTGTTGCCGTCTCGGTGTGCGCGCTCCCGACCCGTACATGTGAACTCCCAACTCCCTCTGCTACCCTTCCCCCTTCCCCATCCCTCCTCTCGTCCGCCTGTCATTCAACACATGCTTCTCCTCTCCCCCCTTCTCCCCCCTTCTCCCGCCCGCTGCTGCAGGTCAACTTCAAGGCGCCCACGCCGCCCGACACCGACCTGCTCATGCGCAGCCGCGTGCTGAGCATCCGGGAGAACGTGTCCGGAAACCCCATGAGGGCAACTGTGGAGGTGGAGGTGGTGGTGGCGCTGCCCGGGACGGAGGTGGAGCGTGAGAAGGTGCTGGCGGTGGCGACAGGCACGTTCAAGCGCATGGGCGCACTGCGCTCGCTGTGAGGTGGTCAGTGGAGAGGTTGGGGGCAAACCACCTAGCCGAAGGGAACCCTGCGGTTGGCCGTGTGCGTGAGGCAGTGTGTGGGAGGCCGCAGCAGGGGCGGAGGACAGCGGGGGATAGCAGGTGGGTGCGGATGGTGCTGTTGGGGATGGCGGCAGCATGCGTAGAACCGTGTGATGCTGTGGGAGTTGTTGTTATTATTGTTGTGTTGTTGTGAGGAGTGTGAAGAGGGTTTCCAGGGTTCGGTGCATGATTGGGCAGCAGGCGGCGGGCTGGTCCGCCTGGTTTCGGAGGTACGCTGTCTGGAGGGTTGCGTTGTAATAAGGAGACGAGACACGTGAAAGAGCTGAGCGGCAAATGGAACAGGGAGTAAATGAGGGCCCTGATTGCGAACCGAGTGCGCGCGCGAACCAATCAATAAAGCTAGCAATTGTGTTGATGAGACGTGAGGAGTGAGCGATTGTAATTATGATAGGATTCAAGGTTAATGGCTTTAGATGAAATGCGAGCGCTCTCCGCGACGCATAGGGAGCATAAGCAATAGTGTTTTTGCCCATTTTCGTTACAACTCCGCCTCGGTGGGTGGTTTGTTGATTGCCCGCACAGCCCTCAGCAAAGCTCAGAGCAGGACGACGGCGCCATGGCAACGGTGAATAACTTTTTTTGCTTTCAGCGCCCCGGGCACTGCTTCACACAAGGGGAAAAGCAGCGCGCACAGTATAAACAAAGGCGCATAACAAACAAAACGTCTACGCCCCTACAAGCGCAACATTCACCGCCACACACGCGCGCTGCGCCGCACAAACCTCCAACCTCCTCCGCGCGCCCAACGTCCGCCTGAACAGAGCAACAACGAATTGGAGCAGCACCCCTCCCCCATCATCGCCCCACCACCGCTGCAACCGCCATGCAAACCGCCACGAACGGTTACATGGTGAGCTCCATGATCGCGGACACGATATCGCCCTCCGCGTTTTTGAGCGCCCTGACGGCCTTGGAGCGGCTCACGTTGGCTTGCGTCATCACCAGCTCAATGTCCTTCTGCTCCACACCGCTGTCGTCGACCTCGGCGTCCTCCTCCTCGTCCGCGGGGCCGGCGGCGGCGCCCGGCGCCTGCGCGGCCTCGGGCTCGGGCCGCATCTTGAACTGCTCGGCGGCGGCGGCCTGGGTCTGGGCGCTCAGGTCCTCAATCTTGGCCTGTGCAGGCGGGGGTGCGGGGGAAGGAAGGAGGATGAAACAAGGGAGGTGGGCAGGAGCGTGGCGAGGGAGGCTACAGAAGGGTAGGCAGAGATGCAGTGACCTGGCAAAAGGGTAGGAGCGCCCTCAAGTGAGCGCTCCCGTATGATCCCTAGGCACAGCCACCTAGGCACAGCTCTCCCCCCAAAGCCCCAGCTGTGAAGCCAGACGCAGCAGCTTTAGCCAGAGGGCTCCGCTGCGGCCACAAGCCTGGGCTGCCGCATCCCTGCTGCTGCTGCGACTGCTGCTGCCACTGCTGCTGTGACTGCTCCACCGCCGCTGCTGCTGCCGCTGCGGCCCGAATGGCTGGCACGCCCGCGCATTTTCCCTCTGCTGGCTCTTACGTAGCTGCCTCCGTGCTCAACCTGCCGATCGCGACTTCCTCCCAAGGAGATCCCCCCCTCCCGCCTTGACATAGGCAAAGTCCAGCTGCACCCCCCGCCCTCCCTCCCTGCAGCCGGCCCACCTCGCCGAAGATGATGTAGGTGTCCGAGGCGGGGCTCTTGAAGACGTCGGGGGACTGGATGACGAAGAGGATCTGCGGGGTGGTTGCGAGGCCGTAGGGGCGTAAGCCGTAAGCAGCAGTTCCGGTTGCCTAACGTCTTGTAGTGTATACGGTTATGTGCTCCATACGGGGGCGCCCGCTCTGCATGCGTCTGGCTGTAAAATGCAATGGATAAACACCGTAAGATCACAGCCCCCTTACGTTCTTGCTCTTCTTGATGGTGACGCGGGTGACGCCCCCAACAGGCTTCATGCCCAGCTTCTGCATGGCCTTGCGGCTCTTCTTCTCGCTGCGGCTCTGCTTGCCGCGGCCAGCGCCACCCTCCTCATCTGCAACATAGGTAACCACGAGCAAATGAGATTGAGAATGCCGCTGGTCCGAAGAGGCACGTCCAATTGCGCGTTCTGCTGAATTCACTGGCAGCTGCGGCCTCCAGAATTTAATAATCAGGTAGCACAGCCTTTAAGCTAGATAATACATCCATTACATCTGGTTGCTATTGCGGTGCCGGAGCCGGCGCCAACACGTCTGCGGGCGGCTGCCAACATAAAGCTCCGCTGCCGTGCCTACTGCTAAACAATTTATTTTTAGCCATACGGTCGATGGCACGTAGGCAGCGGAACTGGCAGCTCTGCCAGAGCCGATCTCCCGAGCTAGCAGCCGCCAGCGACTCACCGCCCTCGTCGAGGTCGCCCTCCTCGTCGTCGTCGCTGAGCTCCTCATCATCGTCCTCCACCTCCTGTATGCGACCGGCGGCTTGCTATTAATCGGCACCTAAGTAGGCTGGCATTACATTCGCTTCTCACCTCGACGCCCTCCTTGGCCTCAAACTCCTCCTTGGTCATTTTTATATGCGACGAATACGCCGGTTTGTATGAGGCACAAAAAGGGGGGAATATGTGCCGAGTCGCTCCCTTAGCCAGGGCAGTTTTCCCTCGTGGGCCCCCCAACACCGAAGCCTCCATGACGCGCATCGACTTGCGGAAACCCGCACCTGCATGCATGAATTGGCTTGGGTTATTCCAAGGTAGTGATCACCCGGCTAAATCTCTAGTCGCGCGCTGGGTAATGCTGGTGTCGGTGCACTAGCGGGAGCTTGCTTGCACAATGGTTCACTAAAGCTCCCAGGTAGATTCGCCACAGGGCACCTTAGAAGGCCAATTGACCATGCTGGCCCTCGGAACATACGTATCGGGTCGTGTTCGCCCTGGTTGCGCCGGAGCCTCATGTGTGGCTCGCCGAGGACGACGAGTACTCATTCCGACTTATGCACCGTTAAGAAGAAAATGGCTGCTGGAGGCTAAACGTGGCGGGAGGTAAGCATTACTTCAATACTGGTGGTGCAAGAGCCCATTCGCGGCGGCGCTGCTGTCGGCGCCAATGACCACAGCACAGCTATCTTTAACCGCATTTCTTCTCCAAAATTGCTTCTAGACGCAAAATTCGGCCTTTAGCTGCCGAGAGAAACTCAAAACAGCAGCCGAGTTCAGCAATACCCCTTGTCCGTTCCGCAACTGCCGCGAACCCTTGACCGCCCTAAAGCACAGGGACCTTTGCCACACTAAACATCGTCATAGCCTGCACATGCCTTTATGGCAGAATGCACTCATTTGCCTCTTGCAAGGGCTGCTACGTCGTGATGCTAAGTCCTTACGCTGCCCCTTGCCTTCGGCTTCTGCCCAATTCTGCTGCTGCCCCCCCAATACACCGCACCTCTTTCGCACGCCCCTGCTCCAACACGCACTGTCCCTGCCCCGGCCCATTCAACTCATCCCCATGCCTCACGCCCCAACGCCCTTCTCCCATGCCTCGGCAGGTCTGCAGCCGATGCGGACGCTGCTGACGGCGAGGAGGGTGGCCCCTCCCCGGCCGCGGCTGGCGGGGCGGAACCCTGGCGGCAGCAGATGGAGGGCATGACCTTCCGAGACATGCAGGTGTGGGCGGCGGTTAGGGCGGGGGCGGGGGTTAGTGGTAGTGTAGGGCATGCAGCAGAGGCTGTGGGGGCACGAAGGGAGCTGTGCGGGGGGGTGGGGGTTCCGTCATTGCGACTGTGTAACGGGGCATCCTTTGGACGTGCGAGAGGCTTGTTGGGAGGGGAGTCGATTGGTTAAAAGGATAAGCAACCCATGTACCCGACCCACCCCGGCAAGCCCAGCCACTGCACCCTGGGCGTCGCTTACCTACCCCCCCCCCCCTGACCCGCCCTCTCCCACCCCTATTCTTCTTTATAAACCCCCCACCCCCACCCCAGGTGGCCCTGCGCACCCGGGGGCTGAGTGCGGGCGGCACTCGGGCCGAGCTGGAGACCCGGCTGGCGGAGGCTTTGAGGGCCGAGCAGCAGCAGCAGCAGCGGGGCACCAGCACCCTCGGCAGCAGCAGCAGCAGCAGGAAAGTGCAGCAGCAGCGGCAGCAACAGGAAGATGAAGAGGAGGAGGAGGAATGGGAGGAGGAGGAGGAGGATGTCACCGGCCCCTCCTCCTCCTCCGGCCGGCAGCAGGAGCAGCAGGACTCGCAGCAGCAGCGATTGGAGGTGCTGTTAGAGGAGCTGGAGGAGGTGCCGTACGGGCAGCTGAAGAGCATGTGTGCGGAGCGCGGACTCAGCGGGGCGGGGAAGAAGGCGGAGCTGCAGGTAGGGGGCAGGGAGGGAGGTGGTGGGGTAGGAGGTGAGCTGCGGGGGCCTGTGTGTCCTGGGGCCTGGATCCCGCCTGTCGTACCGCACATGGCGCCACCGCGTTGCACCCCCCCCCCGTTGGTACCAACCCTGAGGTCCCGCCCCTCGCCCCGCTCCCCGCCCCGACACCCCCGCACGCAGCAACGGCTAGCTGAGGCGATACTGCAGGAGGAGGAGGAGGAGGAGGCGGAGGAGGAGCAGGAGAGGTGGGTGGCAAGAGTCGGCATGCGAGCACACTGCCGGCGAGCCCCCACGTGGCGTTGCCGCTACCCTCCCATCTGCCCAGCAGCACTCGGCAGCACATTCATGTGGCGGCACCACCGCCACCTCCTCCCGACCCCACCCCGCACATCACGCCCCCTCACCGGGCGGCATTTGCCCTGCCGCTCTGCCGCTCTCTTCCACGGCCGGCGGGGTGAAACACCGCCCTACATCACCCACTAGAACCGACCCACGGGTCATCATACGCGCCCGAGCACACCCCAGTGCTCGGGAGCTCGAACCCCGGGGGCTGTCAGCCACTAGCACCGCTGCATACCACACACACACTCGGACACACACAGCTATGCGGCCAGTCATCTGAACTTCCGCACCTTGCCATATTAAACGTATGTTTGTTGCCTTGCACCTTAGTGACACCTAGCTATGTTACAACCATTGTGGCGCACACGTGTTTCGCCATTTCATCCCCTCTCATTAACCCTTTCCACGGCGCCGCGTAACTCCGGGTGCTGTCCGGGGCCGCCTGTGTTGCCAAACCCCCGCCCGGCTGACTGCGGCGCCTCACATCATCACACCCCCGCCGGCTCACTTTGCCCCCGGAGCCGCTCTCACACACCGACCCGGGGGTCATTCTTACCGGCGACATGCCTTGTAGTCACTTCATCCATCTACCTCATCTAAAAACACCGCCCAGACCCGCTCACACCCCTCCCATGGTAACCTAACCCCGCCGGCTCCCCAACCCCCCCCCCCCCGCAGGCCCCCTGCTGCCTCTCCCCCCTCCGCCCCCTCCCCCGAGTCGCTGCTCCCCGAGCTCCTGTCGCTGCCCACCCCCGACCTGATCGCCACGCTGCGGGAGTACGGCGAGGAGGTGCCGGTGACCCGCGGGTCGCCCCCCAAGCGCCAGCTGGCTACCCGCCTGGCTGAGCTGATGGTGGCGGAGGTGGCGGCGGAGCTGTCCAGGGGGGGGCAGGAGGAGGAGGAGGGGAGAGAAGAGGGGCAGGGAGAGGAGGAAGAGGAGTATGAAGAGGAAGAGGACGAGGGGGAGTGGGAGTATGGCGATGAGGAGGGCGAGGAGGCGGAGGAGGACGAGGAGGAGGAGGCTCCTTCCGCTTCCAAGTCCGGCTCTGTGTTGGATCCCGGCTCGCTGAGCATGACTGACCGGCGGCTGCTGCTGGCGGGAGCCATGGAGGACCTGCGGGCGGCGCATGCGACCAAGACCCGGCAGCAGCTGTTCGGGGTGAGAGGGGGGGGGTGGGGGGAGGGTAGGGGCGGAGGTTCAAGATACCGCACAGTATAGGGCGAAATGATGTGTTGGTGCGCTGTTGCAATCCCTAGCTGCCCTGCAACGGTGGAAGGGAGAAGAAGTGCGTTCATGTCCTGCTTACAGGGCACCTGTTTCGACACTCACAGGTGCTGCCACATTTCTCCTCGCGGCCAGCCTTCTTGAAACACTCACAGGTGTTGCCACTGTCTACCGCTATCTTGACCGTCTCGTCTTACCCTACTTTCACCCGCCCCCGCCCAGTCCCTGAAGCGGGTGCGCCCCGGCTGCAGCTACCAGTCCCGCGAGGTGCTGATGGACCAGCTGGTGCGAGCGGAGGGCGAGGAGGCGCTGGAGGCGGAGCTGCAGGTGGGGGGCGAAGAGGGGGGTGGGGGGGGAGGGGAGGGAGGGGTACCGCATGAGCTTGCAGTTCAGGAGGGTACGGGAGGAGCGTCTTTTTACAATAGCGCCTTCGACTCCACTACCTCACCACCTGCCCTCCCTCAGCCTGCCGTGCCCCTCGACGCACCACCAGCGCAACCACCCTCCTCCTCTCCTCTTCCCCAACCCCCGCCCCCAGGCTGCCGCCTCCGACCCCGCCGCCGCCTCCCGCCTCCGCGCCCGCCTCGCCTCCCTCCGCTCCACCCCGAGCGGGGGCAGCTCGCTGCCTCGGCTGCGCGCCTCCGCGCCCGCCCCCCGCCCCCCCGCGGTGGAGGCGGCGGACTACGCGAGCCTTACCCCGGCGGATGTGCGGCGCATGCGGGTGGAGGACCTGCGGGCGGCGCTAGCGCACTTTGGGCTGGACAGGTGGGGGGGTTGGGGGGTTCGGTAGGGATACGTATTCCGCAGTCTTTGTTTTTTTTGGGGGGGTCGCCTTCCCTTCCTCACCAAATCGCTTTCCTGTTTCTCCTTTTCTTCCCTTCCCACATTTCATCTCTTTGCTTCAACTGTTCTGTATCTCTCTCCCCCCCCTTTCCCTCCAGCTCTGGCACCAAGTACGAGATGGTGGAGAAGCTCATGGCACGCGTGAGGACCCTGCACGCCGCGCGAAAGCAGGCGCGGCAGGCGGAGAAGCTGCACGCACGGCAGGAACGGCAGGCGGAGCGCATGCAGAGGCAGGGGGGCGCTGCTGGTGCTGCTGCTGAGGAGGAGGAGGCGGAGGCCTCTGCTGCTCCCGCTGCTGCTGCATTCGACCACGTTTTGGGCATGACGCTGCGGTCGCTGCGGGAGGAGTTGGACGCTCGCGGGCTGCCCACTGGTGGCGGGCGGAGCGAGCTGCAGGCGCGGCTGATCGGGGCGCTGCGGGGGGAGGCGGAGGCGGCACGGAGACTGTCACCGGAGCTCAAGGTGGGGAGGGGGAGAGGGGAGAGGGGCTAGCGGAATCAGCCTTGCGACACAAAGAATTGCAAGCATGTGGCAAAACCGTACCGCTACCTCCCTCCTCCTTATCTCACTCCTGACCCCGCTGCTCCCTCCCTCCTTCCTGCCTCCCTCCTCTTCTTTTTCCCTCCAGGCTGCCGCTGCCGCCGGGCTGACCTCCGAGTCGGCAGCTGCGGGCGGCGAGCCAGCGGAGCCCTACCTGCTCACTCCGGGGGCAGCTGGGGAGCCCGAGGAGGCACTAGGCGCCTCCGCCTCCTCCCTTGCAGCGGGCGACCTGGACTCCGCCGCCGCCGCCTCCTCGCTGGCAGTCCGGGCCATGTCCCCTCGCGCCCGTCTGGCTGCTCAGCTGGTGCGGGCGGCGGAGGGGCTGGGCAGCGAGGCGGAGCGCGCGGCGGCACTAGCGGTGACGCTGGCGGGGGGTGGCGGGGCGGGGGGCGGCGGGCTGGCTGCCGAGCTGCTGGTGCTGGCGGGCGAGCCGGCGGTGGACGTGGCGGTGGTGGGGGGCTGCGTGAGGGGTGAGTGGGGCGGAGGGGGCGGGGGGCCGGGGTTTTACACGCATGTGGGAGAGTGGGGTGGGGGGACGAGTGCTGAGTGCTCACCAGTGTCATGTCTGCCTGTCTGCATGCATGCTGACCTCCCCCTTCACCTCCTCCTTACCCCCCCCCCCACCCCCCTCCCGCGCACCCCACCCCCATCTCAGGTCGTATCGACCTGGCCGCCCAGTCCCTGGCCGCCTGCCGGGCCGTGCTGGACCACCTGCACTCCGCGCCGCTGACCTCGCCCGCCGCCGCGGCACTCAGCCCCGACCTGGGGCCCATGCTGGCGGAGGCGGAGGCGGAGGAAGGCGAGGAGGCGGAGGAAGCGGAGGAGAGAGAGCAGGAGGCGGAAGGCGAGGAAGCGGAGGAGGGAGAGGAGGGGCAGCAGGAGCCGGAGGGAGAGGAGGAGGAGGCGGCGGACACCGCCGCCGCCGCTGCCCCCCTAGTGGGCGGCGTGCCTCGTCACCCCACCGGCGCAGTGGTGTCGGTGTGGTGGCTGGACGGAACCACGGGTCGCTCCTTCCGCCTCTCCCCCGCCCAGGTCTACGCCGCCAGCCCCGCCGAGCTGGCTGCCGGCGTGTTCCCCGCCGTACACCCAGGTCTGCTTGCCGTACCGCCGCCCAGCCCCCTCAGCCTGGATACCCCCGACCTGCTTGAGGAAGAAGAGGAGGAGGAGGAGGAGCAGGAGGAGGAGGCGTCCAAGGCGCAAGAAGGAGGAGCTGAAGACCAAGCTGAGGATGAGGAGGATGAGGATCAGGCCACTTCCTTCCCCGACGTGTCCTCCCTGGCCGCCCACCTGGCCGCCTCCTGCCATGTGGTGCTGCCCGCGGTGCCGGCGGGCGGGGCGCAGTGGGGGGCGCTGCAGGCGGCGCTGGCGGGCGCGGGGGCGGCGGTGGTGGGCAGCGGGGCGAGGGAGGCGGAGGCGGCGCAGGACAGAGTGGGGTGAGTGGGGTGGGAGGAGGGTCTGCATGGGAGAGGCGGGTTCGTGTCCGGGTGTGGTGTGGGTCTACCACGATCAGGTCCGTGTCGTTGTTTGACTGTTTCCTCAGGTACTGGAGGCGTGCACGCACCTTCCTCCCCTTCCCCTCGGTTTCCTCCTTGCCCCCTGACCTCCCCTCCCACCTCCTCTTTACCCCCCCCTCCCCCCCAGTGTGCTGTCCCGTCTGTCCTCGCTGCACTACCCAGTGGTGCCGCTGTTGGAGCTGGGGCCAGGGCTGGTGGCGGGGGCGGTGAGGGAGGCGGCCAGGCAGGCGGAGGAGGCGGAGGCGCAGAGGGAGAAGGAGGAGCAGGAGGGGGCGCAGAGGGAGGAGCAGGAAGGGGCGAAGAAGGAGGCGGATAAGGAGGTGGTTGAGGAGGAGGAGGCCGAAGAGGAGGAGGAGGAGAAGGACCCTGTGGTGGCTGCTGCCGAGGTGGTGATTCGGGACCGGGTGCTGGAGTGGTGCAAGGAGCAGGTGAGCAGCGGGGGGGCGGGAGGAAGGGAGAGGGAGGGAGGGGAAGGGGGTGAGAGGGAGGGGGGCGGGAGGGGTGAGAGGGCGTCAAAGGGGCTTGCCTACTGGGTGGGGGAGTGAAGGGCACTGGACGCTTTGTTTCATGCAGTGTCAACCCAATCTTCCCTTTCCTGCTTCCCACTGCCCCAGTTTTCCTGAACCCTCTCCCACCCTCCCACCACCCCCCAGAGTCTGGACCCCTCCCTGCAGCTCTTCCTGCTGCGCCCGCGCCACTCCGCCGGCGCCTCCTCCGCCGCCGACACGCGCACCGCGCTGGGGGCGGAGCGGGTGGCGGAACTGCTGGGGGGCTGGATGGCGGGGCAGGTGCTGATGGCGAGGGGGGAGCAGGAGGGGGAGGAGGGCGAGGGGGGCGCCTCCTCCGCCTTCTCAGAAGGCATGTCGCTGGTGGTGGAGGCGGCTCCCCCGGCGGGGGCGGTGCGCTTCATGTGCACGGTGGTGGAGACGCCGGGTAGGTGTGGGTAGGAGGGGTGGGGGAGGTGAGGGGGGTGGTCTCGTAACTAAACACCGCGGTCCGAGGGACCTGAGGTGGCAGACAATTTGCAATTGTGTGAAAGGCAATGGGGGCAATGGGCGGCGGGACGGTTTCACGAGTTAAAGAAGATTCTCGTCTCCTTGACACCCTAACCCTCAAAGTTCAGACACCTTATCCGTATCCCTGTCCTCCCTTACCTTCTCTTATCCCCCCTCTTCTCCCCCCTCCTCCCCTCCCCCCCAGACGGCCCCGTGTCGCTGCTGCCCTCCGAGGTGGAGTGGTACGACACGGAGCAGCTGCTGGCGGCTCACCGGGCGGACGTGGCGGGCTGGCTGGCGCTGAGGGACGGAGCGGAGGAGACGGTGAGGGGGGGGGGGAGAGGGTAAAAAATATAATGCGACACTGACGATGCAACTGACGAGCTGTATGGCAAGGCTGGGTGGGGGTGAGGGTGTTAAGAACACACTAATGCGACCTTGCCACCAAGAGCTGCACTTTGTTCAATTCGCCTTATCCGTACACAGACCTCTGTTTTGCTTGTACTCGCGGTTCACATGCGAACCTATCCCAACTGCTTGCTCTTGTTCTACTCAACTACACATCCAACACACAATCCATTGTAACACAACATGGCTTCTCTCCCCCCCTGCCCAACCCGCAGGAGATCGCCTCCATGCGCGCCGCAATGCTGGCGGACGAGCCGGAGCCCTGGCGCGCCGTGTTCGACCCACGGGTCACCACCCCTCGCTCCGCCACCCCTCGTCTCCACACGCCCCCCCGCTTCAGCCGCAAGCTGACTCATGCAGTACGACACGCGGCTGCACGGCTGTTTGGCGATCTGGGTTTGCGTGACGTGGCGAGTGTGGAGGGGTGGGTGGAGCTGCCGGCGGGGTATGTGGAGGGACTGATGAAGCCGGAGGATCCGCCGGAGGGGAGGTTGCTGTACGACGAAGATCCCGAGATTGTGAATCGGGTGTACGAGGAGGAGGCTGCGCGCATGGCTGCGGACCCGGCCCCCCTGGAGGACTATTATGACTACGGGTCTAGCTGGTGGGTGTTGGGGAGGAGAAGGGGGGGAGAGGGGGGAGGAGAGGGGGTTAGTGGGAGGAGGAGGAGGAGGAGGAGGAGGAGGGAGGGGATGCAGGGAGGGTCACTGATTGAGTATTGTGTTGGAGGTTATTTGCTACCGGTTGAGGTAGCACGGCTTGTCCGCCCTTGGAGTACAGCCCTTACAAATTTATCGCTTTCGTCTCCTTGAATCACGTTCTCCATCACTCCTTACCCCCCCACCCCCCCTGCAGGCACGCCGACCTCTCCCAGTTCGACCCTCCCCACCGCCTGCTAGCCGCCCGCAACGGCGAGGGAGCCACCGTGCGCTTCTCCGCCGTCAGCCCCGACCTGCCCCTGGAGCCCACCCACCCCGCCGTGCTGGCGGCGGCGGAGGTGGGCATGCCGCATGCAACGCTGCTCCGGAACCTGGCAAACAACGCGCTGAGGAGGGCGGCGGAGGCGGGCAACCCGAGGGCGCTGACGCCGGGGGTGCTGTACGTGTCGCCGGAGGAGGCGGTGGCGGCGGCGGCGGGCGCGGCGGAGGTGGCGGCGGCGTTGCAGGCGTCGGAGATAAGCCCACAGGAGCTGCAGGCGATGGCGGCGGAGGTGGAGGAGGAGGGAGAGGGAGAGGTGGAGGTGGAGGGAGAGGAGGAGGAGTTGGCAGTTGAAGAAGAGGCGGAAGAGGAAGAGGAGGAGGAGGAGCAGGAGGAGGCAGAGGCGTTGGAAGACGATGAAGGAGAGCAGGAGGAGGAGGATGAGGAGGACGAGGCTGAGGCGGCTGAGGCGGCGGGCAGGCAGGCTGCCATGCTTGCTGCCGCCGCCCCGGTGCCGGTGCCCCCCCAGCCGCTGCAGCTGGCCATGCCTCCTCAGCTGCCGCTCTACCACACGGCGGTCATGCAGCACTGGAGGGTGAGAGCAGGGGGTGAGGGGAGGGACGGTAGAGGGATGGTAGGGAGGAGCGGAGGGTAACAAGGCGGGAGGGGGGCTTGGCATGTGTGCCGGAGGTCCGCCTGTGGTACCGCAATGGCCTCCCGCCGCCCACCCGCTGTCCTTACACCTCTGCTCTTCATCCTTTGTGTCTCTCCCTCCACACACTTTCCAAATCCCCCCCCGCAGGAGGGTGACGAGTTCGACGCCTGGATCGAGACGCACGACCCCGACTACTGGGGGGACGCGGAGGGGCCCATCCGTGTGGGGGCGGCGCTGGAGGCCATCCAGGAGCAGCTGCAGGAGGAGACGGGGCTGGAGCTGGGGGTGAGGGGCGAGTGCTGCTGTGTCGTTGTGTTGCTGCTGCTGTCGACCCCTTTGCTGCTGTGGCAATGCTGTGCCATGCCGCTCTCAGCACCCGGCTACCGTCCTCCTCCCGTGCGTCCCCTCGGGTCCCTGCTCCGCCACTCCCCTCGGGCCCCTGACTCTACACCCCCTCCCTCTCCCCCCAGATTCACCCCGAGCTGCAGCACGCCCCGCTGGCCCCCGAGCTGCTGCTCAATGTGGCGCAGGGCTACCGGCAGCAGCTGCTGCAGGAGGCGGTGGAGGCGCTGGGGGTGGGTAGGGGGGGGGGTAGCGGGTGGGGCTGGTAATGGGGAGAGCAATGAGGGTTGTCCCTTTTGCGTTGCTGCATGTGTCCCCCTGGGTGCTATACACACCCCCGCACGTTCCCTGTGTTGGCATGTGTTAACGGCATCTTCAAGAACCGACCCCAACCCCCACCCTTCCCCTCGCAGGATTTCGGGTCGGAGCTGTCTGCCCGCATGGCCGCCCTGCCGCTGCAAGACGCGTTGGAGGCGGATGCGGAGATCTCCCTCACCCGCACCGCGCCCCTGCCGCACCCCGCCGCGCAGCTGCCAGAGGGAGTGCAGGGCAGCCTGGCCGACCCGCGGGTCGCTGCGCACTGGCAGATGGCGGGCATCTGCGAGCTGGCTGTGCGGCACGGGTGGGAGGTGCTGGAGGTGGTGGATGCGGCGGAGGAGGCGGCGGCGGAGGCGGCGAGGAGGGAGGAGCAGGGGGTGAGTGGGGATCCAGTGGGGGGGGGTAAGCAGGGATGCATGTGGGGATGCATGTGGGGATTGCAGTTCGAAACCTGATCAGCGCAATCGTTGGTGTCCGGGTACACTTACGCGACTGTCTCCCTGTCCCCTCCCCCAACCCTCCCTCCTGCCCTCATCCCTCCCCCCCAGCTGCCCGCCCCCACCCCCGAGGAGGAGGCCGCTGCCGCCCTGGCGACCAGCTCGGAGCGGCTGCTGCTGGAGGCGATGTGCGAGGGGGACGACGAGATCATGGAGCTGCGAACTGGGCTGACAACACCCGTGCAGGTGTACCTGAGGTTCAGGGTGAGTGGGGGGGGGGGGGGGGCAGGGGGGGAGGGAAGGGGGAGGCAAAACTAAAGAAACACTGAGGGGGGGGGTGAATGTGATGATTGGAGAGCTGCATACGGTATACACATGTACGATATTATATGTACGGTACATACGGTACGCATGCATGCCCGGTCGAGAGAGTGTTGCCGGGGCTTCTTACCCCGTGTCCCGGCAATTAGTTAATCCGACCCACACCAACCAGGCCCCGTTCAGGGGCCGCTGGGAGGGCGGGGTGCTGCTGCCCTCCGCTCCCCCTCCGTGCAGCCGCATGGGGGGGTGCTTGCGGGCGGCAGGGCGGCAGCACCCGCTGTCACGTTTGACAGCCTCCCGTACATATTCTTTTCCTTTCCTCCTCCCCCTCATCCTCCCCCTCCTCCTCCTCCTCTCGGCATTGCCCCCTGCTCTATTGGCCCCTGCTAGGCCTGTCGCGCCCGGGCAACGTATGTGCACGTGCATTGCTAGCGCACACCCCCCCACACACCCGCTTCGTTCCTAGTCGCGGCCAGTTTTTCCAACTGCTTGCTTCTGTTTCCGCTCAACTACACACTCGCGACCGGCATTAAAACACACGTCCCCACTCGCTCCCATCTCTCCTCTTCCTTTCATCTTCGCCTGGCTGAGCGTCTTGCCGCTTACCCCCCCCCCCTCCCACCACCTCGCTCCTCCCCTTCAGGCCCGCCAAGCCCGCCGCCCGCCCACCTCCCACCCGCTCACCGAGCTTGGTGAGATGCTGCTGCAGGAGCAGCGGGAGGCGGTGGAGGGGCAGCAGCAGGGGACGCTGGAGGTGGTGGAAGGTCAGGTGGTAGGGCAGAAGGCGGCGGAGGGCCAGATCACTGCTGCTGCTGCTGCCGCTGCGGGCTCCAAGCCCTCTCAACAGATCGCCCTGGCTCTCCAACAACAGCAACGACAGCCGGCCGAGGAGGAGGAGGAGGCAGAAGAGGCGGAGGAGGATGAAGACGAGGACGAGGGTGCTGCTGACGATGACGGCGAGGGCAAGGAGGTCGACCCGCTAGCTGAGTACGCGCCGGGTCCCTTCGGCCCCGTCACCACCGGGCCCCTGGGCAGCGGCTCCCACCCCTCCGAGTACGAGTGGCACCGCCCGCCGGACGATGTGGTGCAGCTGCCGCTGCAGATCGCGGCGGCGGCGGAGGTGCTGGAGTGGGCGGAGGCGGGCGCGGCGCGACGGAGGGAGGAGGAGGCGGCCGCCGCAGCGGCACAGCAGGCGGACTTGGTAGAGGAGGGCAAGAAGGAGGAGAAGGAGAAGGAGGCGGACCCGATGTCGGCTAGTATCGCGGCGGTTGCGGACCTGGCAGCTGAGGTGGTGCTCAGCGGGCGGGAGGCGCTGCGGCGGTCGGAGGCGGAGGCGCTAGTGCTCATGGAGATGGGCTTCGAGACGGGGGTGCTGGACATCGACGGACCCACGGGTCTGCCGCTGCTGGCCTCGCTGGGCCCCGCGCCTGACGGGCTGTACCGCGACCTGGTGGTGGGGTCGTACGGCAACCTGGCAGCCTCGCCGCCCTTCCGCCACCTGGCACCGCTGCTGGAGGGGGCGGCGGAGGAGGAGGAGCAGGAGGCGGGTGGGGAGGGTGAGGAGGCGGAGCAGCAGCAGGAAGAGGAGGGACTGGAGGGGGTGCAGGAGGAGGAGGAGGAGACGGAGGAGGAGGAGGTCGCTGCGGCTGCTTCCCCCGTGGCCAAGCGGAGCCGGGGCAGGCGGCCCAAGGCTGCCTCCGCTGCTGCCGCCGCCGCCTCTCCCGCATCTGTCGAGGAAGGGGAGGAGCAGGCAGCCGAAGAGGAGGAGCAGGACATGGAGGAGGAGGCGGAGGAGGAAGGATGCGAGGAGTGCGAAGAGGAGGACGAGGAATCCTGGCAGGACGACGACGATGCGGCGGTGGCAGCCGGCCTCGCCGACCCCGCCCCCGCCTCCCAACGGGTGGTGGAGGCGGTGCTGCGGGCTGCTGCTGGTGCTGGTGCTGACGGCACCGCAGCGGGTGCGGGTGCGGGTGCGGAGCTGGCTGCGCTGCTGCCGGCCGTGAGCCCCACTCGTGTGTGGGTGGTGGTGGGCGGTGTGGGGCACTGGGGCCGGGAGGCGGGGCTGGTGGCGGGCAGGAACCTGCTGGACAAGCTGGCTAGGTACCAGGACCTGGCGGTGAGTGGGGGGGGGGGGAGGGGGAGGCGGGGGGAGGGGGAGGGGGAGGGGGGGGGGAGGGGGGAGGGGCGGGGTGTCGTCTGGCCGCATGGGGAGCACTCAGCTTGGTTGGCATGTGTCTTGTGCGAGGTGTCAGCTCTGCGGCTGGGTTGCCCCACCCCCCTGTTGTAAGCTTGCTTGCGAGCCCCCTACCTCCTCGGTTAGTTAGCTTCCCTCCTCGCTGCTCCCACCCCCCACCTCTCGTACCTCTCGCACCCCTCTCCCCCCCCCCCCCGCAGGTTGAGCCCTTCCTGATGGTTCCGCTGGGTGAGGGTCGCGACGAGGAGGGGCGGCGGCGGGAGTTGCTGCGGCGGAGGGCCGAGTACGTGGCGGGGGTGGGCATCCAGGAGGAGGTGAGGGGGGGAGGAGGAATTGGTGGGGGGGGGGGGGGGAAACAGTGGTGGGGAAAAAACTAATGAGACACCGACGATGCAACTGACGAACTGTATGACAAGGCTTAGGTGGGGGGGGGGCTTAAGGTAGGGTAGGGGATAGGAATCTAGGAAGGGATGGAGAAGGGCGGAGAGGAGTTGGGTGGGTGGGAGACAGCGGCTGGTTAGGCCCTTCCGTGGTCTGGAGGCAGGGTCATTGCACGGCAAGATGCCCCTTCAAACTCCCTGACCTCCCCCTCCCTCCCGCCCCTGCCCCTGCCAGGACCTGCCCCCCTCCATGGACCTCTCCGGGCTGCTGCGGGTGCCCGACCCCGCCGCCCCCGCAGCGGCAGCCGACATGCGCGCCGACCTGCACTGCATGTACGCTGTCACACAGGCGACAGGTGGGGGGGAGGGGGAGGGAGGGAAGGAAGGAGGTGGTGGGAAGGCATAGCGTGAAGCTTCCACAGATCCCCGCAGCACGTCAAACCCTTGCCCAGCCCTACCTAGCCCCACCCAACATCTCACGCTTCTCCAAACGCGCACTTTCACGGCATATTGGTACTACCTAACCCGCCTTACCCTTACCCCCGCCCCGCCCCCCATCCCCCCCCCCCCCCCCAGTGTCCCGACCCAGTCTGTCCGACGCGCTGTGTGCGCTGGAGGCCACTGCCGTCCGCGAGGGGGTGGTGGACCACGCGCTGCCGCCCCTGCAGCGGCAGCAGCGGCAGGTGCTGATGGACGTGCAGGCGGAGCTGGCGGCGGCGGGGATGGAGGTGAGGGGGGGGAGGGGCTGGGGTGACCCGTGGGTCAGAGGGGCGGGTGCGTCGGTGTTGTTATCGCGGTTTACGCACGCATGCATGCCCGGTCGAGAGAGTGTTGCCGGGGCTTCCTCCGTGTCCCGGCAATTAGTTAATCCGACCTATATTAACCAGGCCCCGTTCAGGGGCCGCTGGGAGAGGGGCGTTACACTCTGTTGCTGCCATCCCCGTCCGGCGCTTGCTGCGACCCATGCCAGGAAGGCAGCTACACGTGCCCCCTCCCGTACATATACCATCCAGTACATATTGCTCCCAATACCCGCGTTTTACCGTCTCCCTCTGTTCCGCAAGTAGCGGTAGCAGCGGTGGCGACTTGCACCACCCCGCCCCTCTCACCCGCCTCTTTGCGCACCCCGCCCTCCCGCCATCTTCCCTGCCACACCTTTCACCGCCTTTCACTTCGGTCGAGAGAGTGTTGCCGGGGCTTCCTCCCGTGTCCCGGCAATTAGTTAATCCGACCTATACTAACCAGGCCCCGTTCAGGGGCCGCTGGGAGGGCTGGTTACCCGGCTGCTGCCATCCCCGTCCGGCACGCCCGCCGTGACACGCCAGGAAGGCAGCGTTGCGACCCGCCTCCCGTACATACCTTGCTAGCGTCCCCCGCCATACACGCCTCCTACTGCTCCCTCGCCGATATTCCAGAGCCCCATACATCCTCCCGCAGTTCATTCCGTGTTTTTGTTTAACGGAAAAAGAAAACACGCAACACAACAACTTGCAGCCCTCTCCGTCCCCATCTAAGCCTCCCTCCTCCCCCTCCCGCCCACCAACCCCGTTCCCACCACCAGGGTGTAGCCTCCCTGTGGGATGGAGACGTGACCGGCCGCCCCGGCCCCCCGCCCGCCCGCCCCCTCGACCTGTCCACCTTTGCGGAAGACGCGGCTCGTGCGGGCGCGGTGGTGCTGCTGGCGGGGCGCTGCGAGATGGCGGCGGGCGGGCAGCTGCAGGCGCTGTTGGAGCTCAATGGGGTGCCGTACGTGGGTGAGTGGAGGGGGGAGTGACCCGTGGGTCGGGCGGTGGAGGTGGTGGTGGGCTTTTTGGGTGCTGTCTTTTGGTACCGGGTTTTGGATGCCAGCGTGTGTAAGGTTGCGGGCATAAAGAAGGGGGGGGCATGGGGGAAGCTTTTGTTGGGGCTTATCGTGCATGTGCATTGGTGTGTTTGGTTGTCGAAGGTAAACCGCATGCCCGGTCGAGAGAGTGTTGCCGGGGCTTCTTACCCTGTGTCCCGGCAATTAGTTAATCCGACCCACACCGACCAGGCCCCGTTCAGGGGCCGCTGGGAGGGCGGGCCTCAGGTTGCTGCTGCCGTACCCTCACCCCGGCGCATGCAGCTGGCCCCGCATGTGCGCCCCTCCCGAACATTGCAGCATGCCACCTCCTCCTCGTTGACAGTCGCGTGTGGTAGCGTCTGCATGCCCCTTTCCGTTCACCACCCACCTCCATCGTGCGCCTCATGTCGTCGTCATTCCCTCTCCTCCAGCAACACCGCTGAGAGCAACCGCATGAACACCCACCCACCTCTCCCCCCCCTCTCTCCCCCCCTCTCATCCCTCTCCCCCCCTCTCTCCTCCTCCCCCCCTCCTGCAGGCCCCGCCAGCAAGCAGCTGTACTGGCTGGAGGACAAGAGCGACGTGTGGGAGCTGCTGGAGGTGAGGGGGGGGGCGTCTTGAGGGAGGAGGAAGGGGGCGGCTGAGGGGCGTCCTTGGCAGCGAGGGAGGGGAAGGAGCGGGCGGGAGCTGTGTGCGGGCTGGCTGGCTGAGCGGGGCAGTGGGCGGTCTCCTTGTATGTTGTTACCCAATTTGCCACTGGGGGTCTGTTCACCACATGGCTCTTCTTCATTACCTCCCCTCCCCCCTCCCCCCTCCCCCCTTCTTATAACTTATATCATTATCACACCACACTTTGGAATTTCTTTTTTTCCCCCTTCTTCCCCCCCCTCTCAGGACCTGGCCGAGTACGGTGTGGACACGCCCCCTCGCTTCGTGCTGCCGTACGAGTACCTGGCGGCCGCGGCGGACTGGGGGGAGGAGGAGGCGGAGAAGGTGGGGGTGGGGCCCTGTGGGGGCGTGCATGCATTGGGGCCTGTGGGGGTGGGGGATCATGGGGAGGTGGGAAAGATGGCGCAGCCAGGGTGTCACAGGAAGACTGGGGCAAGCGTGCATAACACCTCTCCCCGCACCTCTCCTAACCCGCCTCACACCCTCCTGCCTAACCCACCCCCCCGCCTCCCTCCTCCCCCTCCGCAGTTCCTGGACAAGATGCAGGTGGCCCTGGGTGAGGGGGTGGTGCTGCAGGAGGTGGAGGGAGAGGGGGAGCGGGAGGAGCAGGAACAAGCCGAGGAGGCACCCCTACCCGAGTCCGCCCAGCCTGGGGAGGCTGATGAGGCCGATGAGGCCACTGAAGACGCAGGCAGCGGTCCTCCCGTGATGGCGGTCCGCACGCCGCTGCTCATCCGCCCGCTGTCTGACGTGTCCGGCTGCGGGGTCGCCAAGCTGCTGAGCGGTGCTGACGTCATCACATACGCCTCCGCGCTGCGAGACGGCGCGAGCTGGCTGCCCGCCGACTCGCTGTCGTACCCGCACCCGCCCGTACGGCTGCCGCCGGTGGCCCCCCTGGCTCTGTGTGTGGAGCCGTTTGTGGCCTCCGACCCGCTGCTCATGGTGCTGCCGTCCAGCGAGCTGGAGGAGGAGGAGGAGGAGGAGGTTGAAGCTACTAGCAGCAGCAGCAGCAGCACCGCAGATGCGGCCGCCGTGTCGACAGCTGAGACATCATCGTCCACAGAACCGTCTTTGTCCTCTTCCGTAACGACAGTACCATCAGCCTCAGCCCCGCAGTACCGGCTGGTGTGCGATGGGGAGAGCGGATGGGTGGAGGTGTCCTTTGCGCTGCTCGGACCCATGGGTCACATGCGCTGCCTGCCGCCCGCCGTCTCCGCCGCCGTGGTGACGGAGGCGGAGCTGGCGGACGCGGAGGCGGCGGACGAGCTGGTGGCGGGGAAGCTGGCGGAGCTGGCGGAGGGCGAGGCGGAGGCGGAGGCTGACGTGGCGGAGGTGGCGGCGCGCGGCGCGGCGGCGGCGCTGCTGGCTCACAGTGGCCGGGCGGTTGTGTCGCCTCCGCCTGCTGACGTGTTGGGAGGGGAGGCGCTGCTGGCGGCGTGCCGACGTGCGGAGGCGGTGGTGGACCGACTGGCGCTGCGGGGGCTGGTGCAGGTGGAGGTGAGGCGGGGGGGTGAGGGGGGGGGGGGGCGGCATGGGGAGGGAGAGGAATGGGGCACATGAAGGCATGGGGGTTACTGCGTCAGGTATTGCGGCGGTTTGCACATTATCGGGCGGCTGCGTGATGTCAGCCGCTCCACAACGTTCAGCACCTCCCTCCTCCCCCGCCCTTTTCCATCCTCAACCCCTTTTCCCTTTCCCCTTTCCTCTTCATCTCCCCTCCACCCCCAGGCCTTTGCCAACCGTGAGAGCGGGGAGCTGGTGGTGTTCGACGTCAACCCGCACCCCGACCTGGGGCCGGACAGCCCGGTGTACAGGTGGGAGGGGGGGAGGGGCGGGGAGGGGTGGGCGGGGCTGGAGGAGGGGACGGGGCGGGGGGTGGGGTGGGGGGCCACGTTGGATGCGCGCATGCCCGGTCGAGAGAGTGTTGCCGGGGCTTCTTACCCCGTGTCCCGGCAATTAGTTAATCCGACCTATATTAACCAGGCCCCGTTCAGGGGCCGCTGGGAGGGCGGGCCTCAGGTTGCTGCTGCCGTACCCTCACCCCGGCGCATGCAGCTGGCCCCGCATGTGCGCCCCTCCCGAACATGCACCTCCTCCTTTCCTCACTTCCACACACAATTCAGTCGTCTTGCTACTCTCCCACTATGCTTCCTCACCCTCCTCACCCTCTTCCGTGTTGCTTCCTCACGCCCTTCCTAACCTGCCCTAACCTTCCCTGCACCCCCCACCACCACGTCTCGCTCTCTCTCCTCCCCCCAGGCAAGCCGCTGCTGCCGGTCTCCTGCCCCAGGACCTGCTGCGACAGCTGATCGGTCTCGCTATCGAGGCTCGTGCGGACAGCGAGCAGGGCCAGCAGCTCACCTTCGAGCAGCGCATGGCGGCGCGGGCGGGGGCGGGAGGCGAGTGGGGGCTGGATGAGGTGGGTGCGGAGGAGGAGGACGAGGAGGAGGAGTTGGGATTGGGACTTGGTGGGGAGGATGGGGATGAGGATGAGGATGAGGAGTATTACGGTGGGCTGGGTGAGGGAGAGGAGGCGGGGGCGGACATGTTGGGTCAGCTGGAGGAGATGCGGGGGGCGGTGGGTGAGGCGGAGGAGGAGGAGGCGGATGCGTTTGGGGATACGGCAGCAGGAGGGAGGGGTGGGGGAGGAGCGGGGGAGGGGGACCTTTACTTTGAGGATCAGGAGGAGGAGGAGGAGGAGGAGGAGGGGGGCGGAGCGGGTGGGCGAGGGGGTAGCGGGGGGTACATGGGGTTGAGGGAGTTTGGTGCCAGCGGGAGGGGGGGCGGGCGAGGTGGCTATGAGGAGGCGGACTTTGATGACGGGGAGGGCTTTTAAAAGGGGCGGCTTCCTGTGAGTTTGGGTCCCTGCGCGTGACCCAATGGGGCGCTGTTTTGGTTTAGTGTGTAACAGTTAGGACTGTTTTAGGACTATTGGACGGTTGGGACGGTTCACTGTGAAACGGACGGGCGCGGCTGTGGATGGGCCTGTGGGTGCTAAACGGGGAGACTGTCCGGCTGCCCTTGACGTACCGTACGGTAACTACCTTGGTCAAGAGAGATGGACAGAAGCGGGCGGTTGGGTGCAAAGCACTGAAGGACGTACGTTTACGGCGGTGGGTGTGTTTTCATCATTCACGGAATCACCCATCTGCATGTTCTATTCTTCACGTCTCTTTAAAGAATCCCTTAGGTACTCCTTTGTCCTGTCCCACACATGCGTCTTTCAACTCAAGGGGCTGTCCGTGCTGAGGCACATTGCCGCACGTGTGCCAGTAGGATCCTTGATCTCTCAAGTATAGCAGGAGAAGAAAGGAAGAGACTTCGGGTATATGGCGCGTTGAGTTGCGTGTTGTTTTGCAACAGCCACTCTGCATCTAGGTATTCAGCTGGCCTTGAACGGCACATGCATGTATGTACGTGACACGAGGCAAGGAGGACGAGTAAAAAGGAGGGTACGAATGCTGTCGGTGGCTAACCAGAGGAGCAGAAGTAGCAACAGAGGTTAGCGAAGGAGAACCCTCGGCCGTTTTTGTAGTGTGAGGTGTTGTGGCCAGCACTGGTGGCCAGCACTGGTGGCCAGCCAGCCGATGCGTTTGAAGTGTAGGGAGGGAGGAGGTGCGGAGGGAAAGTAGCATTCAGAGTGCCCCGTTGGTTCCGTTGGCCTCTTTTGGACAAGCACGTAACACGAGGTGTATGTGATGAGGTGTGGTGGACGTGGTGGGGAAGACGGCTGCTGGCGGGGAAGAGGGTACCAACCTGCCATTCGGGTGCCTCCTCTTGTCATCCAGGAAAAGCCTCCTCCGCACGTCATTGATGACGTACCTTGGTTTGCTGACCTCGGTCATTTTGCCCTTACACCGCGCCATGACATGCATGTGGAGGGGACCGAGACGCCCCGCACACGCGCCTGCTGCTGCTGGTGCCTTGTTCGCGCTGCGGCAGGGAAGAGTGACGTCAACTCAGGACATGTGCTCTCGTTGGGCGCTTAGTTTGCACTGCTGTGTGTGTGCGTCTGTATGTTTTGCGTGGGACGACTGGTGACGAGCTACAGCACAGTCATGTGTTATTGAGGAGGAGCTGTGTGTGTTGACAAGACCGGGACCCCGCGACCTTTATGTTTTCGAGTACGTGTGTGTCTCTACCTCTGGTACTGTCGCTGTGTAGTTGAGCGGAAACAAGAGCAAACATTTGGGATAGGTTCGCATGTGAACCGCAAGTACAAGCAATGCAGAGGTAAAACAGAGGTACCGGTAACCAAACCTGACTCATTATGCAAAACTGTCGCTGCGTGTATAACTTGCGCGTTTAACTTGGAAGGGACCGTCGTGCTAACACTACTGTCGTGAGACACATCTCAACAATCACAACAGCACTAGCGGCCCGCCTGCCTGCCTTGCTGCTTTCAAGGGGTGCGGGCAGGCGGCGGATAGATTTGCTCCCGGGGACATTCCCCGAGCGATGTGTTTCGCTGCAAGCTCTGTGTGCTGCATCGCCTCCTGGTCATTGATCCGCCCCTACTGTCCAGTGCCACCCACCAGCACGGCACTTCCCCTCATTCCTTGGATCTTTGCCTCTTGCGCAGTTTTACTCAAATACGGCACAAAGTCCAACGAACGCTCACGCCCGCATCATCACCATCCTGCAGGGTGCCTCCCAGCACCCCAGCGCTACCCTGAGGCAGCTCGGCCCCAAGCATGCCAGAAGCCCGGAAGCGGACTACCAGCCACCTGCGTCATACCTAGCGCCGTGCCGTGCGCGAGCAAACTGCTCCATGCTTGATACGACAAGCGTTGTACGACAGCACTGTACGATAGCAAAACCCTACGCAGCCCTGCCCATGAGTGCTTCCGCGCGCTCGTCATCACTCCTTCAGACTTCCTAAATGAATCCCCAAACATGCTGCCAGCCTCTTCATTCAGGGCGTCTCTTCATTCAGGGCGTCTCTTCATTCAGGGCGTCGTCATCGCCGTCATCTGCAAAGCACCCACCGCCGGGGTGGGCGTGTCAACAGCAGCAGTAGCCGCAGCTGCTGCAGTGCTGGTGCTGGTGCTGGCGCCAGGGGGCGCGCACACCCGCGCTATCACATCGGTGGCCCCCAGCAACCCGCCTGCCGCTGCAGCTGCAGCCGCAGCAGCAGCGGGGTTGCCATGTCTGCTGTTGGTCGCGGAGGTGCCACCCGGCCCCCCCGGGTGGGTGGCGCCGTCCAGGCGGCCGGTCTCCTGGCGGTGCAGTGCGGAGGGCGCGGAGTAGGCGGCGAACTTGCTGGAGGAGCGCCGGGACTGCGGGAGCAGGGGGGGAGCAGGGGGGGATAGGCCCGGTTATAACCATCCCTCCTAAGAAGGAGGGGGACTGCTACCGCCTGCCAAGCGCCCTTAACTCTCGCGTATTGTGCCTACTCGCCGAACCGGACCCTCAACCGCATCCTTCTTACGCCTCCCAGTGCCCACACTCGCGACACCTCCGACAGCAGATGGAGATGTCCGGGCTGCACCCTTCCCCGCAGGCCCCTCGCCCGCGTCTTCCCAGCACGCCCCACTCCTCGCATGGCCCCAACCCCCGGCACCCACCCCTCAGCCACCCCGTCTCCCCAAACCCGCACGCTCCCCACGCCCCCCGCACCCACCCTCCTCCAGACCAGGTAGGCCAGCAGTGTGGCGAGCAGCAGCAGCAGCGCCAGCACCCCGAACGTGATACCCACCCCCAGCGCCACCTCCTCGTCCCCCGTGAGGCCGCCGTGGGAGGGGGGAGCGGCTGGGGAGGAGGGAGGGGGAAGGGAGGGGGAGAGGGGGGCTCGGAAGGCAGCAGGGCGATGAGCTGGGCTGTCCTGGGTTGCATTTTGCGAGGGGCGAGGTGTATCTCACAGACAGGGGAGAAGCATGCCGCTGCTTTTGCCACCAGCAGAGGCATAGGGACGTGGTGCAAAGGACCACAGCCCCAACTCGCCACCTCTTCGTCCTACACAGCTCCCCAGGGGCCTCCCAAGGACCCATCCGCACCCCGCACCCCGCAATGCATGGCTGGCTGGCAGGCCGGGTGAGGTTCGGCGACCCACCCTGACTCACCGGGTGCTAGGGGCGGCGGGGGCCTGGGTGGCCGGAGCGGAGAGGGAGGCGGCGGCGGGGAGGGTGGGGGCGGGGGCGAGGAGGACTGCAGCACCGTGCGACCCTGCAGCAGCGCAGCAGCAGCGACATGAAGGGTCTCAGTAATGCAGTGGTAGTGCTGCCATGACCCTGCACGGCTTCCGCGGCAGGCAACTTTGGTGGCGGTGTGTACGGCGGGCAAGGGAGGTTACCCTCCCCCCTCTCCCCCCCTCCGGCGGTGTGTACGGCGGGCAGGGGAGGTTACCCTAGAGCCGCAACATCACCATAGCGCTGGTCCCAGCAGCAGCACCCGCAGCAGCAGCAGGGGCTACCCATTCCCCCTTGTACCTGTCCCCTCTCCACCCCTCCCCCCTCCACCACCACACTTTGGCATTTCTTTTTTCCCCCCTCACCAGGTATGTCGTGGTGTTGCTCCGAGGCAGGAAGCCGTACCCCCCCAGCTCCCCCAGTCCCAGTCCCGACCCGCCGCCCCCCGCCGCCCCCAGCGCCGCCCCCCAGCCGGCCGCCTGCGCGGGGGTGGCCGCCAGCAGCCGCAGCACCACCAGGGTGTCCCGTGGGTCGCCGCCCGCTGCGGTGTAGTCGGGGAAGGAGGACATGGAGAGCAGCCGGCTGATAGAGAGGGAGGACGCGGGGGAGGCGCCCAGCACCTGCGGCGGGGCCGGTAGTGGCAGGAGAGGTGGTAGTGGGGAGGTGAGGCTGAGGGAGGTAAGGCTGAGGCAGGTAGGGAGGGGAGGGGTACGGACAGGAGAGCGCGGCGGAACCACTTACTCATCACCCATCACCTGGTTTTACCCGGTTCACCCCGCACCCCCCCTCGCTCGCCCCACCTGCTTCGCCGCCGCCCTCATCAGCGCCCCCAGCTGCCCCAGCCGCGGCACCAGCGACGACAGCGGCAGCCCCACCACCGCCCCCACCTCCACCGCCGCACCAGCCGCCCCCACCGCCCCCAGGTCCTCCACCGCACCGCTCAGCAGGTCCTCCGCGCACCCCGTCCCGCCGTACATCAGCTTGCAGTAGCACCGCCCGCCTCCGCCTGATGAAGAAGACCCGTCTGATGAGGTGCCATCCGTTGCTGCCATGCACTCCCCTCCCACCGTGCTACAGCTACTAGGGCTGCAAGCGCCGCTACTGCTGCTGCTGCTGCTGTCCATGCTGAGCAGCCCCCCCGCACATGCCAGGGTGTTATCCGGGCACGGCCCCAGCAGCCCCGCTCGCAGCCCCCCGGCCCCGGTGAGGTTGAGGGTGGCGCCCGAGGGGCAGCGCAGGGAGGCACTGCCCACCTGCACGAACAGCTCCCCCGCGGGGTTGCAGGAGGTGAGGAAGCAGGCGGCACCCTGGGGGTGTGTGGGCAGCTGGGCGGGGTAGGTGACGGTGAGGGGGGTGGGGATGGGGGCGGAGGAGGCGGGTGAGGAGGTGAGGTTGGCGGTGGTGGTGGCGCGCCAGGGCCAGGTGAGCGGCAGGCAGCGGGCGGAGGGGCCGGCAGCCCAGTTGAAGAGCTGGGAGGTGGTGGAGGGCGGGAGGGAGAGGGTGAGGGAGGAGGAGGTGGAGGAGGGGGCGGAGATGGCGGGGGCGGCGAGGGAGGCGAGCAGGGCCTCGGGGACCGCGCAGGTGGGGGTGCGGGGGGTGGCGGAGGTGACGAGGCCGCAGGAGGGGCCGGTGTACACCGGGTCGGAGCGGCAGGGGCCCAGGGAGCGGCCGCCGGGGGCGCACTGCTGCGCGGGGGAGGAGGCTGCGGGAGGGGGGGGGAGAGGGGCAGGGCGGGTGGGGCAGGAAGGGGGCAGACGTGATGAGGGTAGTTCGGGTTAGCATGAGGCACGATGCCGAGTCCGCTCCCTACAGCCCACCCAGCTCACCATACCCGGTATCCCGCCCCTCGCAGCCTCAGCCACCGTCCCTCCCCACCACGCTCCCCGCATGCCCCTTGCCTCCTGTATTCAAGTACCCATCCTCACCCCCCTCACCCCCTCCTTCCCCCTTTCCTCTCCCCCCCTGCCTCCGACCTACCCGGGTCACAGAACAGCTGCCCCCCGCCCGCCCCCAGCTCCGCCCCCACCAGCTCCGCGCAGTGCCCCCCCGCCAGCCCGCACCCCGCCCCCGCGCCCCAGCCCCAGTGCCCCGCCGCGCTGCCGTTCACGCCCCACCAGCCGCTGTCCGCCAGCAGCGCCAGGGAGAGGGCGGTGAGCTGCGGGGAGAGGCCGGAGGCGGGGGCGGGGTCGGGGTCTGCTACCAGGAGGTCACCCTGAGGGGCAGGGAGAGGGGGAGGAGGGAAAGAAGGGAAGGGAGGGGGGAATGGCAGGGGGCACCAGGGTGGATCAGGCAGGTAGGCAGACTGAAGGCAGCGGAGGGGACGGAGGAGGAGACTGCGGTCAGCCGCATGCCATGCATGTGAAAAAAAACGGCTAACAATACCAACCCCTGGCTGGCCGTACCGCTGGCCTGCTGCTCCTTCCCCCCACCCCTACCTGGAAGTGGGTGGTCTCCCAGCCCGGGAAGCCCAGCGCCCCCCGCTCCAGGTACTCCGCATCCGCCAGCGCCTCGCCCGGCGCCAGCAGCAGCAGGCTGGCGTCGCGGCGGGGGGAGGCAGCGAGGGCGGAGAAGGCGGGCAACGCGTCCTCCAGCAGGGCACCCGGGGCGGTGGGGCAGCTGAAGTGGGAGCGGACGGCCTGGGGGGAGGAGAAGGGGAAGAGGGGAGAAGGGAGAGGGGAGGGGCGTGCGAAGGAGGGAGGGGGAGGAGGGGGGGCTAGAAGAAGTAAGAAGCCACCATCCTCCGGTATGCTACGGTCAGGGTCAGTTCATCTAATCCATCAGTCCCCGCGGCTCAGTTCAGCTGATCTCCCCTCCCCCCCACCAACTGTCCTTCTCTTTCACCCACCTGTGTGACCAGCGGTGTGGCCAGGAAGCGCAGGCTGCGCCCCGCCGCGTCCCTCCGCGCCACCAGGAAGCTGCGAGCGGTGGACAGCGGCGCGGAGCGGAAGAACCCCACCCGCTCCACACCCTGGGGGGTCAAAGACCATACCGAACCATAGGAAGCCACAGGTTGGGGCAAGACAATGGGTGGGAGGGGGTGAGAGGGGGGAAAGGAGGACACGGTGGTTCAGCGGCGAGGGCCTCACAGCATGCGGGGACAGGGCAGGCGAGCAGCGGTCCCGGCGGCCTGCTGGGGCCCTTCCCGAGCAGCGCAGTGCAGTGAGCAGCTGCCCCTGCACCCCTCCGGGGGTTGTGGCTTCCCTGGAACGGTTTTGATTTCTTCTGAACCCCCGCCCCCGCCCCCCGCTCCCCCGCCCCCCCACCAGCGCCCTCAGCAGCGCCCGCAGCGCCCTCGCCACCAGCAGGTTGGGCTCGTAGCGGTCAAGCGCCTGAAGCAGGAGGGGGGGAGGGGAGGGGAGGAGGAGGGGATGGGAGGTTGGGAGAGGTGAAACCGATGACACGACACGGGAGAAAGCGAGGGAGAAGGGTGGACACGCACAGGGGTCCGTGTAGTGTGTAGCTGGCTGGCGGGGGTGGGGGCTTCCCAGGGCCGCACTGCACTCCCGGTCACCTACCGTACTCGCCCTCCCCTCCCTCCTCGTCTTGCTGCTGCTGTGCATGTAACCCACCCCCTCCCGCCTCGCCCCCCTCCAGCTCGTCAGTTGCATCGTCAGTGTCTGACTATATTCTTTAAACCCCCCTCCGCACCTGCGGGCACACGTTGACTGCTGCCATGGTGGGTCGGCCGGAGGCGGGGGCGTAGAGGCAGGTGGAGTGGCGGATGTCGGCGGCGGGGGCGCACAGCTCGGAGGAGGAGGAGGCGGTGACGTAGAGGTACAGGTGCGTCAACTCGCCGGGGCCGCCTGGGGGGGGAGGGAGGGGGAAGAAAGGGGCGCATGGGGGGGAATGGGAGGAGGAGGGGTGCAAGCATACCGGTAAGTCAAACCGCGGCCTGAGGAGGCCAGGGGGGAGGACGGTACCGCCTCACGCCCCTTACCCACCCCCTCCCACCCAGCCCACATTCAACACATTGGGTGTTCTTCTTTTCCCACCCAGCCCTTCCTCCCCCCCTACCATCCACGGCCACCGCCGCCCCTCCCTCCGCCGCCCAGTCCCTCACGTGTCGGGGGCTGATGTCCGCCCAGCCGCATTGCGCCTGCAGCGGGTGGGCGCCCTCGGACCAGTCGGGGTAGCAGCGCTGGACGGTGGTGGGGGTGGTGGGGGTGGTAGAGGAGGAGGACTCCAGCAGCTGTCTGTGGTGGCGGCGGCGGTGGCTGGTGGCGTCGTCAAGGGGAGTTGCGTGGCGAGTTGCTGCGGCGTCGCTGGTTTGAGACAGCAGGCGGCGGCGGAGGTTGGGAGGTGGTGGCGTTTGGGGGCTGGGGATGGCAGGAGGAGGTGGGGTTGGGGGGCTGGGGGTGGCAGGAGGCGGTTGTGGCGGAGATTGCGGCGGCGGGGGTGACTGGGGTGACAGTGGCGGTGGAGGCGGGGTTGGTGGCGGTGAGGGGAGGGTGTAGTTACGGCACACTTGCTCAGAGAGCAGGTAGGATGGGGGAGAGTCCGCCTGGGGGAAGGACGGGGAACGGGTGTGGAAAGTTGTGGGAACGTAGATGGCAGTTTGCCGGAGCGTCTCCCAGTTTTTCCGTAATGGATGCCCTTTTGCAGATTTGCAGGATTGTCCCGAAGGACAGTACGGATGGTGCTGCAGGTACAACAACTCTACCTCCAGCTGGGAGCCCCGCGATGTTTTTAAACTTCATAAATGCTTACCAGAACGTATTTCTGAAGAGCCCTGTAAGCGGCTGTCATGGTGGCTTTCAGCATGGTCTGCTGATCCGTACTGAGCCCGTCGATTTGGTACTCCATTGTAATTGTAATAGGCTGCGAATTCCATATGCATAACAGGAAATTTAATCGAAGTTGTGCCGTGGTTTGGGTTTCTTCAAGCCGAGTACTCGTCAACTTCAACTACTAATAGTAATCACATGCTGTCACATGTACCGGCAAAACCCTTCCTTCGCAGTCACCTCTTGCGAAGATGTTGCGTAAGATAAGATCGCCAATAGCCAACCTGAATGTATTCGTAGAATCGTAAAAACGCGATGCGAACCGGTTCAGCGACCAACATGGTCCAGCCAGGTGCCAACCGAAAAGGCTCTTTGTCAAATAAGACGCATACCAATGGTTAGTAGCCATCCTATTCTCATGTTGAATACGGAAGGTCGCACGAAAAGGTCCACACTCCACAGGTAGGACGAATGGGAAGGGAAGGGCGGAGCTTCCCAGTAAAGGCGTCGTTACACGCCGCAAATTGAAGACATGTTGCCGATAGTGAATCTTCCTTAGGAAGCGCAGCTATGCGAGTAAAACGACTAAAGCTTCAGCTCAAAGCTTTACGCGTCAAGCTTTATGCTCATATGTGTATAACCTAATTAACATTTGGCAACATCAAAGAGCAAATATATCGTTCTTATAGTCCCGACGCAGTTGGGCTGTTCGCAGTGCAGGGTCTAGCCGTGAAGGTCGGAATCCTTGCATACGTTTTTCTGTCGCACGCAAAGTTGGCCGAGTCGCCAGGATTAACGCTACAAGGGCCGAGGGGTGCTCCGGAAGCATAGCATTGCCGACCCTCAGTTAGTTCGTAGACGTTCGGTAACAGATTCCGCCGACAGTGGTTATACGGAAGGACGACCCACTCAACAAGGCTCAAGCGGCAGCAGCAGCTACATAATCCATTCCAAGTCCACGACAGTAGACTCTGGTCTCCCTGCCCCCAACCTGCACTCACCCGCGTCAGCGTTGGCGTAATCCTGACTTGCATGCCAACATGCGCCTCCATGCAACAAGCCCAGGCTCTTGTCAGGCGACCCGCCTCCATCCCAGCATCATGCTACACCCAAGCATTCCTCGGCCCCTGTACCCCAAGCCCTTCCCAACATATGCTGCTACGCATCGTTGAAGCCCCCGTAACCCTCAAACATGGTCCTCCCCAGCCCAACCGACGGCGGCCTCAGCTCCTCAGCCGCCCTGCGCAATGCTAGCAAATGCTACCAAAACGCATTTCTTCATCACAGCCAACGCCAAGCTCCCCTACGAATGCAAACCTAAGGCTGCGCTGCCCTCCTTCCGCCGCTTCCCAAGCACTGCATGACGCCAGTCTACCAGTCAACTGTAAACCGGGCACAACACCCGCCTCATAACCGTCGTTTCAATTCTTCAGTTCAACCATCGTCCTGCCTCCTGTCCCGTAGCCTTCCTACGTAACAAGCTAACAACTCCTCGCAAAGGGCTTCAACCAGTGTTCTTCCTAGGTTCAAGCGGTTGACGTCCAGCGTCCTTTCAGTCACATCATGTACGACTGCAATGCCAGCTACCTGCTGCCGCACCAGAGCCACTGCTGCATGTCAGGGCACCTTAAGAGTTGCTCTTTCCCCACTACCTCCCATCCACCACCCGCTCCCCATGTACTCCTCCTTTCCCTCCTCCCCACCCTCCCCACGGCCTCCTTCCCGTCCTCCTCCCTACCACCTCCCCTCCCCCTCCCTACCTAAATCATAGTATACCACTATCCATAAAAACGCATGGTTCCCTCTCCCTCCCTCCCTCCCCCCTCTCTCTGGAATTTCTTTTTTCCCCCCTCTCGACTCACTGTTTTTCCATCAGGGCTTGTCAGCTCGTTTACCACTATCACACCACACACATTGGAATTGCTTTTTCCCTCTCACCCATCCTGCAGCGGCTCCTCGAACCTGCTGAGGTCGAATGTGAAGGTCTTGCTGCAGGCCAGGTCCAGGTCGCGACACACGCCCACCAGCGAGTCGGCCTTCTCGTAAAAGATGTCCTACGGGGGGGGGAGAAAAATCTTAAGGTGTTTAATGATGCTAGCAAACAAGCGGACGGGGTGAGGGGTGGGGGCGGGGTGGAGGGTCGGGGGCAGGTGAAGATGGGAGAGTGGGGTAGAGAGAGAGAGAAGACCAGTTCTAATGAGTAGGCACGGTGCCCGAGGGAGGGGGGAGAGAAAGGGTGGAGGCGAAGGTCGAGGGGCCAGCGGTATGCGACGGAGGGGTGACGGGCCAGCGGTGCAGCAGCGGTGTGGCGCTGGTGGTGGTTGCTGCGGCGCCACACATGATTGCAATGAGCTGCAGCACCCCGCCTCTGCAGGCAGCCACCGCACTCGCACTCGCAGTCGCACAGCAGCGTCATGCGAGCCCCGGGAGCTGCCCCCTGCCTCCTGGGATAGCGGTACTGCACCCCTCCACCCCTCCCCTCCACCTTTCCCTCCCCTCCACCCCTCCTCCCTCCCCCGCACCTTGAGGCTGATCACAATGGATTGGAAGCCCGGAGCCGCCTCCTCCTCGCCACCGCCCGCCACCTCCTCCTCCTCCCCGTCCTCCTCGCCATCCTCCTCCCCCCCGCCACTTCCGCCACTCCCTCCCCTCCTGCCCGCCCCTCCTCCCCCTCCTCCTCCCCCTCCCTGGTTCCTGGTCCTGCGGCGGATGTAGTGCGCCACCCGCGCCACATTGGTTGCGTCCAGCGCCGCATCCACCTCGTCCAGCACGAAGAAGGGCGAGGGACGGAAGCTGTGGATGGCGAATAGCAGCGCCAGCGCGGCCACCGTCTTCTCACCGCCTGGGGGAGGGGGATGAGAGCGGAGGTATCACCCAGGCCGCCGTGAGAGTAGGGGCAGAGTGATGGCGCCCCATGGCTAGACCCTCCCCTCCTCCATCCCTCCATCCTCCTCCATCCCAACCCCTACCCCCTCACCGCTGAGCTGCTCCATGTCCCTGAACCTCTTGGCTGGCGGTATGGCGGTGTACTTGATGCCGCCCGCGTACGGCTCCTCCTCGTTCTCCAGGTGCAGGTAGGCCTGGCCGCCCAGCGGGTGCATGGGGCTGCGGGTGAGGTCCTTGTAGATGGAGCTGATCTGGGGGTGAGGGAGGGGGAGGGGGAGGGTGCGGACAGGGAAGGGGGGTAGGGACCTCTCTTACCATGCCTAACAATACTCCACTCTAGCGCACCTAGCTCCGCCCCCGCTCCACACCTCCACCTCACCCCCGCCCCCCACCCCCCCGCCCCCCGCCCCCGCACCTGTTCCGAGATGTGTTTGAACGCCGCGCTGAACAGCTCCTGCCGCCTGCCCCGCACCTGCCGGAACTCCTCCGCCACCGCGGAGCTCTCGGACTGGGCGGCTCGCAGCGCCTCCAGCTGCAGGCAGGAGGGGCCCGGGAGGGGGGTTAATATGGAAACAAAAATCCGCATTAGGCTGGATAGTTGGGGGGGGGCCGCCAATGAGAACGCTGCTGACCAAATAAACCCAAAAACCCCAGTCCTATACTCCATTACTGACCCCCTCCGGCTGCATTCCTATTCCATCACCCCTCCCAGCCCTCTCCCCCACCCCCCCCGTCCCCCACGATGACACCATGATGATGCCTTATCACACGGTCAGTTAGTCGTTTCCTCTTTACCCCCCCCCCCTCCTGCCCCCCACCTGCTCCCGCTCCCGCTCCTTGATCGCCGCGTACTGCTCCCCCGCCCGCATGTTGGGCGCCGCCCTGTCCAGCTCCGCCTGCAGCCCCGCCACCCGCCCCCGCAGCTCACCCAGCACCCGCTCCCGCTCCCGCCCGCTCTCCGCCGCCAGCTGCTGCCGGCTCAGCCGGCGGGTGTCCAGCCGCCCCACCAGCGCCGTCAGCGCGGCAGCTAGGGCCGCAGTGGCGGTGGCGCTCTGAGAGGCGCCGCCCGCGCCCTCACCCGGGGTGCCCGACCCCTCGCTGCCACCGGCTGCTGCTGCTGCTGCTGCGCCCGGTGTGCCGGCAAGCAGCTCATCCAGGTCGATGTGGAGTGGGTCGTTGTCGTCAGCAGCATCTGGCATGTCTTCGTCTTCGTCTTCGTCTTGTTCCTCCTCGTCGTCGTCGGGCTCCTGGATGTCGTCTCGCTGCTCCCGGCGCGTGCGCCGCTTGCGAGGTAGCTTCACCTGGGGGGGTCAAAAACCATACCGAATTATAGGAAACCACAGGTTGGGAAACAATGGGAATAGGAGGGCAGACAAACAAGGGGGGGAGGGGTAGGAGGGCGCGGGGGTGCGGGGTTGGGGGTGAGGGAGGAAGGCAGGTGTGGGGCGTGCGTGCAGTTGGGCACGGACCGCGGAAGCGCTGTGCGCCCCGTTTCCTCCTCATCCACCTCCATCAAACGCCGCCTCCTCAACTTTACCCACCTGCTCCACCCTCGCCGCATTCACGATATCCATCAGCCGCCCCGCCAGCTCCTCCACCGCCGCACCCGCCCGCCCCGCCGCGCGCCGCAGCTCGCCGCCCCGCTTGCCCAGCTCCGCCGCGGCCGCATGCAGCTCCGAGATCTGCCCCTCCACGCCGGATACCTGGGGGCCCGGGGGGAGGGAAAGAGGGGAGGAGGGGGAGCCGGAGAGGGGAGAGGTGGGGGATGAAGGCCGCAAGACCCAAACGGTAAGAAAGCCACTGTCATGCCACTCCAGGGGGTTCACGGCAAGAGAAGCGGCCCCACACCCACCACCCCCTCCCGCAGCCGTCAGCCCCCGCCCCCCGCCCCCACCTGGCAACAGGTGCTTACCCCAACCCCTCCCCCCCCGCTACCCCGCCCCCCAGTCCCACCTTCTCCCTCAGCTCCTCCATCTGGCTGCTCAGCTTCTCCACCTCCCCCTCCGCCGCCGCCGCGCCCGCCTGCGCCGCCGCCACCTCCGCCTCCAGCCCCGCCTGCCGCCCCACCGCCTCCGCCAGCTCCTCCGCCGCCTGCTGCGCGGCCGCCCGCAGCCGGGCCAGGTGCGCCCGCTCGTACTCCAGCTGGGCCTGGGAGTGCGTGCGCTGAGGGGGGGAGGGGGGGGGCAGGAGAAGGGGGGGGATATGTGTTACCAGAAGAGCTCATTCCAGGTGGGTGACATCCCTCGCAGCAGGCTGACGCGGGCTGGAGGTAGACAGGGCGGGTTGCCCCCCTTTCCTCCGCCTGCCTGCCACGTTGGTTCGCTGGTTGGTCCTCCTCTGTACCCCACCTTTTGCGTGAGCTCCCGCCTCCGCTCCTGCACGCCCTCCTCGAACGCCGCGTGCCGCTCCTCCCACTCGCGGATGGACGCCACCCCGGCGCGTGCGGAGAAGTCCGCCATGACGCGGTCGGTCACGGAGTTGATGGAGGCGGTGAGGCGCTGGGGGGGGGGGAGGGGGGTAAGGAATGGGAGGTAAGGGGGATTAGATAAACTGAGCCTGAGGTAAGGGGGGTAAGAAGGGGGTAAGGAATGGGAGGTAAGGGGGGTAAGAAGGGTAGCTCTGCCACACGGCTGACACAGTGCTCGACTGAGCCCCCCTCCCACACATACGCCCGCCCTCCCGCCTGCCCGCCGCCTTCCACACTGCTCGTCAGTTTCCTCTCCCTGCCCCCTGCACCCCACCTCAATCTTCTTGCTCCGCGCGTCCAGCCGCTTCTGCAGCTCCGCCATCTGCGGCTCCTTGCGACCCGCCTCCGCCTCCGCGCGGTCCGCCTGCGCCAGCAGCGAGGAGATCTTGGAGCCCGACTCCTAAGGGGAAGGGGGGGGGAAGGGGGGGGGAAGGGGGGGGGGGAAGGGGGGGGGGGAAGGGGGGGGGGGAAGGGGGGGGGGGAGGGGGGGGGGGAGGGGGGGGGAAGGGGGGGGGGGGAAGGGGGGGGGGGGGAAGGGGGGGGGGGGGAAGGGGGGGGGGAAAGGGGGGGGGAGGGGAGCGGCGGTGAGGATGAGTGGGGCTGTCAGAGCGGAAGCGGAATGAGAATACAGTGAGGCGAGGAGCGGCAGGGCGGGGCGCACTAACCCTCCTGCCCTCCTCCCTTCCCCTCCTCCCTTCCTCCCCAGTTGCTACGCTCTTCACCTTTTCCTCCGCCTCCGTGTACTTGATCTTGGCTGCCAGTCCGCCTATCTCGGTCCCCAGCGCCGCCTCGCTCTCCGCCAGCGCGCGGGGCGAGGGCAGCTCCGCCAGCCTCCCCACCACCCCCGCCAGCTCCTCACGCAGCCGGGTCACCTCGCCCTCGTCCCAGCGGGCGCCGCGGGCGTCGGGGGGCGCGCTGCCGCCTTGTGGCGGGGGAAGGGGTGAGAGAGGGGGTGAGGAGGAGGAGGGGGTGAGGAGGTGAGAGAGGCGAGTAAGGAGGTATGCGCAGCGCTGTCCTTCTCGCCTTCGTTGATGTTGCTCCTGTTGTGCAGGATACGTGGTGCGAGAGAGGGGCGCTGTGGGGAGGGCAGGTGTTGACAGACGGCACACGGGAGGGCTCGTGTCCCCTCCCTTTGGTGGAGCCGTGTCAGTAGGTTAGTTTCTTCCTCTTCCCCCCTCTTTACCCCCACCCCTACTTCCGCCGTCTCACCCGTCATGGTCCCCCTCTTGGTGATGAGCGTCCCCTGCAGGGTGACCACCTTGAGACGCTGCCCGCCGAACGCCAGCTGCCGGGCCTCGTCCTCGTCCTCGCAGATGACGGTGTCGCTGCGGCAGGGGTGAAAATTATATAATAAATGCAAACAACTAGATTCCCAATCCCATAGCCCGACTCATGCAGTGAGCGCATAAGGGGACACCATTCTAGGAACACGCAACTCAGAGACGGGGGACGAGGGGCGGTGGGGAGAACGCCGTCGCAGTCCTCCTCCACATCCTCACCCCATCCTCATTCAACACATTGGGTACCCCCCCCCGCTCTCACCCCAGTGCGTACTGGAATGCCCGCTCCATGCGCCGGTCCCCGATGTCCAGCAGGTCCAGAGCCAGCTTGGCTCGCCCGCCCAGCTGCCGCAGCCGCTCGTTGACGGGCTTCACCTGGGGGCGGGGAGGCAGGGGGGGAGGGCCGCTAACCCTCCCGTGTCTGGTGGCACCCTGCCGCCTTGTCCTCCCTGTGGTCTTGCCCTCCCTCACTCCTGGTGTGGTCTTCTCCAACCCTCCCGCTCCCCTCCCTGTGCTCTCTGCCCCCCTCCCCCCCCCCCCCCCCCCCCCCTCCCCCCCTCCCCTCCCCCCCACCTTGAGGAAGTCCAGCGGCAGGAAGTTCATTTGAGGCTTCTTCTCATCCCGCAGAACCTAGGGGGGGGGGGGGGCAGGAGGGGAGGGAGCAATAAGACCCAATGTGGTGAATGATAATGGCAAACCAGGGTAGATGACAAGCCCCTGGTGAATGTAGGGTGGGGGGCCAGGAGAGTGGGGGCCGGGGAGGGGCTGTTTGCGGTGACGTACTCGCCCGTGTGGCCCACAGACCCGCTGCAGGGAGCACAGCCCTGGCCCCCCTCTCTCCTCTCCCCCTATCCCACCTTCACGCTCATCCGTACTTCCTCGCAGCTCCTTTCCAATGCCCCCCCCCTCCCCCCCATGCACCATGGACTCGTTGTTTCACTTATCTAATTTTTTCCCCCATGCACCTGAATGCACATCTTTGCGGTCCCCTCGTTGTCCACCACCACGCTGTCCAGGTCCCGCTGCAGAGCCACACTCAGTGCCAGCTGGAAACGCGACTGGATGGGCTTGGCAAGCGACACCAGCTTGCCGTACACCGCACCTGTGGGGTGGAGTGGGGTGGTTGGGATGGTTGGGGTTGGTGGAACGGGGGAGATGGAGGTAGGGAGGAAGCGGGGCTGAGAGCTAGGAAACGTGCCTGCCAGGAAGCAGCCAAGATGCCACCTTCCCATTGCGCCCCCCCCCCACACACACACCCCTCCACCCTTCCACCCCTCTTCCCCTACCCGGGAACCTCTGTTTGAGCCTCTCCGCCATCTCCGCTATCTCCCTCTCCCGCCTGCTCTGGCTGCGGTCCAGCCGAATGTTCTCCAGCGCCCCCTCCAGCTGCTCCTGACGCAGCTGCAGACTGGAGCGCTGGGCGCTGCAGCGGGGGGGGGAGAGGGAGGGGGGGGGGAATTAGGAAACTGACGAGCTACGTGACGAGGCTTTAACATGGGTTGCTACATTGGACCCGGGAGGGGGGAGGGGAGGGTAGCGGAGGGGCGTCTTTGCTTGATCAGGCGGGACAGGGCTGCTGGGAGCAGTGTTACCGGGGTGGGTAATGCTGCGACCTCAATCGCGCGCTGTGCACTTCCCTACTACTTGCAGCGCGCCGCAGCACCCATACCGGGACGCCCCGCATCGAGCGGCCCCCGGCTGCTCCCCCACCCAGGCTGCCCCCCACCCATGTGCCCCCCCGGCTGCCCCCCCACCCAGGCTGCCCCCCACCCAGGCTGCCCCCCACCCATGTGCCCCCCCACCCAGGCTGCCCCCCCCTCCCATGTGCCCCTCCCCTCCCTCACTTGGTGCGCGTGCGCTCCTCCTGCAGCCGCTGCCTCGCCCTCCGCTTGTCCTCCAGCTCCCGCCGCGCCGCCGCCAGCTCCGCCGCCGCACCGCCGCTGCGGGCGCGCACCTCCTCCGCCTGCCCCCGCAGCTGCCCCGCGCGCTGCCGCAGCTGCGCCACCTGGGCCTGCAGCTGAGCCAGCTGCTCGCGGTCGCCCTGGGGGGGGTGGGGAAAAACGAAATTCCAAAGGGCGGAAGGATCATGGGCAGGGATAGACAGGGAGGACGAGGGCTGGGGATACGGAAGCTCCAGGGGTGGAAAGCGGTTTGCCCCCCTCTTCCTACCTCCTGCTCCGCCTCCAGTGTCTTCCGCTCGCCGGCCTGCTTGGTGGTCTCCGTGCCCACCTGCACCTGCGCGGGGAGGGAGGAAGAGAAAAGGTGGGGGGAGGGGAGGGGGGAGCGGGGAGGGGGTATGCAGTCGGTGTCAGGGAAGCCGGGGCAGGGGGTAGGTTGCTGTTGGGCCGGGTGCTGCGGGAAGCCGGGGCCAGCGACGCGCTGCACACACGGCTGCACTGCACTGCATCACATGGGGCCCCGCGGAGGCCGTGCCACGGCAGAGAGGAATGCCTCACGCCACGTCTCGCGCGCCGCCCTCCTCCTCCTCCTCCTCAAGGACGAGGTGCCTTGCTTCCTGTCCTGCCCTGCTGCCCCCTCCCCCTGCCCCCCCCACCTTGAGCCGCGCGTACTCCTCCTGCATGGCCCGGCTGTCCAGCGCGTGGGTCTGGTTGTGCGCGGCGTAGTGCGCCTCGATCTCAGCCTGCAGGGCCGCCTCGTCTGGGGGGTGGACAGGGGGGCGGGGTGGACAGGGGGCCGGTGCAGGGTGGTAGAGGGGTGGGGGCGACGAGGCCATAAGGAGGAGGGCTGAGAGGGGAGGGCATGAAGGGGAGGGCGTACGGGTAAGGGAGGGCCCAACGGAGGGGCTCTAAGTGAAGCAAGGGAGGTACCTACGGCCAGGCCCGAAGAAAGGCAGGCGGGAGGCCATACGGGAAGGAGGGCAACACCCTCCTCCTCCCCCTCCCCCTCCCCACCTTCCTCCACCTTCCGCAGTTCCGCCGCCAGCCTCTTGATCTTCTTCTCCTGCTCCGCCACCGTCCGCTCCCGCTCCGCCACCGCCTTCTGGCCGCTGCGGATGTTGCGCACCAGCCGCCCCAGCTCCTCCTTGGCCTTCAGCAGCGCGGGGGACTGGGGGGAGCAGGAGGCAGGGAGTGGGGCAGGAGGGCAGGGGGGAGGAAGCAATGGGAGGCGAATTCCAGGAAATAGGTATACTTGCCAGAAGATGATTCGTGTCTCCTTCCCTTCGACTCACGGTTGATTCCACCAGGGCTTGTCAGCAACTTGTATCATTATCATACCACACTTTGGAATTTCTTTTTTCCCCCTCATCACCCAGGCGAACTTGGTCATCCCCCTTAACCGCAATCCCCCCCTCCCCTCCCCTCCCCTCCCCCCACCTTCTTGTCCTTGTCCTGCTGCAGCTTCTTCATCTTCTTCTCCAGGGAGGCCATCTCCTTCTTGAAGCCGGCAGCCTTGCGACGAAGAGTCTCGACCTGAGAGGGGGGGTGGGCAGGGGAAGGGTAAAGAGGAAAAGGGGAAAAGGTATAAGGGACAGTGAACGGGTCGTGACACACCCACACGGCGCCATAAGCTCCCAGTGCAAGCCGGCCCACCTCCCAGCACCGCCCCACCCACCTTGGCGTCGTGGTCATGGGTCTTGTTCTGCAGGGGGGGGGGGTGAGGAGGAAGGAGGAGGAGGAGGAGGTGAGACGGGCGGTGGGCAGGGGGCGGGGCGGGTGCGGGTCCCAAGGCAGCGGGCATGCAAACAAAGCTGCCAGGGTCGCCGCATGCAGCCACCAGTTTTCTTGGCACCCCTCCTCGACAGGTGCCCGCAAGGTGTGGGGTGTGCGGTCACGGAGCCAGGGACTTGCGGCTTGCGGGCGCAGCTCTCTTACGTCTAAGCTAATGGACGGAAGGGAGTCGAGTCAGCTGCAGCCGGCGGCTCCTCGCCTCGCAAAGCCAGTACCGGTATCAAGCATCATCCCCACCAGCCCCTTCCCCCAGCCCGCTACCTCTCTCCTCGCCGCCATGCCCCCGCGCCCCTACGCTCAGCTCCCTCCCTCCCTCCCCCGCCCCCGGTTATCCCCCCCCACCTGCAGTGCCGCCAGCTGCTCCTCCGCCTCCCGCTGGTCCGCCAGCGCCTGCCCCAGCCGCCGCCCCTCCACCACCAGCTGCCACACAGCCAGGTCGGACTTGTAGCCGCGCTATGGAGGAGAGGGAGGGGGGAGGGAGGGGTAGGAGAGGGGGCAAAAGAGAGGGTGAAGCGGGGAGACACGAGGGGGGCGCGATGAAGAGCCCAAGTACAGAATATGAAGCAGCCTAGATCGATCGTTAGCGCACGGGTGGCGGGTGCCGGGTGACGCAACGGGTGGTGGTTCGCATGACTTCACATGACTGCAGCCCCTCCTCTGCACCAGACCACCGCCTCCCCCCTCCTCACCAGCTCCTCCAGCCCCTTGGCGTGCTTCTCCGCGTCCTCCTTCTCCCGCTTCTTGGCCTTCACCTCCGCAGCCAGCTGCCGCCGCTTCATGGACAGCAGCCCCACCTGCAGCAGGGGGGAGCAGGGGGGGAGCCGCAGCACAGCACACAGCATGTGCGCGGCGCAGCATAGCGCAGCACAGCACAGGTCCACCTTCAGTCATGCGTTGAAGGCGCTGGGCTCGCGGCAAAGCGGCGCAAGGCATGCAACCGCAAGACGAAGCCTTCAAAAGGCCACATGCTCCCATCCTCCCACCCGTCCCCACCTTCTCCTCCGCCTGTGCCTTGGCCGCCACCAGCTCCTCGAACCGCCCCCGCAGCGCCTCACTGCCGCTGATCTGCTCGAACAGGGTGGTCAGACCCGCCGGGCTCTTGGCAGCAACCGCCTCGATGTCGCCCTGGACGGGGAGGGCGGGTGGAGCGGGGTGGGGATGCGCTGAATTGTGCCTATTGAAACGTGTTTTGGTGAATCTGTCACTCGCTAGTGGATCCCCTGGGCGAAGCTGACCCGTGGGTCGGGCCGACATAACTGGAAGCTTACCTCCAAAGGCTGAGAGTCAAACCGGAGGCACTGCGCCGCCGCCAAAGGAACTCCCCATCACCCCAACCACCTCATTGCATCCCAGACCTCACCTCGCCGCTCGCACCCTCACCTGGAAGACCAGGAAGTTCCGGACTTTGACCAAGATGCCCAGCGACCCCAGCTCCCGGTTGTACGCCTCCAGCGTCACCGCGCGGTCGTTAACGCGATATTCGCTTTTGAAGGTGGCGTCAGGGTCCGAGCTGGTGGGCAGGATGACGCGCGAAAAGTGCACCTCGCGCTCTTTTGGTGCTCCGCCATCGGCATCATGCTCCTGCGGTTGTTCGCAACGAAACGTGTTTATATAGGGGAAGGTTGTTTCTGCTAGGTGATGCCAACGTGCAGACGTGCCTCCAGTATGTAAACAAGTTTGACGAAGCCTCTTCGCGGCTGCTCGGCTTGCGTCGCGCCTCCATCGCTGTACAGGAGCTCCTTGAGGGAGCCGCGAAGCTGTGTGGTTTTAACTCCCAGTACAAAGCTGATAGCGTCCATGAGGTTGGACTTTCCACTGCCATTGGGGCCGATGACAGCCGTGAAGGCCTTAAATGGCCCGATGTGCTGGTGCCCCCTGTAGGACTTAAAGTTCTCCACTTCGAGCCTGTCAATTCGGCCATTACTGTAACGATACTCAACATCCATGGCCATTGATCCGGTTAGCTGCAACGATGCGGGTGTTGCTGTCTTGGCCTGGCTGTCCAAGGTAGCTCTAACACTACGCGCCAAGTGTAGCCTACAAGTTCTGCCAAGGGTTCATTCCTTTCGAATAAACCATAGTAAGACTTAAGCTATTGGGAAACATTTGGTAGCGCCTGACGTTAAAGGAATAGCTCTAGACATGAGCACGTTCACTTGTTGCATGAGCTGAGAAAATAGGGGTACGTGATGGGGTATTTGCCTCAACCGCTTATACACACAACTGTGTTAAAACTGGTGTTAGCTGGTGTCGAAGACAGCACAGCATGGGCACAGCATGGAAACGGCAGATCGTACTTTTGTAGCCCGTCTGCGCACGTCGCGGAAGAGGACGAGGAAATCACCCTTGCCTAATGTTGAAACCGCTCAGGAGTGCTTTCCTTATACTTCGTGGATCCTTGCGTTTCGGAAAATAACTGATTTGTCACTGCACACTGTTTACCATTAACGCAGCTATAAGCCCTGCATGAACATACTTTGGCTGATATTACCAGCGTACAACTTTGCCGGTATACGCGTAAAGCATTTTTGGTCGAGGGGTCCTCCAGGGTAAAGCCGGGCTGGGTAATGGGCCGTCTACAATTGACCTTGTAACACGCAGCATACTGGAGTAGGAACACCGTCTAAAGTGAAGCGGGCTTCCTGCAACTTAGAGCACGTAGACACGGCATGGGGATCCCCAACGAGGGCAGCAGCGGCACATCAGGAGGGCGCGAGTCCAACAGTACAATTCTGTCATCTTACGTGGCGGGTTCAGTCACCGCAATCACCTTGGCGTCAGCTGCGTATCTCTTTTACCTCCGATGCCAACATAGAGGAACTGAACCCCAAACGACAGCCCAGAAATGCACGTCAGAGGTCCAAGAGGTTGGGTTACAGGACGACCAGCCCAACAGCTTCAACGAAGCTCTACAAGCTCGCGGCCCTGCAGCTTCCTCCCATACGCAACCGACCGACGCAGTTGAAATCCACGCCCGAGGGCATCATATTTCGCCGCACGATACCACGGCCGTAAACGATGTGTCAGACACCGGAACCTCCACACGCCTAGGCGACCTGTTGGGCAGGCTCTGGAGCCTTTGGCGTGGAGGTTCCATGCCATCACCTCACCTCAGAGGAGGCCCTGCTCCTCCAAGCCCTTGGCGCCGGGAAGTCGTTGCTGCAGAGGGCCCTGACACCGCCGCCGCCCGCCACCAGGACCAGAACCCGGGAGGTCCCGCGGAGGGGCGAGCTGCCGGTGTTGCTGGGCTGGATGTCCCGGGTGGGGAGCAGGGGGACATGCCGGATGCAGCCGCGGAGGAGCCCTTGGAGGAGGCAGAGCCTGAGGGTGGGTTGGAGTACGCGAGCGTCGAAGCTACGGATGGAACACCCCCCGCTTCCCTCACTAGAGCCGGCGCGCCTGATACCACACCAGGCCGTTTGCTGGAAGCTTACGGTTTGCTGTGACGCCCTTCCTCCCTGCCCCACTTCCTGCCGCCCCATGCCCTGCATCCAATTCCTGCCTGCCACCTGCATCTCCCCCCCCCCACACACACACCACCACGGCATAAGTCGGCATATGGGATTGGGACTCGTTGCTACTCATACCTTTATTTTTTTCCGCCACCACCCCTCCAGGAGTGTCCTGGCGGGAGCTGCTGGAGGCGGAGGCGGACGAGCCGGACGCGCCGGTGAGGGCGGGGGCGGGGCTGGCTGGGGGCCGGGCTGGCTGGCGGGCATGTCAGGGACGTGTACCGGTAGGGGTTGCACTGGATGAGCGGCTGCGGCACCCTGCTGCGTTCCTTGCGACATTGCCCAACCGGTATTGCCTAACCTAGCGAATAATTACTTACCTGCCCCGCCCTGCCTCGCCCATCCATGTCGTAGGATGAGTTCAGGGACCCCATCTCGCTCGCCGTGAGTTTGGTGTCGCACTGGGAGTCAAGACGCCGCAGGGGGTTTACCTTGTCCTCACCTGGCATGGCTTGCTGGGGCTGTTCGCGGCGTCCAGCACCGGTTGCATCAGAGCGCGCTCCCCCTGTGTGCGTGCCATAGCACTGTCATAGGCCCCCCTCTCGCTTACGCAGTCTCCCCAATCCCCCTCCTCCTCCTCCTCCTCGCCCTCGCCCCTCATGCTCTCCCGCCCCCCGCCCCGCAGGTCATGCAGGACCCGGTGGTGCTGTGCGCCACGGGGCAGGTGTACGAGTACGGCACTCTGCGCAACTGGTTCCGTACCGGCAACCGCCTGTGCCCCAAAACCAACATAGAGGTGCTGGACGTGCAGGTGGGAGGGGCGTGTGTGTGGGGGGTGTGTGGGGGGGGATGCCAGTATACCGGGATGCGCGCTGTGCAACACAAAGGCACACCAGCGTTGGGGACTGTGTATATTGGGAAAACGTGCGTGTCCGTGCGGCACCCATCTAAGTCCCCCAGCACCTCCTCGTGCGCCAACCGTCCCCATCGCCTCCCTCCCCCCTAACTTGTGGTCTCCTATGGTTTGATATGGTCTTTGACCCCCCTACCCTGCCGCCGCCTCCCTCCCCCCTACCCTGCCGCCGCCTCCCGCCCCCGCCTCACCCACTGCCTTGCCATGACTTGTCCAACAGGATGGCCTTTGTCCCCCCCCCTCCCCCAACCGCCCTCCCCACCAGGTCATTCGTGTGCCCTGGTTCAAGGCGCGCATCCACGAGTGGCTGCGGCAACACGGCCGCCCGCCCCACCCGCCGCCCGACCCCACCGAGCGACTCGCGCGTGAGCAGCCAACCCGGGGTGCTGACCCTGTAGCGCTGTCTTTCGGGGGGCCTTTTGCTTGCGTCTCAGCTCGTAACATGGATAGACTCCTAGGCGGACAGCTGCCGAAGCGAACATTCCTCTGCATAGAGTCATGGAGTCGCCAGTCCGACTACCCAGCTACCCAGGACAGCGGTATGGCCATGGCACACGACTCACACACCACCTCGCCGCGCCCGCTGCCCTCCCCCCCCTTCCCACCCAGGTCTGCACCCCTCCCTAGCCGCCTGGGTGCACGCCATCCGCAACGACACCGGCGAGCGGCGCTCCGCAGCCCTGGCGGACCTGTACGAGGCGCTGCGGCAGTGGGAGGCAGCCACCGCGCCGCCTCCCGCCCCACACCCTCCCGCTGCAGGGGGCGAGGGAGCCTCTGCTGAAGCCCAGACGGCGGCCCAGGAGGCTGCTGCTGCTGCTGCTGCAGCACACGCTGCTGCGGTGGCCCAGGCGGGTGCGGTGGAGCGGCTGCACAAGTACGTGCGCGGAGCCGTGCTGGATGAGGCGGTGTGGCTGCTCAGGTGGAGGGGGGTTGAAAGAGGGGAGGCGTGAGGGTGGGGGTGGGGGTGGGGGTGGGGTGCGCGCTGGAGTCTGTCTGTGAGGTGGGGAGTTCGGTGCAACGCCCTGGTATCGGTTAGTGCGGCAGCAGCTGACTCTCTGCGCTCCTCCTCAATTATCCTCTGCCGCTGCCCCCCCCCCCCAGGCACGGCAACCCCTACCTGCAGGGCGTGGCCGCCTCCGTGCTCGCATACTGCGACACGGCGGGCGAGGTGTCCTGGCTGGCCGCCACCGCAGCCGTGCCGGCGGTGTCGCTGTGCATGTCGCAGAACCGCTACACCAGCCAGGCGGCCACCCGGCTGCTGTACAACCTGGCGCGCGGGGGGCAGGTGGCGCGGCGGGCGCTGGTGGGGGCGGGGGCCGTCACGGCCCTCATCTCGGTGCTGGCCACGGACAGGTGCGTGCGGGGCGGGCGGGGTGTTACAAGCTCCCCGCCTCCTTTCCTCTCCCACCTCCTCTCGGACTCCCACCTCCTGCCCCACCCCTCCTCTCCCACCTCCTCTCCCACAAGCCCACTCCCACACCTCCACTCCCCCGCAGGCAGGAGTACGGCTACTGCCGCGACCGCGCCGCCGCCACACTGGCGCTGCTGATCCGCGACGCCGACGGTCGGTCGCTGCTGGCGCGCTACGGGCTGCCGCACCTGGTGGCCATGGTGCGCAGCGGGGCGGACCGCTGGGAGCAGCGGGACGCGGCGACGGTGCTGTTGAAGCTGGGGCTGAGCGAGGTGGGGAGGAAGCGGGAAGTGGGGGTAATTTGGAAAAGTGGGGGGGGGGGAGATGAGAGAATAGCGGGGTTTGTGGGGTTGTGGGCGTGTCGTGGGTTGTGATAGCGTCGTGAATGATAACGGGCGGTATACGGCATGCTGTGTGTGTAGGGATGGCATGAATGGCAGTCGAAGGCGATGTACCATAACTTTCCGGGGCTGAACGCGGTCCGCCTGCCGAGGATGCTGTCTTGCTGTGTCCCCTGCTGCCCGGGCTGAGGGTTGTTGCCGCTGTCGCCGCCCGCGGTGCTGCTGCTGCATCAGGATGAGCTGCGGGAGCTGCAGCTGAGTGCGGACGAGCTGGTGAGCTACTGGTGCTGCAGCCGGGCGTGGCTGGAGGGGCAGGCGGACGACCCGAGCAGGGGCTACACGGCAGCAGAGAAGCAGGTGTGTGGGGTGGGGTGTGGGGGGAGGGGGCGGACAACGTCGCATGGCACTATGCGGCTTTGCTTGCACGTGCAAGTGGATTCCCAACTTTTTTTCCAACATTAAACCCTGATTCGAGTAGTAGCCCTGTACACCTTACCGGTACCCCCATGTGTTGTGTATTTGTGCGTTCACCCCCTCCTCCCCACAACACACAACACAATGGGTATTCTTCTTCCCCCTCCCCCACGCCCTGCGCTCCCGCAGGCCCAGCAGGCGGTGGAGCAGCTGCGCGCCGGTACCCTCACGCACGCGGCGCTGGCGGGGCTGATCGCGGACCAGGACGCCGACCTGCACCTCACCGGCTCGCTGGACGATGCAGACGACCCCTGGGCGGAGGACGGTGCGTGGGGACGGGGGGTGCGGTCCTAGGGGTGCTACCGGTATCGTGTGCCGGGGCAAATCCGTGCACGTGTGCGTTATGTGTGTGGAGCATGTGTGCAGCGTGCACGCGTGCACAGTGGGTTTGGGGTTTGGAAAGACGGGTGCTGCAGCAGGGTTGAGTTGCGAGTGGCGGTGTAGGTCGCTCCCTGGAGGCTGTAAGTTGCGCTGCGTCTTGATCGCGCATGTCACCTGCCCGGACGGCGCTAGTACCCGTGCTCCCGGAGAGCGAGAGAGTCTAGACATCTGAAATTGTGCTGAGGGTTGTGTACTTGTGTTAAACGCCACACTGCTGCAGCTCACGACAGCGAGGAGGCTGCAGCCGCCTGGCGGGCGATGGAGGAGGTGGTGCGGCTGCAGCTGGCAGCTGCAGCGGAGGTCTCACGACTGGAGCGGCAGGTGAGGGACACTGGGAGCTCTTACGTGGCACACGGCTGCACCTGTTCCATGCACCTGTCAGCATGTGGACTGATGGCTGGTACTACCGATGGCCGGGGCTCCTAGCAGCCCAGGCTTTGCGTGTCGTGTTGGTGCTTAGCCCTTGGGATGGTTGTTTAAGGTGGAGGTGGGGGGTGATCGTTTCGTTCTCTTGTATTGGAAGGTTGGGTTCTTTACCTGTGCTCCCTTCTTGGAAACCTCTCTTAACGTTCATTCAGCTCCCTAACGTTCATCCCTGTGCGCTCTCCAACACCTCAACAGGAGGCGGCGGAGCGGCGGCGGCGGGCGGTAGCTGAGGCGGGGCCCGCTGCCGCGGGTGACGACGGTGGACCCGGTGGCGAGGCTGCTGCGGAGCGCGAGCAACCAGGGGTTGAGCAGCACCCGCATGCGGCTGGTCAGGAGGAGCATGATGCAGGTCAGGGAGGAGTGCCGGAGGAGTCGGAGGGGGAGGATGGCGGCGAGGTGGCGGATCAAGAGGTGGTGGTGGAGGATGTGGAGGAGGAGCAGTAGCAACCTCGCGCACCCTCGCGTACTGGCGTCGACGATGTGCATGAGGGGTGCATGAGTCGCCTACTCGAAGTGGAAGTAGGAAGTCGCTGGAGGGCATTACTGGCACCTAGGGTGCTTGGCAGGTAAGGATGTAGCAGAGGAAGGTAGTTGGCTTGCCGCTTGGCTTCCTGCGCTGCTTCATGACCCTCCTTGCAACCCAGCCCAATCCGTGACGGAAGGCGCTGATGCCACTGTTGCTGTTGCAGCAACACAAAGGCGCTTGCCGTCGGTGCCGCTGATGCCGTGGGGCCAGATGTTCCCTGGGTTAAGGAAGGCGTACCATTGTGCAAAAGGTGTGGAACATGGAGACAGGCACACCAGCGCTCCTATTTTCCCCGGGACATGCGCGTAAGCGGCGGGTGTATCGCGACTTACATCGAAAGTACATATGTATATATGACCCAGAGAACCCCCAATACTACAGCACGCCCTTTCAACGGGACCTGCATTCCCGTCAAGCCTCACTTATTGGTGGGTAAGCGACTCCTAGGTACCTTCCCTCGAGCACATGCACGCAGCACACAGCACGCAGAACCGCCCTCTCAGCTGCTGCTGCCAGTCGCCAGCCCCGTCCGAGCAGCCCGCATGGGCTCCTCCTCACCGCACAGGACACCCACCCTCCTCCGCATGAGGAAGGTCTGCGTGCTGCAACATCAGCTGTAACAGAGTAGCTACAGGAACATTTGCAAACATGGGATGCATGCATGCATCCGTTTCTTCACCAGCCACGCCGTTAGCCTTGAGCGCCTTCGTGTACTACTATAAACCATGTTAAGGCCCGTCGGATACAAGACCGTACTGCAACACTCCTGCACAGTAGCCTGCACTAGCCTTGCACTCGCATGCGCACCATTGGATGCTGCGCCTTCCAGCCCGCTTTGCCATGTATGCCCGCGTGCATTGCCTCTCGTTATCCTGAATGCCGTCCACGAGCAGTCCCTCGACCACGCAAAACATGTCACCGGGATGCCGGTATCACCCATCTTCCCTATGTTGCTATGTACAAATGACCACCACATGCCTCGCCGCGCGTAGGGAAACCCAGTCAACCCAGCACACCCCGTAAGGCCTCCCAAACCCGCTCCCTGTGTATGCTTGTGGGCTCAGCTCAGCCGCGGTTAGCCGCCCTCCTCAGATCTCATCATCCCCCAGCCCCTCCTCCTCCTCTGCAAACTCATCAATGGGCGGGAAATCCCCCACGCGTACCTTGTCCGGCCGCACGAACCCCCCATACCCCTGCGCACACTCAAAGTACTTCTTCCCCTTCACGCTGCCGTCATTCTTCCCCAGCGGCTCGTCGTACTTGACCCCCACCCAGAACCCCAGCGGCAGCCCCTCCACCCGCCCCACGAACATCACCTCCCCGCGCCGGTCCCCCGGGTCCACCGAGCAGCGCTGCCCCGGCTGCATGCCTGCTGCCATGTCCGCCATGTGGTCGGGGTCGTCCACCTTGGGGGCGGGCGGGGTGTAGGGCTGCCCCCGCCGCGCCGCCATCTCCTTCTCAAGCGTCCAGCTGGGGTCCTTGGCCAGCTGCTCGGCCTGCGGTGCGGCGCGGGGAGGAGCGAGGGGAGGGTGGGAATCCAAACCCATGTGCCGCATACCAGTACCGCACATCCCCATCATCACCACCCCTCCTCATCTCACAACAGTTCCTCCAACTTCTTCCTCCTTACCCTTCCCTCCAGTGCTTCACTTCTACCCACATGTTCACCACCCCACACCCAGCCCTACCTTCCACTTGCGGTACGTCTTTTCCCTCCTGTTGTAGTCCTCGTCGCTCATGCGGTACTTCTCCACCAGCGAGGTATCCTCCAGCCAGCCGCCCGCGCTGGCGGAGCCGGGGTCGGTGTCCGTGATGTGCAGCGTGCAGCCGTCGCGCGGCGAGTAGAATCCCAGCTTGCGGTGGTCCTCCCACAGCGTGGCCACTGCGGCGCCCGACTCGTCCAGCAGGCTGAGCAGCATGGCGGCGGGGGAGGTGCCGCAGTGGAAGGAGAGCTTGACCTTGATGGACTCGATGGTGGACTGAGGGAGATAGGATGGGAGGAGAAGGGGAGGGAGTGGGCGGGAAGGTTAGGGTGAGGTGAGGTGGGGTGGGAAGGGAGGAAGAGGATGATGTGGGTGGGGTGGAAGGTGAAATTTGGCGATGGGATGAGGTGTGAGGAGCGAGGGGTGAGGGAGAGTTGGGAAAGGCTTGAGACAAAGGGAAGAGTCGAACGTGGATTATTGGCAAGGAGCAAAGGGTTCCGGATGGATGAGGTGAGCGGGATGTTGCACGAATGTCTATGCAGAAGAAGACAAAGTCCGGCGTGATGTCGTAATGGTATCGTAACGAAGCCTATCTAAACGCAGGGAATTGGTATTCATGATTTTGCCCGGGAAGATTGGCAGCGGAAAATGACCGTAAGTCGCCCCGCGCATTCCCCTTCCCACCACACGACCAGCTTACATGCATGTCCAAACGAATCTCCATGAACTTTGCCTTCAGGTTGCTGTGTGTTATGTGCAGCAACACTGTCGATTCGGCTTTATTTGCGAAGCCCGAATCCGGCCCGATAACGTATGCCCGAAGGGCCTCAACATCCTCCCGATTTAGGAATTGAGCCATGAGGACCGGCAATCGGTCGACGTTCCAGAGGGAAGTGGGAGCCGCGGATTCCGAAGCCGCGGGCTATCAGGGCTTGCTCCTTACGCTTCACAGCTTGGGAAAATAGAGTTACAGTGATCTACCTTCCTGTTACATGTGCTAGTTCGTATCGTGGACTTTAGCGAGGATACACGTACAGTAGTTAGTGTTTTGGCGCTAACCTGCTTTGCAATGCTTTGCAATACACCCAAACGGTCGTAAGAGACCGTTTCTCCGAAAGGCAAAAAGTGTATCTTTCAATGAATAGACGGTTGAAGAATTATGAAACCGTACCCGTTCGCCGTATCCCGCTTTCTGTTTCATGCCAAGTCGCTTGCTTTCTTCCCGCAACTTAGGCAGAGAGTTGTAAGAATGTCTAGGTGCTTGTCAACTTCTTCATATATATATATCTGCAGTAGTTGAAACAGCGAAGGCGGAACTACCGGTAGACCTCTTTCCGAGCAACATGGGAAAGGGGAAAGGAAGAGGGGGACACCGCGGTGGCTGCCAGGTAAACGTGGGCTTTTCAGATGGCTTTGCCATCACTGTGTAGCAGCTGCAAGCATAAATTGCCCAAATCCTTCTAGCGCTATACACCTCGGCTCAATTTGATATACTGGCCTAAGAAGAACATCTGCAGCTACTCGCTTTGAAACGTCTTCCCTTTCTAGTCCTTGGTGTGCGGTTAGGGTCTTCGGATTCCGCAAGCTGCCTCCTATCAGTCCCTTTCCATAACCCTTGCCCACCAACCACAACCTTCTCGACCGCAGTTGGATACAGTTTCAGCGCTGACGTGCTGTCTGTGCTTCATCCTCTTCGCCGGGCCCATCCTAATTGCCGTCGGCGCGGGCATCTTGTCCCAGGCATCGCGCGACCAGCATGGCCGCAACATAGGTAACACCCAGGCTCATATCCGCATATATCCCCTGTTTTACCCCGCACATTTCCTATCCCCCTACAGTCCCATGCCGCACTTCTGCTAACGAGTGCGCTCCCACTCTGTTAGTCCAGCTGCTGCTGCTGTTCTTCAATGTCACCCCCTTCCCAGCCTCCCTTCCTTTCGCTGCCCACCGCTCCCCTCCTTCGCTCCCTCCCTCTCACGTCGCCCTGCCAGCCTCCATCCAGTCCGCGGTTGACGCCTGGCTCAACGCCTCCTCGCCCAACGGCTGGCAGCAGTTCCAGAAGCTGAGGCTGTTTGCGGAGGTCGCCCCCGGCGCGGATGCGGAGTACTGCAAAGCCTCTTCCATGGAACTGCAGGTGGGGGCGGGAGCAAGGGGTATCGGCACCTTGGGTCGTTGTATGACGGGAAGGGGGGCAAACCGTCACCTCAGCCGTAATGCACGCGGGAAGGAACACCAACCTGGAGGTTCTCCACACCGGTAACGGCCAGTGTGGATACCGTACATCGTCTCAGCCAGATGGAAGCAGTGGGTGGTGCATGCCAGGAGGGGCAGCATGAGGCACAGTGGGATCGCACTCGAGCCTGAGTTGGCTGGAGGTATTTGAGGAGTGAGGATACGGGGTGCGCAGATGTGAGGGGCGGTTCTGCCAGGGTTAGCCAAGTAGCCCGGTGCGACCCTGTTGCCAGCGGATCCAGCAGCCTATGGGCGAAAGAAGCGGGGCACCGGAAAGCGGACACATGGTGCGGGGGTGCCTCTGTTGCCTTCATCCGCGTTGTTCCGCCATTCCCCCTTTCCTCCCTCCCTCCCTCCTCCTTGTGTCGGCGTATGCAGGCTGACACAGTGCGTGGGGACGTGTACCAGGACGACGCGGCTCCTCTCTTCCAGGAGACGCAGCAGTTGCGCTTCGTGTCGCCGGGCATCAGCTTCATCAGCGCCGCGAGCTGCCAGATGCAGGTGGGGGAGCAGGGTTCGTGGCGGTTCGTGCATGGAATTGCCTGGGTGGCTCGTGAGGATGAGGTACTTGTGTCATGGAGGCTCAGTTGCAAGCATGGGAAGGTTCATACGAGGTGTTTAAACCGGGGCATATCGCGGCGCGAATGCATGTGTCAGCAATGTCTGGGGTGCAGTAGCCCCTTGTCGCTGTTGTCGGGCGTGCAAGCGTTCTTGCATATATAGCCCACTGACCCATGGGTCGCGGTCCACGGATTTCATGCCTTCCCTTTTTCCTGCCTGCTTGCCCCATCCTCGGCAGATCCGGCTGCTTCAGCTGCTGCCGGGCAGGACCACCAACGTCACGCTGGTCGAGTTGACAGACATATGTGCGTTGGTTGGGGCGCGGGAGGGTGGGGGCAGTGGCATATGAGGAAGCAGGCAAGAAGGGCAGGCACGAAGTCCCCACTTCACAACTCGCCACGTGCTGCTTGACTGCGTATGAGTCTCCTCACCAACGCTGTGCTGACATGCCTTGCTCCTCCCCCCTCCCGTCTTGCCTCCTCCCCCATGTCAACCTTGCTGCACTGTACGGCAGTCTACGGCAGCAGCTACTATAGCATTCAGCTGGATAAGGCCATCGGCGGGCCGTACAGCTGCCCCACTACGAGCGACACGTGTGCGTACAGCAATTATGCCAAGAGCTGTGCGGGCAATTGTCAGGTGGGGTCCAGGAAAGCTTTACAAGTGTAAAAGGTATCGCAGCGCATGTTGGACCTGCAGCTGTTCACCGGAAGGCGGTGCCTGGATTGATGTTATATTACTTATTAAATGGTAGCACTCGTTTGTTCCCCGTTTGTTTTAGCGGCAGTGATAAGGTCCCGTTTGCTTTTGCTGCAAGCCTTGACAGCGCCTTCCGGCCTCCGCTGCTCCCCACCTGCTTCCCCTTTCCTGCAGTACTTTGGCGGTGTCTTCAGCTGCAACAACGGCGGACAATTCATGTGCACCAAACCGGTACGTGCATCCATTGGCCCGTGTTGCGCATGCTGTCCCGCAAGTGATGTAACCCTCCTACTGGGGTGGCGGCAGACTGGGGCGGTAGCGGGGCAGAAGACCGTCACTTCAACACCGCAAATGCTCTTGCGCATGAGTGCATTTCGCAATCCAACTCCGGAATCCGCGGAAAGTGCAAGGAGGACGACTCGATGCTGTTGCTGTCCTTGTGCGGTTTTATGGTGTTGTCTGCTAAACGCGGAAACCCTTTTCCTGGCTGCAGTCTGTGTTCTTTGACAACCTGGCGGTCAAGGTCGCCTACAACACCACCGCCGACAGTGAGTCCCACCGGGTGTCACACTGCGGATGTCACAATGCATGGGTTGGCGGTTGCAGATGGGGTGCAGAGTGGGGGCACCGATGAAAGCAGCGAAGGGCTCGGGAAAGGAGGAGTCTGGTGTAGGAGGCCAAAGCTTCCTACGCACAAAGCACGGAGGCCCTGAGCTGCGTTGTGTAGGTCAGCTCTGTATGTCCGTGTGGACGGAAAGACGCATAGCGCCCCGTGTCGTTTTACTGCAATATAGCTGCTACCGGTACGTGGGCCCTAGCACGATACAGTACCGGTAGCAGACCGTGGCAGCTCAATAGAATAGCTGAAGAGGGTGCATGCCGCTCCTGGTTCGCTGTTACCCAGACATCCCCCTATCTAACAACGTTGCCGGGCCAATGCAGCCAAATGCGAGACAACCCTTATCCTAACCCCTTCTACTTCCGACGGCGACGTGCTTATGTTCCTAGCGACTTGGGCTTCCTAATCCCCCCTCTCCCCCCTGGTGCACCTACCCGCCCCCTGCAGCCGGCCCCAGCGGTGCCTACCTGCCGGACATGGCGGTTCCGGGACCGGGGCGCGGAGCCAATGTCCTGCCCGCTGGTGAGAGGCGGCATGGCGGGTGGCTCGTTACGTAGTGTTGGTTGAAGGTGGTACGGAGGGCCGCATGCGGAGAGAGTGGGGATCACGCATCTGGCCCTCTGCTTCCCGCGTCGTGCCCATGCTGTGCTGTTTCTGAACACTGCTTTCCACTCTGCCGCCATGCCGGTCACGCTTTGCCGGTCCCCCTCCGCGGCTGCCCACAGCTCTCGCACAAACCCACGTTGTCACCGGCCTCTCAATCTGTCCCCCTGCGACCGCGACCGCCATGCATCCCCGCCCGCACTCACGCCCCCACTCGCCACCCTCGCACAGGCTTTTCGCGCACCGGGGCACCCGGCGGCTACCCTGGCGCCAACAGCAGCAGCAGCAGCAGCATGGGCTTTGGATCGCTGTTCCAGGTCCCCAACATGGGCCCCAGCGGGCCGCCCGCCACCTTCACCCTCACCGTGCGCTCCTCCGCCGACCCCTGGCTGACCTACATGGCGGTGACGGAGGGGTCAGGGCGGCTGGGGGTGCCCAAGGTGAGCTGGAGGCGGAGGGATGGGGGGTCGAAGACCATACCGAACGATAGAAAACCACAGGCGGGATGTGGGGTGGGAAGAGTGGATGAGAGCAGATGGGGGAGTGAGAAAGGTACAGCGGGAGGCAGGAGGCAGGAGGCGGGACAGGGCTGAGGGCGGTCATGCTTGCGCTGCCGGGCCTTTGGAGCTTGAACCCAGCTCTGCAGGACCCCGCCTGTGCATGTTTGTCGATCTTCGCTCTATCATCCTCTGGGGCCCTGCAACCCGGGACTGTTTCGATAACCGCGAGCAGGGCCGCCCGCCAACCCATTCCTCACGCTGCCCCCTGTGTCCTTTCGCCCCGTCCTTCCTGCCCCCGTTCCACCCCCCACCGCACCCCGCTGCATCCCCCTGCCAGCGTGTGTTGGTGGGAGTGGGTGTGTTGACGCTGCTGGTGGGCTGCACGGGGACGCTGTTCTGGTGTGCGGTGAGCGTCTGCGTGTGGCGGATGCTGTGCAGCCGCAACCGCCCAACCGAGCGGCCGCAGGGCATGGCCGGATATGCGTGGGACCTGGCGAACAGGTGAGAGGCCGGTAGGGCGGTGATGTGATCGCGGAGAGCGGCGCTGGCGAGGCTACTACCGTAATAAGGGGGCATGAAGGGAGCGACGACCTCGATACCAGAAGTACCGTAACCCTTTGTCCCCCGATGGCAGTGCTGGTCCCGGTGTGCTCAACACCCTGCATGCATGCCGTGGTGCAGGTTTGGGGGCTCCTACGCTCCGGCGTTGGGTGTGCCCGTCCCCACCAGCGGCCCGGGCGGCTACCCCACCGCGCAGCCACTGTACGCCCAGCAGCAGCCGCAGCCCCTGGGGCCCTACGACTACACGTACGGGGGCTACGGCAACCCCAGCGCCAGCGCCAGCCAGCCGGTCACCGGCTACCCGTACCCCGCCTACCCGGCCCCCTACGGCCAGCCGCCGCAGTACCCCCCGCAGCCCGCAGGCGCCTACCCGCCCTACCCGGTCGCCTACCCACCTGCAGCGCACGGCAGCGCTGGTGTGGAGATGTCACAGCTGGGTGCCGGCTCGCCGTACACCTATCCGCCTCCCCCTCCGGCGCCGCCGGGTCAGCAGCAGCAGCAGCAACCCTCGGCTGCTCCCGCGGAGGGCAATGCATGGGGCGTCGCGGCGTATCCGTATCCCTACCTGTATCCGCCACCGTACGGACAACAACGACAACAACAACAGGAGCAGCAGCAACAGCAGCAACCGGCGGCTGCAGGGGCTGCGAGTGCAGCAGCAGCCGGGCCCTCATCGTCAACTGCCCCGGGCGGTGCGCCTGCTGCTGCTGCCGCGGCTGGGTCCGCAGCGGGGCCCGCAGTGGCTGAGGAGGAGCACTTGGAGGCAGGTCCGAGGGGTTCGCGGCTGCTGCGTCCGGCGGGTTACACTAAGCTGGAGTGAGCAGCGGGTGCTTACCGGTACCGGTGGCAGGGGTTTAGGTCTAGGGGGGTTACTTGGCATGTACTGCTTTGATCAAGTAGAGGCGAGCGAACGGGTTTGCGATGCAGCTGAAAGGCTCAAATAACAGACAGATGATGGGGTTCCAACACTGCTAAGTCTGAAGTCCCCAGTCGACGCACTGCTAAAAGTCTTCAGCAGGCTTAAGAGGGAAGCGGCTGACACAGGCGGTGGGACTATTTTCACTTGCGCGACATAGCAGTGTCTGTTCGTTAGACTGCTTTCAATGAGCCGGTGGTATAGACTGATGGTGGGGGTCATGCTTTAAACCGTTTAAAGGGCTCCGTATGTAGTACTGCGAACTGTGGGACTTAGTACTTCTTGTATACTTTTGGATATTGTTCACCACTCTATTTTGACTAAGGCCAACCGCAGCCTGTGAACCGGAAAGGTGGGTTTGTGCCGTGCGGGGGATAGGGGAGCATGCAGCACAATGCATGGGGCCGTACATAACCCAGATGAGCGATGCCGTATACATGATTGCCAAGACCGCCCTTGCCTTCGCTGAGGTAGGTATGCACATATTATCAACGCGGCAACCGAATCCGGTTCGGTTGGTGCAGACAATTGTGTGGTTCGAGCGGTGAGCGGCAACTAGGTGGTGTGACATTCGTCACAGTTCTTCACAAGACGCTTTAGCGTCGCCAGGTTGCCAGCGGGCGCAACCATCATGAACGGAGCGCGCTGCATTGTTCCCCTCGCCGCATCTCAACGTCCACAGGGACGCTACCGAAGAGCATGCCATCGGCACAGTGACGCAATGTTCAGCCTGTTGCAGCTCTCTACTTCCGTGCAGGCGACCACTTCACCGGCTGCACGCCGGCACCCTTGCAGGGCGACTCTGCGTTGCCATACCCTCATCGTGTCTCCGACCCGCGGTCACTAGTTTATAGTTACGTCGGCTGTGTGTGCTGCATGTACGACATCACTCGCCAGAAAACCACAGTCGACAGGCTCAACACCCCTGCACATCCCGTATGAAAATACAGCTACAGCTGACAAGCCAGGACAAAACACCGTCATGCAGGCAGCATGCCAAGCCGTCCCCCGCCTGTCCGCACTCTGGCAGCTCTCAGCAAATGACGCACCCTCGCTTCTGCTGGCGCCGCTGCGGCTCTTCTCGCGACCCGTTGGTAGCCCCTTCCGAGGCCGCAACCCCCGCCTGTTGCTGCTGCTGCTGCCGTAGAGGCTCCTCCTCCGCAGCCCCTCCCTGATGAGCCCCACTGGGCAGCTCAGCCGTACCTCCGGCCCCCGAGCAGCAGCTGGGAGCCTCCGAGCCCCCACAACCGCCCCCCTCCTGCCCCAGCCCGCTGGCCGCTGCGGACTGTGACGCATCCGCAGACAAGCACACCGCCGCGGCCGCCGCCTCTTGTGTGGCCATTCCTTCCGACGCAGCAGCGCCGTCGCTGTTGCCAGTCGCTCCCTTGCGTGTCTTGGAGCCGGGCGGCGCCTGGTTGATCCCCGCACGGCTGGATGGCTCGGGCAGCAGCGGGTCGAGTGGGAAGGGCGGCAGGGAGGCGAGGTCGGGCTGGCGGGGCGGCGCGTCGAGCACGTGGTCTGGTATGATGTGCAGCGTTCGGTCTAGCACCTCCCCTGCGCGACATGAGGGAGGGAGGGTGTCCGGCAGGAGGAGAGCAATCAACGGGATGGATGAGTGAAGTCACTGGCCGTGAAGATACGGCGAGTATGTGGGGTAGGGAAAACGGCGCACGGGAAGAAGCGGTAGCTGTGGGTTGCAAGTGGGTTGCATGTGGGTTGCAAGTGCAGCGGAGCAACAATGGAGGTTCAGAAAGCCTAGGGAGCGAAGGCGTTCCCCAGCCTCCATCCATTCCCCATCCTTCCAGGCACCCGCAACCCAACCCGGGATGAACACACAGCGGAAACGAACACCCAGCCCGGCTCACCAAACGAGCTCGGCCCCGCCCGCAGCACCTCATCCACCGCGTTCTTCCAGCGCTTGCAGCCCGGCTCGCCGTGGAAGAGGTTCAGCAGCGGCCGCATCAGCGTGCGGATGGAGGGGTCGGCGTGGCCGTCCGGCTTCACAAACCACCTGGGCGGGCGGGAGGGGGAGCCATGGGTGACACGGGGAGCGGGTGCATGGGCGGCAAGCTGTGGCACCCGTGTGCGAGTCCCAGCTGCTGTTGGCGCGATCCGGGGCCTCGCAACCCGGATTGGACGCCCCCAGGAAGGACCTAACAGCAACAACAACAGCACAGCGCGCTTTAAGAAGAGAGGGCAACCCAGCCTTCCCATCCCAAGGCCCGGAGCCCCGCTCCCCCACCCCTCCTCCACTCCTCCTCTACCCCAGCCCCACTCCTCCCCCACCTGCCGACCATGGGCTCCGCATACTCCCGGTAGCGCTGTATGACCCAGCGGCGCGAGGGGGCGGGGTTGGCCGCCTCCCCAAACACCGCCCGGTCTGCATCCGCCAGACAGCCCCATGGGTCGTTGTAGGCGCCGCGGCCGATCATGACACCCTCAATACCGCCACCGTTGCCCACCACTGCCGTACCAGCTGCTGCTGCTGCTGCTGCGGGTGGTAGTGGTGCTGCTGCTGGTGCAGGAGGATATCCCGGGCAGCAGGAGCCCGAGACGCCATCACCCGCATCAGCTCCGTCGACGTGTTGTTCCTGTGGGCCAGCCGGGTCTGCTGCGGGCGCTGCGACGGACGTAGCGGTGGAGAAGGAAGGGGAAAGAGAGGAGGAGGTGGCACACACCGATGCCGCGGCGGCGTACGGGTCCGAGGGTGGCAGTACGGGTCGCGTGTAGGGCACCTGGGGGTGCGCCGCCAGCAGCGCCGCGCGGGCCTCGTGGCAGCCCAGCACCCCGCCATTGAGGGAGAACTACCGCGGGGGCGGGGGGGGAAAGAGGTGGGTGGGAGGGAGGCCGGAGTGGAGGAGGATGGGGGTCGGAGATAGGAGGCGGCAGGAAAGTAGTATCGCTGCATACCCAGACGCGAACGCTACATAAGATGGGACACGGAGAACAATCACGGACGCTGCTGTCACCCCGTGCTGCAGCCCGTGCTGCTGCCAGCCCACCTGCGCATCACGCGCCGCCCAGCACCCCACCTACCAGCTGCCATGCACATCAGGGTGCCACAGTCAGGCGGCCTGAGGCCTCCCCTGCTGCCCGCCCGCTCGCCTGCCCCTCCCTTCCTCCTCCCCGCCCTGCCCCCCCAGCCCCCCAGCCCCCCCAGCCCCCACCTGCAGGTGCGGGAATTCCGCAGCCAGCGCCCAGGCCCAGTGGTGCCGCAGCGGGGGCACGGTGCGGTTCTGGTGCGGTGACAAACCCTGGCAGCGGTTGGGAGGAGGAAAGGCGGGAGGGGGGACTTGCCTAGGGGGAAGACGCCTCAACCACGCACCCAGCAAGGCTCCTGGGTCCGTATACCGGCAAGGTAAGAACCGTGTGTGGACGTTCCCTACCCGCTCATGGAATCAAACAGCACGCCCTTACCTCCGTTAACACCCAATCTCCACCAGCCTCTGCGCCTCTTTCCTCGTCACCCAACCCCCCTTCCCTGCCCTCTTCTCGTCTTACATTCAGAAAGGCCTTGCGCGCATGCACCACGAAATGCCGTACCGGCGACCGCTCCGAAACCACTCGTACGAACTCCCGCAGCTGCTCGTAGCTGTCCGCCTCGTCCACCCCCAGTCGGCACTTGACCGTCAGCGACGGCAGCGGAAGTGCCGGTGGCGAACCTGCCCCGGTGCTCCCCTTCTCCGGTCCCTCTCCGGGCCCTTCCTCCGCTTCTCCACTCCCCCCCACAGGTGTTGCTGTTGCTGTTGGTGCTGGTGCTGCAGCTGCTGGCCCCACCACGCCCTCCACCGCCGCGGCGATGGCCGACATGCACTCCGCCACCAGTGCCGGCTGCAGCATCAGAGCGGCACCGAAGCAGCCTGCACCCGCCACTCGGTCGCTGAGTGGGGCGAGCGGCGACCCGGCGGGTCGGTGGGCGCGTGCGTGAGACATGGGGGGGTCACGTGGGACTCCAAGCGGCGCACTGCGTGTGCCGCTTAAACCAACCATGGGCATGTGGGTCATCATGCCTTCCCCAGCTCCCTCCGACCCACATCACAAGTGTACAGCTCCACCCCCGCCAGCCCCCCTACCTCAGCCCCCCAGCAGCCCCCCCCACCTCGGACACCCGCAGTTGAGGTTGATCTCGTCGTAGCCGTACTCCGCTGCACGCGCCGCAGCCGCCGCCAGCGTGGCTGGGTCGGACCCGCCGAGCTGCAGCACCAGCGGGCGCTGCTCCGGTGGGAACCACAGGTACTTGTCCAGGTTCTGTGGGGGAGGCGGGAGCGGGGGCGGGAGCGGCAGGGGGGCGCAGAAGGTAAGGGAGAGCGCCGTGAGGCACATGCCTTGTGTGGCACAGGCGTGTAGTGGTTCATGGACGTGGAGAACCGCTTCAGATGTAGCATGGTACCGATGGGGAGCTTCCTCCTACTTTCCTCCTTCTCCCGGTGACAGGTGTCTGCCTCATTACGCCACCACCGTAGCTTCTTTCCGCAACACAGCCCGCGCCTCCCCGCCGCCCATGCAGCTTCACACATGAAGCTACGCGGCTCGGATGCCCTAACACACACACACCTGCGTGTGTATGATGGTCTTGTCCACCACCATCTCAGTCCACAACCATGTGTGTCTAGACAGCAGCCGAGCCAGCTGGCGGAAGTGAACGTCCGTCCAGTCCATCCTGGGAGCGATGGATTGCAGGATGCGGAGATGAAGAGGTGCAGAAAGGGATAGGGTTATGCTGGGCCTGCCTGACTTTCAGGAGTGCTCTTGTGCATGTATAGCTTGCGATATCTGCCGTGTGCATGGGTGCGAGTGTGCTCAGCTGCAGGCGTCGTGTGAGCGATGGCCAAGAGGTTGTCCAACTGAAAAGCGCAGAAGCTACCTGTCGCAAGCAATCCATATATTACAGACATTCTTACATAGGAGCAACGCTCAACAGCGGCCTGGAAGCTGCCGGGTTTTCTCCGCCCATTTGTCTTGCAACTGCGACCGCCGACGCCGCCGGGCTACCCTCCACAAAAGAATCCAAAGGCTCAACTGGTATATCCCTTTCCGGGTGAGCTTTTAAGGCGCTGTCCTCAACCATTAGGGCTGCGTGGGCGCTAAGAGCGGTAGAGAAATTGGGTCTCCCTACAAGAGTATGACGAGACCGGCCTTGCAAGACTCTTCTGCAACAATGACTAAAACTCAAGTGTGCATTTGCATACAAAGTAGCAGGCATAGCATCAACGGCTATTAGTGTTCACTATTTCGCACGTCCCCTTTGTGATACCCGCTGCTGCACCAGGAAGTTAACAGTCAAGGTATGCCTATGAATAAATTAAATTGCCTATTTTCGTTGTCACTGCAGGTTGCAACGCACGCACTTCATGCAGCCGTATCCTTGCTGCGTCAGTTGAAATACCGCGCAGCGGTTGGCGCGAGAGGCCAATACAACTCCACTCGCTTATTCCACACCTTCAGGCCACTTGCACCTGTTACTTATGTTGGACGCGGCATCGGCCAATGTCATGACGACAGTAGGAGCACTTTCGCTCGAACCTTGATCTACCGCAGCGGGCCCCTGCATCTACAAGCAGACGCAAACGCCACTCTGCATACAACTAAACACAACATATACTTAACAGCGCAGTGTAGCTCAGGAGAGTCTCTTCTTCCATGGCTATCGTTCTCGCGCGTTCCGGGTTGCAGCCCTCGCTCTCCAAAAGCGCCAGCAAACCTACCGCTCAGCGTTCCATCCAAGCGCCATCCTTCTACTCAACCTCTCGCCGTCTGCCCCGACCGCTTGCTGGCCTACGGGAAGAGCGCGCATCGTCCGTTGCCGGAACGACGGGACTCGATGTCAACCGCTCCTCGGGCGCTTCGCTAGGCTCCTCTGCCTTGACCGGCGCCGCGCTGCTGGAGGCTCTGAGGTCCCGAGGCACGGCGCCCGAGACTCGCAACGTGTACGGCAAGCCACTCAGCAAGTCGGAGCTCTCCGCCCTGGATGTACGTGCGATGAGCCTTGGTGGTGGGGGCAGTTGGGATTTGGTGGGAAGTCCAGACAACGGGATTGAGGCTACAAAGCTATAGCGGAGGACTAGTGGCGGAAGGCGACATTGCTCGGGCTTATGCTACTGCACTTTGTGAAAGGCAGAAGGACTGGCATGGTTCGGGGTCTCCGCGCTCTGCTCTAATCCTGGCAAGCTGCTCGTCCCTTTGAGCCTACCGTTGGGGCTCATTCCATTCCTGCCGAACCGCGGATGGAAGTGATGCTGCGGACGGGCTTGCCACGATAGGGCCTCACCCACCTCAGCCCGCCAACCGCTTCCTTTTGTACCCGTCCTTCCATCCATTGCGCCTCCGCATATAAAGCCAGGCCCGCAGCCCTCCCAACCCTTCCCCAAACACCGCCGCCCCTACAGACTCCCTTGCCCCACTTCCCTGCTTGCACCTCCTCCTCCCCTCACCCTGCCGCCACCTCGCCTACCCCTGCTCTGCCTTCCTTCACACCCCCCTGCTTGCCTCTGCCCCCTCCCACAACACCCCTCCCCTCCCACCCCCTCCCACCCTCTCCCTCCTACCAGGCCGCCCTGTCGCACCTGTCCCGCGACCCCGCTGCGGCTGCGGCCCTGGCTAGCGGCCCCACAGCCCTGACGACACACCTGCGGGGACTGCTGCTGGTGGGGCTCAAGGGGGGCAGTGAGGGGGGGGGGCAGTGTGGGGGGCAGTGAGGGGGGGGGGCAGGGTGGCAGCCCTGAAGCAGGGGCAGGCAAGGGACGTAGCTGCTGTGATGACGCTTCCTCCGTTCCCAACCTGCACTCCCCCTTGCCACACGACTAGTAAGTTTACCCCTCTCCGCCTTCCCCCTGCAGGAAGCGGGTGTCCACAAGCGCATTCCCCTGCCCCTAGTGGAGGGCGCCATGGTGCTCGTGGAGCTCATGGAGGCGGGCGGGACAGGGGCGGCAGCGGGCGGGGCGGCGGATGCAGCTGCTGCTGCCGCCGCCGGCTCCACCACCACGGGCCCTGCTGGGCTGGCCGCCGCCGCCGCTGCTGCCACTGCCACTGCCACTGCAGCAGCCAGCGGCCCGGGACTGCTGCCTCAGTACCGTTGGCAGTTGGTGGTTGGCGCCGACGTGGGGGCGGTGCAGTACATCCCAGCAGTGGAGGAGCTGCAGGCGGGTCACAGGACGGTCCGGTCCATGGTCTTGCGCTGCCTGCCCGTACACGTCCCTTCTTGCCAGCGCCCTCGCTCGCTGCAGCCTGCATGCCGGCACACGCTTGCTCCCCCTCTCTCTCTCTCTCGCACCTCAGCCTCACCTCGCCGATTTCTGGCCTGCCCCGGGCCCCCGCAAGCCCTCCCGGTGTACAGTGGGCCAAGTGGCAGCTGCACCTCTTTGCGCTCATCCGTCGTTAACACAACCCCCCTCCGTCACCCCCCTCCAGTCAAGCCTCTTTGCCCTATCATGTGATCTCCTATGGTTGGTATGGTCTTTGTCCCCTCTCCAGTCAAGCCTCGTCGTCTAGTTCGTTTCCTTATCCTTATATGTTTACCCCCCGCCCCTTCCCCCCTCCAGGTTGCTCCCGACGGGACCTCCTTCACGCTGGGCACCGACCTGGACTTCCTGTTCACGGGGTTCAGGTGCGGGGGGCAAAAAAGAAAGTCCAAAGTGTGGTATGATAATGATGCGGGGGGCAGGGGGGGCTGCATGGGGATGCTGGGTGGTGGCCAGGAAAGCCTTCAAGACCGCCAAAGGGGGCATCCCTTCCTGGCTAGGGTGCGGGATGCGGGATGCGGGATGCGGGATGCGGGATGCTAGGCTGCAGGCAGGTCGCGGCGACTCTCCGCTGCCTGCCAGTTGGCGGCTGGGGAGTAGGGGTGTGACGTGTGGTTTCTGGGCTTAGCCATCGTGCTTAGCAGTGGCAGGTGACGCTTCCAGCATGAAGTGCGCAGCCTCCCTACCATTCCTCATCCAGCCCAACCCAACCCAAGGACCACCCCCATCATCCTCCCCTCCCCTCCACTCCACTCCACTCCCCCAGGGGCTCCTGCCAGTGGCTGGCACCCGGCCACCTGCAGTACAACGTACGAGAGGTGCGACTGGAGCTGCGCTGGCCCAAGGCCTGGCGCCGCGCCGCCGCCTGGCTGCGCTGGCGAGCCACCCCGCGGGCCGAGCGCTGGGCGGCGGCGCACGGTCGCGAGCCCGACTGGGGCGACTCGCTGCCATGGTCGCAGACCTGCCGGGAGGACCCGGAGGCGCCGGGGGCGCTGCTGCCGCTTCCGTTCTTCCCCACGAATGAGCTGCTGGTGGGTGGTGGTGGTGGTGGTGGGTGGTGGTGCCGCTCGTGTGGCGGTGGGGGGCAGGGGAGGGCTGGGGTCATGTGGTCAGCTGGTGGTGGCGTGGTGGGCAGAGGTAGTATACTATGAGGTATGCGATGGGGGTAGGTAAGGCAAGAAGGAAATCTCGGTTTTTGTTGGTGCCTGTTTGCCAACCCCTTCCCTTACGCGCCCCGCTGCTGCTATCCTTTTGCGTTCCCGCCGGCTCCCCCAGGCTTTCAGCTGTGACGGCAAGGTGGCAGTCACACGCAGCCGGCTGACGGGTGGCCTCATCCTGCTGCTGGAAGTAGGAACCAGGGAGCGGCTGCGAGGCTCCGGAGGCAGCAGCAACAGCGGGGGAGCAGCTGAGTGAGGGGCCACGCGGAGTGGGTGGGGACATGCTGCAGCGCTCGGGACATATGCCGCTAAGAGGCAGCTGCGCACTTCCAGCATGCCATTAAGATACAAAGGAGGGAGCGAGGTTTAGTATTATTTATCTTTGATTCGGCCGTGGGACTCGCAGCTTACCGAAGGCGAAGGGGAGGAAGGGGGCGCAGGGAGGTTATGGGCACGCTACAGTTAGGTATGGCCGGTCGTTTGGACGTGATTGCAAAAGGTGGGGCCAATCATTGCTTAAATGGCATAGTGGCCTCGTTTACCGGTACGCACTTTCATGGGTCTGATGCAGTAGTTGTTTATGGGTTGTCCGGAAAAGAGCTTAAGGAATGGGCCGCGCTACGGGAATTCACGTTCATTTCGTCAAGCAATGCAAAGGCCTTTGTGTTTTGGGAAGACGGATCGCAATTGAGCGGCCAACGGAACCTCCTACCCTGCCAACCGGCGGCAGGCGCTGAGCTTTGCCACAAACGGCATATCTAGAAACCTGTAAGGTCGGATAACGCATCTCTAGAGGTAGGAGGACCATGCGAGGAAGACGGTTGCCCTGGGGAACAAACGAACGTGCTGTTCGCCGTAACCTACAACGCCCACTCAGGCCACCTGTATCATATCTCTAGACATTTATAACTTGCGACGCCAGGCTAACAATAGTCACAGGAGGTTACGTAAAAGGACGGGTCGCTGCCGTACAACAAGCCTTCACCGTGCATGTGAAATCCTTTTTCGGTTATTTCACTAGTCTGTTGTTTATTAAGTAAAAAACGGTCGTTACCCAGGTAGCCGTTGCCCTGGCTCCAACCATGCAGCCTGACACCCACCACTTGACTGTTCCCTGGGAAGACCACCTTCCTAAGATAGCGTTTAGCTGCAAGAAATGCTCTGCAAGGCTTATCCTAGGCCATGCTGCTTCACCCTCTTCAATTTTTGTGGTTTGCTCATGCTCTTCTTGCGGACAACGCCCGCTCCGCAGCTTCCGTTCCGGTGGATCCATATACAGCCTCAGTGACTGGGCTGAGCACACGGAGACAAAGCCTGAGGATATTCAAGTTCTCCACTCAAGCGTCGGCGACGAGGTGGGACTCTTGCGACATGTGCCCATCAGTGGCTTTCCTGTTGGCGCGCTTTTGGCGCCAGCTAAGGGTAGAGCCGTTTAGGGAATCACACGTACCTGCGAACCGTGCATCAGTGGTCTTTCGGTTGCTGCTTTGCGACCGCGAACTCGTGCGGTTAAGGACCACTCTAGACTTGGGCTTAGCCGCAACCTATGCTGTTGGCCAGCTTGCGCATGGTGAAATGTAACTAAATGGAAATGAAATCCGAGCATAACAGCATTGCTTCTTGCTCTTCAGCACTGATGCCACCTTTCATCCTTTTTACCAACGCTTTCCCAGAGTTTTTGAGGGTTATCACACGTTTTCTTATCTATATATCGATGTCTCATGTGCAGGCGCCGTTTGAGAGCTGGCTGTCCGAGGAGTCCGTGCGCATGGGCGGCGACTTGCTCCGGCGGAGGCAAGTAAACATTTTCCACTGGAACGGCAACCTTTCTGACACTGTTGCAGCTGAGCTCGCACCTTCTGGGGCTTCATCTTCTTCGCCCACCGCGTATGCTGGGTTCGGCAATTGGAGGGCGGCCACCATACGCGGCTATGATCCGGTTACGCGTCGCTTCGAACTCAAGTACGTTTCTAGTTTACCAATGTTACCAGATGGGCTTATCAGGTGTTGCTGCCGCCCTTAAATATTTGAGGGTCGCAATATTAACGGAATACGTTACTTGCACGCCGCGGACTGTGCGCCTTAATTTCCTGGAGTCGCAGACAAGTAAAGAGGTTATTTGCTAGTCCAGTGCTTCCAACTGCGGTGCCGGATTGTTAAGCTTGTCTTTATTCCGTCACTGATGTCCCTACCTTCATCGCCTGCAGGTACCACGACGAGCCCAAGCGCAGCCAAGCCCACATTTGGCTGCCATTTGCGGTCCTTCACTTTGCGCGTAACCCTCCAGCAACGGCTGCTTGCGTCCGCTCCAACCCTGACAGCGCTCCGGCGCTTACTTCGTCTCCATTGACAGACTCCGTGGGCGCATACACCTTCGCCGCGCCTCAGCAACAAGACCAGCCCGGCCACCTCCAGCAAGCGCAATGGCTGCAAGAACAGGAGCAGTACCTGCCGCTGCCGACGGCCCACCTGCAACCAGCCTCCTCAAGCCGCGCCTCAGCCTCCTCCCTGCAAGGCCGCGACAGCTGCCTTTCCGCCTGCTCCAGCCAGCCCACGTCTCCTCCGCCACCGCCGCCCCAGAACCCGCACGGCTACACCTCCCTCGGCTGCGCTGACACAACGCCGTTCTCGCGGTCCTCTGATGCTGCCTCCTTCCAAGACTGCTGCAACAACAACGTCGGTAACTCCCAAGTGGGCTTCCTACCGGCTCCTGCCATGATGATGACGACCAGGCCGTCCGTTTTGGCGTCGTCGGCCTTCGGCTCCCAGCCCATGCTGCGACCCGAACACGCTGGGCCGGGCGGTGCAGCCAACTCCGGCTTCGTGCCGCGCACACAGTCCGCCCTGCTGCTTGACGCGTGGGCGGCGATGCCATGCACGGACGACGCAGCGATGCTGTGCAGCGGCGGTGCCGTCGCCCCTGCTGCTGCTGCTGCTGCTGGCCCCCTGCCTGCTTCCTCCTACGCCAACAACGGCCACCTGAGGCAGCAGCTCCCCAACGCCACCTCCACCGACTCGGCAAGCAGCCGCAGCCCCGTGCCGCCCTGTGGAAACCCGACGGCTGCTGCGACGGCGCCACAAGGGCCCTACCACGTGTACAGCTCGGGCGCTCCTGCTTCCAGCGGCAGCCCGGCGGTGCCCAGTGGCAATTCCTCCGCATCTGGGTCGCCGCAGTGGGTGCTGTCCGTGTCCACCGCCGCCGCCGGCAACACATCTGCCGCCGCGCCGGCCGCTGTGAGGAGGACAACGTTTGGTGGTTACGGTAGCGGCGCGGATCAGTGGTCGGTGGATGCCAAGGCAGGCGGTGCTGACGAGTTTGGCAGCATGGCTGCGCAGCTGCTGTCAGGTGGGCTGCAGGGGAGGGAGGGGAGGGAAGGGCGCTAACAGGGGTATATGCGGGAGGCACGAGGCGCCGGTGTTCGGATGTCGGAAAGCCACCTTTGGCCGCTTCATCTCCCTAGCTTTGTCGCGTCACCTCCTGACCTGACGTCCTGGTTCCATCCCGTGCCTTCCTCCCACGCAGACCTGTACGACGATGACTTGTGGCCCGCGGGTATGTTCCGCTCATCCACACCCGAGACCACCCTTGCCGTGCCCGCCCTGGACAGCCCGCCAGTCTTCTCAGCCCCGATGCCGTACGAGCTCCCGTCGCCGTACACCAAGTTTGACTCCTGGATCCCGAGCTCCTGGCCCTCACCCACGGAGTCCCAGAACAACAACGGCGTCGCACTCAGCCCCCCCGAGCACCCCTGCCTGCGACCGCAAATCCTGCAGGAGCAGCAGCAGGAGCGCCCGCACCCCCAGTTTGCCAAGACCATGACCACGACGCTGAACGGCACCTCCCAAGGGCAGCAGGCGGCGCGCCGGCGGGCCAAGCGGTCGGCCCGGGTTGCGCCCGAGGACTTCCAGAGCAGCGGTCAGATGGGCCTGCTGCCTGGGTGGGGCGAGGCATGCGGCGCCGAGCCGCAATCTGAGGCTGCGGCGCTGGCTGCGCTGCTGCGCGAGTGGAGCGAAGGGTCGGGAGATGAGGAGGAGGGTGCGGAGGGAGAGTACTGGGCTGTGCCGCCGCCGGCTAAGCGACGGCTGCTATGTTAGCTGCTGGCTGCCTGCACGTGAGGAAGAAGAGGACGAGGGAAGTCGCGTGCTGTTGCCGCTGCTGCTGCTGCTGCTGCGACGGCGACAACAATGAAACACTGCCAGGCATGGACACACGCAGGGGTGAGGAGTGCGACATCAGGTGGCGGTGCATCGCCAGGAGGGGCTCGTCTGTTTCCAATAATGTCTGCGATTCCAGGAAACGGTTGATCTTACCAGAAATTTTACCAGAAATTTTGCATTCATGCTAGTGTGCGGCGGTGTGCGTGCCCCGAGCGCGCATCGCTTAAACGGTGTGCCGGTTCGAGTACCGACTTGTACTGCGAGAGGGCGGCGCGCGCGTGGGATGGTGACGGACGACGAAAACGAAGACGCAACACGAGGGATCGCGTGCGAGTTGCACCAGAAGAGGATATCGTTTCTTTCAATGGCCGCTTGCGCAGGGCATGTGAATCCCTGTGCTTGTTCTGGCCGGTGGGTGAGCGAGCGAGGCGTCGGCGGGTTGTATCTTAGCCTTTACAATTGCTGTTGGGTTGCATGGCGTGGTTGACGGCAAGTGGAGGGTTAGTGGAGTAGCAGACATGGTTGAGGAAGGACGTTCCCTACAGGCGGGAGAGCAGTGCTGCGACGACTTACGAGAATTTATGAGGCGCTGCTTTAATGAGCTGATGTGATGGCCCTGATGGGCCCTCAGGTGTTAATTGCGTGTCGTGTCGTGTCGTGTCATTTATTGAGCGTGACCCAAATCAGTTACGCTGCTAATACTAGTATTCGAGGCATTGGAGTATCATATTTTGCGTGTGACTAATCCTCTTGCGACTTAACTTGACTCGGCTGGTCTGCTGCGCTGTGTGAAAGCGTGCCGTGACCAAGGACGTGCATTTCTTGCTTGGTTTGTTGGATTCCCCGCAACCCTTGCGGGTGCGCCGGCAGGGGACATTCAATGGGAAGGGAGAGGAGGTCGACCGGAGAGGAGGGGACTTTCATCACACTCGACACGATAGCACGGATGAGTGGCGCGGTGTACGTGCCCTTGCGGGGAAAGGGATGCAGCTGAAGAAGAGAAATGCAGGCCGGTGCGCTTGTTGTACTTTTGTTGATCATGAAACAGCGCTGAAGCACGTGTCCCTTGATGTGGCCAAGGGCACGTTCGGGTGTCTGTTTGCGCTAGACGCCGTGTTGGGCTGTTGCTCTCTGGCTGCCCATGTCAAGGGTTTGCCCAGGGGCCTGCCAGCAACGGCTACATGTAGTCCGGAACCTTGCAAAGGAACCGTGGATGTTCGAATATTCGTGGGAAGTAGAGTGTCTTATGCGTGTTTTGGACGGGCAAAGATGGTTTCATCCAATTAGAGTCACGATCTCGGGGGGCAACAATAATAAGGACTACATCCCCGATGCCTCGTGTGCTCTGTTGTGTCTTGTTGTCTTGGCCCAGCTGTTGGGTGTCGGGCAGTATCTCTTCACCGTAGGCCGGTGGAGAGCTGGTGTGGGATTGTTGTCGGTTACACGATGTGCCGGCGTATTGGTCGGGTGCATCTCACCTTTTGTTGTAGGGGTTCCGCCGCCCCATGGGGAATTGGTCATCGTTATTTGGTGACGCCTGGGTAAAGGCATGGAGTCTGGCAAATGGGTTTTCGATATGGGGTTTTGTTGGCTCGTTTGGACAGCCTCACTTGGGTGATTAAATTAAATGCGTTTGCGATGGCTGGACGAGGACGGGAGGGAAGTGGGAAAGGGCGGCAGGCTGGGGAAACCGGCTATGGAAGTGGAGGAGGTTGGAGGGGTTAGGTCGCATATACCATTTTTTGTATTAGCGGCCCACTTGGGCTCCGGGTTCAGGCCAAGCGGGGAGCCCTCAGCAACGGCTAGCATGTGCCCGGGCCCCGTGGCCGCCATAAGGAACGCCAAAGGAAGTACATGAGGTGAACTGTTCAAAAAGCGGTTATATGTGCCATGCGTTTTGGTTTCGTTTTGGGGTTGGTGGTCGGGTGTTGGTATGGTCGGTGGAAGGCGGGCACGGGCGACACTGAAAGATGTGTGTCAAGAGATCTGCCAGAGGACGTGTGTGTGCGGCTATATAGGCGACAGCGCATGCTTTGACGGCCGGAAACCCCAGAAGTCGGGGCAGTGCAGGCGGAGCGCTGGTCGGGCTGCGCCTGGGCATGAGGGTGTTTCACGCCGGGCACAGGCTGCAGTGGAGTTACTAAAGCCGCAACCAGTTGACGCCCATGGTTTCGCTCTGTGTTTTGTATTTACATGTTGCTTTGACAGTTCTGTTCAGGTGCTGGTCGTGCGTGCCGCCGTCCTAAGCACTACAGCGTGTGCAGATTACGGCTTGGTGTCTTGGGTGGCTTGTCGGGTTTGACTTGCATATGTGTAACCTCATTTACCGCACTACTCCGGAATGCAAGCTATGCCCCATCTCGTCCTGCTTGATGCAGCAAGCAAGCTGCCTCGTGGACACCTCTCCTGGTATCTTCATGTACCATGAGAAAGCAAGCTCGGTCGCCCACGTATACCATTGGGCTTCAGCTGAGCCCTGGTCTTGGGATAGTGAAGTAAAGTTTGCCCCAGCATGCTCATCATAGTTAAATTTGGGGCAGGGGAGAAGGGTTGAGTGCGCTGACGCGCTTGCGAGGATGAAACTGTCGACCCCGATGCATCACCGTGCAGGTAACCCGTAACCGGTTTTCGTAGCTACGCTTTAAGGTGAAAGCGAAACAAAAAGAGAAACAGAAAAAGAGAAACACAATTCTTACTTGTGTGTGCGCAGCGTCGTAGGTGTGTCTGGAATATAGGAAGGCGGGAGGCCCACTGGGCAGCGAGTACTCAGGACGCTGCAGCTTCGACGTCCATAAGGAAATCATGTTCTGTTTCTCGTTCTTATCAACTCTCTAATCCTGAACGTTGCGTGGCTTGTAAAACTTGCGTGTAGCTTACAGCCTGGCAACTAAGGGCTCGGAGGATTGCGACTGCGTATCAATCTACGAAGTTTTTGTCCGATTACGAAACAAGTTTCGTACCTAGAAATGCCGCCTGAGGAGACAACGCAGGATGCAGCCGGGAAGGCAGCAGACCTAGGCGAGACAGGAGGCGACAGCTCCTTCATTTCTTCTAGTTCTTTCCAAGGCGCTAAAGCTGGTTACGTATTCAAGACCGATGACCGTGGACTTGGCTACTACCTGGACGTGCCGCTGTCTGAGCGATTGAAAGCGGCCCAAGAAGCCCAAAAGGCGAAGCCCACTGTGGTGAAGGCCAACAACTCTTTGCTGAAGTCCTTACAAAAGCGCGGATCCGCGCTGCCAATTCCATCTGGCGTGCCCAAGAAAGCAAAAACAGGTGAGCTAGTATCAAGGGAAGCATCCCTGCAAGGATTGCCTTTGTTTAGTAACTCTCAAATATACCCGAGGTTTATGCGCGTCGAGCGGCGCCAGGGCCTGCTGCGTGTGTCATGTCCTAACGGGGTAGGGTTCCGCCTTGCTGGCCCCCGCACATGGCTTGTGTCGTGTATCAGACGACAACAAGGAGGCGCCTAAGTACCTAAAGGAGATGGAGCGGTACAAACAAATGTCCTGCGCCTCGGACACAAAGCACGACCGGCCGCTGGTGAAGTAGGGAAGTACTGACGGTGCGTAAGTTTGCGCCCCAGAACGAACGAGGTGCGGGTGAGGAACTGTTCTAGGGGGTATGTGAACAATCAAACGCATGTGGGTGCGGCTAAAGGTGTGGCCGTCCCTGCAGGGGTAGCATATACCCCCGTCTTGTCCGTGGTGAAGACATGGAGTGATATTGGATGTGTAGAGTGCCCGCTGCATGGAGGCAACTTAGCTACCTGCTGTACAGCAGGAGTACAGCTTTAGCGAGAGGGTGCGTGAGCACGTGTGGAAGAGCAGCGTCAGGTGATGATGGCGGTTTAGCGCTGGCTGCTTGATGTGCTTGTTGTCAGTTACGGTAAGCAGGTATGACGCTACGGCACCTGCGAGTGCTGCTGATGTAACGAATGGCGACACTTCTCCCGCTGATACAACGTGCCGCTGATGGTGTTGTATGACTGCACACAGGGCGACGAACACGCGTACCAAAACATGCTGGGCATTTCTCCAGCCTAAGCTTGCCTACGAGCGAAGCATTACAGGAATGGATTTCGCAGCAAGCGCCTTTCGAGCTGCTGTAGTCGACATGCCGACATCATCACAGCAACCCGCCCCTCCTCCTATCCACACGCGCGTGTTGGCATACCGGTAGCAGGCCACGTCAAAAGGGAACCAATGCTCCAACCCCTCATCGGCACCTCCCACCGCTATCAGTGACGACTAGATCCTCATGCCATCGCCCCCGGAGGGTTACTGCCTGTCCGCAAAGGTCACAGCCCAAGGCCCCGCGGGCGGCGCCCACCTGTCCTGCGACGGAATGTCCAGTGCCGGGTTGTACGGCTGTACGACAAGATCCGGCACGAGGCGCTCGCCGCTGCTGCCGATGTGCAGCAAATCGAAGCATTGCCTGCAGGGAAGCAATTCGGTTGCGGGTGGTTCAACGGTCACAGCCGACTAAAGATACCGGTATTGCATTCCTAGCACCAATGGCGTATCAATGAGCTCGATATGAGAGGAATGGACAGCAAGCAGTGCCGCGCGGTACCACGCTCCTCTTCACAGTCTAACTCACCAACCCTGCTACTATCCCAGCAACCAACCCCGTGTTGACCCCGACCCACACCCGGACCCGGTGGGTGTACTCCCATGGCACATCGTACGCGCATCACCACACCCCGTGCGGTCCAGGTTTAGGTTGCCCAGCCGCCCTCGTACACCTGGTCACCGTAGCCGGTTCCGAATACCGGTACCCCCTCCACAGCTACTGCACCTCCCCATACGCAGCGATGATGCAACACCCGTACTGAGCTTCCAGCCCTTTTGAGGAAAGATAATCCCACAAACATTACCGGTGGACCCCCTGCTCCACCTTCAGCCCCACCTGCACATGATGGCGGGGTTGGAGGGCGCCAGCGGGTCGTCATGCGTCACCAGCTCAGCCTGCCGCGCCTCGCACAGCCCGCAGCGCCGCCGAGCCGCCGCGGGGGCCGCAGCGGCGGCAGCCTGCTCGCGGCAGCGCAGCCGCAGCGGGTAGGCGGCGCGGCGGGTGGGGTCGCCGGGGTGCCATCTGCGGCCCCAGGGGGAGGCCAAGCACAGGCGGGCAGGTTGGTAGGGTTTAGGGTTGTGGTATGGTAGGAGTAGCCGCGTATACGGTAACTGTAGACGCGCTGCCTGCGCGGCAAGTCCCCAGTAACCCCTCGCAGCCGCGTAGACTCACAACGCATCCCCGCGCCTCGCCCCATCAGAAGCCCACCTGCGCACGTCTCGCACGAACAGCAGGTGTTCGCAGCAGGCGCGGTGGCAGAACAGCGCGGTGGGGTGGTTGGCCTGCCGCACCGTCAGCTCCTGCACGCGTGTCTCGTGCATGGCGGCGGGCTCGCGCGCGCTCTGCCCCGTGTCGCGACCCAGGCCGGGCCGCCAGGAGCGGTCGGGCCGCAGCATGGTGGGCCACACGCCGTGAGCCCTGGGAGCAGCATGGGGAAAGGCCTCATGGCGAGCGGGGCGGAGAGGAGATGGGGACGTTTGACAGCATGCATGGGACCCTGCGCATGGGAAATACATGCCTCGTCCCCGCCCGGGGCCATTGACCCTTGCTCTACGCGTCATCCGCTCTTTCTCACCCATACCGGTACATCCCACACACATCAGTAGCAGCCGCCAGTGCACCTCTCCTCGGTCAGTGTTGCTACACGGCTCGTACTAAATATGACACGCGACGCCACGCCGTGGCCGTTGCCCACCCACCTGCACAGCGCCCGGATGGGCTCCGAGTAGTCCTCAGCCTCCGGGTGCCGTACATCCCGGTAGAACCGCCCCTCCATGAACAGGTACGACCCGTGACTGGGCGGCAGCAGCCCCGCACTCCCGTCTGCTGCAGCCTCGGAGCCACCCGCAGCAGCAGCAGCACCTGGGGAGCCGTCCGATGGCGGCAGCGCTGCTGCTGCTTCTGCCTGCGATGCGGCCGCGGCATCCGCCACCGCCGCTTTAGCCCCTCCTCTCCTGCCCCCACCTCCGCGTCCTGCCCGCTGCCCGCCCCGCCCTCCTCCTCGTCTGCCGCCGCCGCCACCACCTCGCTGCTGCTCCTCACCCCTTCCACCCTCACCACCCGGCGCCGCCACAGCTGGGCCCGCCGCCGCTGCCGCTGCCGCCGCCTCCCGCATGGCATCCTCCGTGGCGCAGCCCAGCACGTCCCGCAGCTCCGCCAGGGTCTGCGAGCCCAGCAGCAGGAGCTCCTCATGCAGCTTGTGTGGCTGGCCGGGGGCGCCCACCGCCACCCACACCACCAGCTCGTCCTGAGGGGGGCGAGGGGCCGCGGGGAGGGTGCGCGGAGGGGGTGTGCAGCGGACATCGGTGAGAGGGAAAGTGGAAAACACCATGGGTTAGTGGTTGTGGAGGGGCAGGACGGGTTGCGGTTACAAGGGGATGTGGCAGTTTCTCATTGAGGAGCCCGGCACCCCTTGCACCCCTTGCACCCGGGTAACCGGCAGCTCCGCACGAAGGCGGCTCACCCGAAGGGACGGCTCCGGCTCCTCCCCACCGTCCTCACTCCTGTGCCCCTGCTGCTGCTGTTGCACTCCTTCCCTGCGCTGTGGAGCCTGCGACAGCTCCGGCCCAGCCACTGCCAAGCGAATCCGCTCCACTGCCGCCGCGGCCGCCGCAAGGTCACTCGGCCGCCCACCCCGCTCCGCGCCCTCCGCCCCTGCTTCCTCCTCCTCCTCCTCCTGCTCCCCGCCGGAATCCACGTCAAAGTCCGCCGCATTGCCGTACGCTCCATAACCCGCCGCTGCCGCCGCCGCAGCAGCAGCACCGCTTTCACTCCGCTCCCCTTTCCTTCGTCTCGTCCGGACCCCTCCTTGCAACCCAGCTGCCCCACGCACCCCCTCATCCTCGCCCTCCCCTTCCCGCTCATCCTGCCAACCCCTCGGTTTCCGTCGCCGGCGCCCTCCTTCTCCTTCTTCCGCTGCCTCCCCCTGCTCCTGCGCCCCATCCTCATCCTCCCCTGCTTTAGGCGACGGACTTGCACCCGGGCCGCACCCCCGGCCCGCCCTAGTCCGCTGCGCTGCTGCAGCCCCTGCCTCCGGCCCCGCTTTCGCCGCCCCAGCTCTGCCAGGCGGCGGCGCCTGCAGCACCGCTTGCAGACTCTCCAGCTTTGCCGCCGCCGCCGTCACCTCACCCCACCAGGCCGCCAGCTCACGCCCTCGCTCAGCCTGTGACCCCTGCTGCTGCTGTTGCCGCTCTCGCTGCTGGTCGAGGCCGCCGCCGTCAGCGGCACCCCCTGCGGCCTTGGAAACGCCCGCAGCGGCGGTGGCAGGCAACCCAGCAGCCGCCGCCGCAGCTCCGCCGCCGCGGCGTCGTCCTCCTGTGCTCCTTTGCCTGGCTTCCTTCTGCTTCTGCGCTGCGCCCGCATCAGGGGAACACCCGCTGCGCTGCCCCGCAGAGCGGCCCCGCCGCCGCTTGGCCGGGGGTCCTTCCTCCTCCTCTTCGGCCTCCGCAACCACACCTAGCGGTTGGCCCTCCTGTTGGTGCCCCTCCGTTCCCTGCAAGGCATGCGCGCCAGCCTCCCCAGCCGCCGGCCCTGCAGCCCCCCGCTGCACCTCGGTAGGCGCCGCGGCGCCCTCCCGAGCTCCGCTGCTGCTGCTGCCCCCAGCGCCGCCTTCCTCGCCGCTTTCCACTGCATGCTGCTTCGCACCTCCATGCGCGCCGGCCAGTGCCACGTCAGGCCGCCCTCCTGCCTCGCCTGCGATCTCACTCCTCCCGGGAACCACCTCGGCTGCGAGCGGCGCACGGGGTAGACCGGCCCCCGTAGCGGCCTCCCTACCTCCGTCGCTGCCGTCGCCTTCCGCTTTCCCTGACACCACCGCACCAGTTCGAAGCTGCTGCTGCTGAGATGCCGAGGCCCCGGCAGCAGCATCCGGCACCGCTGTGGGCACTGCAGATGCCACCGCCGCTGCCTCCGCACCTGCTCCTGGAGCAGCGGCTGGCGGCTGGCTCCTCTGCTGCCGTGAGGACGCTCCTGCGGGGGCCTGAGTCGCTACAGCCCCCACATCTGCGTTTGCAGCTGGAGGAGCAGCCGCGGCAGCTGCTGCAACAGGGACAGCAGCGGCAGCAGCTGCGGCGGATGGTATGCCGGGCGGCAGGGGCACGGCGAGGTCCGAGAGGTCTAGAGCTGAGGCCAGCTCGGCCTGGAGGGCAGGATCCGCCATGTCGCTGTCCACCTGCAGAGCAGGACGAAGCGCGGACAAGCGCAGGGGACACGCAGCCCTGTGAGCAACCGTTACGCCTCAAGAAGACTTCGTGGGCGCTGTCCCGACCTTGAACCCAGCGCAGGCTGGGGTGCTGACGCAAAGGGGGTCCCCCAGGTTCTGTATGCCGTACTTTGGTACTTATACGGACTGGGAAGCACCCCTACAGCTTGTGTTGTGTTCCAGGGAAAGACCACTTGGTGGCTTACCTGTGCGCTTGCCTGCGTCACGGCGGTCTCCAGCGCTGCCACTGCCAGCCGACAACGCTGGTCGTACTCGGAAATCCTACAGCGGCAGAAAGCGGCGTGGGTTCGGGGTTTGGAGGGCTCGCAGGTAAGATAGCAGCACGGCGTGGGTGTTGCAGTTCGGGTGACCTGGTCAAGGCTCGATGCAAGGTGCAATGCGGAAGTAAGGGTTCTGTGGGACGGGTATGCACATTGGCAGGGTTTTCAGGTCCCGTTATGTTGCGGAGGATGGCAGCAGCCAACTTGCCTGAAGGGCGCAGTACGATGCATCCCCGGCCATGGTGGTGGAATGACGGCAAGCTCTGCAACGGCACTGGCGGCGACAGGAAGGATTTGCAGTCCACCCCACGCGAATGGCTGCAGCGCCAACGATGGTCGTCTTGGCGCCTCGGCGGCTCCGATAGGCGCCAAATTATTGTCCCCAGCGCCGGTTGGACGGCCAGTTGCCATCTCAACCGTTGTAGGTCTCTCGAACACAAGCCGCTAAATGGATGCCTAGCAGCGGTTGAGCTTACTTCTTATCATCGCAAGCTTTGTTCCCCCGAAGTATAATACAATGTTGGGACAAGATAGTAGTATAATATTTAAATGGGGTCTTGATAACATGACGCTTCGCATTAGGTTGCCGTGACAGGTGACCCTGAGAAGTCCGAAGCTATGCCTATTGAGCGAACAGACCATACCAAAGCTTACGTAGTATTTGTTACATTAGATCAGTAATACAGGCCTGCAAAGTTTCACCGTCGCTAAAAAGCCGGGGCTTCCTCTAAGGCGATACGCAACTTGGCATTACCAACTTCGCTTAATGCTCAACGAAACAACTTTCCAGGCTTTCAACCTAATTGCGCAAGAAGTTTTACCTTCTCTTGCTCCAACACCTTTTGTAAGAGCCGCGGACCCATAACTTGTAGGCTCGGAAGACCATCGTATACTGGTTAATGCCAACTACAGCTAATTGGGCTTGCACAAACATTTATTTTACAGCGCTCGCCTTACGGCCTCGCCTGCCCAAGCGACATGGGCTCCAGCGCTGAAATGCGCCAGATACAGCCGCTCCGCAGGACATCTTAGCATCACATAAGTCTCTGAGTCTAGGGTAACACTAGGTTATGCAAGCAGAGGAGCCGGTTGAGGCCTTGCAGGCGGTGCCCCCAGCTGGGGTCCCGCAGGAGGCTGGGGCCACGGAGGAAGCTGGGACTGCTGAGCAACCTGCAGCTACTCCGGATGCTGTGGTTGCTCGGGATGATGGGTTTCCCCCGGAGCCTGCAGCTGCATTGGATGCGGAACCTGGGCAGGCTGCAGCCGTGCCGGAGGCTGAAGCTACACCGGAGGCCGGAGCTGCTCAGGGAGCTGCAGCCGTGCAGGAGGCCTCTGGGACTGTGCAGGATGCACCGCAGCCCAGGTACGTGCGCACAGGCTCCTTCCCAACAACAACGCAGTCCCAGTGTCCAGCCCCTCCAAACCCAGCCCCACAACTGTATACCGGTAGTTGCTTACCAACCCATTACAGCCCCGCTCTCTACATGCAACCCCGCCCATTCTCCTGCCCCACCGTTCCTGCTCCATCAGGTCCACTGGCGGCCTGCAGCAGGCCCACAGCAGCGGCCTGCGGGTGACCATGGCCAGCGACGCGGGCGCCGTGGAGGTGGTGGGCTCATCCTCGGCCATGTTGGGAGGGCCGCTGGCCACCACAACGGAATCCTCGCTGGCGTCGGCGTACAGCAGCGCCGTACCCGGGGCCCTGTCTGTTATAGCACCGCTGCTGTCGGCGGAGGAGCGTAGCTTGGTGGTGGAGGTGGATGAGCGGAGCTCGGTTGCGGTGGGCGCGGGGGAGCGGAGTTCGCTGGCGGCAGCGCCCTCGGAGGGTCCGGCAGGTGCGTGTGTGCTACACGTTTGGTGCGGGAGTGTTGTGGCTTGGGGAGGTGTGTTGTGTATGGGCCGGGAGCGCGCGTCCTGGGCGGTGACTGCAGCATGGGCGGAAAGTGGGGCGCCTTAGGGAACGGCTGCGCTGCAGGCGACGCTTGCAGTGTCACTAGCGACGGGTGGTGTGTGTCCTGGGAAGGTCGGTTGATGGTGCCGTGAGGCAAGGACGTTGCATGCGCGTCGTGTTGATACGGTTAGTCCCTTTCCCTTGCTGCCACCTAACCAGGCGGGGAGGGCATCGCTGGCGGTGAATCGTCTGCCGCAACTGCGGCTGCGGCGCCAACCGAGGGGGGCCCAAAGGCTGTTGCTGCGACCACTGGCGGCGCGGGGGTAGCGGCTGAGCGGCAGCAGGGGGATAGCGGCGGCGCTCGGACGCAAAGATCGGGGGGCGCTGCAGGGCCCTCGGCGCCATTGCGAGCGCAGGTGCAGGTGGTGGAGGCGCCGTCGGGCACGGTGCGTGTTGGCCAAGAGGCCGGGTGGGGGGAAGAAACTGGGATGCTGATGGGGCCCTTGCCCTACTTAAGGTGTGAGGTTGCAAAGGCGGAGCCCGGGGACTCCCTTTAACGATGGAACGCTTGTCCGGCCGGGCGGCGCTCGTGGGTTTTTGCAGCTGCTCGCTGCCAACACCCGTGTCCCACTGTCTTTTTCCACACCAGGATCGCCGGGCGTCAGAGCGAACCATCAGCCCGCAGGTCCGCGTGGAGGGCTTCCCGCCCGCCTCCACCCACCGCCCTACCGCCACGCCCAGCTCCCGCAGCGGCAGCTCCTACAGCACCCGCCGACCCACACCCACGATGCGACCCACGTCAGTTGAGGGGCATGGCTACCGGCCTTTCGTCGTCATGCCCGAGCTAGCAGTGGTCGGCGCGACGGCTGCCACGGCCATCTCCGTTCCGTCGGCCTCCTCTATTTCGGCGTCGCGGGCGCCGTCGGCGCATGACGACGGAACCGCGGATAGGTCTCCTGGCGGCTCTCCGCACTCATCTCCCTCCCTGTCCTCGGAGGTGGTTAGGGGCAGCGCTCCGGGGCAAGTGTCCCCTCGGCGCGCGTCTGGGTCGCCACGGCATGTGACGGGGTCCCCGCGCCATGGGTCGCCCAAACACGTGCACCCGCACTTCCACATCGGCACCCGCCCGGACTTGCGCCCCCTGTCCGCGGACAGCGAGTCCTCAGCCGTAGACATGAGCCCTAACATTCCATCCGCGAACCGCAGCGGTCCGCTTGTCATGCCCTTTTCGGAAAGAAGGGCTATCGTCGCCACGACAGAAGCATACGCTTCCCCGTCGATCTCACCACCGCCGTCTGTGGGTCGCCGGCCGCCGAACCATGGGTCAGTCCGCCACGGCCCGGCGCATACACCACCTTTGCTCAGCAGCGCCATCCCACCCACCGTCCCTGCATCGGCTGCAGCTGCGGGACCGCAGCGTCCGGTGCGTCCAGGTGAGAGGACACAGACTGCGGCGGGAGTGTAACGCACACGGGCGTTCTACGGGATACCTAGGAGTTTGTAATTGGCCTCTACCGGTACAGGCTCTTACCACTGCTATTGCTGCCTTGTCATTTGTCAAGCAGTAGTGGCGCATTGCCTTCCCCTTCAGCTAGGCTGGGCTAGGCTAGGGTATGCTAGGCCCAAGCGTGTGTTGCGCAGCCATGCAGTACTTAATGGTGGGGTTCCCGTCCTGGTGTTATGTTTCATTACAGCAACCCACAAGGGCTCGAACCCCTCAGGCACATGGCTACTAACCCATAAGCCCGCTCCTGCACACACCCACAGATGCCAGCGGGACGGCCGACGGCGCCGCGGACGTCCGCTCGGCGTTGCAGCGCATTCCCACTCGTGACCGGGAGAAGTCCACGTCGCGCCCCAGCCACGCCGCTGGCGGCGGCGCCGCTGCAGTCAAGGCCGCTGCCGCCGCTGCTGCCACCGGTAGCGGCAGCTTCAAAGGCGATCCAACCGCGGGTGCGGCCGGCAAAATCTCCCCCGCCAACGCCGGTGGAGTCCAAGCCCCCCCCGGCAGCGGCAAGGGCCAGGCTACCGCCGCCACCGCCGTCGCCGTGTCGTCTACCGTCGGCAGCACAAAGGGCGGTGCGAGCAAGACCTCCCAGCCGGGTGTGCAGCAGCATCAACAGCAGCAGCAGGAGCGGCAGCTGATTGACGTCATGCAGATCAAGAGCATCCACAAGGCCGGCGTTGCGCCCGGTCTGGACCCGCCCTCCGTGTCCATGTCGGCGGGAGCAGGCCAGGCGGGGGTGCCGGGCCGCCGTGGCCGACGCATCGGGTCCAATCCGACCAAGGCCGCCGCTAACGCCGCCGCCACGGCTGCGTACTTTGCGGGCCTGGAGGCTGCGATTGCGGCCGGCACGGCGGGCGGCAAGGCGTTGCTGCCTACTGGGCTGGCACGGAAGTTGCGGGAGGCCAGGATCACGTCGGGGCCGCAGCCCTTCCAACGTCGGAAGGAACGCCAGCCGCCGCCGTCACCAGCAGGTGAGCTGGCCGAGGGGTCTTGCGGGGCCTAACGTGTGAACATAGGACACAATGCATGCTGCCTCCTGATTAGAAGGGACGGCTATCTAGGGCCGACGGCAGCATGCATTCTATGCTCACCACGCCCTAACACGCCCTATTTTGCTGATTTGCTCCCACTATGGCGGCAGTAGCCTTCATGTCGCCACGTGGTTGCCGCAGCTACTGCCGTACGCACATGCTTTGGCGTTAAGCGCTTTGTCATGGTTGTCTATGTCCCTTTGCCCTGATTGTACCATGCTTGCATTCGTACACCTGAGTGCCGTACTCGCAATCATGCTTACACGTAGGTGTCAAGCTCGACGGCTTCATGCTGCTAGAGGCGGCGGACGAGGAGATGCCCGAAGCCGTGCTGGCAGCCTCCCTGGAGTCCCGGCTCATCACGGAAGTGGAATCGGCGGATCTGTCGTACTTCGTGGCGCTCCGAGATCTCGACGTGTCGGACAACAAGTTGCCGGACCTGGCCTGCCTGCTGCCCCTGCAAGCGCTGATGCGCCTGCGGGCAGCCTCATGCAGGCTGCGAACCCTGGGGCGCTGGCCTGGCTTCGGCATTACAACAGACGGTGCGGCGGAGGGCAGTGTGCCTGGCAGTGAGACGCCCGTTGGGGCCGCTCCTCCGCCTGCCAAGACCCCGACCCCGGTTAGCGTGCTCAAGCGGCAACGCACGAGGACTGGGGCACCGCCAGATCTGACGGGGGCACCTGATGCGATGACTGCGACACTGGATGCAGTTGGCGGAGTCGCGATTGGCCCTGCAGCGGCCGCGGCTGCCGCGACCGCGGCCGCGGCCACCGCTTCTTCGGCTACGGGAACTGGCGGTGGCAGTGTCAGCGGTGGCATCGCCACCCCCACGGCCAGCTTTACTGCTGGGCATGTCAGCTTCGCAGCAAGTCGTGCCGTGGCGGGCAGCGCACCCACTCCTGACCCCGTCGACTCAGCACTGGTGGGCATGCAGCCTGTAGCTGGGTTGCTGCTGCCGCAACCCATGATCCCGAACCCCTTCCGCTTGCTTGAAGTCTTAGACCTGAGCTACAACCACCTGCAAGCACACATGGTGCTATTGCCGGGGTCGCCGCTGGCCCTACTGCCAAGGCTGGCTGAACTAGACCTGTCAGCCAACCGCTTTAGGACGCTGCCGTCACCGTCGGAAATCCTGATGGCCGCGGCAGTGATGGTGACGGGTGACGGTGCGTCGTCGTCGGGCGCCCCACTGGTGGCTTTCCCGGCTCTGCGGCGGTTACGGTTGTCAAGCAACGGTCTCAAGGTAACTGCTTTAGCGGGGCTCGGTCAGTCGGGAAGGGGTGTTGCGTCAAACAGTGCCGCATGACAGAGTAAAGATGTCTCAATTGTAATCCTTCTTCACTACTTCTTGCTCCGTTGCGTGGATCGTACCTCCGCCGCTCTCGCATCCTTACATCCTCGCTTCTCCCTCCCCACAGGGCCCCGCTCTGGCCTCACTTGCCGCGCTGGCGCCCCCCTGCCTGGCGTACCTGGACCTCTCCCACAACGCCATCTCCGACTCTCCCCGCCTGCACCTGCACCTCCTGGCGCGCCCCTCCAACCGCTACCAGCTGCCGCAAGCGTCCCCGCCGCCCGGCAGCGAGCAGCAGCTGGCGGAGCTGCTGGGGGCGGTGCTGCCGCAGCTGGCGGTGGTGGACTTGACGTACAACCGAGTGGCGGCGGAGGCGGCGGTGGGGGCGGTGCTGCAGCTGCCGGGGCTGCAGCGACTGCTGCTGGCGGGGAACCCGCTGGTGAGGGGCGATGGGGTTTGGTTTGGTTGGGACAGTGACTCCGTGAGACGTGAGGCATTAATGTGAATGGAATTGGTGCAAACCTTGAGCTGTGGGAAAGAGGCCCGCCCCCAGGACGCGAGGTAGTGCGGCAGGAGGGGTGCGTTCTGTCTTAGGGATAGTGATGCCGTGACGGCCGAGGAGGCCTGGCGAAGAGCCTTGGGCAGCGCTCTGTCTCTCTTCCGCATCCACACTGGCTGCAACCCACGTCAAGGCCCTCGCACCACCTGTATGTGCCCTTCCGCCCCTGCAGGCCACCACCGCCCAGCGCACGCACGTCCGCCCCGGCGACTCCGCAACCTCTGGCGCCGCCTTCTCCCCCAAGATTGACTTTGGCGCGCCGGATGCTGCGCCGGCGCGCCCCACCGTGGCCGGCTCCCTGACGGCCCGCTTCGCACGCATTGCGGAGGAGCCGCCCAAGCAGCAAGCCTCCACACTGGCTGCTGCGGCGGCGGCGGCCATCACTGCTGCGGCGGCTCCGGAGCGTGTTACGGAGGCCTTTGACCGAATGGACGCTACCATTGAGCAGTGGCGGCTTAACACGGTCATGGAGGTACGTGTGGAGGTTAGGTTGTGGCCCTGCGGGTTTAGGTTGCTTACGGCGGGGTATGCCTGAAGTGTTGCGTATCACCTATCAGACGCCGACTCGTTACCGGTAGTGGCTATCACCCCCAACCCGAAAGCCGCCACTGGCACGCGCCCTGAAAAGGCAGCTCACTTCTTCCATGTTCACCTCCAAATCCTGCAGGAAGACGAGGAGGAGGAGGACGAAGACTATGGCGACGAGGGCGGCGAGGACCGCACCTTCCTCACCGGCATCGGCATCCAGGAGCGCCGCCGCCGCGGCGGCCGCCCCGACAGCGCCACCGACCCTGGCGAGGACGGGCTGGAGACCGTGGTGGAGGACGCGGAGCAGGAAGCCGAGCTGGACGACAACAGCAGCCACCGTGGTTCCGGAGCCCGCGTGGAGGCGTCTGACGACCGGCCGCTGTGGGAGTCCATCACGGATCCCACCGAGCGCCTGGCGGTGGCCCTGGGGCTTGATCCGCTGGTGTTGCCCATGCACACGGGCGCGCTGACCAGCGACTCGGCGGGCGCCATTTCGGCGCTGCGGTTCGCGCTGGCGCACCCGCTGGTGGAGGCGGACGATGGACTGGCGCCGCACCCGCGGTACGCGACCACCACCACAGCGGCGCAGCTGAAGCGCAAGCCGCGGCGGCCTATGGCGGCGCAGCGGCTGGCGCCGATGGCAGCGGCGGCGACGGCGGCAGCGACGGCGGTGGCAGTGAATGCCGCTGCTGGCGGCGTTGCTGGCGGCAGCCCGCGCGCTGCGAAGATTCAGACGGTGGAAACGATGCTTGAGGGCATGAAGGGCAAGCTGGCGGCGCTTGAAGCTAGCCTTGCGGCGCACCTTGCATCAGCTCCGGCGCCAGCGCCAGCGGAGGCGGTGCAAAAATCGGTTGCATCGCGGAAAGGGCGGTACAGCGGGCGGCGGGCGGCGGGGAGCGACACGGATAGTGAGGACGCTGGCGATGATAGCGGCAGCACCGGCAGCGGGCTGCCGGATGATGTGATCGATCAGATTGAGCGTGAGAGTGAGAGCGACATGGAGACGGAGGGTACGGTGGACGAAGTGGCGGAGCCATTGGATCCCATGCAGGTGAGCCGGAGTGGCAGTACGTTTTGGCAATGTCCTTGCACTGTGATGGAGACAGGGGTGAAGACTGGAAAGTCAAGCGATAGACCTTCAGAGCGTCATTGAATGCTCGCCGCGAGTAGGAACGTATGCGTTTCCTTCTTGCTAGCGCTAACCCAATCCCGTCCTCGTGGCCGCCATTGACTACGACGTTTTCTGCTTTCAGGGTATCGTGCTTTTGGCCGAGCAAATTGTTCAGGACGAACAAACGGTTGGTAGCGCCACCACTAGCACGGCAGGGAACCTAGCCCAGAATGCGTCGCAGTCGCCCACAATTGGTCTAGTATCGTCCCAGGCTAGCCGCTCCGTGATGGGGGTTCCGATAACGCCGCAGTCCCACCAGCCGTCACCGACCCGTGGGTCCGGGTCCCCACAGCGGGTTGGTGCGAGCGCTGGGGGTGCGGGTGTACGCAAGGGTGCCAATACAGCCCAAGTGCCAGTGACTCCTGTGGCTGTGCCTAATGGGGCCGCGTCGGCGCTGGGATACGCGTTGTAGTGGCTGTTCTTGTTCACGTATACACTAGTGACGCAATGAGCATAGTTTGGCTTGCGGAGGTTGCTTGCCATATGAACTAGTTGGGTTGCACTATGTTAGGTGCCTCGAAAAGCTACACCTCGGCACGTGTTTACAATGCGCAACCAAGGGTGCCACCCTTGCTGGGGGAGACCCCATAGCCTCTAGATGTTGCGAGTTGTCAGGGTGCTTCTAAGCGCTGGAAAAGATGTGCACGCGTGCGGTGGCTCTAGCGGGATAGTACAGCATTGAGGAGAATCTGCACAGGTAGCGGACCTTCAATTGCAAAGCAAGAAGGGATGCTTTAGGCTGTGGGTTAGGCTAACGACACCCAGAAGGAGCCGGGTTCTACACCCTCATAGTAATCATGTCTGTTCCAACTTGATGTCAGAAAATGAGCAGACGGTCGAGCTGCCAAGCCTCACGCAGGGTACAGGTTCGATGGAGTGCGAAAGAGATTCCCCACAAGTGAAAAACGGCGAGTCTCTGGAGTCTCTGTTTGGTTACATAAAGGGCTTAGTGAAGTGTTTCGCGTTGTCAACACAATACTGCCACAGTGACAGGTCTGCCGAGGTGAAAATGCTCAGGAGCAGGCTTGCACAGTAAGGACACCACATGTAGGACTGACACAAAAGACACTATTGCTCATACTCTTGAACGGTTGGAAAGAACCAGACCATAATTTCCGGCGCTCGTACGACAACGCAAGGACTCTATACTCCTCGATGGCCAGATTTTCTTGCCTAGCGTTCTAGCGGTTGCGCCTTTTACAAACGTTAGGACCATGGCGCTCCGCAACGCCGCGACGTTCTTGGGACAGCGCCTGGCTGGGGCTGCTGAGTTGGGGATCAGCGCTGCCAAGTCCGCTGGCGGAGAGGCCTTGACCAAGTAGGGCAGCTTACCGAAAGCACAAGCATAGGGACATAGTTTCACATAACTGATTCGCTTCTTGGTATACGTGCAGCGCCTTCGTCACGGAGGGTGTGCGCCATGCCTCCAATCAGGCCGGTAGGTCTCATATCGCGGTCGTTATAGGACCTGCTAAGTAGGTTCTGTCGCTGTGCTGGCCTTCCATTGTTGTCATGCTGGTTTTGGGCCGCCTCCCAAGTCTGCCGGCTGCGTCCCGGCGATTGCCAACTCCATTGCGTCCCGGGACCGCGTTACATTGTGCCCGCAGTCAAGCAGCGCATTAGGGCCATTAAGAACATCGGGAAGATCACGAAGGCCATGAAGATGGTTGCCGCCTCGAAGATGAAGAACGCTCAGGTGGCGGTGGAGCAGTCCCGTGGCATTGTCAACCCGTTTGTCCGGCTATTCGGTGACCACCCTGGTAAGTAGTTTATTTGGGCGACGGCCAAGCCCGGACCCAGGGTCGTCGCGATGCTCACGGAACTCCATTCCCCGGAAATTAGGTGTGGAGGGCAAGGTCGGTGTCACCGTCGCCGTGACCTCCGATAGGGGTCTGTGCGGTGGCCTGAACTCCAACATCACCAAGTACACGAAGACGCTCCTGAAGTTGGGCTCTGCGTCAGGTATGTCCTCGTCCCGTTACGGTGAATACTCTGTAAAAGCAACTTTCAAATAATAAACTTGCATAAATACTAAACGCTTCTATGTTCGCTGCTCGAACTTGGCTGGAAAGCAGAGGACGTGGAGACCAAGCTGGTGTCCATCGGTGATAAGGGTCGCTCGCAGCTTATGCGCGCTGAGCCCCGCATGTTCTCCCACACCTTCGCTGAGACCTACAAGATTCGCGTGACGTTCGCTCAGGTATGACGTTAAGCTCGGCTTGACGACAGTGCGGGTCCAATTCTCACGTGGTTTACCCTTCCGCTCCGAAGGCGTCGATCATTGCGGAGGAGCTGCTGAAGAGCAACCCGGAGGTGGTGAAGGTTCTCTTCAACAAGTTCCGGTCCGCTATCTCGTTCAAGCCGACCCTCGCTACCGTGCTCACGCCCGAGGTACGTGAAGGGGGGGCGGGTAAAGAGGAACAGCCGAACTAACCGCACCTAGGGGAGGCTCACGACAGGGTCCGTTCGGAACGAAGGCTCTTCTGGGACGCATGCTCCCAGCATTAGAACGACAGCGATATGGGCATACCGTCAAGCAAGCTTTGTAGACCGAAGCAGCCATTTTAAAGGTGGAACCATTGTGGAACATGCCGTATACTGTAGTATCAGACCCCGGACACGGCATGGGCACATTACACATGAAGCCCATTGCATGACGCCATTCACGGAACCTTAGCGTAAAGCAAGGCAACATTCCCTTGTTGCACCAGGCGCTGGAGAAGCAGCTGACGGAGCCCACTGGTAACCGCCTGGACGCCTATGAGATTGAGGCGACCCACGAGCGCTCGGACGTCCTGCGTGACCTGGCGGAGTTCCAGCTGGCGGCGGTGAGTGTCTCGGGGTTGCATTCAGAGACATGGGGAAAACAGTAGCCCTAAACGGCATGGTTAAAAGGGCCGTTCTTGATACTTCTGGTACTAGGGCTCCCCAAAACATACCACAACCCCCACGATAACGTTCCGTTCCATGGCAAGATACGCATGGCACCCATGTGGCTGCACCTTGCTCTGGGCGCTGTTGTCAGGTGGATCCGTGATGCCATGGAACGGCATTGTCTCAAAACCTTGGGGACAATTGTAATATCCGCAGCGCCGTTGATGGCACATTGTCATTGAGGATTGGCAGTGCGGATTGCCAGGCTGCATGAGGCGAGACGGGCAGTGTGGCTTTGGGAAGGCGTGCTTCGAGTCAGCCATCCCAGACGCCCCAGAAACAGCCTTGCGATACATTCCAGGACCCGTTGGGTGGCGTAACACCCACAACAATTCCATTGGGGAGTCTCTTGACTTGAAGGAGTTTTGACGTGCATCCGGTTTCCCCCGCCACGCAGACCCTGTACAACGCCATGCTGGAGAACAACTGCAGCGAGCACGCCTCCCGCATGTCCGCCATGGAGAACTCCACCAAGTCCGCCGGCGAGATGCTCGGCAAGCTCACTCTGGAGTACAACCGGTGCGTCATGTTGATGCGCGCGTAGATGATAGTTCTTTGCATCAGCATGCCGGCTTCATGGGGTGCACCCTGATGGTTATCCGGTATCGACTGGGAGAGTGTTCCCTGTGAGTGAGCTGGTGCGCAATTGCGACTTGCGAGGGATGGCTAGGCTGACGTTTTGTCCCTCCACTTTCACTTGCAACACGCAGGAAGCGCCAGGCCACCATTACCACCGAGCTTATCGAGATTATTGCCGGTGCCAGCGCGCTCATGGACGCGTAAACAGCGGCGAAGCGGCCGCGGGCATAGCAACCTGGAAAAGCGGGGCTTTGGTGAGGAGCAGCAGCCGTCAGCTGTGGCAGTACGGACAGCCATGGTTTGGACGTTTCTGGGTCTGCGCTCAGTTACTGAAGGGGTCGTGGATGGAGAAGTGACACAAAGGGCGGTCACAAGCGTGGGGCTCTCTGTGCCCTGGAACATGGTACATGAGCTGTCACGTCGTGCGCGGGTGCTTTGAGGAAGCGAGGGCCTGCATGTTTACTTTTCGAACATCTCGGATTTGTGTCACTGGGTGCGACATACAGATGGGTCTGTAGTCCCACCTGGAGGCCCTTAGCGACCAGAGGCATCCAGTTGAGGTTACATACGTTGTAACATTAATCAGTCCAAGCCGATACCATGGGGAGTGGCCATAGCCTTGTCCTGAGGCAACCTAACCTATGAAAGATGAGCGAATAATGCTGTGCGATATGCCCATTAACAGACGACAGCCACAAATATGCTAGTAGAGAGGGCTGACAGTTAGAATGCGAAAGTTACAAGGGGGACCGGAGCTCCTGAAAGCCTGAAAGCCGTACAAGAGACCCAATCTGACAGTTAGAACTTTGCTGTTATCGTATGGCATCAGCAACCGCTTCCGCCAGCGAAAAGCTGATGCCCGGGTTCCAGACATTTTGTGCCTGGTTAGTTTATACCAGGAAGTCGAGGGTTAGGGGACGCCTCACGTCTACGCCTGTCGGTTGCCGGACATGCCTGTTCACAACGATTAAGACAGAGCTTACCCACACTGAAAAAGCATAATAGTACCGCTATAGAAAGCTTTATGCCTGAGTGATATCAGTCATCGAGCCCAAGTTGTCACTTCAACAAGCAAAGGACGAATCACTTGCGAGGTGCAGTTGAACGACGTACGACATAATCCATAAGAACACGCTCCAACTAGCTGTGTCCTGTAAGTGGAAAATGATATGGAGAATGGCCATTTAGCAGTTGGTGCTGTATCTGATGGCACGCTTTACCCTAAAGAAGTTCCTTCCCAGCGGTAAAGCCACAATGAGTCCTCTTGGCGTGCGGTGTTTGCAGAAGCATGTAGACATAGCAGTTCCGCAGACTATATTTGACGTAGCGCTGGCGAGCGACAAGATGACCGGACCCAACGTCCCGCTTCAACGCTTATTTAGATTCACAGCTGGCACAGCTAGATGCCGCGTCGGTCCCGAGCTTAGCAAGAAGTACAACATGCAATCCGACAATACGCAGCTCGTTGTCTCGGTCACCAACCAGGCGACACTGGAGCAAGCATGGTACGCAGGCGGGCCGGCGACTACGGCAGGAAGTTGGCATGGGAAGAGGCTCACATAAAATGGATATTGGGTCAGTGACTGGGCGATATAAACCTTATGAGCTTTGCAGTTCGTATTAATTGATGGAGCAAAGGGCCATTGAGGATGTAGTACTCCGCCGTGGTGGATTTGGGTTCTCGGGGAACAAGTTACGACATCCGGGTATCTCGTATTGGACATGCCAAGCGTTATCCAGCGTCGCCTGTACCCTTGAGCTATGGCATGCATGTGACTCCCTCCGTTGACCCACGGGTCAGGATATGGCAGGCGAGACAAGCCGTCGTGCATGACCGTCGCCGGAACACCCCGAAACCGGAAGCACAGCAAAACCAAGGCCTCCCATTCAGTTTGTTTTAAACCCTAGGGGGCAGCCAAAACACTAGGAACATCCTGTGCAGTGCCCTGTCCACACATTCCTGTTTTCAGCATCTTCAACCACCCTTCTTCTCCGCCTCTGCCCATGTCAGGTTTAACGCCGCCCGCACGCTGAAGCCCCAGACCTTCAGCCCGGGCAGCAGCGGGGCGATGGCGGACCCAACGGAGGGCGGCCGCAATTGCGACTTCTGCAACTGGAGGCAGCTCACCGCGGAGGTAGACGAGGGAGGGGGTGGGGGCTGGCGGAGGGTGGTGGTAGCGGAGTGTGGGGCTGGGGGGCGTGAGAAAAAGTGCGGCGGGTGAGAAGGGGCTGGTCGGGGATGTGCGCTCTTCGAAGTACTGGGGCCGGAGTGCGGGCTTAGGGTTTCCGTCCTGCTCCACCTCCCTGCGTTAAGCCTATCACGTTACGTCGAACAATATTCCTACACCAGCCCCTCCTCCCTCCCTCCCTCCCTCCTCCTCTCCCTGCTTTCCCTTTTCGTTCCCCTCCTCCGTCCTCTTGCAGGACGAGTGGGGCCGCCTGGAACGGCCACACGCCGTCAGCGGCTCCAACCTCTTCAAGTACGGCGCCCCGGCGCACGGACTGGTGCTCTTCAAGCACCACGACCCACTCACCTTCTCAAGCCACCAGGTCAGCTGCATGCAGATGCCTGTCGTCTGTCGCGACTGGCTTCGTGTCTTCCCTTTCCCTTTTCCCTGGTGCATCTGCTTACTGACCACTACAGCCACACTCTTGCCCGGGGGCTCCCTAAGCAGTACGTTAGCGGTGCCTGCATCCGGAGTTTCCGCATGCACCTTTCTCCTCCCGCCTCCACTCACCACCCTAGTCGCGTTAACCTACCGTCAACCCACATCTCACCACAACCGCCACGCCCCATGCCCCCGCATGGCCTCTTCATCCTTCATCCCGTCAGCTGGCGGATTTCTTGGGTGTGGCGGAGGACTGGTTCGCTGCGGCCGCCGCTGCGCACCCGGACGCGCACCACCCCTTCTTCATCTGGAACTGCGGGCCCCGAGCGGGCGCCAGCCAGTTCCATGGGCACGGGCAGCTGATGCTCACCCACTCGCCGGTGCCGGCGCAGGTGCGGCGCCGTCCGGGCACCGGGCTAACCTGGGATGCGGGACGGTAACGGTGGAATGGTAGGCTTCGGGGAAACGTGGGTTAGAAGGGTTCGGAGATAAAGGTGCTGGCTTTCATTGACCGTTCAGACCTAAGTGGCTGCTCCAAGCGCCATGTAAGGAAGCACGTCCGGTGTTTGGCCCGACCGTCTTACTCTTGTGTGGCCCCCGAATATTCCACCCCCTTTCCCCGCCCAGGCTCGTCTGGCCCAGCAGGCGGCCCTGTACGGCGCCTCCCACCCGGGCGGCGCCAGCTACTTCCGTGACCTGGTGCTGTCGCATGCGGCGGTGGGGCTGGCGAGGGTGGTGGCGCTGGGGCCGCGAGGGGAGGACAGGTGGGGGATGGAGATGGGGCTGGGTTACGACATGGCGACTGTGCTAGGCCATATGCAGCTGAAGGGGCTACCAGGGTGTGAAATAAAGACACCCCCGCTGTCATTTGCTCCCGCTGCTGCTCGCCCTGCTCCTCAACCCCTCCCTCCTCCTCACTTCTTCTCTAACCCTCACCCAGGTGCTGGCTGCTGGCGCACCTGGCTCCCCAGAAGGACATGGAGGTGCTGCTGCTGGCCAGCCGCCTCAGCAGCCCCGCATTCGTGGCCGGACTGCACGCGGCACTGCGGGCGCTCATAGACGAGCTGGGGGTGCAGACTTTCAATGCGGGCGTTATCAACCTGCCGCTAGATGGAGACGGGGGGCAGGGACAGGGGCGGCAACAGGAGGTGGGGGTGGAACATGTGGAGGCGGATGGCGTAGGCGCAGCTGTCGGCCAGGGGTTCAGAGCGGCGGCGGGTTCTAATGGGGTGCTAGGGCGTGCTGGGGAGAGTTGCGGGTTTGAGTTTGGCGAGGACCTGGGGTTGCCGGCGTGGGTTGAGGACGGGGATATGGCGTGGCGGCCCATGCTGGCTCGGGTGGTGAGTCGGGGAAAGGTAACGGCGCCAGCAAGTGACTACGGCTGCCTGGAGGTGGTGGGTCACGCGTCCATTGGCCACACCGACCCCTTCGTGCTCATGCGCGCTATTGACAAGCGGCTAGAGGCGGCTGGTTTGCGGCGGTAGGCAGAGCTGAGGCGAAACGATGCGGCATGAAGAGGGCAATGGTGCTGCGTGCCGGCAGATGTGGTATGCGCAGTGGGAGGTGTGCTGCTATGGTTGGTGTGTAGCAATGTCCGGAGAATGATAGCGATCACTGCATGGTAGGGGGACTGCTGTTAAGCAGGAAACTTGGTGTCAGAGCGCCAATAGGATTTGGCCAGGAAAGCGTGCATGTATGCCAGTGAAAATATAGTGAGCTGTATGTACGTGCACTTAGAAAGCGCGGACGTGCTAACCGTTTGGGCACTGCAACGGAGGTGCTTAGCTTAAGTACAGGGTTAGTAAGCATCGTTGAACGATGTTCCACATGCGGCGAACCGGGCTTGGTTGACTGGCACCAGATGTACGGTGCAACGTTTGCACGACACGCATTACACAAAGAGGGAGCGTATCGAGCGAGGTCCCATGGTACCCCTTTTACTCATGTCCAGTTGGCGCTGTGCCGCAACTCACTACATCCTCTAGGTCCAAGGTTTGTGTTGGTTCCATGCGGCCCCTTATTTCAGGCCTCGTTGGATGCATTCTAGGCCAATGGAGCAACCAAGCGGGGCAATGGCGGGCATCCTGTACTACGGCATTGAGACAGGATAGCGTTCCGACACACATATATATGGTGCCCGCATGAATGTATCACACGTTGGGCATCGTTGGTAAGCGGCTGTAAAGGGAAGGTTGAGTCTTAAACGTCATGACCCTTCCAGCGCAATCCGTGCATTTGACACACATGGCAAGTTAACGCCCCAAAACAATATCCGAGTGGTCAGTGCTTCTATGTACCATTGGAGGGTATGAGCTGTAACATGAGTAACCGCCATGCACCATTCCTAATCTCCGCTATCGTCGTAGGTCGTACTGTACTTCCTCAAGTAGGACCGGTGGGCGAGAGTCTGTTCAACAGTGGCATCACAGGTCATCACCGAAGGGTTCAGGAATGGTCTGTACCGCGCGCTTGACTGCAAACGCATTAACCATTGGTCAGCCAAACACATGCGCCCGACCCAGGTAGCAGCAACCTAGGCCTCCCCAGGTAGTGAAGTGGACCTCAGCCACCCTAAGTACCATCTAACTACATCCGCACACCTCCATCCTCATTGCGCCATCCTCTCACCGCCGCCTCGTGGGGCGTGCGTTGCTTGTCGTGGCTGCGGCGCTGCTGGTGGTGCCGACCTCGATAGCCGCCACCGACTTCATAAGCGCGTCCAGGTCCTGGTAGTCCGCCTCCACCAGCTTCCGCACCTCCACGCGGTATTTCTCAGGCACTGCCGCCAAACCGATGACGTCGTCCACGGTAAACTGCTTGCCATCTGCGTGGCATGCCAAGGGGGGAAGGGAAAAGGGGGCGAGGAACAAGGCAGGCAATATGTTGAAAGCAGATGTGTGGGGTCGGACACGTAACGTACGCAGATGGGGTCCGCAGATGTGTGGGGTCCGCAGATGTGTGGGGTCCGCAGATGGGGTCCGCAGATGTGTGGGGTCGGACACGTAACGTACGCGCAAGGCTTTGGTGTCCGGCCGTACTGGGCCGCAGGCCACTGCAACCTATGGTTCAAGCGCATGCTCCTATCTACCTAGTACAGGGACCGGCCAGGGTTGCATGCAGCTCTAAAAAGGCCAACGTAGAAGTCTTTCGCCCTGTCCTCCCTTTCGCAGGCTGTCCTCCGACTACAGCATGCTGTGCAGCACTCCTGTCAGGGTTAGAGTGTAGGGCGCATCATCGCAACTCCTACCTTCCGTCGTCACAGTGATTGCCCGCGTGGCTTGTTTTGTGCGACCTCGGGCCGCGGTGGCTCGTCTGAAGGTGCGTCCCGTGAACGCCATTGTCGGAGGGGCTGCGGCAGGGACGCAGCTGGCGCCTACAGCCGGGGTGGCGTCGGTGAGGTTGAAGGCCGCGCCCTTCACCGCACCTGTGACGGGCGCCGCACTGGCTTGTACGGCGCCCAGGAAGATGGGAGAACCTGCAACGTCAGCGGAAAACGCTGTCAACAGCAGTCCTAACAAGGGTAATGGGACAAATGGAGCAACGAAATGCCATTGCAAACGGCCTGACACTCAATGAGTTTCAGCTTAACAAGGGCGCTGCTGCATGAGACGGCTTGTGCTCAGGGTGTGGCGTCAATGAGCAGTTTCATCTTTTGCAGGACCTCCTCTAGACGCATGTGCCGTGGGACAGCGGTATTCGTCCGCATGTCAAACTCACCATTGACCGAGTAGACGACTTCATTCTGCATGGGCGCACGCGCCGGCGGATTCACCGGTGCTAGCGCCTGGCGGGCTGGCGGTGGCTGCGGCGGCGGCATCAGGCCTACCGCTGCTACTGCTTGGGCAGAGCTGCAGGGACCCGCGGCTGCACTTGGACCCGCTGCCGCAGCGTCAGCCTCTTGTCCATGCTGCTGCTGGTCGCTCTGCGCTGCCTGAGGTTCGCGTTCCACTGCTGCTGCTGATGCTGCATTGCTGGCGACGACTGCAAGCACTTGGGCAGCAGCCTGCGGTACAGCGTTGGGCTCCTGCTGCAACAGCTCCAGCCGCCCGATTATATCGCCAAGGAAGGTAGCGTTTGCCTCCTCAGGGCTTAACCGGAAGAAGCCTGCTGCAGACATCTGGCGGACCTGTGCGTACAAGGCAGGAATAGCAGGTAAATGCTTCATGTCGCAATCCTCGAGCTTGTCGGAGGTCCTTACTACGCACCTGCTTTGGAATTTTGAGGAGGGCAACTTCGCCGTCCGTACGCAGGTGTTGCACCTCCTGACGTGCAAAAGCGATTTGGCTGTTCGCCTTGGCCTTAACTGCAATGATGTGTCATCATAATTACGCCGTAGTGCTAGGTGTAGTGGAAAAACTCGTTGTTGGAAGTGCTGAACCAGCAACATGCGCTTGCGTGAGGGCAAGGCGAAGTTCGCGCACGTAGCTTTGCGCACCTTGCTCCTTGCATTCTTCTATTAGCTTTTCTATCTGGCTTTCTGAGGTACTGCGCTCGTCGCCTTTTTGGTTGCTCGGCGCTTCTGCCTCTTCAGCAATTGCTGCGAGGGCCTGCTGAGCTTTCCGCTTCCGCGGCATCGTCGCCAGGGAACCTCGATGATATTATGCAGCTACTTCAACGAGACAACTGGCTGTGAAACGCAAACCTACTGGGTACACAGCAAACAACAGCTTCCGTTCGTAACAAGTTTAAGTAGCACCAAAAGTATACAGATAATTATATGTTGTGCAGTTACGTATGCATTTAATGAAAGACGGCAAGGTAGAGCTCAATAGCTTTCAGCATGGCTGAACTGTGTTGTACGGATGGATCCACAATTCTCCCTGAATTAAGCGCGTGGGCTCCTCCTGCACCGTGCATATGGCCATACGCGAAAGCTTCGTGTCTTAGCATCCATGTTGTTGCTGACTGCTTTTCTTCTACCCGCGGCAAGACGGCTTGGTTACAGGGCTTGGTACCAGTTGGCTATCCGCACCTTAAGCGTGCAATTAGATGCCTAACATGGACCGCTATTTTCAGCAATAAACGTGAAATTTTCCATCGGTATCTTTGGAATGGGTAGCATTCACTTATACTAGGCAAGAACGCCCGGACCTGGCACATCTCGCCAAACTCTGACACCACGCACCAAATCCTATCAGGTCTTAGCTTTGCTTCGTTGTCCTCTACCAGTCTGAACTAACCATGCAATACTTCCATCAATCGTCCGTCCCCTGCCGCCACCTACCTGGCCCATATCATACCTTCGTGCAACGTAGCCAGTTAGGTCGTTCATGTAGGCCAATGCTATGTCGTAAACCTCTGTCAACGCTCCCGAAAGGACTTCGGCCTCAAGCTGGCCGCACAAGGCCCACAGAACACAATCCCCACAAGTGTCAACCTTCCATTCTCTGCAGCTCTCAATGCGGTACGTGCCACGCAGTACATGTCCGTACCTTCCTATAAGACCATTGCGCCAGCATGCAGTACAGGCTCGATCATGCAACTCTCAATCACTGCAAGCCATCATCCACACCGTCCCCCTAAAATGGAGGTGGGGCCCATCCTCAGTCTTCTCGAGTATCGCAACAAGTACAACCGGTCCGCGAGGGAATCGCACGTACTTGTATGATTTATAACAAAGAGAATGAGCTCTGATGTGCTCGCATAGCCTGTCGTAACCCTAGAAGGGAGACAGTTACCCAACTGCTATTGGCAGTTGCGGTGTCGACAAAATAAAACGTCCTGAGCTACTAGGTGCGCTCAAACAGCCGGTCAAGATGCAACATACGGCCTTCGGGTATTCGATTGGCTGGTCATATGAAGTAAATGAAGCAATAACCGTACTGTGGTAACCAATAACAACAACAGCCGCACGGCTGAACCATTAACCTTAGGGCCATGGTTGGTTACAACAACATACGCACATGCTACCGAGCAGTCATGACACCACAACCCAGCAAACATCCAGTATGACCGTTATAGCACCTTTCTCCTACACAACATCCCATATTCTTCGGTACCACGCTCTTGCATTGTCCTTGGCCTGCCGTTCTTGTCGGAGCCCTGGAAAGCACACCAAAGGCCACCGGGACACCCAACGCTGGCCACCCAACACCCTATTGCCGCCCCTCTCGCCTATACTAGAACACGAACGCCGCACATACGGAACAGTAACAGGCGAGGCGCTCTCATACGGGAAACCAACTTTGCAACCAAGCTCGGTTGGATATAGTTGAATGTAGTGTTCATCAAACCATGGGAACGCCGTGACGTACCAGGTCCAGCGGATTCCTGCACATCAGCACCCCTTCGCTCCCGCCCCGCAACCTCTGCAACCCTTGCAAGCGGGCCACACAGCGTGTGTCAGCACGACCAGCAACGAACGAGCTTCATTTCCCGTGTGTCGCAACAGGAAAAGCATATTATGAAGCCCTCATTACCGGACAGCTTCTTACGCCCAGGCTCACCTCCCGAGTCCCGGCGCAGGAACGTTCATACTCACGTCTGCTTCGCCATACTCACGAGCTCAAAGGAAGCTCTTCGACACATCACCCAGCCACAAGCCCAATGTTAAAAGTGTCACAGCATGCCTTGCAACGTGGCAACAAGTATTCCGGACAAAGCCGCCAGGGCGGCTAAGAAACCTGCACGCACCGCCTACAGATGTTGGCATAGGTAGCCCAGGATCGGTCCGTAAACATAAATAAAGATAAATAAAGGTATCGACTGCAGCAGCAGCAACGGGGACAAAACCACATCTTCCATGTCAAGATGTTAACTGGGTTCCTGGTTGCGTAGCTGCTGCACAACCCATAGGCAAACTACCGGTATGAAAGTCACGCAGTGAACAAAAGCCAACCCCAGAGCTGCCTCAGCTGCTGCCCCACCTTCTGCCCCAGCTTCTGTCCCAGCCGCTCAGAAGGGCAATGCACGCTCTCCTCAACGCCGACCACCTGGCCATCAGGCCTGCAGGCTAGTGCTGAAGGTGAAGCCCCGGGAGATCAGCCCCGCCGCTGTGCAGCTCCTCCACTCCGCCCACGACACCCTGCCCCCCAGGCAGCTCGGCACACGGCTTTGGGCCGCCCGCCACTGCTCCCGGGCCCGCCGTGAGGGATGTGAGCACAGCAAGGCTCTCCGCGCCCAAGCTGCAAGCGCCTGCGCTGCCACGGCCGCTATCGTCCTCGGCTGTCGCACAGCTGCAGGGGCTGCCGCCGCCATTGGCGATGCCGCGGGCAATCGGTGAGGACGCTGAGGGAATGTCGTACACTTTGACAACGTCTTGAGAGACGCCTGCGTATGCCAGTAATGGAGACTTCTCCTGCGCCGCCATCACCGCTGCTGATACCTCAAAAGCCGGTGCCGGTGCCGGCGGCAGCAGGGCGTCATGAGAACGATCTCGCAGCTGATCCATCTGCATGGCCTCTGCTGCCGTCTTTGCATCTTCTGTAACCCCAAGGAAGCTGCCGTCACCACCGCCGCCGCAAGCCTCAATTTCATTCCGCTCCGCATCCACCCGGTCACCCCTATCGCTGTGCACGCTGGCATCTCTTCCTCCTCGTACGCTGCCATCGCTCCCGCCTGCTCCCTCCGCACCATCATCACTCGGCTGCTTGCTCAGTCGCGATTTGGCATGCACGTACTGCCGGTGCCCCGGTGTGGGGGGGCTGCCGTTAGCCAAGCTTTCACTCGAGCCCACCTTGTGCAGCCCCCCTGTCACGGCTCCCCGACAGCTGACGTCTGGGCTGGGCAGCGCCGAGGTGCCCATGTGGCGGAAGCGCTCCTCGCTGATGCGGTACAGCTCCACACGAGCAGACAGCCAGTCGCTAGTCAGGCTAAACGGCTGGCCATCGGGGCCGAGGCCCGCGGCAGCCGCCTCCGCTGCGGCAGCGGCGGCGGCCTTCACCGCCGCTAGCTTGGCGGCAATTGCCGCGTCCACGGCACTGAGGCCATGCGCTGTTTCAGACTTTCCGACGGTGTCGCCCGGACTGCTCAAGGTTCCGCCAGTGGCGGCTACGCCGCCAGCAGCTCCCGCCTCCGCTGTTCCTGCTGCCGCCGCCGCCGCAGCTGCCGCTGCCTCCCCATTCAACAAGTTCCTGCTGAGCCGACCCAGACTGCGTCGGGAGGTGCAGGCGCCCTCCGTCAGCGACGCCAGTCCCGCCTGGCGGCGGCGCTCCCTGTGCAACTCCACGGCCGCCAGGATCTTATCGCGCGTGGAGAGCAGCAGCTCGCGGTCCTGGTGCCGGGACACACCCGCGTCCTTGAGCAGCTGCAGATGTGGGCAGGAGCATGGGTAAGAAGGTTGGGGTGGGCGGGGGCGAGGGCCGGGATTTGCGTAATAGTAATGGAATTGTCCGTGTGTGGTATCTCTCGGGAGACGAGACGACTGGATGAAAGTCAGTAGCACACACGTCGGGCAGGCCTATCCCAACTGCTTGCTCTTGTTTCCTCTCAACTACACACGTTGGGCAGACTCTGGTGAAAACCTCAAGATAGCGAAAGGCTGGGTAAGAGCCACCTCACAGAGTCGCGTTTCAGGGTCGCCAAGTCTATACAAAAATGCTAAGTTAGCGCTGCAAAAGCGAAAACAACAAGGCACAAGGAAAGCAACAATAACATGCGGTTGAAGGAATGGTGCAAGGTAATTTCCCCGAGCAAGTAGATATAAAGAAAGCGCACATGAATAGCCTGAGAAGGTGTACGAAAAGCGAAGGTTTTAGCTTATGGCTAGGAGGTCACTGGTACATGGACGAAACGCGGGCAGAAGTGTAGGTATTCAAGGTAGCTACATGGAAAACTTTGAAGCAACTCCTGTACTACGTCTCACCTCGTGTGTCCATCCCTGCACGATGGGCCCTGGGCCCCGCCGCAAGAGATGAATGCCTTCACCTTGAAGCCGGCTTGGCAAAGCGTCAACGTAGTAGTCGCATATGGTCTGCGATAACAACATAGCAAATTACTATGCTAGCTAGCACGAAAGCAACACGGGCAAGGTGCCGAGGGATGCTCAGCGCGCCGTCAACCTTCATCGTTCTAAAAATATGGCACTTACCGTCTCGCTACATTGCAAGGGAAACCTGTCCGGAGCCGCCTTCTTATTTTCCTCCTTTCGGAATTTGCCAAGGCAGGAGCCCATTTTGTCCTAGTCAGCTATCCGCTTAAACGTCAAGTCCTCTGGCCGATTTCGCTGCAAACAGCAATTGTGGCATAGTCCTCTACTGCAGTTGCGGTTCTACGCACGGCGTCAGTGTATGTATTAAGAACTTGCCGAGCCAAAACTAGATGTCAGTTGCAAACTTATCTTTAGCATGCTAAAGGTACTTTTATATTGTAAAGTTTAGTCGATGTGAAGGACGAAGGCTTGAGCTAGACGACGCCGTACAGATAATTAGAAGCATGACGGCCTCCTCATGGATGAAACCTGCAAATCGGGAGGCAATGGAACCATTTTCACTAGAACTCGTAGCGTGTCTGCCGGGTCACCATGACCGCGTCTGGTCCATCGCATGGTCGCCACGAGGTGCGAGCGTTGTGCTGCACGAAAAAATACTGTTCTGAGCAAAGTAATTTAGTGGTAATAGCGCTTGCACGTGATCACACTTAAAACACTAGCTAGCTTTACCCGCGCAATTCTGCAGGCGGGCGTTCAGCCCACTCGCCAGCCTTCTTACCCCACACCGTACCACAGCTTTTTTACACCCCTTCCCCCCGTCCCTCCGCTCCTATACACCCGCTTCCCCCACCCTCCAGGCGACATGCTGGCCAGCTGCAGTGCCGACAAGACGGTGCGTATCTGGACACGCAGACCCAACACCGCTGCCGCTGCAGACCCAACCGCTGGCGCTGTCACTGCTGCCGCCCCCATCGGCGCTGCCGCCACATGCCAGCAAACCAGCAGCTACTCCGCAACCGACCACCTCGGCGGTGGCACCGGGCCTAGCAGCGCCGCCGCCCCCCAGCAGCAGCAGTGGTACTGCAGTGCCATTCTGGACCAGTGCCACACCCGCACCATCCGCAGCGTGGCCTGGTGTCCCACGGGTCGGTCGCTGGCCACCGCCTCCTTCGACGCCACCGTGGCGGTGTGGGAGCTGTCGGGGGGCGTGTGGGAGCAGGTGGGCGTGAGGGGCCCGAGGGGTGGGGGGCCCGAGGGGTGACGAGGGGGCTTCACCAGGGTTTGCTACATGTACCCAGCCCATCCCGCCCCACCCGAATCAGTTAACCCAACAAAGGGATTTACCGGAAAGATGAGACTTACCGGGGGCGGGTGTGTGGGGGTGGGGGGTGGTGGCTAGGAGGGAGGAACCCACATGCCCGAAGCCCAGGGGCATCCCCTCCCTGCCCCTGCCCCTCCCCATTAGTCCGTCACCCCACTACTATACGGGCAGCCGAGGTGCACTCCTCCCTCCCTCCACCTCCTGGCGGCCCCAAGACAGCTCCATCCCACTCCCATGCGGACTACCCAACCCCTCCTTACCCCCGCGCTCCCCTCCTTTCCTCCACCCCTCTCCCCTCCCTCCCATGGTTTGGTCCAACTGGGCCTCTCCCCCTCGCCCCTTGCATTGAGAGTTCTTTTTTCCCCTCCTCCCCCCCAACTCCTACCCTCATTGCTTTGCCCAAACTTGTGGTCTACTATGGTTTGGTATGGTCTTTGGACCCCCCCCCTTTACCCAGGTGGCCGAGCTGGAGGGCCATGAGAACGAGGTCAAGTGTGTGGCCTGGAACCCCGACGGTCGCCTCATCGCCACATGCGGCAGGGACAGGTGGGGCGCCCTCCCTGCTCTCCCCCTCCCGCGCGGCCCACTTAAACTGCCTGCCGCTTGCAGCAGCTGCACGCATGGAGGACATACTTAACCCCCCTTTTCGCTTCCTTTCTCTTTTGCTTTGCTTGCCGGTAACCCCACCTTTTCCTGTTCCTCCCACCCTCCGCCCCCCCTCCGCCCCCCCTCCCCCCCCCCTCCCCGGCCAGGTCTGTGTGGATCTGGGAGTCCATGCCGGGTCGGGAGTTCGAGTGCGTGGACGTAAAGCAGGTGTGGGCGGAGTGAAGGGTGGGGTGTGTATTTTGGGGGGGAGGGGTTTGTGGAGTGTGTGGGGGGGGGGTCTAGAGAGAGACCAAACCCATTGAAACATCAAGTAAGGGCGCAGCAGGGGGGCAGAGGGGGGGCGATCACCGGCACATTGCAGCACCGGTACACGTGCCGCCGCATGCCCTCCCCTCGCTGCCCCCAACAACCACCCGCCGCTGCGAGCGGTCCTACCACCCCCTGCCTCGCACCCCCACAGCTGGGTCGACCTGCCGTTGCGGACAGCGCCACAGCAGTACTGCCCTCCGTCTCCACCACACCTCGCCCGCCACCACCTCCTCACACCGTCCACCCCTCCTCCTGACCTCCTCCCCTCCCTCTCCCTCGCCCCATGGCGAACCCCATGGTGAAGCATCGCCATGCAGTTCGTCAGTATCCCTGGCTTCCCCCCCTCTCGCCCCCTCCTCCCCGGCCCCTCAGGGTCACAGCCAGGACGTCAAGGTGGTTCGCTGGCACCCGGGCGGTGAGCTGCTGGCCAGTGCGGGCTACGACGACACCATCCGGCTGTGGACCTACGACGGGGACGAGTGGGGATGCTGCCAGACGCTGGGGGGTAGGCAGGCAGGGGGGAAGTGGGGGGGGGCATAGGAGGGCCGTTCCGTTCCTGGCAAAACCAAACACCTCGTAACCTCCCTGCCTCCGTCTTCTCAGCAGCCTTTCCTACTCCTCCATCTCCTTCCCCCCCTTCTCCCTTCCCTTGGTTACCCAGCCTTTATCCTTCTTTCCCTCTTCCCAACGCCCCGCCCGCCCGCCCGCCCACCCACCCACCCCCCCAGGCTCCGGTCACGGTCCCGGCCACAGCTCCACCGTGTGGGAGGTGTGCTGGGAGCCGGGGGCGGGGCGGCGCCTGGCCTCATGCAGCGACGACCTCACCGTGCGCATCTGGGAGAGCAGGGGCAGGGGGGCTGCTGCGCCTGCTGGTGGCTGCGGCAGTGCAGCAGGGCCAGCGGGGGCAGGCGGAACAGGAGCAGGGGCAGCAGCAGGGGCAGGCGGTGGGCTCAGCCCTAGCCGTCCCGACCTGCGCTGCGCCGCGGTGCTGTCCGGCTACCACTGCCGTACCGTGTTTTCGGTGGACTGGGGGCCGCATGGGGTGATTGCCACGGGTAGGCAGGCGGGCGGGCGGGCGGCTGGCGGGCCGGGGGCGGAGAATGGGGGGTGAGGGAGGTGAGGAGGGAGGCAGCAGCCAGCAGCCAGCAGCAGCAGCGGCGGCAGCGGCAGGGCTTCACCGCAGTAGCAGTGGGGTTGCTGCTACACTCCTGCTGCTGCTGCTGCTGCTGCTACCTAAGCTACCTAAAGCAGATGGGCTTCACGCTGATGCTGGGGCCCCCCCTCTTACACTCCACACCTCTCCTACCGCACCCCCTGGTTGGCGCCGCCTGTGTCCCATGTATGATGCCTCCGCGCACCCCTTGTCCCCACCACAAACCTCCACAGCCCATGCGTTTCGTCCTCTACACCAACGAACCTCCCTCTCCCTCCCCATCCCTTCCCCTGGGTCCACCCCCTCCCCCTCCACAGGCGACGGCGACGACAGCATCATGTTGTTTGGTCAGGGGGACCCCGACCTGGCCCGGCTGCTGGTGCTGCGGGAGGGGGGCGAGGCAGGTGCGGGAGGGGAGGAGGAGGCAGGCATGCAGGGACTGCAGCAGCTGGGGCACCAGGGGGGAGAGGAAGGGCATGCGGAAACCCGGGTTGGCGGCTCGCCTGGGGGGTCGCCTGAGGGCTGCCAGGGGGCCGGAGCCGTGTCAGCACAGGAGCAGGAGCAGGGGGATGCCAGCATGGATGATGGAGGGGAGGCAGGCAGCAGCGGTGCTTCCGGTGGTGGTGGTGAGGATGCGGGGGGCTGCGGGGGGGCTGGCGGCAGCGGGGCGGGTGAGGGCGGCTGCTGCGGGGGAGGGGGAGGAGCGGGAGGCGGGGGCGGTGCAGGAGGCGGGGGCTCCTGGTCGCTGTGGGGGGCGGTGCGGGCCGCGCATGAGGCGGATGTGAACTGCGTGCGTTGGAACCCGGTGCAGCCCCGACTGCTGGCGTCCTGCTCGGATGACGGCAGCATTCGGTTGTGGTGGCTGAGGTAGGTGGGGGGCCGGGCTGGCGGGGAATGGGGGGAGGAGTAAACTGGCGGTGATGGGCGGGTGCGAGGGGAGCGGTGCAAGCATTGGGCTTTCCATCCTCAGCAGGAGGGCAGCCTTTGGGCAACGAACGAGGCCGCAGCGCGTACCAACGTTCCTGGGACCTCGGGGTGCGGCGGCATGCAGTCGTGCATGTGAGGGCTTTTGGTTGCGGCGCCGCTGCGGGAATGTGGTGGTGGCGGTGGTGGTGGGGCTGTCCTTGCCGGCAAGGGTTGTGTTGCAGCTATGGCGGGAGCTGCAGAGCGGAGGCTGCGAGGGATGCAAGTGGGTTTTTGTGATGACATGCCTACAGATGAAGGTGGTCGCAGCTTGTTGCTTGGACTGTGGGCTTTCATTGTGTGTAGTTGGAGGGGTGGTGGAGGTTCTGGAATGGGCCGGACTGGGGCCCAGCGCTGGTGTTTTAGTTTACGAAGAGCACCGGGTAGGCTTTTGCTGCGCTATTGCAGTGCTGTGTGTGTTATGTTGCTGTTGTATTTTGTTGCAATCAGCAGCATGCGTGCAGATGTTGAGAGGGGGGGCTGCTGTTCCTCCAGTGCTCAGGGGCCCTCTTGCACCATTGTGCGATACTGGTAATTGACAGCGCCGTAGAAAGCACCAGCATTGTAATTATCACAGCAAAGGGTGCGCACCGTTGAAATTGACGCTAAAGCACGGTGATGGGTTGTGGTGTTACATGCGGAGGGCCTTATGTTGCCGAAACATTGTTCATGAAGGCCTAAACGAGCCGGAGACACGTAGAGCTGCTATGAAGGTCTGCAAAGGAGAAAGCACTCAAGCCTGTTTCAGTGGGCTCAACAGCACAAATCAATAACGCATAATGATGCAAACGCTGCTTCCGGATTACCTGCGCATCTGGCCACATCAGCAAGCCTTCGTAGCGCCTTCAGTACAATAAGATATTTGTATCATGCCACCTGCCTAGGTACCCCTGTGTTCACCCTGCATGGGCGTGTTCGTCCACTGTACGACACCCCAGCTACGCCTCGACAACCGACTCTCCAGGACAATCACAGCGATGCCTGCATCTCCAGGACAATTCGCTGGCACCAGCTTCCCATTACCTCCTCCATAGCCCACGCGCTGCATGCGCTTATAACGCAACTACATGCTTTATCAGGCAACCACCCCAGAAACACCGCAAGCTGAAAGGTTATATATATGAGGGGCAGGACCCCGGAATTACCGCAAGCTAAAAGTTATAAGGGGCAGGTCCATAAAGGGACTTTTGCTACTGCTTGCCACCTGGATGCTAGGTAAGCAGCTCCATCCTGCGTTTCCAAATCCGTCCTGCACTCCATACTAATATAGCACTCTTAAGGGCTGGGCAGACGGTCAAGTGGGTCAATATGTACCGCGTAAGCATATGTGTGACAACCAGCATCCTGACAATGGTATACAACAGCCAGCCCCTGCTGCACACAACTGCTCGTCCAAGGTCCAACCCTCGAAAAGAACGTGCTAACCGGTAGAATCGTTATGCATTAGGTACTAGCTGCACGTGCTCATGAGAATGGTGGTGTACGGATGTCATACATGTCGAGCGTTCAATCTGCGGTTCATTGGAACCGGTGCACATGCGCGAACCTAAGTGCTGCACCCCCATGTGATGCAACCCCATGCGATGTACCCCATGTGACGTACCCCAACCCCATCACGACGACACCCTGACAGCACCCCTCTACCCACCCAGGCGTCTGCGCCCGTCCCAAGCTGCCTTCTCCGCATGCTCTCAGCCCCCCCCATGCATCGCCAGCCCCATCAACAGCCCCACCCTTCCGCCGCCGGTCTCGCCCCCAGAGGCGCGGGCGACACCGGCATGTCCAGTGCCACATGGTGTCCTGACAGCGCCGCGCCACTCATCACAACGGCTACATCTTGTACCGCTGAAGCAACCGCCGTCGGCGTCGTCGTCGCCGCCGCCGCCAGGGCCGCCGCATCGACGACGGAGCCGTCCGGCAGCGCGCTCTCCACGACGGCGGCGGCGGCGGCGTCATACGTTGCGCTGCCTGCTGCGATGTCGGCGCCGCCGGTGCTACCTGCGCCTCCGCTGCTGCTGCCGCTGCTCGGGGAGGCCTCGCTCTCAGCCATCAGCTGCTGCATGAAGCCCGGGTGCGGGGCGAAGCTCTGCGGGGAAGCGGAGAGGAGGGAGTAAAGGCGCGGCGGCAGGGCGTGCACACATGCGGTCATAAGGTTGTCGGTACATGCGCCTGCGACTACTAAGGCGTTCTTTTTAGCGGTCGCATCACCGAATGTCCCGTGCCAAAACCAGACACTCCGAGAACCCTTCTAGGCCCCAGCCCTGCCAGGCTCCCAACCCAGGCGCCGCATCCCACCCAGTCCATCCATCGCACGTTCGCACCGCTTACCCTGCGCCTGTACACCAGCACCGGGAACGCCCCTACCTCGGTTTGGAACGCCCAAGTGCCACCCTAGGCACCCACCGCCCACACCCCGCCACCCGTCCCTACCTTCTGCCTGTACATCAGCACCGCTCCCACCGCCGCCAGCCCTGCCAGCGCCGCTCCGCCCACACTCGCAACCACGATACCGCCCACAACCGCTGCGCTAATGCGCCGACCGCCGCTGCCGTCGCCTGCTGCATCGCTGCTTATACCGGCGTTGCCGTCTCCGACGCTAGCAGAGATATATGTATCACCACTGCCGGTGCTGCCGGCGCCGTCCTTGCCGCTACCGCCCTTGGAATCGGACGTTTGGCTGTTGCTGCCGGTGCCGCTGTCGCCGTTTGTGGTGCCGCTGCCGCTGTTGCTACCGCTGCCGCTGTCACCGTTTGTAGTGCCGCTACCGCTGTTGCTGCCGCTGCCGCTGTCACCGTTTGTAGTGCCGCTGCCGCTGTTGCTACCGCTGCCGCTGTCACCGTTCGTAGTGCCACTTCCGCTGTTGCTACCGCTGCCGCTGTCACCGTTTGTAGTGCCGCTGCCGCCGTTGCTACCGCTGCCGCTGTCACCGTTTGTAGTGCCGCTGTCGCTGTTGCTGCCGGTGCCGCTGTCGCCGTTAGTAGTGCCACTGCCGCTGTTGCTGCCGGTGCCGCTGTCGCCGTTTGTGGTGCCGCTGCCGCTGTTGCTACCGCTGCCGCTGTCACCGTTTGTAGTGCCGCTACCGCTGTTGCTGCCGCTGCCGCTGTCACCGTTTGTAGTGCCGCTGCCGCTGTTGCTACCGCTGCCGCTGTCACCGTTCGTAGTGCCACTTCCGCTGTTGCTACCGCTGCCGCTGTCACCGTTTGTAGTGCCGCTGCCGCTGTTGCTACCGCTACCGCTGTCACCGTTTGTAGTGCCGCTGCCGCCGTTGCCACCGCTGCCGCTGTCACCGTTTGTAGTGCCACTGCCGCTGTTGCTGCCGCCATTATTGCCCGATGGATTGTCGCCGCCATTGCTGCCACCGCCATTGCCCGATGGGTTGCCGCCACTGCTGTTGCCGCCATTGCCTTGTGGTTCGCCAGAGGTGTCATCGGGCTTGTGATGGTGGTCGTCGTCGTGGTGAGTCGGAGGTGGAGGTGGGGGTGGTGGGGGCGGCGGGGGCGGCGGCGGGGGCGGGGGCGAGAACCGGTCGCGGTGATTCCGTGGGCGCTGGTGGTCTCCTCCCTTGGTGCCAAAGCCTAGCCAGTAGGGGTCGTCAAGGTGGCGGTCTTGAGGCTCGTGAGCGGGGTCCGCATGGCGTGCGTCGCCGTCAGAGCCGCCATCCGCAAACTCCAGAGCCATCCTTGACTCGGGATGGCTGGAGGTCTCGGGCACCTTGTTCGAGTCTGATGGGATAGGTCAGTGCATGGAAGCAGCACGTGCACGGGGGCGGCGAGGTTGAAGATGCGAGCTGCAGGATGGCGTGCGTGGTGGCATGCATGGTGGCCCGGCGCAAAGCAACATGCGTATGCCACAGCGCAATCACAAAGGCCGGCCTGAGGGGCTTGCACATGCCAACCCCACGCGTTGCAGTCGGCAAACGCCACGATGATCCCGCCGATGACGCTCCTAGACGTCGCCACAACGTATTCCCGTTACTGCCCTCCCTACCTATCCTGCACACGAAGGGACGCCGCTCCGAGCACGGAGCCCACCACAGGGCAGGCGCCCAGCCGTGCCGCGGTCCCCTCTTGCCGCCGCCCTTGTCTAACCGGTCGACACCCTCGCCGCCGCCTGTCCCGCTGGCGGCACCGTAGGCGCGCTCCTTGCTCCTGCCCAGCACTGCGCAGCTGGCGCCCTCATGCACTGCCGTCAAGGAGGCGGCGGCGGTGGCCAGCGGATCTGACACCTCCTCGAAGGGCAGCACCCAGCACTCAGTACCTGCACGCATGACACAATGACAACAGCAGTCGCAGAGGGGAGTGGCAGGATGGGTGCTCGGGAGGTACAGCAGTTGTGTGTACTCAGCAGCAGCTGCAGCGGTGGGGGGTGAAATAAAGTAGGGAAAGAGGAGCAAAGCAACAAGGGGCGGGCGCCAGAACAAGCGATGTGTACGGTACCCACGGACACAGCCCACCCCATGCATCCGCCACCCTCACCTCCTTTGTAACCTGGAACCCTGCAGCGACCCACCGACCCACACCCCTCCCACCCCACCAATACCCCACCTACCTTCACACAGTTTAGCAACCTGCGCTGCCTCCCGCGAGTCGATCAGTCCCGCCAGCGACCCGGCATGCGACTGGCACCTCAGCTGGGCGGCAGCGTAGGACTGTGAGGAGGGTTTGGGGAGGGAGCAGGGAGGCGAGGGCGGAGGGGAGCCGAAGGCACGTGTGGCTGGTGGGGCAATGGAAAGCCCACAACCGGGTGAATGAAAGACCGTTACAGCGATCCCAAACCGGAAGGCAAGGGAAAAAGCGGACGAGGTGGTGGCAAAGGTTAGGAAGAGTGGATGAGAAAGGGATTTTGTGAATCGAAGCGGTGGAAGTGGCCACCTGAACGACGACGCTATTTCAGTCTGGGCAACGTTTCGGCACCGGGAGATTGCTGCTTGAGGCATGACAGGGCAAGGCACTGTGCGGCGTCGTCAGCGGCAGGTGAGGTGATGGCGCAAGTTTGCCTGCACAGTCCAAGATTTGTGCATTTGAGGCAAGTCGGGGAGGGGTGGAGAGCTGCTGGAGCGCTGCAAGGCACGCAGGCGTTTGCATTCACATGGGCAGGGCACGTGTCGCCGACGCGCAGCGGTGCAGCGAGCGAACGGCATGCATCGTGACAACAATTGCGATATACCGGGAGTGACACGGCGGCACGGTGCCAGACCGCGTCACGTAATGCATCTGGGGTGGTTTAACCCGTGGACCAGGACGTGCAAGGGAACTGCGCTTTGCTAGCTTCGGTATCGTGCTGTTCCTACCATGCCACTGCTCCGCACCTCGCTGGCTTGGAAAAGGAAGTAGCTGGGTGCAGTTGCCGTAGGCCCATGGGCGCCGGCATCGACTGTGGCGAAGTAAGTCAAGGAGCAGAGCGCCAACAATGTGACAAATGCTCTTGGCGAGAGGCCAGCACCGCGGATCTTGGCCCAGGCGGTGCCAGCTGCGCCCAGCATCGGACTAATCCTATAGTTGCTGCAGTGCGTCTGGAAGCGCGTCTGGAAGGTATCTGTTAATCCTTGACTTTGACTGTGCAAGCAGTGGTTGGGATTAAAACCTACCAGCTGCCCGAGTGTTCAGTAACAGCAGTGCGGAGACTGTGCGCGGAATCGGAATTTAAATACAGGTGATTTCTCAATAGGAAAGTGCGCATCGACGACGATTTCGAGGTTTCGGCCATATCGGTACTTTTAACTAGGCCTAGTAAAACCAAGCCCAGAACAAGACATTCGGAATTCTAGCGTTTCAAATGTGCGCGGCACTGTTTCACGAAGCGCCCCCTCCGTGTTTAGCCTCCGTGTTTAGCCCTCCGTGTCTGCAGGCTTTAGTCAGCCTTTGCACCGAAACCACAAATTCATAAACATTGGAAAAGCCAGCTTGCCAAGAATCAGTATCTTTCCAGCAACAGATTTGTTTGAGGTGGCGACAAAGCCGTGCTGAAGGCGAGCTGTAGTAATGGCCTTCCATTCGACGCTGCAGCAAGTCTACTGCAATGCGCGGATCGTATGGTTAAAAGTCATGCCTATCCGGGTTTAATATCGGCGCCTGCATCTGACTCCCTTTAATACTCGCATACTGCAAGGCCAGTCTGAAAACGTGCGCATCGCAAGTGTATGCAAACAGGAAGCCCGTGCGCCAACGCAATCTGTGTGCCAAGTAATTATGCGGGTCTTACTGGTATGTTCAGATTGTGGTGTGGGCCAGGGCCGGCCAGGTAGATCCTTCCAGGCGTGATGTCGTGCATTGATCAGTCTCTTCAAGTAAGCATTGAATTACCAAAGCCGCCTGGCATAGACCGTGACTTGCAAATGCCCCGTTCGTACGACAACATGACAGCTCTTCCGATGCGACCCCTAACACCGGCATGGGCATTGGTATGATGGCTGGCCCCTTTCCAGAGGCCGACGCGCCCCTTGCTGTTGCTGCTGCGCACCGGTGTCCCTCCGCCGACAGCAGCCACAACAGACGCGACGGCAGAGGCAACGTAAGCAGCAATCGTTTCAGCATCGAAGACCATGGCGGTGCCAGCATGCCGGGAGAGGTGAGGCAGGGTGGCTGTGCACGGCGATACACAACAGCATGAACCGCCCGCAATGTTACAATTGCGTCTCCCTCCCCTCAACCGAGGTTGTGTGCTCCACGCCAACCAGGTGATACCGTCTGCTGGTACCAAACCTGTACCAAACCTAACATCCGAGCAATCTCAGCAGAAGCTCCCCACCACCCATGTGACTATGCATGTACATCTATTTGTTCGCACTGTACATCCTGCTAAACGCAAAATGCCCAATACTCGCAGCCACCGCAGGTGCCCGGGTGTCTCACACCACCTCCTCGACTCGTTACGCCACGTGACACGGCGACACCTTGACACGTGACAAACACCCCACCCTGCGAGCCTCTAAAAGAGCCAGACAGCGGAGACAGCCTTATCGCTAGCGTACTTATTTCCAACCCGTAGGGTGTAACAGGGCCATTGCATCCTGCATGACCCACCGGCCCCCAGCAACATTCCGCTGGCGTCGTCATCCCTGCAGCAGGCACGGAAGCCTCCAAGGACCAATACACAAAAATTGCAATCTCGCACCAAAGCCATACACAAACCACCATCCTACGTGCTTAGGCACCTAATGCTGCTTAATAAGAATTCTATAATGGACTGACATGAATGCTCTATCCAATCATATACACAAATATTCGATGAATGCCTTGTTCATACCAACTGCCAAGCTAGACCACCGAACTAACACTGGTCGGCAGCCAATGGCTGGTCATTGGAATTGACGACGCCCCCTTCGCTGCTGCCTCCGCCTGCACTGCTTGGGTCAACACCATCCTCATCCAGTAGCTCGTAGCTGGTGCTCGGGGTGATGTCCTGAAGGGAACGAATGGGGGGGTGCAAGTTTATTGGGAGGGCTTGAGGATGCATGCATCGAAGATGCACGCGGGAGGAGCTGAGGTGCCATGCACGCATGCAAGCAGCTAGGAGCTTTCCGCGGCCCATGTGGTAGGGCTTCACTGGAGCCGCTTGGTTGTGCATCTATCGATACGTCAAGGCGGGCGATACCGGTACCCCTCCGGGAACGCCCCTACCTCGGTTTGGAACGCCCAAGTGCCACCCTAGGCACCCACCGCCCACACCCCGCCACCCGTCCCTACCTTCTGCCTGTACACCAGCACCGCTCCCACCGCCGCCAGCCCTGCCAGCGCCGCTCCGCCCACACTCGCAACCACGATACCGCCCACAACCGCTGCGCTAAGGTGCCGCTTGCCGCTGCTGTCGCTGGGATTGTCGCTGCCGCCGCTGGCAGGACTGGGGCTAGGGTCTCCGCTGCCGCCGTTCTCGCCCTTGGAGCTGGGTGACGGGCTGCTGCTGCCGCCTAAAGGTGGGAATGGCGACGGAGAGGGCGGGCTGGGGGAAGGCGCTGGTCCGAAGCTGGGCGGGTAGGAAGGCACCGGGGAGGGCGGGTAGGAAGGCACTGGGGAGAACGGGTAGGAAGGCACCGGGGAGGGCGGGTAGGAAGGCACCGAAGAGGGCGGGTAGGAAGGCACCGAAGAGGGCGGGTAGGAGGGTGCGGAGCTGGGCGGATAGGAGGGCATTGGAGAGGGCGGGTAGAAGGGTGTGGAGCTGGGCGGATAGGAGGGCACTGGAGAGGGCGGGTAGGAGGGTGGGGAGCTGGGAGGGTAGGATGGCACCGGGGAGGGCGGGTAGGAGGGTGCAGGGCTGGGAGGTGGTGGAGGGCTGGGTGGTGGTGGATGGCTCGCTGCTGTGAGGTAGATAGGCGGCACAGGGCTGCTGGGAGGAGAGGGAGGGTTGGGCGAAGGAGAGACTTCATGCACTGTCGGCACGGGGCTGGGAGGGTAGGATGGCACCGGGGAGGGCGGGTAGGAGGGTGCAGGGCTGGGAGGAGGTGGTGGAGGGCTGGGTGGTGGTGGATGGCTTGCTGCTGTGAGGTAGATAGGCGGCACAGGGCTGCTGGGAGGAGAGGGAGGGTTGGGCGAAGGAGAGACTTCATGCACTGTCGGCACGGGGCTGGGAGGGTAGGATGGCACCGGGAAGGGCGGGTAGGAGGGTGCAGGGCTGGGAGGAGGTGGTGGAGGGCTGGGTGGTGGTGGATGGCTTGCTGCTGTGAGGTAGATAGGCGGCACATGGCTGCTGGGAGGAGAGGGAGGGTTGGGCGAAGGAGAGACTTCATGCACTGTCGGCACGGGGCTGGGAGGGTAGGATGGCACCGGGGAGGGCGGGTAGGAGGGTGCAGGGCTGGGAGGAGGTGGTGGAGGGCTGGGTGGTGGTGGATGGCTTGCTGCTGTGAGGTAGATAGGCGGCACAGGGCTGCTGGGAGGAGAGGGAGGGTTGGGCGAAGGAGAGACTTCATGCACTGTCGGCACGGGGCTGGGAGGGTAGGATGGCACCGGGGAGGGCGGGTAGGAGGGTGCAGGGCTGGGCGGATAGGAAGGCACTGGGGAGGGCGGGTAGGAAAGTGTGGAGCTGGGCGGGTAGGATGGCACCGGGGAGGGCGGGTAGGAGGGATAGGGGCTGGGAGGAGGCAGTGGATGGCTTGCTGTGAGGTAGGTAGGCGGCGCAGGACTTGGAAAAGAGGGTGGGACAGGGTTTGGCGGCTGCGTGCTGGGTGATGATATCGTGTTAGGCTCCGCAGCCCCTACACTCAGCCAGCGCCGATCCCCCTGGTGCTTGTAGTACTGCGCATGTGAGCTCCGTTGAGCGCTGTCGGCCCTGGGCCCGTCTAGCGTGGAGGGCTGGAAAGGGAAAGCATTGGATAGGGCAAGTGAGAGGGGAAAGATTAGCAGCGAGGTCATGCATGCGTTGTCTTAATTCAGTGACACAGCGTTCCACTGATGAGCAGCTGCAAGGCATTCTTCGGGTCATGTACCTCTTGGCCTCGAAAGGACATGTAGCTGGGTCTCCTTGCGGTTGCCCGGTCCGCACCGGCGACATTCACAATGGAGCACGCGACGAGGGACCATAGAAGGAAAAATGCTTTTGATTGAAAGCCCGCGCCACGGGCCTTGGCGCAGACTGTAGTACCAGTATTTGCCATTAACATGGCACCATTAACATGACCGGTAAAACCGTTGTTGCTGCGCTGACGGTGCTTCTGCTTGGCTGGTATTGAGGTGTCTGTCTATAATTTCTCGTTCTATAGGGGATTATGCTCTGCTGCGGAGACAGAGGAGGTTGTTGGGTACTGATAGGCAAGTTTTTCGACGAACAGCAGTCCGCAGCTTGGATACATAATGGTAACAAGTTGTCTCTGCGAAAGGCTCCTTATTATATGCTTTATGTGATGCGATAGGCCGTGCAGTGTGTATGACACTAGGTGAAGACATGACACTAAGCGACACGACATGAAGACGTGACATTTGCCCTACGCCTGATGCCACCTATTTAACGTATACGAATGAAAACCTGCCGCACAAAGTAGTCATAGTGCATTGCCAGGAATCCTCTTAGCACCGAGGCTTAGCAGTTAGCACCGATTCCCACCCAATGAAACACAGAAAATGGTAGCAGTTGCGAGGTACCGGTAGAAGACGATAGGAAGTATAAATGATATATCACAGCTTTAGACGTTTGCTTGCCAGTTTTTTCCTAGTCTTCCAGAGTCGCAAACATAGATAGATGGTGCACCGAAACCACTTGCAATTATGAAATGCAAGGTATTCAACCAGCACAAACACACAAGGTCGTAGAGTTGTTGGTACTCAACTTTGGTCGAGCCACCTATGGATGAGTGCGAGCAGCTGCGTTATTGTTGGTAGCCGTAATACCGTAGTAGTAGGTCGAGCGTCGAGCATCGGCACAAACTTCAAACGTGCATGCTATTGTGCAACTTAGCAATATACGCTTCACGCCAGCATTCGGACAATGCGTGTCACATGTAAGCCCACGGTGAAATCCTGTACTTACGATAACGCTTATACGTGCCATGGCTTGCTGCCGCTGCTGTGCTTGTGGCGTTGGTCAGGGCCTCCGAGCGCCGGTCTGTGAGATGTTGCATGAAGTCGCTGAAACTGACTCATGCCGGTTGACCCCCCCACAGCCCTGATGTCGGCAGCGATGCGAAACCAAGCGTCTCCCACCGTTGCACGGCCGCATGACATTCAAGTAAACGCCATTTCCGGTAGCCGTGGCCCCGCCAATGGCGATCGGCTCGCCTGCATGCGAATCCGGTCCCGTGCTGTTGCCGCTGCACACCTGAAAGGGGCCGGCAGCGGCTCCCTATACGAGCGGCAGCGGCATGGGCTGCCATCGCCCCCACCGCAGCAGCTGACGGGAGACACGCGTGGTGCTATTGCGGGGGCTCACTGGGGTAGGGAGAACGAAAATCAGCAGGTGGGGGACACCCTTGGCACTACCAGCAGCAATGCCAGCAGCAGTAGCAGTAGCAGTAGCGCACTCCTCGCCTCTAGCTCCGCCTTTAGCCCCCCTCCGCCCGCCTCCGTCCCCGTCGCGACCTCCGCCTCCGCAAGCCAGCGACTGCAGCGACTGCTGGGCGAGACGATCCGGCGCAGCAGCAGCATCTGTAGCAGCAGTGGTGGAGCCGGCGGCGGGATGCGGCCAACTGAGACGGAGGCGGGGGAGCAGGTGGCAGCAGCGGCGCTAGCAGAGTGTACTACACAGGTTGCATTGGGGGCGGTGTCACAGGGCGGCCAGGACGGGGAGCTGAATAGGGACGAGGGCGGGGAGGAGGAGGGGGAGGGGGGCAGGCCTGCCAGAGGTGCTGATGGAAGGTCGGGGGCGGGGGCGGGCGGGGGATTTCTGTATGATTTCCGAGAGGAGGAGGGTCGCGAAGTGGGCGGTGGATGGCGTGCGGCGGGGATGGCAGCAGCAGAGGCGGGTTGGGAAGCGCCTTCCTACCAATTCTTGGAGTTGCCTGTTCAGCAGCGCCCGCCAGGAAAGCAGCACCCGCAGCAGCAGCAGCTGTGGCGGCTGCATGAGCTGCAGAAGCAGCCGCAGCCACAGCAAGGGGAGGAGGAGACCCAGCAGCTGCCCCCGCAGGCCCCACTGCACCCGAGCAGCGAGCAGGCAGCACTGCAGCAGCCGAAGAGGCGCCTGCAGCAGCCGCGGCCCCCCCAGGACGGCCAACAACGGCAGCACGAGCCATTGCGGCCCCAGCAACAGCCCTCACAGCAGAGGTCCCAGCAGCAACAACGCTCTCCAGCTGCTCCTAGGCAACCCAACCGCACCCCCCAGCTGCAGCAGCAAGGGGTGCAGCCCAGATCGGCTACGGGTACGGCGGCACCGCCAACCGCTGTCTACCCCTCGGCCTCTCCCTCCTCCCCGCGGCAGCGCTACGACTACCGGTTGCGGCTGCACCCGGGCAAGCCGGTTGCGACGCTGGCGGGGGTGCTAATAAAGGTTTGAGGGCTGGGGGCGGCGGTGCCGGTAGGCGACAGGGTTGGCACTGGTTTCCCGGTGTGTTTGAGCCTCTCCCATGATACGATACGATAGCTACCGGTACCTCCTGCTGCTGCCGCCGCCATATCGCTCCCACTAACATACACCCACCTCACCCACCCAGCGCTCATGTGCCAGGCCCCCTCTACTCTGCCCGCCCGCCCTTTGCCCCCCACCCTCCCCGCCAGTCGCTGCACCGGCACTGTGTGGTGCTGAGCGAGGTGAGCTGCCCTGAGCACCTGTACCACGCCATCAAGGTGATTGCAACCGCACGGGCCATCTGGCAGCAGCAGCGGCAGGGACAAGGGCACGTGCAGGGGCAGCAGGGACAAGAACAGCCGCATACTGGCCAACAAGTGGGTAGCACGGCAGGTCAGGGAAGTAGCAACAACACAAGGGCGAAACAGCAGCAGACCCAACGGCAGCACCACCAGGGTCGAGGCAGGCCGCCCGCTGCGGCCACCGCAGCGGCTAGCCCCGGCGGGGCTGAGGGCAGCGGCGGCTCCCTCAGCGCCCCCGGCGCCGACATCGCGCTGCAGGTGCTGCTGCCCAAGCAGCCTTACATACGACCCCGGCGGGATGACCTCGGCGGCGTGAGTGCTCCTGGCATGGTGAGGTTGAGCACCGGCGGCCGTGGCGGCGGTGCTGCTGCTGCAGATGGTTGTGCCTCCGGGATGGAGGATGATGACGGCGGCAGCGGCGGCGGCAGCAGGCAGCGCTGGCACCACGGGTGGCAACAGCAGCAGAGCCGGCAGCAGGATGACAGCCGTGTCTGGCGCCTGTACTCGCATGCCGTTGTGTTGCCGGCTGGGTACGATGAGAGTATCAAACATGCTGAAGCCGCTAGCTGCTCTGCTGCTGGTTCTGCAAGGACGGCAGCAGCAGCAGCAGCAGGAGGAGGAGGAAGGGATCTCGTACAAGTGATGTACGTGCGCAGTATGAGTACGCCGCGGGAGGTGGCGGCGCAGCTTGGTCCAGCGGTGGTGCGGGAGGGGGCGGTGGTGCTGCTGGCGGCGGGTGAGTGCATGCGTGGCGGCGTGGGTGGGGTTTGGGATGTATTTAAGGGCTGTGGGAGGGCTATGGGCTCTCCCGTGTGCTGGTTCTGGTGCTGCATCCTGCATGTGGATGTGGGGAGCGTGCATGGCAGCGCCGCCGCGGGGTGCTGCTGCTACTGCGACGGCTGCTTGGGTAGCCGGCTGGTTCCTTTGAGAAACTCCACTGCTGTTTTGCACACCGGTGCCCTTGGCAGCACCGCTCAACACATCCCTGCCACAGCCATGTTTTTCTCTAATCATATGCCGGGGAATGGACTGACGTTTGACGTGCGACGCACTCCTTTCCTGCCATATTTCCCCTCCTGGCCCCGCTACATCCGCGCTTCTTTCCACCCATCCCTTCACTCCACGCCTCCCCACGTCCCGATGTAGACGTTTAGGCTCGGCTAACTCGGTTCAGGTCACCAGGAGCTCGTCCGCTTGTTTGCTAGCATCATTAAACACCTTGGGATTTGTCTTTTCCCCACGCCCCCTGCAGGCCGGGATGCGGTGCTGGTGGCGGTGGAGGCGCTTGTCCGCACCCGCAGCTGGCTGGCAGCGGGGGGAGCGGCGGCGGGGGGAGCGACGAGGGGTGGGGCTGGCGCTACCCAAGACCTGGATGTAGCGGTGTTCCCTAGCTGGCATGCGGGCAGGGAGGCGGAGCGGAGGGGGGAAGGGGAGGGACAGGCACGCGGCGAGGGTGAGGAGGATGGCGGCGTGTCAGGTGGTGACGATGACGGGCGAGGCTGGACAGCAGGTGCTGCTGCGGGTGCTGGTGCAGGTGGTGATGGGGCTGGCAGGCGGGGTGCGGCACGCAGCGTGCGGCTGCTGGTGCGGCTGTGTCAGGGCGTGCGACCGGATCTGCCGGTGCGAGGGGCGGATGAGCGGCTGGGGCCGGGGAGGTAGGATGCGGGCCGAGAAAGGGGCCCCAATGTTGGATACCATATGGACGCAGCTTGCGGAGTTTTGGCTGTAGCGCGGAGGATGCCCGCAGGATGGGATGTCGTAAGGCGTGTGTTATGACGACGTGAATGTCATGTGCATTATGACACAGTCGAGGTGGCGCTTTTGCCTTGGATTTGCTGCTACTATAACTCCACGGATTTCAGGCGGCAGGTGAGGTGTCCTAATAGCTCTATGTGCGGTTTGAAAGTCGTATTGGATTAACCTGTAGCGCCATGAGCGCGCCTTCGCGGCGCTACTGTATTTTTTCCGACTGTCATAATTTCATTGAGGCGTTTTTGGAGTAATAGCGCGCTCGACCACACTTCGCGTATGGTAGCCCTTCCGCGCTGGAAATATTCTGGAGGTGGTTTACTGTGACAAACTAATATTACTAGCAGGATGCGTGTAAAATAGCAATACAGCTTAGACGTTATTGAGCGCGGCCTAGTGTTATAAACAACACTCCTTCCAGCGCCTCCGCCCCATCATGCATCATCAGTAACAGGGCAAAGTTGCCACGGCAAACCGCATTATCTCTGTAGTCGACCATTGCCGAGACATTTTGCTATTTTCATAAACTACTGGGTGGCGTCACCGGGATGGAAAGCCGGTTCGCAACCTTCGATGATGTTTTGGATGCGTATGTTGGGCACTTCGGGCGCGGACAGCTGTTAACACTCCTAATTGCGTCCATATCGCATATAGCCATGGCAACCGTCCTAATGCTTATGGTAAGTGCCATACGGTAGTTTACAGCCCTTAACGGAACATCACTGCGAGTTTCGTTGGGCGATCGAACTTTCACGCTTATTGCAGCTAGATTCCTTTCGCCTTGTCGAAACTAGCTAAAATTTAGCTTTCTTAAAACGCCGTTAGTCATGTCTTTCGCCGATGGATGCTCAAGCCTATTATGCCGCAATACACGTGCTGCTATGTCCGCCCTCACCCTCAGGTGTTTACCGCCCAGGACCCCTTCATCGCGGGTGACTGGCTTTGCGTAACACCCAGCAGCAGCACAGGGACGTCCCCTCCCGCCTTCCCTGCTGCCACCACCCTCACCGCAACCATTTTCACGACGTTCACCACCTACAACAGCACCACAGCCTCCTCCTCCTCTCCACCCCTTAGCTCCGTCCCAGCCCTCCAACTAGCATCATCACTACCATCTTCCGCGGCTGCTGCTGCCACTTGTTCGTCCATCCTCGCCGCCATCAAACCCACCACCTCTACCATAAACCCCTCCTCCGCTTCCTCTTCCTTATCCTCCTCTTCCCTCTCCTCCTCCACCCCTGCCTCCCTCCGCGCCGCCTTCTGCGCCCTGCCCCCGGGCACCATTCGCTGGACTCGCTCCGAAACCTCCCTGCTGTCGTACTACAATCTCACATGCGGCCGTGAGTGGCTAGTCACACTGCTCAACAGCCTCTACTTTGTGGGCCTTGCGGCAGGGGGGCTGGGTTTCGGAGCGCTGTCGGACCGCTACGGCCGCAAGGCATGCATGTACGGATGCACGGCGCTGGGGTTGGTTGCGACGGTTGGTGAGGCGCTGGCGCCGGCCTTTTGGTTGCATGCGCTGTGCCGAGTGGTGGGCGCGGCGGCGATTCAGGGCATGGCGATTGCGGATGTGAGTGGTGGCCGGTGCGTCAGGGCCGTGGTGCAGGGTGCGGGTGCGGGTGCGGGTGTGGGACAATGATTAAGCACAGATACGGCGCCATGGGCAAAAGGGATGCTGGAGCAAGGCATACATTGAGTTCTAGTGATGCTTTCTGTACTTCCCCTGCCCATCAGTCGCCCTGTACCTCTCAAGCTCCCACCCAGAGCGGTCCACCCAATGGTGCAGACTGCCACAGCCCAATGCTTCGCGCCTACCGATATATCATCCCCACCGCCCACTTCCCATTCTTCTCGCCCCCCCCCGGCCTTTCCTTCCCCCAGGTAGTGTTGGTGACTGAGCTGGTGGGGCCGCAGTACCGGGGCCGAGTGGGCATTCTCACGCAGTCTTTCTTCATTGCGGGAGGTGAGGGTGTGTGCTGGCCGGTGAAACACTGGCCGCGAGTAGGAACGTACTGAGGGTGTGTTAGGAAAACTGAGGGTACGTGTGTAGCTGAGAGAAGGGGAGGGTGTAGGGACATGCATGGATGGAGGTGTGTCATCTCGGCTATCGTGGTTGGTCCGGATGCGGGGTTGCATGGATGGATGGCTTGGTCTCCTAACCCGCTCCCTTCCCTCCTCTTCCGCCATAACCCCATTAATCCCTTCCCCCCAGTGCCTTTAACTCCTCAACCCTCACCGTCACCCTTCTCACTCCTCTTCCCCCCCCTCTCCCCCTCCCCCCCTCCGCCTGCCAGAGTGCCTGCTGGCCCTGCTCGCCTGGCTGCTGCCCGCCTGGCGCCCCCTCACGCTGCTCTCCGCCGCCTGCCTGGCCACCTTCCTCGCCACTGCGCCGCTGGTGCAGGAGTCGCCCAGGTGGGTATGGTTGGGGGGGGGCAAAGACCATACCAAACCATAGGAAACCACAGGCGGGAGAGGGGGGACCCACCCCTCTTGTCTTGCCCTTAACCTCAGATCGCACCCACCGCCTTCAGGCTTTTAACACAATCCGTCAAGTTAACACCGTCTTGCCTCTCCAAATCCTTTCTTAGGTGGCTAGCTGCCCGGGGCCGGCGGTCTGAAGCGGCCCGGGTGCTGGCGGGGCTGGCGGTTCGGAACGGCCGGGGCCGAGTGGAAGCAAGCGAGGTCCAGGCAGCGCTCGAAGCAGCAGCAGGCGCCCCGGCATCAGGAGCAACAGCAGGGGCAGCAGCAGCAGAGGAAGAAGCGTCTGAAAGATCCAAAGTGGGCAGGGAAGTCCGGGCCTCGCCTCACGCCCCCACTCTCCAAGAAGCTGCCAGCCACCCGCTCATCATCCGCTATTTCATCATCCTCTCCTTCGCCCTATGCTCCCTGGTCTTGTCATACTACGGCATCGGCTTTGCCCTGTCGTACATTACTGAAGGGAGCAGCAGCAGCAGCAGCAGCAGGGGGTTCAGCCTGAGTCTCTACTTGGGTTTCTTCCTGGTGTCGGTGGCCGAGGCGCCCTCCTCCGCGGTTGTGGGTCTGCTAGTGGACCGAGTGGGGCGCTGTCCACTGGTGCTGGCGGGCATGTGGCTGAGCGGGGTGGCGTGTGTGGGGTGCGGGCTGGCGCAGGGGGCACCGGGGTTGCAGGTAAGGGAGGCAGGGAGGGAGGACGGGTGGGGGAGAGGGAGGGAGGAGGGATGCGAAGGAGAGGACAGAGGCGGGGCAGGTGGTGGAGGGCCCTCTGTCAGGCTTTATCGCTGCCATGACTGCTGCGTTGGGGGATCCTGTGCATGGTTGCCCACTGCGCTGATTTTAAACGCCAAGATAATCGTTAACAACCGGAATCCCGCCCTCGTCATCAACCTTCCCTGTTTTTATGTCGCGCTCTCCATTACTAGGGGCGGCTCGTTCGCCCGCCTTCGCTCTTCATCCTCCGAGTCTTCCGCCCTTTTCCCTCAATAAACCCGACACCGCAGCCATCAGCCGGACCGGGCCGGGCCTCAGCTCATCTCTAAAGCCTATTCTGCCTCCCTCCCTGCGACTACCAACGCAGCCCCCTGCCTTCCCCATCCCCCCCCCTCTCTCCCCGCCTCCCTCCCCCCCAGGTGCTTCTGGCCATGCTGGGCAAGTTCGGCTGCTCGGGCGCGTGGAGTGTGCTGGTGGTGTATGTGGCGGAGCTCTTCCCCACCTCCCTGCGCTCGCTGCTGGCGGGGGCGGTGTTCCAGGGGGCGAGGGCGGGGGGCGTGGCGGCGCCATTTGTGTTTTTGCTGGGGGGGCCAGGTGGGTGGGGGGCTGGCTGGGGAGGGGGGAGGGGCCCCTGGGTGGGTGGGTGGGAGGGGAGGAGGAGGGACGGGGTGGGACGGGGTGAGTGGAGGGCCCCCACTCCAAGGGGGTCGCTGCCAAGGCAGGAGCCCTGAGGGCTACGATTCCTGCATACACGTTGCCCGCATGGCCCATGCCCTTACCTCCGGTTTCCCCCCTACCCCTCTTATCGCACCCACACCTTCCCCTTCCCCTCCAGGTTCCCCCCAGCTGCCCTTTTGGCTCATGGGCGGTCTCACGCTGGCTGCCGCCGCGCTGTGTGTGTGGCTGCCGGAGACGGCGGGCAAGGAGCAGCCGGAGAGCCTGGGGCAGCTGGAGCGGAGGGACGCGGCGGGCAGGAGCGCGCTGGCAGGGCTGCTGAGTCGGGCGTTGTGGGGTGCCGGAGGAGGCGGGGGAGGAGGTTGCAAGGAGGGAGAAAAGGAACCGCACGGAGTGGTGGTGGTTGGGTGCAGTGCGGGTGTCTGTAGTGGGGGTGGTGAGGAGGCGGCGGGTGGGGAAACGGGCAAGGAAGGTAGAGGTAGGGGTGTGGAGAGGAAGGAAAGGGTAGGGGGTTGGGTTGGGAGAGGGGCGGGAGTGGGGGAGGATGGGGAAGATGCGGACGTGCGGGGTGTCGGCGATGGTGACCAGGCGCCTCTCCTGGGGGTGGCTGTGGACCGCTCATGCATGTGACCGCACTTGGAATCCGCTGTTAAGGAGTGGATTGAGGTCAGGATGCAATTCTTGTTATCAGCAGGTGTCGCGGGGAGGTACCGTAGTTGAAAGCGACGTGTGGATCTGCTCAACCAAGTCTTCCAGAAACGTTATGTCTAGGGATTGGATACCGGCAGTACGGCTGCACTGAGTTTCTCCAGGGGGCAAAAGTGCAGTATCAACCCTGTTCAGTCCCCGAATGTGGGAGGGTCTAGTACACTGCCGTGCCACAGGATGTGCTGAAGAACCCTACCTACCTACCTGCAGGTACTGGGCTAAGAAGTGGCGTGGGCCTTACATAGTGATAGGGACTAGCAGGGCCGGGGAGAAAGGAGGTAGGGGTTAAGTCGCGAACACCGCCCAGGTCTAGCTACTCGACCGGCTCGTTGTCAGGATGAGATGGGTGCAGCGAGCGGGACCGTCCTCGGTGTGCACGTCGAGCATTGTAATAATATGTTTCATGTACTAACAGCTTCGCTTTAGCATTTTTGGTAGCTGTTGCTTGGGGCTGCTTTGCCGCATTGCCGTTAAACGCCATCCGTCGATCCGTGTGCATCAGTAATAGGGCTTCTTTTTACACAGCACACTTGACAAGAGTAAAGTGCGAGATTATATATAAAGTGGGCGACTTATTTATAACCATTACTGGTGTTTTTTTGTGCGCACCCACGAAGACCAAGTCCTCGTCGTAGGTTCCAACAAATGGCCTGCCAAATACACACCCAATCACTGTCTAGCTACTCACTTTCTGCTACGGTACGACCGCTTTGCCTCTCTATAGCCCGGAGTCAACCGCGAAGAGGAGATGCGTGCGGTAGGTCCTAGCGTTGCAAACTGCAACTCTTTTGTACCCGCTCATAATTTGCCTCCCACGTCTAGGGGCATTGTTTCAAACAAGGTGTCACGTACTTACGGAGTCTATTAACCTCCTCGCATGCGTGCAGTTACACACGTTGTCGAGGATGCTGGCAGCCCCAGCCCAGTTAAAGCCACGCGATCCGCTGTGTTCCCATTCAAAGGGGATCAAACTGGAACCAGCAGCGTAAAAGTCGCTTCATCGCGGCCACCCTCGACGCCACCATCCCCTCCTTCCCTCATCCACAGTCCTGTCTACGTACAAAAGGCACTTATTAAACAACCGGTGAGCCACCTCGCCCCTTCCAATATCCGTGTTGCGCGTTGTGTGGTCCGGCATGATCAGCTCTGCTGCTTTTCACCCGCCCAACTCCCGCCCAACTGACCTTACCAACCGCCGTCGTCTCCCCTTTCTCCCTCAACAGCAAGGCGAAGGTGCATCCTCGGCTGCTCCTTCACCTCCCAGCAATCAATTGGAGCATGCAGAGTCCTCCGGGGAGGAAGCGGAGGCGCAGGAGGGGAACAGCCTGATATGGGCGCTGAAGCAGTGAGTGATTGTGGATTGGGGCCACCACTGAATTGCCGGTAGGCTATAGATGATGGACTAAAGCCCCAACCGTCACCAGTCCACTGCCGCCCCGCATACCTACCATCCCCCTCACGTCTGAGCCGTCTCTCCCCAAAGCCCAAACCCTCCTCCCCCTCACCCTCTGGGAGGATGACTGCGTCCCAGAGGGTCGCCATCATCCTCCAGTGTACTACGGTCAAGGTCAATGTTTCCGCGGCTCAGCCTATCCAATCCCCCCCTGCCCCCTCACCCACGCCCAGGGTTGACCGCAGCCTTGACGAGCTGGAGCAGCGCCCCCTGCCGCTGCAGCGGGAGCTGTACGAGCTGTCGTGCGGCCCGGTGGGCGCCGCCACCTCCTCCGCGCTGGCGGCGGCGGCCAAGGTGACGGTGGCGGCCACGCGGGAGGCGGTCAGGTGGGAGGAAGGGGGGACAGGGAAGGGGCCGACATGGGGAGGGTGGGAGAGGTAGGGAACGCGCCGACATGGGGAGGGCGGGAGGGGGAGAGAGAGCCAAGGACTCCCTGTTACAGCCAATTAACCCAGCCCGCCCGCCAAAGCGACTCGTACTCGCTACATGCTACTCACCAATACCCTCCCTCCTCCCTCCGCGCCCCTCCCCGTCCCCCTCCCAACTCCCACACCCCCAGAGCTGCGCTGCCGGTGGGGCAGTGGCTGGTGCGCGAGGGCGGCAGGGCGGCGGTGTCGCTGGTGTCGGCCGCGGTGGCGGAGGCGGCAGCCAGGCAGCTGCAGCAGCAGGGGCAGCAGGGGCGGGGGGCGCAGGGGATGCAAGGGGGCGGGGGTGCAGGAGGGAATACTACCAAGATCCGTGTCAACAAGCGGGCCTAGCGGGCGGGGTATTAGGTAAACTGAGCCGCGGGCGGGGTTGCCAGTTAGTTGGCATGGTAGTTGGCTGGTGGGTTGTTGGGGTCCGTTGGGTAATGCGTAGGTCAGCGGAGGCAGGCTGGGATCGTGAGTGGCAGAGTGGAGGGCTCGTGGCCGAGGCTACACCAAACGGAGGTTGGGGAGAGGGTATTTCATGAGGGAGGTTGTCGCCGCATGCTGTCCAGTGCTGTGCGCCAGCTGCCTACGAGTATTATGCACCCCTGAGCGTCTCTCTTTAACCTGATCCCGGTTTTTCCTCTCTGCCAGGGCATGTGGTGTGGCAATGTCTTGATCGTGCCGGCGGTAGGGGTTCGTGACCAGGCGTAAGTGTAGAGGTCGGAGAGTCACTGGCGATTGGTGGGGCATCACCGTCTTCCCTGCGCGAGATAATGTGGTGTCGTGTTTGCTAGGAGCGGCGAGGAGTGGAGCGGCGAGGCAAGGGGAGGGGCCGAGAGGGCTGAGGCCCCCGCGAGGCGGCCCCGGTTTTCTCTGATTCTGTTGTATACATGCATTTCATGAGCGGTCTCGGTACGTGGGGGTGATGCACCTGGTGCCGAGTACAGATGCAACATCGAGTGCTATGTGTGTGTTAAGAAAACTGGCCGCGAGTACCGATGTAATCATCAACGGATATTGAGCAGTTGATAGGAAGTTTTGGTTTCGGTTCTTTAGTTTTGGACAGTGGGTTACGTCTTACATGGGGTATGAATACAGGATCAACATAACAGTCAGTCGGGGTGGTGATGCGGGGCTGCTGCACGCATGGAGGCACGGCGGGGCGCTGCAAGCAAGGGCGCAGCACAGGGGGTTATGTGGCGGCTGGATAGTGGAAGCGTCTCGTGCAGGAGTAGGGTGGTTGTGGTAAGCGACGTCGTGTGTTGTTGATGCCGCTTGCATTGCACAGGGAGCCTTGCATGCAGACGTGCATGTGTGGCAAAGAAGAGGCCGAGTAGGGACGTTGCGCGTTGTCGGAAGATGATGGTGCACGTGCGGATGCAAGTGAGGGCGAGTGAGTCATTGCAGCCAGGAGTCATGAGAGCGGAGGAGCGGGAAGTGCGTGAGTGGGTTCTAGTCCTGGGGAGTCGTTGAATTGTTCGCATCCATGTTAAGGTTCGGAAAGAAAGGATGCACGTGTTGGTCGTATATGCATCTCAGGGAGCGCGCATGTCGGGAGGCTTCACGACACTCCCTCAACCAGGAGTGATGCCAGTCTGCCATTCACGGCGTTCTTTTGTACGTCATTACGTGATTGACATTGCTGACATTGGGTGCCGTACAGCGTGCCGTGTACAGTACATCGTGCCGTGTACGGTACATCGTGCCGTGTACGGTACAGCGTTGGCGTTATTCCTGACCAGCAGATATCTGATCTCAGCAGACGTGCAGGCTGGAGGGGGGTGTACGACAAGGGCCGGGGCCCGAACGCGACAGCATACGGATTAGCGCGAGGACACGTGTCACCTACGGGTATACGTGTGTTTAGACCCCCGCGCGTTGTTCAAGGCTTAGGAGGCAAGTATTACACTGGAGGACCAACCAGAAAGGAGTCCGTACCGGCCAATCGTTAGACGTAGCCGGGGTGGGAGGCCCGGTACGACACCGCTGCGCGAGGGGCTAACGGCAACGACCGGCAACAGATGGGGCGCGACCCGGGGGCCACCACATGTCGCAATGGATAAGAGTGTGACTGAATATGGCTTACATGAAATGTGCGTAATGAAACTATACTTGACCGTCACGGGTCGCCATATGTAGGCAACATGTTGCAAGGTTTTGACCACAGTTGCAACCTTGTTACCCGTGACCACTGATGCGTCTACGTAGCCGAGCATTGATCGCCAGGAATGATTAAAAGCTTTAACATCTGATTTTGGCTATCGGCTTCGGGGACAGGACCGCTTACCAATGGGAGTTCCAGGCCTTTTTGCATTCCTAAAAAGGCGCTATGGAGTCATCGCAAAATACGTTACTAAAACGGAAGATGGCAGCTGGGATGGAGCCGCTCCTGCGGATGCCCTATATGTTGGTGAGGAGTTCGTTGGGCAATGCCGGCATCCCCGTCGCAGACGAAAAGATGTAGGCATAACAACATAACTTCCAATGCGAAAGCACTCGATTGTGTGGTTAGCATTGCATGCTTTGCATCTATAATGTCCGGTCTCCGGTGTACACGTCCTTGCTGCCATCCACATCTCAACCCTGCATTTATTCCCAAACCTTCCCACCCTCTATACCTTCCTACCTTCCTCTCCTCTCACCCGCTCCTCCCTTCCCCCTTCCTGCTCCCCCCCTCCTGCCTCAGACATGAACCACATCATCCACACCTGCACCCACGCCGGCCCCGCAGCTCGCGACGGCTCCCTGTTCTCCGAGGAGGCCGCCTTAGCGCGCATGGACGAGTACCTCACAGCGCTGCTGGAGGTGGCGGCGGGGGGGCAGCTGCAGCAGCAGGGGGGCGCAGGTGGGGGGCCGAGAGGAGCAGCAGCGGCAGCGGCATCTGCGGGTGTGCCATGCGGCGACAGCGGGGGTGGAGGTGCAGGCAGCAGCGGCAGCGGGGCCAGCTGCTCGCTGCGGTTGTTGTTTGTGGCGGTGGACGGGGTGGCGCCGCTGGCCAAGATGAACCAGCAGCGCACTCGGCGCTTCCTGGCGGCGCATGTGGCGGAGGTGACGGAGCGAGTGGGTGCGTGGGGGGACAGGGGGAAGGGGAGGGAGGGGAGGGCCTTTGAGGTTGGGAGTCAGACAGAGGAGCACATCCCCCCGGGGTGCAGCCAGCAGCGGGTGTGGGGTCCTCCTCCGGCCACCCCACCCACACCAGCCATGCCCCTGCCCCTGCCCCTGCCCCTGCCCCTGCCTAGCTGCCGGCAGTGTGGCCATCAATCAGACCCTGTGCGTCTTCCCACTCACATCACTCCCCGCCCCACCTCACCTCACCCCGCCCCCTCCATGCCCCCCGCCTCCCACACCCGCCCCCCAGAGCGGGAGGTCCGTGCCGAGATGGCCTCCCAGGCCGGCGGCCAGCGCGCCATCCCCCACCTGGCCCCGCACCGCTTCGACCCCAACATCATCTCCCCCGGCACCGCCTTCATGGCGCGAGTGGCGGCCCGGGTGCGGGCGCTGCTGAGGGATAAGGTCGGCAGCGACCCACGGTTCGCACAGATGAGGGTGAGGGGGCGGGGGTGGGGTGGGTTGCTGGTGAGGAACTGTGGTGCCGGATTAGAGTTGGTTCGGGAGGTACCGGTAGGCACCAGCCGGCGGCGTGTGGTGGGGTGTTGAAGGTAAGCAGGTGGGCCCCGCCACATGTGCTGCAGCTGTGTGCCGTGCAACACCCGCTACCCCACCCAACCTGCTGCTGTCGCACCTGCGCTTGCCCTGGTATGGTCTTCGACCCCCAGGTGGTGGTGTCCGACTCGTACGAGCCCGCTGAGGGGGAGCACAAGATCATGCGCTTCATCCGCCACCTGCGCTCACGACCCGGGTACGACCCCAACACACGACACGTCATATACGGCCAGGTGGGGCTGGGGGGCGGGGGGGAGGTGGGGGTTGGGGGGGAGGTGGGGGGGGAGTTGAGTTGGAGCAGTGGGGTGGCGAACAGCGAGGGCTGAGCGGTTGCTGCTGAAGTGATCGTTTGCGTTAGCATAACTGTAGCAAGAGCAAGAGCAACGCCCCCATAACTTTGACTCCCTCCTCCCCACCACCTTCCCCCCTTCCTGCCTCCCCCCTTTTCCAGGACGCCGACCTGCTGCTGCTGTCGTTGCTGCTGCATGAGCCGCACGTGCGCATCCTGCGGGAGGGCGACCCCGCCCTGCTGCCAACCACTGCGGCCACTGCAGGAGGTAGCAGCGCTTCAACAGCGGCAGCAGCGGCGGCGGCGGCGGCGGCAGTCAAACAGCAGCTGCGGCAGCCCCAGGCGCGCAGGGGCACCCCACAACAGCCACAGCCGCATGAAGGAGGGGCAGGGGTGCTACCGGGGCCGGCTGGCGGCAGCGGCTCAGGAGGAGCGGGCACCGGCGACTCCCCCTCTCCCTCTTCCTCCCCCTCCTCCCCTGCTCCCCCCCAGCTGCTGTTCGAGGAGGTTGACCTGGGGCTGCTGCGGGAGTGCCTGCACTGGGAGTTCGCGGAGCTGTGCGGTGAGGATGGGGGGTGGGGGGGAGAGGAAACAACCAACTGACCGTGAGGGGGAGGGGAGGGAAGAGGGTGAGAGAGAGGGTAAAGGCGCTGAGGAGGGGAGGGCGGGGGGTGCTGGCTCGGGGCGTTGGGGGTCGAAGGAGAGAGAAGGTTGGCTGGCGCCAGCTATTTACACATGCACGACTAGGCGTCTGTGACTCCAGGACTGGACAATCCGTTTCCACCCCCGCCTGCCCCTGTCTCCTCCTACCCAACCGCCCCCACCCTCACCTCAGGCTCGGCTAACTCGGTTCAGGTCACCAGGAGCTCGCCCGCTTGTTTGCTAGCATCATTAAACACCTTGGGATTCTTCTTTTCCCCTCACCTCCAACCACCCTACCCCCTCCCCCACCCCTCCAGGAGCACCGGATGGTCGGCCCATGCACGCGGGGGGCCTTGGAGCAGAAGAGGAGGAGGCGGAGGAGGAGGGAGAAGAAGAGCGGGCGGAAGAGGAGGAGGCGTCCGTTGAGCGGGAAGGGGATGGTGCGGACGATGGCGAGGGGGAAGAAGTGGAGTTATTGGGGCTGCAGCTGCAGGGGGAGGGTACGGGGCATGCGCTCCCGGGTGCCGACACGGCTAGCGGAGATGGCGGCGGAAGTCAGGGGAAGCCGGGAGAGGTGGCCCCATTGAGACCCATGGGTCTGCAGCCGCCGCCCGGCTTCTCAACTTCCACATCGCCGCTACCACTACAGCTGCCGCCGCAGCAGCTACCCCGCCCGGAGCAGCAGCAGCCACCACTGTATCCTCCCCCGCCACCGCTCTTACAACCACACCAGCAGCCGCAGCAGCAGCAACCGCAGCGGCCCCCGCAGCCGCAGCAGCAAGTCGCCGGGCCGCACCCCTTTCCTCCTCCCTCCCTGCCCCCCGCCCTCGCACTCGCCCTGGGCCCCCAGCGCCACCCGGGCAGGCAGGGCATGGGGGCACTGCCGCTGCCGCCACCTCTGCCGGGGGTGCCGGCCACCGCTGCAGGGGCGGCGGCAGCAGGGGTGGCGGCGGCAGCAGCGGCACCTGCCGGGGGTGGCGGGGTGGCAGCAGCACGGCCTGCAGCTGTGGCGGCAGCTGTGGCGGCAGCGGCGGTGGCAGCAGACTGGGAGGGTGAGCAGGGTGAGGGTGAGGGTGAGGAGGAGGCGGATGTGGAGGAGCTGTTGGGGCTGCTGGGCGGCGGTGGTGGCAGCGGGCAACAGCGGGGCACAGCGGGGCCCGCAGCAGCCCCGCCACAGCAGCAGCAGCAATGCCTACCGCCGCTGCTTCCGCAAACGACACAGCCACCGCCACACCCACCGCCTCCGGGTGCACTGCGCGTGTTATTTCCGTACTCCGTATCACACCCGCCTCCACCGCCTCCTGCGCCGCTACCGCCGGCCCCGCCGCCACCTCCCCCGCGGCCAGCTACCCCTCCCCTGCCAGCGGAGCGATCCTGCTCGCACGAAACACAGCCGGATGGTGACGTGTACGGCAGAGCTGGCGGCGGTGTTAGCGGCGGTGTAACAGCGGCGATGACCATGTCAGCAGCACAAGTACCAGTACCAGTACATGCACCGGCGGCGGCGGTGACGGCGACAGTGACGGTGACGGCGGCGGCGGCAGCGCTACCCGCAGTACGGCAGCCTCATCAGTCGTACGGCGGTCCCCGTTGTCGCGGCTGGTGGCCGCCCGCGCAGCAGCAGGTGGGGGAGCTCACGGCGGTGGGGGGAGTGGCGGCGACAGCAGCGGTTGTGGGGTCGGCGGTAGTGGCAGAAGCTGGTGAGGACGGCATGGGTTCCCCGCGTCTCGGTGGCGCGACAGCAGCGTCAGTCGGGAAGGCTGCTGCTGCTGCTGCTGCTGCTGCTGCTGCTGCTGCTGCGAGGGGCTCCGCACGCACCTCCGCCGCCGCCACGTCAGCCCCCGGCTCCACCGCCGGCCGCCCTTCAGCCCCCAGCAGCTCTTCTGCCCCCCGGTTCCACTTCGAGCGGGTGTTGGAGGACCTCGTGGTGCTCACATTCCTGGTGGGGGGGAGGGGGGGGGGGGAGGGTTGCGGAAGACAGGAAGGGGTGGGGCTGTGGACGGTAGCGAAAACAGATGGTTACCGGTAACATGGATTCCCTGTCTGCCCCCGCCCCCACCCCCTCTTCCCCCTCCCCCTCCCCCGTGCAGGCGGGTAACGACTTCCTGCCGCACGTCCCCTCCATCGACATCTACGACCAGCCCTCGGGACTGGAGCTGCTGCTGGCGGGTTACAAGGCGCTGCTGCCTGAGATGAAGGGCTGCATCACGCAGGTGGGTGGGAAGGCGGGTGGAGGGGAGGGGTGGGGGGATTGCGTGGGGGTGGGTGATAAGAAACCTGGCAGCGAGTACGAACGTACTGGATTGTGGGAAGGCACGTACTGGATAGATGAGCATGTGCGTGGGTGTGTGTGTGTTAAAAAAACTGGCCGCACCACGTTTACGGGTGAAGAGGAGCCCTCTCCTCTTAAGCCTCCTCTAGCCATGCCTCCTGGTGTTCCTTCCCTTTCTTGTCTCCAGCCCCTTATTGCCGGTACCCCCCGCTCTCTCCCCTTTCCCTCCCAAACCCCTCCTCCGCTCCTCCCCCCTCCAGGGTTGCGGCCAGCTGAACCCCACCCGCCTGTCCCAGCTGCTGGGCCGACTGGCGCGCGACGAGGAGGCGGCCTTCGCTCGCCGGGCGGTGGGGCGGGGGGGGAGGGAGGGAGGTGGGAGGAGGACGAGGAGGGCTAGCCAGGACAAAGGACACCGCACGGCTGCCTCCCCACCTTGTGCTTGCTTGGACCCCCTTGCGCCATGCGCCCAACACAGCCCTTCCCTTCCCTCTCCCACCTCCCCGACTTCCCTTCCTAGTTGATTCCCCCTCCCCCCTCCCTCCCTCCCTCCTTGTTGCATTTATTTATAATTTTCCCTCCCTCCCTCCCTCTCCCCCCCCCCCCAGGAGAGGGAGGGGAGAGGGAGGGAGGGAGGGAAAATTCAGTCATTCAGTTTGTCAGTGTTTCTTTATTTTTACCCCCCCCCCCCAGGAGCACCGGCGGCGCTGCCAGCAGCGGGCTGCAGCCGCCTCCGCCGCCCGTGACGCGGCCTTCTGGGAGGCGGCTGCGGTGCTGGAGGGGGCGGCGCGGGGCGGGGAGCTGCCGCGGGGGGTGGAGCTGGAGGAGGGTGAGGGGGGCAGGGCGCAGGGGGGGTCAAAGACCATAACAAACCATAGGAGACCACAAGTTAGGGGGGGCGGGGTGGCCGAACAAACCAGGGCAAATGAGGCACAGGCGAGGAGGCAAAGGAGCGGTGGGCCCTCACATACCCTATTCCCCCTTCCTCCCCCGTCCGCCCCCCCCCTTCCCCCCAGTGCTAGCGAGTCTGTCCCTCGCCCCCGACCTCGCCGTAGCTCTGGGCTTGGACTGGGCACTCCCCGCCTCCGCCTCCGCCTCCTCCGGTGCTGCTGGGGGCCGAGGTGGGGGTGGCGGGGTGGGTGGAGGCGGTGCTGTCCCCCCCCTCAGCAGTCCGGGGGCGCTGGCGGGCGCTAGCGAGCAGGAGCTGCGGGCGGAGCTGGCGCGGAGGGTGGGCGAGCGGACACAGGTAGGGGGGGGGGTAAAGAGGAAATAACTAACGGACCGTGTGATAAGGCGTCATCGCCCCAGGTAGGGGGGTGGGGGTGGAAGGGATGGGATGTGTGGGGGGGGGCAGTGTCCTCAACCCCAAATGGTAGAGGTAGAGCAGGCGGTGCAGGATCGTAGTACCATCTTGCAGCGCACCCTGCCGTGGCCCCTCCTACCCCGCTCTTGTGGTTCGGTAGCTCCTGCGCTCCCTCCCGACCCCCCCCGCATGTGCCTTTGCTTGTTCGACCCAAACCCCTGCTTATCTTACCCCCCACCCTCCTCTTCCCTTCCTCCTCCTATCGCTGGCTCGGTTCGCTTTTCCTGCCTGTGTCAGGAGCGCGTGATGAGCGGTGACCCATGGGTCGCGGACCCATGCGGCATGGGCCTGCCCGGCTACCGCACCCGCTACTACACCTCCCGCTTCCCGGAGCTGGCTGGGGGAGGGGGTGGGGGAGGGGGTGGGGATGTGGACCGGGTGGCTGCGCGGGTGGTGCGCGCATACATGGACGGACTGAGCTGGGTGTACAGGTGGGGAGGGGGGTGAAGACCAGCCCAAACCATACATGGGGGGGGGGTAAGGAAGCGGAGTAACAGGGCGAGGATGGGGTGGCGAGGAAGGCTGCTCGGGAGGGGTTCATAGGGGGGGGTAAAAATTGAGGGAAACTGACGGGGAGGGTGCCAGCAGGCCTCGTGCACACATTGCACGGGGGGAGCCTACAAACCCCCACCATACCCCACCATACCCCTCCAAACCCTCCAAACCCTTCACCCATCCAACCCGCCAGGTACTACTGTCTGGGCCCCGCCGCCCTGGACTTCAGCCCCATGCAGGAGGAGGAGGGGGAGGGGGGCCAGGGGGAGGGAGAGGGGGAGGGAGGTGCAGGATGCTGGCGGCACGAGGGGGCGCCCGAGGGGGCGTCGTGGACATGGTAGGGCAGGGGGGGTTGAGGAGAGGAAGAGGAAGAGGGGTGGGAGGGAGGGGGCGGTGGGTTGCATAGTTGGCGGGCGAGATGACGGGCGGTACCAGCCTAAGAGGGTGGCTAGCGGGCACTCCTCACACCAACCTACCCAACCCAACCCAACCCAACCCAACCCAATCCTCTCCATCCCTTACCTCTCCCCCTCCCTCTCCCCCTCCCCTCCCCAGGTCCTACCCCTACCACTACGCCCCCCTCATGTCCGACCTGGCCAGCCCCCGCATCCAGGCCCTGGCGCACCGCGGCCGCAGCACCACCCGCCTGGCCTGCCCGCCCCTGCGCCTGCCGCGCCAGCTGGCCGACCCCGGGGGGTGCGGGCTGGAGGGCTGGGCGCCGCCGCACGGGCCCGTGCGGCCGCTGCTGCAGCTGCTGTGCATCCTGCCACCCAGGAGGTGAGGAGGGGGGAGGGGGAGGGAGGGAGGGATGAATAGGGATACATATTATACAGGGAGAGGGGGAGGGGGGTTTCGGGGGTAGAGGATGTATCAGGGTGAGGGGAGAAGACGAAGGAACGAGAAGGGGAATCCTTGCATCCCTTTTTCTCTGTGTCATAACCCGCCTTCTCCCCGCACCCCCCCCCCCCCGCAGTGCCCAGTCTGCCCTCCCAGCCGACCTGGCATCCATGCTCCTCATAGCGCATGAGCTGGAGGAGGACGAGGAGGAGGAGGAGGGGGAGGGGGAGGAGAGGCGGAGTGGAGGGGAGGAGGAGGAAGCGGAGGAGAGAGGGGGGAGGCGGAGGCGGGGCGGCGGCGGCCGTCGAGGGGCGGGTGGGAGCAAGGGGGCTGGCGGCGGCGGCGGCGGCGGGCGAGGCGGCGGGGGTCAGCAACGGGGTGGCGGCGGCGGGAGGTCGGGCGGAGCTGGGTTTGGAGTGCTGCTGACGTCGGCAGCTGGTGCGGGGGATGGGGGGGGGGTTGGGGATTTGGGGGAAAAACGAAATTCCAAAGTGTGGTGTGATAATGATATAAGTTGCTGACAATCCCTGGTGGAATGAACCGTGAGTCGAGCCGAAATGGTGGTTAAAGCAAAGCGAGCGAAACTTACCGAACTTACCAATTATGGAGAAACCTTACCATAGGCTTGGGCATGTGTGGAGGCTGCTGAAGGTGAGCTGGAGACCCACCGCGCCGTGGGGCAGACGCAAACAGCAGGAACAGCACAACACGAGCACGAGGAGCTCCCCAGGCTAGGCAGCGTGGAGATCCGTGGGGTGCTTGACGGCGCACCGCGCACACGCAGCGCCGCCTCCCCGTCTCCTCCCCGCCCGTCTCCCGGCCTCACCCCCCGGCATCAGCGCAATCCCCGCCTGTCCCCCCCCCGCCCCTACCTCCCCGCCCTGCCCCCAGACCGCATCCGGGGGGACGCCTCCGACGACGGAGATGGCAGCTCCGAAGAGGATGAGGAGGGGCATGAGGCAGCTATGCAGGCTTCCTGGGGCAGGTGCGGGGCTTGGGGTGAGGACGTGAGGTGCTGGGTCTGCTTACCTTAATAGGTTCGCCCCCACCCCACCACCATCACAGCACACGCCAGCCGCTTCTTCATTCGCCGTACGCCGTACGCCCCCCTGCACGCATCCCCCCTGCAGCTCGTTAGCTGTCTCGTCAATTTCCTTATTCTTACCCCCCTCCTCCCCCGCCAGGTTCGGTCCGGCGCTGCCCTCTGCCTCCCTCGGCCCCTCCTCCTCCTGCCGCGGCTCCTGGGGTCTGGACGGTGCGGGTGCGCTCAGCCTGCACCTGCTGGCGCAGCGGGTGGCTCGCTACTTCCCCGCCGCCATACCCCCGCTGCTGGATATGTCGGGTGGGGCGGGGGGGGAGGAGGGGTTTATTACATACCGTATGAGAAGTGGGGGGGAGGAGGGTCGTGGTGGGTTGTGGGCTCGCACCGCGAATTGTGTATGTGTGGGAGGATGGGTGGCGGCGGGCAGTGGGACGTTGACCTTGTTACCTGAGCGCGACCAGGTGACTGCTTGCTGGGCAGCTGCGGCAATGGCAGCGGCGGTGGCAACACGCAGGGCTGTGCGGTCGTCAGTCAGGTTGCGGGGCAGTCCGCCCTCCGCACTATACCTCTCCCTTATACCTCCTCCACCACCCATCCCACCTTATACCTCCCACCTCCCAGCTTGTCTTCTGGTTTGCTTTCTCACTCAACACATTGGAACTTCTCCTCCCACCTTTCAGGCAAGAAACACCTTCACACGGCGGTGGTGCGGCTGCCCTTCGTGTCGCCCGGTCTGCTGGCGCACGTCATTCAGGAGGGGCTGAGGTGCGGGCTGCAGCTGAGCCAGGAGGAACAGGTGGGGGGGATGGCGTTGGAGGGTGTCTTTTGGCCTTTCAGCCACATGCATGCGTCCTGCCGCCACCTCCTGCTCCGCGCCCTCACTTTGTCCACTACCTACTCCCTTGCCCACTAACGCTCTGACCCCCAACCCCCACCCCCCACCCCGCCACCACCCCACTCCCACTCCAGGCTCGCAACCGAGTGCTGCCCGCCACCCTGCTGGTGCCCCAGCCCCTCTTCCGAGCGGCGGCAGCGGCGGTGGCGGCGGCGGCAGGTGGCGGGGCAGCGGCAGGAGAAGCAGTGTCAGCAGCAGCTGTGCGGCCCTCCCCCTCCCCCTCCCCCCGCCATGTGGCCTGGCAGCTACTGCTGCTGCGGGAGGAGAGGGAGAGGGAGGGGTTGAGGGAGGGGGAGACCCGGGGGCAGCAACAACCAGCAACTGCGGCACCTGCTGTGGTGCCTGCCACGGCGGCTGCTGCTGCCCCGGCCCCGGTCCCCTCTGTCGGCGGCATGGTGGCAGTTGGCGGCGCAGGTGCAGGAGGTGGTGTTGGTCGGTCCCCGCTGCCGCTGCTGGGAGGGGCGCTGGGGCTGCTGCTGGGCAGGAGGGAGATGAACCGCCCCACTGGGACGCCAGCTGCTGCTGGGGGTGGTGGTGTGGGGAGTGCTGCAGCAGGCGGAGGCGGCGGGCAGTGCCCAGCAGGAGGAGGAGGAGGAGGTGGAGGCGGAGCAGGCGGAGGAGGAGGCGGTTGTGGTGTGGCGGTGGTGGAGGTGGAGGTGGATGTGGCGGGGCTACCGGTGACTGGGACAGGGGCGGCACTGCTGCAGGGTAAGGAATGGGGGATCGGGGGGTCAGGGGCAGGGAGGGAGGGGGAGGGGAGGAGGAGGGGCGGTGGGGGGGGTTAGGGTTAGGGTAGGCGGGTTAGCGGCACATCGGGTGAGCTAGCTGGTGCCAGCTGCCTCCAACCCAATACCCATTGTTTTGCCCTAACTTTGTGGTTTGGTTTATTCTACCCTCCAACCCCCTCCACCCGCATGATACGTCACCACCTTGCTGCTTGTCCCCATTGGTTTGCCCCATTGGCATGCAGTCCGTCCCCTCGGTTTGACCCTCACTCTGACCCCCACTTTCCTTCGTTTTTCCCGCTCCCCCCGCTCGCCTGCCCCCCTCCCCCCCCGTTGCAGGCGCCCGCCCCCCCGAGTTGCGTGTGGACCGGCGCTCCTGGCGGCACCTGGCGGCGGCCTCCGCACGCGGCCGGCAGTATGCGGAGCGGGTGCTGGGTATACGCAGCGGAGCGGGGCAGCAGGTGGGGGGGGGAGGGGATGGGTTGGGAGGGGGGGAGGGAGGGGCATGTGAGCGTGTGTTCATAAGTGTATGTTTCGCTGCTGGTAGGGTACATCGGCGGTGGTGGCAGATGGCAGCGGTGGAAGGGACGTGGAGGAGCCGCTGCAGGCGAGGACAGCGCCTCTTGCCGCAGGGGCGCAAGTCCGCACACCGCATCCCACCATGCCACCCAAAACTGTCAGCACTGTTTGCGAGCCTCCCTTACAAACAAGGCTGCTCGCACAAACTCCCACGTCTGTGCATTGCTGGCCCTGACGTGCTCCCCCGCTCCCCACCTCCAGTGCTTCGCTACTAGTCTTTTATACTACTTATACTGAACTATTTACCCCATCACCACCACCCCGCCGCAGTATCGCTGTTTTGGCGGCAGTGCCGGCAACCCCGCTGCGCAGGCCAACGCGGGGGCAGTTGGGGGAAGCCAGGAATACATGGAGTACGGAGGCGGAGGCGGGGGTGGGGGCGGGGGTGGCGGCTCTGGGCGTGGTGGTGGTGGTGGTGGCGGAGGCGGCAGAGGGGGGCGCTATGCAGACATGGGGAGAGGTGGCGGTGGTGGTGGCGGGAGGGGTAGGGGTAGGGGGAGAGGCGGCGGGGGTGGAGGAGCAGGAGGAGGTTACGGCGGGGCTTCGTCACACGGCTCCTACCAGCAGCGGCAGCAGCAGCAGCAAGGGGGCCCGGTGTACTATGGTGGGAGGGGCGGGGGGTCGTACTATGAGCGCATGCGGGGCCGGGGGTGAGGGAAATGCAGGTCAACGGGTGGCGTGTTGGGAGTTGGGTGTTGGGAGGTGTCGTAGCAGATGCGGATGGGGTTGGAAGGGGTCAAGAGCTTGTGGTGTGTTTGTGCGCGCGCTGGAGTCTTGTTTTTCAACAAGACCGCAAGCAGCCCTGGGAGCCCCTAGGTGCTGCTGCTGCTGGGGCAACAGCTAAAGAGGTGTTGTGTACCGGTAAACACGAGCATTGTTGGTGGTGGTATGAGTACTGGTCTACTGGAGCATTGCTGCTGTTGTTGTTTCGGGTGAAGCCAGCAGATGCTGGTAGTAAAGGGCTTGGTAATGGCTTTTTCCTTGATGTGCTGCGCCGCCTGGCCCTGTGTGGTCATTCGCTAGCCGGATATGTGCAAGCCTGCTGTAGGCTGTAGGGTGTGGGGGTGATGGGGGAGGTAAGGTTAAAGCCCGCCTAGTAGCTCGGCGCGGGTCGGTGGGTGGCGCGGCGTCATGACTATTACACCAGATACTGCAGAACCGAACGAACTGGGAAAGCGGCAAGTCAGATGGGGTGTTCCCGCTCCCATTTTGGCTCCCCTGGAGTCAAGCCTCCAAGCCTCCAGCCACCCAGCACCGCTTTTGGTCTTATAAAACGGTAATCCCTTTAAACAAGCCTAAAGGTACACGAATCCGTCTTTACGTCCAACGCGTCTGGCTGACCGTTGGCGCATGTTGTTAATCAGGAAGCTTTGACGCTATACTTGTCGTTCTATATGCAACCTACAGTCACGGGTCTTACAGACACCACAACCGGTTAACACCCTCTCGCATGAGCTTCACCAGCCCTAGGAACTAATGATACCACCCACCTGCATGCCAGCGCGGCGCATCGCCGTGGCACTGCGGGGGGGAAGTGGCGGCAGTGGGTGTGCAGATGAGGCCCCTGTCGAGCAGAAGCAGCGAATGCTTCTGTACTGGTGCTCGCTGCCACGGTCCGTGTAGTTGGGCTCACCGAGACCGCTCTCGCATAACGGGCACTGCAAAGAAAAGCCGGCAAGTCAGTATTTCCAAAATGAAAAGAGCAATGAGGCATGTCTTACCTTGAATAGCGACAGCACTGCCAGGAAGGCGTCTGCCGTCTCCACTGAGACGTTACACGCCCTGGCCGCACTCTCCCTGGCCGCACTCTCCTTGTCGACACGGTTGCAGCGGTTGTGCACGCTCATAAGAGCGCAGTACGTAAAGAGCCTGTCCACACCCTGCGCGTCCTTCAGCTCAGGGTTCTCTTTGATGATCTTCGCGATGGCGACCTCGGTCTCTCCTCGGGCTTCATCGGAGGAGCCACCCGCCGGCACGGGCCTGACCGAAGACCCATGGGTCCATTGTCATAGTATCGCATAGTACCGCTGCCGCTGCCGCTGTCGCTGCCCGTGCCGGCCCGTGCCGGCGGGTGGCTCCTCCGATGAAGCCCGAGGAGAGACCGAGGTCGCCATCGCGAAGATCATCAACGAGAACCCTGAGCTGAAGGACGCGCAGGGTGTGGACAGGCTCTTTACGTACTGCGCTCTTATGAGCGTGCACAACCGCTGCAACCGTGTCGACAAGGAGAGTGCGGCCAGGGCGTGTAACGTCTCAGTGGAGACGGCAGACGCCTTCCTGGCAGTGCTGTCGCTATTCAAGGTAAGACATGCCTCATTGCTCTTTTCATTTTGGAAATACTGACTTGCCGGCTTTTCTTTGCAGTGCCCGTTATGCGAGAGTGGTCTCAGTGAGCCCAACTACGCGGACCGTGGCAGCGAGCACCAGTACAGAAGCATTCGCTGCTTCTGCTCGACAGGGGCCTCATCTGCACACCCACTGCCGCCACTTCCCCCCCGCAGTGCCACGGCGATGCGCCGTGCTGGCATGCAGGTGGGTGGTATCATTAGTTCCTAGGGCTGGTGAAGCTCATGCGAGAGGGTGTTAACCGGTTGTGGTGTCTGTAGGACCCGACTGTAGGTTGTATATAGAACGAGAAGTATAGCATCAAAGCTTCCTGATTTCGCAAAACGTCATACGGGTGCAGTTTACAACATGCGCCAACGGTCAGCCAGACACGTTGGACGTAAAGACGGATTCGTGTTCCTTTAGGCTTGTTAAAGGGATTACCGTTTTATAAGTCCTAAAGCGGTGCTGGGTGGCTGGAGGCTTGGAGGCTTGGGAGCGGGAACACCCCATCTGACTTGCAGGAAAGCGGGTCCTTGAACAAAATTTTTGTACTCCATGCAAATACAATACTCGGATGGTGAACATGCAGGTACCGGTAGGAAGTAGCACAAAGCAACTTGCCCTATTGATACGGCCTTAACCTATAGCCCTTACTGGATAACAATAAATAGCTAATGAATGTTTGCGAAACTGGTGAAAACGACTCTTACGCGTTGCTCTTTTGAGGGATACCGGTACGCAAACAGCATGCAAGCATATGCCTTATCCTGTCTAAGTAACCTAGCCACTAGTAAGCCCAAGGAGTACTGCAATGCTTAACGTTATACATTACATTGCAAAATGCGGTCGGCACTGCTTCCTCCTCCCCGAACCAGTGTGCGCAACATCATTAAGCCATGTTTGCACGGAAGGCTTGTAAGGTCTGGTCGCCGGTTGCGACCTTATCACCCATTCCATACCAGCGGCCCTCAATCTTCGGCCCCGGTGCTGATTCACCTTAAGCAGCTGCCCAAAGCCCCCCTGGCGCCTGCTGCTGCTGCTGCCCAGGAACCTCCTCCCCAGCAGCGCAGGGAGACCTCCACCGCCCGCAGCAGCAGCAGCAGCGGAAGGGGCGGAGGCAGCAGCGGAAGGGTCGGAGGCAGCAGCGGAAGGGGCGGTGGCAGGGGCAGCAGAGGGGCCGCACCTGAATCCAGGCACGGGGCAGCTGGGAGGGGTGGTGGCAACAGGGAGGCAGGAGGGCAGGACGTGAAGCCGCCGCAGTGGGGCCGCCAGGGTGGGAGAGGAGGCGGAGGCCGCGGGCACGGTGGCCCCGCCCGCGGGAGCTGCAGTGCGGATGCGCTACGGGGCGCTCCCGACCTGCGCACCCTCATGGCATTGATTGAGGACCTGGCGCCGGCCTGGGCGGCAGCAGGGGACGTGGACAGCCTCCGGACTGCGTTCTCAGTCCTTGTCAGGGTGAGTGAGACATCCCGACCCAAGCTCCTATCAGATCAGGAACAAGCGCAGGGACTCCTTAACGGCTCTGCGAGTAGCGGTAATGGAAGGATGGAGATTTACTGCTAAGTTTGCCTTTGGAGCAGGCCTCAGGGCCCCCATTCATCGAGAGAAGCGGGAGACCCACAGTCCCCCATGCCATGGCGGTGTGGCAGCAGTTGGAATGACGCACGTATGCTGAACCTGAACCCTGAACCGGGCACCAAGGCTAGCGGGTGAAAAACATGGCTAGCGGGTTACAAACACCTACCCAAACATCACAGCCCTGCCCCGCTTTGTACCCTTCCCTGCCTCCCTACCCCCTCCTCTGCCCCACAGCTCGGCTCCCGCCCTGGTGCCGACACGCGGCTGCTGCCCCGCGCCCTCACCACCCTGGCAGCCGCCTACCTGCCACTGGTGCCGGGACTGGGGGACGCATTCTCGTGTGTGGCCCCGTTGTATGCCTGTGCCAAGCTGGGCTTCTGGGAGGGGCAGCTGCCGGCAGCACTGCTGGAGCGGCTGGGGCGGGATGGCGGGAAGCTGATGCATGGGGCTACTGCGCAGGGGCACAGCAACCTGTGGTGGTCTCTGTCATCGGCCGACGCACCCCCGCACCTCATAACCCTAGCGGACGGCGCCCTGAATGCAAGTGCTGTGTGTTTGGAGCAGATGCGACCCTCAGAGCTCGGCCCGCAAGCCTGCTCCAACATCCTGCTGGCATGTGCCCGGCTGCAGCGCCGCCACGACCCCCTGCTGCACCACCTGACCGCCTGCCTGGTGCAGCTGCCGGACGCCAAGTGCCAGGAGCTTGCCAACTCACTGTATGCGCTGGGAAAGCTGGCAGAGAGCTGCGGGCATAAGCCTCGGCAGCAGGACCTACGCAGCCTGGCGGGTAGGGTCTTGCAACGGCTGTTGTCACAGCAGCCGGGCAGGCAACATGGTGAAGGCTTCCAAGGCGACGCGGACCGCTTTGTGCCTCAAGCGCTGTCCAACATGTTGCTGGGGTGCGCCAAGCTGGGCTTCTCACAACCCGAACTTGTTCAGTCGATGGCAGCTGCACTTGCGGGCAGCAGCCAACGAGTTGCGGAACAGCAGCTGGCCAATGCATTGTATGCACTGGCTGCGTTGGGGTGCTCCGGTGCTGGGTTTACCTCGGCCACGAAGCAGCTTTTTGACGAGGTGCGATGGCGTCTGCACAGCACACCTGGTCACTTCATTCCCCAGCACCTGTCCAACCTGCTGTGGGCCCTGGAGCGGCTACGGCCGGGGGGGCAGCAAGAGGCGCTGTTGCAGGAGGCCCTGGCAGCAGAGTGCAGGCGCCGCCTGTTCGCGGGCTTCAAGCCTCAGGAGCTTGGGAACGCGGCCTGGGCGCTGGCCAGGATGGGCTTCAGCGAGCAGGACTGGTACGAGGCAGCTGTGGCAGCAGCACTGGTCTCAGGTGCCATGAGGGGGGCAAATGCGCAGGCATGGGCGAACATGTGGTATGCCCTAGCGCTGGTCCGGCACAGGCCTCCGGACGCCTTGATGGAGGCTACTACAGCAGCTCTGAGGGAGGTTACAGCAGCAGCAGCAGCAGCAGCAGGGGATAATAACGGTAACGGTGGGAAGCATGCGAGCGGTGGACGTCTACTTGGTCCAACCCCCCAGGCCTGCTCCAACCTGCTGTGGTCCCTGGCCACACTGGGTCTCTACCAACAGCAGCTGGTGGATGGGCTGGTGGGGCGGCTGGGGGAGATGACAGCACGGGGGCAGCAGCAGGGGGGGCAGCAGCAGCAGCAGGGGAAGGAGGAGGAGCAAAAACAGCAGCAGCAGGAGGGGGAGGGGGAGGGTGACAGCAGGGAGGGGTGCACCACCACCCAGGTCCTTGCCACCAGCTTGTGGTCGCTCGCAGTGATGGGCCCTGATGAGCTGTCCCGCCACAGCGGCCTGGTGGAGGGGTTGCTGAGGGAGGTGGTGCGGAGGTGGGAGGTGCGGGAGGCGGAGGGGGGGCGGGAGGGCTTTGCAGCGGAGGATCTGGTGCAGTTGTGGCAGGTGCTGCAGGAGCTGCGGCATGCGAGCGGCGGCAGCGGGGGCGGGGGCAGCAAGGGAAGGGGCAGGCCGCGCAAAAGTGCTTATAAAAAGCTGGAGCTGCTCCTCGCTGGCGGTGCTGCCGGCAGCAAGCAGGACTCACTGCTGCGGGCGGTGCGGGTTGCAGCGCAGGGGGACCGGCGGGAGCCCCACACGTCCAGGATACAGCTGGCCGTTGTGGAGGCTGTCCGGCAGCTGAAGGCAGCCGCCGGCGGGGAGGCCAGCTGCAGGGGTGCAGTTGGAGACGACGAGGAGCACGTGAGTTGCACCCGCAGCCCCTCTCCTAGCAGCAGCGGCCCTTCCAGTCCCACTCCTAGCAGCAGCCCCATCCTGGCCATCCTCCCCGAGCACCCGGTGGAGGCGCTGTGCTGCCGGGTGGACGTGGTGGTGGAGCTGGCTGGAGGGAGGCGGGTGGCGGTGGAGGTGGACGGGCCGTCGCACTTCCTGGCCAACCACCCGCACACCCACGCCAAGGATGGCTCCACGCAGCTGCGAGACAGGCAGCTGGAGCGGGTGTTTGGGGCGGGGAACGTGGTGAGCGTGCCGTACTGGGAATGGAACGAGTTGGAAGGTCGGGAAGGTCACCAGCTGGCTTACCTGAGTGAGCTGCTTGGGTTGCGGCAGCGAGGTGGCTACCGGTAGCTACCGGCCCTAGTTGGGGTGGGGCCCTAGACAGCAGTGCAGTGCAGTGCGCCTCCCTGGAGTCCCGGTGGTTGGCCCCCACTGCATAACGTCCGTGAAGCAGCGGGCTGCACCAGGGCCTTGTGCTGCCATGCGGTTTGGTCCTCCTGTGTTCCCGGGGGAGTGTTGAGAGCAGATTCATGCAGCAACACGAGCAGGCGGGGCCTTGGGGGGGTGGGCAGCACACAGCCCGCACAAATGCGATGTGCTGTATGTCACATGTACGGCATGTGGGGCGTTTAGGTAGAGGTTGACAATGCTGCATACACTGTACAATATGTAGGGTAAGAGAAACGTAGGACGTTGGAGGTCGTTGCTTAACCAACCACCAGGCCAGTCGAGTCGCCCCTTAACCCTGATCCCAGTTGCAATGGGACTTCATTCGGCGCGCCACACTCGAGGCGGCGTGTGCGGGTGCATCCGCGCAACTACTAGCAGCAAACGCAATTGTGTTTACGCTATACTGGTATGAATCAAACGTTCATGATTGAATCTGGCACAGCGCCGAGCAGCCGACATGCCTCTCATCTTCACAGCGGGTCTCCACCACATTTGCCTTCCGAAGGCCGAATGAGTGGTGGTCAGCTGGTCACACCCCACACACAAGTCCTCTCATGGATGCTGATCGGCTCCGTCGCTTCTGCCCGCACAGCGCCATGCAAGCAAACACCCGCAGGGCAACACAAGCTGACGCCCGCCCTAGGCACACCCATGAACCGCGTCCCTCAACCACCTCAACCTCTTCCGCACCTTACCCAGCTCACCTACGCAGCCGCCACCACCACATTCCGGCCCCACCACCCCACCACCTCCAACCACGACTCCCCTTTCTCCAACCGCATTGCGAGCCCGCGTTCCTGCTCCTTCACCCCTCCCCTCTGCGGGACGCCCTTCTCGGCTGGTTGCTGGCCTGGATTGCCTGCTCGCTGCAAAGACAGCTTACAACAATGCAGCACTAACCTTCGTGACCTTCTCCCACCATACTACTACCGTACCGTACCATAACACTTACAGCCCGTTGCAATTAACCCTATACACATGCCCCTCCCCTCCCTCTCACGCCGCCGCCAGCAGCTGGTCGAAGTCCAGCCCCGCCGCCCCTCCCGCCCCCCCGCCCGCCCCCGCCCCCTCGCCCTGCCGGGGCTCCAGGTCGATCAGCTGCGCCGAGCGGGCCGCCAGCTCGCCGATGGCCACCCGGCCCCGCTGCCGCAGGAAGGACGCCACCGCGGCCATCTCCTCCAGGCTGATGTAGATGTACTGCGAAGAGGGAGGGGGAGGGAGAGGGGGGGGGGAGGGGTAAGGTAAGCTCGCTGTTAGTGGTGTACAAGTGCGGCTTCTCATATGCAATGGCTTATCTTGTGTGTTACACACCACCTGTGCCCTCCCCTCCTCCTCCTCCTCTTGCTCCTACAGCTCCTCAGTCTCCTCCTTTACATCCTCCTGCTCCTCCCCCTGCTCCTCCTCCTGCTCCTCCTCCTGCTCCTCACCTTGCCCCGCTCGTCCATGACGCCCGTCAGCCGCCCCGCCGCCTCCAGACTGCGGATGCGCTCCACCGCCTCCGCGCTCCGCATGCCCAGCTCCAGCGCCGCCTCCTCCAGCGGCACCGTCTTGCGGCCCCGCACGTAGGCCTCCAGCCGGGACAGCTGGTCGGCGGCGGCGGCACCCGACTCGTCACCGTCTGCGGGGGAGGGAGGGAGGGAGGCCGGGAGGGAGGGAGGAAGAGGGGTTTATGTGGGTCAGAGCGGAGAGCGGATGGGGGAGTTGCGGCCTGCCTGCCAGCGGGTGCCAACTAAACCCCCCACCCCCCATCCACAAGTACCAATCCACCTGTACCAGGCAATCTGGAACCAGCAACCAAGCATTCTGTCTCCCTACAGCCTGGTACGGCATCCATCCATCTCCCAGCTCCCCGCCAACAACCCCTCCCCCCTCCCCGCCCCGCACCCACCCTCCCCCTTCGCCTCCAGGCTGATCTGCCCCATCCACCGCGCCGCCTCCTCCTCCTCCCGCCGAGCCCGCTCCTCAGCCGCCCGCCGCATCTCCTCCTCCTGCACACCACAGCAGCAGCAGCAGCGGGGACACTTCACCGCCAGCAGCAGCAGCAGCAGCAGCAGCAGTGCATCCCAGTGTGCCCGACCTCATCATCGTTCCCGTCAACACCTCGCATGACCCGCGGCAACACCGCTGGCCCACCCCCCACCCCCTGTGTGCGCACTTCACCTCCTCACTCACCTCTGCTCCAAGCGCTCCTACAGCCACAACAACACTCTCCCCGCCACTTCCCCTTCACCTTCCCCCCCGCGCCGTCACCTTCCCCCCCGCCCCGCCCCTCACCCCCCCCACCTGCGCCGCCTCCTGGGCCTCCCGCTCCGCATCCCTCTTGGCCCGCCGCTCCTCGTAAGCACTGCGCTTGCTGGCGGGCCGCCCCTCGCCCTCCTCATCGCCCTCGCCGTGATGCTGCGCCCCGCCGCCCTCACGACGCGCCGCACGCCGGCCGGCAGCACGGCGCCGCGGCTGGCGGCCCCCCTGGAGTGAGGAGGGGGGTGGGGAGAAGGATCGCCCGTTAATCCGTCTGCCCGGGGTTGTTCTGATGTACACAGGAATGGGCACAGGGTGGGCGAGCTTACTTCGTCTTCAGAACCGCTGCCGCTGGCGCTCTCCGCGTCAGAGTCGTCCCTCTCATGCTCTTGCTCCGCCTCGGCTGCTTGCCTCTGCGCTAGTCGCTGGCGCATGCCTTCTCGCATGCGATCCAGTGCGGCCTGTCGCCTCGGTGGTGCTTGCCTAACAGGAACTGCAGCTTCCTGCGTAACCAGATATGCACCATACGGTCATGGTAGAACAAGTGCGTCTCCCGTCGCCTTCATAGTTATCTCGCCTGTTGACGCGCTTGCGGAGTTTGTTCCACATCCTTCTTCGCTGTCTTTGTCGTCTTTATTGTAAGGTATGCAAGTCCAGATATCACCGCAAGCAGGACCACAGCGGCCAAAATGACGTGCAACATTTCTGCGTGTTTCGGACGCCCTGGACAATCTGATGCTACCTAACTACAAAGCTATCCTACTTCACTTCACAACATATCCAACGGGAGCTCGCGGTTGCAAATGGGATGGGCGGATAACTTCAACTCCAACAACGCGTCGCTTAGGCTTAGAGTCCTTAACAGCTGCCCCGTTAACAATAGGTAGTTGATCAGACAAACGTATAGTACGGGGTCGCGAGTTCGGTCGTCATCCCTCTCGTGCCGAGTCGTACACAGCGCGGGTTTGTGAGTGCCCTCCGTCACCTTATGGATCATGCAGTAAGGGGTTGTGGTCCCGGGAGAGTTGTGGCCTACCATCGGGGTAAAGTTTGCAGTGTATCGGACACGCCTTACATCGGTCCGTTGTCAACGCACGCCAGGGGAACTGCTTATAGGCGGGTTTCTCCCATTAGTCATGTAGACTCGAGCGCAGTGGCACGCCGTCTGTAGTCACTGCGGTGCTGTTGTAACGGTGAGTTGCCTTTCCTTTCCTTGACAGCCGCAGTGCGTTCACTCAGTAAACGGGAGAGCTCGGTACAGCTGGGAGACCTCGTTGTGGACACAGGCCGTCTGCGGATGCCGATAACCCCGGCCAGAAGGTCATCAGCAAAACACCGTAGTAAGCGTAATAATTGTACAACATTACAAAATTATGCTTCGTGACACGCACAATATGAGGGGACTTCCGGTCCTCTGCAACGCCGGCACATGCTAGTTGTACGAGGTCTACGGTTGGCCTCGCCAAGGCCGCTCCTGGTCAAGCCTTGATATAACCTTTAACCGTACCGTACCTCTTCCATTCCCAAACAGGCGAAACAACTAAACCCCCAGCCTCCACCCACCCCACCGCACCCGTGACGTACATACCGGTAGCTGCATGTCCAGCCCGCATGACAATCAAAGTAAACAACCCTTCTCCACCGCCCCCGCGCCGTCCTGGTTCTGCCCCAAAAGTTTCTCGTAGCCAAAACGGCCATGCCCTCCCACCCATGCGCTCACTGCATGAGTCGGGATATGGGATTGGGGCTCGTTGTTTCACATATTTAATTTTTTCCCTCCCCTCCGCCTCCCCGTCACCATACCGAAAACAAAGGAGTTATGGGACGATACTGCCCTCGCGACACACACACACAGTTATTTTAACACACACACACACACACACACACACACACACACACACACACACACACACTCCCTGCACTACTGATCAGTATCGCACGCAATGAAGCTTCACCACTCGGATATATTTTCCATAAAGAGCAACCTCTGCCTCGTAGCCGACCCGCACCCTGGCTGCATAATAACATAAGCTCTAGGAATATGTGTACGGGTATACAGCATGGAATGCCACCCTCAGGGCTTCGACAGGTGCAACAGCACTGTCCGCAACACCCGCTACTTCGAGCATGCGTTACGGTGTCGCCCGTCCTTTCCATTGCTGTCCTAACCCACGTGCACGCCTACGGTATACCGGTGCGAAGCCGCCTCAACAACAAAAGAGACCAACTCTGCCCAACCCCACCATACTCAACAATCACTTCTTGGGGTCACCGGAACCTCTACAACCCCCGCAAGACACACAGCTGCTGCAGTACGCCTACAAGGAACAGCAACCCACACGCGTCGGCACCCCAACCCGTAAACCGCTAGGGAGTACCTGTCGCTATAACAGTACCGGTCGGCGACCCTTTAGGAACGCGGTCGCATGTGGCCACATCAATAGGAAGTACGTGACAAGTGTGAGAATGCAATGAGGAAGCAGGATGCATGGATACCGCTACCGACGTAAATCAACTACCAACTACCGGTAATAATAAAGCGCCAACGCGGCTAATGCGCCCTCAATGCGCCTGGGGCGACAGGGCCCCGTGCATAACACCCTCGCCGCAGTGGTGAGGGGCCAGTCGGGGCGGCAGCGATGGCAGTCGACCGCCCCTGCCACCACATGGCATTGCTACCCAGGCATTCCAGTAAAGGCACGCAGCAATCACGCGTCACAATCGCGTACGTATCGCACGCAGCAGTTAGACGCCATGACAGGACAAAGGCACCCCCCTAATCGTGCACAGCAACCAAAACGATATATAGGCTGATTCAGCTGAGCAGTGCGGTATACGCCTGAAGCCGTTCAGACCCCGGCTGACGTCATTACACTCCGACGAGCTTAAAAAAGCGCTCGCGCAAAAAGCGTGCGCAAAGCAGCACTGCTTGAAATCAACTGGTAGTCCACTTGCAAAATAAAGCGGATTAGTAAAGCCAGTATATAAATGGTAGGGCCAGCAGCTGGGGGCGAGAAAGATGGAAGTAGGGCCACCCGCCAGCGCCGAAACTCCAACAGAAGTGGGTTTCGGCGCCACAACCATGTTTGCCCCTTCCTGCTCTTGCCCCTTTGCTTGCCTCTACGCACATACGAAGTAAATACACACGAACGCACACATATCGCGGCCAATTGGTATAACGAACCAGTCGAAGTAACACGCCACGCGCATACCAAATGAGTAATCACAAACCAAAACTTGTGCCAACACTACAATGGCTCACCGGCACAGCACCCGGCGCGACAATCCCCTCCGACTCTTCATGCATGGCTGTGTTACGAAGGTTGTGTCCAACGGCGCCTCAGCAGGTTGCATCTGCTCGAGATCTCAACACACGCGCACAGCACAACAGCCCCCATGAGTAACACCGCACCGCCGCCTCTCACTCCCGCCCAGCCTCCACCATTTCTATCTGGATCTCGGCCTCACTGCGAAGCGGCGGCGACTCCACTCCGTCCCCCTCCGAGCACACCAGCTGCTGCTGCTGCGGTGGCCCGTGTAGCAGCCTCTGCGGACTGGCAGCAGCGGCTGCAGCGGCAGAGGAAGAGGAACCCCCTGCATCCGCTGCCGCCGATGCCGCCGCTGCATCCGCTGTTGCCCCCAGAGACGAGCGCAGGGCCGCAGCCAGCGAAAACCCGAGGGGCGGCTGTTGAGACCCCAGCGCCTGCTGGTTGCCGGCTGGCGCCTGCATCCGCTGCTGCTGCTGCAGGGGTTGCTGTACCCCTGGAGGCTGGTGCGCTAGCGTGATAGGGCGTAAGGGCGCTGATGCTGTCGCGGGCAAGGCTTCAGCTCGGGAGGGGCGAGAAGGGCCGCCGGGACCAGCGGCCGGCTCTCCGCCTCCGCTGCCATCCTCGCCACCGCCGCCGAGGCCTGGGCTGACGCTGCCGCCGACCCCGCCGTACTGTTGCCAACGTTGCTTGTATGACATACCGGTACCGCCGGCGTAGGCAGTACTGCTGCTGCTGTCGAAACTCCTCGCGTTCCCCGCTGTGCGGCTGTTGTTGGCTGTCGGCTCCGCAAAGGTGACGCCGCCCATCAGGCGCCGGCGGGTGCTGCCAGCCCCCGCACTGCCCGCGCAGCTCATCTGGCTCGCCAGGATATTCATGCCCCGACTGCTGCCGCCCGCCAAGGGAAGAGCCACCCCAGCGCTGCTGCCACCAGTGGTGCCTGTCGAACCCCCCCATGCTCTGGGAAGCCCCGTCTGATCCCGCGGCGAGCTTCCACCCCCGCCCATGCCGCTACCTCCGCTGCCCGGCCCCGGTAGCAAGCAAGCAGGACCCGGTCCGTACGATTGGCGCTGACCGCCGCCGCCGGCGTTGCCACCACCCGCGGGTGCCAGCTCCGGGGAGTACGAGGTCGCCGCCATGCCTGCACTCATGCTGGCGAAGCGGCTGTCCGCCGCCCGCACGGGGGACGCCGCCAGCAACGCCGGCTGCGAGTTGCGCTGCTCCGTGAACGCCAGCCTGGAGGACGCCGGCGAGAGCTGCTTCCTGCCGCCCAGCAACATGCCGCCAAAGCCCTGCAGCCCCCCGCCCGGCTCGGGATCTGGCAGCGCCGCCAGCGTGCCGCATGACAGGTCCTCCTCACACAGGCTGTAGCCCGTGTCAGGCGCACCCCAGTCGGAACGGCCGCTACGACCCCCGATGGCGCCGGAGTCTGGCCCCAGGGGCGCCCGAGTGTCGGCAGAAAGCCGCCCGCCGGTGCTGCCAACCCCCACCCCCGCCGCCATGCTGCCATGGGCGGTGGAGGCACCGGCGGCGCCAGTGGCGGCGGAAGCGGCAACTGCCATGCGAGACGCGGACACAACTGAGATCTGCGGACTGCGGTGGTGGTGGTCTCGAAGCGCGATTCTCGGGTTTGATCCCGACAGCCCCGCCGCCGCTGTTGCTGTTGCTGCTGCTGGTGGTTCGGTGCTAGCAGCAGGGTTGCTGGGTGCTGCTGCCGGGTGCGACGCAGCAGCAGTGCCGCCGCCGCCGTCAGTGCCGGCATCCGTGCCGCTGCCACCTGCTGCCGCGGCGCCGGCGGGCTCCCGGGCCTCGTCCCGCTCGTCCGCCCAAAACACCTCGAACAGCCGCATCTCCTCACGAACACCCTTCAGGCTGCGGACCGAGGGGACGAAGGCGAGAGGAGAGAAGTGAACCCCGTGGTAAAATCCATCATGCAAACCAAGTAGCATCAAAGGAGACGAATGGCAGGCCAGGGTTGCCGGTTACCGCACACCGCATAGCAAATCGCAAGCCCGCGCCCAACCGCAGCAAACCAACGCCGGCTCGCCCCGCACCGCACCTGTAGCTGCCCAGGAACCGGGCGTCCAGCCTCTTGGACGCCGGCAGCTGCACCTGACTCCCCACCAGCCGTCTCAGCGCCTGCCACTCCAGGGAGGAAGCCAGCACAGGGGCGGACTCCTCCGGAACAGCACCATCGCCGCCGCCTCCTCCACCGTCGGTTTGCGGCGTTCCAGCCGGAGCGTTGCCGGCGCCAGCTGGGCTCCGGCTGAACGTAGCAGCGGCGGCAGCGGCAGCAATAGGACCCATGCCTTGGGCGATGGCGGGTCCGGAGTTCCGCCGCAGGGTAAAGGACTGCGCCGCCGCAGCGGCCGCCGCCACGACGTTATGCAGTGCCGTACGCGGCAACACCGAAATCGACGCGGCACGCGTCACCAGACCGCTCGCGGCCGCACCCGCGCACCCTGACCCCGAACCCACCGCCCCGCCGCCCCCCTCACCCGCGCCTCCTCCGCCCGTGTCGCCCAACCCGCCGTGCTTCGAGGTGAAGGACGTGACGCGGCGGCTCAGCGCCAGCGCCGTCGCCGACATCTGCTTGGCGCTCACGGAGCGAGTGGAGCGCAGCGTCGCCGCCAGGTTAGCCGCCAGGGAGCCGGGCCGCAGCTTGGGCTGCACCTCCGACAGCGCCTCCCGCCGCACCGGACTCGCGCCGCCGCTGCCCACACCGCCGCCGCTGCTGCCGCCGGCGCCGGCGCCACGGCCGCGGAGTAGGGACAGGGCCCGAGTGGAGCCCCGACCGCTACCGCCGGAAGCGAGCGTGAGGGCGGCGCCGCCGGCTCCTCCCAGCTCCGGCAGCACATCCTCACCCTCCGCAGCCGAGGAGGAGGTGCCCTCCGCCGCCGCCGCCGCAGCAGCAGCTTCGGCCGCCTCCGCCGCCTCCGCCGCGGCGCGCTGCCGCTCCTCCTCGATCTCCCGTACGATGGTAGCAATGGACGCGCCCACCGCCTCCCATGCTTCCTTGGAACACACGATCTGGGTCGGGGAAAAAGAGAGGAGAGGAGGGCAGGAGAGGGAGCACCAATTGCAGCAGGAACAATACAGGGAGGATGTAAGGATGGGGAAGACGGACGGGGAGAAGTACAGCGGACGAGCGGAGGTGTATGTAGGATGGGAATGACGTTCCTACCTCCCCCCTCCCTCCCATCCTCCAACCCCACCCCATCCTCCCCCCAACACGCCCACGCACCCCGCCTCCTGCACACCCACGCACGCCCACCTGCTCCGAAGCCGCCTTGTGTGCAATGCGCGAGGTTCGGTTCATGACCTTGCCGCGGTAGGTCATGCGCCCGGTGGCCTGGTTCACCTCCACGTTCACACTGCCCACATGCACGCCGGTGCGGGGGCGGGGGCCGCGGCCGTTGCGGGGAGTGGGATTGGTATGGGGGGCGCCGCCGCCGGTGTTGGGGCCGCCGGTGACGGGTTTGGGGCCGCCGGGGTTGGGTGACGTGAAGCGGTACCAGCGGCGGACCTGCGGCGAGCGGCCGGGCGCGTCACGTGTGTGTTGTACGAGTGGAGGAGTGGAAGGAGTGGAGGAGAGGGTGTCTCCAGGTGCTAGGGCACGCCGCGTAGAGCAAGGACATGAACAGAGGAAAGGGCCACCCCCACATAATCCGAGGCATCCTCGCTGTGAAACCGGTACCAGCTGCCCAGTACCCGGTCCCCCACACAACCCCATGCTACACCCGTGCCTCCGCTCCCCCAGCCCCCACCGCCCTCTCATCACCCTTACTCCCACCCAAGCTCAAGACATTGGGTACCGGTATCCTTCTTCGCCCCCATCCTCGCCCCCACCCACCCACTCCTCACCTCCGCCGACCAGTTGTGTTGCTCCAGCGCCTCCCGGCAGCTGAGCGCCCACACCAGCGCCGCCGCCGCGTGCCTGAATGCCGCCAGACACAGCCCCTCGCTCGCCTCCACCAGGTAACCGCCGCAGCGGCTGCACAGCTCGGTCACGATGGACTGGGGGGGGTGGGGGGAAATATAGATAAATGGAGGGAGGGGAGGAGCCGGGAGGGGGAGGAGGAGGAGGAGAGGGGGGTCAAGATAGACCAAACCATAGGAAAGCGCGAATTAGGGGAAGCCAATGGGGGAAGCAGGGTCAGGCAGAGAGGGCGGGTCAGGGCGGGCGAGCTCCCAGGGCGCTGCGGGCAGCACCTCAGCTGCGGGCAGCACCTCGCCACCGAGTGCCGCTTGGTGAGCGGGAGGTGCGCAGCGGACGAGGGGTGCCCCGAGTCACGAGCCAAGCCCGGCGGGCGGGGGTGAAAAGCGGTGTGCCCCCCTGTTCCCGGCCCCCCTCTTGCAGCCCACCTTGAACTGCTGCAGCGCCTCCACTCCCGGCTGACCCAGCTCCGCAACTGCAACAGGGGCCGAGGGAGGGGGAGGGAAGGGAAGGGCCAGCAGGGAGGGAGAGGGGTGGGTAAGGGGCAGCTTACTCGAGGGGTGCTACCTGTGTACACATCCCATGGGAAGGTGCCAAGCGGAGGCACGCAAGCTAGCAGCCGGAGACCCGGAGCTGCACACCAGCCCCCCGGCTTCCCTAAAGCTCCCCAACTCCATCCCCTCCCCCTCCCCTTCCCCCCTTCCTCTCTCCCCGTCCTCTCTTCCCCTCTTCCCCTCTTCCCCTCTCCCTCCCTCCCTCCCTCCCTTCCCCCCCTACCCAGCATGCTCGCCGAGGCCACATGCATGAAGCTGATGGCGCAGTAGCCGGTGGGCGCGTCCTCCGTGCCCATCTGCGACAGCGGGATGTTGCGCAGCGGCGCCGCGTAGCCCAGCCGCTGCAGCAGGTCGCGGTGCACCAGCTGGTAGAGGCAGTAGCGCGGGTGCTCGGGGGCCAGGGACAGACCCAGGTCCGACTCGCCGCTGAACACAGCCTGCAGAGGTAGCAGGGCAGAAAGAGAGGGGTGGGGGTGGGGTGGGGGTTGCAGGAGGAAGGGGCGGACTCATCTCCGTATTTGTGAGTTACGTGAGATGTAGGGGTGCGCGTGCGGGCGAGAGGGTTGTAGGACATGAGGGGGTGAAGGAGCAAGGAGAAGAGGGCTCGGGGTGAAGTGGGTGAGGGGGGAGTTGTTGCAGGGACCGAGGCGAGGTGGTGAGGGGGAAATGTCCACCGATACCTCCCCTTCTCCTCCTCTCAACCCATCCCTCCCGTCCCTCTCCTGCCGCCCGCCCCCACCTGCGGCGAGCCCGGCAGCTCCGCCATGCTGCCCCCCTGCAGCGCTTGGAAGGTGGAGTGCGACATGAGCACCATGCCGCCCGCCGCGGCGTCAGCAACCGCCTTGGCAACCTGTGTGCAGGGGGGGAGGAAGAGGAGGGGGTTGAAGAGAGAGGGGTGGAGGAGGAGCAGGGAGAGGGGAAGCACCCGAGGGTTGCGATGCGGCAGTGCCCGGTGAGGAGACTTGGGGAAGAACAAAGTGCCAAACACAGTGCCAAACACGGCCGGGTTTCCCAGCCCAACCTTTAACACTGCGTTGTTTGAGGTTTGGTTGTTGCAAACACGGTGGGGTGCCCCCCCCCCACACACACCTTGAGCGCCACCCCTCCGTACGCCATGTGCGAGGTGGTGTGGTTGAAGGTGACGTCGGAGGCGGTGGAGATGCCGGTGTGCAGGCCCATGCGCACGCGGAGGCCCCTGGGGGCAGGGGGGGGAGGGAGAGGGAGGAGGGGGGGGGCCGGGCGGGTGGCAGGGAGTTGGCAGGGGGGGCCTCGGGAGCCTCATTGTAAATCGGTCCAGGATACGGTAGGGAATCTGTGACACACCATACACACCCATCACTGGTGGTTCTTTCATTATCTCCCCAACTCCGCCCAGCCCCCCCTTAGTGGTCCCTTTCGACCCATCCCAACTCCGCCCCTCCCCGCCCAGTCCTGCTCCCCCTTGCCGCCTCACCTGTACGCGCACCTCGCCGGCGGGGCGGGCCGCACCGCCAGCGGCCACTCCTCCCGGCAGCGCTCCCGCCAGCTGAGGCACTGCACCGCCACCAGCGAGGTGCGCACACTCTGGAGGGAGGCAGGGGAGAGGAGGGGGGGAGGGAGGCAGGAGGGGGGGCGTAAGGAAGCAGCAGTCCCCCTATGTATCCCCCTGCACGGGACAATCGGCAGCGCCACACCCTTGCCTTCGAGTTGTTGTTCAAATCCCCGCCCTGCCCCGCCCCAACCCCCCACGGTAGACCCCTATCACATCGCTAGCTCCTGCTTACCGCCCCCAACCCCCCCAAACCCCCCCAAGCTCCCACCTGCGACCAGTCCGAGGTGCTGGTCCGCTCCGCCGCCCTGCCCCGCTGCGCCAATGTGGGGCTCAGGAAGGACAGGCGCAGGAAGGCACCGCCGCTGCCGCTGCCCGGCGGCAGGGGGCTGGGCGCAGAGCCCCCCGCACCCGCAACCGCGGTGGCGCCGCCGCCGCCCATGCCGAAGAGGTTGGGGGGGCTTGTGCGCGAGAACTGGCGGGCGGAGGTGGCAACGGCTGCTAGTTTGGAGGCGGCGCGGGAGGGCAGCGCGGAGACGCAGGGCGAGGCGGAGGCGTCGTCTGGGGCGACGGTGATTCCCAGGTCTAGCAGCGGGGACTGCGGAGGGAGAGGGGTCGCAGGGGAGGTTGGAGGGGCAGAGGGTGCGGGAGGAAAGGTTAGCAGGCAAGGTCTGTGGTCCGAGCCCAGAGGAGTGCCGGTATGGGAAGAGGCGAGCACACAACGGCACAAAGGGAACGTGTGGGAGTGCTACTCTGAACGGAGTGCTGCCGTACCCGCAACACCCGCCCCCCCTCCCACCTGACTACCGCCGCCGCCACCCTCCGGCCCCGAGAGCACCGGCGCCTGCAACAACGAGGGCGGCCGCCCCAACGCCATGCTACGCATGAGGCCGTCCGTCACCATGCCAATCGCCGACAGCTCCACGCCGCTCTCCCTGTCGCAATCACTCGCGGTCGCCAGGGCGGCGGCGGCAGCCAGGGACATCCCCGCACTGCTGCTTGCGCCGCCGTTACCCTGACCCCTACGCACGCTGCCGCCGCCGCCGCCGCGGCCACTCCCGCTTACCAGCGACCAGCTGTCGCCGCCGCCGCCGCTGGCCGTGTAGCGGTTGTTATTGCTGCTGCTGTTGTTTCCCATGTTGCGGTCTTTCGTGAGCTGCCGCACCGCAAGACTCGCGCGGGAGAGGCCGCGCACCAGCATCTGAGACACCGAGGAGCTCCGTTCGATGGGCGGCCAGTTTGCCGTGGTGAGGAAGGGGCTGGCGCTACCTGAGCCGCCGCCAGCCACCGCCGGCTCCATGCCACCGCCGCCGCCGCCGCTGCCGCCGCCAGCAGCAATTGCGTTCTGTTCCGCCGTGCAGGTGGGTGTGGGCAGGCCGGCGGAGTGCTGGCGGAGGTGTCCGATGGAAATGGGGGCTTGGAACTCTTGACTGCCGCCGGATGCGGAGTTTTTCGCTGCTGCTGCGGCGGCAGCTGCTGCGGCGATGGTGCCCCCAGCGCCCCCCACGCCGCGGATGCTGATGTCCGGGTACTCATTTGAGGGAGAGGAGAGCGGCTGGCTGCGGGGTTCCAAGATGGGGGCCAGCCCGCCCAGTCGGGGGCTGCATGCACCGCAGGCGGGAATATCAGCGCACCCAGCAAAGCACGCGTCCATGCTGCTGCGGCCGCCGGCGCCATCCATAGTATGGCCATCCATGGCGGGCAGCGATGCGCTGCTGTGATAGGGGAAGTCCCGGAGGGAGCGGCGCGGGGCTCGCATGAGGCGTGCCATGGCCGCGGACAATGCGCTGCCTCCCAGGAGGGGCTGCGCGCCGGGACGTGAGCTGTCGCAGGGGGACAGCAAGGGCGAGCCGCCCGCACAGGCATGCGACATGGACGCAGCGGCCGAGGCGTGGGCGGGGTAGAGGTCCAGGGCGCTGCTGCTGCCGGCAAGTGCGCTGCTGTGCGCCATGGAACGTGCGCAAGCAGCATGTGTGGATGCGGCTGCCGGGGCTCGCCGCCCGGGGTCCGCCTCCGACGCAGCCTCTGTGGCCGCTGATGGGGTGATGGCGGCGGCAGCGGACGGCACATGCACACCACCACCAGCCACTGCTGCTGCTGCTGTGACGTGTCCGAATGCGCCTCCGGACGCCACTTGGGACACCCTGGGTGAAAGCGGTAAACTGTCGGACAGATTACCGTTGCAGCTATCCGATGCGGGGTTGCAGCAGCTGCCCGACCTCATGTTGTTGCCGTCCGAGTCACGCTCCTCCACCGAGCACCGCCGGTCGCCCAGCTGCCCGGCCGTTAGGCGCCCCGCAGCCGCCGCCAGCGCTGGCACCAGCCCGCCACCAGAGGCCGCAGACAGCGGGCTGCCACCCGCGCCCGACCCCCGGGCCCGGGTGAATATCGACACACCCAGCCGCTCCTCCCTGCCGCCTCTGCCGCTGCCGCAGCCGCTGGCGCCGCGCGGCGCTGCTGCCGGACGGGGCATGGTGGCTCCGGGTGGCGGAGGTGCCCCATCCGGACTGCTGCCCGGGGCGTCACCCGGCGCGCTGGCGCGACGCAGGCGATCGCGTTGGGAGGGGGTCATTGACAGCAGCGTCCTGGGGGGTACGGAGGAAGACTGCTCCTCACCAGCCGGCGCTGTCACAGCGGGCACGGTGGCGGGCGCTCTGGTCGCTGCTAGCGTCATGTTGGCGCTGCTGTGCGCCATGCAGTCCAGCGCCTCCATGAGCTGCGTGGAGATGTTGCTGAGCAGCCGTACATCGTCGGTGGCGGCGCTGCTGTCGGCCTCGATAATGGATGTCAGCAGGATGCCCGTGGTGGCGTCGGAATCGACGGGCTGCAGGCTGATGCCAGCGACAGAGCAGATGCCTGATTGGTCCATGGCGGCAGCAGCACCGGCAGCGGCAGCGGTGTCGGCGCCGATGCCCCTGTCTCCGGCGCCGCCGCCACTACCTTCCGGAGCGTAGCACGGTGATGGTTGCAAATCTGGATCCGGGCTGTGGTCACCACTGCCGTACGGCGCTTGACTCAACGCTAAGGGTGACCCTCCGCCGCCGCCTCCGGCACTGCGGCCGATGCTCCGGAGTAGGCTCCCCCTCCCGCCGCCGTAGCCTCCACAGACGCCACCGCCAGCTGCGGCTACCGACGCCGTGCTTGCGGGGCGGCTGGCCGCCGGCTGGCCTTCCAGGGCTAAGGCGGGGTGCGGAGAGGGCGACCCGGCGAGGCCCGGCATGCCGTACATGTCTTCGAAGCTGCCACGTGCCGTGGGGTGATGCGAGGCGGTCGTGCGGCGAGATCCGCCACGGGACTGCCCGGGCGATATTGCCCACACGCTGGAGGTGGTGGTGCCCGATCCTGCGGTGTTGATCGCGGAGGCGCCCACAGGCCCCGTACTGCCGCCGCCGCCGGCCCCACCGTCACCAGCGCTAGCCCCATCCGTTGCCGCGTCAGCAGCAGAGCCGCTGGCGGCGGGCCCTGCCGACAGACCCGTCCGCGATACGCCTTTAAAGCTCCCTTGGCGGCGATTAAAGCTGAGGGCCTGGCGCAGCAGCGATCGAGTGCCGCTGGTAAAGCTGCCGACGCGCGCGGGCCCGGCGGTGGCGGCGACGGCGGCGCCGTTGGGCACAGTGTACGGCAGACCGCCGCCGCCGGCGGTGACCTCCGTCGAGACTGCCTGCGAAAACAGCATCTTCCGCTCCTTCGTGGATCCCAGAAACCCAACAGCGAAGGAGTTGGCGCGATGCGGATCCTCCAGATCTTGCCCGCTAGAGCCGCCGTTCATGGCTGCCCCCACGCGGCGACGGATCCCCGCGATCGCCAGCCGCGCCGCCTCGCTGTAGCCTTGCATGGAGGAGGGCCGCGAGGCATCAGCTCGCCCAGGGCTGCCGCCGAAAGCCCCTCCACGCAGGAACTGCCTTACACGAGAGGACGAGCGATGCACGTTGTGGCCGCTGCCGAAAGCGCCGCCTGCGTTGGGAAACAGCGGTACCACACACATAAACACACGCAGTCAGCCTTCTCAACACACTCGGTCGTCAGAGCCAAAACAAGATAGAGGACATGCGCAGGAAAGCTGCACGGCCCCGTACTACCCCTGCCGTACCGCACACCCGCGCCTCACCCTCAAACTCCAGGGGAGCGGAGTACGGATCAAACTCTGCGGGGCGGTCCGCGGGCCCCCACAAAATCGGATTCGGCCAGGCTTTGAAGGACCTCGCTCGGGAACTCCAGCTCATGCGGGAACCTCCGTAGTCCCGGCCGCCGAGGATGCCGAAGGAGGTACGGGGCCCGCCGCCGGCGCCGCCGCCGCCGCAGCTGGGGTCTAGTAGTCCGTGCTGGTTGAGCGGCGCGTTGATCACCGACGTGGCGCCCAGGGAGCTGGAGGGGGCGGGCTGGAGCTCGGTGGCGCGCGGCATCACCCAGACTGTAGCAACAGGGGCGGTGCGTGAGGGGGGGCGAAGGCGGAGGTGGAGGGGGCGGTGCGGTGACGGGGTGCGAGTGAGAGCGGCAGCAAGGAAGGATGCAGGGCTGGGTTGGGACTTGGGAGGCAGCAAGGACGGGCGCAGGGCATGGGTGGGAGACAGGGCATCGAACAAGGGGCAGGGCACACATGCAAACGGGGCTGGAGCGCATGCACCGGAGGCAGATGTGCAACAAGGTTCCGACCCAGGATTCCGCCAGCAGCACCACCCCTAAACCACCGCGAGCTGTGCTCTCACCCTCGTGTCCATCCGCGTGGGCGAGAACCTCGGCCGGCCACTTGACCTCCTGCAGGTGGGGTGGGTTGCAGGGTTGCGTAATGCAGAAGGGGGGGGAGGAAGAGGAGCGCTGTTTGTCTTTGCGCTCCTACCGCCACCCACACCTACCGTGTCTCCACCCCACTCCCATCTCTCGATTACAACCAGGTTGCCATGCATTCGGTAGGAGCCATACACCCACGCACCCAACGGACTGCACTTCACTCGTGGCGTTTTCTGTGTTGGGACACTTCACCACTTGCGGCAATCCCAATATCGTACTCCCCGACTTGCGGCCAGTGCTGCAACCCACGCATCCCGCCACCCACCATCAGCTGGACTTGCGCACTGAGCGCGAACTTGGCTGCATGCGCGGGCTGGTGGAAGGCCAGGATGAAGGAGTCCCCCTCCGTGGCGCTCTCGTAGCCGTCGTGCCGCGCCAGCAGCACCCGCAGACACGAGTGGTGCAGTTTCAGCGCCTGGTCCATAACCTGAGGCCCCGCCCAACACGGGGGAAAGGGAAGGGAAGGGGACCCGCCATGCTGTGGAAGAGGAACGTGACAACACCCGGAGCGAGCTGCGGGAGGTACGGTAGGGGCGGCGTGGTCGCATGTCTGCAGTCCCCATGACCTCTTCCACTTATCCATGTGCTGCTCCGCGCTCCTCGACCCCCTCCCCCCTCCCTTCGCCTCAACCTCTGCTCCATCCCCCCCACCTCCTCCGGAAGCGACTCCCACAGCGCCGTGGAGTTGGCAATGTCGGTGATGAGCAGGGTGGTGGAGGGGCCCACGCCCGGCGCCCGCTGCGCGCCCCGCTCGCGCAGGTGGGCGCGCCGCAGCCGCCGCAGCAGGCACATCACCGCCAGCAGCGCTGCCAGCAGCACTGAGCAGACGGGCAGCAGCACCGCCAACACGACCTGTTGGGCAGAGGGGTCGGGGTGAGAGGCTGGAGGTGGGAGGAGACGTTGGAGAAGGGGGGATAAGCGTGGCATGGAGGGGGGGGAATTATGTAATAAGTGCAAACACCTAGAGTGGCATCATCGTGGCATGGAGGGGGAGGTAGACAACATGTCGTCAAGAATGGCGGACCGAGGGGATGGGGTACCGAGCGGGGAGTAAAAGAGGATGGCGTCAGGCTACCACGGGGGCCCCGCAGCCTCCCGTCCTGAGCCCCCCCTCCCACACACACACACGCCAATCACAGTACATTTCTGCTCGCGGCCCGTTATTTTAACACACGCCACCCTTCAGCAGGCACCCCATCCCGCACCCCAGCCAACCTAAGCAACACCACACCGCCCCCAAGCCGCCACAGCGCACCACCACCCACCACAAAATCCTTTTGCCGGCTCCCTTCCATTCCCACAGCCGCCGCCGCCTCGCTGCCGCTGCCCTCCTCCTCCGCTGCTGACCCCTGCTCCTGCAGCACCAGCTGCGCCACCGCCAGCTCCACACACTCCTGCAGCGTGCGCTGCGAGCTGCCGGCCGCAAGACACGCAGCCTCCACCTGCACCTGCGACACGCTGTAGCTGCCCGACACCAGCAGCACCAGCACCGGCGACTGGGGCGTGGGAGGCGGTGAAGGGGGTGTCGCTGCCGTTCCCGTGTTGGCCACGCCGCTGCTGATGTCTACGGAGGAGGGCGAGGAGGAGCTGAGTGCCAGAGCGGTGGCGGCTGATTCCACCCGCACTGCGCCATGCAGGCAGCCGCAGGCCACCCAGCTGCTTCCACTGCTGCTGCTGCTGCTGCAGTTAGAGCTGGTAAGGCAGAGCTGTTGTGACACGGCGCGTGCCGAAGGCGCATTGGGGGACAAGGACGCTGCGGACCAGGCCCCGACCGCACCCGTGGGCTCGGAGGCGGCTGCGGCGACGGCTAGCGGCAGCTGCGGCAGCGCCCCTGTGGCCGCTTCCGCCAGCGACTGCGGCAGTCCGATGTCTGTTCGCTCCACGCAGCCCTCCAGCGACACAGCTACCAGCTGAAGCAGCCCGGCCTGCTGCAGCGATTGCTCCGAAACCGCTCCTGCGACAGGGCTGGTGATGAGCGCACGCAGCAGGGACTCGAAGGGCTGCAGGCCAGGCTGCGCCTCGTGAAGGGTGCTGGCGAGCTGGAGGCCCTGCAGCCTCAGGCTGGAGTTGTGCTGGAGCTGCAGCCAGCCTTGTGCCTGGGTGAGGTCTAGCAGGGGCAGCTGGAGGTGCAGGGCTGCCGCCGCGGGGGAAGCCGCGGGTGGACTGGGGCCTGGTGAAGAAGTGGCGGAACTGGAGCTGCGGATGAGTAGGTGTCTTGCGATGGGAACTGGTTTGGAGGGCAAGGAGGGCTGGGGAGCCCATAAGGGCGACGGCGGAGGCCACAAGGGCGGCGATGGCGACGGGGAGGCTGGCGCTAGGACCGAGCCCTGCTGGCTCCACAACTGGGAGTCATGGACGCGTACATCAGCTACAAGAAGAATGTCTGTAACTGAAGCGTCCCATAAAGCTGAATGGAGCTCTTGTTCGGTGGTCACGATGCGTTGGTTAAAAGCGCTGACTCCCAGCACAAGGAGTGCGGCCAACGCCAGGAACCGTCCAAGGCCAGCCTTCCCCCATTTGAAAGGCTCAATCCTCATGGCCTGAAATCTGGGGGCTGCCAATTGCCACTACGACGCGTCATTCGTAGTCCACACTCCAGTCCCTTACGTGCAGCTGTTTCCAGCCACGCAGTTCCGTTGGTGTCGTTGTTATTACTATAGGATAACTATAGGAAAGCTGACGTGATTAGGGAAAGGAAAACGTAGGAAAAAGACGGCAATAGGCCAACACTTTTGACCTTTTCAAAGAGCGACTCGGTATTACTGCGTTCATTTAGAAATCTCTGATCATGTATCCCTGGAATACTATGGGTCCGAAAATATCCGTTGAGGGGGCGTGCCTCACGCCAAGCTTATGTACATGCATACTGAATGTCTCCTTGTCTACAGGTTAAGCCTTTCGTTAGCCTAGCGATGAGAATCAGCTGCCATACAGGCCAGTGACCGGCTTGCAAGCACATGTACGGTAGGTACATGTTGATCATGTATTACGGCACCATTGGTGGATTATGTGGCATACAAGATGATGTGACCGCTTTAGCTTTGGGACGAAAAAAAGACAAAGTTCCCGGAACTTGGCAATGTCAAGGCTAGCATTTTACTTTTAGCTTCACCCTGCACGCGTCTCTCTGATAAGTAACAATTTGGGACATGATTTGTCCAGTAGATTAGATAGATGCGTCATCTGGTGGTCGCAGCTTCTGCTATGTGGCTACTGCCTTGGGCGTGGCTTGCCTTCTTAGCCATCAGGCCCAATTGCTGTGTCGCTTGGCGTTGTTATGCTCTCTGTGTAACAGCGCACGCGCTGCTATATAAACAAGTTGCGAGGGCCGTGCATGCATGCCTGTGATGAGTCGCACGGGGCTCATGCGCACCAGCTTGACGTGTATCTATCTTGATGGCTGTGTGTTCAGGGGGCTTCTAACCCTCTCCGCACGCTGGGCGTCTGCTATGACTCCATCTCCCGTCCGCCGCGCATTGCCACGATTCCCCTATACCCTGGGTCTATTGTTTCCTTCACACATGGCCTTGTTACGGTCCCCGGCCCTTCATTTCATCCCCGTAACTCACCATTCAACCCCCCGGCCTGCTGCTATTGCGGCTTCGTCTCCGGAAACCTGCTTTGATTGTGACCGCACTGCAACGGTGCTTTGTGACCCGTGGGTCTGGGGTGCGAGGATAAGCCCAATGGATCTTGTACCATGTACAAACTTACACATCCTGTGCGGCGGAGTAATGACCGGCACACATGTGAACTCGCACTGGCAGTACAGATTGTAGTACAGCAACCGGGGTTTCGGCGCTCCCTCCGTAGTGACTGTGATGCGTGTTGCCGCATGTCCGCAGCCACTACCCCAGCCATCATCATCAGGGGCTGGTACCACACTGCTCACTCCCGGGTCCTCATTCCCGGGTCGCGTCAGGCACCCAGCGCCGCACGATGCGCTCCTCCACCTGCGGATCGGCGCCGGCGGAGCCACGCGGGTCGCATGGGAGCCACCAACATGGGAGGAGGGGGCCGGCACAGGCAGTACTGCTCGCTACGTTGCCTCCTAGTGATTTGGCAAGCTTACATCAGGTGGAAGGCACCCAGAGCCGACCGGCATGCAGTCATGTGGCGGAGCGACGCGGCTTTGCAAGCAACTACGGTGCCTTGCCAGCGGTTACGTAGGAAGGCAAACACCATCAGCATGTGCGTGCCTTACCGCAAAGTTCTGCAGGCAGGCGGGTGTGGTGTGGTCCGGCCCCGGCTGCTCGTACACGTACATCAGGATCAGCCGCTTGACCACCTGTGTGTACAATAAGTACGGTACAAGCGGTTGGGGTGCAGGAACAGCACAAGGAAACATTGACATGTGGATTAGGGCTGTCCCAGAGTCCCCCCCCTCCCACCTAGTTGCTCACATGTGGTTCTGTTATATCTTTGACCCCACCTGGTTAATCAGGCGGTTGGTGATCTGCAGGTCCAGCCAGCTCAGCGGCGGCGCATGCGGACCCATGGGTCGGCCGTCCCGCCCCAGCGGCAGCACCATGACTCCGTAGTTGCTGTGCGCGCCCGCGGGGTGCAGCTGGTACACCACGTAATCCACTCCGTACAGCAACCCAGATCGGGGTATCCATCCCTGAAGAGTTGGGTTGTGGGTCGGGGAATGCAGGGTCAAGGCCTCAGAGGCCGTACCCACATGCGCGTGAGGTAGCCTGCAAAGCAGCTTGTACCCTACGGGAGCGTGTTACGTGTTACGTACGGTCCGTGCGAGTTGTGGGTTGCTTCGTGCCACAGCCGCCCAGGACGCACCTTGGCTTTGAGGTGGTGGTAGGCCACGTAGGAGGTCACGAAGTTGCTCCGGATGCGGCGACAGGCGCGCCACAAACCCTGGGGGTAGCGGGTAGAGTACGCGAGGCCGGCCCGGAGCGACGGTGTGCGTGTGTGTTCAGGGTCACAGTAAGGCCCGGGCGCATTCACGATACACCTACATGCGCGATATGCCCATATAAGAACCAAACATGTACTTAAACAACGTTAAAGCGGGGTTTGAAACTCCCAGGTTAGGAAAAAACAGCCGAGATGCTAGCGCATCAGGAACGCAGAACATGACGCATGAGCGGCACAGAGCTGCATGCGGCAGCCGCATAACGGACAGTCGCCCCATTGCACCCGCCCCAGCTGCCCCAGCAGGGGCTCACCAGATCATCCAGCCGCCGGACGTGGTCGGCAGTGGCGGGCAGGGGCGAGCCGGGCTGCAGCTCGTAGACCTGGGGGTGGTGGGGGGGGCGGGGTAGCGCATGTGTGGGACGAGAGGGTTGGACAAGAGCCTGCATTAGGATAAGGATGAGGGAGGTAAGGAGTGTAGGAAAGAGCAGCGAGTCCTGGACATGCTTACTCCACAAGATTGTCTAACGCTCCCAGTACTGCTCCCAGGTGTAGAGCAGTTTGCGCAGCTGCGCCGGGGCCGGGGCACCTCCCCACCTCCAGGGGCACCTCCTGCGCTACCCTACACCCGACCACAGCCCCCAGCGCCCCCAGGTGAACACACCAGCCACCGCGGCGCAACTGCGAGCAATCCTAGTATGTGGCCCGTACCATACCGGAGCCCGCAAGCACCACCGCGCTGCCCCTGCCCCCGCTCCTCCCCCACCTATCGCGTCCATGTTGCTATCTGACCCCCCACCTGCAGACACCGCAGCACGTGATGCAGGAAGAACGCCTCCTCCAGCGTCAGACGCACCGCCACCAGCCGGCATCCCGCCGCAGCGGGGCTGAAGGGAGGCGCGGGAGGTGCAGGCACCCGCGGCCGGCCCCGACCCCGGAACCTGCCACCACTGCCGCCGCCACGGCCCCCGCCGCCGCCGCCGTCGCCGGGTACCGAAGCAGCTGCTACTGACGTCACGGCCACGGTTGCAGCCCCTGCGGCTGCTCCTCCTGGTGCCCCGGTTGCGTCCGCCCCTGCGCCTGCCGCCATCCGCCGCTCCGGTCGCTCCACGTCCCCGCACACCCCTGCTTCCCCACCAGCCCCCCTCTCCACCGCTGCAATGCCGCCGCTGCTGTCCCCCACGCGCCCGTGGCTGCCCGGACTCGGCCCCCCGGGCTCTGAGCCTGACGTCACCCTGACCCACGGGTCACCTGATGCCCCCGCCCCGTCAGCAGTGGGGCCACACACGACCGCTGGTAGCTGCTGCACGGGTTGCTGGGGAGGCAGCGGCTGCTGCTGCTGGAACGGCGGCGGATCAGCCATCGCTGGCCCTTGCTGTGACGCTCCCTCCGTACGCACCTCCAGCTCCGCCTGCTGCTGCTGCTGCTGCTGCAGTTGCACCTCCTGGCCGCCAGCTTGAACCCGCAGCATTAGCGAGGAGGACAAGGACTGGCATGCTAACGACATCGCCGCGACGCCCTCACTGGCTACCGTAGCGCCCGGAACTGCGGCGACAGCAAGAGCAGGTGCGGTAGCGACGGCAGCAGCAGCAGATCTGGCGGCGGCATTGCTGCTGCCCTCCGGCTGCTGCTGCTGCCCCCAGTCCGCCGGCTCTCCCACCAGCGGAGTCAGCACCGCCGCCACCTCCTCCGCGGTACCTGGTCCGCCGTCCATCTGGGGGGGCGGAGGTGGGGAGGAGGAGTTGGGGCGGGGCCGGACAAAAGGGGGGACATGGAGCACACTACTTCAACCGCTGGTACTGGTTGGCCACCCAGCGGGGACAGGGGACCCTTGCTTCCACGCGATCGCTGCCGCCCCATCCTAGGCATCCACAACAGGTGGGGTGCCGCCTAACCCGGCAGGCTCCCTCCGCCGCCGCCCTTCCAATGCCCCCCCTGCCACCTTCTGCTAGGCCCCAACCCTCTTGCCCGCTACCAAATGCACCCACCGCCTGCCCGCCCGCAGCCCCGCCCTCTCCCGCGGTCAGTTAGCTTCTCATACGGCTAGCTAGTTCCTTCCTCCTTGCCCCTCTGCCCCACCTGTCCTGTGCAGCACTGGTTGAGCAGCTCCGCGAGGTGCGGCGGCACCGCCAGCCACACGCCGCCGTGCTGCAGCAGCGCGGTCAGGCGCAGGGAGGACAGCGAGGAGAGCATCTGGGGGGAAGGCAAGGGGGGAGCAAAGGGAGGGGGGTCCAGGGGGCCAGGGGGCCAGGGGGCCGGGGCATGGAGAGGGATGGGGCCGGGGTTGCAGTTACTGCATCAACGGGTGCTCAGGCGGAAGCGATGTGGGCCGAAAAGGACAAGTTTGCGAGATTGTCCACAACATGGTGCCCACAGTCAACAAGGACGGGAAGGGAGAAGTGGGAGAAGGGGTTGCGAGGATGGGCACTTTAACGAGTAAAGTCTGCGGGAGGGGGCGTTTGAAGGCTGGGGAAGGGTGGTTGGTAGGACCCGCCTGCGCAATTAACGGCCGTCCTGCATTCCGCGTTAGCTCAGGCTACAAGAGTGGTTCTTGGAGGGAAGCTGAAGGCCCCGGGGGCGTAGGCAAGGTCCAAGGCACCGTCGCAATACCGCCCAACCGAGACAACCGCACCTGGTCCGGCCGTAAGAGGTGCGGCGGGCGCCGTCGCTTAAGTATGCCGCCCATGTTATTAAAAGAGTGACGAGCAGCTAAAGGTTACTGCAAGTAACGGCGTACACAGCCGGCCGCTTAAGTGCAAGAAATAAGGGACTCTGAGGCCAGGAGGGAAGCGTTTTAGGATGTTGAGCATAACGGCATTGTCCAAACTGAATAGACAGGGAATAGGCTTGCGCGGGTAGCGGGAGGCCATTGTGCTCGTCCATGTGGTTTCTATTGGGCTCTGGAGCAGGCCTGTCTACCTTGTTGCCGCTAAAGCATAACTACCAAAGTAATAGCTCCAGGCGTATGGTTGCTTGATCATCAGCAATATCTTTGCATACCGTCTTGAGAGGGTAGAGGTACAGTACTGGACACGTCGTCCACTTACAACTGACTACAAGAACAAGGTACTTGTATTGTGCGAACATAATTTAGATCTCTGGCACTTGGCAAATGCTGTATGACGTCTAAAAGAAATCCTGTTGTAGCTTGATTTCTGACTGCTCGTTTCCATCAGCAGCGCCTGCCTTCAGCGCATCACTGACGCCATGGCCAACCAAGGAGCTAAGAAACGTCTTGAGGAAAATCGCAAGCGGTTGCAAAGCCTCCGAATCGCCTTGGCGATCGGGATAGCCTTCAATGCCTTGGTTCGACTGGTGCTCCGGCAAGGATACACTTCTAAGTGGCACATAATTGGATTTGGAGCAACACTCTTCCTCGACTTGTTCAGCTATAGCGCCATCGCTAAGTTCGCGGAACCTGAGTTCAATGAGAAGGGCGAAGTCGTCTACGGGGGGGCGGATCTAAGCATGGGTGGCATGTGCGCTTACTGGCATGACCTCCTGTACATAAGGTTAGTGGCATATCAAGACCGGGGTAGGCTCGGGTTCCTTGCAGGCCTTGGCGGGGAGGGTTTGGAGGGAAGTATTGCGGGACAACGACAACATACACCACCAGTGAGGCCTCGCAGCCTACCTAGTTAGTTGCCACCAACAGCCACCAACCCTAAAAAGCGACGCATGCAGCGCGAAGTGCTTTCCTTGACAGGCGTCCATATCTTCCCCACTTTTGCCTTCCCTCCCTCCCTCTGCAGCATCTTCCTCCAAGTTGCGACATGCCTCTCAACCTACTTCTGGTACACCCTGCTTGTCGTACCGGGGTTCGCGCTGTACATGTTGTACAAGAATATACTGCAGCCGTACTGGGCTCAGAGCAAGGCGGAACCGGTCATGGATGAGGCGACTCGCAAGCGACTGGAGCGGACCCAGCAGCGGGCGGAGCGGCGCAGGATGAAGTGGCGGTGAAGGGCTTGCGGCTGCGTCTCCGGCGTGACTTTTGGTTTGGAGTTGGGTTGATGTCAAGGCCTCAGGCCACTGAGATAGATACGGAACAACAGCTATTGCGGGCGTAGTTGGTGTGCAGGAAAGCGCATGTGGAGCAAGGTGCATGGGCTTGTCGCCGCAATATGTGTATGACAATGGTTGGCCATGTACGTTTAGCGCTTGGCGCGCTGCGGTGTAATGGCTTACAAGGGGTGAAGGTAAAGCAGCTAGGACCTCCGGAAAGGAAGCCCCAAGAGTGTCAGGAACTTAAGATGTAACGAATCTTATGCGGTTGACTTCCATAATAGCAGGACATTCAAACCAACGCGAGCCTAGCGCATGCATGTGGCAAAACACCCCGTGCCACCGTGCCGTCTGTACACCTTAAAACGCTGCATCGTTAGTCAGATAGAGGGACTCTTGCTGCTGACCATCCATTAAGAGTCTCCGCACTGCGGGGCTCTGACGGCGCCATGCCACCGCCACCCCCCAGATGTTGCGCTTGCAGCTGGCGGCGGTGGCGATGACATCTCCGCGGCCTGGGCCTGGATGTACATACGGCTGGGCAGTTCTGGGCAAGCGGGGTGGATGCAGCTTCTCCCAGATCCCTGCATCCTCTCAGCTTGCCCAGCAGCTGCCCAGCCGTATGCACAACAGAATCCCCGCCGAGGAGCTACCGGATCTGACCTGGTACGCAAAAGTTTGCTGAAACTGCACGGCACGGAACCATACACCAGCTCATTTGGCAGATGATAGTAAGGTCGCTAATGGGGCTCTGCTTGTTTGTGGGGGTCCAGGTGCTCTGCAGCGCAAGCCGTTGACGATGGCCAGGCACCAGGGGACCTATATTTTACAGCGAGGGCTTTTATAACGGCTTTATAACTTTACCTCCCATAGCGCGGATGCTTCCCTTTTCTGGCTTGAAGCGCCAGAGTACAGGTGCGGCGTGCTTACATAAGCTCATCGCGCGTACGGTAATAAGCCGCCAGGAGAGGTTGATTTCCAACCTTTGCCATAAACGTTAAAGGTATAGTGCGAGACAGGGTACGCGGCTGCCCTGATTAACGATAAAGTAGGCTTCAAGCCCCAGATAAAATGTTAAGTGGTGGCCGAGCAGCATGTCGGCATGCTGGTAGTATAGCCCAGCTAGATGCTTTCTACTTAGGATTACGTTGCTACGCAAATGCGCCGGGGTCAACCCATCGATCGACCTTGCGCGATGATGTCGGTTTCGATTTCGTGTTTGGGGCTCATCGGGAAGCCCAACAGCAACTAAATGAGGCTCTCAGGCAAGCATTGCTTTCTATACCATGTGCAACGGGCCGAGGCCTTATCCTGAAGCCAAAGTTTGCGCTTTCTCCAGGGAATCTGTTAGGGACCGCCTTTCCCTCGCTCTCGGACGGCGCAAGGGGCGTCCTTTGGATGTAGAGTCTTTGCAGCGCCTACCGGTAAGGCGCAGCAGACAAGAACCGTACAGTTGCCGTTGTTTCCTTACATTTCTGCTGTTAGGCAAGGCACCTACGGTCCTCTTACGCCTCCCTCATTCATCATTCATCACTTGTAAATCTTCTACTCAATGCCCCCACCTGCTCCCAATGCCCCCACCTGCTCCCGATCCACTCCTTTCCAGGCAGAGGAGCTTCTGGAGGCATGCCGGCAAGCCCGCCTCCCCCTGCCCTCCTCCTCCCTCGACTCCCGAGCCATGGCCGCAGCCCTGCATGCCCACCTGCACCCCCCCGCCTCCTCCTCCCCCTCACCCGCTGCTGCCTCCTCCTCTGAAGCTGGCTGGGACCAGCCCACACCGCTTCGCCGGGCCAGCTGGCTAGGACTAGGACAGCGCACCCAGCTCGGCTCGGGCGGCTCTGAAACCGCTCCTGCCCCGTCCAGCAACCCCACGGCAGCAGCAGCAGCGGCGGAGACGGCCCGTCGGGTGAGGCCGGCGGGTGGTATTGCTCACGGCGACGCTGACGATGATGCGGAGGCTACCGCTGCTGCCGCCCTGCTCGCGGCTGCGGAGCGGGAGGCGGACGCGCTGTTTGACGAGGAGTTGCAGCGCCGCCTGCAGCTGGCCACTGCAGGGGCCGCAGGAGCAGGGGGAGGAGCGGGGGCAGCAGCAGCAGCGGCTAGCACTGGCAGCAGCGGTAGCAGCACCGTGGTGCGGACTGGGCCTGGTGTTACTGCAGGAGCCGGGGTGTCCCCGGCAGCCCCGCAGCACCCTCTGCGGCCGTCCTTGCAGCCCCACCAGCCGCAACCACCGCAGTCTCAACAGCAGCAACAGCTGTCGCACCCAGCCCCCGGCAGCCCCCGCCGCACCCCGCTGTTCGGCTCCACCACTGACCTCCTCGCAGCTGCAGACTCCTCCACCTCCACCTCGGCAGGCAGGACCTCCCCTGCCCCCTCCGCCCCCACCCTCTTCCTGAACCCAGCCTTGTACGGCAGTGGCAGCGCTGTTGCCACTGCCACAGCTGCTGCTGCGGACCGAGGTGCGCCGTACGACCCGCTGTCGCCTCCCACCCCCTCCGAGGTGGTTCGGGCGGTGCGGCGGACGCTGGTTCGTCGCGGCTACTGGGGCAAGGAGCCGGGTCAGCTGGGGTCGCTGCTGCTGCTGAGCCGCGGGGAGCTGCTGGGGCTGGTGCGGGTGAGGCGGGGAGGGGGAAGGAGCGGAGGCATGGAGCATGAGGTGCTGACGCTGTTGAGTTTGTGTAGGTGTTACCCTTCAAGGCGCAGCGGCCCCTTGTCTCTTACTCGGGCCTGTATCACTGTCTCCATCGCTGTCCCACCATCCCCTCCGCTTTCCTCAGGACTTCAGCGGCTCCCATCTGGATCTGGCGGGTCAGAGTCGCGAGCAGCTGGCCGCGGCGCTCATGCAGCTCATGAAGCCGCCCGCCCCCCTGCCACCCACACTGCAGCAGCAGCAGCCGCCAGCAGCAGGGGCCACTGATGGTACCCTGCTGCGGTCTCATACCCCACATGGGCTGCAGCAGCAGCAGGAGGGGGAGGGGGAGGGCCTGGAGGAGGGGAAGGAGCAGCAGCAGGGTGGGGTAGCGACAGGAGGAGCGGCTGAGGGTTGGGATGAGGAGTCCGCTGCGCTGGGCGACCCCCGGCGGCGGCAGGTGCTTGCGGGGGTGCGGCGGAGGAGGGAGCTCATGGCGCGAGCGGCGAAGGCGGAGGAGGTGGGGGATGTGTGTGGGGGGGTGAGAAGGGGTCTCCAGGGAGGGGGGAGGAGGGGGTTCGGGTGGGCCATGAGGGCGTACCGCTAATGAGTGTCCTTCCGCCACCGTCTCGTCGTCGCTGTTCCCCCCGCCTCACCAAGCACCTGCCTGGCGCCCGCCCCACTCCCGTGCCGCATCTTGACGCCCACCCCACCACCACCACCCTCCGTCTGCCGCTGCCCTCACACCTGTGCTCTGGCACCTCCCCACTGGTGCGTCCATGAGCGCCCAATCACTCCACCTCTTCCTCCTGCTTCTCCCCATTCCCTTCCTCACTCTCCTGCACCTTACCACACCCCCTCACCCCCTTCCCACCTCCCCCTCCAGATCGCCTCCTGGCTGGTCAAGGCGCGGGCGCAGGATGTACTGCTCATCACGCTGGCCGCACCCCCGCCCGCACCACTACACCGCCGGCATGCAGCCGCCGCAGCCGCCGCAACCTCCTCGCCTCCCTCCGCCTCCGGCCCTGCAGCCCCTGCAGCCCCGCATGAGGCTGGGACCGGGGAGGTTCGGGGGCAGGGTCAGGGGCCGGCAGCGGGCGGGGGTGCGCAGGTGCTGCTGGCGACGGCGTTATCGCAGCGGCATGCGTTTGCGTGTGCAGAGGCGGTTCGGTACCAGGTAAGCACGTGAGGGGCGGGGGCTGGGGGCGCGGGAGGATTCGGGGGTGAGAGGGTGAAGGAAACACAGCATCCGTAAACACCCTACATGTACGACTAGTACCTTGGCGGACGCATCTCCTTTCTTGCCAACCCCGTGTTGTTGTTGCGAACCTCCTCATGTTGCTGTTGCAGTTACGCGAGCGGCTGGAGGATCTTGTCGCAGCGGAGGCGGCCGAGTCCGGGTCGCCGTACACTCTTGCCGCACCCAGCCCCCCCTCCGTGTCGGGGGTCAACGGCGGGGACTGGGTGTCGCTGGAGGCGGGTGAGGCGGGTGGGGCAGGGGGCAGGGGAAGTGGGTGGGGGGCTGGTGAAGAGCAGGCGGGTGTGGAGCGGTGTTTCGATGTGTTTTGCGGGGCGTGCGTGGGGTTGCGGGATGGCTGGAGTTAGGTATATGTGAATCCGGCGTTGATCCAGCTGCGGCTATGCAGAAGACGCGGGCAAGCGGGTTCCGTGAGCCGGGTTGTTGTGCGAACACAGTTGGGCGGAGGGTTGGGAAGGCTGCGGGAAGGTACGGGTACACACCGCGTGACGGCATCCCGTGTGCTAACACCCAAGTGTCTGCTCCCTGCCACCCCCTTCAGGCGCTGTGCAGGTGCATGTGCTCACCCCGCAAGCGCGGCAGTACTACCGACTAGAGGACCTACTGGCAGCGGAGGCTGGGGGGGCAGGAGGAGGATGGGGAGGAAGGAGCGGAGGGGCGGCAGGAGCGGCGGCAGGGGCCCCGCGGCTGCGTGTGCAGGTGTTTGGCGCGGCGGACGGAGAGCGGCTGCCGGATACGCTGGAGACAGCCAAGGTGGGAGGGGGTGGGGGGTGAGGTCTGTGGTTGTGTGTGGAGGAGGGAGGATGAAGCGGTGGTGGTGAGGAGGGTAAATAAGTAACAAGTGCAGCAACTGCAGTCCTAATGTGAGGAGGAGGATGGGAGCGCAAGCCCCGCAGCACCATCCGCCCACTCGTTCCATGCATGTGCCATGACTGCCCTGCCTCCACCCCACCATTTCCGCAATACCACTCCCGCAGGTCGAGGAGGACATGGCGGGCGCTGCGGGGCAGGCGGGCGGGCAGGCTGGGGGCGCGAGGGACCGGGGCAGCTCCTGAGCTCCTCCGGGGTCTCGTGGTTGCTGCTGTCCGGTGGAGGGGAGAGCTGCCGCGAGGAGCGTAGCTGTAGCTGCTGCTAGGGGGCCCTGCTATGGAGGCCGGAAGTGGCAAGATGCGATTTGGTAGTTCTTGGATGTGCTAGAGGGTATTTCCGGTGGAAGAGGGAACGGATCGTAGGGCGGAGGGCTGCGGACCCTCAGGGCTGCCAGTGACCCTTGGCAGCTGGCACAAGTGCACGAGCCCTACCTACCGTAGCCTTGTGGTCTGGTATGACTGAAGCCGTGTGGGAGCGTTGTGAAGCTGCTCAGCATGTAAAAGCCGCTGATGCAAGCCGCATGCCGACTGCAGGACCCACTCGGGGCGCATGTTGCGGCATGTCGTATTTCCTGCCGGCCTTCCCAGACATTATTCGTAAGGTTCGTGACCACCTCATGCTTGTTTGCGTGAAGGAAGTGTACTCCTGTAAAGACCGCCCATGTTCAGATGTGGGCAGCCGGTCCGGGCATCCGAAGTACGACATCATTACGCATTGCGCTTAGGCACACTTCCCCTGTCACTTGCGGTTTGGTTTTTCTTTGACCCCTGTCCTGTCCATATACCAAAGCAGCGGAAAAGCACCAACGCGAAGACTGTTGCCAACGTTCCATGTCTCGTGTATAGCGGTGTCCATACTCTCACGTGCAAAAGCGGCATACGCGCTGCGGCATACGCAGGAGCTTAGAGCCTCTTACGGCATTCCGACAGCGGCCGAAGGCATACGTAGCGATACAAGCAGCCTTTGAAAATCACAACCACGCACACAAACCCCACACCTCGGCTCACAAGCACTATCATGACACGCACCCCCTTCCATACCTCACGCGTTCTCGCTCCCCACCCTCCGCTCTACACCTCCCTCCTCTTCCGCCTCCTCCCTGTCTCCTCCTTCAAGCAACCCCAACCCCTCCTCCTCCGTCTCCTCCCCCGTCTCCTTCCCACGTTCCTTCCCTCCCGCCGCCGCCGCCGCTGCCGTTATCTGCGCAGGCTCCGCCAAGCCCCAGGCCGCCGCCGCCGCCAGCCCGCACGCCGCCGCCATAAGGCCCAGCGCTTGCGGCAGCAGCCCCCTCTGTGGCAGCGCCACCGCCGCGAACGGCGCCGTCAGCGCCCCCAGCCTCGCCAGCGTGTTGGCGGCACCCAGCGCCGACCCACGGACCCGCGCCGGGTACTGCTCCGGCGTCAACACGTACAGCAGCGTGAAAGCACCCGACACGAACAGCCGAGCCAACGTCACGGAAGCCAGTGGCAGCCAAGGTGCGGCTGCCGCCAGGGATGGTGGCAAGGCGGAAGATACCGCCGCCGCTGGGAGAAGCTGGGAGCTGTCGCCGTCGCCGCCGCCGGGGGTGGCGGCGGTGGTAGCGGCGACGCCGGGAGCGCCGCCGCCTGCCGCTGCTACTGCCAGCGGCGCCAGCGCCGCCGCCGTCGCCGCCAGGCTGACGGCGACTGTACGGCGGCGGCTCCAGCGATCGACGGCGAAGAAGGCCCAGGCCAGGGAGGGCAGCTCGGCGGTGGCGGCGGCCATCATGCCTAGATAGGCGCTCAGGGGCAGCACCAAATGGGAGCCGCCGACGGTGGTGGTGGCGGCATCGTCGGCATCGGCGGGGGGGCTCCAGGGGGTGCAAACACCGCCGTTTGTAGCAGTGCCTCCGCCGCCAGCTGTGGCTACGACAGGTACGAGCATCACCACTCCGTAATACGCCAGCGCGCATGCAAACCAAGTGACGGCGAGTCGCAAGGAGCGTCCGGCCAGTTGACGGCTGAGTAGCACTGACGCCAAGTCAAGCAGACCCCGACACCAGCCTCCGCCGACGCTAACGGGGACAGCGACGAGGCCGCAGCGGCAGCGTCGGCCGCCAAGGCACCTGCAACCCCGCTTGGCAGCGCTGCCGCCGTCACCGCCGCTGAGGTTGCTGCCGCCGCCGCCGCCGCCGCCAGTGGCGGCAGCGGCACCGTCAGCAGCCGCCTCGAGCTGTAAGTGTGTCTCGGCACTGATACCGCCGCTGGCTCCTTGCCCGTTTGAACTACTACTGCTACTAGCACGCCGCTGTAGCAGCTGTGGCTGCTGCTCCATTCCGCGTTCTTCGTCCTCTTGTTGTTGCTGCGCTCGTCGTTGCTGCTGTTGCCGTAGCACCTGTTCTAGCTTGTCGGTTGTGCCGTTGCGCGCCGCGGCTAGGGCCAGCACGCGACGTGCCTGTTCGGGCTGTCCGGAGGCGGCTAGGTGGTGCGGAGACTCGGGGATGGCTGGGAGCGCAGCCAGGATGCAAGCTGCAGGGAGGGACGGAGAAGGGAGAGGAGGCGGGCGGGCGAGGAGAGGGAGGGTAGGGGGAAATGGGTAAGCCATGTAAGTAGTAACTGGTGGGCGGCACAAGGGGCAAGCGCAGCAACACTACCCGCTCCCCTCTTCCCAACCGCTTCCCTCTCAGGCCCCCACCACTCTATCTCGATGCGCCTTTGGCCTACTACATATCCTCTTGACGCCTTCGAGTGAGGTTCGTACCGTATGTACCGTAGTACCCGCCTTAGGTAACCCCCCGCCCATTTGCCATTCTCATTTAGCATATCGGGTATTCTCCTCCCCCCCTGCCCCCGCACCTAACGGCAGCGCGGACACCGCCAGCAGCGGCCGCCAGCCCCATCGGTCTAGCAGCCACAGCGCCAGCAGCGCCTCCAACACCGTGCCCACACTCCACCAGGCCTGCGGGGGTAAGTGCCGGAGCGGGGGGGGGCGTTCAGAGGGGTTTGGGGGGTGGTTGTTGGAAGAGCGAGAGCGGGGCAAAAGAGGTGTACATATAGCGTGCAAACAGGCCGCGGTTGCACCCCGAGAGAAGGCCTGCTTGCTGGGCTTCCATTCCCTCCCATTGGCAAGGGCGATCCAAACCCCCCTCCCCACCAGCATTGGGTAACACTCTTTGGGGTCTTTTCCCGCCAGCATGGTAGCCCCCCCCCAGCCAGCATCAGCGCCACGAGGAGCCCCGCTCTCACCTGCAGTGCTACCAGCCACTTGCCACGACTGCCGCTGCCCCGGGGGAGCCACTCTGCAGCCGGCCGGGAGAAGGGGGTCAGGGGGTCAGCGGGCGGGGGGTCAGCAGGAGGTGCAGTGCGGTGGTTGGCGCTGCATGGCGCACATGGAGGAGCATACGGAGCAGCGGCAACGCATCAGTTCTCTTAACACCCCCCTCCCTGCCCCCTGCCCTCCCTACCTTCCAGCAGCGAGTACAGCGGCAGCACCCCCACCAGCCCGCACCCCACCAGCAGCCGCAGTGCCACCAGCGCAGCCAGAGAGGGCGCGGCGGCGGAGGCAACACCGGCGCAGGCGGCCAGCAGCGCGGCGGCCCCGAAGGCGGCCTTCCTGCGGACGGGGGAGGCGATCCGGGAGGCGTGTCAGCAGCAGTTGCGGAGAAGGCGGCGGCGCAACGAAGGGCGGGATGGGGAGGGTTTTAGAAGGGAGCTGCTGAAGGGCATGCTACCGTAATCGTGGGCAGATACGGTAGTGACCGTAGGGACTCATGCAATGTGGCAGCTGTTGTGCTGCTGAACGTGCCGTACTGTGTCGTGTTGAGCCTGACCCAACCCCCCGTCTGACTCCTATACCCATTGCTTTGCCCTAACTTGTGGTTTCCTATGGTTCGGTACTCGGTATGGCCTTTGATCCCCCACCTGCCCGCTAGGTCCGCCACCGCGCCCCATGCGCCCGACGCCAGCATCATGCCGCAGAACACCGCGGAGGCCAGCAGCGACTGCGCCTCGGGGGACACGGCCCAGGAGCAGCCCACCTGCAGCAGCAGCGGGACAGGGCAACGGCAGGAGAGTAAAGGAGAGGAAAGAGAGGGAGCAGTGAGAGGCAGCAAGAGGGGAAGCGGAGAGTTGAAAAGGTTGTGGGTAGTAAGTAGTAAGACCTGCCTTGTGAGGCGGTGCTTGGGACTGAGGAGCGCCGGCATGGTGATGCAAGACGGAGTGTTAAGGGCTGGGCACAGGGTGAAGCTCGAAGCCCGGAGGAAGCAGGGCTAGGTTCCAGCGTTACACGCAAAACAAGCCGACCCAAATCGTGTGTTGCCATGAAAGTAACAAAGGCGTTATTACCATAAGGGACCGCGCTTGGGGCCGTCGCTTGCTAACCTTTGCTTGACTAAGGGCAAGCATGCGCAATGCCATGCCATGGAACAAGCTAACAAGCCGGGGCCCAACATATAGGCTAGTACACGGATGCCCTCTACAGGTTCTTATGCTAACAGGCGACTCAAGGCGAAAACGCGTGCAGAACGCTGCCTGTAAAGGAAAAGCAACATGCAGCGAGATGGAACGACAGTTGCTTGTTAAGAGCTCACCGCTGGCGCCAGCACCGCCACCAGCATCACCTCCATAGCATCGCTCATCCAGCAGCCGCCCACATACAGGAACAGCCCTAGCTGGTGCCGCCCAACGCCAACCGCTGACAGGGCCTCATCGACCCAGCCGTGATGGCTAGAGCTGTCATCTGCTGCAACATGCATGGTTTAAAGCTGTTAACAATATTACCGAATTGCCTTCTTATCGCATTTCCAAGAATGCAATGCGAGTTAAGGGTTCTTCTGGGGGCTACTTTGGAGCGCGGAATCGCAAGGTATGCCTTAAAATACAGAGGTATTATCACTTGGGTAAGTTAGCCCGCCTTTTGGCGTGCGGTCGCGATTATGAATGCCTCCTGCCGGTCGAGCCCGTGCGTACGGCGATCGACCCAAATCGACGCCGAGGCCGATGTCATGATATCCATACCGGCTTCGAATGAAAGGGGCATGTCTTCTTCTCTGTGTTACGTTTTTCCTTAGATATCCTTGCGCGGCTTTGTTGCTTGGTCTTCCATTCGCAGCCTGTCCGCAGCCATTGTCATTTACTGATGTGTCAAACTCACAACAGCCGAAAGGCTCGGGACTACATTAGAGAGGCTTTGCTTATGCTATGGTGGCTTCACTGTTAGTTTTCCTGCATGGCAAGCGATGGCCTTGCATTCCAGCGGCACCCCAGCACATGGCAAGTTTGTCATGCAGCAACGGACACCGCTGTCATACCGGCGCGGCTATGACATTGCAATCCATCGCCGAAAATCAAAGCCACGTTCGCACGCCGTAAAGCTCCATGTGATAAGACGTAACAGCGGCGCACAAGGCTGCATACACTACACAACTGTTATGAGATTACACATCATATAGTGTTGTATTCAGGCAGGGAAGCTAGGGCAGCACTGCAGAATGCCTTCTCGTGTCGTCCAGCCTGATGCATACCGGTATCCCTGAGGGGTGCAACGATTTACAGCAAACGCGCGCATGCCGGTAGCCAACACGGTTACAGCGCCAACGCAATTAGGAGTCATAAGCGGCGTCTCACGTGTTTCCAAACAGTAACGGTTTTGCCAAATCCGGCATATCGGTAACCAACCAACAAGAGGGACCACCTTTCCAGGAACCCGGCGGGAGCAACGAACACGACGGAAGCAAAATCCAAGGCAGTAGCAGCCCTTACGGCAGCATCGGATCCGGCACCAGAGTACGAAACGTCCCTAACAACCAACCAACCGCCCCCAAAACGCTGCAGCTCATACCGTATCACTGTAGCATTGTCATCTCCGCTGTAGCATCGTCCGTTTTACGAAACTCCCCACAAAGCGCCACTCTTCATCCATCTTCGTTACGCCAGCCAGCCAACACTGAAAACTTACCCCGCCGACTCAACCCCATCTTCATCGGAGCTGCAAAGCCCAAACCACTGACAACACCTCCTACCCAGTCAACCGCACCAGCTTACCGATACCACAAGCGTAACCCAAAACTTGTATCACCTAATTACCAGGTAACACAGCCATAACCCAAAATTTGTATCTCCACTTCCTCGCACATCTTCCAAGGAAGAGCAACGCCAAATAATGACACGGTAAACACACCTCTGCCCAACTACCCAACGCCGGTACACGCCAGCTTGCAGCGAAACACCTAGGATACACCTCTCACAGTTTCACCCCAAGATGTAACCCATGCCCGCATGCTCCCCATATCTACAGGCCTCACATGTCCCTGCTGCCACTCATCGCACGCCCTTGTATGTGCTCCAAATAAGCCCCTTCTCCCTCCCTTTTCCGTCCTCCCCTCTCCTCTCTCAGCTGCGAGCAACCAATGCGGAAGTGAGGGTGCGCGCGGGGAGGGGGCGCATCCAGCCGTCTGCACATGTACACATGCTTCAGCCGCCGCCAACAGTGCCTTCCTCCGCGCCCACGCCCACGAGAGAGACAACCCACGCTCACGAGACCTCCCATCCTCCTAACCGCAGCTCCGTGCTTAACCCGCCGCCGACGGCGCCTTCACGGCAACCACCGGCGTGCTAAACGCGCACGTCAGCGCCGTCTTGGTGGCCCCATGCAGCTGCTCCTTGAGCATCAGCATCAGCGCCGCGTTCAGCGCTGTCTGCAGGATCTTGGCGCGCAGGCCCTTGTAGAACCCGCCCACGCCCTCATACCGCGCCGTGTCCACAATGGTACCCCAGGTGGAGCTGCTGCCGGGCGCAGCCTTGCTGGACGCCTGCATGCGCGCCTTGATCACGATCAGCGGGTACGTCACAATGGTGGCGCCGATCTTGGCCAGGGCGCCAGCCGCAAACACCTCAAAGGCGGACAGGGTGACCTTGGGTGCAGGCTTCTTGCTGTCCTCGCCGCCGGCTGGCGCCGCAGCCGCTGCCGCGGCGGCGGCTGCAGCGACGCGCTGCTCCTTCCAGAAGCGCATCATGGTGATGATCTTCTCGTACAGCATGTACTGCACCGAGGGGTTGGCGAGCAGGATCATGGAGGGCAGCAGGCCCTTCCAGAAGCCGCCCAGGCCGCTCTCGCGGAACACGGCGGCAATGGTCTCCAGGGTGCCGGGGGGGCGCTGGCCCTTGCTGGCGCCTGGCAGGCTGGAGTAGCCCTGCGAGGGAGCGGAGCGGGTGTGCGGGGGTGAGAGGAGGTGTACCTAGGGGCCCCTTACGTTCCTTCGAAACCATTACCCCAACCTACTCCGAGGTCTCCCCGTTCAGCCCGCCGCTCTTCCTCTTGTCCACCTCATCCACAATGCATGCCCACCCCAGCCCAGCCCCAGCACCCCTCCCTCCCAGGCTCCCCCACCACGGGTTGCCACGCTAGTTCCCAGCATGTCTTTCCCCCCTCCCCCTCTCCCTCCTCCCCCTCCTTCCCCCTGCCTACCTGCATGCGGGTGGCCACCACGGATGCCGGCATGGTGGTGAGCTGGTTCAGCGCGCCAGCCACCAGCGGCACCAGCAGCGAGGCCAGCATGCCAATGTCCTTGCTGCGGCTCTCAGCGCCGGAGCCGTCGGCTTTGGAGCTGCGGGTCCAGGCCACCGCCATCTCGCGCAGCTTGCTGTAGAAGAAGAAGTAGACACCGCTGGAGAGGGCTGCCTCCACAATATTGGGCGGCAGACCGGCGTACAGGGTGGAGAGCTGGGAGGGAGGAGGGGAAGGGTGATGGAGGAGTGTGGGCAGGGAACGGGAGAAAGGAAAAGGAAGACTGTGATGGGCCTAGGAACGAAAGTGGCAACGCTTGGTGAAAGTCCCTGGTGAATGGATGCAAAGGTGTTGGAGGGGGTGGAGGGGCTCGTCATGCATGTGGGCTGGAGAGGCGGGGATGCAGTGAGGGTATTGAAAGTATATAGCGGGGTTATAGGCAGAAAGGGTCTGTAGTTCTGTTGCTACTGCTTTACGCACAAGATGTGGTTTTGGTGGTGGCGTTAAGCAAACGGTATTCGGTCTACATAACACGACACCCCATGGACAAGAAGTATCCGCATTGCGAGCACGCTCCCCCTTACGAGTGCATAAGCAGGCCCTTCGACCCGTGTTACCTTATACTGCTGCATGAACCGCAACACAGACAGCAGCTTGTTGCCCGAATCCGCTGCCTCCGGGGCGCTGCTCTCGCCGGTCGACAGAGCCTGAAGCGTATAGATAGTCTACAAGGCAAGCAAACAGTGCGTTTGGTTCGTTTACGCCATGAGCAAGCATGAAGCACACTTCGATTGCAGCAGGGCACAAATGCGTTACCGGAAGTTTCAGGACACAATAACTCACCTTCAGCGGGTAGGTCGCAAGCATAGCGATTACGCTGCCGAGGGCCCCGGAACAGCCCTCGACAACAGCGTTAGAAACACCTTGCCCAGACATTTTCGTTGCTTTGGTCTAATTTAGTGTATAGGAAAGTATTATATGGTGCTGGCACGAGAGCTATTCAGCGTCGGCAAGTGAGGCAACGGTGCTCCTGGACGAAACACTGCGTAACTCCGACAATAAAGCTCCTGAATCCTTCTGAAAAAATCTAAACTCGCGTGGACTCAATAAGCGCCCTATCGGTGTCGCGTTAATAACACCCCACAGCCGCCCCGTAGCAATGGTCGCTTGTTGCCAGACTACGTAAGGCGAAACTGTTGGGTATAAGGCAAGTACTCCAAGCACAAAGTACGTGGAAGTATGTAGGATTTGCTCATGATATTTACTTGCATTGCATGGAGCACGTCATTGACACGCAGATGTCGTGCAGCATTATTATTTCATGGCCGCTTGTTACAGCATGTATTGCTTTCCATTAACACATACGTTTGCGTACAACAACGCTTCCCTGCGAGCTGCTATCGCTCGCAGGGTTTCGCTTGCCATGCACGTTACCGTAGAGGACGTGCGCAAACACACTTTCCGGCCTGAAGTCCAACCAAGGCTACCTATCATGAACACACGCCATTCATTGGTACGCGTTTACCTCTGCGTCGCATAAACACCGCCATAAGATTGACAATGCAGTCTGCGCTGTATCCACCTTCTTCGCTATTAGCGATCATGAAGTCGCAGGCATCGGGGTAAAGCGCATCAGTTGCGGTGAGGATTGCCCATCAGCGGATAAGTCCCTTCAGCCGCTCAGCCCCCGAAACCACATGCCAGCGCTGAGGGCGCAGCGTCAACCAGCTCGGGGTCATGACGTTCATACACTTCTATGCGTGCTAATGTTAGGTGAGCCAACGGTTACATGCATCACGTCCATGCGGTGCCACAGGTACCCACGCATGGCACCCGGCAGGAGTGAGGGCCCCGCACCAGGGGCTTTGGCGCTGTAGGGGGCACGCACGGCTTCAAGAGAAACACAGCCGCCACATGTCAACCCGACATCCTGTCCCGCTGCTTGCAGGGACAGAAAAAGAATGTGTTAAGCTACACCGGTTGCGAGCAAGTATACTCAGACACATGACACGTACTAAGCAAACAACCCTAGGGCACATTAAGCCAAAGGGCAACACTGTAGGTGACACAATCACTACTTACACCTACATGCACACACACACGCATCCCCATCCGTATGCCCCCTCATTTGTTTTCATGACTATCGAACAAACACACATGTAATGCGTGTCATTAGCTTCCTCTCTCAAGGCTTTTACCCACCCCTCCTCCTGAAACTGGTTGCAGTGGACCCATCGTAAGCACACAGGCAACAACCCAACCCACCACCATCCGCCCACCGCCCACTCCACACTCCTCTCTCTCACCACTCCGCTCCGCTCCACTCTGTAACACACCAAACCACATCACCGGCCACGCTGTACGGCGGCTCGCGGGTGCCCACACCGCCGTGTGGGAGTCTTTCATGCGGCACAGTTTACTTAATTCCCACACCACGTTTGTACCCAGTGCCAGCCCTAGCAGCTTCCCTCCACCCACATCCATGCATTTGTAGCATCAGCTGTGTAGTCACGTCGGCTCGCAACAAACCCGCAACGCCGCTTCTGCCGCACCCTCTCGTGCTCCCGCCTGCGCATGAAGCTCGCCCCGTCACCGCCTTCCTTCCTCACACCGCGCCGCAGCCGTCCACCACGGTGCCCACGTTGTGCCCCAGCGCCGCCCGCACCACGTTGCCCCGCTCCATGACGTTGAAGACCAGCACGGGGATGTCGTTCTCCTTGCACAGCGTGATGGCCGTCTCGTCCATGACTTTGAGGCTCTCTATGCAGACCTGGCGGTACGACAACTGTACGGCAGCAGGTGTACGAGTGGGTGGGAGGGAGGGGTCAGGTGAAGGTGCAGGTTGATGTGAGGGGAGGAGGGCAGCGAGCTGGTAGCCATGGCAAGCTGGCATGGCATTGGCATTGACAAACGTTCTACGCGGGTTAAGACAAGCATCGACGACGGCATAACAGGAGGCAGACTACGGCTTATACATAATTACATATGCCTAGCCACTTTAACGCCCTTCACGAATCCACGTTACGTACCTTTTCGTACTTCTTGGCATTGCGGTTCTTCATGGGGTCGCAGTCATACACTCCGTCCACCTTGGTCGCCTTCATGAACACGTTGGCATTCATCTCAGCTGCACGCAGCGCCGCGGCGGTGTCGGTGGTGAAGAAGGGGTTGCCTGTGCCCGCGCCAAAAATGACAACTCGTCGCTCCTCCAAATGCCGGATGGCCCGACGGCGTATATAGGGCTCCGCCACCTCGCGCATTTCTATCGCGGTTTGCACTCGTGACTCGATACCGAGGTTCTCCAAAGCGCCTTGCAGCAGCAGCGCGTTCATGACCGTGGCCAACATGCCGACGTAATCCGCTTGCGCGCGGTCCATGCCCTTGGGCGCAGTTGCTCCGCGGAAGTAGTTACCACCGCCCACCACGACTGCAAGCTGCAGACCTGAACGGTGCGCCTCGGCAATTTCCTCCGCGACGTGGTTGAGGACGGATGGGTCGACGCCAAAGCCCTGCTTGCCTTGCAGAGCCTCACCGCTGATCTTTAGCAGCACACGAGGGTACTTGTAGGTGAGGTTACTGCTGTTAATTGCTGTGGTAGAGTATGGAGCGCCAATGGTGGTACTGACTGTCGAGAGCTGGTGGTTGCGGTCTCGCCTGCAGTTGTCGGCCTCTAGGTCGCCGACGCTAGGGCTGCCCAAAATGAAGGACGATGTATGGTGAAATGCATAGCCGGTGCCATTGCCGTTATGGTGGTCCACGACGGTCGATACCGAGCTGCGAACCGACAGCGAGGACGAAAACGGCGGCGAACCACGTCGGGCCACAGGAAGGAGATAAGCGCATACATTAGGCTTAGCGGCCGTGACCAGGTTGCCAACGCGGGACATGAATTGCATTTTCGGACAGCACCAAGCCCTTTCTGGCGGCGACGATCGCAATCCAATTGGAGTTATTTAGTGAAGATGTTATCAGTGTGATATTTAGGCAATTGGGGTAGGAATCGACCACTCCTGGGCTGTTGAACTAGCTTTGTGGTGCAGGAAGGAGGGTTGGCTCCGCTTCTATTTGGAGCCGCAGTCACCCACAGAGGGTCCTAGCAAAAGCAAAGCGATGCAGTCGATTTAGCAATTATGCTTAAAGAACTACCGAAGCGCGTACCCGGTGTGGTGTCTCCGAAGCCGCACGACCCTTCGTACTCCTGGTCAGGTTTCCAACCTTCCGTTCCTGTGGTTCTCCGCCAAATACACGGCTTCTCACATGCTTATCGCAGTCACAGTTACAAATACTCCGACAGATTCTTTTGACAGGTGCGGCTTAGTCGACGGCGGGAATTCTTGAACCTTTCGTTGATCTGTCAACTATTGCTAGTAAATATCGTTGTAAGCTTATCTTGCTGCTCTTTCCTAACCATGCAGCGGCTTAGGGAAACGGTGAACATGCCTCTTATACATTAACAGCTAGCTCTGTTGGTAAATCGCGCGTTGGGAAATCGTAAGTATACTCACTTAATTTCATGCAACGCCAGAACGCAGAACGCCCAGATCTTGGAGTATTGACCAGTCCATTTAACTGCTTTGAAGGTTAGCAGCAGCGGCGCTATGTCTGGAGAACACGAGCCACCCCCACCGGGAGCTGACGATGAGCCGAAGGCTCCAGGATTGGAGGACTCCTCACATGACGTAGGGCAGGTAGCTACGACGGACGCTGGTGCTGCCGATCCCGCCGCATATGCCGCGTATGGCTATCCTCCGGGTTATGCGCCCTCCTACTCTGACTACTACAACTCGGCGTACTACTACTCGGCGTATTCAGGTGGGGCCTGTGTGAACACACGGGTTCAATGTTGCCTGCGTAGGAAACCTTGGGCAGCTTTTCACTACACGACATGTCACAGACCAAGCTATGAGCGCTCCCATACAAAGGCAGCTTACGGGAAGACATCGTGGTGGCCTGACCCGCGCTCAGCAGCTGCCGGTTCCTGTTGGCTGAACCAGCGTGCGGGTCATGCACCATCCCCTCCAACAGCTGCCATCCATGTCGCCAGAGCCAATATCAGAGCTTTGGTCTGCGGGTAACAAGATCCAATAACCGGTTGAGTCCATGCCAGTTGAGGCTTTGGCCGCTGCGCTTGGTTCCCCATTCTCTTAGGCCGCAGCGTACACGTGCACGTGTGCAGGTAGCCAGTGCGACAAACACCGCGCAAGGCTCATTCGCTTCTCGCTATCTGATCTCCAGCGTGATACTCAGAAGGGCTAGCTTCAGGCCTGACCACCTAAACCATGTGCGCTACCGGTGCCTGGGCTCTCAGCTGTATCAATCAGACTTTGGCGGCGAGCCGCTGAGACACCTGTACGGCCGCGCGCGCCAATCGGTATGCCGAGAGACCACATCCACCACAAACTCCATGCTTGGCGTCCTAGTCGCAACAACTGACAAACCCTGCCCTGCCGTTTGGGGCGCTGCTTTCTCGTGCTGGCTCATGCATCGCAGGTTACCCCGGCTATGCAGCATACGACTATTACGGAGCAGCAGCAGCACCGGCTGTTCCAGACACGAGCGCAAGCGTGAAAGCGGTGGTCAATTCTGCGGTGCCGGTTCAGGTCAGAAGAGAAGGGGACTTGGCACTGATGACGGAGTAGGGCATGTGGTTTTGGATGCTGACGGGGACGTTTTCTGGCACGGTCCCTGTCGCTGACGGTGCTGCTTCTGCTCTTCTGGTGCAGGACAATGCCAGCAGACGTTTCCTCCTTATGCCCCGTGCATGGGCTGGCTTGTCAGACCACAGGCTTACCGGCATGTATGCTGCGTGCTGCTTTCCCAGCTAAATCATGCTTCTGATGTGGGTCAGGGCTTTGGAGGCAGCCAGGGCTATACAACAACGTGTTAACTCGTTGCCGGTGTGTGTACATGTTCATGTAGGTTGTACCGCTCAAACCGACAGCAACCAAGGCGGGAGCAAGTAAGGGCAAGGCGGCTGAGAAGGATGGAAGCGCGGCAAAGCCTGCAGCTCCAGCAGCAGAGAAAAATGGAAGCACGGCATCAGCTGGGGCGCGCAAAGCAGAGGCGGCAGCAGCTGAGATGGCGGAGGATGAGGACGACGATGCGATGGCGCTGCCGCCGCCGTCAGAGCCGAAGCCCTCTGCCGCGGCGGCGGCTGCTATCATTTCGCACGAGGAGGAGCTAACGGAGTTTCAGCGCAAGATGTTGGAGCTCATGGAGAAGAAAAAGGAGGAGGCGGAGCGAAAGGTAGGTGTCCGGGGCTGGGGAGCATCGCAGGATGTGTGGTGTATGTAGGGACAGGCTTGTAAACGTTGCTAGGTGCGGTTCTACACTGTTGGTGTGCGTTCCCCCGCACAAAGGGTGTCCATGTGGACATGTTGTGTAGCTGCAACCCCAGAACGGCCTCGTCCTAGGCAGAGCAAATGAAGCTCCGCCCTACGACCCTTGAGTCTTAACCCACCACGCTTCCCAATTCCCTTTTTCCCTTCCAGACCAAAAAGCCCGTCGCGCCCACGCTGCACACCCTCCGGGGCGCACGTCTCGCCATGAATCCTGGCTCAGCCACTGGCCCCGGCACAGCCACAACCTCCGGGCCCGCGTCCCGCACGGCTGGTGCCGACGGCAGCGGCCGACCCGGCGGGTCGGTGCTTGCAGCCTTCACAGAGGACGCCCCTCAGCCCAAGGGCGAGGGAGCCGCTGCAGCTTCCAGCAAAAAGCACGCTATCGGCGGCCTGACAGGCCTCAACCTTGCCATGTCAGGCTCCGTTCCGACGTTCGACGGCCCGACGCCGGCAGAGCTCAAGTACGGCAGGCCGCGCAGTCGCTCGCCGCCCCCGCGCGGCCGGAGCCACAGCCCTCGAGGCAGGAGCTGGAGCCGTGGGCGGAGCTACAGTCGCAGTCGTAGCAGAGGCCGTGGGCGAAGCTACAGCCGCAGCAGGAGTCCTCCGGGGTACAGGGGCCGGAGCAGGAGCTATAGCCGCAGCCCGAGGCGTAACGGTGAGTGGGTGCAGCGGGTATGAGGGAGGATGGTGGTATTGGAATGGTGATGCTGCCGGTGTCATGGCACCCGTTTTCCTTGCAGCGGGAGCGGGCCATGTAATGAATGGGAGTTTCCATACGGGGCGGAGTGCGGTACGGGTCTACCATACACGGCCTGTCTGGGCGCAGCGGCGAGGCCTGTACCGATCTTAGGTGCATTCCGGTTCTCGCAACTGCCCAACCCGTACGATGCCTGGTGTGCGCTCTCGCCCCTGCAGATGGTTACGGTTACCGTGGCAGAGGGCGCGGGGAGTTCCGAGGCCGCGGCGGCTGGCGGGGCCGTGGGGGCTACGAGGGCCGCGGGCGAGGACGCGGCGGACCCTGGCGAGGGTAGGTGGTGCGGATCTAGCATGCGCGGGGTCAGTAGCTGTTCCGTCAACCTTACGAAGCATGGACAACTGCGGATTGTCCAGCGCTGTATGTAGTTATCCCCAGCGCTTGTTACCCGATTCCAACGAGTCCTCACCATGGTTTAGCCCCTGTCCCCGCCTCTCATCACCTCACCTCATGCACACCCGCTCCCTCGCCACAGACGCAGCGCTAGCCGCTCCCCAAGCCGCAGTCGCAGCCCCCGCGGGCGCAGCGGCAGCCGCAGCCCAGCCCCCGGCCCAGCACGCCGCAGTCCACAGCCCCGGGAGGGCCCGCCGGGACCTGGCGGCCCGCGCTGGGAGGGCGGCGGCCGGCAGCCCAACCGCAGCCCCTCGCCGGGCGGCAGTGGCAGCCCGCGGCGTCGGGATGAGGGGCCCGGAGAGGAGGGCTTCAGGTGGGGCTGCTGTGGAAAGGCGGAGGGAGGGAGGGTGTGGAGGGGGATGGCCTTGCATGCGTGCGTCGGGCTAACGGGAAAGGATCATGGTCATACACGTCCCACACACCCTTTCCTCGCCGCTCGGAACCACTTTCTGCAGGCCGCGTGAGGCGAGGTTCCGCCGCCGCAGCGACGACAGCGGCGGCTATGACGGACCTCCCAGCAGCTACCGTGGACGCGGTGGTCGCGGCGGGCCGTGGCAAGGCCGGGGCCGCGGAGGAAGAGGTGGCGGTGACTGGCCGCCGTACGATTCACGTGATCAACCGTACGACAGCTACGATGAGGGCCCCTCCGGGCCCGGCTCCAGCCGCGGTGGACGTGGCAGCGGCGGCGGTGGGTTCTATGCCCGTGGTGGCGGCCGTGGTGGCAGGCCTTACGCGGAGGGCGACGAGGCGGACTACTACGAGGGCGGCGGATACCGGGGCCGGGGTCGTGGGCCGCCGGCTGGGGGCAGAGAGGCGTTCTATGGGCGCGGCGGCCGGGGGCGGCATCCAGGGAGAGATGGGCGTCCGTACGAACATGACGACCGGTAAGTTGTCGGCTACATCGCTGCAGCATCGCTGGTTTCGCTACAAACCAGGCGACGCTGTATTATCCTGGCTTCACGTCGTCGTCCTCATTCCCCCTGGCATCCCCGCCGATTTCCTGGCTCTTCCTGCCGCGTACGACAGGCGCTACGACGATGATCACGAGTACGGCCGCGGCGGTGGATGGTACGATCGCGACCGCGGTGCTGCTGCCGCTGCGCCCCCGGAGGAGCGCTGGCGGCCGGAGGTGCCTCCTGAGCTGGAGGGGCCTCCGCCGCCGCCGTCATCAGGCCCGCGGGAACGTGGCGGCAAGGCCGCCGCTGCTGGGCCAGGTCCAGGGGCGGGTGCTGCGGCTGCGCCGGCGGCAGCGGCGCTTGACCGGCGGCCGTCTGCTGCGGCAGCGGCGATGGCGGCGGAGGAGGAGGGGGCGGAAGCAGAGCGGCGGCGCGCAGAGGTGGCGAGGAAGGCCGCGGCTGCCCGGGAGGCCGCTGAGAAGAGCGCGTACGACTTCATGAATGAGTTTGACGAGCTGGATCGGATTGATACGGCAGCTATCCTTCCGGCAGTTGCGGCCGCGGCAACGGCGCCGCCACCGCCGCAGCAACAGCAGGAGCCGGCGCAGCCGCGGCTGCCTGCTGACGCCAGCGCTCTCAGGGAAGAGGCGGGGGCGCGGGGCGGCGAACGAGCTGGCAGCAGGGGCATGGAGGTGGATGCTGTGGTCTCAGGAGCAGATGTTGGTGCGGGTGGCGGAGGAGGCGATGCGGAGGGCGGCGAGGTGACGGATGGCGAGGGCGAGGGCGCAGGGGCGGAGGCGAAGGCACATAAGAAAAAGCATAAGAAGAAGCATAAGAAGGTAAGGCGGGTGGGGGCATGGAGCTGCGAGGGCGCTGGAAGGGGCTTTGCCAGGGCGAAGCGAACGACGATTTTTTAGGCAAGACGTTATATCCTAACACCCTAACACCGCACATGCCTGCGTCTTTGCAGGAGAAAGACAAGGAGAAGAAGGAAAAGAAAGAGAAGAAGAAACGCGAAAAGGAGCGTGCCGGCGGTGGCGGAGGCGAGGAGGAGGAGGGCTTGCCGTACAAGGGCGACGCCGGCGGCGGGCCGTCCGAGGGCGCAGGCCGGAGGTACGGCCAGGGTCCGGACCAGTCGCCGTACTATGAAGGGGCGCCAGCGGATCGAGGCGGCGGCGGCGGCCCAGGGCCCCGTGGCGAGTACGACCGACCTGGTAGCGACGTCGAGGAGGGCAACCGGGGGCGTTACGGTGGTGCGGGCGGTCCAAGCCCTGGCTACGATGATGGCGGCGGCCGGGGCCGAGGGTAAGCGTCACTATGAGACATGCATGGCTATTTGGCTATGCGCATGCATGCTATGGTAACATATATCCATGCACATGTTAAAGAGAAATTACATGTCCCGCGTTTGAAAGTACTGTTTCTCGCCACGTCATAGCTGTTCCGTACGTCTTGCTTCCCACTGCAGCGGCTACCGGGGCCGAGGCGGGTACGGCGGCGGCCGAGGCGAATACTATGATGGCGATCGAGGGGATGGCGGCGGTGGTCGTGGCGAGTACGGTTTCCGAGGGCGAGGCCGCGGGGACTTCCCACCAGGCGGGTACCGCGGGAGGGGACGCGGCGGCCGGTACGGCAGCGGTGACTACTACGATGACTTTGACCGGCCTATCAAACGACCACGGCACGACGGCGACGAGCCCTCACAGGTGGGGTATTTCTGACCTGGGGGGCTGAGGTGGAACGATAGTTGCGCACCGTGTGTAGTTGAGTAGGACAAGAGCAAGCAAGTGGGAGAGGTTCGCATGTGAACCGCGAGTACAGGCAAAACAGACAAAACAGAGGTAACCAAACCTGAACCGGTAGCTGCTACCTTGTGCATCATGGTTAGCGGACTAGGGCCGCCTGTTCAGTCAAAGAGAGCCTGAGTTGGGTGTTTCGGCTCTCCTATCTTCAACTAATGGGATACCGTGTTTTCTTATTCCAGGGTGGTCCTGACCGACGACCCACGGGTCGTGGAGGCGGCGGCTGGTACGACGACCGTCCCGGCGACGATGGCGACGAGCCCGGTCACGACAACGGTGGTAGGCCCGGCGGGCGTCCGCCACGTCGCTTCAGCCCTGGCGGCCGCTCCCTCTCTCCTCCGCCTCCACAGCGGCGGCGGCCCTCCCGCTCCCGGTCCCCAGGGCCAGGTCGCGGTCGGCCCCGAGGCGGCGGAGGCGGCGGCGGTCCGCCTCGTGGTCGCTTCGAGTGGCGCTCCCGCTCCCCACGCTCCCGCTCCCCGTCACGTGGGTACTCCCGCTCCCCGCCGCCGCCACGCAGCCGGGGAGGGCCGCCGCCGTACCGAGGCGGTGGCGGACCTCCGCGTTCCCGCTCTCCGCGCCCTTACCGCGGAGGCTCTCGCTCCCCCCGTTCACGCTCGCCTCACTCGCGCTCGCCGCCGCCGCGGCGCGGCGGCTCCCGAGGCCCCGCCGACAGTGGCGACGCCGCCGCCGCTGAGGCCCGCAACAAGGAGGACATGGCGGCGGAGTTGGCGCGGGCAGCGGAGCTGGCGCGCGCCGCATCTCAGTTGGCGGCGGGCCTGACGGTGCCCATTCCCACCATGCCCGCGGCGCCCAACCAGCAGCAGCTCTCGCGGCATGCGCGGCGGATCTACGTGGGTGGGCTGCCAGGCGGCATGTCGGAGGTGAACCTCACGCAGTTCTTCAACAGCGTGATGATGGCGGCGGGCGCGGTGACGCAGCCGGGCCCGCCCATCATGTCGTGCTACATGAACAACGAGAAGCGCTTTGCGTTCCTGGAGTTCAGGTGCGGAGGAGAGGGTGCGGGGGAGGGTGACGGGACACGGAGGGTAGGGCAGGCCCTAGTGGTTTTATTGGGGCCATTGGCGGGGTATTGCAATTTGCATGGCTTGCACCAGCACCGGGGGAAGCTCAGTGTTTACCCCCCCCCCCTCCTCCCAATATATATCATCATATATATATTTTTTACCCCCCTCCTCCCACTCCCTCCTTTCTCCCCGCCTGCCCACCCCTCGCAGGTCCGTGGAGGAGACCTCCAACGCCATGGCCTTTGACGGCGTGCAGTGCCAGGGCGAGACGCTCAAGGTGCGCCGCCCGCACGACTACAACCCCGCCGCCGCCAAGCTGCTGGGCCCCACCGAGCCCTCCCCGCGCATCAACCTGGCGCTGCTGGGGGTGGTCAACACGCTGGTGGAGGACGGACCTAACAAGGTGTTTGTGGGCGGACTGCCGGGGTACTTGTCGGAGGAACAGGTGAGAGGGGTGGTGGTGGGAGTGTTGGGGGGTTGAGGAGAGGGTGGGAGTGAGGACGAAGAGGGAGTGTCGTGTGCTGGAAACGGCAGTGGCGGCAGGGAGGGTGAGTAGAAATTGAGTGGAAACAGGGGGCTGGGCATTGGTATCTCCCACCCTTCTTGTCTATCAAGCCCCCACCGCCCACCACCTTGCCGCCACCGCGTGTTGTTTTCCCCCCTCCCCGTGTGTGTTGTTGTCAGGTGCGGCAAATCCTGCAAGCCTTCGGCCCGCTGCGCGCCTTTAACCTGGTGACGGACCGCGATACGGGCGCCTCCAAGGGCTACGGATTCTGCGAGTACGCCGACCCCAGCATCACCGATGCGGCCATCCAGGTGGGTGAGGGAGGCAGGGGGCTGCGGAGGGAGGGCGGGAGATGCGGAGGAGCTGCAGCGGCAGCAGCAGCGGAGGGCGGTTGGGTTTCATTAGAGAATGTGCGCGGGGTATGCTGGTTGGGTGCTCCTGATTGGTGCGTTTCCCATTCCCAGCTCCTCCCTGCTCGTCATCCGCCTATCTCCTCCCATTGCTCCATCCTTCCCCAGGGCCTGTCAGCGCTCATCATTGCCGGCAAGCCGCTCACCGTGCGCCGCGCCAACACCTCTGGAGAGGCCTCCCTCACGCTGCAGGCCCTCATTCAGCAGCAGCAAGCGTCCCTCGCAACAGGCGCGACGCCGCCGGGCGCAGCTGCCGCCGCGGCGCAAGCAGTGGCGGCGCTCAACGCCGCCACGGCGGCGGCGGCGGCAGCCGCCGCCTCCATCGGCACGGGCGCTGCGGCGGCGGCGGCGGCGCCCCCTCCGGCCCCACCTCCGTCAGGCCCGACTGTGGTCCGCCTCTCCAACATGGTCTCCCGGGAGGACCTGGTGGACGACGGCGAGTATGCAGATCTGGTGGAGGACGTGACGCAGGAGGTGGCAAAGTACGGCAAGCTGGTGGGGGTGGAGATTCCGCGGCCGGCTGGGGCTGATGGTGGGGGTGAAGATCCGCCGGGCGTGGGGTTTGTGTTCCTGTGCTATGAGGACCCAGCAGGCGCGAAGCGGGCGCAGGTGGCGCTGAATGGACGGAAGTTTGGGGATAACCTGGCTGAGGCGACGTTTTACGATCGGGCGAGATATGACGCGAAGGATTTGGCGTGAGGCCATACTAGGATGTTGTGGGTAGGAATGGGTGGGTGAAGATGACTTCGGGTGTTCAAGCACGGTGTTACGGCAGCGGCGGGTGTCGTGGTTAAGGAACAGGGTGCTCAACGGTTGGATTTGTAAAAGTGAAGGAAAGAAGGATGTGGGTGCTGGCTTCCCGGCATGGACTGTGCGGCCTGCGAGCAGGTGGCCGCCTACAAAGCTTGGAGGGTGCGACCCCAAGCAATGTGTAAGATCGGTGGTTGATGACAAAGACATGTTGTGTCGCACTCTTGGATGGCCAAATTGTAAAATTGCTGAATGAAACAATTCCAATGCACGCTTTAATAACGTCCTGTATCTTGATGTGCTTTATCCAAGAAGGATAAGTCTGCATATTAATCAGCTTCGGTGCCTGATTAGCCGGATCAACGTTGCATAAGCGCTATGGGATGTCCAAGCTATCGGCTTTTCATGTTACTTCACTGCTAGCAGTATCGCATGCGATCGCTGTCGGAGTCTTCCTGCATGGATTTCTATTGACGCGCCTCGAACTGCCGAATATCAGCAACTGCCAAGATGGGGAGCTATCTATTTTTCCAGACGCTACAGAGTCTGCAAAGGCTCTTGGGACCAGAAATTACGGGTGCTGGTCTGAGCCGGCCTTCGACCGCGCCATCATTGTAATCATTGACGCGCTTCGATACGACTTTGTCTTTGGCGACAATGGCACAAGCCACATGCCAAAGCTGTTGGGTCTCTTGGAAGATGCGGTATGCAGCTGAAGCTTCTCGGTTGATCGTGCCATGCGTGCATGTGAACCTTAGCCGTTGACCGTGTGCTTGCGCGCAGGGAGATGCTGGTGCCGCCTTCAAATTTGTCGCCGACACGCCAACTATCACCATCAGCAGGCTTAAGGCCATCCTTACGGTGCGTGACTATTAATAATAGGGCTACCGGGACGAAGTACGACTGGCTTTCCGGAGTCCACTCCTGTCAGGCCCGCCGCCTTAACCACTTAACTTCACACGAGCCATTATTGTGTCTCTCTTTTGGACACCCCGCGGTCACTCCAAACAGAATCCCGTCTGCGGCGCCACCCCTAAACGTACCACACTGCACATGCCCGCCAGTTCCATCGCAGCTGGGCTGCTTGGACCCACCACCGCACATGCCCCTCCCCTCCCCGCTCCACCCCCTTCCTCCTCATCACCCCGCTCCTCCCGAACAGGGTGGCCTGCCCACGTTCCTGGACATCGGTCAGAGCTTCTCCGCAGCCGCCCTGACCGAGGACAACCTGCTGTGGCAGATGCGCGCCCAGGGCCTCAGAGTGGTGCGTGTGTGTACAAGTAGAATACCTTAGACGGCTGCATGGTGCAAGAAAACGCTTTGTAGGGGTCCGTACTGCGGTACGGGTGCAGATGCTCAAAATAGGTTCTAGCGTCCCAAGTTGCCTGGTGTGTCCCCTTTAAGACCTGCTGCTGTTGTTCCTCGCATGTGTGGAGAACAGTTTCGTGAACCGCGCAGGTTGTGATGGGGGACGACACCTGGGCGCAACTGGCCCCGCCCTCCGCCTACACCGCCTGCCACCCCTTCCCGGCATTCGACGTAAAGGACCTCCACACAGTGGATGACGGCGTGTGGCGGGTGAGTCAACCTTTCTTTGCTTCATGGTGGTAAGCAGGGCTAAGGGCGTGAATGACCCATGGGTCATGGGTCAGCGGGCGTGAGCTATTGTGCAGCCTTCTGCCCCGTCCTTGTCCTTCACATGCGGCTTATCCTCCCACGCCCGGATCTCTTTCCTAACCGCCATAACCACCGCCATGCGCCATCGCCTGGTGGGTCCCTCCTGGTACCGTACATCGCACCCCCGCAGCACCTGCTGCCCTACCTCCACCCGCCGCACAACGCCGCCACCAACACCCCCGGCGCTGGAGGGCCCCAGCAGGGCCCTCCTGAGCCCGCCTCTGGCCCTGTCGTCACTGCTGCCGAGGAGGACGCTGCCTCCGGCCGCCACCTCCCGCAGCAACGGCAGCACCGCCAACAACATCAACACCAGCCACAACATACCCAGCAGCAGCACAAGCCCCAGCGGCCCCCCTCCCCTTCCTCCTCCCCTTCCTCCTCCTCCTCCCCCTCCCGGTGGGACCCCGGGTGGGAGGTGCTGGTGGCGCACTACCTGGGGGTGGACCACGCGGGGCACACGTACGGCGGCAGCAGCGGCGAAATGTACGACAAACTGCGTCAGATGGACGAGCAGGTCTCTGTGGTGGCGGGTGAGCAGGCAGGGAGGGCATGATGGGCGTGATGCTTTCCTTCCCATCCTCTCCATCCCCGCCATGCGTTCCTGACATGTCCGCTCCTGCTCGCCCCCGCCACATCCGCATGCAACTCGGCAACCCCAGAGGCGTTGCTAGCGGGAGCGACGCCGGCAGGAACCCCGGGAGCGGATGCAGGAGGGGGGGCGATGGGAGGGCGAGCAGGAGGGAAGGTGGGAGGGAGGGCGAGGGCGGCGGCAGCTGCGCCAGACGCCTCCCTTCCAGATGTCGCCCCCTTCCAGCGAACCCTGTTGCTGGTGCTGGGAGACCACGGACAGACGATGAGCGGTGCGGTGCAGTGGCTTTCTTGCGGGGAGTGCTATCGGGAGGGGACAGCGATTGGACCGAGCGATGGGGTTCTTCTCCCTCACCGGTTGAACGGGACTGCCCCCGTCTCCGACTCTGGTGCCTTTGCCACACTTCTCGTCCTACTCCTCTCCCTAGACGCCCATGAGCCTGGCGTATATGCATACTTCACTAAGTGCCATACCGGCAATGCAAGCCCACGCGACCCAACTGCCAACCACCTCCTCTCAATCACCTCCTCTCAACCGCCGGCCCACCGATCTGCTGGCTGCCTGCCCCCCTGCAGGCGACCACGGTGGCGGCTCCCCGGAGGAACGGAACAGCGTGCTCCTGGCGTTCAACATGGCCCGCTGGGGGAGCAGCAGGAGGAGGAGTGGGAGGGGCGGGAGTGGGAGGAGGGACAGGCAGCAGGAACCGCAGGAGCAGCAGCAGGAGCAGGATGCGGCCAACATTGGAGTAGATTGCAGCGGATGTGGTAGTAGCAGTAGCAGCTGCGGCAGCAGTGGCAATGCGGAGGAGAGCCACAGTAGCACCGGCGGAGGGAGAGGCGGAGTTGGCAGTGGGGGAGGGTATACCGCTGCTGAGAGGGCAGCAGCTCCCTCCTGCTCCTCACCCTGGTCGGGGCGGCAGCAGCGGGAGCACGACCAGCAGCAGCGGGAGCAGCAGCAGCGGGAGCAGTGTCCTTCTCCTTCAGGGAGTCATGAGGTCGTGAAAGGCAGGGCGGTGGGCGTGATGCCTCAGATCGACCTGACCCCCACACTGGCGCTGCTGCTGGGGCTGCCCGTACCGTACGGCAACCTGGGGAAGATCAACCGTCGGATCTGGAACTTGGCGCATGAATGGACACGTGGTAATGACAGTCGAAGGGGTGTGATGAGCGGCACGGCTGCTGCTGATGCTGGGGCAGATTTGTCATCATCGTCGTACGGCAGCGGCGACTATATTGGCGATCTGTCGTACATATCTGCCGTACGAGCCAATGCCGTACAGGTGGGTCGTTACCTGCTGTCGTACGCCGCAAAGGGAGGTCTGCCAGCACAGGAGGTGGCGCATGGCAGTCGGTTGCTTAGTACGGCCCATGAGCAATACCAACAGCTGCTATCATTGATATCAACGCTACAGCAGCAGCCAAAGGAACACCAGCATAGCCACGAGGTGAAGGCGACAATGCCTTCGGCGACTGAGGCGGCAGATGCTTCGGTGACGAAGAAACTGGAGTCGATGAAGGAGGAGGTTGCAGCGGCCTACTTGGCATTTCTAGATGCAGTTGGCGAGCTGGCGCGGCGCAAGTTCACGCGGTTCGATCTGCGCACCCTAGTTGCCGGCTGCGTGTTGGCGGTGGGCTGTGTGGTGCTGCATGGATGGCTGCTTGCTGCTCGGCTGGCGCCGGGGTGGCGCCGGGGCGCATGCGGGTGAGGGGGGAGGGCGGCGTGGGCTGCGCTGTGGCTCGCGTGTTGAGCGATGTTAGGAAGAGCGCAAGGACTTGCGATGTCACCTTGTTCGGATGCCCCCGGATTAAACCGTCCATGTCCCTGTTACAAACAGGCCGTCACCGTTACACTTACTGCCCCCATGTTTGCCTGCGCAGACCTGCGCCCCCGCGGCGACCACCCCTCATCTCCCCCACGGTTGACGCCGGGTCTGCCCGGGTCTGGCGGGTGGCGGCGGTGGCGGCGCTGGCATCTGTCGTACATGCGTTTGGCCTCTTTAGCGCCAACTGGATCCAAGGGGAGGGCCGGATCCTGTCCTGGGGCCTGGCTGCTGCCGGGGTGCTGCTGTGGCTGCATGGAGCGGTGCTGGGGGCGGCGACGACGGAGGCGGAGGTGGCGCCGGAAGCCACTCCGGCAGCGGGGGCTGAGGGGAACAACGTTTTCGCAGCTGCCGCGATGTGTCTCGACGACGCCGGCGGCCGCGTCCCTGAGCAGCAGCGGCAGCAGCAGCGGCAACGGCCGGGGCAGCGACAGCAGCAGCAACAGCGGCGGCCTGCTGCGGTCCTGCCGCTGCTGGCGACCTCCTGCACTGCCGGCAGCGAAGGCGGCGGGGGCGGTTGTCCAAATCGTGTATTGGGGATACCAGGGCTGCCTCAGCCGCTTGCAGCAATGCAGTCACCGCCGCAATGCGAAGCACAGGGCACCTTACAGGTGCAGCCACCACCGTCGCCACCACCACCGTCGGCGTCGCCGCCGCCGCCGCCGCAGCAGCAGCAGCGACACCAGCCCCCCTCACGGTCCCGGCGGCGGCGGCAGCTAAGGGTGCAGTCCTGGTCACCAGGGGTGGTGTTACTGGCAGTAGCACTGCTCTGCAACGCAGCCCTGCAGCACTACAGCCTCATTGACCGCTGGGGCAGCGACCCACATGATAAGAGGCAGCTAGCGACTGCAGGCACCCCCTTACCTGCTGCACCGGTAGCTGCTGCTGCTGCTGCTGCTGCTAAGCAGCCGTCAGCAGCAGCGGCGGCGGCAGTAGAGCAGGCTGGAGCTGTGGAATCACCCTCTGTCTCTTCAACCACCGCAACTCCTGATGCTACAACTGCAAGTGCTGCTGCTGCTGCAAATGTTTCCCTCGCCCTCGCAGCAGTTGAGACCCTGCTGCCGCTAGCGCTGCTGCCCCTGTTTCTGGCGGCTGTAAGACACTGGCTTGTACAACTGCACCCCTTTACAGCGACAGCTGCAGCAGAGGAGACCAGTGCATGTCGTACAGGCATGCACGCGGCGCCGTGCAAGCGGCAGTGGCAGCCGTGGCGATGGCAGTTATGGTGGTTAGGCGTTGCCCCGTATCCGCTCATTGCTGCTTGGTGGGCCCTACAGTTGCTACCGGGCGGAGGCAGCAGCGGTAGCGGCGGCGGTGGTGCTTCAGTGAGCTTGGAGGTCCTGGTTCGTACGGCAGTTTCCGTCACTAGGGATTTGCGTCTGTCGCTGCTGCAGCTGCTGCCGTCGCCGCCGTCTCTGCTGCGTCAGCTGATGACTGTCGTCATTGCACCTTACTCAGCACCGTTACGGGTCGTACAGGCGTTAACTGGGGCCTTTGTTCGTACAGTCGTCATGCAACGGGCGTACGAATGGATGGTCGCATTCGTTGTGCGCAGTGACCTATGGCGGTTGCCGTTACGGTTGCTGCTGCCACGAGTTGTGTACGGCATAACGGTTACAGCTCTGCTACAGCTCGTCTTTGTACGAGTTGCACATTCTGTAGGCGGCATCACCCAACAAGCGCGATTACGTCGGCGACGCTGTAATGAACATCGACCTCCGGTCACTCACGCAGGAGGTAGCCCTGAAGTAGCGGCCGCAGATCGTGATGTGGGGTCATCAGTTCTGTCACTGCAAGCGGATGTGGCGGAGGAAGCAACTTGTACGGCATGCACTGCAGCTGCAACACCGACGGAGGCTGTAGCTGTAGCTGGTGAAAACGCTGCTAGCCCCGATGTGGTGCCCTCACCGCTATTACGGCGGCGGTTGCAGCTGCTAGATGCAGGCCATGCCTTAGTCTGCAATTGTACGGCCATTGTCGTACTGTTGCTGGGTCGTAAGGGCCCTGCCATCATGTTGCTGCTGTGGGCCCATGGCACCGCCCTGCTAGGGCTGCTGCTGCAGCAGGCCCCGGCTGCATGTCGCCCCAGCCACAGCTGCCATGGTCACCACAGTCGCTGTGAAATAGGTGGCGGGAAACAAGGAGCTGATGAGGGGCCCGTCATGTCTCCTTCGGCGCCGGTTGCTACGGCAGCGGCAGCTGAGGAAGGGGAACACAGTGCGGGCGATGCTGGCACAATGCATGCTGGTACAGCGCTCACGGCTTTGTGGCGGTTAGAGCAGCCACCGCCACCGCCAGCAGCAGCAGCCGTGCAGGCGGCCCCGCTGGAGGCTGCTGCGGGGTGTCTGCTGGCGCTGCTCGGCTCGCACGCCTTCTTCCTGACTGGACACTTCTGCGAGTTTTCGGGGTTGCAGTACGATTCGCCGTTTGTGGGATTTGAGCGCATGACCTGGCTGGTGACGCCCGCGCTGTTTGCGGCCAACTCCTTCGGCGGACTGTTGCTCAGCGCGCTGGCGCTGCCGCTGGTGGCGGAGGCGGTTGCGGCTGCTGCCGCTGCAGCCGGGACGGAGGCGGCGGCGGTAATGGTGGCGGGTACCACAGCCACCTCGGCAGCAGCGTGGGACTCCTGCGACGGAAATGGAGCGGTGTTGGATCCAAGCAAGGGGGACATGCGTAGGGAAACTGGCAACAGCGGCAGCGGAGGAGGTGTTGCCGGTGCTGGTGTTGCTGGCCCTGGCACTGCCGTTTCAGACACCCCAGCACCCTTTCACTCACCGTCCATAACATTCATACCCTCCATACCTCCCGCCGTCCAATCTCACAGCAGCAGCAGCACAGGCGTGGTTGCCTTGTTGAGCTACTCCGCCGTACGATCCCTCTGTCTCTGTACGACAATCCTGTCAGCCGCCGTACAACGGCGCCATGTGGTGGTGTGGGCGCTGTTCGGCCCCAAACTGGTGTTCGAGGTGGGGTTTGCGGCGGCGGGGACGGCGGCGCTGCTGCTGGTAGCCGGGCTGTGGCTACGATGAGAGCTGTTTGACAGGGTGCGGTGCAGTGCAGTGCAGTGTGTCGCTAACACGGATGTGAGGGCGCTATGTGGTATCTAACCTGTATCTATTTATGATGGAGATGGAGATGGAGATGTAGTAAAATTTATTGGATTCCTCCTCCTTTAGCGGTGGAGGTATGGCCGTGAGGGCAACATGGGGACACCACATGTTGCCCTACCTTTGTGAAGACGGAAGCCATGCAGCTGACTGCCGGTGGTTACTGTGTACCCTATGCACGGGCTTGCGACAAGCTCTGGTGTGATTGGAGGTATGTTTCCCCGGTGCAACGGTGCACAACAGTCTGGGGCTGCGAAACACCGCCATGCACGACGCCCCTGCTGTGCTCGGCCCCCAATCCCGTACAATACAACCGGCGAACATCAGAGGCCAATGCACCGGTTCTTGTCAGCTCTCAGCAGGCAACCGCAAAGCGCAAAGGCCGTGATTCTTATCCACACCAAGATGTACCTGTCATCCGTGCCAGCCCTGTAAGGACTTCCAGGGTCGAAAGATTATGATTACCGGTATGATGCATTTTCTAGCAGGCTTCTAAGAGACCCATGGGTCGTTACAGAGCTGTTAGGCTGGGTGCTGAAAAACAGTTGCTGCCGCCAAGCCCACTAAGCTGAGCAGACGACAGTCATGGCGTTGCCATTTATTACGGGTTGCAAGCTCGGAAGTCGGAACACCTATCTTCCCACAACAGCAGCTTTGCGTCGCCGCCATCGGCCACGCCACCCGACCTCACATGTCCACTACTACTACTACAGGCATATTAAGTGGCTATACACATTACCCGTTGTGCGTGGCACCATACATGTATGCCGACCTGTCACCGTAATCATCCAGCGCCCCTCCTCCTGCGCGTGTCCCCCTGCCTCCGTTCACGCCCCGCAAATCATCCAGCGCTGCAGCTTCTTGCGCCGCAAGGGCTCAGCGCCGCACGCCCCCACCTCCGCCGGCTCCACCTCCGCAATCACCTGAGGCGCCTGCAGGCCGCGAGGCTTGCCTGCCAACCCGCCTGCCTGTTTGCACAACGCCGCCTGCTGCTGCGCCGCTGCTCCACCGCCGAGCGGCGCGGAGAGCCGGGCGGACAGCACCGCACGCGGCAGGGAGTCATGCGGCTGTACCTGCACGGCGCATCGCAGTGGCAGCAACACACGCACACGCATGTGCATGTCAGCCGACAGGGCGGGTACTATCCTAGCTAGCGCTTAGCGATGAGGGCTGGGAGGGTGGCGGATTTGATTAAGCATGTAGGTTCTCTCGCATCTGCCATGAATTAAAGTGCATGCCATGAGGACTACCGTTACAAGGCATAACGCGTAGGCCGCGGACCCGCTTGCCAGTAGCCAACCCATTAGCTAGAGCCCACTGCTCTACGGCGAGCTGCTCATGACGGCAATGGACGACACAGCTCGGCGGTCGGTATGTGCTGCTGCACTCACCGCTATCATGGTTGTGTTGACGCCCTATTTGTTGATCCACCACTGGATGTCATGCACGCGGTTGGAGTCCGCGGTGGCGCCGCTGAAGATGGGCCGCATGTAGAGCGTGTCGATCAGCAGCTGCGAGGGGTCGCTGGGGTTGACCCGTGCGCGCACGCAGGTGCCCTGCTGCCAGAGCGACAGAGACATCTTGCCCCACGTGTGGGTGGCACCTGGGGGGGGCAGGGCGGGGCGGGGAGGCGGCGGGATGGAGGGAAAGAGGCAGCACTGATTGACCGGTTTCGGCCTTCGCCCCCATGCGCAGTCGTTACCGGTAACTAAACGCCGTTAGCTACCGGTGTCGTGTTGCTGCCCTCTGCTGGCAGCTGCTGCGCCCTAGTTGTGGCACCCACCCACCCACACGTACTGGCTTGGCTAATTCGGGCTGGGCGGGTCGGGCTGGCTCACATGTTGCAAACCATGATGATGCTTTATCACACGGTCAGTTAGTTGTTTCCTCTTCACACCCACCCGGCTCAATGCACAACATGCCATCCTTTGCCATCTGCTCCATGACCAGCGTGCCCAGCGCGGCCGTCAGGCTCGCACCGCTGGCTGCCGCGCCCGCCACCTTGGCGGCGGCGGCCGCAGCCTCAGCAGCAGCTCTGATGGCTGCACGGCTCACCACGGAAATGCCGAGGATGGATATCACCCCGTTGGCCTCCAGGGTGGCAGCTAGGGGTGCCGCGGCACCAGCGGTGGCGATGGCTGAGGCCACGGTGGCGACAGCAGTGGTGACGTACTTGGTGATCTGGAGCGCCGCCTCGTCGGGCCCGATCCTGGCCATCCAAACGTCCGAGGTGTTGTTGTGGATGGCGAGGTAGGATCCCATGCCGCCTGCCTGGCGAGGTGTGGAGGAAGGGAGCAGGTCCGAGCTGGGGTTCCACAGGCCTCAATATGGGGTAATAATCAGGCGGGGTCAAAGATAGGACAAATCATGGAAAGAACACATAGCCGGGCGACACAGTAGCGGGCCATATAGCCCCCGGCAGTCAGGCAGGGCGGCCGACATCGCGTGCCACAGCAAGGCATGCAGAGCACGTCCGGGTAGTAACCCCTACCGGCACCTACCTTTGTCTTGCCTGAATGTGGGGTTAGTTGTAGGCCCCCGCTTGTGCAGGAAGCGAAGCGCTGGGACTTTTCCGAGTGGAAATCTTTACAAGGAAATCTGGATTCGCTGGTGCCAGTGAGCAAAGTGCAGTTCCGCACCTGCCTATATAGTGCCTGACAGGACGGTGCAGACCCCCGCTCCCAACCGCAACGGTAGGCCCAACTACTTTCGGTAGCTAGGTACGCAACTACCTTCCAACTCCTGCCTCGACCGTAGCGGCGAAGACGACCCAGGGATGTAGCCCGCCCCCACCCAGACACACAGCGCCCTCCTCACCAACCACCAGAGATGGGCGCCGAAAGGCTTGATTTTATACCGTAGTCAGTGTCGCTGCTAATGCGGCTCAGACACAGCAGCGTGCAGGAAGGCGTACGGGTGCACGTCCCATGGGCAGCAGTAGCGTTGTCCGCTGCGGAAGTACGTATCGCGGTATCGGGCCCCACAGTGCGTGCGGTGCTGCAAGATGTTGGGGAGCTACCGGTACCGGTAACAAAGCGTGTCAAAATGCTGCACCCTGGGCCTCCAGCCTGCACCCCGGTTCCTGTCGGTCCGTCTGTGTGCATGGGAGCTGCGTGGCTGGCCAAGCAACCAACGGCGGGTTACTTGCAGGCATGAAGTTACAAGTTGTGGGGGTTATGCCCGAAAACACGGAGAGGGAAACACATGCGCAGGACAGTCTCTAACGGCGGACCTCTTATGACAGTGGAATGTGTGTCGATAGCGGTTACTACTCGGACTTCTTATCTCTGTCCTCCGTCCACAGCTTCGCCCCCGTTTTGGTGATGGATGTGGGGTTAGCAGCACAGAGCCGCTGAACCGAGATGAACCGTTCAGACCTGGAATGGACATTCCACGAGCCGAGCAGCTGACAGCCGCTCTCGTCATCTCGTGGGCTGCCTAGCAGGCCACAGAAGCAGAGCTGCGTGACGGTAGCGGCGCTGGTATGCGATACACCGGTACGCATGTACCGTACTCCCTGAGATAATTTACGAGTAATGAATCCACCGTTGTGCCACCCCGCACGCATCAAGTGCGCACGTTTCCGCGAGCTCAGCCTCGGCTTACATGCCCACCACTATCCATCCCGGCGGCACATTCTCCGCCTTCCAGCCTGCCGCAGTTGTTACATGGCCGGCTCGCCGGAGCTGGACACCTTCCGACCAGCAACACAGACGACGGTGCGGTCTATCTCAGACCTCCAGACAATGCGAGAATCATGCGCAGCAGCAACATGCAGCTTCCATTCATGTGCCACACACGTCCATTCGTTTATTCAAATTATTTCCCTCCTGCCCCTAATCACACCGCACGGCCATCGCCGTACTAGCAATTCAGCATATGCCAATTCACGCCCCCCTGCACCACCAACAGCAACAAAGAAATCAAAAACAGCAGCAGCAGCAGCAACATCAACTCGTGTTCGGGCCATGCGTACATTGCGCCCCATTTCATTGATAGGGTGGTGTAAACACGCTAACACGCAAAAAGACCACCTCAAATCGGCTTATGTACAATCCCAGAATCCAAGCGCCAGGCACAATCCATGTCTCGTGGGTCTCCTCAGCTTCATCCGGAAGCGTCCCCCTTCCTCAAGAGATGCAAAGCACCACACCGCAGCGTAAGCAAGGCACATCAAGTAACACTCCAGGAAAGCGAAACACATCACGATGAACACGTCACGTCACATGTTACGTGTTAATCTCCTCAGTTAAACAACCTCTCGCGTCCTCTTTCCCCCTGCCTCCTCCTTCCCTTGTCTTCCAGCCTCCTGCCACTGGGTAGCTTCCAGGCAGCAGCAGCAACGGTAGATTCGCCGCCTCTCTCCTCCAAGCCCCCACCCCCCCACCGCGCCACGCCACCCCCTCCCTCACTCCTCGTCGCTATCATCATCGTCCCCGCCTAGCTTCCTGCCAGGCCCCAGCCGCCCCGCCTTGTAATCCTCCACCACCGCCCCCAGCCCTGCCGCACTGATCTCCACTCCCTTGGCCCCCAAATCCCACGTCGACTGCGCGCCCGGCACATCCAGCAACACCGCCAAGTGCCCCTCCGGCAGCTTCACCTCCCCCTCCTCCTCCGCCGGCTCCTCCACCATCCCCGCAAACATCAACACACGCAACGCAAGGTCGTCCTTCTTCTGAGCCCACAGGAACGACCATGCATCCCCACCCGGCGCCGCCTTGGTCGCCACCGCAACGCTCTTCAGTGTGGCCTCCGCAAATGCCTCCGCCTCCGCCTGCTCCTTCAGCTCCTCTCCCACCAGCAGCAGCATCAGCGGGCCGTCGTTGATGCGGGAGGCGGTGCTGGGGGTCAGCTGCTCCAGCGGCTGCGGGCGCCAGGGGAAGCGCCGACCCGCCGGGTCGGTGCTGACGGCGCCGGTGCCCTCCATGGTGGTTACCTTGAAGTCTGGGTCGAGGACGACCAGGGTGGGGATGCCCTCAACCTCAAACAGCCTGGAGAGGGGCGTGTGAAAGGGGCGATCAGCAAGAGTGGGAAAGCCTTGGCTAACATTGACATGCACGCCCGGCTGCGCCTTACCACACCCTCGCAACACCCCAAACCCCACCCTCCTCCTCCTCCTTCCCACCCTCCTCCCGCCACTCACATGTTGAGCTCCGCCGCCCTCTTCCGGTCCTCAAACGGCAGCGCCGGCCACGTCATGTGCGAGTGGTAGCCGCACATGTCCTCCTCCTTGCGGTCGCCGCTCACAAACACCGCCTCCACGCCCGCCGCCCCCGCCGCGCCCTCCAGCTTCCCCGCCGCCAGCCCCTCCCGCAGCGCCTTGAGCGCCTCCACCAGCATGGGCGTGAAGCGGCGGCAGGGGGGGCACCAGGAGGCGGAGAAGTAGAGCAGCGTGTACTTGCCGCGCAGGCGATCCAGGGCGGGGGTGGGAGTGGGGGCGGGGGCGCCGGCCTCGGAGGAGGGGGGGTCCACCAGCATGGCGCCTTCCATGATCTGAGGAGGTGAGGTGGGAACATGGGAGCATGGGAGAGAGAAGGGGTTACACACGGGGTGGGACTCCCCCGCAACCCGGCCCAGAACGCAACCCCCGAGCCCCTCGCATTTTCCGACCCAAGCCCCTCCAAACCCCGACCCAAGCCCCTCCAAACCCCGACCCAAGCCCCTCCAAACCCCGACCTAAGCCCCTCCCACCTGCTCGAAGGTCCGGGGCTTCCAGGGAAAGTTCTCGCACTCGGGGTCGTCCCCGACGGCATCGCGGCCGTTGGCGGTGATGAGCTCACCGCTGGCTGCATCCAGCAGGACCAGGGTGGGGATGCCGCGAACCTGCATGCATGGCGGGCGGGCGCGGAGGGCAGCAGCAACAACATGTCAGCGGTATGCCGGCTCTCCGGTTTTCTCAAGGGAGCTAACCTCCAATCTTCCTTCAAATGTGCCAACCGCAACCGCAGCCGCCCCCCTAGTTCTCCACCACCCTAAGTGTGCCACCCTAGGTTTCCCTTACAGTACGTATAGAACGGGTAGATTCCCCTCTCAGGCGAGCAGGCGTGTGGCGTGCAGGCGTGTGGCGAGCAGGCGTGTGCTCTCACCCTCTCACCCTCTCACCTTGAAAAGCCTGGAGAGCTCCGCCTTGGCATCCCGCCGCTCGAAGGGCAGCGCCAGCCAGGGCATCTCGCCAAAGTACTCCTTGAAGGACGCCTCGTCGCGGTCGCTGCTCACAAACACCACCTCCCAGTCGGCGGCGCGCGCGTGCTTGGCCTTGAAGGAGCGGTAGGTCTCCGCGAGGACGGGCGTGAAGCCGCGGCAGGGGGGGCACCAATGGGCGGAGAAGTAAAGCGCAATGACCTTGTTGGGACCTGGAAAAGGGTAATGCGGAGGGAGGAGGAGGAGAGGGAATGCAAGAAGGAGTTAGGGGGGGTAAACGTATAAAGAAGATGTGCGGGACGTACCGTATCGGTAGTTGTGTGTGCAATCGAGGACGGACAGGACAGAAAAAAGCCAGAAAAAGGCCAGACAAAAGGCTTTATCGGTATTAAGGTTATATATTAGGTGACGTGCATGCGAAGATTGTTCATTTAGAATTGTCGTCGAGGGGTGACGGAAGGGCAGGATGCGGTTGAAGCACGGGACAGTGCTCGGAAAGCAGCATGGCCAAGAACGAAAACACCGCTTACCAATGATGCTGGACACAGGGACGTTCTTGCCGTCCTGACCCAAAAGGGCGCTGCCCAAATGCTGGAAGACCGCGGGCAGGTTCTCCGCTGACCCATTGTCAGCGGATGCCGCGGCCTTGCTGGCCGCAACCTCCTCTGGCGTCAACTGCGGTAAACATACGAGCCCATTTAGTTGTCTCTCTCATTCACGTCGTCGTTGTTGTAATGCGACGAAGCTGGGCCTGGAAAACGTGGTTCAGATCCCGCACATACAGGACAGGACAAGTAAGCCCGAGTTCAACAATGCAAGGACTTACCCGACGGCACACACCGCCCTCGCAAATGACGTCGTCAGGCTTATCCGACATTCTTGACAATTGCGTTTTGATGCTTGGGCGGAGCTGACCTTCAATATGCCAAACTTGGCAAACAAAGGCTGAGATCTAAAAGTATATTTTGACGACAACGTTGTATTTGCATGGAACGCTGCTTCTTATAGATATTGTGCCAGCCACGGGCAATTGGTCGTGCGTTCCTCGCTCCGATGCCACCCCTAACTGCCGACGGGTTCGCGTATGGGACACCATCTTCCTCTGACGGGGCCAGGCCATACAGATACCTTCCGTCTGCGGCATAGAACGGATAGTGGATTTGGTATTTCGACTTCTCCTCACCTTCTTACGGGCTGCACATGGACATGCTACCCTGCCTAGCATACTACCAATCGGCACGTTTGTCGGCTATATGCAATCCTTTTTGTACTATGCGATCGTATGTTTTTGTGGTCCGTCTCGTGCATTCTGACTTCTTGGCATTCTGCATTGGCCGAGCTCTTGCAAAACACCTACCTGCGAGCTAGGATCTTACCCTATCAGCCATCTAGACAAGGGTGCATCCCTGTGATGTTCCATTCAACACAACGTCTTACTGTCACCTGCAAGTATTACATACGGTACCGGGACATCTAGAGCACTTGGCTCTTCGCTCTTAACTGCTTTGGAGCCCTGATATCAGGTGCTTCTCACTGCATTCCTATACCCACACGCCGAAACGCGCGCAACAAGTTCGCCCACCAGGTCCAAAGAACACGTTCATACCGAGCCGGTCCCCCTAAGGGAATGCCTGCGGGGCCCCACATCCCGCCTGCGGAGCCCCACATCCTGTGTCCTATGTCACGAGTCTCGACAGACAGGAGGCCCCTGGATCACCCTGCCCTCACCTTGCCCTTTTTGGGTTGCAAGTGGCCAAATCGTCCTAAGCAGTGATCAGCGGGACGTTACTGTTGACCGGCATCAACCTAATTTCTTTCAGTCATGTACGTATGGGGACACACATACCACAATATGTGGCTGGGACTCGACCGGAATGCAGCAAAGAATGCACAACACGATCTAGCTATGTCTCCTACAATCTAGCACAAAATGGTGTGGTACTGCCTCAGCGTCCTGTGTTTGTTGAGCGTTTGGGGGCTAGGGCGATTCATTGACGAGAGCATTGGACGGGAGCGGCAGTCCTTACATGCTTGGGAATCCTGAGAGTTCATGGATGGTTAATGGCAAGGATGGGCTCCCCCGGGGGTGGAAGTCAACTTCTGTTTCAGTTGCTGCGTTTGCTTCAAAAGTAGCCTACTGGTTTGTTCAAGAAGACTAGGACAACCTGCGAGATCAAGGCGCCAAGAAATTACGATTACAACATCGTGTAGGGCTATACGGCTATCCATGCTATCTATGATGGAAGCTGACAGCAGTACATACCATTGAGCGCTGTAAGTATAGGTCCACTGTATTAAGTAAACCACACTTGTGAGCCCGTCTTGCAAGGTTAACATATTTGCTTGCCTGACAAACCTGGACGGCTCCTTGCAGCCATTTCCCCTTGATCCTGCAGTCATTATATATACTTCCAGTACACCTAGCTGGCTAATGGAAGTGTCGAAATGGCAGGTCCGAGAGCGCCAATCCTTTGCGAGCCCTAGCGGCTTCGATGCATTGCCCGTTCATCTTGTTATACAATTTAGCTTTGGTAGACTGGCTGTCGCCGACAGTCTGGCTGCTTATGCGATGCGGCCCACACAGTGCAAGCCTTGCACGTCAGCAGCAGCTCACAAACCTCTGAACCCTGCGTGTCTTTCCTTCCTTCCGTCCATGCAGGCCGCACACATGCATACGTACTGCCTCTGAACACCTCTGCTGGCCCAACAGTTGCGAGGCACCACCAGCGCCAGCATACGACCCCCCAGCTAACTCCTGCAGCGGCGGCCCGCCCTTCTCTACACGCTCCGCTTCGGGCCCGCACCGGCGCTGACCTTGCTTGGTTGCGAGGAGGAACGCTGGCAGGATAGTCTACGCACGAATCCGTGCACCTTTGCTAACATCAACCTTGCTGCTATCTGCTGCAACGCTGCCATTGAGCCCTAGTTCGCTCCCCATCCTGAGGAGGAGCCCACGCCAGTGTCTTGCCTCCTGAAAAGGGGCTAAGTTAAATCGGTGTACGCCCTTGTGGACTTCAAACTTAGCTCGGGTAGCACCATGGCTGCTGGTAGCAAGGGAGCGCGTGGCAGGGGAGGGCGGCGAGGCACGCAGGCGATTGAGGGCAAGGCTGGCGCCGATGCTGCGGAGCACAGCGAGGAGTCCCGCAAGTCCTTTGCGCTGATGCTCTCCGTGACACATGCCGATGAAGAGGTGCGGAGAGTGTAACGTGCATGCGGGGGTGTTGCAAAAAAGGGAATTCGGGGTGGGGAGGGGCTGCTGTGCGTGGAAGATGACTGGGTGGGTTGCGGCTGTAGCCGGTGCTAAGTAGGGTTTAGAGGTTTTGTGCACGTGTCAGGCGCAAGGACCTGCAGAGTGGTAAAACGTCCCTAGTACTGACAAGCAGTGCCTATCCAGGCCTATTAGTAAACTGAAGGAAAATCGAAGCCTTCGAAGGCTCAACCGGCCAACCACTCCTCTACCCGGTTTCGCCAACTGACGTACTCGCAACAAGCGCGATGCGCGCTGCCAAGGAAATAGGTATATAGCTTACATTACTAAAGAACAAAGGGGTGCACTGCTAGGCACAACACAGGTTTCGCTGTAGGCTGTATCCTCGGCTCCAGCGAGGATGGCGCCGCTGGCGCCCTAGTATTCGTGTTCAACGCTTTGCGATATTGACTTAGCCTCTTTGCGGCAGCCAGGAACGTTGCTGCGGGCTTCACGAACAAGAATTCACAAGCCCATGGCCACCGGACTTGACAGCCGTGGGCAGATGCAACCACAAACTCATAGTTTGTCTGGTCAAATTACCACCTTTGAGGTGGAAGGTGCTTCTTCCGCCCGTCTGTCGCTGCAGCATGGGCAGCAGCAAAGCCGACTGAAGCCTAGGCGGCCAACACGTCGTGGAAAAGTTTCACAACTTAATGAGAATGAGCGAGATAAGGTGCTTCGGGAAGGCGGATGCCAGGCGTTTGTCCGCTGTCAAGCATGTTAGCAACAGGCTTCCGCTGGCCCTCTGTTCGCCCTCTTTTCCTTGGCTGTAGGAGATTGCCAGCTTTCAAGGTTACCATTCTCCATGGTGGAAGAAGCTCATTTACTACATCGTAGGCGCCCTCACAGCAGGGTAGGTGTGCCAAGTTAACTACGAGGGCAGGATAATGAGCCCGAGCTGTCGTCGCAAGGCACTCCACCTGGAGTCCCTAAGCATGCCGCATATTTGCCATCTGGTGAAATAGACTACACTGGACGAGTATATGTCGTGACGCTTGGTTGACTTGCTTGGCACCATCTGTGCCATCGCAGCAGCATGCGCCCCTACCTGTATCACATCTAGGCGTCTTTGCTCAAGGAACAATCAGTCCTTGACCCCGTTTCCTTCCCTCAACACCCTTCTCTCCCCGTTAACGTACTCCTTGCTTTCCCCTTCCTCCCCTTCCTTCCCGCCACTCCCAGTTTCTCCTTCCTGCTGTGCAAGTGGTCCCCGCGGCTGCACATCCTGCTCAGCCTCACACCCTGCGCGCTGCGAGACGCCCAGTACGTGCGCGTAAAGGTAAGCGGGGGGGGGGAGGGCGTGTGGCTGCATGTCCTTCCATGGCCCTCAAGAGAACGGAGGAGCACGGCCTTTGGCTCTTCATTACTCCTTCCTTCTCCTCTTCTCTCATCGCCCCTACCTTCACCCTCTTCCTCCTGGCCTCCTTCCCCTCATCACATTGGAATTTCTTTTTCTCCTCCTCCCCACCCCTCTTCCCCATGCCTCTCTCCCCCTGTCTCCTCCCTCCTCCTCCCAGCTTGCCGACGGCCGAGTGGACCTGGAGCGGGTGCAGCAGGTGGCGCTGCCGGAGCCGCAGTACGACAGCCAGCCCACCCTGGTGGCGGACGAGGAGGAAGGCGCGCGGGGGGAACTGCTGCAGTGGCAGGTGGGCGGGGTAAAAGTAAGGAAAACTGACGGGGGGCACACGGGCTAGGATGGGGGTACCCTGGCTGGGAGCAAGGAACACGCGGGGCAAGAGGGTGGAAAGTCGTTCCTGCCCCCGCCTTGCCCAAGATCTTGGTCCTTTCACTCACGCAACCCGCCACGTACCACCGCCCGCTGCACAATTTTCTGGCTTTATGGTTTCCTGCTTACCAGGCCCTATCAGCAACCGCTCCCCGACCCCTCCCTCCTCCCCCAGGTCCAGCGTGTTCACCGGCTGCTGGAGTACCGCTGCGCCCGCTACTTTTACGTGGGGGAGGAGGGGGCTGCAGGGGGGGCAGCAGGGGCCGCCAAGGCAGCAGGCGCCGGAGCAGCGGCCCCAGCAGCAGCAGCAGCCTTTGGCGGTGGCAGCGGTGGTGGTGGCACGTTTGTCCCCGTGCCGCCGGTGCCTGCCGGGTTCAACGAGCAGCTTCGCGCCGCTGCGGTGACGCTGGCGGCCACGGGGCTGGCCACTGCGGTGGAGGAGGAGCAGGAGTGGGACCTGGAGGAGAGGCAGCTCAGGTGGGGGGGGGGGTCGGGGGGGGGATCAAAAAGACCATAACAAACCATAAGAAAACACAGGTGAGGGGGGAGAAGAGATGGGAAGGAAAAGCAAATGCCCTGAGAGCCCATACCATTTGCATTCCCCGCCACCTCCCTGCCGCCTCACTGGCATCGCTGGGGTGCACATGATGCAGGTACGGCACCAACGAGATGAGCATCCCCGTGAAGAGCATCCCCATGCTCATTTTCGATGAGATGTGGCACCCCTTCTACGTCTTCCAGGTGCGTGTGTGGAGGGGTGCGGTCTAAGGGCCGGGGTGATAGTTAAAGAGGAAGAAACCAACCGTGTGGCAATATCGTCACCAGGTGGTGGTGGGGGCTTGAGCACTTGACATGAGCCCGAGCTGAGTGTTTCGGGATCTGGGTTCCATCGCTTGCGTCCCCTGCGGTGTTTGTTGTTCTCCCTTCTTCCTCGTGCGACCCGCCTGGCTTCACCTCTTACCTCTCCCGTCTCCTCTCCTGCCCCGCCTCCCGCAGTATTTTTCCATTCTGATCTGGGTTGTGGGTGACGACTACTACTCGTACGCCGTCTGCATCGCCGCCATCACCTGGTTCTCCATCATCTCGGCGGCCGTGGAGGCGCACCGCAACATGAGGCGCCTGGCGGACATTGCGCACTTTGAGTGGTGAGAGGGGCGGGGGGAGGGAGGGAGGGAGGGAGGGAGGAGGGGGACTGAGGGAGGGGTGTTGAGGGGAGTGGAGGGGGTCACAGGAGAATCCTGGATGTGGGTTGGCATGCTTCAGAGGTGATGGGGGGCACGCCTACATCCTCACACTCACCTCTTGTCGCCGTGACCTCCCATCACGTTTCTACAGCTACATCCTTGACAACCCCTCCCCCCTTCCTCGCTTCTTCCCCTCCCCGGTTCCCTTCCTTACCCTCCTCCCCTCCTTACCCTCCTCCCTTTCTTACCCTCCTCCCTCCTTAACCTCCTCCCTTCCTTACCCTTTCCCTTTCTTACCCTCTTCCCCTTCTTCCCACCCCCACTCAGCGAGGTGGAGGTGGTTCGCGGCGGCTGCGTGGTCCGGCTGCCCTCGCGCTGCCTGGTGCCTGGGGACCTGGTGGTGGTGGGGCCGGGGGCGCTGCCCTGCGACATGGTGCTCATGCGGGGGGAGTGCATCGTTGATGAAAACATGCTGACAGGTGGGGGGCGGGGGCGGGGGCGAGGGAGGGGATGGCGGGTGGGGGGGTGTTAGCGCTGGATGGAGCTGTTGAGGAGGCCGATGGTGGTAGGGACGGTGAGACGGGAGGGGAGAGAGGCGTCGTAGGGGTGCACTGTGGGAGATTTACGCTTAACCCCAACCTCTACCTAACCCCAACCCACCCATTCCACCCCCCCAGGCGAGTCGGTCCCGGTTCGCAAGGTGTCGTACAACCCCGTTGCTGACGGCCTGTCGTACCACCCGGACAAGTGCCCCGGCTGCACACTGTTTGGCGGCACGGTGGTGGCGCAGGCGCGGGCGGCGCGGGGGCAGAAGGCGGTGGCGGTGGTGTGCCGCACGCGCTTCTACTCGGCCAAGGGGCAGCTGCTGAGGTGGGGTGCGGTGGGGGGGGAGGGGGGGAAGTAGTGCTGTGTGTATAGTAGCGCTGTGTGTATGTGGGATGCCGGGCATGTCACAAATAGGGCAAGGGAACAGGGCAAGGGGCAGAGAGGGTTTTTGCCCATGGGGCCCATGAAAAGGAGATGCTACTACAAGCGGCTACTGGTCCAACGTAAGAAACCGCTTACGCCGCAGGGTGTTACATGCTGTGGAGGCGTCGCCGTGATTTGCGCTATTTGTAACGGTTATGTTTGGAATTCAAGGACCCACGGGTCACCGCACGCCGGGTCATCCCCCCTCCCACAGGTCCATCTTGTTCCCTCGCGAGCACGAGGAGTCGTTCATCTCCGACTCGCTGCGCTTCATCTGCGCGATGCTGGCGGGCTGCATGGGGCTGTACGTGTGGGCGGCAGTGGTGCTGGCGTCGGTGGGGGCGTCGCCGGGGCGCATCGTGGTGGGTGGGGCGGGGAGAGGGTGGCGGTGGAAGGGAGCTGTTGGATGGGTAGGTGTGGGACACTCGGGCAGTTTGGACCTCCTTGCATGTTATGGCACGGCCCCTCTTACCTGTTCCTGTTACCTGTACCCTGCTGCGTCGTCATATCCCCCCTCCGTCACCTCCTCGCCTTCCCCTCGCCCTGCCTCTCCCCCAGGTTCGTTTCTTCGACATGATCACCATTGCGGTGCCCCCCGCGCTGCCCGCCTGCCTCACCATCGCCACCGTCTTCTCCATCGGGCGGCTGCGGCGGCGGGGCATCTACGTCACCAGCCCCGACCGAATCACGCTGGCGGGGCAGCTGGACGTCATCTGCTTCGACAAGACGGGTGGGTGCTGCCCGGTGGTGCCCGATACTTGTGGAGGTGTTGTGGAGGGCGCATGGCGGCAGAGGTGGTGGTGGCGTTACGAGCACTCGGCATTTGGGTAGTTGCTTCCATCGCTGTGTAGAAGGTAGCGGTGCTGGACCATCCGTTGCTCATACTTCTTGATCCACACCCTTATCTCATCCATACCCTGCCTTCCCCTTTGCCGCCCCCGCCCCCCCCCCCTAGGCACCCTCACCGAGCAGGGTCTGGACCTGCAGGGTATCGTGCCGGTGTCGTGCGGCCGGCTGCTGTCCCTGGTGTCCGCCCCCTCGCTGCTGCCGCCGCTGCTGGTGCAGCTGCTGGCGGCGTGCCACGGGTTGGCGCGCATGGGGGACAGCCTGGTGGGGGACCCGCTGGACCAGGTAAGGGGGGGGGAGGGTGAGAAGGGGGAGGGGTTTGTTCATTGATGCCGTGAGCCCGCTGCCGGTGTGTATGGCACGTTTGGCGGCACGGGACGACTGTGCGACCGGTGCTGCCTTCCGCAGTTGAGTTGGTTGTCCCTTTCCTGTCATCCATCACGTCCCACCATGCCCCCGTTGCCCCTCCCCCTCCCCCCCCCACCTGCAGAAGCTCTTCCTGGCCACCCACTGGGACCTCATCGACGAGCGCACCTCGCATGATGACGAGGGAGGAGGAGGAGCCCGCCCTCACTCGGACCTACCAGGGTCAGAGGCAGCCGCAGCAGCGGGAGGAGGAGGAGGGGCTGACGTGGACGGCGGGGTGGACGGCTGCGGCGGCGCCCCCTCGGCTGCCGAGGTGCAGGCGGAGGCCACCGGCACGGGTGGGCACGTGCACACCTTTGTGAGGCCGCCGGGAGCCGCGCAGGTGGGGGGGGGTAGTGGGGGCTGTGTGTGGTGGATGGGAAGGTAAGAATAAGGAAACTGACGAGGCAATGAACAAGCTGTGTGACAAGGCCTGAGGGGGGGAGGGAGAGGACCGGAGGCACGGGTAGAGTGGGGAGCGGGCAGGAGTGTGGAAGGTGGGGAGCTGTCCGCTGTCAGCAACCTTTCCCGCGCTCGCTTTGTTCCCCGGCTTGCCTGCATTTGCCAACTGCGACTGCGCTCGCCAGCGTTCTTGCCTGTGAAAACCGCTCTTTCCTCATCCGTCAACCCGTCTCCAAACCACACAACATGTACCTAGCCCACACCTCCTCCTACCTCCGCCTGCCCCTCTGCCTCTCCTCCCCTGCCCCCCCCCCCCAGGCCTACGCCATCATCAAGCGCTTCGAGTTCTCCGCCGCCCTGCAACGCAACCTGGTGGTGGTGCGCGCGCCCGACTCCTCCCTCGCCGTGTTCGCCAAGGGCTCCCCGGAGGCCATCCGGGGGCTGGTGGACCCCGCCTCGGTGCCGCCCGACTACGACAGCCTGCTGGGGGAGCTGACGCGGGAGGGGCTGAGGGTGCTGGCGCTGGCGGCGGGGGAGCTGGGGGTGGGGGGATGTGCTGGTAGTGGCGGGGAGGAGGGGGGAGGGCGGAGGGTGGTGGAGGAGGGCGAGGTGATGCGGTGGACGCAGGCTGAGACGGAGGCGCGGGGCGGGCTGGTGCTGGTGGGGCTGGCGGTGATGGCCAACCCGCTGCGGGCGGACACGGCGGAGGTGGTGGGGAGGCTGCAGCATGCAAGCATACGGACGGTGATGGTGAGTGGGGAGGTGGGAGTGGGGTGAGTGGGGAGGTGGGGTTAGTATGAGGTGGAGGTTCCGCACGAGGTGAGGGGGGATGGGGGGTGGGAATGGAGTGCCTCATGTTGCGTGCAGTGGGGTGACTTATGGGCCGGTTGGCTTGTGGCGTTTCGGCATCAACTCTCCTCCTCCTCCTTCTTCCTCCTCCTTCCTCCTTTCTGCCCAGGTCACCGGCGACCACCTGCGCACCGCCATCTCGGTGGCCCACAAGTGCCACATCATGCCCGACCAGCGACCCATCCTGCTGGTGGACGCGGCGGACCCGCTGCCCCCACCGCCGCCCCCGGCCCCGGGCCCCGCTGACACCGCCGCCGCGGGTCCTGCTGCTGCTACTGCTGCTACTGCTGCCAGCGGAGGCCCACCACACCTGCATGCTGCTGCTGGTGCTCCTGCTGATGCAGTTGAGACGGGGGCCAAGGGACGTCATCAGCATCCCTCCTCCTCCGCGCCGCAGCCTGTCGTACGGCGGCCCATGTCGTACAAGGCGCAGTCCTCGGGGCCCGGTCCTGCTGGGGAGCCGACTCCGCTGGGGGACCCCTCCGTGCAGGGTACCTGGGCGGCAGCCATGATGCTGCGGGAGGAGGAGGAGGGGCAGGAGCAGCGGCAGCAGCTGGGGGAGGATGAGGAGGAGGCGCTGGGCATGACGTCGGAGGCTGGGTGCAACGCTGCCGAGGCCAGTGGTGTCACACTAGCGCCGCCGTGTGTTGCGGGCTTGAGTGCGGGGGTCGGCGGGGCTGCACTGCCCGCGCTCAAGGCCGAGGCAGCGGCAGCTGCACCCGTTGCTAACGTGGCCGCGCATGCTCATGCGCACGGGGGCGCACCTCCACCGGCACCTCCTGCGCCGTCATCATCTGGGGGGCTACGTCTCAGCGTGTTGGATGTGGAGGGGAACGTCACCGCCACCACCACTCAAACCGCCTCGGACGGCTGTACCGGCATTAGCAGCAGCACCCTTTCTGCGGGTGCTGCTGCTGCAGCTGCTGTTGGTGGTCCCTCTGCGCTGCTTGCTCGCGTGCTGACGGGCGAGTTGGAGTGCGCGGTGACGGGCAAGGGCTTCAGCAGGCTGGTGGCGCACCCCGACCCCGCGCTGATGCTGCCGGTGCTGCAGCGCGCAGCGGTGTTTGCGCGCATGTCGCCGGATAACAAGCGGGACCTGATGCTGCTGTTGGGAGGCGGCATGGAGGTTGGAGGCAGCGGTGGCGAGGGGGGTGCAGGCGGTGCAGGAGGAGGAGGAGGAGGAGGTGGTGGTTGCTGTCCCCACCTGGGGCTGAGGGCTGGGTTCTGTGGCGACGGTGCGAATGACTGCGGCGCGCTGAAGGCGGCGCATGTGGGCGTGTCGCTGTGTGAGGCGGAGGTGAGAGGCGGGAGGCGGGGGGGAGGTGCTGGCTGGGTTGGGTTGGGAAGGCGCTGGGCGAGAGAGGGGGCATGCGGGGAAGGCGTGACTCGTGATTGTACCGTAATTAGGATAGGTGGTACTGGGGAGCATGGAAGAGGGAAGATGACACAAGAACCCATCAAGAGCCCTTCCTGGTCCCTCTCCTCCCACTTCCCCTCTCCTCCCCTCCCCTCTCCACCCTGTCAGGCCTCCGTGGCTGCCCCCATGACCAGCAAGGCGCAGACCATCGCCAGCATGATCACGGTGGTGGCGGAGGGGCGCTGCACGCTCATGGCGACCTACCAGATCTTCCAGTTCATCATCGCGTATGCGCTGGTGCAGGTGGGTTGGGTTGGCAGGAAGGGGGGGGGTCCGTGTGCGAACGCCTTGTCGTAGTTGTCAGCTTGTCACCCCTGCGTGCTATTCCACACCATACCCTGCTACCTCCCAACCCAAAAGCCCCTTGCGTCAACCCAGGTAATCTTTCACCCCCACGCTTCCCTCCCGCCCTCTTGTTCTATCGCGGCTCTGTCTTCCTAATCCTCCCGCCCAGGCCTTCGAGACCAACCTGATGTACACCTACGCGCTCAACCTGGGCAACTACCAGTACCTCATCGAGGACCTGTTCTTCACCACCGTGCTGGCGGCACTCATGGGGTTCACGGAGCCCAGGTGGGGGCGGGCAGGGGCAGGGAGGGAGGATTGGGTAAACAGAGCCGGGGGGAACATTATGGAGGCGGGCGGCAGGTGTCAGTCATCGGTCATGGTGCTCGTATCGGGTCTGTGCGAGGCGTTCCGCTGGGGTCTGAGACGGGGAAAAGAGCTATCCTTCACCACCTCCCCTCCCCTCGCCTCCCCCTCCCCCTTCCCCCTCAGGAGCAAGCTGTCCCGCAGCCGCCCGCTCTCCCGCGTCATGTCGCTGCCGCTGCTGGTGTCCACGGTGGCGCAGTGCGGGGTGGTGGTGGCCTTCCAGCTGGCGGCGCTGGCGCTGCTGAGGGCGCAGCCGGGATACGTGCGCACGCGGGGGGGGCCGGAGCTGCATGACACGGTGGTAGGTGGCAGGCAAGGGGAAGGGGGAGGAGGGGAGAAAAAGAAATTCGAAAGTGTGGTGTGATAATGATACAAGTTGCTGACAGGGAGAGAGGGAGAGAGGGAAGGGGGGAGGGGGGGGAGCATGCGAAAGGTCCAGCCAACGGTTCATCTGGGGTCATGTTACCCTTTTCCCTCTCCGCACGTTGGCTCGTCTCTTCCACTAACCCGGTACGCGTTACCACTCCCTCCCCCTGCCCTGCCTGCCTGCCTGCCCTCCCTGCCTGCCTCAGGCCCCCGAGAACACGGTGACCTACATTGTGGCGCTCGCGCAGTTCGTGGTGCTGGCGCTGGTATTCAACAAGGGCATGCCGCACCGCAGCCCAATATGGACCAACGGGTGGCTGGTGGCGGCGCTGGGGGTGCAGGTGGGTGAAGGGGGGAGGGGAGGAACCGTTTTAGGGTTTTAGGGTTTTGGAAGGGGGGAGGGGAGGAACCGTTGAGTGGGCGAGGAGAGGGATAGGAGTGATGGGGTGGTGGTAGGAGGGCAGGTGCCCTCATATGGGGGCGAGGCTGCGTGCGCTCCCTCCACACCCCCTGCTCCCTACACCCGCGTCCCTCTCTGCCCCCACGCCTGGCGCGTCTCCTCCCTATTGCTCTTCCCACCCTTCTCTCATCATCATCGATTGCCTTCCTTCCCTTATTCCCCCCCTTTCCCCTCCGTCTTCTCCCCCTCTCTAGACCCTGTTTGTGCTGTACTCGCTGTTCGGTCGGGACGCGTTCAACCGGGACGTGCAGCAGCTGGTGGTGGATGACAGCGGGGTGCTGAACATGGGCTTCAGGTGGGGGCGGGGGAGAGGGTGGGGTGGTGGTGGGGAGCACATGCGGTGTACGCAGGCGGGGAGGGTCCCATTCACATACCTAGTTCAATACACATGCATCATCCGTGCCGACACCGCTCCCCTCTCCTCCAATCTGCACCCCACATAACCCCACATCTCCTCCCCCAACTGCCCCCCTCTGCCCCTCCCCCCCCAGGTGGAAGCTCTTTGGCCTGCTGGTGGCGATGGGCGCCTGCGCCTTCGCGGCCGAGTACGCCTCCCTGGGGCTGGTCAAGGCGCTGGCCTGGGCCCGCAGCCGCAAGGGGCCCCGCGCGGGCAGTGTGCCGCACACCGTGGCAGGAGCGCTGAGGATGGATCTGGCCTAGCTGGCCTAGCTGGAGGGGGAGACCTGGACAGGGGATGGGCGGGGTTCGAGCCCAGCCGGGAGCCTGGTTTATGTAGGGGATCGTCGCGGGGGGGGGGTGCTGCGCCTACCTGGTAGTGCCGCTTTGTGGGAGCCAAAGTGGGACCATTGTGCTTGTATAGTGGGTGACGTTTGGGGGTGGGGGCAGGTAGGGAGTACACGCATGCGCGCTTGGTTCTTGTCGAGGACTGGGTGACTGGGTTATTGCTGGAGGGGTCTGGCCGGTGGGGTCGGGGGAGGGAGGGCTGTGTCCCGGTCTGTGTAGTGCCGGTTGCCAGCCGGGTGGGAGGGGGTGTCGCCGAGCGGTCGTGGTCGAGTCTTTCGGGTGTACTCTATTTCTGGTGGGGAAGCTGGGTTAGGTGATGGAGTTCTGGCTATTGGGTAAACGAGCGAGGCGGTCTTGTGGTGTCTGTGAACTGCTACCCCCTGCTTGTCGCCAAAAGGGCTCTGGGGTGGTTGCTATTATCTGTAGCTGAGGTATAGCGGTATGTATTGTACGCTCCCTAAAACACGACAACACGACGAAGACACTATTTCGCGCTCAAAGCGAAGGGCCTCGCTTATGTGTGCGTGTAGCCTTACGCCTTTTGTGAAGCATCACGTATTCGGATGTTGCTTACCAGTGCCTGGCATGCCGTGTTCCGAGTGGCCCTCGAATGTGTGTGTCACGTGGGGGTCCTGGGGGGCGAGCTGTACCCAGCGTGTGGTCTCTGGTCTGCAGCACCGAAGGCACGAAACAGGTCTGCACCCGGCATGATATTGGTGACATACCGATCTAGGTCGGCTCTGTTCAGACTGGTGGAGACACACGGAGATGTGAAGCTTACGTGTTTTGAATGTTTGGTCACCGGTGGCGTGTTCGGGGCTTCAGCGGGGGGCTTGGCCCCTGTTATGGGGGCTTCGCAGTGTAGTGCAGTGATGCAGGAGTGGTACTGCTTGGACCTGGAAACGTTGTTACTTTGTAGTGTAGCGGCTAGTAGGTTCTCATATGTCATCGGATTGTTGTGGACTTCCATTACCCTCCGCAGAAGGGAAGACACTGGAGAGAGGTTTCCCAGACCCGAGGGTCACAGCTTACATTCAACACACCGTATCCTGATACCCGTACTATTGTAATAGAATAAAAACTACGCCAAACGGCCGGAGCCTTTCTTACATTGCAGATTGCATCATTAATTCCTTATATGTGATGTACTGATGTGATGTTACATGGTGTTGCGATGACACCCCTCGTCGCGCACCTCACCAGCGGTGCACTCTGCACTTCAACCCAACTCAACGCCCAAGGTGTGTTGTGTGTTGTGCCAAGTGTAGGTTGTGTAGCGAAGCAGCTGCCGCACATGAGGCGGGAAAGTAACCGTTACGCAATCTGTGAAACATTCTACAAAACCCATAGAGGGGCGAGCTAACCTTCAAGCTACATAAGAACCTAAGTAACATAAACCTCACAAGTTGCTTGACCAACCTTCCTGTAACCAAAGCTTATGCGAAATTGCAGCAGTATGCAGCTCTGCAGTACACACCCGGGGGCACCGGAGGTGCTCGCTCTGCCTAACCATGCTCAGCGCAAACGCCAATGCGTGTCATGCCTGAGCGAGCCTAACCTAGCTACATAACTTTCCAGAACAAACAAATGAGGCAATGCATAATCCGGAAAGTCTTATCACTGGATGCGGCGACATGGTAGGCGCATGTGCTGAGAGACAACTGCATGCAAGGGAAGTTAGGGGGAAAATGCACCACTCGGGTCTCCTGGACTGTTCGCCACCAGGTAGCCTTACAATGGTATACCTGCCAACTACAATAAGGAACTTTGCAATACAGCAACCAGTAGTGGGGTAATCATAAAGCAGCTAACAGTGGTTTATGCGCCCCATCCCATCCCATCCCTGCTGCAAACTCCCCCGTCACCTGACAACTTAACCGAACGACTCTCACCCTACCCTGATGTCCCCACCCCAACCTGAGGTTGGATGGTCCCCAACCCCAACAAACAAGGAAATTCGAACTGTCAGCTCAATTGGCTCAAGGAATTATGACACGCTTGATAAATTTCTGTTGTTAACGAAGGGATTGTAGGTTGCTACGCCTTCTAACACCCAGTGCCCATCCATCCAGCACAACCAGCCACAACCCCCAACCGCCACCATGAAAGGCGTAGTGACAACCGCACCGTCCCACAGAACGCGTTTTACCCTTAACTGGTTGCGGCTCAAAGTAAATTATTGTTCTCTTTGGCCTTCTGCCTTTATTGTAAGTTTAAGAATTGCTGGTAAGAATATTGCTAGTATAAAAAGAGTCGTACCGTTCCCTCACAATCCTCTCATTCACTGCCGTACACCCTGCCACACCCCAGCCTAGTGCGGGTGTACTGCCCAGGCTAAAACGCGGGCACCAGAATCACTATGCCTGCGACGCTTTGGGCGCTGCATAAGATAAATGCTTACGAGAAGCAGGAACTAGGAGCTCGTTGCTGTTTCTCGCACGCGGGGGAATCAAACAAATTGCTCTGCCAGCAATTATTGGCGGAATGCCGCAACATACCATGTGCATCATACCATGTCCCATGCAACCGCATCCATTGACCCACCTGGTCAGCTCTTCAGATGCACATTGATTCTTAATGCATCCCATCCGTTTTGCTTACGTTTCTTCACCTAACACGACACCTACGGTTGGCCCCTCGCTCGCATCCACTGCCACCACTCGGACAGCTTCGGTCGCTGCCCCCGCCGCCGCCGGAAGCACCGACCCCACAAGGACACGATGAGAGCCCGCAGCTCCGGACGCTGCCGACCCAGCCGCAGCCGGTGATGGGGCCGCAGCCGCGGCAGCAGTGGCGGCGCTGGCACCGGCAATGGAAGGCGATGGTTGCGCAGCGGCGGCTGTGGCGGCAGCGGCTGCTGAAGCCTCCAGCGCGGCACCCTGGCTACCGTCCGCAGGTGCCGTCGCCGCTGCCGCTGGAAAGGAAGGGCGGTAAATGTACGTCTCCATAACACCCTTGCCTGCGGGTAAGGAACGCATGCATGGAGATGGGGGCAGGATGATGGAATGCTGACCCGTGGGTCGATCAGGTGCCAGCTGTTGGTGATCAAGCGCAGGCATGTATGTGAGTATGTAACAAAGCCCGCCCTGCCGCCTTCAGATCGCTTTATGAACCAAGCCCCATCGCCCCTGATTCCTGCGCACCTGCCCCTGCCCCCCTCCTAACCCAGCCTCCCCCTCCTACCCTTGACGTGCACCCCTCCTGTGGGATGCAGCGGCAGGTGCGGCAGCAGCGCACGGGTGGCAGCCGACACCTGGATGAGGCCCGGCTGGCAGGTGCTCTCCATGCGGCTGGCCGTGTTCATGGTGTCGCCGAACAGTGCGAACTTGGGCATCTTGGTGCCGATGACACCGCTCACCTGGCAGGGGGGGGGCGCGGGAGGGGCAGCAGGGTGGCGGCGGTGGTGTTACGGACCCGCTCGCACTAGTAGCCCGTTCTCACTCGACAACACATGGCGCACGAAGAAGAACATGCACCTGCTACCACGCACGCACGCAGGCAACCGGCTCCATGTCAACCAACCAACCAACCAACCAACCAACCAACCAACCAACCAACCACCCAGCCAGCCGCATCAACCCACCAGCGGGCCGCTGTGGATGCCCACTCGCAGCTGCACGGGCTCCCCGTTGTGCGGCATGCGTACCCCGCGAGCCGCCTCCAGGATGGCAACCGCGAACCCAAACACCGCCTCAGCATCAAGAACTGGGTCAGGGGGCCGTGACCGGGGCGACCGAGTTGACGCTGGCGCTGTCGCAGCAGCTGCAGCTGCTGCTGTTGTTGCAGTGACGGTGGCGGCGGTGGCGGCATGCGCATCAGCGGATAGCACTGCTGGCGCTGCGTCCGTCGGAATGGCTGTTGGTACTACTGTTGCTGATGGACTTGCTGCTGCTGCTGCTGCTTCTGGTGGTGGTGCTGCTGCTGGTGCAAGCGCTACCGGTGGCGGCAACGCTTGGGCTGCGGCGGCTGCTGGTAACGCAGGTGACGCCGGTAGTTCCGGTGCCGATATTGCTGGGGCTGTTGCTGCTGCTGTTGGCTCGTCCGCAGCAACAGAAAAGCGCCGCTGCTGCGGGTGCTGCTGCGGGTCGGGGCCCGCCTGAGGCTGCGAGCGGGAACGTGGCTGCGACTGAGGCTGCCGGAGCGGCGACATGCAGGGCTTGTTACCTCGCAACACGGAGCCGCATGGGCCCTGCTGCTGCTGCTGCTGTAGGAGCCCCATGCGGCAATGGGACTGCGACACCCCTGGAGGCGGTCCCACCGTGCGCCCACCGTGCAGCTGCGGAGCAGTGGATGCTGCCTGCACACTTCCGTGCAGAGCATGCGTGGCTGGCACCACCGGGGTTGCGGCCGCCACCACCGGCTGCACACGTGGTGCTGCGGTCTCCGAGCTTGTTGGCGCGACACATGGTGCGACAGGTGCGGGACATGCAGCAGCCGTGTTCGTGCCTGGACTCTCCACCGCAGCAGCCGCTGGTGCTGCCGCTGGGGCCGCTCCGACGGTGGAGGAACCAGCCCAGGAGTAGCCCCATGCCCCTGGAAGCGACCCCGTACTTCGACTGCTCCTGCCCCCGCCGCATTCAACTTCGCCGCCGCCGCCGACGCTGTCAGCCATTCCCGGCCCACCACCCCAGCTGCCGCCGCCGTACGTGCCACCGTACGTGCTGCCGCCGTTATTATAGCTACAAGCTCCCGCTGTCGGCGCTCTGCAGTGGCTGTCGTAGGGAGCAGCAGCAGTAACAGTGCCAGCGGCGGTGGCGGGGGTGGCGGTGGTGGCGGTTACCACGGAATGGAACCCATCCTGGTCGGCTTGCACGACCCCCGCTGCCACGATGTAGCAATCGCCCGCCGTCTCCACCTGCCAAGCAGCATCGGCAGCGTTAACGGCGTGGAAGGAACAGCAGATTGGGACCGCAGATGGGGCATGCAAGCGCAGGGGCAGAGGAGCAGACAGCGCCTTGCCCCGCACGCGCCACCAACTCCCAATTGCGGGACGTGCCTGACATGCGGGGCCTGCGGGCCTGCTGGCCTACCTTCCACACGCCGTACGAGTCCACCAGGGCATCCAGCCGGGAGTAGAGCTCGCTGAGGAAGGACATGACGGCGGCGGCGGGGACCAGCTTGCTCATGGCCTGGGTGGGTGGGTGGGGGTGGGAAGTTGGGTGGGTGGGGGGATGCAAAGGGTGCAGGCGGGGGGTCGGAGAAGTGCGGCAGGGTGAACTGCAGTAAACTGCCACAGTGCTTGGAAAGATATTCCTTTTTCCCGAGCCCTGAACTCCGCCCGCACAAACCACTTGGGCTCCCTGCCACAGCATGAACAGACTCACCGTGAATCCGACGATCTGGTGCGGGATGAGTCGCGACGTTTGCAGAGGTCAGCACGCGCGAGGTACCGTACACGTCGTGCAAGGATAAGGGGAATCGGAAAAGGGCGTCGGAAGGAAGCGGGAGTGGCATCTTGCTTGGCTGCCAGTCACAGAGTGGGCTACTCGTGTGTCCCAGTGGTATCCGCAAGCCAAAGCCCCAGGAGCCCCGGAGCTCACTCTACCAATGAACTCCTCTCATGTACGACAGGGGCCTCCTGATACCCTCCCCCCATGCACAGTAAGTCACTCTGTTCGCTGGCACACGGGCCGCAGCACGGGTGGTCTAGCAAAGGCATAGATATCCCCCTACCCCCCTAACCCCAACCCCTACTGCACCTCGACTCACGTCTGGGAGGCCGTGTCGTCACAGTCGCAGGCCCACCAGGGAGGAGTGCCGTCGCCGCCGTTGGGATCACAGCGACGTTAACAGTTGCAGAAGCAGCCAGCAGAGGCCGTTAGGCAGGTGGGTAGCCAGGGACAAATGACCGCAATTTGCAGCCAAGAAGAGGAGAAATTCGGGACATTGAATTAGACCAAAGCCGGAGTAGGGCCATGAGGCGCGCTGAAGCTGAGGCATACTTGCTATTCATGAGAGAAGCAGGTGGTCTTGCGCTACCCATTCATGCAACATGAACACCAGGGCCCTCTCCTCCCGGTCTGCTCCTCCTAGAACACCGCGGTATCGGTACCGTCACACCGTTGCACCCACCCACCTGTAAACAGCACGGTGGCCATGTCGTGTGCGGTCGCAAACTCGCCCACATGCGCGCTAAAATCCACCGCACCCACCGCCTGAGGAGGGGTGGTGGTAACACCAAGTAAGAGACGCGGGACAGCAAAAGCAGAGGCAGGCAGGGAGGAAGCCAGCCATCACGCGTGATACCAAACTCAGGCCCATTCCAAGTCCCGATAATAGGTCCGGGCCCGGCAGAGAACGAGAACTCATTCCTTCCTACATACCGTCCTTCCCAGTGATCATCGCGCAAAAATAAATAATTATTTGGCAAAATGTGCATTAACGCGCAAAATAAAATAATTGCTCCGGGGCCTGCGCGTTAAAAATAAATATTTCCCCGAAGGGCTGCGCGTCCCACCCCGTCGCTGTGCCGCCCCCAAAGTAGGGTTTCACAGTTCCCCGACCCCATCCATACCTACGCCTCCTTGCTAGCAGCTTACTGAGCTTTCGCGAGAAGGTGACAAGAAGACACGCGGGTGCCGCTCTGCTTTCCGATCTTTATAACTTAAAGTACAGGCTGCTTACATACTAGCCTCAAGGCTGCGCGTTGTGAAAAATAATTGCTCAGACCCCTGCGCGTTAAAAATAATAATTCCTTACACGGCTGCGCGTTAAATAAAAATAATCCCTAAATTTCTTGGTGCGCGATGATCAGACACAGCTACGGTATCGCCCCCGCCCCTTACCTCCCCCTGCTGCACCACAAACTCCAACACATGCCGCGGAAACATCTTCTCCAACATGCCCGTCTGAGCCGCCGTGAGCTCCACCAGCCTGCGTTCGGCCTCCACTCGGGCGGTGACGTCGGTCTGCAGGTCGGGAGGTCAGGGGGTGACAAACGAGGGCTCGGCAAATCGAAAGGCTTGACGGCCATGTGGCCGGGTAAGAGTAGGGAGACAGCCATGGTGGGGCACATGGAGGTCCGGGGTTGACGGGGCCAGGATAGAGTGCGAAGTGGAGGAAAAAAGAAAGAACTGCAGCTGCATGCAGCCCATGCCCATACACACCACGCCATGGTTGCCTTACCTCACGCCATGACAACACTCCAACAAAAAAGGCTCGCGGTCACCTTTCTTAACATGCACCCACCTGCACAAGCAGCAGCATCCTCTGTCCTGTGATCGGGTCCACGAACGGCGCCCCAGTCACCTCGTGCCATTTAAGACACCGCTCGTCCACATCACACAGGCCAGCAGCAGCGGGGGAGGTGCAACCACAACATCCGCCACCACCGCAAACGCCGCCACCGGCACTGCCAACGCCGCCAGGGATGCCAGGGCTGGGCAAGCGATCGACACCGCCCATGCCGGGTTCCCCGCTTCCACTGCCGATGCTGAACAGCTGCCCGGATGCCTCGAGAGATTCCTCATCATGGCCCTCTTCACGAACCCGCGCGAGCGACCCATGGGTCGTTAGCATGAGGCTGCTGCAGCGACAGCGACCAGAACAGCAAGCAGGCTTTGGAGGTGGTGGTTGAGGTGGCGACGGCGACAACAGCGGCTGCGGCAGTCGCTGGGGCTGCTGGTGATGGCAGTTGTGCGGGAGCCCCTCCGCTGCAGAGGTGTTACCATGGGGCTGCGGGGGTGGAGGTTGAGGCTGGGGGTGGCGTGGCGGCGGTGGCGGCGGCGACGGCCCCTTCGTCGTCGGCGACTGCGACGTTGCGGGGGCTAATGCTGGCGAGCCGCCGACGTCAAGCAGCCGTACGATGCGCGGATCCAGTGTCTGTCCCCCGGCGCCGCCTCCGCCACCCTCGAAGCCGGAGGGGATCAGGGCAGCTGCCGTATCCATGTGCGCCGCCGCCGCTCCGGTGACAGCGTCTGCTTCGGCTGCGGGGCAGCCGCCGCCGCCGCCAGCAGGCTCCTTCGCCAGCTCCTCGGAATCCGGGAGAACGTCCGCCCTCAGCTGCACCGCGGATGCGTCCAGCATGGGGTCCTGTCCACGACGGCCCCAACCGCCCCCACCATCGCCGCCATCAGCAGCAGAGGGCGCAGCCACTTCATCCGCAGCAGCCGTAGCGGCATCAAGGGCCTGGTGCCGTGCTTCCGCACGCGGCAGCAACCCTCGGTCTTCCGCCCAGCACTCGTCCTCGTCCTGCACTGCCGCCGCCGCCGCCAGCGACGGAGCGCCGGTCGGAATCCTCACTCCCCGCACCAGCGGCTCCCAGACGCCCGGCCTTTCAGACTCCTGAGAGGAGGTTCCGTACGACACCAATACGCTCGACGTCGTGCCGCCTTCCTGCCGCCTCGACGTCGCTGCCGTCGCGACGGCGGCTGTGTCGGCTGAAGGACGCTGCGACGCCCCGCTGACCGACGTCGCCGCCGCCATCACGCCGGTAGTTGCTGTTATCAATCCGCCGTCGCCGCCGTCGCCGTCGCAAAAGAAGCCGCTGATTGATACTCCGCTGAACCTCTGGTGGTCCGTAGAGGGCCGGGCTACCGCTAGAGGCGGTGCAATACCTCCCGTGGCTTGGGTGGGTCCTTTCGTATAACCCAGATGGCTGCGGAAGGGTGCATGCCGTCGCGACAAGCCGGCAAAGCCGCCACCATCGGCGACACCAGGTGCGCCCAGTGGCGGCGGCAGCCTCGTACCTCCGCCGGTGAACGAGCGGTTGACCTGGCAACGCTGCGCCGACGCCGCCAACGTGATTGCCGCTTCCATGCTCGTACGCGTTATCACCGTACGATAGGGATGCAGGCGCTGCACGCTGCTGCTGGCAGCAGGTGCACCGGTGCTACCGCCGGCGTAGCCAGATAGGTCTACTTCTGCTGAACCGTACGGCATTGAGATGCCGCTGTTTGTGGTGGCGTGCTGGGCCGTAGTGCTGAGCCGGCGGCTGACGAGACGACGCACGCCGGAGCGGTGGAAGGGATCGATGTCCAAAGCGGCTCCCATCAAGAAAGGGCTTTGCGCCGGGGCGGGCGTTCGGCTAGTCCTGGGTAATGACGAAAGGGAAAGGGATAGTATTTATCCAAGTGTTCGGGTCAAAAATTCAAAAGACCCGAAAGGACGATTCATTCATAGGATAGGGGGAGGAAACGCAGGTAACACGGCGACAGCGCCTTCCTCTACAATCAGCCGGGCCAGCACCCAGCTGGCCCGGCACTCACGCAAGGTTGCGACGCGACTGGCTGATCTTGATGGCTGCTCGCCACGCGGACATCTGCAGCGGGTCCTCATCAGAGGAGCCGCCGCCACCGTAGCCGGGAGCCTGTGGCCAGCAGGGGTTGTGTAAGCGGGCGAGGGGCGGATGCGAGGTGAGCAAGGGACACACAGCTGAAGATGAAGGGCGCTGATGTGTGCATACGCCTTCACGTGCCCCGTACATGTGACCTCTCTCGTAATCAAAGTCGTCCCGAGGCTGCAACCTTTTCACATAGTCCTTGACGCTTTTCAACATGATGCCGACTTTGCCGTAATGTCACTGTCGTAGGCAGGAGGAGGCATCATGTTGCGTATAGTTCAATGGAGGCTCTTCGCCCCTGCTGCCCTGTTGTCTGCTGCTCTGCTCACCATTGACAGGCAGTGATACTCGGTGCTGCAACGGCGCCGCCCCGCCCGGTACATGCGCACCTGCACTCAGCGACGGATGTAGCAGCAGGGCATGTGCAGGGGAAAACATCGCCACAAGACCTCGGCTGCGCGCTGCCGAGCGAGGCAGGCCAGGGGCAGCAACCATATAGCATCAGCAGCGATTGCAATGATCTATTATGATCTATTATGATCTATTAAGCCGCTGGTAATAACAGACACCCAACGAGTGTTTGCACCCCGCCCTCCCTTTGCGTGACGCCACCGACAGCCTTGTCCCCACGCACCTCCTGTTCCCAATCCTCCTGGCTCCCTCCTGTGCCCGGCCCCGTAAACCGGGGCGGCATTGGCAAGTCCACGGAGACAGGTGTCACCGCCATGGCACCGCCCGCTCCTCCTCGTCCCGATGCCTGCACACCTGCCCGGGCCGGTAGCTGCTGCATGCCCGACATGCTGCCGTCGTGGCCGCCGCCGCTTGCAAGGCCGGAGGCGTCGCGCCGAGCCAGGCGATGTCTGTGCCAGTGGGTGATGTCCATCGAGTGGCACCTGGGAGTCAGCACGTGCTCCTCCGTTGCAGCCGTCACGGCCACGGCAGGCGGTGCCAGCGGCTGAAAAGCTTTAGGATGCTTCAGCTGCATCGCCATTCCCGCCGGCGCTGTGGCGGCGCCGGCGGTGGCGGAGGCGCCATGCGGCGTCACCATGCTTCCTGCCGTTCCACCCGCCCTGGCTGCCGTTGCTGCCTCCGGCTCTGTATCTGCCTCTAACCTCGGCGACGGTTGCGTTAGTTGCGTTTGCGAGGCATCCATCAGCTCAATACCGATCGCGTCCGGATCTACCGAAATTGTGAAGTCCAACGTGGGCAGGTATGAAGCTGCTGCACCGCGGGGCTCGGAGCTGGTCGACCCCGTTGTCGTCACCGCCGCCGCCGCCGCCGCTGGTGTAACGACTGGCGACGTCTGCTGCTGCTGCTGCTGGGGCACCCGTATTGTCAAGTGGAGGGAAGAGGAGGCCAGTGTTGCAGTGGATGGATGCGGTTGATGGCCAGCAGGGGCAGGGCCCAAGCAGCGGCTCTGCGCCTGTGGACCTTGGAGCCGCTCCTGTTGTTGCTGCTGTTGTGGTGGTTGTATTGGGGGTTGTGGGACGCCTGCAGAGGATCGTGACAGAGGCGACGGCGGCGGCGGCTTTCGAGAGCGGCCAAACACTGCACGCACCGTAGCTGCAGGAAGTGGATAGCAGGCGCCGCGCAAGCGCTTGGGAGAGTGGACTGGGCTAGTGTCGCCGGGCGTCTGCTGTTGGCCGTGCGCGTGGCCATTGCCGGCGCCGCCATCCGCCATGCTACTCGCGTCCACGGCTGAGATGACGTCAGGTACGGTCGACAGTAGCCCTCGCATGGCAGCGGCGATGCCGACAGACGCGCCGGAAGCCGCGAAGGCTTCGGGTGCTGATTTGCGCGTTCTGGCGCTGCCAGTGTCACCGGTCGGCGTTTCCCTGCTGGCTAGCAGGGCCTCCGTCAAGCCCGAGGCAGCAGCAGCAGGAGGCCCCTCCCCTCCACTGCACACACCCTTCTCAGCCGTCACCACCGCCGCCGTCACCGCTGACTTAGGAGACGTCCATTGGGCATCGTCGTGCTGCGGTAGTAATAGAGGAGCAGGTCCGACTTGCTGACGGCAACACACCGCTTGCGCCGCCGCCGCAGCAGCCGCAGCAGCAGCAGCCGGCGGTGACGTCACCCTGCCTCGGCTGCCGTGTAATGGCCCAACTGGCGGCGGTACATGCAACAGCCTCTTCCAGGTACGACCAGCCGCCCATGCACGCAACATGTCGTCCGCAAGGTGCTGTACGTCACAACTGAATAACCGCTGTAGCAGGTACGACACGCGCAGGTCGCGTAGTGGTGTACCCGGTTCACCGGCTAACGGCGAGGGCATGTCCGGCCCCGTCAGGGTGACGCCAGCTGGGCTGTCGTCGCCGCCAGCGGAACCGCCCGCGCCAATGATCTGTGGTGTCGCAGAAGGCCCCTGCGGACGCCCCAGTAGGTGGCCATGATAGCGGCGCGAGGCCGCGTTTTGGTATACGACGCGTCCGGAGGATGATATCAGGGTAACAGCCGAATCGAGGTGGGACAGCAGAGACAGGCTGCGTAGGGCCACGGCGCGACTGTGCCGCCAGCTGAGGGGTTGGCGGTGCCAAAGGATTACGCCGGGCCGGCGGTGACGGGGGCTGGTGTTGTGGGAGCTTTGGTAGACCCAGCAGGGATGCAGACGCAGTCCCTCGAGGCCTGCAAAACCGGACTGACGGTATTGGCTGTAGGGATGGCCGTAAGTGAAGTCGTCAGGATTGCTGCTGAAGCTTTCTGCGAAGCCATCTGACACGACACCGCCGTCATCATACGTGGAAGCGGCTACGTTGGGAGGCCGTGGTACCGGTTGGTGACAGGAAGGATGTTGGACTGGCGTCGCTGAAAGGCCTGCTGTCACGCTGGCAACTGCCAGCAAAGGCGTGTGGCATGTCGGACCGTAAAGGCTACGCATTGCCTCGCGAACCTCCAGCAAAAGGTTCGTCTCCGCGTTTGCCATCTCTTTGAACAAGAGGTGGTAATATGCTTGTGGGCTGGTAGCTCCCATCTTGCCTTGAAGGGCGGCATTGAGATAGACACACTCCAGAAATGACATAAGCGAGGCGTCGTCCAGCCCGTTAAGGGAAGCTTCAAACCTGAGGGCTAAAATTGCCAAAGGACTAGTGCTTGTAGCAAGCATGGTAGTCGACGCCGTATCCAAGCAAACTGTCCAGGGCGTATCCAGCCGGGCAGCTGCCGTGCTTGCCTCCACTGCTTCGCGCGTAGCGATACAACTCGAAGAGGTGACGGCGGCCTCAGCATGTTTATCTGCATCCTTATCTTTAGTTGCCTGCAGACCGAAGCAACACGCCAAGGCTCTGAGCCGCATAGGCGACAGGACCCTTGAAACCGCAAAGGCTGGCCCAGACTACTGTATGGCGACACACCCAGTGGAGACCATATGAATGAGCAATTAAACGGCGGGAGTTGCAGAGGCGCCTGCTACGTGCTATCGACGGTGCAATGATACAACCGGTCTGCAGAGAAAGGAAGAAATGTTGTCTAGGAGAGTTTTTTATTATTTGATAAATTACAGGAAACATACCTAGATCCTGGCTGTTGAACCTTCCAGTTGAGGCAACGCTGCGAGGCCCAACTATGTACGGGAAAACTCCACGTGATAGCTTAATGTGACAGCTCTGCATCTTAGCGCCGTATCGCTTGACTGTTGTAGCGCTAATATAGTCACAATGTAAAATATATTAGCTGGCGGCCCTCTCCTGTTCTCTGGTGTCTTAGATAGAGTCCCAGTGCCATTTCAAGAATACGAATGGCCGTCTTGGCAATCGGAAGAAAGCAAACTCGCCTCGTTGTGCTAGTGGTCGCCCAAACAAAGTTAGCGTCTCCGCCATATACCGGTAATGCCCAGCAACGCAGTGGATGCAGCAACGCAGGACAGCACGTTGCTTTGCATCCTTTCTGGCGTGGGGCTCCATTGCACCACTGCACCACCACGCACTACAAGCAAAGCCTGTTGGCCACGAATTGCAGTCACACGTTGGATGATTGCCCAGTGGATCCCCGGTAATTTGTCATGATAGGAGCCGGAGATAGCCACTGTCTTCTGTCTTGGCATGGAACATGCAGCTGGCTGACACCTCGGTACTCAGCAGCGGAGCTACCTTCCCCCAAAAAGTCGCGCTAATGTAGTTAAGTGTATTGTCCACGAGTAGACTGCATTGGCATTATCACTCGATTCGCTTACCGGTATCAACATCCGATGTCGCCTTACGATCAAGCTTGGTGTCTATAGTACCGGTAGGCATAGCTTGCGTTAATGTAAATTATTTTCCAATGAGTGTATTAGAAACGTACTTCTTATGAATGGTACACTACTGCGAGAACTGTGATTTAAGCTCCGAAGCCTTTCGGAACAGCCATCGTCCCCGTCTTCCCGAGACCTCGACTGCTTGTGACAGCGCTAATACTCGATAGCTTATGTTTTATGTAGGCGCGCCCAGTGAAATATTATCCTTCTAATGAACCTTGATACAATCAATGCTTTAAACGACAAGTGCAGCTAGCAAAAGGCCTGTCCACATCCAGTATTAAATCTGACAATCTATTACCATGTAATGATGTTTCGAAGCAATTAGGGAGTCCCGTTCTTAGGGTCCACTCCGGCGTTGGCCCCTGACCATCATTTGTGCTTAGCGATAGCGTCTCATTCTCTCCTTACAGTTGTCATAAAATGATACGAGATTTTCGCGGCGGCGCAATTTTGGTGTTCGTAGTTTGTGTAGCTGTCCAAGGTATGTAACCCTTCATTGCTTTTGGAACGGCTTTCCACATTCAGCACGTAAAGCCATGTTGCATGCTTTCAACACGGACGGGGCTAAGCGAATTCTTCAGGTCCGTAACAGCGTCGTGCATGGGTCGTATGGAAAAAAATGCCCGCTTGCAGCGGCTCGCGACTGCGCAGCATGTCGCTGCCACAAGCATGCGCAGCGTGGCACTCGGATGATGAGCTCGGGTTATGTCCATGGGAGGCTAGCCATACCCTTACTTTCTCTTCTCCCGTACCCATCAAGCTGTCAAGGGCGTTGCATCCGGCGTGCCTTTATGTCACGCTTCAGGCAGTATTGGCCACCCAAAACGTACTATAACACTGGTGCTTAACGCCCTGGTGGTAAATCCATGCTATGCAGGCTTACCCCAGCAGGACGATCCGCCTCCCTCAGAGCCCACACATGGCTACCTGATGGACAGCCAACCCAGCCGCCAATTATCGGCCATTTTAGCACCAATGGCTTCTGTTCCGCCGCCGCCGCCGCCACCCCCATCGTGGCCCCAGCTTGTCGCCGACCCACTGCTCCCCAGCTGGGCTTCTGTTCCGCCGCCGCCGCCGCCACCCCCATCGTGGCCCCAGCTTGTCGCCGACCCACTGCTCCCCAGCTGGGCTTCTGTTCCGCCGCCGCCGCCGCCACCCCCATCGTGGCCCCAGCTTGTCGCCGACCCACTCCCCAGCTTTTGTTGGTCGGAGGAGTGGAGCAACTTGCCTGTAGCTGCGCGAACAGGTGAGCTCAAGGGCATACGACTAGGATGTTTGTGAAGTCGAAGTACCTCTGCTTGAACCAGAGGCTTGAACCAGAGGTAACAGAGGGCTCGAAACCGCACTTCACAGACGGTTTTACTCCGTTTACTTGCTCATCCCTCATTTCATAGTGTTACAGCAGGAAGGGTTGAACTATGGCTCGCACTCAGTTCCCAGCAGCAGCCTTCCATCCTTGGGCTTCCATAGTTGGGGCTTAGGTTAACTGCGCCGCGAGGGAACACTGATAGGTGGGGGATGTAGTACAGGACGACTCAATGGCGCGGGAAGTGGCGTCAGGGGCAGTGGTCGAGGCCACGGCGCGACAGGGGGGAGAGGAGGCAGGGGCCAGGGCATGGGACGTACGTGGTGGTGCTCGTTAGCTTACATGTTGTACGATACGCATGCCGTACAATAGGGGTGGGTTTGTCTTTGGCCTCCCCTAGAGTTTTCGTGATGGGGATTTGCATACCCATCTCTGGCTCCCGAAATGAAAAAATGCGTTTAGTGTGTACTGTACAAGGGGAACCGCCTGGATGGTAGATTGGTAGTGGAATGCGACCTGTATTACTCCCCTAAACTATCTCTTGCCGTGCATCTTTTCACCCCACCAACAGATATTCCTCATGGCACATTAATCCTGCTCAACGGTCCAGTTCCTGGTAACACCGGTGTCGTACAGCTTAGCTATTGCGGCTATTTGGGCTCGGTAACCATGGATGGCTCGCAATACCTTGAGATAAGCGAGGACGACGGTTCTACATATTACGGCCCAGAATTGCTTTACAATGGCTGGGGATTGGAGGAATACGAGAAAGCACAGGTCGTTAACACGCTACGGGCTGCTGCCATTTGCACACGATTGGGCTACAAATATAGCAGGTAAGGTGATGATGAGGCGGCCACATGTTACTGCCGTAATATGCTTATGTTTGCTCTGGTTCCAAACCATGCAGTTTTGTCTGCAAAAATGACGGGGGGTGAGCTAGTGTAAAGCAGCGGCGATGAGAGCTACCATAGAGCAGTAGCCGGAGTCGGTTAGCGCAAATGCTCGCACTGCTGACATTCCTCCTTGCTGGCCCTTTGATTGCACAGGTTTAAGAAGGGGGCCAAGCGGTATGGCTATGGAACAGGCCTGGTTTTCACCATAACACCGGCCTGCAAAGCCAACACCGGCTCAGCCGTATTACAGGAGTTGTTTACCAAAAAACGTTTCCCGAGCGCCGAGGGGCGCCAAAGGTGGGGAAACCTGGAAAGGCTCCCCACGGACGGTTCTGAGGTGCTTGTGAACGCCTGTGAGGACATGCGTGTGCAAGTGGCCTCATCTGGCGAGAATGAGTCCCAGCACCAAGGCGACCTGTCTGTGGACTGCTTCAACAGCATCTTTGAAACGTACGGTCCGGACCCCTCAGGTGAGACCAAATTAAGGGCCATAGAAGCTATTGTGCTTACGAGGTTCGTATGACGGTAACATGCACATTATTAGCCTTGCTTGCATGCGTCTTGGCGTTTGGAGTATGCACGCACAAGGCGCTGTCGTGTTACGCAGTTGCATCCCGTGTAGCCTACATACACGAGGCAGCAGTCTTCTGTTTCAAAAAGTAGGGATAGAAACTAGAAAGTAGAAACTAGAAAAGCATACCATGTATCTGCTGTACCCGTATGTGTGCCGGCGTGCATGCAGGTGCGGCCCCTGGCTCCCTGCGGCTCATGTCGTACCCACCGTGGTCGCCTGCACAAAGAACCTCATGGGGCGCTGTTGGCTTTGTGCAGGTAAGGTGTTGATGAAAGTAATAATTGGCTTTGGAAAAAATATAGTATGAGGCGTTTTTAAGCAATGCAATCCTAATCCCATAAATAAAATTTAAAACCGGGGCATGTGCTCCAAGTTTGCTAAGGGGCATTGCATGGCGATCCAAATCTGCAGCTAGCATCGTGGAATAAATAAAACGTGATGGATTTGCAGGGTTGTTTGTACGGTACGGGGCACACACACAGGGGTGGTGCCAGGGCCAGAGGTAGGGTGAAGCCTGTAGTGGAAAGAGGAGGCGGGGGCTGGGGCCGGGGGTGTTGCAGTGCCGCCGTGTCAGTGGTACGTGCGGGTCATGGAAGGCGCAACATGATAAAATAGCCGTGGCTGGTGCTTCCTGGGCGCCTAGTACATGTCCATAGTATCAGGGCCAGTGCCATGGGTACCTTGGCAAGACCCTAGTGCAACACACTGGCATTAGCTTTTCTGCGCGCAGTAATAAGCTAGGGATTTCGGATGTTTGTATTGCATGCACTAGAGCGTACCTAGGAGAAGCTAGGGCTTTTTCGTGGACGTTTCGACAAAGCCCACAAGCGGTTGCACAGCATGGATCGGTGGTTTCAAGACCTTCCCACGGGAAAACTGGTCATAGACGGGGTTTGTAGGAAAGGTAGTAACCCCCTGGTGATGTATGAAAAGTGTGCAAAAGATTACGCGCGCGAGACACGAATCCAGCTAATCCGGATAGATAGTATGGCCATTGATCTACGTTAACAAATGTCCCCAGTCAATGAAGCATCGACGGGCATCATTAGACTGCATCCGCAAGAAGAGGTGTTGAACAGAAATAACCATTGACAGCACCGTCCAATAATTGCCATTTGTTACACTAAATTATGCTCGTAATCCTCATGGCCCGTTCCTTGCAGGTCTACACACAGGGCCGATGGGGAGCCATTTGCAGTGATGGCTGGGCTGATAGCGCTGCGGGCTTTGTATGCCGCCAGCTAGGCTTTGCCGCTGGCATAACCGCGGACCTCGTGTTTCCCACTTCCGACCCCAGCGTTGCACCAGACTTCAATGTGGTCAGCTTACAGTGTTTGACACCTGATGGCGGGTGTGCATACTCTGCTGTTCGATCTTGCTTCTTTGCGGACATGGCTTCGGCTGCCTGCTACAATGAGCTGCAGCAGGTTCCTGGCCGACCTCCACCTGCGCCTCCTCCACCTCCCATTCCTGTAGATGAATGTACAGCCTGTTGGACAGTGATTGTTGCAGGAGATCTCGGTAAATATCAGCCAGTGGCGTCTTGGCAAGCCTGCAGCCTCTTTGCTGCCGGCGTCACTAAGTACATTGCAGATCAGTTTAAGGATATCAGCGTGGCGGTTACACGGGCATTTACATGTAGCAGCAGCACGTTTGCTGAAGACACGCACTCCAGTATTACTATGCAGGTTTGTGGTGGGGTGAGCAACGTGGACAGCTACATCGGCCGGCTGAAGCCGCCGGCCCAAGGATATAATTTTATCCCGTTCCTTTCAAGCATCGGTGCACTCATTGGTGATCCAGTGTCCCTCCGTGATGTTGACTATGATTATTCACCGGTTACTGGCGGCGCATCGGGCTACACCGTTAACCTAACCACGTGTCATGGCTGGTTAAATGAATGGCATGGAAACCCACCTTTTGACCCGCGCGTACGCAAGCCACTGCGCAGTCCGCCACCCAGGATGCCAACCACAACTGGTGAACCGCACCCACCTCCCCAACCACCCCCTCCTGGTCAACCGCACCCACCACCTCCACCACCACCTCCTGGTGAGCCGCACCCACCTCCCCAACCACCCCCTCCTGGTGAGCCGCACCCACCTCCCCAACCACCCCCTCCTGGTGAGCCGCACCCACCTCCCCAACCACCCCCTCCTGGTCAACCGCACCCACCACCTCCACCACCCTCGCCTGGTCAACCCCGCCCACCACCTCCACCACCCTCGCCTGGTCAACCGCACCCACCACCTCCACCACCCTCGCCTGGTCAACCGCACCCACCTCCCCAACCACCCCTTCCTGGTCAACCGCACCCACCTCCCCAACCATCCTCGCCTGGTCAACCCCGCCCACCACCTCCACCACCCTCACCTGTTCCTAGTCAACCGCAACCACCACCTTCACCAGAGAGACCAACAGCGGTTGCTAATGGGACTGCAAACCAGCCTTCCAACACAATGGCTGCACCCCCACCTCCTATGGTGCTGACTCCTGGTAGGTTGCGGGTTTGTTGCTGGTAACTCAGGTGGCTGCGGAAGGGATCACTCAAGTACTGCCCTTGCTAACAACTTGACCATACATTGTTCATGCAGTTGTCCTGCCTGCTGTTGCAGTAGTGCTGTTTGATGCTCCGGTTGTACAACAGAGCTCGCCTGCTGGTGTAAATAAGGCCATCACGACACTCCATGCTTTACAGTGCAAACTCCTGGGTGCAAACTCCTGGGTCCATGCACGAGTACTCCGCTTGGACTTGTAGCCCACTGGTAGCGTTATGGTTTGCCCTGGCAAGCAAGTGCTGTTTTAGTTGGGTAGCCGACTGCCTTACATCGTTGCTGAGGCTTTTCCTGACAACTTCCCTCATTCCAACCGCCCAACTGCTGACATGAGCTGCATACCAACCGCCACCCCGTCCCTGCCAACCCCTGCCCTCCCAGAGTTCGTGGGTTGCTACAACGCCACACTTCTCAACACCTCCCTCACAGTACTCCTCAACACCACGACTCCAGGACCCAACATGACGCTGGCCGGCTGCCTGGCAGCTGCGACGACATCTGTTGGAAGCGGCAGCTCCGCCAACAGCAGCGTGTCATCAAGCTTCAGCTTCCTTGCCTTCGCGGGGTACACCGTCCCTACAAAGAAGCCCAACGGCCGTACTGCCCTCCTTCTAACCGCCGTCTGCTACGGCATGCACCAGCTGGACTACTACTCTCCCAACGCGCCAGCGCTGCTGCCTGCGTCCTCATGCGCAGTGGTGCCCTGTGTGCTGCCGGGAGGAGCGGCGGCGGCCGCACAGGGCCCTGCATGTGGTGGCATGAGGCGGGATGTGCTGGCAGTGTACTGGCTGGGGTAGAGCAGGGTAGGTAGGGTGCAGTTGTGCAGCTCCACATCAACATCATGTCTGCTTAGGTAGGGTGTCAGTGCTTACACCTGTGTTGAATGTGCCCACTTGAAACAGAGCGGAGGGGCAAGGCTAGGGCAAGGCGAGCGAGCGGGATCATACGAGTGTGTGCTTACTAGTGTTCATTGCAACCATAGGGTGTCCAATTGAGAGACATCTGCGCATCTATTCCTGGCAGGGATTACCTCACCGAAATATCGTACCTACAGCGAAACGAACAAGGATTTCGTTTTGTTTCGTTTGCGTTTACAGGCGCGTTTATCGATGGGGTAATCCCTGATTCCTGCCATTCGCACATGCTCGCGATTCCAAGTACAGACATTGTTTGGGCTTGTAATCCCGACTGTCGTATATATGCCATGTGCATTTTGGGTATAAAGTTTCCGTTGAACACTAGCTAATTGGGCTTGCATCCAAGCGTATTCAATGACTTACAGATGCAATGCATCTGTTGATGTCTACCTATGTTAACCTTGGCGAAGTTACTGCGTCTGCCCCCCCCCCCGTTGCCATCGCTTGTCTGGAATATTTGCGGGGCGCGAGGCGCCTATGGGCCACTCGCAGAGGCGAGGCCTGCTGATGTACCACAAACACTGATGTACCACAAAACGCTTCTCTTTTACCCATGAGGTGGTTGAGGCGGACGGTTGCGTTGCGTTGACATCAAGTGGAGGGAGGACAGGTTGTTGTTTTGGATGCATGCCCGTTCATTAGTACTTTACTTAGCTAATGTGTTCACGGAATCCACTCCAGGGGGCTTCCACGGCGTCGCCACCTGTGCACGCCTCACAGCGGCCGGGGCTCTACAGTCACATTTGTCGCCGTACGTGGGGGAAAGCCGCTACGGACGTTTGTGTGCAGTTCTTACCGAGGCGCGAGCGAGCGCGCAGGACGGTGTTGCTTGTCCTTGTCCCTAGCCCTAAAGCTTGTTGGTTTGACTTTTGGGTGGTACGGTAACGGATCCAAATGAACAGACTTGCGATATGCATGTCGGGGTTAGTGACGAAGCATGTACGCACGACATCTAATGCCTGCGGATTCTTTTAATGCTGGAAAGGTTGGTTTCTTTCTTCCGTTTCTACCGTAGCATGATGGCTGCATGTATAGGGGTGTGAGCGTGGTTCGTGGTTCGTCTACGGATTCGCAATGCCACAGCTTCTCGTGAAGAAATTACCTGAAGGATTGCGGGATGGCTGGAAGCGTGGAAGGGGTTCCTGAAGCTCAGCATTTCTATGTCCTGTAACCGGCACGGCCCTAGAATATAACTAGCTCACCAAACGGCAGCACCCGTATTTCGTAATAGTGCTTTCTCCATAACACTGACAAGTCCGTACAACGGCTACCCCATTGCTGTCATCAGAGTTTTACAGCTTACACCCTTTGCCGATTATCAGGCCGCGCTTGAATCCGCCTGACTGTTTTGCAACCCCAGAGGCATCCTCAGCCACCGCAGGTATGGGGCTATGGGCCCGCTAAATCCTTGAATTTGAAGGAACAGGATATCCTTGCCTAGTAAGAAACAAGTGAAGGTCGCGAAAGTAAACCAACCGAGTAACACTATTCTCGTGCACCAATGCAAGACGGCGTTCCAGCAAGGAAGGCGCGAATACATCCAACCGCACCGTTCCATCTTCTGCCGTGCATCATTCCTCGCATCATCCCTCAAGGTACACACTCCTGTGTTTGCGACGTACGTGGCACCATTCCTCTGAACACCCCAGTTTGCCAGCGTCCTTCAGCTATGCTATGGGTACATACAGAAGCGTCTCTTCACACCACCTGCTGCTGCCCGCGCCGCTTGCCCCTCAAAACCATACATCCAACGTTACGGTATCAGCTTGCTGCGTCACACCTTGCGCTAGGTGCTGGGACTGCTGCCAGTCACCCCCGCCCCCGCAGCAGCAGCTGCAGCAGCAGCTGCGGCTTTGGGTCTGGGCGCAACAAACAGCGCCTCTCCTCGCGCGTACACCTCAGCCCCAGCAGCATCAGGACTGCTGCTACCAGCACTGTTGCTGCCGCCGCCGCCGGCGGCGGATGCTGGTGTTGCGGAGGAGTTGGAGAAGGTGGTGATGGCAGTGGCGGTACGGGGCGCGCTGTTCATGAGTTGCGCGCGCAGCCACACCTTGCGTCCATCCACTCGGTGCAACTGCACCACACACACCACGATGGAGTCGTGCGGGAGCGGCTGCATGTGCGTGGGAGAGATGATGAGGGACGAGAGGGGAAGGAGGGAGGAAGGCAGGAAGAGAGGGAGCGAGGGTAAGAGGTGTCTGTAGGGTTGCAACCGAGAAACCGCCACGTTTGCCTTGCCTTGCCACAACCCTCACAACTCCCCACTATAGCTATGTACCGGTACCCAGCCCTGGTGCACCTCTCCTCCTAACCCTTGCCGCCCCTGCGGCGAGCAGGAACCTTCCCACCCCTCTCAACCCTCTCCCAATCCCTCTTTCGGCAATCACAGTACGTTTCGCCTCGCGGCCAGTTATTTTAACACACACCCGGCCAGTCACTCCCAACACTCCCAACACCCCACACACCCTCCTCACCCTCACAAAGTCCACCTCCAGGCGAGCCGTCATGGCCGACCTAAGCTCCCTCCCTGACAGCCCGCCAACACAAGCCAACCCACGTCGCCGCTGCGCCTGCTGCTGCTGCCCCTGCCCTTCCTCCTTCCGCTTCTCCACCGTGCAGCTCGCCGGCACCGCCTCTGATGCCCCCACCAGCGCTGCCGCAGCCCCGGCTGCAGCTGTCTCTGGGACACCCTGACTCCCTGCGGACGGGTCGCCCACCTGCGCCGCTGGTGCCGTACCAGCTGCTGCGGCTGGGGCTGGGGCGGTCGTAGGCCCTGCTGTGACTGGCGAAGCCTCCGCCGCCGCCGGCGCACCTGCCTCCGCTGCCGCCGAAGCCATGAGATACATGAGGTATCCGAAGGACTCGTCAATGATGGCGGATGACAGCCCGCCATGTACGATGCCTGGGTGACCGCATACCGCATTTCCCAGGGCGTATACGTTGAAGACCGTAGGCGCGGTGGTTGGTGCGTTGGAGGTTGAGGAGGAGGGGGCGACGCTGGTGGGTGCTGCGGCTCGGGAGGCTGCGGGTGGAGGCAGGGTTGGGTAGCTGGGAGCCCAGATGACGTGGTTGTCACGAATGAGGCCTTTGCGAGCCATGGTCTTGAACTGCGCATGGGGGATGTCAATATTGTAAGGTTATGAGGTTTTCTTGTGAGCAGGTGTTTGCGTTGAGTACGGTAGTTGAGTGCTTACCAGATGGTCATCTGGTAGCAGGCCGCCGCGAGCGGTGAGGCCTTTGCGGTCGAGTACCAGCGTGTTACCCTCTTGCTGTTCGAGCTCTCGTAGCCATTCCACGCGAGCCAGCGGCGGTACGGATTGTAAGGCGTATAGTCGAGACGCTAGCGTCTTAGCAAGGATGGACTCCGCAAGTATGCCGGGCAGCGCCTTGAACGCTGCTGAAACCGCCGAAGCGAACGTCACGTCCGAGAGAAGGGGAGGTGCCCGAAGGCTTTCCGCAGCGGTGTTTGGAATATCAACGACCTCCATTAGAGACGTCATTTTACAGACCCGTAAGTACAGGTATCACAGGATATATAGTGAAGCAGCAAGTGAATGTTATCTGTAGTAGGATTGCTGCACACGAATTGCAAGCACCTTGAAGATAAGCAGCCGGTTCGCGCAACCGTGTCAGGAGCTGGTATGACTTAAGAGTAATAGAAAGCAAACGTATGCTATGTGGTAAACAGCTGATAGGCTACGGCTGCCTAATCTTACGTTAGCTTCTACGTCAACGGGTGAAACGATTATCCCGTATTAGCTGGGCAGTTGGTTAGTAATGGGCAAGGTAAACACTCCACTTAATTGCGAACTATTACTTATTGAAAACACCTTTAAAGTGGCTGTAGTGTTGGATGTGGATATCCGCAGAATGAGGAAAAATTTCAATTGATGGCATTCCCTTGCTTATCCTGTGTCGCCGCTATGCGTGTTAGCTATCCACAGGCAATGATGGTTTTCATTAACACTTTATCCTACTTGATGAGCCCAAATGCTGGAGGAACGCGCGGCGCTTTTACGCTATGCTTGCGCTCTTTGCGCAATGGCAATAATCGTGCCCTGCCCTTGTGGCGCCCACGCGCGGGGACGCTTCAGGTACCTTCACTGATGCGCGTCTTTGCTTTTACGTGGCTAGGCGGCACAATGCCATGCACCGCACTCCGCTGCAAGGCTGTCGTCGACAAGCAGAGGTCCAGTCCGCACGTAAGAGGCAAAGACCCGTACCGGCAACACAGTGGTGCAACCTCTCTACCTGTGCAAAATCCGTCACATTTCCATCAACCCTCTGCTACTGATGAGCGCTCACTCTGATATAGGTCTTGCTGCAGGTGCTATTACAATGCGAAGGTCTCAAGGAGCGTCCCCGCATGCAATGGACTTTGGTGACATGGGCCCAACTCAACATGGGCATCCAGGCACGAACAAGATCACGAAGGTTACACAGGGTACACCACCTTGACACGGAGAGCGGCCCTGGACAGCAGTACTGGCAATTATTAAAGGCGCAGACGGCAGCCCGTCGGCAATGCAGGGGTCAGCCAGTCTGCTGTCTCCGAATGTGCCCCTCAGGTACGGTAACGCCTGGCACTCCGAATGCCCCGCAGGCAGGGATCTTACTTACACGCCTGGTTAGTCACAGCGGCCCACCACAACCAGGTGTGAGCCCCCAGGCCCGCCTCCTCCTCCACCTCTGCCTATGAACCCCACAAGCAGCACCGCTACTAATCCTCCCTCGTAAATCCAACGGCCCAGCAGCGGGGAACAACCCGACCACGACAAAGCCCAAAACTGGTCGGGAGAAAACCCCTTCTCAAACAGGCCGGAACCTCGATACAATCAACCAATCAAAACTACGGTACTCGAGCTCTAAGCCCCCAAGCAGTGCGTCAAAGGCCCGATCACCGCTTGGCCTACACTTAGCGCTCCTCCAGCACCATGCGATAACACCATGCACGACACCGCTCCCCCGGCAAAGCCGCTCCTCCCACCCGCCTGCCGCCATCACGCCAGCCACGAGCCACCAAGTGCGCGTGTCCGCCGCGTGCATGCTCAAACTCGCCCGTGCCATGATGGGCTGCTAACCCACCCGCACCGCCTTTGCTTGCTACCGGTAGCTCACGCCAGCACCTCGATGTCCCCCGCCTCGCTGACACGCACCTGGAAGGTGGGCAGCGGCTTGGCGCCCGGGCCCTTGCCCACCAGCGGCAGGTTCGGCAGCTGCAGGGGGGTAAATAGGGATATGTATTCCGCATTAGGCTGGACTTCCAGGATTGCATGCAGTCAAAGTTGTTGGGTTAGTAGCAGCACACAATATAGGACAGCGGGAGAAGGACAGGGCAAGAAGGACAGGGCAAGAAGGACAGGGCAAGAAGGACAGGGCAAGAAGGACAGGGCAAGAAGGACAGGGCAAGAAGAAAAGGAAGACTGAGGGTGCAGCGTGCAAGGCAGAGGGAAAGCAGGGAGGGACGCTTGGGCCAAAACACGTGCTGCTGCCCTTGCTACTAGAGGACATTGCTTCTGGGCTTGTCTACCGTTGCTGCCTGCTAGGTTCCTCCCTAGCCCCTCCCATACCTTGGGGCACCACTCGCCCTCAACGGCGCCGGTCTCCAGGTCAAAGTAGGTGCCGTGCGCGGGGCACACCACACACCGGTCCTTGACCTCAGCCTGGGCAGCGGCCGCGGGAAGGGAGCGGGCAAGGAAGGAAAAGAATGGTGTTGGGTGCTGCTGGGCATCTAGACGGTGGATGATGTTGGATAGCTCGGTAGGCCATCGTGTAACACGGTGGGGAAGCCCCACGCAGCGCAGCTGGGCTCGCCCTCCGCACGCAGAAGGCCTTCTGGAGGTGCATTTGATTCAATGCTTGGTCCTTGCCGGCCTTGGTGGGCGGGACAACCCCTGGCACTGATGCGTATAGCGTTGCTGTGGGCGCCCATGTTCGCCACCGCACTGGGTATTACGGATCAGATACGCCAGTATAGACTGTGGGTTTGCATCCTAGGACTAATCCCCAGATGTCCCCCCATCCATTGCACAACGCCCCGCATGTAAACTTGATGCCACACCTGGAACATGGCGGTCTTGCCGACAAGCGGCAGGCCCAAGTGGCTGCACTTGTTGGAAACAGCGCACACCTTGCCCTCCGACTCCACCAGCAGGACCTGCGAATTGGGCGCGGCCAACATACAAATTGGTATACGTTCTTGGAACGTCGACATCAATAAACTTCTCTGCTAAACCTAGCTGAGGAGTGCTGAGACAGCGACATCCACACGGCCTTAAGGGCATGCAAACGTGGATCGCAAGGAATGTATGCAATGAATTCAAGCAGTATATACATAGAAGGGTTAAGCTCCTGGTGATGCAGTCAAAGTTTCGCGAAGGCGTGAAAGGACTTGCCTTCTGGCCGCTGATTTCGACCACCTTCTTGCCGCCCTTAGACTTCAATTCAGAGGTGTTTCCAACCTTGGTCCAAGAGGCCGCTTGCACACGCACGGTGCGGCGAGAGACCGCGCAGCGGGCGATGCCCGTGTTACGGCTGCATAGAGCGCTCGACATTGTAGATTGAACGACAGAGCGTAGCTATGCCAAGAACCAACAGCGCCGGGACAAGCTTCGCGAGGAATAGGCGCAAATTAACTTCCAGACCGATCGCGCTGTTGTACGGATACATGTAGATCCGACGGCAAGCGGCAGGAATTCAAGGGAAAGAACTCAACTATCGCATCAACTGGTATAAACTACTTACCCCTGGATAAATGTGAACACCCTGCAGCGGTTCAAGTGGCCAGTTCAAACCTCCCACTGACGCAGCTTGCGGATGGAAACGCTGCGAAGTTCGGCCCCGACACATGGCGCCCTTGGTCGAATAATTGTCAACAAAAAAACAGACTTAGGCCACGGGTTACACGCCTTTTCCCTTCAGGTCCAGACGGGACAAAAAAGCCTTTCCCTGCCACACCAATCCCTTCATCGGCGAACTCCAACCAGCTCTTCTGCAAGCTCGGCCCTTCCACTCCTTACGTACCACAAGTGCAACCCAAGACCGCATGCGCCCTAACAGCAACACCGACTCGACAACACCAGACTCCTGCAACCCCAGCGGTGATGGCGACACGCTCATAACCCTTGACACGACCCTTACCTCCGGGCAGCTCCAACCTGCCCACCAACCCAACCAACACCTAACCAACTGCGCACAAACCACACGTCCACGCGCACCTCCAAACCTCTCACTGCTCACCAAATGCTCTTCAGGCTCAGCCGGTGCACCCGCAGCCTGAACGGCCGCTCCCCGCCCCCCTCCTCCGCCTGCTCGGGGCTCCAGGGCAGCTGCCGCGGGAAGGCCAGCCCCGCGGACGCCCGCAGGCTGACCGCCGAGCCGAAGCGCACCACCCGCTCGTCGAACTCGAGTCCTCCCGGAGTCAGGTGCACGCCGGAGCCCGCGGCGCTGTCTAGCCTGGATGGGGGGCGGGGGCGGGGGCGTGTCAAAGACCAAGCACCGAAGCACGGGAAACCACGAATTAGGGCAAAGCAAGGGGGGATAGGAGGATTGGGGAGTGGGGGACGCCACATCCGGCCTGCTGGCTTGCTCCCGCCTCCCGGCCCTCACCCGCCCCACCTGACCATCAGCCGCGCAGGGGGCTCCCAGAAGCGTTTCGCATGCGCCAGCGGCAGCTCGTAGCGCACCTGGGTGCCGGTGGGAGGGTGCGGGTGGGGGTGCGGGGGTTGCAGCAGGCAGCTGATAGGGCAGGGGGTTGCAAGGCCCGCTGCGATGAGTACCCCTGAACCCCTGCCGCCCCCCCCCTTGGGCTTGAGTCGCTGTCCTACCTCCTACCCCACTCGTAGTGGCTAGCATTATCCTGATTCCCGAATAGGCGAACGCCCTGCTAGCACCATGTTCACCATGCTCTCTGCGTCACCCCACCTCCTTGCCCCCACGACCCCTGCCCACCTTGAGCGCTACGGGGCCCAGTGGCACGGTGCGGCTGAGCTTGAGCAGACCCAGGGGATAGGCCTGAGAGGGGGAAAGGAGAGGCACCGGAGGTCATGGGGTTGGGGGCATGGGATTAAAGAGGGCGGGCAGGAGGCCAGGAGGGGAGGGACGTCAGGAAGGGAAGGACGTCAAGTGGGGGTGGGCGAGGAGCCGATCCGTCAGCGGACTAACCAGGTCCAGGACACCGGGCGCAAGGAGGGCCACGTCAGGCCTCCTAAGCCAGGATGCACAGCCTGCCAGTCCTGCAACACACAGGCGCCGTGTTCCTCCAGGGGTCACCAGCGACCCGCGGGTCACCCAGGTCTCCCAACCATCCCATGGGGTCCATGCCTCACCTTGATCGATACCAGGTCCTTTACCTTGATCCGAGCCACCGGTTGCACCTGTCCAGGCGGGGTTGGGGTTGGGGTGAGGGTGGGGTGTGCTGGGGCGGGGCCGAAGGGGGAGGAAGGGCGCAGCAGCAGCAGTAACAGCAGGTTACATTCGACAAACCTACAGGGCAAGCGCAATTCCCCACCCCCTGCCTGCCCACACATTGGAATTTCTTTTTTCCCTGCTTGCCCAACCCGCTCGTTTCACATCCCCCCTTCCCTCCCTCGTTTTGCCCTAACCTGTGGCCTCCTATGGTATGGTATGGTCTTTGGTCCCCCTCTCCCCCCCTCCCCCCTCTCCCGCCCGGCCCCGCACCTCCTGTCGGTCCATGTCCAGGTTGACTCCCACCCCCACGTCCAGCAGCGGCAGCTCGGCCCAGGAGGCGGCCAGCGACCGCCGCACCCGCCCCGCGGCACCAGCAGCAGCAGCAGCAGCAGCGGTAGCGGGGGAGGCTGAGGGGGAGGCGGCAGGGTCGTCCGGTTTGTCCTGCTGGTGCTGGTGCTGGTGGGTGCTGCTGTTGTAGTCGTTGCTCCTGGTGCCGCTGCTGGCAGCGGTGTGTTCCCGGGGAGCGCCCCCGATGAGGAAGCTGCGAGTGATCTTGATGCGGGCACCTGGGGGCGGTGGTTGGGGGCAGGGGGTGGAGGCAGGGGGTGGGCGGGGGTTGGGGCGGTGGTTCGGGGCGGGGTTTGAGGGGGAAAAGGGACATCACCCAGCTCGCCTCACTCCCCCGCCCGCCCAGTACTGCCTGTGGTGTACCTGCGCCCCTTTCCCTCCCTCTAACCCTCAGCCCCACGTGCGATGACTCACCCGTCAGGAGGGGCCGGGTGGCAGGCAGCGTGGGCAGCACACCCGGGGCGTAGAGGGGGCTGCGGGGGGGGAGGGGGGGGAGAGGGAGGAGCGGGTGGGGGAAGTAGAGGTGGCGGGGTGGGGAGATGGAAGGGCGGAGGGGGTGAGATGCAAGGGGGGTGGGCGACAGAGCGGTGGACGGCCGGCCCGCGGTGAAACGAGGGAGGGAGGGACGAGGGGAAAAGAGGCGTTAGGGAGGAAAAAGCACACACGCAGACCTGACGGTGTACGACGGCTCCGGAGCCGCACCCCGTCGCTGATGCCCTTGTCGTACACCCCCTGCACCTCCTCCCCCTCGGGGTCGTACGACAAGGATGTTGGCGCCGTACATCTCTGGGGGCGGGGGCCTGGAGGTGGGGGTGGGGGCCGGGAAACTGTGTGGGCCATGCGGACAGATACACATGGGGAACGACATCGGTACGGGGACTGGGAGGGTGCCGTACGCCCTCAGTCCCTCGGGCCCCCGTGCATCCAGCCATGCAGCTGCCCGGCATGCAGCCCTCCCCACCGTCCACCGTCCGTTGCGCACACTCCGAAACCCTCCCCCCTCCCTCCCTCACGTGGGTCGCCTCAGGTCCACCCGCGCCACCCCGGTGGTGTGGTCCGCCAGCCAGCGCCACACGCCGCGAGCCTGGAGGGGGGGCGGGGGAGGGGGGGAGAAGAATACCATATGTGTGGGGCGGGGGGGGGGGGAGAGAGGAAAGGAGGGATGTCGGAACTGGGAACCCAAAACCCCGGCTCCACCCACCCACCCCCCACCCACCCCCGACCCACCCAGGGCTGGACCTCGATCTTGGGTGGGGCCACATACACCGTGGAGGGGGTGGCGGGGAGGCCTCCCCCGCCCCCACCCCGCCCCGCGCCCACAGGGGAGGCGCCAGCAGGGGGAGCCAGGGGGGCGGCTGGGGAGCCGAGTGGCGGCGGCGGCGGTGGGGGAGCTGGTTGGGGAGCGGGTTGGGAGGTGGGAATGGGGAATGCGGCGCCTGCGGGTGGGATGTGAGGCGGAGGGTGGGAGAGAAGGTGCGGGAGGAGAGAAGGAAACGGTGATGGTTGGGAAGGTTGGGTGGTTCACGATGAGTAGTGAGAGATGGGCGACGGGACGGAATATGGGCGAGCGAACCATGGGTCATGGGGATGTGGAGGCATGGGGTGTGATGCGGCGCAGCGGGAAGAGTGGGACGGGTGGAGCGGGTGTTGAGTTTCAGTGCGACTTGGGGGATGGGGACCGCTCGTAAGCAAGGAGACTTTCCCTCACTCCCGACCCCCCTCACTCGTGAGGGCTGATGGCAGCAAAGGGTGGGTTGTATGCGGTGTAGGCCAGCAGTGAACACGAGCGAGAGGGGTCTGCCGCTCGGGCCCGATTTGGAAGGCTGGAATCGATGAGACATCGGAACCCATGTTGTTGGTGTAAAGGTGCGGGATTCGCAGCGATCATTGCTAGCGAACGAGGGTGGATCGCAGCTCGCAGCAATGGCAGAGGCCGTATTCTGCGTGCTTGCGCTTCAGGGCAGGGGCAGGTTTTATAACTGCCACAGGCTTGAACTAATAGTTCCTACCTCCAGCATGCGCCTGCTTGTGGTGTTGGGGGTTGCCGAAGGGCTCCGATGCTGCTCCAGATGGGCCATGCCGCGAACCATGCGCTGTTACCGCGCTAGGAGGCGGAAGCGTGGCGGGTGGGTGGCCAGCTGCCGCCATCGTCGTAACTTGCAGGGAATCCCCTAGCTGACGGCAGAGCTATGATGCTGAGCTTTAGGTCTCGTAGGATTAGGACCGCGTTATACTTAGGTCTCTGCAGCGTGCAGCCCAATTGCCTTGGATCAAGATGTCCCGTTCGTGTTAAGCATGGATCGGTGCACACAACGACAATAGCAAGCGATCGGCAAGCTGGCGTGTGGTTGGATTACTGCTGCTAACTGTCCGTCCCCTGCCGTTCCCGCTGAACGTACAACCTCATTTCGCTTAGCAGCCCTTGTTAGGCGTTTATCGGTTTTAGCGTTTGCGTCTATCGCTACCATGAAGCTTGACTTTTGTTCTGCTCTTTGTTCCTAGGAGTTTGCTGCTTTTTGGCGGGGCTACGCGAGGAGCGCTCTGCTCCTCGTCGGGACATCTGATCACTTCCAATTACTGTTAACAACTATACAAATTTAGCCATGTCAAGCGCGAACGGAACTGCGTGGGTGCTTCAGGCGGCGCTTCAAGGCCTATCTGCGCCCTCTGGCAAGGACTATATAGCAGCAGCTCGATTTTCTGGACCAAAGCCCGGATATGTCTTCAAGACGGGAGAGCATGGCCTCGGGTGCGTACCAACCGTGCATGTCCTCCATCCAACATGTAACCAAGCTTGCCAAGCTTCACTTCTCTGATCTCAAGGCATGTATAGTTGCTGATCATGCAGCAACCGATGAACGTCACATGTTCCCCGCTCGGGTCAAACTTCCGTCAGCCTTGCATTACCACGCTCCGATCCCACCCTCCCGCACCACTTCACCTCCTCTCCTTGTACCTTTCCTCTATACTCATCACCTTCCTCACTTCCACCCTCACTATCACCACTCATCAACTACGCGCTGCAGGTACTACCTTGACCCTCACCAGGCGGATTCCCAGCACGATGGCGCCTCCGGCTCCGCTGCGGGCCCAAGCGGCAGCGGCGGCGCTGGTGCAGGTGGCAGCGGAGGAGAGGGCGGTCATCAGCAGCAAGAGCTTGACCCTGAGGAGCTGCTGCGTCAGGCGGAGGAGGAGGCTAACATCGACCAGGTGGGCTGGGCTGGGCTGGACGTGGGGTGCTAAGTGACAGGGGAGGTGAGGAGCTGGTGGAGGAGGTAACAGGGGGAAGAGAGCAATGGTGGTTCTTCTACTATCCTATCCCTAGGAAAGGTAATACCCTTTCTCCATGAAGGGGGAAATGGAATGGCAGCTTTTGGAGGGGTAAGAGGGGTCATGTACCGCAGTACTAGTGCCCATGCACTAGGGCTGTGCTGAGGCGAGTATTTGGGGGCGGGAAGGCCCGCGGGCTTTGCCGGGTGCTAGGGGCTTGGGGTAACTGGGTAGTTGCATGAGGTGTGGCGTTTTGGGAGGGGCGGGCAGCTCGGGAGGCTGCCGGCTGCAGGATATCCTGGATACGGGGCCGTATGCAAGGCGGGGCGGTGGGGCCGTGGAGCCGTATACCGGTAGAACGCAAACCCGTAGCTAATGCGGGGAACACCATAGGGCCCCCCGGGTAGAGGGTAACGGAGCAGTGGTCACCCATAAGAGGGGGGGTGGGAAGGCGCGCTGTGGGCAGCGGGCGACTGCGGGTGTGGTGCGGTCCGGGCTGATTGGTGGTGGTGGTGGTGGTGGGGCCCGTCCTAGCCACCGCCTACCTTGCCGGCTGGCTGGCTGGCTGGCTGGCACGCATGCACACATCCAAGAGCGCCTGCCTAGGCCTCCAATCCCCTCCTTCGGTCGTTCGCGCTCCTGTGGCCATGAGGACCTCACCCCTACCGTACCGCACCCTGACGTGTTGCCGTACCCTTCTACCGTACTATCCCCCGCCCTCCCCCCCCCCGCAGATCCAGGTGTTGGATGCCAAGTCACTGCGGCGGCTGGTGGCGGGGCTGGACAAGAAGGTGGGGGCGGGGAGGGGTGGGTGGAAAAGAAGAATACCCAATGTGTTGATTGAGGCTGGCAACAAGCCGACGAGCTCCTGGTGAATGGAACCGATGAGTCGAGCCGAACTTGCCACATCCGGACGTTCATCAAGCTGGGTGTGTGGGTGGGTGGGGGGGGGCAGCTGGGGGTGTGCTCCGTTCCTCGCCGCTTGCAACACAAGGAGAAGACGGTCCTGCGTACGTGTATATGCGTGTAGAGAAACTACATCCATCCGACTTCCCTAACACTCCTCCCCACTGCTGCTAACCCCAACGCTCCCCCCCACTGCTGCTCCCGCTCCGCTCGGCCCCCCCTCGCCCCTCTGCTCCCGCCCCGCCTCCCCTCGCGCCACCCGCAGTACAAGGAGAACATGTCGCTGCGACTCAAGTACTCGGAGCAGCCCGACCGCTTCCTGGACTCGGAGGTGGACCTGGACGAGCACATCAAGTCGCTCATGCAGGTGGGGGGAAGGGTGCCCGAGAGGAAGAACTACCCAATGTGTTGAGTGCCAACGGCGGTGGAGGGGGATCGTAAGACTGGCTGACATCACCCCTTCATCACTCCCCCCCTCCCCCCCCCCTGCATGCAGGTAGCCGGCAGTCCCGAGCTGTACCCGGTGCTGCTGGAGGGCGGCTGCCTGCCCACCCTGCTGGCGCTGCTGGCCCACGAGAACACCGACATCGCGGCGGATGTGGTGGAGCTGCTGGCGGAGCTGACGGGGGCGGGTGAGGGAGGGGGGGATGAGGGGCGGGTGAGGGAGGGAATGCATGGAAGGGGGGAGGCGAGGTACATGAACGCTTCAAGCAGCTGCATAACCCCGAACAGTTTTATCCCCCAGCCACCCAGTGTCCTGCAGTGTCATTTCCTCTTTACCCTCCCTCCTCTCCTCTCCTCTCCGCTCACCCCCAGACGCCGCCGAGGAGTACGGCCCCGAGGCTCGCGGGCTGGTGGAGGGGCTGGTTGAGGCCAACGCGCCGGAGCTGCTGGTGCAGCGGCTGCTGGGGTTCAGGGAGGAGGCGGCGGAGGAGGAGGCGCGCGCGGTGCACAACTGCCTGGCGGTGGTGGAGAACATGGTGGAGGTGAGGGGGAGGGGGGCCGGGGAGGGGAGGGGGGGGCGGGGAGGGGAGGGGAGGGGAGGGGGGTGGGGAGGAGGAGGGGAGGAGGAGCGGGGGGGGGGAGGAGGAGGGTAAAAGGAAGGGAGGGGGGTTAAGAGGAATAAGCTGGGGTGAGGAGGGGGGCAGCGCTCCCCTGGGAGACCTCACTACGCCCCCGGACCGCCCATCCCACCCGCACGGCGTGTCAAACCCAGCAGCAGCCTACCCCTCCCTCCTAGTCCCTTCTGCTCCTAGGCATGTGCTACTCCCCATGCCATCCCACCCCCCCAACCCCAACCCCACCCCCCTTCCCCGCCCCCCGCTATCCAGATCCAGCCCGACCTCTCCTCCCTGTTCGTGGAGCGCACCCGGCTGCTGCCCTGGCTGCTGCGCCGCCTCAAGCGCAGGGACTTCGACACCAACAAGCAGTACGCGTCCGAGATACTGGCCATACTCATGCAGGTAGGGGGGGAGGGGGGGCAGGGGGGGAAGGCAGTTGGGTAAAGTGAGAAAACGGACGAGCTATCGGAGGGGGCAGCTCTTCGATAGGGGTGGCAGGGGATAGGCGAGAGAGCGGGAAACTCCATCCCCTCCCCTCCCCTCCCCTTTCAACGCCCCGCTTTCCCCTCCCCTCCCCTCCTCCCTCCCCCCCTCCCCCCCCCAGGGCTCCCCCTCCAACCAGGCCCGCCTGGGTGCGGAGAACGGCATCGACCTGCTGCTGACGTGCGTGGCGCAGTACAAGAGCCGCGACCCGGCCCCGGGCGAGGAGGAGGAGTACATGCAGAACTGCTTTGACGTGCTGTGCGCCTGCCTCATGCAGCCCGCGCACAAGAGCGCGTTTGTAAAGGTGAGCCAGCAGGGAGGGGGGTGGGGGGTAAAATTAGGAAACGGACGAACTGTAGGCAGAGGTGAGGCGGAGGAGGGAACTGCTCCAGGACCTACTTGCCGCGCCGGCCTGCATGTCACCGCCCTGCTACCCCTAGCAGCCCGTGTGGCGGGAAGTGAAGGCTTCTATCCTGCTACCATGTTTGCAACCCGCCCAGGCTGAAGCCTACATGTCACACAGCTTTCTGCCAGTTTCTTCCTCTTTACCCCGCCTTGTCACGCGGTTAGTTTCCTCCTCCCCTATACCTCCTCCTCTTTACCCCTCCTCCCCCCACCCCCCAGTCGGAGGGTGTGGAGCTGATGCAGCTGATGCTGCAGTCACGGCGGCAGTGCCGCTACGGCGCCCTCAAGTGCCTGGACTACGCCGCCACCCGCTTCCCGCCGCCCGCGGAAAAACTGGTGGACCTGGGCGGACTCAAGCAGCTGTTCGGGCTGTTCATGGGCAAGGCGAAAGTCAAGGGACCCATGGGTCGGTGGGGGGCGGGAAGGGGGGGACGGGAATGTGGAACGGAGTAGGAAAATAACTGGCCGTGATTGGAGGAGGGGGGAGGGAACGGTGGATGGGAGGGTGGGGGGTAAACGGTTCATAGTGGGATGGGGCACTGTTCTGAGCTACGTTCGCGCACATGGCCCGAGCCCAGGCGACCCAGCACGATCCTGGCATACATGGCTTTCTTAACCCCTCAGCTCTATCTTGCACCATGTTTTTGTTGCCTATCCGTCCTTGTTTGTTTGCCCCCCTCCCCCATCCCCACCCTCACCCCCCCACCCCCAGGCGAGCACGATGTGGATGCGGAGGTGGAGGAGCGGTGCGTGTCGCTGCTGGCGTCCATGCTGAGTCAGCTGCCGGGCGGGGGCGGGGGCGGGCGGGGCGGCAGCCGGCGGGAGCGGCTGCTGGCCAAGTTCGTGGAGGCGGAGTGGGAGAAGACAGACCGGCTGATGGAGCTGATGTTCAGGTGAGGAGGGGGAGAAGGGAGGAAACTGACGAGGCAGCTAACGAGCTGTGTGACATGTAGGCTTCACCATGGGGTGCAAACATGGTGGGCGGCCTATCCCGCCCTGCCAGATATAGTCAACCCGAGGCAACAAACGGACTTACCGAAATGAGGGGGGGGAGGTGGAGTGGGGGGGAGGGGTGGGAAGGGTGGGATGAGGAGGAAGAGACTCCAGCTAGCTGCCCTCCTGATCCCGCTGCCGCCGCATTGCTCTCCCCTCCCTCCCTTCCACCCCTCCACCCCACGCATGGTATTCTTCTTTCCTTCCCTCCCCGCACCCTTCCCCCACCTCCCCAGGTACCAGGCCCGGGTGCGTGCGGAGGAGAAGCGGCTGGCGGCGGCGCTAGCAGAGGCGGACGAGGGGGAGCAGGTGCGGGGGTGGTTATGCGGGGAGCGGGTGGGGGATGCAGGGGGGTAGGGAGACCCAACTATGATGACGTGAGCGAGGGGACCTAGCTGTGTGATAGCGTGGCATGACGCCGCCTGCAGGTGGGCAATATAGGTGCTCTGCGCGGGCTGACACAGGAGGGCCGGCAGGGCCCCCACGCCTCCTCAACGCCCCCGCTGTCGTTGATGCCGCCGCCGCTTTCCTCTCCTTCGCCCCACTCCCCTCTCCTGCACTTGCTCTCTTCCACCATCTCGCCTCCCCTCTCGCCTAATGCGGAGTCTGCATCCCCTCCCCTCTCATCCTGCCCTCTCATCCTTTCCCTCCCCCCCCTCAGTCAGTTAGTTGTTTCCTCTTTACCCCCCCCCGTCAGGTTGACGAGGAGGAGCTGCTGCTTGCGCGCATGGACGCGGGTCTGTTCACGTTGCAGCAGTGCTGCCTCATCTTCGGCAACCTGTGGGCCACGGGGGACGTGGGGCTGCGGCGGCGGCTGCTGGGGGCGCTGCACCAGAAGGGGCAGACGCTGGGGCCAGTCAGGTGGGGGGAGTGCAAGGGAACTACCCGGGGGGGTGCAGGGGGGCGCGGCTGCATGCATACACGCAGGTGTGCGGTCCTAAGTCCGACTAGGCTGGCTGCTTGCTGCTAGGGCGCACGGTGTGTGGGAGACACTGGGCCGGGTTCCTCCCGCTGGACACCCCTCTCCATCGGTCGCCTGCCTCCCCTGCCAAGCCCCTCCTCCTCCTTCCCTTCCCCCTCCCTGCCGTCTCCCAGGGAGGTTCTCCTGGAGTACTACAATAGCATCGGGCAGGAGGGCGGGGCGGAGGAGGCAGCACGCGCCCGGGGGCACGTGAGGGGGCTGCTGGAGGCGCTGGGGGCGCAGCTGGAGGAGGAGCGGGGGCAGGGAGGGGAGGAGGGGAGGGAGGCGGGGCGAGGAGCGGGAGGAGGCGCAGGAGCAGGGAGGGAAGGGGAGGAGGGTGAGGAGGCGATGGAGTTGGATGAGGAGGTGGCGGCGGAGGCGGCAAGAGGAGCAGGAGGCAGGCAGCCGCCATTGCCGGTGAGGTGCTTGGGAGAGGGGCAGGGGCTGGGGTTTGGGGGTGAGCAGGGAGGGGGAGCGGGAGGGGTTGTGGACTACTCTGCCCGTTTCTCATCACATAGCATCACCATGCCCTGCCTGTCCCACCCCTGACTCCTCCATGCCCACCTACCCAACCCCCTCCCTCCCCTGCCCTGCCGCCATGGCGCCCTGCCCCCCCCCCGCACACCACACCACACTTTGGAATTTCTTTTTTCCCCCCCGCGTCCCCCCATGCGTGCAGCCCGATGCAGTCGGACCGCCTCCGCTGCCCGCCGGGCCCCCCTCCAGGTATGCGCTGTGTTAAGAAAACTGGCCGCGAGTAGGAACATACTGTGATTGTCGGAAGATGAAGTCCCCACAGAACCGCCGCAGGAGCCGATGCGCTGTGTGTGTTTAGTTGGTGTGTGTGTAAAGTGGCCGCGAGTAGGAACGTACTCGCGGCCAGTGGCGGTTGGTGTGTGTGTGTGTGGGGGGGGGGGTTGTAACGAGGGTAACGTGGGCCCCATTCGATGGGTGGGTGAGTGGGCAGGATGGATGGGCTGGGTGGGCTGGAGGATGAGGGGCTGTTAGTGGGTAAGCAAGTCTCACTATATCATTGGCGGCGGCGGTGGGTCGTAGGGGGAACGGCCCGACCCGGCCCGACCCTAGGGAGGCGGCGTGAGGAGGTGGCAGGGGTGGGCAGGTGGTGGCAGGGATGGGGGCAGGTGGTGGCAGGGATGGGGGCAGGTGGTGGCAGGGATGGGGGCAGCAATGTCGATGCCTAGCTGCCCGGCTCCAACACCCGACACCCCGACTCCACCACTTCCCTAGCACCCCTTACGTACCGGTAGTACGGGTTGGCTTCCCTCCCTAACGTGCTTCTTCCCGGTCCCATCCCCTGCACCCACCCACCCCACAAGCAGACGCAAGCCGGACTCTGAGCTCATGCCGCCGCCGCCACCACCGCCCCTGCCGCCGTCCCCACCGGGCCCGGCGCCACCGCCGCCGCCCGCCGCCGGTAAGCCATCCGCGGCAGCTGGAGGCAGCGGCAGGACGAGGGGAGGCGAGGGGCAGGGCGGCGAGAAGGAGGAGCTGGAGGAGAGGCGCGGGGCAGCCGGGCCTACGGGGGGTGGTCGGGAGAAGGAGCGGGAGCGAGAGCGGGAGAAGGAGCGGGATGGCAGGTGGGCTGAGGGAGGTGGCGACAAACCGCATGAATACGTTAACGCTCCTGGTTGCGTGAACTGTAAAGCGTGGCATATCATGTGGTGTGTTGCAAGCGTACTTGTTTACAATCGCCCGGTGACTGTCTGGCTCCTTCCCGCTGACCTCACCTGGACCTTGACCGTCCAGCCGGCCGCTGCGGCACTGCATGTAACGGTGACGGGTACTAGTAGCGGCAGTGGGGCGCCGCTCCCCTCCCCGGTGGTATTGCGATGCCGTGCCACTGCACTCGTTCCAGCTAGTGGGCGCATGTGGTCTGAAGACGCGGTTACTCGTTTGGCCGACCCCAGGGGCGATCGTGGGGGGGAGCGCGAACGGGAAAGAGAGCGGGACCGGAGCTCCAAAGACAAGGACAAGGAGCGGGAGAAGGAGCGGGACCGGGAAAGAGAGCGGGAACGCGACAGGTGAGGCTGTGGTGGTGGGGTTTGGTTATGTTGGGTACGGAACTGGGTTACGTATGGAAACTGGGTTTCCATTGGATGGAGGGTGGGTGCTAGGAAGCATGTGCCATCATCAGGGTCTTGTCTCCTCCACGCTTTTTCCCTACCCCACCCCACCCCACCCCACCCCATCCTTCTTTGTTTATCCCACCCCTCTTCCATTGGCTTCCTATGGTTTAGTTTGGTGTTTGGTGTTTGACCTCTCTCTCCCCCGCATGACCTGCCCTGACCTGACCTGCCCACTCACCCACTGACAGGGACCGGGAGCGGGACCGGCGCGAGTCCTCACGTCGCGAGCGCGAGTCGGAGCGCGAGGAGGGGGACTTCGAGGAGCGCCGCAAACGAGACAAGCACGAGCGGGAAAGGGAGCGGGAACGGGATGGAGACAGGGAGCGGGAGCGCGGAGACCGGGGAGATCGGGAGAAGGACAAGGGGCGTGAGCGGGAGAGGGACAGGGAACGGGAACGGGGTGAGCGCAGGGAGCGGGAGAGGGAGCGGCGCTGAGGCGTTCGTCGTACTGTGTCTGATGCCCTGCAGTACCGTGTCCTCGGCTGTTCCGCACCCGACTGGCTGGCATGACAGGTAGCGCCTGCATGCATGCGTGCGTGTTGCCCCCGTCACGGTGGGGGAGGGTAATGTTAGTTGTGGGGGCGACGGTGGTGGGCTCTGGAGGGGGCCACTTCCAGTGTGAGCGCTATGTACGAGTGGCTGAGGGGGCTGAGGGCGAGTTGGCTGGCTGGTTGGCTGGTGGGGCCCCATGGCGTGTATGTGCATAAGGAGCCGCTGCGGCGGCGGCGGCGGTTATGGTGGGTGGGTGTCATACGGTTGCGGCGGCTTTGCCCTCAGCCTCCGGCAAGTTTTGGGAGGCCGAGCGTTTGCACAGTCGGGGTATCCGGAGGGAAGAGGAGAGCGGGGTTGGCGACCCCCGACCGGCCGGGCAAGGGGATTCGACCGTACCCATGTACCCGTGTTGCCATGTTGCATGCTGCCCCGCCTCCCTCATGCATGTCCTCAAGACGCTACTTGCTGCGAAGCAGTCAGGACGTGTCTAGCCAGCTGCGGTACGGAGGGGGACTGCGGTACGGAGGGGGACTGCGGTACGGAAGAGGCCGTCGCCGCATAACACGCCGCCAGCCGATAGTCGATTGCACTTGGCAGAGCTCCTTCCGTGCTGTGAAGGATGATTCGTTAGTTGCCATTGCCGCCGAGCAACGCAACCGACTGCCGAGTGTTATGGGACGTCAATACCGTTATGCAGCAAAATGTACACCGCATAACATTGTACCGCTTTCTTATTGCTACAGGCGGGGGCAAGACGAGGTACACCCGACAAAAGGCGTTACAACGTACCATCGTTATTCCCAAACCACCCGTAAATAAAACCGTTGCTGTACGATGGTAGACCGTTGCCGGTCCGCTCAACGCACCATAACGGTTGTCGGAAGGGATTAACCGTCGGCCGTAAGTCCAACCGAACGCCGTATAACTGCTCAAGCAACTGACACGAGCGCTCCGCCTCCTCCTCATTGTATGCCGTGAATATGCATGCGGCTAGCGGCCTCCGCTGCCGGCAGCTGACGGGAGAACCCGGCTCGAACTGCAACCAGCATTCCGGGGTTCATGCGACAAGCCCTGGGCTGCCTGCCGCTGCTGTTGCTGCTGACTCGTCCCATTCCGGCCCAACAGGAGCTCCAGGGTGGGCAGCCAGGAGGGGTAGACGGGCAGACCCGCGTTGGGCGCGAACACAATCAGAGGGGCATCCTCCTCCTCTCCTTCTTCACCCTCTCCCACGTCTTCTCCATCCCGCTCTCCCGCACGTCTCCCCACCTCCTCCTCCTCCTCCTTGGCAAGCCCTTCCCATCTGCCATCTTCGGGTCCCGCCTCTCCCCCTCCTCCGGCCCTTCCTCCTTCCGCCTGCATACGCCTTGCCGGCGACCCATGGGTCTGCTGTCGCCGCCGCCGCTTCACCAGCAGCTGCGGGGCCTCATGAAGCAGGCAGCTGTGCAGCCGCACCTCCACTCGAGGACGTCCAGCACCCGCACCTTCACCACCTCCACGTCCACCACCAACACTACTGCCGCTACCACCACCATTACCACCACCACCATCATCGCCGCCGTCCGCAGTATCCCCCATCCAGCCTCCACAACCGCCGCTTCCCACACCTCCATCGCCGCCGTACAGCGCTGTCGTACCATGCAAGCTGGCGGGCACATCAGGGCCCACCAGGTGCAGCAGCAGGCTGCAGGCGCCGGGCAGCAGCGGCAGCAGGCTGCAGGCCAGGATGTCCAGCTGGTCGAGCTCAATCTGGGGACCTGGAGGAGGAGGGGAGGAGGATAGAAAGGAGGAAACTGAGAGGCTGTATGACAAAACAGGCTTCATCGTGCGGTCCAAACATGGTAGCAGGCTCATTCCCGAGGGAAGGAGGGGGCAAAGAGGAAACAACTTTGAGGGATAAGGCGTCAACATGGGTTGAGCCAGAATGAGGGGAAGGAGGGGGCGGTGGGTAGATGTTGGGCAATGAAGCGGTTTCAAAATGGTCCAAAGCGCAGTGATTCCCAAGCCACCCGCCCACCTACCCAGATACAGCACCTCCACCCGCCTCCAGCCACTCCTCCTCCCCCTCCTCCCTCCACAGCCGTCTGACCCATGGGTCGCAAAACCTCGACCGCCGTCCTCCTCCCCCGCCTCTGAGCCGCCATCCGTCTGGCATGGTGGCCACTGCTGCTGCTGCGCGGGAGGTGCCGGCTGGGGTGGTAGAGGTGACGACACTGCTGCTACCCCCAGCCACCCCGATGTGGGGCAGGCAGGACGCCCCGCCCCCACTCGCCGTCGCTTCACAGCGGGTTGCTCTCTGACGCCGTCGAAGCCAGGTGCAGCAGCAGCAGCAGCAGCAGCGTCTCCAGTATCCCCCTCCCCAGTGTTCCTCGCCAACACCGCGTTGGAAGACAAGTCAGTGGCAGCACAACCGCCGTGGCCGCTATTTGTACTGCCGGGGTCTGGGTCGCCCTCATGACTACCGGCCAGGCCCTCGTTGCTGCTGCGTACGCCATTGGTGCTGGCAACAACGACGTTGTCGATGTCGACGACCTTGTCTTGTGATTGCCCGAGCCCCTGTAAATTCCTCCCACGTACCAGGGGCAACACTTGACATAGTTCTTGTCGCGTCTCCTGTTGCCCAAGATGCTGTGAAGGCGCGCGTACACGTGTCGGCATACGGCAAGCGCTACTGCCACCGCCACTGTTATCGTACAGCTCGTCCAGGACGAGTCGCAAGATGCCGTACAGCGTCAAGGGAAAATGAAGCAGCAGCGCCGCAGGGGACTCCAGCGGCAGCCGAGCCCAACGGTAGTACGACAACCAATCGGTTATCGCAACGCCCGCGCCTTCAGCGCCGCCGCCGTCCATCCTGACAGCTGCAGCACGACCCATGCAGGCGTCTGGGTTGCACCCACCGTCAGGGCTGTCGCTGTTACCGTTAGAGCCGTTTTCGCCGCCGACGAGGGCTTGGCGGCCGCTGGCGGCGGCGGAGACTGAGGTAGGGTTTGGAACCGACAGCGACGGCGGCGGCGGCGACAGCATGAGCGGCGGCGTCAAGTGGGGCGGCAGGTGCCACACCCTCCCAGACCAGATGTCCTCAGGGCTCCGAGGAGACAGGCCTCCTCCGTCGTAACCGCCTCCTCCGACAGCTCCGGCCTCAGGTGGAGGCCCGCGCTCCCACACCGGTTGGGAGACCCGCCCATCGCCCCTGGCATCGGCTGCCGCCAACCCCGCCACCGCCGTACAACCGCCACCGCCGCCACCGCCGTACGACGACGTCGTCGCCAGCAACGGTCCGGGCAGCCCGTGCGCCTCCGCCCTCCTCCCAGGCTGCCGTACTCGGCACGCCAGCAGCGGCGGCTGCAGGGCGCCCCACTGCACATCGCCCTCGGGGAGGTGGCTGCCGCTGCTGTTGTTGTTGTTGGGGGTGGAGGCAGCGGAGGCACAGGTGCACAGGCGGCGCCAGCAGCCGAGGGCGGGGCAGCCCCCGCGGCCCTCCCTCTGGCTGCTGCGACTGCTGCTGCTGTTGTGGACGGTGGTGGCATAGCTTAGTTTGCTGGCGCTCTGCGGAGCCCCCTGCCCGGAGCACACTGCACCAGCGGCGGCGCTGGTTACCTGCGGACCATGCAGGGGCCCTTCCGCCACCGCTGCCGCTGGTGCCGCAGCCGCCGTTGTTGCATCGGCATGCATGGTTGTTTCCACGTCGGTACCATGTGGCAGAAGTAGTAGTGGTGCCAGCACCTCGCATAGCGATGACCGTGTATTACCGTGGCCGCCGCCGCTGTCCGTGCCACAGGAGCTGCTGCTGCCGCCACCTCGTTCTCCTGCCTTACCTCCTGCATGAGGGCAGCTGCTGGGACTGTCCGCAGGAGGAGGCTGCGCTGCTGTTTCGGAGCTGCACAGGCTGCTAGACCAGGGAAAAGGGAAGTTTGCTAGCTCCTTAGCTCGCAGGACCTGAGCAGCCATACGAGCGCACTCCTCAGAGTGGCCGCCGGCTTGCCAATGGCAGATGCGATGTGACTCGCAGCAGTAGTGCATGGCGCCACAGCCGCCGCACACGCATGGCTGCTTTGGCCGTTTGCGGAGGTGCTGGGGTTGAGGATGAGGCGTAAGAAGGGCCGATGGTGTCGGGGAAGGGGCGCATGGCTGCTGCGAGGCGCATGGCGCACCGCACAGTGCACACTGAAAGAGCGCTGGTTTGAAGGTATGTGTAGTTGACATTCATACTTGATTTTTGTTACGCCTATAGCTGCGCAACTACCCTAACTGGTTCAAGAACCGTTTAATGCTTATGCAGGTTGTGCTGCAGCACGGGCAAGCAAATACATACCAACCTAGTTAGCATCTTGGAGTTTGACAATGTAAGAAACACGACGCCCAGCTATACAGCAGGTACTAGCGTGGGTGTTGCTGCTGACCAGCAACGCTTGCAGTACGGAATATTATGGAAGGCGGGAGCGTAAGCAGGAATCTCCTGACGCATGCTGCCATTGCTAAGCTCCTCACTTGTATCCTTGCTCCATCCATACATCACCGGTGACTACCTTACTGGGGAAATGGCATCTGAGTTGGCATCTATCGCTGAGAGGCTTGCCGCCCCTGGCAAGGGTATTTTAGCGTCAGATGAGAGCACTGGGACAATCGGGAAGCGCTTGGAGAAAGCTGGATTGCCGAACACTGAGGTAAGTAATGGTTGGTGATTTTTGCTGCTGTCGATATGGGCTGTTTTTTTAATAATGCATACATGAAAGGCATTATATAATCCTCGTCATTGTGCTGAAGAATTCGCGTTGTGATTGTGTGCGTGTGGGAGTTGTATGCTTGTGGGCGAGCAAGGCAACCAATTATGAAATCCAGTGGCTATGATGTAGCACCCAATACGTTTCTGAATACCACGTATTCCAAATCACTCGGCCTCAGTCAGCGTGGCCGGCTTGCATTGCTTGCATTCCAGGAGGTGGCATGGGGACCACACTCAATTTGCATCTCACCCGCAGTTGCTTCTCGTAAAACCTCGACAATGTTTGCCCTGCCACTGTCTGGATTTCGAATCATGCATGTCGGCCACGCTGGCCAACCGGCTCAACAAACCTCTTGTCATGCCGATGCTTCCAAGGCACAGGGCCGTTGGGTTGCACCTGCCAATCCTCACCCTGCGATCCCCAACCCCCCCCGCCCCCGCAGGACATCCGCCGCGCCTACCGCGAGCTGCTGTACACCACCCCCGGCCTGGGTCAGTACATCAGCGGCGTCATCATGTTCAAGGAGACGCTGCACCAGGCCACCTCAGACGGGCGGCGCTTCACCGAGGTGCTGCAGCAGGAGGGCATTCTGCCTGGTATTAAAGTAGACGAGGTGGGACAGGGGGGGAAAGGGAAGAGGAAACTGACGATCTGTATGTAGATGGTGGGGAGTGTGGGATGGGTGGGTACGACAAGGCAATGCGAATGTGGCACATGATTCGTACCGCGCACTTGCTTCCCCTCCTGCCTCTGTTCCCGGTCACACCCTCCCCCTCCTCGCCCCCCACTCCCCCCCGCCCAGGGTTTGGCCCCCCTGCCCGGCGGCGGCGAGGGCGAGACCTTCACGCGGGGTCTGGAGGGGCTGCGCGAGGCGTGCGGGGAGTACGTGCGGGCGGGGGCGCGGTTCGCCAAGTGGAGGGCCACGCTCAAGGTGGGGGGCCGGGGGAGGGAGGGGGAAGGGGGGCAGGGGGAGTTAGACTACTAATGAGGAGAAATGACAAACACACAGGAATCTCCCTGGGGACGGGGGCGGGGGCGGGGGCGGGGACGGGGGCGGGGGCGGGGTGTTGTTGGCGGTGCGCAGGCTGAGCGCGGACAGGAAGGTGCAAGGGCGGGAGCAGAGGTGGTAGTGGTGGTGGTGGTGGTGGTGGTGGTGGTGGTGGTGGTGCCCTCTGGCACGTCCCTGGTGCCCTCATCCGGTGAGCTTGTCCCTCTCGCGGCACCAAGTTCCCTTCAACCTTTTTATTCATAACTGCCGCCTCCTTCCCCTCCCTCTCTTCCCTCCTCCTCCCCCGCCCCGCCCCCCCAGGTCACGGACCAGCTCCCCTCCCCCGCGGCGGTGCAGCGCAATGCTGAGGACCTGGCGGCGTATGCCAAGATATGCCAGGTGGGGGTGGGGGTGGGGGCGGGGGCGGGGGCGGGGGCGGGGGCGGGGGCGGGGGCGGCCGAGCTGAAGAGGGTCTTACAGAGGCGGACCCAACCCTAGGAGGAGCCACAACCAAGTGCGCCCACCGCACCGCGCGGACCTACACACCCCACACCCGTCTCACCTCCTCTGTCTTCTGCACCCCCCTCCTCTCCCCCCCCAGGATTGCGGCCTGGTTCCCATCGTGGAGCCCGAGCTGCTCATCGACGGGGACCACTCGCAGGAGCGGTTCGCGGCGGCAAGCCAGCAGGTGGGGGGAATGGGATAAGGGGGAGGGGGTAACGTTGCATGGTAGGGAGGGGAGGGGGAGGGGGCGCACTTGGGTTGGCGCGGGCTGTTAGGACTGTTGGGCAGGTGCCCCGTTGCCCCGCCCCTCGTCCGCAGCGCAGGGCTGCGACCGCTACCCCGCCCCGCCTCTTTCCCCACCCGCCCCGCCCCCCTCCCCAACCTCAGGTGTTGTCCGCTGTGGTGTCCTGCCTGCTGTCCTCGGGTGTGGCGCTGGAGGGCTGCTTGTTGAAGCCGCAGATGGTGCTGCCGGGGGCGGATGCGACGGGGGGCGGGGCGGGGCCGGAGCAGGTGGCGCGGGCGACGGTGGAGGTGATGCGGCGGTGAGGGGGGAGGGGGCTGGGGAGGGGGGATCGAGGGAGGGATGGGGACAGAGGGTTAGACAGAGAACTCAATATTGTGACAAGGAGAGGAGATGTGGCCATCGGTAATACTCGGGATGCTGAAAGGGAGGTTACGATCTCAGGCGGATGATACCCCCTTCCCCCCCTCCCCCCCCTGCAGTGTCATCCCCCCCGCCCTCCCCGGCATCTTGTTCCTGTCGGGCGGCCAGAGCGAGGAGCAGGCGACTGCCAACCTGGATGCCATCAACCGCCATGCGCGGCAGGTGGGCAGGTGCCCCTGGGCGCTGTCATTCTCATTCGGCAGGGCGCTGCAGGTGCGGGAGGGGGTTTAGAGCAAAGGGGAGGGCGGGGGTTTAGAGCAAAGGGGAGGGCGGGGGTTCAGAGCAAAGGGGAGGGCGGGGGTTCAGAGCAAAGGGGAGGGCGGGGGTGGGGGAGGTAGTGGGAGGGGAAGAGGGCGTGGGAGGGACCGGTTGCGGGGTGTGAAGAGGGGAAGGGAACGGGGGAGAGGGAGGACGGGAATGGAACGTGGTGGAGGGGTGAGGGAGGAGGGGAGGGAGGAGGGCGTTGGTAGAGCCATCTCATGTGGATATGTGGGCACTAAAGGTGCATCCCCTTCCCCGCACACACACCTCCTAACCCCCTCCCCACCCCACCCCCCAACACGCGTCAGGCCTCCGTGCTCAAGCTCTGGTCTGCTGACCGCACCTCGGTGGCCCCCGCGCAGCACCTGGCACTGCAGCTGGCGCGCGTGAACAGCGAGGCGGCGCTGGGGCGGTACGCGGGGGGGCAGGAGGGGGGGCAGCCGCACCCCTCGCGGCTGTCCGCGGAGAGCCTGAGGGAGAACTTCCGGGGCTGGGGCGGACAGCAGCCGCCTAAGTAGGGAGGGGGGAACGATGTGGTTGTGTGTGTGTTGAGGCCCGCTTCAGTGTGGTCTGGTCTTGGGTCAGTGTGTCCTCCCAGGAGGGTAAACTGTAGCGCGAATGAGGGCGAGGCGCCAGGTTGGGGTACGCGGGTTGGGGGGCATGTGGTCGTTATGTGGCCCCACGTGTGTATGGCAGAACTTAGAAGGAGTGTACGACAGGAGGAAAGCGCAGTGTACTGCAGGAGGGCGTGACGAGAGCGGTTTGAAAGCGGTCAAGCAGGCCTCGGTCTACCAGTTGGTTCGGACTGCAGAAGCCATCGGAGGTGTGCGGCCGCAGCAGCGCGTCACCAACAGCAGCACACGCCAGCAGCAATGCGCGACAGCTCCCTTCTAGCTGTTTGTTTGCTCTTAAGTAGAGTACGGCAGTGGTGGTGTGTGCTGCTGGCTTTGTAGCAGCCTCAAGCTGTGCAAGCAGTCTGAGTGTCGTTGTGGGTGTTGGGGAGGAGCAGCCGCAGCGTGCATGCATGGGCGGCTGGAGCAGGAGTGAGCGCAGGTGCAGCGAGGGGGGGGGGTAGTAGGAGCATGGGAGGGTATGTCGCGGGTACGGCGGCAGGAGTGACGGTGTGAGAGCAGGGGTGGAGCGCGGATTGGCAAGGACCTTCGGCACAAGAAAGTGGCTGGGTGGGCGGGTTGGCCCTATTGGGCGGTTGACTGCCGTAGTGGTCCAGGTGGGCCGAGGAGAGGGTAGGGAGGAGGAAGTGGCGAGAGGCGAGTAGTTGTGGGGAAAGGGATGTACGTGTTTTGCGGGAGGATGCTGGGTTCCTTTGCATAGAGGTCGGTTGGGGGTGCGGTGGCGGCGGCGTCGCATCAGGCGGGAAGAGGTGGGAGCCTGCTCGGCAGCATGGGGTGAGCAGCTGTCGTCCGGCGTTCGATGGAATGCCAAAGGTGGGATTAAGGGCCAAAGGTGCGGCTGCGCGCTGTAGAGGTGATGGCGCATGGGCGTACAAGCCGGGAAGGAGAGCAGGGAGCAGGATTTATCTTTCCCTAGTATCGACCCAAGGTAGGCGCGGACTACCTCTGTTTCCGCAGCCTCTGCTGTGGGTTTGCTGTGGTGGCGGATGGGCCGGAGGTAGAAGTTGCCCTTAGCATTACCGTTGCTTCGCCCTCGGGGTTATCTTGGGATATCGGTATGCTAGCTACGGATCGGAGGCCGTCATGCAGTTGGAGACTTTGCTGCAGTTGCTGCTGCTACGATACTATGTCGCAGAATAAGGGGAGAGGGCAACGCAAAGGCCCGGGGACTTCGTCTTTGCAAGTAAGCAAATTACCGACTTGGTCCTCTTCACACATTGGGGCGGCGGCAGGTATGGAGGTAATGTGGGTAAGGCGCGTAATCTTGTGAGTCGCCGCGTGTCCAACCTGCACGGAGTCCCCTGCACGTGAAACGCCGCACCCAGGGTGCAAGGATCGAATATAGGGTGTAGGCTTACTTGCGGAAGCTGCGCGTCCGGTGAGATGCTGATCCAGCGATGCCATGCCAGAGCTAGATTGTGCTAGTTGGGCGACGGCCTCAAGCCATAAGCTATGCACTGTTTTTTAGATACACTGTTGTTTGTTGCGTTTACACGGTCTTCACCGCAAGGTATGTGGGAACGCTTTCTTACCGCATTTCGCGAATAGGCATGCTTGCATGTTATGCTAAGTTGATAACCTGCTAGCTTCGTCAGACCCAATCAAGAATACAGCCCAACCTAAACATTTCGACATGACAGTCAGGACAACCGGCATAATGGTTGACGCCAGGGTTGGATGGAGACACCGGCCATGCATGGCTGAGATAGACTACCGGTAATTTTTAGCCTACCGTGCTCGATCCTACCAAGGATTTGCCGCTGTAGTAACTTCACAAACATTATGAATATAGCTGTATATAACGCTCAGCGGCCATCGTCGTCATCGCTGACAGACTACCGTAGTTGCAAGGGCGGCAGAAGAGGACGACTATGGTGGGTCCAATCCTCATTTCATAACATAAAACATAAACTGAGTATATTTCTGTCCCGATTGAATAGAACCGGCGCAGCCTTTGCTGCGTCCCAACCGAAGTAACGGCCGGCACACGCTGAAGGAAAACGGCCACACGCCTGCCGCGCTTACTCGCGCGCGCTGCGCATAAGAAGAAAGCTCTAGGGTGGCAGAGACAATATTTAATGCTTCCTTCCTCGCTAAACTAGAAGGTACCGGTGCAGCTTATACATTTATTACTGCCAGGTAGTTGATAGAACGGCAGCCGAGCTTTCTTGGCTGGCCTCAATTAGTAGAGCGCTTAGACACCGAGAAGTAGCTCACGGCGAATTCTTATTTTCGTATTAGCGTTGCACATGCAGCCATACATTAAGCTGATTCTTTTTATTGACTTGCCGTAGCGTGGCAACGCCCCGCTGTATTCCGCGCCGGCGTAACGCGATCAGTAATCAACGCGATCATCAATTGTCGTGAAGGTCTTCACGCTAAAGAAGGCCTCTATGCCGTTTTCGACGGCTCTGCTCGTGACCATGAACCGCGTTTCTGCACTCCGGGCTGTTGCTGCAGCCTTCCTTTGGCTCATTGTTGCCTGCGGAGCCGCGACCTTTGCTTTCTTCTTCGCCGTAACGCCGACACGGTGGAACAGCGTGCGCGCTACAGAGCTGATCACCTGGAGAAACACCCAGATCCTGCAGTACAAGTTTGTCAACTCCACAACCGGCAGAACGACTGCGCTCCTGTCCGGCTCCGTCAGTTTCATGGTAAGGCTGCGGCTTAGGACTTGATTTGGGTCGTAAGGCATAATTTTCTGGTTAGTAAGTTGCAAGAGGGGCATTACATATTGCACCTAGACTCCCTCTGCTACGTCCCTTTGCTCCCCGCTGACCAGCAGAAGATGCCTTCATGCCGTCTGCGTTCTAACTTGCCGTGTGCTTACTCAACTTAATCCCCTGCATGGATTCACCTCCCCCCCCCGCACCCCTCAGCTCATATGGCAAAGCTGCGGTACGCTAGCAGTGGCCCTCGCTGCCTCCGGACTCCACTGGCTGCTGACCACCTCCTCGCCTGCTTCATCGCCGTCGTCCCCACCGTCCTCAGTCGCTTCCAACGTTCCCGCTCCTCAATCCAGAAGCAATAAGCGGCGCTTCATGACCCCCTTGGCTTTGGCAAAGAAGGTGAGTTGCCGACAGCTGGATCACGCACGAGGACGTGTTGCTATTGTTCTCTAGGGCCTGTTCAGAGCCCCAGCACACCTGCATGGTTATACCACACTACCAAATGAGCTTGCAAGTATATATGTGGTCCATTGCCTGCCTGCCATGCATGCGCGACGTCGACATACGGCACCATTGGCCTCAGCGCACTCTTGCCGTACATAATGATTGTCGTATAGCATTTCTGTAGCCGAGTATTTGGTACATATGCTCACGTGCCGTGACAAGCCAGCGTCCCAGCTATCTGCTCCTCTCTTCCTTTCATACACACATGAGCATATGCATGCGTTTCGGTTCGCCTCACATTGACACTATCCTGACATCCTCTTTCACTCACTTCGCAGTCTGTGCTCAAGGCCCGGCGGCTGTTGCGCACGCAAGTCCCCCCCCGCGGGCTCTGGCGCGCCCTGCTGGGCCCCGAGGGCCTCTCGCTGCTGGACCTGCTGCTCATCCTGCTGTGGTTCGGCCTGCACGCCATGTGGATGTACGAAATGACGATGCGAGTACTGGACAATCGCCGTACGGCACCGCCCCCACCTAAAGGTACGGCATATCAGTAACACAGATGCGCCCGTTGTAGCTGGGTGCTGCCGTACAGTCAGCGGGGTAGGCTGCTGTCATGCGGGGAGGGCACTCGTGGGTGTGAGCTGCTGAGGGAGTGCGGTTGTACCACGATAGCGCTGCTGCGTGTGCGAGGCGGAATACGTGAATGTTAGTTGAAGATGCTTGGTTCAACCCCATACTTGTTCCTGACTCGCATCACCCTTTCCAACCAAACGTGTATCGTGTCCATGCAGCCGTCGTTCGCAGCCCCCCGCCCCCTGTTGCGGCGGCCAGCAACGCCGTCATGCCTGCCAACGCCACCGTCCGCATCAGCCCGCCGCCAGCAAATCGCCCTCCGCCAACTGCTACCAAGGTCCCCTTTCCACCACCACCTCCTCCTGCAAGGGTCCTCAGGCCCCTTCCCCGAGTGGTCCAAACCAGGTAGGACTACTCGCATCTGTTTCCCGCAGCCGCCAGCTCCTATCATTCCGGAATGCAGCCCATCTTCCTTATTAAGCACTGCGTTCACTACAAAGTGCTCAACCTACGCCCCTCCGTCCCAATCTTGCCTCCATTGATTGCGTGCCCCCAGTGTCGCCCAGTACTTTGGTTGGATCGTGCGGCTGGACATGTGGCTGCTGTTCTACCCGCTGCCCCGATGCAACTTCCTGGGGTGGCTGCTGGGCTCGGAGTTCGCCGCGATGCTCAAGTACCACCGGTGGGTCCTGCTACTATTGGTGGCAACGTAGGCATGGGCACAGGGCTCACCCTCCTTGCATTTCTCCCCTCCCCTCTGCTCTGCTATACAAGCTAACTCCTGATTTGCTGGGTGGTGGCGTCTGACATCCCCTGCTATCAGGTGGCTGGGCCACGGCACGCTGATCATCACAACCCTGCACGGCATCATGTACCTCGCCATCTGGGCGCGCGATGGAATGTGAGTTCTGCTGGGTACTACATGTATGGCTTGTTGTACGACATGCATGCGCTTTATTACGGCACCGCCTCCGTGTAAGCTTGCCGTGCGTCCTACCCCGTACATTATTGACCCTCCAGCAACATTGCACTTCTTATCTCCACAGCATGGCCTCTAACCTGACGTGGAACATGAGCGGCGGCGTGAACAACGTGGCTGGGCTGGTTGCGCTGGCCGGCGGCTGGCTGCTGTGGATCACCAGCATCCCGCTCATCAGGCGCCGCCTGTTCAACCTCTTCTACGCCTCCCACATCACCGGTGCGGTCGTGTTCTTCCTGTTCAGCTTCATGCACCGCAAGGATGTGGCTACATGGATGCTGCCTGGTGAGGGGGTGGGGGTGAGAAGAGTGTCCAATCGTCTGACCGTCTTGGGGAGGGTGGGCAGCTGGAGGCTGCATGGGCGCGGCAGTGTTATCAGGGTGCAGCGCTGCTTGCCGTGTGGCATTGCTGCACGGTGTGTATGTCCTGTACAGGTCGGTTGTTGTGTTGATGTGGGCAAGGTGGTTGTTGTGACGAGGGGCTCATTGAAGCACGGCTGAGCAGTGTCGTTACCATCGTCACGTCATTCCCCTCGGGGTACCTCGGGGTATCGGCATGGAGCTCGCTCGGTTGCCGGACGTACTGACTTCTTAATACCCGACATGTTGCTCCACCTATCTCCTTCTTCATTCCCGCTGCAGGCATCTTCCTGTACCTGTTGGATGTCGTACTGCGCACCATCCAGCAAAACTTCAACTCCACGCAGCTCAGCGTGGTCACCGCCGACCCCTCCTCCGCCGCCCCGTCCTCTTCCACTTCCCTGGCAGCTCTGTCCCCGGAGGGCAACATCCTCACCCTTTCGCTGGCATGCCACGAGGTGGGAGCCTGCTTCTGCCGTGTGCCGTGTGAAGTACTCAGCCGTGCCGCTGCTGTGCATGTGCTGACGCTGACCCAAACCTCGACCGTGCCGCTGCTGTCGCACCGTTGTCTCGGCCTCCCCTAGCTGGTTAACCCCCGCTTTCAATCCCTGCCTGGGCACACCGCAGTCGCTGACGTGGGTTGGCTCCGAGATCGTCTTCCTGAACGTGCCGGCAGTGAGCTGGTGGCAGTGGCAGCCCTTCACCATCGCCTCCTGCCCGGCCACGTTGGATGAAGGGTGCGGCGGTGGGGAGAGGCGGATGGTGCTGCATATCAAGAAGTGTGGCAGATGGACGCAGGTACGGCAGGCTGCGCATGTGGTAACAAGCCGTGTACGGTGGGAGAGGGTTCGTACGACTTCCTGAGAACTGCTGGTCTCGGCTACCGTACTGACGCGCATTTTTCCCTTCTCGTGCAGCGCCTGATTCACCGCCTGGCAACGGATCCCACTCCGGTTCAGTTATACGTTAGCGGCCCGTACGACACCGCTAACCGCAAATGGATGCAAGGCTCTGACCGCTCCGTCTTCATCGCCGGCGGCATTGGGGTGGGTGCCATGCCGTCACACGCGCTGGGTTTTGCACTGATGCTGGGATATCTTGCTTGGGCGCACTGATTCATGGTTTGAGCTGCTTGGCCCGCCCATAACAACCGTATGCAAGCTGCATGCGCGGTACTGCCACTCGTTGCGGTGCCGCTCGATCACCCCATGGCCCCAGCAGCTGCGACACGTTTCGCGACCCTGCCTCATCTTGCGTCCTATTGTCCCGCCGACAAGCGTAACTCAGCCGCTCGATTTCTGCATGCATGCAGGTTACCCCAGTGCTGGGTATGCTGCAAGAGCTCATCGCGGTGCGTCGTCGTACCAGCCACCTGCAGCCTTCCAACGGTTCCAACGGTCGTGTCAACTTCATCTGGATCTGCCGTACAAGGGAGGAGCTGAGCATCATGCCCCCAGAGATCCTGCAGGAGGCCAGCAGGTGGGTAGTTACTAGGAGGTGTGGTCGTTTGCTGGCTGAAGACGCACGGCTTAGACACGGTATGCCTGGCGGGTGTGGTGTGGTCAATCTTTTGTTGAAAATTTCAATGCGTCCTTGCCAGTTGCCAGCCGGGCATTACCACACACGCACATGCATGTTCGCAGCGCGACTCACTCGCAATAGCCCCCAACCCCGAAACTACACCCCCCCTCAGAAAAGACAAGTCTTCCTGGCTGAACCTGCAGCTCTACCTCACCGCACCAGCCGCTACTAGCGACTCCGTCACTGCCGGCGGTGAGCACGGCGATGTCAGGCCAGGCTGCGGCTGGGCCAGCACCGCCAAAGCGATGACAGCTGTCCGCATTGGTTGCCTGGGAGGAGCTGCAGCTGCTGATAACAAGGGCTCTGTCCCCTCGGGGACTCCTCGTGCAAGGTGGGGTGATAAAGGGGCGCCGATAGTTGACAGTTGTGACACAAAGGCCTTTGCATGATATGCTAATGCCGTAACTTGTCGTACGAACTGCCAAACTCGCTATCTGACGCACTGCCCTCGTAATAGTGGCTGAACATGTTGTTGTCCCCTGCTGCCGTGTTTGTCCCCTCGGGCATGCAGACCTTTGTCACACCCCTACTCCTTCGGCCCGCTGATGTGGGCTGCCGCGCTGCTGCTGTGCTTTGGCGGTGGCTTCACGGGCCTCATCTGCGCGCAGTCGTACGAGGCGCACATGGCGAGAACCGTCAAGACGCGATCTGACTTCGTCTACGTTGGCATGCTGCAGTTCTCAGCCCTGGGGATTGGGGCAGCGCTGCCACCTGCGATCCTGATGCTCGTCGCGCACATGTACCGGTAAGTCGGTTGCCTGGTTGCTACCGGTGTGCCGGATGGGCGATGACGTGCTAAGATGCTGTATGTAGCGTGTTTATGTTGCGTGTAAATCTTGCCGGACTCCACTTGACTGCCTCTGTACGCTGTTACCTTGCTCGTGTGAAAGGATGATGATGATGCACACAAATGCTGGAAGTCGTATGTGGTACACTCTTGCCGTACATGCATCCCCCCCACCTTTCAACCCTGTCTGTGCCAAGGCTAGAAACCGTAGCCCGGCCTTGACCTTGCCTCTGGTGATGTTTTCGTTATTACCTTGCAGGAGGTTCAATGCCATGTTCTCTCACAAGCGCTCCACCGCTCAGAACAAGGCGGCCGCCGCTGCTTCTTCCGCCTCCGATTCTTCGTCTTGCCCTTCCTCCTCCACCTCGGGTGATGTCGTGCTCCCCAAGGCGCCTGCTGCTGCTGCTGCTGCACACGTCCCATCACGGCCAGCAGCCGGTACCATCTCCCTTATTGCCAGCAGCAGCGCCGCTACCACCGCTGCAACCCCTGCTGCGGGGGCGGCAGCAGTGGAGAGCTACGTCGGCCATGACAAGAGCAATGGTGCCTACTACTGCAAGGGTAGCCGTAGCCTGGGTTTGGAGGCCTTCCTCATTCCGGGACGCCGCCCGGACCTCGCGGCTTTGCTGGACCAGGCCGCGAGCAATAGCTACGAGGGAGGGGAGGGCAGGGGCGGGGAGGAGGAGGAGGAGGGGGCCCGCGTGGGGGTGTTTGTGGGCGGACCTGCCCGGCTGGTGGCGGCGGTGGCGGAGGCATGCGCGGAGCTGAACGGCGTGTGGGGCCGGGCGGGGCGGGCTTACCTGGACGTGCGGGTGCTGACGCATGAGATGTGAGGAGCGAGCGTGCGTGGATGGGGTGCGGCGGCTGACTATGTGTTTCACTTAGTCAGTTTCGAAATGATGTACAGGGGGAAAGCAGGTGGGTAGCGAGCTGCTGGGAGCCAATTAATGCCTTGCGCGTACAAGCTCGATGTTAGGGCCGGGTGAGCGCTGAGTGATGAGGTCATGAGCTGATCATCACTGCAAACTTAGCCGTGGGCTGACAGCTGTCGACCATGCGTGCGTGGCGACAGAGGTGGGTCATTGTGTTGTGTTGTGTTGTAGCGATGAACTCGTCATGTGACCGTGAGGGTGCGTGGCAGCGAGCTGTGAGTCCATGTGATATATGTGGGATTGATAGTATAGGAGGAGCACCGTACGTGTATTTATAGTGCCTATATAGGACCTATGCGGTGGTGCGTGTGGGCAGTACATGGGCACCCCACAGGGCACGTCATTATTATGTTTAGGTGAATGGCCGGCGAGGTTTTGAGTAGGCCAGCAGGCGTAAGTTAACCGCTCACGGCTAGTTTGGCATGGTCACGTGATGATTTATAGTGTTTCCTGGGAAGGTACCATAGGTACTGAAGATTGGGTACTGGCATGGGGAATAGGTGTGAGTCCCAATCACTAGGCGTGAGTCCCAATCAGTTACCTCCTGATGACGAGCAGGTAGAGGAGGGCGACAGGCACACTCGCTTGCGGTATGTTTGCACAAAGGATTTGCAGATGCGCCGTGTAACTACTGGAAACAACAAAATGGCATACCGGTATATGTTCATCATGTGATCCGTGGTACCGGCGGTACATTGTCGTACGTTAGCGCTGTTGCACGACCTGCCATGCAGATCACCATGCATGGTAGGTCCCGCCTTATCCTTGGCAGCAGGGTGATGTGGGAGTGATGTGCGCATGGGGGGGTAGCAGATGCCGTGTGCTTCACTGTACTGCGTTAGGGAGGATGGACGGAAGGCCGCAAGCTCGTAATAGCGCAGAAACCGTGTTGTTGTTGTAACCTCCGTTGCGTCTGCAGGATGGAGGGCTGCCGCGGCTGTCAAGGAAGTCTACCCGCCTCACGATGACAACACCTCGCCAGACCAATGCTGAGGTTACCATCCACGTGCGTACTCATGCTGAGGTACTTTGGCTGGCACGGGTGCCGCCACCCGTCAGTACGATGCTCGTGAGTCGTGACACAGCTGTACCAGCGAGCATTCGATCGTGTGCGCCGTAATCAAGGATACGTCCTATCTGCTGTCGTATATATGTACCCGTTAGTGGCAAAGTTACCAGCGGTACATTACTGTCGGCTCGCGTAGCTGGCGTTGCGGCAATAGACCCAGTTGTTCATCTTGCTGCTGCTGGGGAGTCTTGGTGACCCAAATGTGGAATGCATCCAATCGGAAGCATCCTGTGGGAGCTTTTGCGGACCCCGATTGGCATTACCGGTAACCGACTACGGCATTAACCAGTGGTATGTACACGTCGTGCGTGCATCCTGCGGACGGGAATCAGACACTGAGCTGCCTGCATGAAAGTAGCCCATGGACCAGCAGGGCTGTGGACAAGCTTCCAGCACATTTACCGGCGACGTCGTAAATGTTCATGACCCATGGGTCATGCTTGGAAGCAATGTTGTTTAGATGTGAATTGACCTTTGACGCTTCAGGCACTCAGGTCGTTAACTGGTTAGCTATACATCACGCCAGCAAGCCTTTCAGCACGCCCTGCATGTTCCCCTATAGAAAACATTCTTTCGCAACTTGTGCTAACAGGACACCGATTGCAAGCAGGCCTTTCATTGACGCAACACACGGCGTAAGTTGTTGGGTTCCGAGCATCTCCCAAAGCAAGCCTTGCTGTTAATAGAATGGTTGAAGGAAAGGTCAGACAGCGATACATAGGTCATACCAGCAAACCCCTTGTCGCATTCAGAGGAACCGTACGGCGTTGGATTCACTTGGGTCATGCCAATATCCCATCGTCATAGTTAAGCGCCCGGAATTGCTTTTGCTTTACTTCAATAGGTTATACTGACGTTGCTGGACGTGTTGGCCAACCTGTTGCAGAAGACATACAGCACGGAAGGCATGCTCTTGCTTGCCCAACCCTTCCGCTGTTCCTAGCATCCTATAAGAAACGAGCACACCGTAGAAAGCGTCGTTTTTCTCAAGAGGAGCCGACGGTCAACTTCCACTTGGGGTACATCTATCTACGGACGGCCTTCCGCCTTCCCGCCTATTTTGTTGCACGTGCAAGGACAGGGCTGGCCCCAAGTCCAGCAGCGACAAGGATGCCACCACATTCCGCAGGACCAGTTTTGCAGCTTCCAGACTCGGGTATCTTACTTTCCTCGCTATCTTGCTCCGATCTAGCGGACCTTTATCCGGCCCCGCTTCCCAGCCCTGAAGACTTGGCTGCCAGCGACGCATGGCTGGAACAAGTTATGCAGCTCATGGTGAGTTTGCCAACTCAGTGAAGCGCTCCTTGCTGATCAGTGCTGGTCGCTTGGTAGTCAGCTCGCTTTGCTAGTCCGTGCCGCTAACGTTGGCTCGCTCACCAACTGGCTAGTATTCCCCAGCATTGACGGGATACGTGAAAAGGGGCTTTTACAAACAGCCGCTGCTATACTGTTGCGCTTCGCCTCTCGCGTCTCGGTCTGAATATCACCCACGTGAGCCTTTCCTTCCTACCTCCCGCAGCAGCTGCACACATCCGGGTTGTTCGCGTACTTCCGTCTCAGCCGCAAGGCTGACCAGACTGTGAGTGCGGGCAGGCGGGCGCGGGGGGTGAGGATGAGGTCAACATGGGATGAGATTAACATGGGAGGGGAAAGTACTGGTGGGGTTGTGCGGCAGGGGTGCAATGCGTGGTCGAATCCTTGGCGACCCAGATGGGTCCTGGAGGCGAGCTGCTTGACTTCAGGGGCTGGGATGCACTTAGTGTGTAATAACTGCGCGAGCTTTACCGAGCCCAGGCACACAGCTGCATCTGTGGAAAGAGCGCATTCGCGCGGACCCATGGGTCGCAGTTGCACCTATTGTCATATATGTCAAACCTTGCCGTTGAAGGGTTGTACTGCGACATGTGACCCACATTTACGTTTCTCCGCCGAGAGCTTTGTTAGGAGTCCCGTCAGGACGAAACCTGAAACCTGATTTGGGTCTGACCCAGATGCCAGATCCCCCTTTTTACTCCATCAACCTACCTTCTCTTTCCCTAAACCTGCTGGCTAAGGTGACTTTGCTTTCAGACGCAAGTTGTCCCAACCCCCGGCCCCCCCATGCATGCATGTAGGTGTTTATTGCCAACATCAAGGACAAGTTCCTGGCGCAGATGTTCCCGATGGTACGGCAACCGCAACAGCAACAATTACCGGCAGCAGCAGTAGCGAACAAGAAAGGGCCCCCCGCCGGTGCATCATCAGGTAACGAGAGCATGATGAATTCCTTTCACTGAGCTTGGAGCTCTGTTCTACGACCCCAGCACTGACACCGACACCGGCAATGTGTTGTTCCTAGTTCTTCTTGGCTGCAACAGTAGTTGTTTCAAGCATGGAAACCCCCCTACGCACTCCCCACCTTCCGGGTAGCAGAGGCAGCCCCAGCCGCGGAGCCCAGCAGCGGCGGCGACGGCAGCGGTACGGCGGCTGACGTGGCGGCGAAGAACGAACTCAACCGAGTGCGCTCCATGAGAACCATGTACCTGTACTACAGGTGGGAGACTGGGAGCGAGTGTACGAGTGTACGACGGCCCTGTGTACAACATGTGTATGTGCAACGACGACCCAGATGAGCAAAGTCTGTTGAGGAGACGGATTCGGTCAAGTAACGACCCACGATGGCGGTTCGAGCGTTGGTAGTTATGGACAGATTTAGGGACACTGGGAGCACGTGTGTAGTTGAGCGGGAACAAGAGCAAGCAGCTGGGATAGGTTCGCATGTGAACCGCAAGTACAAGTGTAAACGGATCCAGATGGCGAGCCAGTTAGTTGGCCTTTACAGTACCGGTAATGGATAACAAGTAATAACCTGCGCCTCCTGTCCACACCCTTCCTCCCCCTCCCCCTCCCCCTCCTCTCCCTCCCTCCCTCCCAGTGTACTCCACTACGTTCTTCGGCTGCAACACCCCATGACCTACCAGCCCCCCGGCGCCCCCATCCCCCTCTCTCCGGGCAGCACCGCCGCTGCTGCTCCTGCTGCTGCTGGCACCACCGCCGCCCCCATCAGCGGTGGCCCAGTCGGAGGTGGAGGTGGTGAGGCCCGCTTCGCGCGGCTGGGTGTTGCCCCCGGCGAGGAGTACCGTGTTGCTGCGCTGCTGGGGGTGCCGGTGTTCCACACCTCGCTGCTGGCGGTGGCGGCCACACTGGTTCTGGAGCTGGAGGGGGCGGCGAGGGTGAGAGAGGGGGAGGGGGAGGAGGGGGTAGGGCGAGGGTGAGACCCATGCACGCCCCCAACCCCCCCCACCCTGTGGTTTCCTATGGTTCGGTATGGTCTTTGACCACCCTTCCCTCTCCCACGCCCCTCCTTCCCTTCCCTTCCCCTGTCTGCTTCAGGACCCCGCCAGTCAGGCTGCCGGCCCCGAGCAGCTGCTGCGCACCGTGCGCAGGGCGGGGCTGGGTACCGACATGGCGGCAGTGTGGAATGCATGCAGGCGAGGACTGAGGAGGGGAGGGGAGGGAAGGAAGG